CTTAACGCGGTAAAACGATTCTAGCTCGCTAGGGCCTTTATTTACGCGGTAAATAAGGTAATAATTAAGTATACGCTTTTCTACGTTACGTTAAAAAAGGCGTTAATCGTAAGCGTATAGCTTATTAAAATTCTAAATCGATACGAAGTAAAAGAAGCTTAATTTAATAACCTCTAGTACCTTTAAATCGCGTTAGAGATACTTCTTATAAGTATTACGCCCGCTAAAAACGTCGCTAGAGCCGAGCTCGAGGCTATAATCTTATTCCGCTAAGGGCCGGTAATTTACGTTACGTATAATACGCGAATTAACTTATAAGGATAGCTTATATAATATATAATAAACCTCTTACGTAAAGTAATCTCGCTTCCTAATTAATTTATTTATTAACTTCGATATAAAAAAGAGAAGAAGATTTACGTTAAAAACCTTTAAAAGGATTTACTTAATAAGGACGCTATAATTATCGGTTTTAATTTCCGCTTTAAAGTAATACTTCGCTACGTAATTTATAATAGCTTCTACGTTAGTATAAGGCGAAATATCGATATTAGCTAGCTAAGTAAAGGTAATTATTCGATTATATTAATTTAATTATTCGTCGTTACGTTACGCTTTAAATAACTACTAGGTTTTATACGGCCGTATAATAATCTCGGCGTAAGCGCGGTACGGCCGCGGGAAAAGAAATCGGCATTTTAAAGGTAGTAAAACGTTATTACCCTATCCCGCTTCTCGCGCTTTACGCTTATTAATACGGAGGTAATATACGGGGGAGTATTTATAACGTTAATAACGATTAATAATTTAAGAGAGCTAACGAAACGATAACCGCGCGTTTAAAGGCCGTAGTACGAATAAATTACCTTTATTTTAATCTAAGCGCCGGCGCGGCTCTAGGTTAACCGTAAAAGCGTAATAGCTCTAAATACGAGCGTAGTTTTAGCGCTATTCGAAAAAGGTTATATTAGGTAACGGATTACCTTCGAATTAAAATAGCCCGTAGTAATACGTATTCCCGCGCCCTTAAAATTCGTATCGATATTAATAATCGCGTAAGCCGAACTTCTTAACTAAAACGATATTACGGAAGAGCTAATTCCGAACGTAAAAATACTACGCGGTAATATAGGGATTAGTTTTTAATAGCTCGTAGGATAAGCGCATGCGTTAGATTTTAAGGGAGGAAAGCTATTCTTAAAAGCGTAATATATATTAAAAAAGGCTCCGCTAGTAAAGATTAATAAGGCTTAAGGTAAGAAAAGCGCTAGAAACCTTAAGGTATTTAGTAAAAGTAACGTACTTACGTTTTCGTTTAAATTAAAAAAGCCGCGTATCCTTTAAATAAACTATAGCGCGCGTAATACTCCTTAATAACGTATTAGCCTCGGTATTCTTAAGGTTTTTTAACGCTTACTTGAGATTTTATCGCGTAATTTATTACTATTAAGCGCCTTTTTTCCTTACGAAATATTTACTTACTATTATCGTTTATTAGCGTATAAGTATATTAAGCGCGATAAAGCGGAAAGTAAGGTATTACGCGAATCGATTATCGCGTTAACGTATAACGTATTATACCTAATCGTCGAAATCGATCTTACGCTACCTTAGATATATAAATTTAGCTTCTTTACGCGGAAATAAGGTAGGAAACGCTAATAAAAATAACGTAGTTAAACGTATAAATTCGTTAATAAGGGTCTAGCGAATAAAAGGCATAGATAAATAATAGGTACCTATAAGCTTAACGGGATAACCTTTAAAAATAAGCGCCTCCTTTAATTCTAATTTTAAACATTTTATCTTAATTTATTTTAACGTAACGTTTAGTATAATAAATTTATCGTATTAAGCCTCTAATCTTTTTAGGTCGCCTTCCGTAACTAGGCTAATCTAGAGCGCTTAACCGTTATCGACGAAGTCTTAAATATTAAGCTACTTAAAAACATTACCGTCGTTAAGTAACTCTTCTAACGCGGCGCGATTTTATTTAAAGTCTTTATAACCCGGGTAATTATATCTTAGATACTTAAGCCATACCTCGATAACGCGCCGGCGTATTTTAAACTTAGTTCGAAACTAGGTTATTTACTTAGGATTTTACGCTAGTTCGCGTAGGCGTAATAAAACGATATTAAGATACTAAGAAAGGAGGGGAAGATAGTCGTATACTTTACTAACGTTACGTATAAAGTATACGACGTAGCCGCGATATTTATATTACTAGCCGCGGATTATAAATATATTTATTACTACGTAAATCCGCGTAATAAATAATTCTTCGATTATTATTAGCTTTAATAGTAAATTAAAAGAAGGAAGAATACTAAAGTTAAAATAATTACTTACGTTAAAAAAGAAGGGCTTATCTACGCGCTTTTTCTAGTTTTTATTACGATAACGCTTATAAATACCCGCGGTATTTAAATCCATATTAAATTAATATTTCCCGTAACGACTATAATATTTACGTCGTTCCTATTCTAGCGCTAATTAAAACCGTATTAGAATCGCGTAATCGATATCGCTAACCGCGTTAGCGTTAAGGTCTCCCTCCTACCGTAGCGGCTTAATTATAAACGAGCTTTAACGATTAAAAACGCTACTAAGTTCTTAAAAGCGAGCGGTATTTAAGGGGGAGGTTTAATTAAAAGGTCGGCCTAGGTACGGTTATTCTCGCGCTAGTTTTAGCGTAAGAGGTTCTAGCGTAAAAGGCCGTAAAGGTCGGCCTCGACGTACTTATACTTACTCTAGCGCTAGTTTTAGCGTAAACGCGCGTAAAGGTCGGCCTCGACGAACTAACTCTCGCGCTTATTCTAACGTAAGCGTACGTAAAGGTCGGCTTCGACGAGTTAGCTCTCGCGTAAGTACTCGAGGAAGTCGCCTTCGGGGCGCTAGTTTTAGCGCTACCGTTAAATCCGTTAGTTATAATTATATTATTAACGAAGAAAGTAAAGGAATAGGAAAAGGGTTACCGCTATTACGTCGGGTTACCCTATGCCGTCTTCGAATTTATTATCGTAATACGTTACCTACGCGTAAAGCTACTTCTTTAGCGCTTAAACTATATACCCGAGGCTACGCGGTAATAAAATATAATCGATAATAAGTAATATTTAATCGCGGAGCCGGTTAAAGCGTCTTAAACGTAGGATAAGATCGGGAATCCTATATAGAATTAGCGGTAAAGTATAAACTATTAATAGAAAATATTAACCTAAGTAAGACGGCGTATGTTTTCGCGGTAAGAGAGATAATTTTTTATAGATATAGCGTAATTTCGTAGATTAATAAATTACTCGATAGCTTAAATTCTTCCGTATATACGACATTCTTTAACTTAAAGCGACTTTATTTTAATTAAACTAAGGATAAATTATAAGAATAAATTATAAGATACGGAAAAGAGTAGGAATTATATAAATAAAAGTAGAAACGTATAAATAAACGCGTTAGTAAATATACGTAGGGATTTTAAGGGATAATAGGGATATGCTAAATAAGAAAAACTCCATTTATTCCGCCGTTTTTATTAGGTATATATATTTTTAAAGACCTATAGCGCGTTTTTTAGCTAGTAAAAATAAAGTTTCCCCTAAAAGACACCCCTTTATAGGGGTATTTATAAGGGTATTTATAAGGGTATTTAATCCCGTAATTAATTAATATGATAAGGGGTTATGCGTATTATAACTATCCTCCGGATAGGATAAACGATTTATTACCGTAAAAAACCAGAAAAAAATCGGAAAAATCGGAAATTTACTTACGTAATTAATTAGCTTAATTAAATTAATATATAAACTTTTCAGATTTTTTACTTAGTAATATAAGAAATTATTTACGATTTAAAGGGTTTTAAAACTATATTAATAATTTATTATATAATTTATTAATAACCTTATTAACTATACTTATATCGATATATTTATCTAATTTTTTTACGGTAATGAAGTAGGTCTATTACCTAATACTTTATTTTATAAAGAAAAAAATTGCTAATATTAAGTAATCTTATTTTTATTCTTTATTTTCGTTTTTATTTAATTTATTATTTTAAGAAAACTACGTTTTTAAATAGGTTAAAACTTTTTAAAATCGTACCTATTTTTATAGTAAGAATTCTACCTTTCTAACTATCTTCTTTTTTTATATAAAGAGGTTCTAAAAAAGAATACTAAAAATTAACGTTTTTAAGACTTAATTAATTTAAAAAAAAAGTTACGTAATCTTAATTATTATTTTATTTATATTATAAAGGATTAGGTAATAGACCTACTTTATTACCGTAAAAGAAATAAGTTAAGAGGCCGATATAAAATATAATTAATAGATTTATTAATAAATTATATAGTAAATTATTAATATAGTTTTAAAACCCTTTAAATCGTAAATAATTTCTTATATTACTAAGTAAAAAATCTGAAAAGTTTATATATTAATTTAATTAAGCTAATTAATTACGTAAGTAAATTTCCGATTTTTCCGATTTTTTTCTAGTTTTTTATAGTAATAAATCGTTTATATATAAACTTATATAAAATACCCGGCTCGCGAAGGGGTAGCTCGGTAGCCTATAACTTTATTCGTATATATATAAGCTACTACGAATATAATATAAAGCTATCGGGGACTTGCATCAAACATACATACCTCCTCCTATTAGGGGCGTATGTATAGACGATAAAACTAGGGCGTTCGACCGAAAAGTGGAGTTTTTTCCCAGTTGTAGCTATGCGACTCCGTACTTATCGATAACCCACGACACCTCGGGGCATCCGAGGACAGCCGGCTAGGCCAGCAAAGCTAAGTTCCCAGCTTGCAGGTACGCACCTAGGTATAAATTAGTTCGCGTACTGCGCTCCCTCTCAACGGCCTCTACAAGATTCATCTTAAGCCCCTAGAATGCTAAGACTTTCTTGCAGCTGTCTTCAATCTTTGACGGGCAGCGAAATACACCTCTTTACACCCAGAATTAATTAATTGGTTCTTCGCCAATGGATGAAGTGACTAGCAAAATCCTGCTGCTCGGGGACGAGCAAGTAGGGAAAACGACCTTCCTCTCGTTCGTAGCGCTCGAGTACCCTCAACCATCAGTGCTAATATGCCTCGTAGACGAATCAGCGGGGGCAGTAGCGCGCTCGAAGGCCACGCTTCCGTCACCCTGTTGCGCGATGAAGACCAGCCCTTTATTTTCGAGCTACGGAATCGGAGGCGCACCTATCGTCTCGAGTTCTACGACACGTCCTATCCGGGAGATTGGCGGCTGCTGCAGCCGGATCTCGTCTTGATATGCTACGACATCAGCCAGCGGCTAAGCCTCATCAACATGACTAGAACCGTGAGTTTCCAGAATCCCCGTCCTACCCATACCGACGTTGCCTGCCTTCTCATGTCTCTAATAACGCTGTCTGCTTCCTCTGCTTCTCCAGTGGATCAAGCAGGTCCATGCCACATTCCAAACGAGCGATGACCTCCCGGTCATCGTGGTCGGGTTCAAGAGGGACCTACGGCCCGAATCCGATCCCACCGGCACCATATACCCCGCCGAGGGGCATATGGTGGCGCAGGAGATGAGGGCCGATAAATACGTCGAGTGTTCGGCCGTCACCGGCGAGCTTCTGAAGCTCGCCTTCGAGGAAATCTGCAACACGGCGGCGAAGACAGCGACGGCCAACGGCGGGCAGAGCGACGGTGGATGCATTGCATCGTAAAGCCTCAAGATAAGCCTGGGGGGCGTGGCCTTTATCCGGCCGGGGGTGAGGACCCGCAGACATGGAGCACTGAGAGGGGGGGGTCCTTCTCCCTCTCCTTTCTTCCATTCTTTGCTTCGTAAAGGAGTCTTCATCGTCATTGGCCATTTTCCGTGGTTTGCAGGACGCCGCCGCCTTGACCGTCCTCCCCCCCTTCGACGGGGAATTGGCCGAGTATTTCGACGACGATATCGAGGATCTCCTGCTGTTGGTCGGCGTTGAAACGGTCCTCCATATCCTCGACGACGGTGTTAAGGACCGGGATGCTGGTGGGGCGGATGTTGAGGACCATGATGCACTCGCCCTTGGTGATCTCGTACGGGACCAGCCGCTTGACCAGAACGGCGATGGCTTTGGAATCGTAGGGCAAGGGCTTCTGGCTCAACGGGCCCGGGGGCGTCTCAAAGTATTGCAGAACCTGTGCGGAGGGTTGTCAACTGACGGGTTCCGTCGCCCGCGGGCGCTACATGTCGTATGGCTGCATCGTTTTACCTCTCTGCGGAGCGTCTCGAGGTTCCCCGGACCTCGACGCTTCTGTTCCTGGTACTGCTTCGCTTGGTTGGACAGAAATTCGTAGACTTCGACATTGGTCAAGACTGCCGACTGCGCCTCCAAGACCTTCATCCTTGCTGCTGCAGGCCTCGAGCCCGGGATTCCTCGATGCGCGAAGGCGTAGGCAGGCGAGTGCGATCAGACTTACTCGTCGCAGAGGGCCAGGACGACGGAATTTACGGTCGAGGGGCGGGTTGAGAGGTCGAAGCTTGCTCAGATAGGTCTCGATTGCCAGATATGTTACTGTCATCTGTATGCGTGCATATGCGTTTTGTTCTGCTTTCCTGGTCCCGAGCTGTCTACGAAGGGCACTACAGTGCCTGTGTGGTTGTGAGGAAGCATTTCCCAAAGGTAGTAGGTATGGACAGAATGAGAAGGAATTTGGGGATTAAATTTCTGCTGACGTAAACTAACCTCCGAGGGTGGATAGCCTTAGGTAAGCATATATGACGTATTTGCATGGTACCTGCCTGCCAAACACATCCTGCCCCACACCTGTAGGTTCAATTCGGTACATCCTTCCGATATATGTACCTAGGTATACCTATATACCTAGGTACCTCCAATCCCGCAACTCCCCCACCGCTAGGACACCGATATGTGCCGTGGGCGTCACCTTATTATTTCCGTGCCCCGCTGAATATATCCTCCCAAGATTTCAGCTCCGCCCGTTTGCTATCCGGATAGTTCTCCCAGGTTGCCGGTGTCCGGCCGGCAACCAGCCGCTCGGTTAGGGATGCCGGCGGGCTTCGTAGATAGGCGTCCAAGTTGTAGGATGCTGCCGGTTTCTGCTGTCGGCTTCCGCGCGAGCTGTTAGCACATAACTACCAAGGTCTCCGTCTCCTCGACGGGCGAGATGTAAACCAACTTACCTGCCATCGCTGGACACCGCGGCTGAAAAGGGTGGTCTCGACGACATTAGGTGGGCTTACGGGTTGAATGGGGCCCCGGCCGAGAGAGCATTCGTTCAGATATCGTTTTTTGCTTCGTATGGGAAATCGAGCATCTTCTAGCTTTTCCTCTCTCTCGAGAAGTGAGAAGTGACAGTCTATGTCTATCTACCCTTATCTATATACAACTCCCCTAGCTCCAGACAAAGATACATGTATACATATAGCGATAGCAGGGGGGTCTCGGGATTTACCTCGTTTACCTCGCCAGCCAACGCACCTTAGGCAGTCAATGACCATTTCAACGTGAGTCAAATCGTGCCTCGATGTATTGCAATCAGGACAATAGCCTAAGATGGAAAAGCCAAATTGACAGCACCGCACTTGAGACATGTTCTCCGGTCGCAAAAGCGCTCTCTAGCTAATGTGGCGCCGCCAGGGGATGCGATTGGCCGCGGTACGCCGCAGCGCAGGTATACGTAGGGGTTCCGGGACTCGGCCAAAGCACATTGGTGCCTAGCGGCAGCTCGCTTTCCAATCAGGAAGCACAAGTTGCGGTCCAGGATAAGAGAAGTACGTATAGGGAGCGCGCGAGGAGTCAGCGGGTTGTCTACTCATATATCCTTCGCCTCTGCGATCGGTGCGACGCGGGCGCATTACCTACCTACAATATCAGAACGAAGAGGCCTCCCGGGTGCCCGGGTAGAAAGTCACGAGCAAGCCTCGCTAAGAGGCTACTACCCCGGCTGCATGTTCTGGTCGTATACGAGTCACTAGGGGTTCCAGCCGACACAAATTCCGACAACTCTATAGACGCACCTGGCTAGGGTGACAAATCATTCGTCGACAGCGTCCAGGCAGAAAGGCCGGAGTCATTTCCAAATTATTGGAGGCCTGCCCGGAGTCTCTGCAACTGGCTCATTATGCCATAGAGCGGCTTGTTCTCCGCACCTCCTCCCCCATCAGAGCTGGCGGCGGGCTTCCGAGCACTGCTCTCCGAATCTGCCTTGCCGTCGCGGCGACTAGCCTGCTCCACCTCGCGCAACAGCTCCTTGTGCCTGTCTTCGACCATCTTGGCCAAGCTGTCGATGAACTTGGTCCTCCCCTTCTCCTCCGCCGTGCCCTTCCACACCTTGGACAGCTCTTTAAGCTCCTCGATGCGGTGCGCCGCCTTCTCGATGCCCGCGACCGGGTCGGCGCCCTTGGCGAGCAGGCCGGCGATCTCCTCCCGCAGCTGCCGCAGCACCTGCTGGCCCTTCTCCTCCGTGCTGTGCGCGTGCGCCCCGGGCTCCGGCGCCGAGACCGACAGGAACGACGAGCTGACTGAGAGCTCCGAGGGCGGGAACACGAACTCCATCGCGTCGCCGAATGTCTTGACGACCGAGTCCAGCCGCGCCCGCACCAGCGTCAGCGTCTGCAGCTGCCCGATATAAGGCGGGTCTTGGCTGTCACCGTCTCGCGGCGCCGGTTCCAAGCCTGGAGTGGTCGGGTCCGCGGGTGCAAGCCGCGGGGTCGGCGGGACCCCCCCGCTCGCCTTGCCCTCCATCGGCTCCGGCACGCCGCCCGGGACGAACAGTGCGATTTCCTTGTGCAGGCCGTCCGACAGGGCCTCCGAGAGACTTAGCGTCTCGCCGCGGAGGAGTTCGACCTCGTACGCGAGCCGGCTCCCGCTCCGCAGTATGTCGTCGGTCAGCTGGGTGAGGGTGCTGGTCAGTCGCACGGCGTGGGCGTTCAGCTGGGAGAGCTGGGTCTGGGCCTGGACCGACAGGTCCGCCAGGGGAGACGCGCCGTCGCGCTCCCTGGCTATCGAGGAGGCCGGCGTCGAGGTCTGGAGCGACGGCAGGGAGGCATTGAGGTATTCGGCGGGGTCGAAAGACGGGGCGAGGAAGCTCTGGAGGAACGGATCGGTGACGTGGGAGGACCTCGGCGGGCGCGGAGGGAGCTTCGATAGTTGTCTGGAGTGGGCGGGTAGCGGCCGGGTTGAGCTCACGGAGCTGTTATGGCGCCGCCTGGAGACAGACTTGGAGTCCCAGGACATATTTCAAGAGGGGGGAGGCGAGCGGGCTCGTGAGGGGCGGCAAGTTCAGAGTAGAAGTAGAGGGATGCTGGGCTGTCCATTGTTGCTGTTCCTGACGGGTAAGATCACTGGATTTTAGTGGGTCCGATGATGCTCCTCAAAGTATGTATGTACATAGGTACCTCAGGTACTTGTGAGGTTACACAGGTTAGGTAGGTACCTAGCCTGCGTACCTTTGTTCGATCAATTAGGCGGGTGCTATCGGAATGCCGAAGAATTTAGATACCTTCACAATACTTCTAGGTACCCACATGAGATATAGAAACCCCATCTCAGCAGTTTCGCAAGGTACCTAAACCTAGTGGAGACGACCCTAGATCGTGTTGCGACAGATGACACCCCTTTAACCTACCCTACTTCTTACTACCTCCGCCTCATACCACTTCGATGCTGGCCCCCCCCAGAGTTTACGTAGGTATACTCACAGTATTAGCCCCCGTGCGCCTACTGAGGTGCCTAAGTAAGTATCGATTAAGATGCAAAATGACGCCTAGTCTACTGCGCCTGCGTTAGCTGGCTCCGTAATAAGAGGACTAGGTACCTACCTACCTAGGTACATACCTACCTCTAGTAAATTGCGGCTCTGCCTACGACAACGGTATAAGATGTAGTTGCACAGCTAAGCGCCTTAGGCCGGTGCCCCGTCGACACAGGCCGCTACCTATAGGCAGGGTTGCAAAAAAAAAAGGTTTATGTTAAGTTCAGGTCGAACTTAACTTGAGCATTCTCAACCCTGCCTATAGGTAGAGGATGGGCACTTACCAGGCCCAGCCAACCCCCCTACCTTGGTTAGCTACACGTACTTAGGTGGGAGGTTAGCTACTCTAGGTTAAGTTGGGTCTGTGGTCAATACTGCAAGCAAGCTATAAGACCGATGAGCATCGACATCGAGCCACTTCTAGTAATGAAACAAACACGTAGGTGTCTGCGCAAGCAGGCGCCCGTCCAGGTTGCCCTAGTGAGGCACCTAGCCCATTAACCTTTAGGTCTCGTCATGTCGGTCTACTCCTGTTAAAGAGGTATCCAGGCTCCTCGGTACCTACGGGCGTATACGTACCCGGGACAGGTTAAGTACCTGTCTATACCTTTTACAGGTAAATATAGGTAGCCAAGAGTCGTAATTCTCTGTAGCCTTGAAAGGCTGTTCTCTTCCTTATGTATCTATCTCCGTAGCGACAGCATCGGTAGAGGTAGGTATACATCAGGAACGAAGTGCTCGAGCTCTTTCTCGGTCTTACGCGTTTGTCTTCTCTGCCTGTTTTAGTTTAAGCCTTATCTTTATTGTGTAAATGCCATCTGCCTATGATAAGCTCTAGATATAGAACCTCGCCAGTAGCTCGTCTCCCCCCCTCCCAAAGTTTCATCCCGCATCTTCCTCCGGCTCCAACCAACTACAATACACCCAGACCAGCTATCATATACGAAACCATAAAACTTAACCCGCTACTTATTCCCTCTCTGCCGCCCCTAGCATCCCTCAAGTCCTGTACGGCCCGCGGTGTCGACAAGCCCAGCACACGTAGATGTAGTGGGCACACAATATTCCACCCGTTCTCATCACGCATTTAAGTGAGTCTCCATTCCTCCAGGCCATTCGCGGCAGACAATCATCAACCTGCCAGAGCGCCATACCACCGTCGGACAGCCCGATCTTTCGGGAAATTGCCATGCCACCTTCCACGGCACGATCACGATTCCGAGCCGACCTGAACTCGGCAACGGAGAAGCACATCGAAAACGTAGTCGATATCAAGAAGGGCGACGTCGATGACGAGATCACCTTCAAATTTTCTCACCCGCATCTCGCTGGCTCCCCCATCGAGATAAGCGTCCAAGCACAAGGTATGTGTTTTTCCTTCTTTTTAGTTGTCCCTCTTACGCGTGTTTTGGTCAGGTATGTTAACTGTCGACTTTTTACAGAAGTAGGAGGCTATCCGCACAAACATATCTTCCTCCCCTATACCAGCAGCGATGTCCCACCGGCATTCGGGAAAATCCTATCGGAATCCATGTTTGAGACCCAAGGTATGGATGTCGAGCACATGCTCACCCACCTCTCTCAGACGCTGCGAGCCGGCTTGGAAAATGCCACGTCTACGCCCGTCGGTGAGACTAACATCGTCGACCTTGATACACAAAACCCTGGCGACGACGAGGGCGAGGACGAGGACGACGATTTATTTCCCACAAGCGGTGATGACGAGGGCGGAGACTGGGACGAGTGGTCTGCACCGCAATCCGCTGGCCAAAAAAGTGAGCTTAACGAGCGAATGCGTCGTGATCTGCTTGCGGTGTACCGGGCCGGATTTCATCCGGGAAGGGTATACCACGATTCCCAAGGAGGCGAAACCATCTCCATCTCGATGCGGGTAAAAAAGTTATCCCTTTCCAAGGAGACCCTGGAGGCGTGGGACCTGGCCGCATCGGATTACATCGTTCTGCTTATTCGCTATAAACTACAGTATGCCCCTTTCGAGGTAGTTCTACAACAGCCGGTCGGACTTCTCTACATCGACTTCTGCGTCCGAAAATGTCCCAACAAGAAGCCCTCGCAGGAACAAGCTACTGCAGCCTTCGGGGACACTTCCGCGGTCGTAGGCAGCAGTCTAGGATTGTCGCCACTTTGGATTAGCAAGTCTATCGAAGGGTTCATGAACAACGAGTTCGCATCGCTGTTGAAACTCAGGCACAGACACCGTGTTTCTTGGGACTCGGCAAAGGAGATGATGCACCTCCGATTAGGGGCCGTCCCGGAATCGAACACGCTTCCGCCTGGCGGAAGCCCCCAGCCGAAAGACACCCGACGAGCGAATGGGAAGAAGGCTAAGGTGCCTTCTTTTCTCGCCGAGGATCATCTGCTGAGCAACGGAGAGATCTCCTTACCCCTGGTTGCCGCCCAATTTGCCCTACACTACCTCGTCCGGTGTACCGATTACTGCACAGTGTGCCATCGGAAGGTCGAGGGCAACTTCGAGGCTTTGAGGCCGTACGTCTGCGGTGGACTGCTTTGCCTGCACCAATATTTGAATCTCGGCTTTGGTCCAAGCATAGAGTACGAAATCGTTAACCAACCTTACGTCGTCGACCTGTTGGTTAGCTTCTGCTACGCCAGCCTGTATTGCCACTCCCTAGCCGACAAGAAATGCATGCGAGAATTTCCCCAGGGGTTGAGCCTTCAAGTGCCCAAGATTGCCCTGGCTGCGAGTTCGTGGCTCCGTTCCGGTCGTAATAAGATCACCTCCAATGATTGTACCCTTATTGACCCCGTGGACATACTTTTCAATTGGGGCACCTCCACCGCCAACATCGGACCGCGGGATGTTGATCTACAAACCGGCCAATGGGTTGTTATAGCAACGGAACAATCTGCGCCGGATTCCAAGCAGGCCGAGTCCGAGAAGCGGGTTGTGCTTCACCATGCCCGCATCAATTCAAGGGATGGTACAACGCTCTGGCTTCACCTCGTTTCTCATTACTCAGTATCTGACCATAAGATGCTGAACGATATACCCAAAGAGGGCCAGATATCGGCTCAGCTGGTGCTCTACGACGACATGGGAAGTTTGGGCAGGGAACGAGATCAGGCCTTCTCGATGCTGCTCTTGCTCACGGCTCTGCCACCGATTTCCCAGATGAGAGGCTTGCTCATGCACAAGACATTAAATTCGCTGGCTGCGTCGGATCAAATCCCACCTAGCGCCGTCGACCTCCTAAGGTGGATCGTAGCGTCGAATAGGTCGTATATCGTGCAGGTAGACGAACTTTCCGGCGCCGATGGCCCTGCAGGCGGAAAACCGTCACGGCGGCACGAGAGGATTTTCGGCGTGGAGGGCTGGATCCAATTTCGATTCGCTCAGGGATCTCCAGAGAAGGAAAGCCTCTTCAACGATGTCCTAAGCACGGTCGATAAGCCACACAAATCTATCGTTGCGTGGCATGGGAGTCCGCTAGAGAATTGGCACAGCATCATACGCCAGGGCTTGAATTACGATGTCTCATTGCACGGCCGCGCCTTTGGTGACGGAATCTACTTCAGCAGGTCGTTCGATTACAGTCTCTATTACAGTAAAAATCCGGAAGCGAACCAATCGGCGCCCCAGGAAATGATGTGGCCTGGGTCCGAGTTAAAGGTCTGCAGTGCGATAAGCTTGAACGAGCTCGTGAACTTGCCCGAACGATTCACCGCCAGGACACCATGTTATGTGGTGCAGTGTTGCCATTGGACTCAATGTAGGTATCTCTTCGTTAGGCCCGCACCACTTGTAGAAGAAGACGGCGGGAGGCCCCGAACCCAACTCCTTAGTAAGACGCGACCGGCGCGCGATTACGAATCCTTCATCCAAGATCCGTCGTGCAACGCGAGCGGGCCGGCCAAAAGTGGAACAACACTGTCTATTCCCCTGGTTGCGATCTCTTGGGCGCAAAGCAAACGCGAGAAGTCGAAGAGGTTGTCGGGAAAGGAGCCAGAGATGGAGAGCAGTGACGAAGACGAGGAGGATAGAAAGTTCTTCCTCGCCGAAGACACAGACTGCCAGGATGTGTCGACAGATAAAACCGACTTCCGCCCAGGTACCTTGGACTTGTCTAGCCTCCCGCAGTTGCCCCTCCCATCCTACGCGACCGAGCTTGCTCAAAGGGCCCTCGGACCGGAGATCAAGCGACTGGAGAAGATCCAATCTACGACGCCGCTCCACGAGCTCGGCTGGTACATCGACTTTGGGAACATGAACAACATGTTCCAGTGGATTGTCGAGCTGCACTCCTTCGACCCGGGCCTCCCGCTCGCCCAGGACATGAAGAGCGCCGGCCTTACCAGCATCGTCCTGGAGTTCCGCTTCCTGCGCAGCTACCCCATGTCGCCTCCGTTCGTGCGCGTGATCCGTCCTCGATTCCTCTCTTTCATGAACGGCGGGGGCGGCCACGTCACGAGCGGAGGGGCCATGTGCATGGAGCTCCTCACCAACTCGGGCTGGTCCCCGGCCAACAGTCTCGAGGCTGTGCTCCTGCAGGTGCGCATGGCGATCTGCAACACGGTCCCTCAGCCGGCGCGCCTCCAACGCGTGAGCAGACCCAACCCGGGCGATTACTCCATCGCGGAGGCGATTAGTGCCTACACCCGCGCCGCCAGACTACACGGGTGGGAGGTCCCCCAGGATTTGCGAGATGCCGAGCAGTAATGGTGGGAAACTAACATTCCCCCGACCGCGTCGTCTGAGCTTGAATTGGGCGCGAAATACCTAGGTAGCTGTGACGAGACGGCGGGCTTGGCTGGATTCTGTGTGGTCTTGAGTTGTTGGTGGGTGTCTGTCGTTTTCATATCTTCGCACCGAACGGAACGAACTCGCTTCCCGGAGAGTTCTGCAGATAAAAAGAGAGCCTTCTGGCGGCTCGAGCCCGTTACCGGAGGTGTAGGTAGTTGTATAGGCCATGTACCTAGTTATACCTAGTAGGTAATCATAGGTAGGTAAGATTATGGAATGGATTCCGAAACACAATGGTCCTTGGGCCTACGACCTCAGCATCGGTGTGATATCAAAGTGGTCTTCGGACAATATATTTAGAACCTGGCTGTCCCTCGTGTCCTCGTTTTCTGGGGTTTGGTGCGTCTGGTTACCTAATACCTAGTCGAAGCAGGCGGGTATCGATCGCGAGGTCGTTTAATCAACGCCCCACTCTCCATTCCACTTCTGGCAGGGCGATAAGTATGGCGTTGAAGGAGTATAGGACCATCTACAAAGAGATCTCAGGGAGAATATATATCCATTCAGAAAGGCCGTGCCTGTAAACGATGACGTTTAACGCAGGTGTCACGTCTCAAGGCGGCTCCTCGCACGGTGGGTCTGCAAAATGGCCAGGGGCAAGGGGTCTTGCTTACTTCAGCAGCATGGAGGTGGTACCTTGGTAAGTATACCTACCTAGGTATATAGGGGTATTATTAGCAGCGCTATGGACTCACTTACTTCCAACAGGCAGTTCCGCAGCCAACTTCTCTACCAGCCAACTGGTGGCATGATTAGATACCTCAGGTACCCAAGACACTGAATTAGGAGGTACCTAGGTACCTACCTATCTACGAGTGTATGAGAGGATGTACCTCACTTAGGACCAGAAGTACCTGCCTAACAGGCATGTCGACCACAATATTCACTGTTAAGCTCCATGCCATCATCCCCCCCCTCCGTAACGACGACGTCCACCCCAGACCTAGGCCAACATATCCTGGCGACTCACCCCCAGCACAACCTCGCCGTCTCAGCCTCTACCGATGTCGCCACGAGCTGGGGCATACTTTGGCAATACTCAGGGAATACCCTGGCTAAACTCTGGGGAAACCCACCTCCTCCTCCCTCCCCCCAGCCTGAACAACCTCCCGGATTCGTCATGTTCTGTGAGTGGTATTGGTCCGGGACATCTTCGGGAGGCGGGACGGGCGGACGTATGCCAAGTCGGGACGGCGGTCTGCGCTACGATGCATATGCAGATGCGATGCAGGGCGACGGCCTCGATCGACCCCGTCTCTCCATCCATCCGGCCCGTCGGTCCCATCCAACGCCATCTTACACGTCCCTGCGAGCCCATGCGCTCGTGATCTCGAGCTGCGTCTTGCGCGCTCTGGCGAGCTCGTGATCGAGCCGTTGGGGAAGATGGTGTGCTCGACGACCTCGCTCTTCGGAGCGTCGACCCGCGTTGAAACCCTACCTCGACCTGCACGCCTCTCGCCGCGGCGAGGATGGGGTGCTGCGGTCGAACTCTGTCGTGCCAGCGACGACCACAAGCAACGTGTTGAGCGCCGCGTCTATATAAAGCTACGTCCGACGTCCAAGTCGAAGGCAGGCCCACCTAGATTCCTCTCGCACACAAAGCGCTCACCCTCGACAGCTTTAGCCATCGCACCTAGACAGCCTCTACCTACTCGCGCTCTCGCACCCACCCACCCACCAGGTATCTCAGCTCCACCAGCCACCATGACCATCCCAGCCGAAGACATCTCCCCCGCGCCTGACCCCGTGCCCCGCGGGCCCGTGACCGCGACGCTCAACTTCGCCTCGCGCCCGGCGCCCGGCGTCAAGGTGGTGAACCACGTGGACGGGGGGCCGCGGAACCTGGGCGTGGACGCGCGGGCGGTCCTCATCGCCGACATCCGCGGGCGCGAGGCCGCCTTCACGCTCGACCGCGACGGGTTCGAGCTGGTGTCGGGGCTCGCGCCGTCGCTCGAGGACTCGGCCCCGGGGAGCGGCTTCGCCGACGACGCGTCGGTCCGGCGGCTGTACTACCCGGAGGTGGCGCGGCTGCTGCTGCGGCGCGTCCCCGGCAGCACCCGCGTGCTGATCTTCGACCACACCGTGCGGCGCGCCGACGCCGCCGCCCCGCGCCGCCCCGTCTTCGAGGTGCACGTGGACCAGACGGCCGCCGGCGCCGCGCGCCGCGCGCGGTTCCACCTGTCGTCGCCGCCGTCGGCCGCCTCCTTCTCCTTCCCCCCCGGCGCCCCCGACCCCGACCTCCGCCGGTGCCGCTACCGCATCGTCAACGTCTGGCGCCCCCTGACCCGCGGGCCCGTCGCCGAGCGCCCGCTCGCCTTCGCGTCCGGCGCCTCCGTCGACGACGCCCGCGACCTCATCCCCGTCGAGCACCGCTACCCGCTCGCCGCCACCGCCGCCGCCGCCGCCCCCATCGCCACCCCTCCCGGCTACGTCGGCGAGACCGCCGCCGTCGCCTACCACCCCACCCAACGCTGGTACTACGCCAGCGGCGTCCGCCCCGACGAGCGCCTCCTCCTCGAGTGCTTCGACAGCGCCGCCCTCGCCCCCGACGCCGCCGTGCCCAGCCGCGGGCGCACCCCGCACACCGCCTTCGAGGACCCCAGGACCCCCCCCGACGCCGAGCCGCGCGAGAGCATCGAGGTTCGCGCCCTCGTCTTCGGGCCCTAGACGCGCCCGAGGCTCCGCGTCCCCGCTACCGCTCTACTGCGGCCGGCACAGGTGCGCGTCGACGGGAATATCTACGTGTCACATCGTAGCGCAGCATAGTTCAGAGTAGATTGTATCGAATGAAGAGCTCGCAATATGGGCGTTTGTCATCTATTTACATGTGTGCCAAACCGCTCGTCTGGTGTAACCTAACGTGGTGCTTTTCCTTCGTTCTCCTTCGCTGTGTCCCCGCCGGGAATAATCATCGTCAAACCGCTAGTGAACGCCCGCCTATCCCTGTGGCCCTAGTCCTCACGTCGTGATCGACTAGGGATGCATGCATGCATGTTGTTATGTACTTATGCGCGCGGCGTCGACCTCGACGACCGCACACATCCAAGAGAAGGCTCCATCATATACTCTCCTCTCGCCTCCCCCGGTCAACGCCCGAATCGATCCGATCCAAATACTCGCGATCACTTGCGCTTGCCTCGGGCGCTACCCGATCGACTCATCGCAGCGCCTCCGAGACTGCTCTGTCTGCTCATCGGCACGCCGGCCGGAGACTCCTTAGCGCCTACTGCCGGAGAGCCCTTGGCCGGCACGGCGGCGGGAGAGTCCTTCGCAGCCGCCGCGCTCTCGGGAGCAGGCGGCTCAGCGTTGGGTGGCTCCTCCCTCAGATCGCTCTCTTGGATGCCCAGGGATTCTGTCAGATTCTCGAACGGGGGTCGCGGACCCTGGGTATAAGCCACGTATTTGCTCTCGTGGAGCGGCGGCGCAAAAGCCTCGAGCAACTTGCGACCCGGGTTGTTCACGTCGAGGTTGGCGCCGACACCGTGTCGGGCCTGAAAAGTCTTGAACAACTTCATCACTGCAAGATCCCTGTCTCTATCAGCGTCGTGAGCAGGAGGAGGTGCATTAGACTCCTCCCTCCTATATGCCTTCGAATACTGCGAGTGAATGAGCGGAGGAAGCTTCGGCTCATAACCCGAGACTTTGTCGAGGTTGCCTGGAAAATCAAAACTAGCCAGGGCTTCGATTCCCAGCACTTGATCATCATAGTAGTTCTGTTGGCCATGTCCACCTCGGGTGCTTCGCGTAGCGTGAGAGGGCTGTCGCTCCATAGTAACCGCAGACTGGCCTTCGTCGTCGTCATTTACATCACCGTTACCAACGACACTCTCGTCGGGCGAAGGAAGGATGTTTCCGTTCGTGTCGCGGCGTGTCAGCAGATGCTTATAGGCAGCCAGAGCTGCGGCGTTGTACGTCATGGCGAGTTCCCTATCCGTAAAGAGCTTCTCGATGCTGTATACTGGTCCTGTCTCCTTCCGTAGACCCCTTACCCTCTCGCTAGACCAGAACGGGGTGGTATTAGAGCTGTCCAAAGCCCCTCGCTTGGGAGCAGGCGACCCGTCTTCGTCTGCTCCGTTCCTCTTTCTCTTCTTGCTATCGGAGAAGCCTGGAAGTTCCTCCATCTCTCGTCGCAATCGGGTGTTTCGTTTTCCGTGCGTTCCGCCAGGGCTCGAGGGGTTGGTCAGACTGAATTGGCTCGGGTGCAGGAGCAAGGCGGAGCTGTCGGAGATTTCGAGCGCTTCCTTCTCCTTGCCTAATCGGTACTTCTTGGAGCTGATGGCGTTGATAAGGCGGTCTCGCAGGGTGTTGGAAAGGGTCTTGTGTTCGCGCTTAGCTAGTTCTACCTTGTAGGCGCGGGTCTTGTGGTGCTCTCGGAGTTTTCTCTCATACTCGATCTGAGGGAAATTAGCAGACGATCCCACGCACCGCGTAACAAGGACGAATTAAGCGGGAACACACCTTCTGGCAAGTCATCTCGTAGTCGCGATGTTCGACTAGGTCCTCGATCTGGTGAACCCATTCGGAGAAGGTTGGGCCTGCCATTTCAAGCAGACTGCGCTTCGGGCTACCGTTCCCACTGGCACTTGCGGCATGCTGGGCATTCGCGGTCTGTTGGATGTCGCGATACTCGCGGTCGATTGCGTCCAGTGGCCGCTCGGCATAGGGATTGACCCGGCCAACGAGATTCACGTCGATCTGGATCTTGTGGAGCTCATCGCGGTAGTGCTTGTCCTTGTCGCGACTGAACTTGTCTGCTAGGATGGCTAGGCGGTCGTTCACCACCTGGCGCTTCTTGTCGCGCTTCGAGGGGGCAGGAGGGGAGGCACGGCCACCTTTACTGGAGATAGCCGCCAGAGCCGACGACTGGGCAGAGTCGGCGGCGGCCATAGGGACAGGCAGGAAATGTGCGAGACTTAGTAAATGGAATTTCTGTCTGCCGGGAGCGCTGGAAATTTCTACCGGCCAAACCCAAGCAAGAAAAGAGGATGGAGAAGGAGCAGAAGAACGTCGACAGCAGGGGTCGGGCAGAGTTGGGTAGGTGGATGGTTGGCTGAGAGGGTGCGCAGTGATCGGAGAGAGAAATGTAAAAATAATACCCAGGTCGCGGGCGTGGCAGATGGCGCCTTACACAGCGGCGTCTACTTCGCTTCTCCCCCGTGTGTTCAGGCCGAAGACGAAGCACGGGGCATTCAGACGGAAGGGGGAAGGGTTAAGGAAGAGAGGTAAGAGGTGAGAAGATGCCGAGGGAGGAATTGCGGGCAGTCAATGGGTTATGGTGTGGTGTGTGGTGTGGTGTATGTTGTGCGGGTGTAGGTGAAGCTGAGAGAAGCGGAATAAAGCCGACAAATGTCAGGTAGGCAGGCTACGGGCAAGTTACAGGAGGTACTTGTCTCAGCTCCAACCACCATGTACCTGGATACATAGGTACCTAACCCAGGTAGTATAGTGCTACAACAAAGCCCGCCCTACGCCTTCTGTGGTCTCCGAAAACCCACTGTTGATCATTTGAGCTTCCGCTGTAGAGGGCTAGCACACGCCGCGAGAGAGGTACTGTGTACGTATCGAGGTTCGTCTGCGCGTAAAATCAGGATGTACCTAGGTAGGTACTTAGGTAGGTATCAGGTAGGTGGGTACGTCTGGAGGCTGTAGGTAGGTACCATGTACCTCGCGTAACACCACATCGTGCAGGCGGTGGTGCAGGTACACAGTAGTGCAGGAGGTAGGTACCTACTTACCTCTTACCTCACCTCCTAGCATTAAGTACTTAACCTTAGGCAGGTAGGTAGGTACATCCTAGTAACCCTTCCTCAATCAGGAGCAGATGCCGCTGAAACGAAATAATAGGTAATAAATCGAACACGAATCTCTTATCCCCTAAAGCCCTCTGTGGTGATGGTCAACCCATAGGCAAAGGGAGCGTGCCCTTATCGTCGATAACCCAGAGTTGCCCATTTACGTGGGCAAGTCTGGGCAGGTCTCGCAACTAGGTAACTCAGACATGGGTGTAAATAATTGTCTCTCAAGTGGGCCTTTGACCCAAGATCCATTCCAATGTGTGCTCACGACTCGAAGGGTTTCCCAAACCCGCTGTGTTCTCCCTCTACTCATTTACATATGCAGGCACATTCCCCCTCTTTCCATCTTAATCCCGAAGCCTTCCCCCGCCCCCCGTTTTGGCATCCCACACGTCTTGAGATGACATTCGAAGCTGATCGACATGATCAACGAGCTCTAGGGATCAACCGTTTTCGCTATAAGACCACAATCTAAACCCAGAGGGCAGCCAACAGCTGAGAAAGCTTCCAACCTAAGCGCAGAGCCATCTCCCAGCCTTATTATTATCTCCCACATCTCGGAGCCTTCGTCGGAACGCTTATCTCCCGCTCTCGCAGCATACGGTCTACCCCCAGCTAGCATCTAACTGCCTACGTATGCATCATGCATGCCTACCCGTTGCGTGACGCACCTAGCAGTAGGCGGCAAGCTACGCCTCCATACGCTCGCAGCTAAGTATATTCATAAAGCTTGCGGACGCTTCGGTTCCTGACTTTCCGAGATCTTGTTACCTTTTAGTCTATACCTACCTACCCATATGCTTGTCCTCGAAGTTGTCCCCAGCGCGGTAGAGAGTATTGTCGCTGTGCGGTCAACGGGACACGGGAGAAAGTGCCCTGCTCCGTTATCGAATCTCTGCGCCACTGTTACAGTCTCTTGGAAACATCATCTTCCCTAGCACGTAAAAAAAAAAACTCGCTGTTCTGATTCTTGCTGTCGGGTGCCCCGCCTGAGTACTCGACGTAATCCCTAACCGACTTGGTAAGAAACGACGATATAAACCAGCTGTCTACGAGCGAGTGGGTGCCATTAGAAGATAACATACGTTCGTGCTTGCCCTCTTCTGTCGTCCTAGTCTTGACTAGTGTTGGAAACTCGGCTTGCGCCTAGACATAAGACGTCGGATTAGGCTCATGATCATTGCGCATATAATCAAGACAAACGTCCCCAGTTGTGGAGATGTAAAGCCTCTCCGAGAGTCACAATGCTCATGCACTCTTTTGCATTGATATAGGTTACCTAATATCTATTAGTATTAGAGGTAGGCAGGGCCTTGCAGTTTCGCTCTAGCGCTATCGGTCTCGGATCGGTAACTTCTCGACAGCTTCCTCCTTCTATTTGCGCATCTTACACATTACTCCGCTCAATATCTGTTATGTCCTCTGGACAAGTAATTTAGTTTCAGCCAGTTGCAGCAGAAAGCGCACATGGTTCTCGCTAGATCTTGAACAGGTTACATTCTACTAGGAATCGTATGGATTCCTTACGTACTTGCTCTAATAGCTATATATCGTTTAAAGTAACTCTGTGGGGGATGATCATTGTTGGAACACTTTCTGCGCTGGACGTCCGGGACTGGCTTCCGAGTGCTGGATACATTTCGTTTCGGCAGCCAGCAATGCGATATACCTATCCTTAAAATAAGAAACGAACCAAGTGCTCGTGACAGCAGAGGGTAGAGGGAGGATGAGAAGGAGAAAAAAGTTAAGAGCAGAGCCTCTCCGGGAAAGTCTCGATCTTTCAACCTCCTGATTAACAGTCAGACGCGCTAACCAATTGCGCCACCGGAGACGTGGTAGGAAGCACATTGACTACGAACACTTATATATAGGTATTCACTTGGCGCATGCAACGGTCAAGCCACGTAGGGACAGCATGAGGCTGTGAGAATTATGGACCTCACTCATTTATGAGTATGCCCACTTTGATCTCTCTGGTGGTCCAAGCTTCTTAACTGCCCCCTCTTGCTGATTACTACATTATGTACCTAAGTATCGATTCTGCGGGTACTGAGATGATGGATTTGTTTATTATTTATCGGGTTCTGGAGTCGAGCGGTAACGCCCTTGCATGCACCTGTCCATCCACCCAATCGCAGCCGGCACATACGACCGAACGCAACATCACCCAAATCTCAATGCGCTGCCGACCGCACGCCTATCTCCTGGCCCTCTGGTAGATGTGGGAGCTTATACCGGCAACACTGGAGCCGTCGCTTCTCGCCGTCGCTGGTATTATGGACATTCACTCGCTCGCGACGTCACCATAGGTTAGCCATGTCTGACGGCTCGTCTCCCGATCCGCTGGGCGACGAACCCCCGAGCTCTGCGCGTCCCCATACGCTACGCACCGCGAGGAATACCTACCCGATCGAGGATCCCTCGACAATCTCCATCTCGCGACATAGCATCACGCCGAGGAGGACCTCTCCGATCAAAAGGTCGCCTAGAAAGCGTATCTTCGAACTCGATGTCGGCAATGATCTCTCGCCGCGTAAGCTCCTCGTTACCGTCGAGGCCGAAGAGGCTCTGAAGCGGGGACTCAACCGGGCCCTCAACCGCAGGCTCTTCCAGTCATCCTCTCCTATACGAGGCGACCACCGCAGAGAGGCTGCCACGACCACAACCGTGCCGTTGAATGACGAACTAGTAGATGGCGAGACACCGCGACCGCGGGGCCGACCGCGCCGCATAAGCAACGGTACTCCCATGCCGAGAGGCAAGAAGAGGGCTGGAACACCTTTGCAAAAGCCTGCTCGAGCAACGCGCCCACGAAGCGACCCGGAATCCGAAGCTGGCTTATTAGGCGATGAGTCAATCACGGCGGACGCGGGAGTTACACCCAAACCGAGGCCGAAGCCTCGAAGGACACCTAAGAATGCATCTTCCAAGACACAAGCTGTGCCATCGTCGCAGCCGTCGACCAACGAGCCGAAGAGAAAGCGCGGCCGCCCGCGGAAGACACCAGTCTCGGAAGAGATCTCTACACCTGCAGATACGGATAACAAATCTAGGAGTCGTGCGGCTAACACAATCCAAGGAAACTTAAGGCAGCTGCCATCTTCCGCCCCAGTACCGACGTCGGATGTTATAGACGACGCCGATGCTCAGCAAGAGATGCTTGACGACTACGAGGAAACCCCTATGGCTTCTACGAGACCGAGAGGCAGGGCACCTATATCGGCGAACACATCCGACTCACATGACCCGGATCTCAAGCGACGAGAACTAGGATCGCCTCACCTGGAAGAGCGCACAGACGATATCGAGGACGATGTGAGCGATAACTACCCAGCGATGGAGCCCCGTAGCGACTCGGAATCCAACCTAGAGGATATAGACGATATCCCCCGCAGCGGACAGGACACTCTTGCACACGCCTCTGACTTCAGCATGATAGCTGTAGAATCTCTTCCCTCCTTTCAAGCGTCGTTCCAAGCGAACACGAACGGTATTCCTTCAGACCCCCCGGAGATGGGCGAAGAAACAAACATGATAATCAACCAAACTCTCGAATCCTGGCGAAAAAGCACTCAATCGGAAGATGCCCACCCATCGCCGGCACGGCCGAGAGCGGATATCCCGATGGCAGGCGACAACGAGGCCAGCATGTCAAATGGCTCGCTAGGAGAAGTCAGTAAGGGCCAGCAAGGAAGACAAAAGCCTCTTCCGCTCAACCGGCAAATTTTCGCTGTCAAAGTGCCCCATATGGATGACTCCTTCTCCAGCATTCCGGATAGTATTCTCGAAGCAGCAACCCCCGGACGGTTGCCCACGAAGCCGGCCTCCGTTGCCCCGGCACATGGAAGCCCGGGTGTGTACGATGATTCATTTTCTAAGATATCCGAAGCCCTTCTCGCAGCTGCTACCCCAAAGCCAGCAACTCGTACGGCCGATCCAGCGGAGGAGGTAGATGTCCCCGCTTCTCAGGGTCAAAGCAGTTCGGTTAATAGGAGCGTGGGATCCAATTTCGGGTCGAGCAGACTGCCCACCCCAGCAGATACGTCGTCTTCGAATGCCGGCTCTAAGAGGGGACAAAGTGATAGTGTAGATACGCTGGCGGAGGCTGAAGCCGAAGCTGGCCCTTCTTCTAACGCAGGCATTCGATCTTCGCCACCCGTTATAAACCGGCCACGCGCGATGAACCCAGTGCCTTCACAATTAAGCCAAGAGGCGAACAATACGCCAGGGTTACAGCAGTCTTCTCCTCAACTACCTCCTTCTAGCAGAGCGCCCTCAGAGCCGCCCAAGTCCTTGGAACCCCCCTTGGGTCACAGACCATCCCTATCGCCTATTGTACGGGTCGGACGAACTCTCCAGAATGTAATGTCAGACAGATCCTCCCCCGAGGGCCGCGAAAGCAGCCTTGGCAGTCCTTTCAGAGGGTCTACCGGTAATGATCATATTGGACAGTCGTCAACGGCAGGCTTGCTAGCCCGACCCAACCCTAACATCACTGCCCAGTCTAGTGCCCGATTTCCGTTTAACTTAAACTCAACTCTCGCTCAACAAGCACCACCCAGCTTCTCTCAAGGCGGCCGACTGCCTCATGGCATGGTCATCGGCAGCTTCGAGGATCCGTTTGGTCCGGATCGGCCGGATTACTCAGAGACCGAGGCATTGAAGAAATCTGCATATGGCACCAACAACGACCGGTCTCAGCGTGATCACTCTGCTGCCGCCCCGTCGGTAACCAGTTCAACTAGAGCGCTTCCAAGTGAAGATGATCAGAGTTGGGTCGCAGATAGCGAAAACCGTCAACAAGGACCAAACCAGCAGCCAGACTTACGACCCGTAGGTCCGCAAAACTCCAGAGATTTTGCCTCCCGGTTCTTTAATGAGAGCCAAGGAGCGGCTATGGATACAGACACCCTCGAACCTAGGGGGATGGTCGAGAAACGGCTAGAAGGGGACGAAGATAACGGCGCAGTTCGAGAATACGAAGCGGAAGAAGATGATATATGGGATTTTGAGGCATCGCGTCCAAGTCCCGAGAAACCGGAGCCGGCAAAAGCTACACCCCAGCCGGATGGCTTGTCCGCCCGGCGAAGTAAGATCCCAAGCCCCTGGAGGAGGACCAGCAGGCGACTAATCTACCAAGACAAAATTGCGAGTCCTTCTCAAATAGAGATTGAGGAGAGCGCACAGAGCGAGGTGGAGGACGTGGCAGCAGAGCTTCCCAGACGACGGTCCTTGAATTCCCAACCTAGGGCGAAGGAAAGGAAACCCGAGACACCGAAGGTCACCCAAAGCCTACCCCATCCGCTTAAACCACGAGTCGAACTACGAGATGAACCGCAAGCTATACCACAAGAGAAGCCGCGAGATGAACCGGAAGACCATCCACAAGGTGAACTAGACGACCAACCGCAACACGAACCAGACGACCCATACGACCACCCGCAAGATGACCCCTACTACGAGTCGCATGATGAGCTGGAAGGCGAACTACATGTTGATTCTGGCACTAAAGCAAGGGCAGAGCCGCAGCAGCAAATTACGAGTCCAGAGATAGAAGCGCGGGGAAGGGCAACAGTGCCGGTAGACGCCTCCGAGTATTCGATATTGGCCCAGAGAACCGACGATGCCCCAACTACCCAGCAGAAGCCTCCGCCCACCAAGTCTCGCCTTTTCGGCGGATTCGATATCATGAGCTTCTTCTCATCACCGGCAGCGTTGCCCCAGAAGAACCCTCGGCCCGAGCCAGCGGATACAACCCGCAGGGCAGAGAGGGCTCCTCAACCTGCGCTTGGAAGACTGCCGCCGCCTAGGGAACCACAGCGATCACTATGGTCCACAGGGCTTTTCTCCTCGATTCCGCAGAAGGAATTTCAACCAAGTCTGGATCGACGGGTTGATCTGCCCTCACCTGCTGGCGCCTTGCCTTCGGACAACACAGTTCCCGATACCTACGAAGCGCCTTCTCCCTCGCCCCCCCCCTCACCGTCACCAGCACCATCACACTCGCCTGAGCCTGAATCTCCAGTGTCACCCCAGTCCTCGACTCCCGAGTCGCAAATGTATCCGCCCATCGCGCAGAAGCGGAATTTTACACCGCGCCCTGGTCAATCTGGCTCGTCGCTATTCCAAACGGGCCCGCCGTCCGCCAACAGGAGTGAAGCAGATGATAGCTCTCTTCAAGTACCAAGCGATGATATGGAATCTTCCCGCATGACGGATGACACAGACTACGAGCGCCTCCCGCCGAGGGAAAAGCCTTCGCGGTGGGATAGGACGCTCTCACCTTCCAAGTCGTGTTTCCGTTCCCCGATGAAGCCTACAACGCCGGGCCGGGTCGTCGCTTTCACGGGTGCCTCCCTTCCTCCCCCGGTCCAGGCCCAAATGCAGGCGGCAAGGCAACAAAATGGCAGCGCGGGCGGCGAGGTTAACACCTTCTTCCAGGGCCCGATCCTGCAACCGGGCGTCCCTAGAGCAAGGGAGAAAGTGTCAACGGCTTTTCCAGCCACCGCTTCCTCTGCGTCCTTCCGCGATGCTCCAACCGCTTACGACAATGACCACCATAACGTCCTCACCGCTACTAGCGATGCCACCGTTGACCCCCCCCAAACCACAGAGCCAAACGTCCATATTGACGACAGAAATCATGACCCCGCAGTAGAGACGTCACACCCTTCCGTTACTACGACTACTACTAGCGCTACCTCTATCGCAGCCCCCGCCACTGTCAATCTAAATCCGGGTTCCGCCGCCGAGGAGGAGCCGTTACCGCCACCACCACAGTGGACGCGCGCCCACTGGGCGCGTCTAGATGCTCTATTGCAGCTGCGGCAGGCGGACCCGTTGCGGTTCCAGCGACAGTGCGGGCTGCCGTCGCGGGCGGCGCGGTGGGCGGTCGACACAGCCCTGCTAGGCAAGGAGGTAGCGGCCCGGGGTGCGCGCATGGTTCTCGCGCCGTGGCATCTCGAGGTGGTGCACGCGTTCCGGGTGGCGGAGGAGAAGCGGGGAGACGGCGACGGCTGTCCTTGGGAAGCGCGGGACCTCGCTAAGCGCGTGTTCGCGCTGATCATCGGGGAGGAGAGGCGGCGGGCGGCGGGCGGTGTCAACGGCGTGGACGGGGCCAGAAGAGACGGGTGGGGAAAGAGGGATAACGGGGTAGCTAGGGAGAGAACGAGGGCGAGGAGGCAGGAGAGGGCGAGAGCGGGCGAGAGGGAATCTGAGGCGCAGGGGGAGGCGGTTTGAAGAAGAAGAAGAAGAGGGGGAAGAGGGGAAAGCTGGAATGGCGACAGATAGAGCTTGGCTAGTCTGCTTTTGCTGCGGAGAGATGCGGATACCCAAACACACACACACACACACACAACCTAACCTAACTACCCGCTCGAGGATACACACACAATCAAACGCACGCACCGCATATCCGCCGACGGACGCGGGATTTCGAAGAAGAGAGCTCGCATTGGCTGCTGCTTCGGCGAGAACACGCCGCGCACACATGTAACACAGATGTATATGCATACTGTATATAGACGGACGGGCAGGCCGGAAGGGATGGCGGGAGGGAAGGGGGGGGTGCAATACGACGTTCTTCTTGCTCCCATATCCCGCCGCGAGTCGCGTGCCTGAGTATCGGGAGCGGCCGGACGAGCGAGTAGCAGCCGTGTCAGTTGGCGAGTTGAGCTGGTTGGCCCCGGCGGCGAGCGAATGCTGTCGCCAGACCGTCTGCTACCTGCTACCACGGTAGCACTTGCTCCCACCACTCCTCGCATGTAAACGTCCGCACGCGCACGCGGTCCCTTTTTCCCCTCCCCCCCCTTACCCCCGCCGACTCGCTCCCGCCGACTCGCTCCCCCCTCCCCCCTCCCCCCTCCCCCCCCAACGTCCCGGGCCCGAAGCAGGCGCCGTGACGCCAGCAGGCCGGCCACCCGGGCGGGGAGGGCACAGAACTAGCTAGGAGGAGGCCCTTGGTTTCCTGCGCTCGGCTGACCACTTAGCTATGGACACACACACACCGCGTATATGTATATACAAGACTACACACACCATCGCTACGTCTCGAGGATGGAATACGCGAATTAGCTCCCGCGAGTTGACCGTCTCGGGCGTTATAGGCTACGGAAGTCAGACAGAGAGAGGGGGTGGTCGAGGTATAGATGGAGGTATGCAGGCTGGAGAAGGAGGGGACGCTAACATGCATACGCCGGCACACACGCAGCACGCTCTCGGAACGGACCTGACAAGACCCCTCTGATCGATCTCTCCCTCTTTTCATTTCTCCATTGCCATCGGGAGGGTGTTTCTTTTTTGTTTCTCGGCCCGCGTTCCGCTACCTAGCAGCAGTAATATTACAACAGTCGGTCGCAGTAGGATGTTCCGCTCCCGGCCCCTTCCCTTTTCCGTACCTGTGTCTACGTGCGTTTCCCGCTTCCTCCTTCTCCCCATCGCCGCCCCCGGATTTCTTCTGTCCGGCCCCTGCGCACGCGTGTGATACCAGTGGTAGGTAGCAGCGGCAGTAGTAATCGTAGCCATAGCGGTGCAAACCCCCGTAGGCAGACGACGTCGCCACACCGCCCGGCCCGTTCCAGAACCCCACTTCTCCCGTTGCTTCTATTCTAGCATCGAAGCCTGGTTCGTGTAGAGGACGTCGACGACGTTGCTCAGCTTCTCGATGGTCTGGAGGGCGGCGTCGTACGATTCGTCGCGCTCGGTCTCGTCAAAGATGATGAGGCACCCGGCGCCCTGGTCGAGGACGCCGATGATGACCTTATCGAGGATCATCTGCGAGAGCTTGCGCTCGACCTGCTGCTTGTCGAGACCGACCATGCGCGCGATGTGGTCGATCTCGACCCGGCTGAACGGCTCAATCACCTTGATCAGGTTCTGCTCCAGCATCGCGTCGTACAGCCGCCGCAGGTGGTTGCGGATGAAGGGGTCGCTGCCGAGCTCGTACCGGTACGTCGCGAGGGCGCGCTCGTACTCCTCGAGCGAACGGTTCGAGTGCGCGCGCGCAATCGCCTTCATCGCCTCGAGGTTCTGGCCCGCGTACTTCTGCGCCTGCTTCGACGCCATCAGGTTGTTCACGTCGTCGACGAGGTTCAGCATAATCTTGCACAGCAGCATGTACTGTAGCGCCGCGGTGGCCTTGGCGGGCTCATCCTGGGTGTGGTAGCCGTCGAGGGCCTCGATGAAGTACGAGTAGGCGGTGTTGAAGTCCTGGTCCATGGTGTGCAGCATGCCCGACTGCATGTCGAGGTTCGCCTGCAGTAGAGGGGGAGTATACACGGAAGCAGCGCTCGTTCTTGCGCTGGTGAGAGCGGCGCGGGCTTTTGAGTTGTTTCCGAGAGCGTGGTATACCCTAGACTCCAGCAGCTGGACCTCTACCAGAACCAACTTGTCGTCGAGACGCTTGAGCTCCCGGAGGAGGCCGTTGATGAGCGTCAAGGCATCGTAGTACGACTGCTTAGCCATGTACAAGGTGACGAGCCTGGTCTCGAGGTTCTGGCGCAAGAAGCTCCGCCTCTCGGAGGTAGCCCATTCTATACATGACTTGGTGACGGCGATCTGAATATCGGTCGTGTTGGGGATGGCGTCGAAGAGATCGAGGAGTTGGCGGACTATGCAAGACGAGGAATTAGCAGGCAGAACGTCATACCATGGCAGTAGCCGATATTCTAACGCAGCTATACAGAGGCGTGGACGTACCCAGTTTGGCCGTCTTTGCCTTCGCAAAGCTCGAGAGTATTGTCCGGCTGGTGGTCACTAGGTTGACCAGTTCCTTAGGGTTCCTAGTACAGCCGTCAGCGACGATGGAGGTGGGATGGCAAACGAGGGGGGGGCAACGCAAGCTCACTTCTCATCCCGATACAGCTCCCCTAAGCTGATGAGGGCCGTCTCGTACTCTTTGATGGCGGCGTCTGACGTGACCGACGGCGGCTGAGATATGATGTCCTTGTAGATAGCTTCCGCTTTTCGCGGGTTCGTGCTGGCGAGCGATTGCGCCTCCTTCGCAGACGGCTTCGTCGCAGCCATATTGGACAGGCGTGGGTGTTTGCTGCGGTCGAGGCTGCTACGGAGACGTATATAGGAATCGCGGCCGATATCAGGCGGGAGCCGAACGGGTGCGAGTCGAGAGACGTCTGGAATTCGAACGCCAGCGGGGAAGAGGAAGTCCTAAGCAACGCTTGCTGTGCTAGGCGGATATCAATAATCCTGGCGGTAAGTGAGAAGCGCACGCAGACCCGAGGCGGAAGCGGTGGTGCTGGCGGCAATGCTGGCGCTGGTGGTGGGAGTGGGAGTTGCTGATAGTGAGCTCAGCTTTACGGCTGCCAACGACAGGTGGAAATTGAAGGTATGTTAGGGTACGTACATACGTACTTGCGTACTTTTTGGCGGCAGCTGCCCTCAGCAACTTCGAGAGCCCTTTGCCAGGTTCGAGTTAGGGAATTTATGGGGACCCGCCTTATGAGTACTGACGCAACTCGCCGAGTGCCTGGAACGGAGCAGTGGATAATTCCGCTCCGGCACTGGGAAAATTATGTCATCAGAGTATATTGGCACAACGGAGGCACTTAAGGTAGGTACCTAACAGGTACAGGGTAAGGCGGGTATCTTCGCGTGAGGTCATCGCCATTCCGATATACGAAAACAACCAAACTACCTAACCCAACCTAACCTACAACCAAATCCTTGGCATCAATCATATTTACATGCTCGACACGGCCGAGCCAGCTGTACGCACACTAGATCAGATGAAATAGGTATACCTGTCCCCTGCTATCCGCCGCCCGCCTGGACTCCGCTGGACCAAACTAGTCAAGGAGGGCGAGAGAGGACAGGTCCTTAGATAAAAACGCCGCCGCCGAGTTCTTTTTCCCCGTGTGGAGAGGCCATTCTCACAACTCCCAATGGACCCTATAATTGTTTTCACCCATAGACTAATCGACACCCTCCCATCATTCTGAGTTACCTGCGGCTCGCCTGTGTTGCCACGTCCCCTGGGTGCGACCCTATGCCCTTCCTCTCTACGTCGAGTCGGCGCCGGCGATGCTGCTCGCGCTGCCTTCGCACATGTAAGACTGCCAGCTTTGCGCCTTGCCCGTCCGCGTGTTTTGCGCGGGACGGAAGCCGGAGCCATTGCTACTACCGCTGCTGCTGCCCTCGCCGGGAACAACGCCTCTCTCCCAGGCGGAGCTGCTGCTCGGCGGCCGGCGCGAGGCTGGCCGGTACGAGCCCTGCCGGGACGACCCGCTATATCTCCTTATCGCCGTTGCCGCCGTCATTGTCGCCGTCGTCCCGATAGTAAAGTCGTCGCTTCCTCTGCTGATATTCAAGCCGCCCATCCCGAAGTCCCACCCGCCGTACTGGTGGACGCAGTGAGGCTCTGTGATCTGGCAGTTCTCCGTCAGGATCCTGTACGTGAACTGCTCCACCTCTCGCGCGGTCGGCCTCTCGTGTGGCGCCATCGACAGCATCCGCGCCACTACTTGCAGCATCGGCTCGGCGCCCCGGAACACCAGGTCCTCCTTTTTTGATGCGTCCTTTGCCAGCCCCGCCATCCAGGACTCGACTTGCCCGAGGTTCTTGTGGAACGATGAATCCAACACCGCCCCACCCCGCCCCGCCTGCTTGTGTTTTGCGGCTCGGTGAGAAGCGAAGGCCCGTGTCTGGCGTTTCATGAGAAGGCTTAGTATCTCGAGCATCACGCAGCCCAGCGAGAAGATGTCGGCAGCCTGGGCGTTAAGGGAGGGAGTATGCGGGTGAAACGTCGACCCCGAGTGGTTGCCGTCCGAACTCCCCCGAGTTCCGGAAAAGGTAGAGTTATTCGATGAGGTTGATGGCGAAGAGGCGACAAGGGTACTCCTTCGGTGCGGTGCGGAATGGGTAGGTGAAGGGCGGTACCACTGTTCAGGGGCAGCGTAGTCGTAAGATTCCTTGTCGAATGTGGGCTTCTCCGAGGTGTTCCCTATTGCTTCCATGCTTAAGCGACCGGTGTCCGCAAAGAAGATGTGGTTATCAGTGTTGAAAAGTATTGTCGACGGTTTAATGTTACCGTGAGATAAACCGCGGCTATGAAGGTAGCAAAGCGTGTCGACGAGGCAGTGGATCCAGTTCATCAGCATATTACGCCGGTCTTGCTTTGCCAACGACTTCACCGATCCCGGCATTGTTACTAGGAGCGACTTGAGGCTGAAGTCGCTAGGCAGCGTGAAGAGGACATAGCCCTGGCCGCGATGAGTATACGACGCAAAGTAAGACACGAGGTGGCCATTTTCGATATTCCTCGTCTGGCTAATTTCCCGGGCGAACTCCTCCTCTGTGAGGGCGCCGGGCCCGGTCCTGATTGGGATACGGCGCCGAGCCAGGATCTCACCCGGCCGATTTGGCAACTCGACCCTGTCCACGACGCTGTTGAGGCTCAATCCGGCGCGCTTGTCCACGACGTCGATGGGCGGGACTTGAGGGTCCTCGTAGACTACGTGGTCGCCCTTCTCCACGAATTTCAGCAGGTAGAGAAACTGGCGAGCGTAGAATTTTTTCTCGACCTTGTCGTCCTTGGTGGCCGTGAGATCGAGCCGCTCGATTTGGTCGAGCGGGATGGGCAAGTCGTCGTCATCCCAGCTGTCGTCGACGAGGCCAAAAACCTGGTCGGGCACACCCAAGTCCAGCAAGATGAGGAAGATGCGCTTGGCCTTCTCGTCGATCCACTCCCAATACGTTCCGTCAGTCAGCCCGTCGCCAAAGGCTAGTGGGCGGTCGAGCCGCTCGATCTCCTCGGGTAGGAGGTGCGAACAGACAAACTGTCGAGTGACAGTGGCCTGGATTCGGCAAGAATCCCACCACACGACCATGATGAACGCAGCAAGGGTAGCATCAGGCACATTACACCCGATATCCACCCAGGCCAGGTCAATCCAGTCGCACAGCTTCAAGCTCCTACCACATGGGCAGGTCTAGGGGGGAGGGTGGGGAAAGGGGGATGGCTCTTATGACGATAGCGACGAGGTATAAGGTTGGCAAAGCCAGCAGAATCTGGGCCTGAGGCGGTTTATACGATGCACCTGCGAATTTGGGGGCGACTCCCGACCGATTAGGCATTTTGTCGGTGTGACATACGTCGGTCAGCACAGGGCGAACATTGCCCAGAGGCAACATTCCTCGGATAGGAATTCGAAGCGCATGTGTTATCCGACAGCTCACTACCACGACCTCACATGGTATACACAGGCAGTCGAGCAGGCAGAGGCGAGGCAGGGAGGTAAGCTAGGTAAGGTAGGTAAGGCAGGCAAGGTAGGTAGAGAAGCAGGTATGGTAGATAGGTAGGTAGGTAAAAGCAAGGTTTGGGATAGGGGGGACGGGGGTGGTTGCAGACTGGCTGACGGCGTACTTGGCGAAAAGTCGATGCTGGGGGGGAGGGGGGCCGTCTAGGGCGAATATCAGATGGCCTTCGACTGCATGATTGGACGACTGAGACAATACTAGATAAGAGAACATCATCTCGGATGTCTGGATCGACCCCTGGAGTTGATAGATAGGCGGCCCCCCTTCCTCCTTTTCTTTGCCCCTCCTCTCGTTCTCTCGCACTCTCCCTCTTCACGAATCCGCGCCACCCATGCGGGATCCGGTCTTGCGGCTCTCGATGGATGCTGGTCACTTACATACGCATATATCGACGCGCGCCTCCGCCGCCTGTTCATATCGCGCAGAGTTACTCGGCAATCGTGCCGCATGAGGCGGCGCCCGCTCTGGCGAACAACCAGCATGCCTGCCACGCTTCAGCTCGCCAACCCGCAGGCCTCCGATGCGAGGCTGGCTTGCTCCTGTAGGGAGGACATAGTTCTGCGGGTGGAAGAAGCCGTGACCCAGCCCTAGATGTGGCCAGGTTGGCATCTGCAGGCGATGATCTTCAGGAGAGAGGGCGAATGAAGGAGGCAAATACAAAAATAATATTAATAGTAAATGGTAACCGCTTTCTCGCTATCTCTCCCCATCCCCACCACCCCGCGGGCTCTAGTTTAGCATGGACCTCGATAGCACTTGGCAGGCCCTGGGGGCCGTGTGCCCACGCATGTACGCACGCAGTTGGGTGAAGGGGGGAGGACGGTAGCAAGGAGGGCGGCTCAGAGCCGAACGGCCCGGAGTACGTGCAACGCCTTGATCCGGGGTTGCGAGGTGTGAGGGGATGCCCCACGGACCTCTCAACTGGATATCGACACCTGGGGGTCTTATCCACGCCGGTTGGAGAAGACATCACATCTAACACATCTTGGGGTTTTTTTGGGCGATAGGCGATCATCTGCACGATTGCGGCGAAGCGGAAGCTGATAACGACAGTGCGAAGCGCTTCGCTGGCGGAGCATCCGGGCTACGGGGCCCCCCGGATCGCGGAAGTTGGGGTGGAGGAGGCCGCAGACGAAGAAAGAGGGCGGGAATTGGTACAGTAATATTCTTCATCGGGTCTGCCCTTATCGTCGACGCGCCAGACGAAAGATCTCCCGGGTGGGGCCCTATCGGCGCACGCCTGTGTAGGCGTAGGGGTGTAGGTCCGGGAGCGAGGACGCGGTGGTGATGGTCGTGAGGCCACGGTAAAAGAGCGGTAGGCGTTCCGCTTCCAGGATGCCCAGGGCAAAATATACACAACTACTTGGAGACCCCGTCTTCATACGTGCGATGCATACATATACAATGCATGGATACCCTCGCGCACGTTCAGTCCGAGCCCCCGCCCCCTCAAGAGGCGAGTGTGATGGCTTCTGTGTTTGGCCACCGACAACTGTGTATGCCATCGTACGTGCATTAAGAATCTCCTTCCTCGCCGGGACGTCTTTCGAGCGGAAATGTCTATGTATAGACACACGTATACACAGAACGCTATCTAGGTACCTAGGACCCCCCAATTCTGGACTCCAGCTCTTGTCCCAAGAAGGGGGGAGGGAGGGGGGAAGAGGGACATGTTGCTGCGAGGCAGTACATAGGGGCGTCGATATGCACGCCACGATGTATCAGCGGATAAATGAATTGCTGCGGTTGCATCGATAGACAGGAGCGCGTGCTATCTCGCAGTGTACGCCTCGTCATATGGACCATACACCACAGGTAGCAGCACCCAACGCTGTCCTAGGCTGGCTTGACCGCATCCCAGCCTCTTCCTGTGGAGATGCGATCGATAGGTGGTGCTCTTCTGGTAAGGAACACTCATGCTGTACCACAACCAGATATTGGACATGCAACGCTTATCTCTCGTACGAGTCGTACATGTTCGCGGGCAGGCTACACGACAGTGTCTACAGGCTCTCGTGGGCCCGTTTGGGCTTACGCTCTCAGGTGGAGCGCGCGCGCGCTCACGCTTCAAATGAGAGAGGTTAGCTAGTCTAGGGGCGGCTACACGTGTAGCTAAGATAGAGAGAGAGAGAGAGAGAGAGAGAGAGAGAGTAGATGCGCGTGTGAATACAGCATGGGTATTTGTGCGAGAGAAGATGTCCGGTATTGCTTCGCCCGAAGCGGCACGGCGAGTATGATACCAATATCCCTCAACATGTCTCTACTCGTCCAAGGGACTTTGATCTCGTGCTCTTCAGATCTGGTCGCCCCATTCGACACGGCGTTAGCCGCATCCCGTTGTCTAATACACGCGCCGCAGCCTCCTTGTTCTTCGGTCCCACTTAGCGTAGTGCAGTTTGTGGTTGCAAATGAGACGGCCTATACTAAATCGCGTCTCGCACCCAAAGTCGGCGCAAATTTGGCTAGGGGGCCGGCAGGATCTCCTTCGGAGTGGGTTGAATCGATGGCATCCCAAGACCGGCGCGGAGAAGCATCATGTCGCACGTATCCTCGTCCTCGAGGGAGAGCATAGACAGCAGTCTAGCGAGGCTGCGAACGCGTACCGATTAAGATGACGTCGCCTACCGTTACAACACGGTCTCTCTCTCTCTCTCTATCGCGCCGCGGGGGTGGGCAGGCAAACCCAAACATACAGCGATGCTTTTATCTGCGGACGGGTTACACGCTGTCCCCGGGGGCAACCCAAGAGCTCGGCAGCGTCCGTCAGCAAAGGACTCGGGCCGATGTGTCCAGTCACAGCGAGCGATACGCATACCTGACATTGGATGCGGTACTACATACCCAAAGGACGCAATCGGACGTAGATGTTTCCGTCGTTGCTCGATGATTCGTGCCCCTACGTCTGCATTTTTGGCCGTCCTCCCCGAATAGGATTAGGATGTGAGGCTGGCCGTTATAATGGGTGGACGGATTTGGATACCGGTGGTGACCTATTAGGACGTAGAAGTCGAATCATACAGCTCTGAAAGTATAGATAACCACCTCGGCAGATTGGAAGGTCTCTCAGATGGCCAGTTTGTATGTGGAAATGTGTAGTTTTTCGCTCTCCTTGTCGACTTATAATTGTACATACCTTATACATTACAGAGCACCTAGCAGACGAGCGAGCGCCAGCGTCCTCCCGTCCGTAACGTAGTATTATCATAAATCGCCCTTCCTGCTTATCTTGTCCTCCCCTCCGAGCCGGCCCAAGTCGGTAGGCGGTAGATGGGCCGTTACATCGGGTGCCCATTCTTCTCGCTCAGTTCCGTTCCCCTGCGGCCGACAAATGTCGTCATGCCTTTGTCTATGCCAGACAGCCTCCGAGCAATCTTCTGCAGGCCGACTGGCAATACATTATACCAATCGACCCAACGAGCGTAGAGGGGGGTGCCGATATGATCGCTTATACCGAGATCGATGGCCTTGATGATCTCCCTAGCGACTTCTATGGGCTCCACTACTGGCGCAAAGAAAGAGTTGGGAGTTTTGACGCCGGAGAAGAGTGGTGTGCTTAGCTGACCCGGGGTGACGAGGATCATCTTGATTCCCGGGTGCTCCTGTAGCTCGGCGGCGAGGGACTTGTGCAGGGCCGTGACACCTGCCTTAGCGGCAGCGTAGTCAGCGAGTTGAGCGGCCCCGAGATGACCAATAACGCTCGAGACGTTCACGATGGTGGCACCATCTTCGCTACGAATCATACCCGGAAGGAAGGTCTTGATAGTGTAGAAATAACCGAGGAGGTTCGTCGTAAGGCTCTTCTCGACCTCCTCCATATCCATATCGAGTAGCTTCTTACCAACCACTTCGGCGGCATTGTTGATCAGGATGGTCGGCGGTCCGAGCTGGACGGTACTATTAGCCAAGTGCCACATAATGGCGGAAGGAGGATGCATACATCACGCTCTATTTCGCCCGCCACTCTGGCGATCTCGGCCTTGTCCCGTACGTCGCACTTGTAGTAAGTCACGCCGCGGACATCGGTGTTCTCCAGCTCGGCGACGTCCAAAACAGCGACGGTAGCGCCCCTCATGCCGTACACCTCAGCAATCAGCAAACCAAGCCCGCTAGCGCCCCCGGTAATGACGATGACCTCGTCGCTCAAATTCACCTCGCGGTGCATTCCGTAGGCGATCTTGTGACTGAACCTATTTGCTATCGCCAGCATGGTGACGAAAGAAGCCCACGCGATACTAATGATCATGGGCTTCGTATTGAACTCTTGGTGTTCGGCGCGAAAGCAGAGCGGGATGATCCACGCTACGAAGGGATGGAGCAGGGTAATGTTGAGGACGCGGAGGAAGAGGTCGGCGGATATGGACGCCGTCCACGATTCGCGCACCGGCGGTCGGGGATACTGGTTCATGATGTCGGACGATGCGAGATGCGGGATCGGAGAAAGCAATTATCGGACAGCAGCAAACCGCCTGGAGCAAGTGGGACAAGTAGGAGAGAACCCGAGGGCTTGGGGACAGATTGAAATCGAAATATAGGCAGTCAGCTCGAAGGAGTCGAGAAGGATCAAGAGAAAGAGAAAAGAACAGAATAGCAAGAGACAGAGAGAAGCTCAGCTCGTTGGACCTGCCTGGCGCTCCTGAAGAAATAAAAATAAAAATAAAGAGTAGAGGAACAGCCGATTGCCAGTCCTATTCCTGTTCCTTCCCGTTCTTATTTTTATTCCTATCCCTATTCCTGCTGCTACGCAAATTCCAAGATCGCTTAGATGGATGTATTGCTATAAAGGGGGGGACTTTCCCCCCCCTATCGGACGCTTGAAACGAAGGGTCCGAGCGTTTTCCGTTTCAACCACTACCAGCTCGCGCCTCTCGGCTGCGCCTCCTCCAATCAAAGGTCGCCGTGTACTCGGCAGAGGCCCCTGCATTGACCACCTACATATCATCTTAGGGCCCCGTCATACTGATACGTGCATACATATATGTATAACAAGTAAATCGGGAATATGCACATATCGCGCTTCAACGCCCTATGTTCGTGGTGGGCACAGGTGTTACCAGGATCCTTCAGAAAACAGATAGTTACACCCTTATCCACTCAAGGAGGCAAGCTCGCTTCTAAGGTGCTTTGGGGAGGACAGAAGAAATAACCCCCCACAACCCGTGAATGTTCCCCTGGTATCATCGCCATTCGTATTTTCCCATACCTCAAAACGCCCAGCAAATGCAGCTCTTCATCGATCAACTTCACTTCTCCCTCGCCAGAATCGCCTTGTCTCGTTCGCTCTTCCTCTTCTCGAACTGCTTCTTCGTGTGCTTCCTCTCGTTCTCCTCCCGACGTTTGATAGCCTTCAGCTCTTCCTTCTTAATCTCGCTTGCCTTCTTGACAACCTTCGGCAGATGCCTATGACGCTTAATGCGCCTTACCTCGGGCTAGTTATCTACGTCAGCAAGTCGCCCCGAGAAGGGGGGAGAGCGCCCCGGATCGGAGGCGTAAGCATACCATGTGGCTGTATCGCTCGGACAATGCGTCGTTGTACTCGAGCGCCTGCCTGTGCCGAGCAGACTTGACACCTTCCCGCTTGGAGGCATTCGCTCTCCAGAGGCGAACGTTCCCGTCGTCCGATCCACTCAAGATGTACTTGGAGTCTGGGGTCCAACGGGCGCAGAAGACCCTCTGCATTCTCTTCGTGTGATACACGTCCCTCGAGTGTCCCCGGTCGCGGCTAAACAGTCGTATCGTCCGGTCGTAGGATGCCGTGACGAGCTCCTGTCCGGTAGGTGAGAATTCCACATCCATGACAGCTGCCACGTGGTCTTTGAGCACGTTGAGGGCCCGGTCGAATCGGCGCATATCGAATATATACACGTTGTGATCTTCGCTCGCCGCCGCAAAATTCATCGGCTCCACCGGATTCCAAGATAACTTGTTGCAGCTAAAGTGGATGAAGGTACGCGCAAGTGGCGATGATGTTCGGAGGTCGTAGAGGATGATAGAACGATCCGTAGAGCAAGACGCTAGCACAGAAGTCTCGCTCTGGTTGAAAGACACCGAGGTGACCGTCTCGCCAGACGCCGGCCAGCGAAGAACTTCCGGCGCAGCTGTATACCGGTCGAGATCGTAGACGGATATGACGTCGGAAGAAACCGCGAACGCATTTCTTGACCTGTGTACGCTCAAGCTTGTGAAGGCGTTGGTACCGAGCCAGGAGTGGAGAGGCGGCGAGTCGTCGGGGGTATGGTAAGGGTCGTAGATTTTGATCGATCGGTCCGCGGCGCAGGTAAGAAGTTTTTGATCGGACGTCCAGGCCATGCCCTTGACAATGTTCTCGTGGGCAGTCGTATGCCAAATCTGGTCCCTACTGGTCAAACTCCAGCATTTCACGACGCCGTCACCCGATCCCGAGGCGAATCTATCGAGGGACTTGGGATCCTTCGCCAGCGAGTATACGCCGTCGACATGTCCATTTCCAAGTTGTCCGATGACTGCGGCGGGGTGTGCGTCAGTGGCAGCGAGCGCGGGGGGAGGGTTCGGATAGGCGACGAACACGGCTGAGCGAACATGCGCTCTAGTTTCACGGCATTGAGCGCGCGCGTATACTCGCGGGCTCTCTCGAACGGATGTATCGCCGGGTCCAGGTTACGGGGCGCCTTGATAATAAGAAACTTAGAACGAGTTGTGTAGGAATTTTCGAGCCGAGCTACCTACCTTGGGCACATCGGATCCAGCAGGGTGGTATGCCGACAGCGAATGGCTTAGCGCCTTAATCTTCTATTAATCAGGTTAGAATATATGAGGCGCAAGCAATAGAGCCCAAATACTAACCATGATGGCTGTGGGTGAAGATTAACGGGCTGCTTGATGATTGATGGCGGATGTTCAATCAGTAGGTAGAGAAAAAAAAAGCTGTTTCTCCATGCCCCACATTCACGTGCGTCGAGACCCAAACACCATGTTGATAGTAATACCTACCTACGTAAGCCAGTACCAGCACAGGCGCCTTAATAAGGCAATAAGTTCTAATCAAGAAATCATCCAGTATTTTGTAATTTAATCAATGGGACTCTTATACTTCTACTTCATGACGTTTCTGAAACCAATACCTTTGAGTTAGGTATATGGAATTGGAATGGAAACGCAGGTAGGAGCCGATAATATGTGTGACGCTATCTGTTTGCCCAACTCCGGGAAGACAGTCACCTACCTATCTAGAGACGCTTACGATGTAGGCGCAGCCAAAGACAAGTTCCCCATTTTGCGACACAAGAAATCCTAGGCACGAGGGTGAACCCGACTAGGCTATGTCCTGTAGACCACAGGGACTTAAACCCATCAAAGTTCCCCGGGAAGATCCCGAAAACACTCCCACGTTCCAGCGCTTGATCCTTATAGTTGGCGGCCGCCCAGGTCGATAATTATGGGTTGTAGGTAGATACGAGCTTCGTTATCTGTCTCGACAAACGACCTTAACCTTGTTATGTGAGTTAGTAACTTAGCCGCAACGAGCTGGCTATGAGCGTTTCTCTACTCTTCAAAATCCCGCTGGCCCGGACCTTGCGGCACCTTAGTTATGGCTTGCTCCCACCTCACAGTCGTCCCATACAGCCTGTAGGCAGCGGGCCGCTCTGCATATCCCCTTAATTTGAGTCTAACGTTTAGCACTCCTTACGCCTTCCCCAACCAGCCCTCCAACATCTGGTGTTGCAGCAGACCATTCGCTCTTCAGGATCTTAGTCGTAAACTAAGAAGCCGGTGTAGTTAGTGATTCTCGGCTTCCAGCAGGGGCCAGTGGGCCGTGCGATAATTTACCTAGCTCCTAGCTGGCTGGCAAATCTTCCTTGGCCGAGGTGATTGCGCAGCATACTTACCTACCTGGTATCACCTACAGGTACTACAGAGGACACATTTCTCTCTAATCGACTCCTTACCACCCCCAACTCCAGCTCCTTCCTGTAGCGCCAGCTCAAATGCGGGCCACCAGCACGAGGCGGCGGCCTAGATACCACCGCCCAACCGTCCCGTCTTGATCCCGTTCCTCAACACTGGGTCGCTCATGGCGATGCTTCAACATCGAAAGCAACAACAGGCCTACACACCTTCGCATGCACACGCTATCCGGGTACCCCGACCCCCCTACGGATGGCACTTTAGTCAAGAGCTACCCCTACAGAGAGCACAACTCGGATTACCTATGCTAGGTTGAGTGTATTACCTATATATTGTGCATATGTCAACAGCGATACGAAATTCGTGGAGCTGTTGAGTGTTTGGAGGTAATATCTATTACCTACAGAGGAGGTCTCCCGAACCACCGAAATCACTCGTGATCGGACTGGTCACTTCTCAAAGGCTACTAGGTATTACAATAAAGCGGCTATCTGAAACCATTCACTAACTACTAGTAGCCACCAGCGTTTCCGATCATGTCGATGACTACCTCCCGTATACTCGCCATGAACCTACGAAACCACCAGATCTCGTCTTACCCATCACAGTCCACGTACCGCTGTAAGTATTACCTGTCGGCTTTGTCGGACCCTTCCCGTCCTTACGAGCAGCAAAAGCTGGAGCAGTTCGGGTGGCGCCAAAGCAGGAATTTGAGGCACCGGGCTTTAACGACCCACGTTTTGTGTCGAGCTTCATATTAAGCTTGACCACCACTAAGTGTCCTAAGCAATCACTCAGTCGACCCAGGCTCAAACGAGCCAGACTAGGTAGAGACGTATAGGGGCAGCGCTGAGGTATATAGGGATACGGAGGGCCAGGAGGCCAAGTCTAGGATTGAGGGCTAGATATAAGACAGAGCTGATAGACTCTGATGCTTCTATTATTGGCGAAGCACAAGGGTAGGACGGGTAGCTGGGACATTTTAGGCGATCGAGTTAGCAAAGGAAGCGAAGAAGGACGGGAGACGCTGTACATGCTTATTGTGTTCTCACGAATAGTGCCTGTTTTCAGCAACGGTACAGGTCGAGCGCACGTCTTAACGGCCCGTGAGCAATGAAGGCAAATTGCCTGATACTGCGGACACGATGCCAAGGTACGATACGGTTTCTGACATCATGACCATCCCCGCCGCGCCGGTCTGGACAGGGTATGCCACGCATAAGGCAGGTAAGAGGCAGAGAGGCAAAGCTTAACCCTGCATTACGTCATCGATGCATCTGGCGGAGGTACTTCGCGATACCTAGGTACCTAAGGTAATAGGCAAGTACCTGCCTCCTCCCGAGGCAGTTCCCTCTTTGAGGTACACCAACCCTTTGGGATTGGACCGAACAGGCACTAGGTACCTCCTAACCTACCTCTACTAGGTAGGTACTTGTTGCATTAGTTCCTCGGGATAGCGACCCCGGCCGGATAGGAACCTTACGCATACATTAAGAGGTACCGGGAAGCCTAGGAGAAGACGAGAAGCAAGGCACCCGGGTGCCTAATCTAAGGCTAAGAGGCATATGTAGAAAAGGCATCTCATTATGCCGGATTTCTCACCCCCTCGGGATTCACCAAAGGACATTCAAATGCTTTGCTATACCTAGGTATACAGCAGTAAGGAGGAACATACGTGTAGGCAGTAGGTACCCAGGTACCTAAAGGAGGAGGCGGGCAACGTGCCAATACACCATGCAAGCCTTTATACACCGCATACAGAAATCCTCTCCCAAACGACTTCAAACCAAAAAAAAAAAAAAAACATCCCAGACGCCACGTCCCACGAGCCAGTGAAGATGCGCGATCAGCAAAGGGCCATGCGCATGTGCTGGCTTGTTCACCAGTCAACCATCGCACACTCTCTCCCATGCTCCTATTGTATGCGCCGCCACTTGACGTAGCTCCCCTGGTCTCTACACAACCTAAGCTGTAAGAGGCGTCATCGCGGAATTCGTTGGTGGGAGAAGATAGCTGGGGGGCTGGTCGATCCTTTTCGCGGGCTTGGCTTGCCCGCGCCAGATAACCCCCAATCCCGTCGAGAGATTCCGATGTCCAGACCATCGAGGAGCATTCCCCCCTCGGCGCTACTCTCTCCCTGGCCGCCAGCATCGAGGCGTTACGAGCAGGTATGCGTACCCGGCTTTCCTAAATCAGGTCTAAGTGATCTTCCTGCCGCGGACGACCAGGGTTGGCCGCTTTGCGAGATCTGGTCCCGCTACACCGGCCATATACCTGCCGCCGTGGACCCAGCATGTCTCGTCTAATACTACCTACCTACCTACTTATGGTAAGTAGCACGCAGGTATGGAGGTACCTACAGATGGGTGCTGCTCTCGTGAGACCTTCGACGCCTCCATATTTATTTTATCTCAACATCTCGTGTCCATCCTTGTCTTTCTCCCTCTCTTTCTCTCTTTCTCTCTAGTCCAAGCACGCCTCTTGTTTTTTCTGTAGCTGACCACCTGTCGAGCCCGGCTGCAGACCTACGGACCTAGCCGAGTCGAGTTAATCGACTGGAGCGCAGAGATCACCAACACTCGTTTGCCCGTCCATCGCTGCCAGTCCTGTGGCGTGACGCCTTCATCTCCGCGACAGACTCATTCGCTACTCATAGTCATACATTTCCCCAGGATGCGCAATTGACATTCGTTATTCCACCACCGTATCTACCCTACTCGTTTGTGGGTGCGCGCTATAGATGGTCTAGGTTTGCTGCCGGTGGGCCGTATATGATCGGAAAGAGTCGTGACTTGAGTCTGGATCTGTAGGAGGAAATTCTTTTTCTAGAAAAAAGATTTCTTGGGTCACGTCCAATCGACCGATCCTTTATGATGCGTTCCTCGCTACTTCTGGCGCTGGGTAGCGCTACTGCATCATTTGCGTTACCCACGATCGAGGCGGCTGGTGGCAAGTTCTTCACAAGCGATGGTGACCAGTTTTTCATAAAAGGAATCGCTTACCAGCTCACTCCGAGTAAGTTCGATGCCGGAAGATCCCACGGACGTGATCAATAACCCCAAATGTCGCTAATCTTGCTTGTACTTAGACGATCCGTTAATTGATACTGAGCAATGTACACGAGATGCCACGCTTATGAGGAGGCTGGGTGCCAATACCATCCGTGTCTACCATGTCGATCCAAATGCAGACCACTCCGGCTGCATGGCCGCTTTTTCAGATGCTGGCATATACGCCATGATAGATATGGATACTTTTGATACTTACATCCTGCCGGTGAGGTCGCCCGAGCGTGTCCTCAGCCAACGGAACAGAACACGGAACTCTAACAATCTGGCAGAATGACCCTTGGTGGAACCAGACGCAGTTTGACCGATATTCCGAGGTCATGGATGCTTTCCACCGATACGATAATCTACTCGGCTTGTTTGTCGGAAACGAGATCATCGCGATCAATAATCAGTCTCTCTCCGCCCCGTTCATCAAGGCGAGCAGCCGGGATCTCAAGGCGTATAGGGATTCCCAAGGGTACCGGAAAATCCCAATCGGCTACTCTGCTACCGACATCGCCGAGCTTCGGCCCATGCTTCAGGATTATCTGACCTGTGGCGGCAACGCATCCGAGAACGTCGACTTCTATGGTCTGAATTCTTACCAGTGGTGTGATCCCACAGACTACCAGACCTCCGGATATTCCAACCTGCAGACCCAAGCCAAGGATTTCCCCGTTCCCATATTCTTCTCGGAGACCGGATGCAATACACCCGGGCCGCGGCTGTTCAACGATCAGGCCGCCATATTCGGCCCTAATATGGTCAACGACTGGAGCGGAGCCATCGTTTACGAGTGGATTGAGGAGGCTAATGAGTACGGTCTAATTTCGTACGGCCCCAGGGCCGACCCGACCGCCACGGGCCGGAATATTGAAGGAGGCTACACACGCGCGGGCACGCCGACGCCGGTTTCTCCTGATTTCGATAATCTCAGTAAGCACTGGGCGACGATTACTCCCACAGGGGTTGCCAGGTCCGATTACGACACGAACGCAGTCTCGACGCGCGCTTGCCCAACCTCGACGGCTAGCGGGTGGCTCGTAAACGGCAACGTCGCTCTCCCCAGCTTAGGGGAAACCTTGACCAACAGCTACTCGTCCGTACCTAGTGCTACCGGCGCCGCCGACAGCGCCAGCCCGACAGAGTCCCCGAACTCCGTCTCAGGGTCTGCCGAGATCGCCGGCATGGCTGCTGGCCTCGTGGGCGTGATGATGATTTTCGCGCTATGGTTTTAATTGTAATTTCTACCGGCAGCATGCCGCCCCCGGTGTAGCCTCCTATCCGCTTAACTTTCTATATGCGGGAAGTTTCATAACCAACATAATCAGTCGAGAGGCCAGCCCGCCGAATTTTCTCGCAGAGTCGCTACCAGCGGGGAGTTGGGGATTGGGCGTATCGTTTAATTATACTATGAGAGACGAACGTGGATGCGTCCTCAGGCAGTCGACGCTAATGACTGCCACGAGGCTAGGATTTCACAGCTGGGACACATACCCGCCTTAAACCAAATTAGCTACCTAATATACAAGTTATATCGTATCTGGTTGCGGTATACAATACCTATGGCCATATGGCTTTTGCGGCGGCAACGGACTCCAGGGACATGTTTCCTTACGCTCGAGATGTCTCGTCGTCCCTGCCGTAAAGACGTTGGATTCCCTCAACGCTGCTATCACCTAACCTCAAGGCAAGAACCCCGGGGCCAACGGATAGGTATTATGTGCCCATGGGGGTTTGCCGTCTCTATTCCTAACCACAACCTCTCCGCCCACCATCTTTTCTCAGTGTTACGAAACAATAACGTCCACTCGCTCGCCCCCCGGCTGTAGAACACCAACATACATATAGATACGCACGTATCCACATACGACCCATGACTAGTATTCCAGCTTACTCGGATAATCCGGCTCGACACCGGCGTTTCTACGCCGCCGTCCCGCCTGGGGACCGAACTCGGCCTGAAGCTACCGCGATGGCCGCGTCAGGAGCCGATATCGAAAGGGGACCGGAGCCGCCAGGGCCAGCATTCCCGGAAGTACCATGGGCGGTACCGGTACCAGCATCGCCATCACTATCGGCATCAACATTAACATCGACTTCTGCTCGGGCATCGCGGCTTGCCAGGTTCCAAGGGAGGTGTCCGAAGTTGGTTTGGCTGGCGATAAATATCCTGCTGGTGCTCTCTGTGGGGCTATTTATCTACACGGTCATCTCACAGACCGGACTTGTCAAGCCTGGTATGCCTCTTTCTCTCCCTACCCTTCTTCTTCCCCGCGGCTTTCTCGCCTATGTCTGCTACGGCTCCGAGGCGCGGACGCAAGCTCATCGAGAACCCCTAGGAAGGCGTATCGACCGCGATGGACACGGCTATCTCCCCGAGGACCGCGGTCCCGTCCCACACGCCCGCACGGGGATTGCGGAATCCGACCCCGAAGACCACCACCTGGTAGCCTCCGAGATGGGCGGGATGGCGTAGGGCCGAGGGCCGAGGGCTGGAAAAGGTCGTAGCCGCGCATTGGCTTCTCGCAAGCGATTCGCTACTGAGGGGCACGCTCTCTCTTTCGCTCGCTCCTGTCGCCACAGTGACGTACGGCGGGACCTTGCGGAGCTGGTTTATCGATACGTCTGAATTTGGCTATTAGTCTTTCGGTTACTTATTAGGAGGGTAATAGCGGTATGGGAGAATAGAGGGTAGGTGGAATGCTAAGCGAGGCACGGGGAAAATGCCCGGGCTGTTTGAAGCGGTGTATAGGTACTTTTCGATCAAGGCACTATTCGTAGCTAGGTAGATCTAGCCGTAGCGCTTCAAGAGTTTTGTGGAAAGTGACCCGATTCCGCGTCACACTATGCTCTAGTTCCTAGCTTCCCGCCTAACCTTGGTAGCGGGCGTGACTTGGCCCGGGGGCTCTCGCGCCTCGAAGTCCAGAACGCTCTACGTCGGGGGACGGACGGGGTTGGAAGAGCGGCCCTCGACTCCACGTCCTTTTCCAGTCAAGGGTTCCCGAAACGTATGGCCCAAAGATAGGCATGCAGACATACTATACATCTGGCGCCTTGACTGGATGCAGCATTGTCACCCTCTACGCATGCACGTCCGCGACATGTCTCGGGAGCGGGGGTGCGCAGCCGTACGGGGCCGCGGCTGGGACGGGTACCTGCCTGCTCATCGGTAGTGGGCAAACGGCAAGCCTTTGTAGAAGCCTTGGGCCTTCCCACCAGGTGTAGCAGCAGCATGCCGAGCTGCAGAACGGTGAAGGAGTGCGGCGAATAATAGGTATTAGATGTGGATAGGATGGTGTGAGATGGGATGTTTATGAGTTGTAGATTGGCATTTCTAACCTCCGATCCCCTGCCTCTTGTCCTCGGTGATAGATAGCATATCATTCTCTCCATATAATAGGTAGGTGATACACACATACCCAGACGATAATTATCGCTGGAACTGTTGTGCTCGTGCTCTGCTGACCGCCCCGGGTTTCCTCGCAGAGTCGTGGAGGTGGACCTCACCTTCTCCAACCTCGCCCTCCCGTTCCGGTACCCCTGAATACCAGGACGGAGTTGCGTCTACCGCCTTTGCTGCGAGCAGGGTTTCTGGCGACCAGCGTCGTCGACTCGGTGTGAGAACATACCTTACCTAGGTGTATATGTCCCGTCTGCGCACGATACATCGGAGAGCTGAAAAACTGGATACGTGGATATAGGTAGTAAATACCTGCCGACCTAGAGGTGCCTGCGGTGTCCAAATCTGTGCTGAGATGCTTGGTACTCAGAGGTGAGGATGCTGCAGCATTTTCTACGGTCCATAAATATGCATATATAGGGTATAAGATATAGCAATGAGCGGAAATATGCGGTTAGCGGTGTCATGTCGTACGTAGTTAGGTACCTTTGCCCAGGTAGCCGGGACTGGCCCCTGGCCACGTACCTGCCTAGAGTGTGTCTGCCCTGAATTGCGGCTCAGGCACCACGTACAGGCGGACACTGTTATTACGCATGCCGCGCGGGCCATCCCTTGTCAGCGCAACTCACCGTGTTGCTTTTGTATTTTCTAGCGTCTTCAACCGCTTACCGGGCCCCCATCGTAGACGACAACGAACTATAAGCTAGTTTGCACCGCTTTGAGGCGTGACCGCGATGCTCGTAGCGAGCTGCACAAAGAGTAGTACCAGCCGTACCAGTGGAACTTTACCATGGCAAGCGAAGCGGAAGCTCCCCTGATATCGCGCCGGGACGACGGGTTGGAAGATGAATCCCACACCGATGCCGAGGACGAGGCAGTCGAGTGGCCGGCCGGCCGGCCGGGGCTCTTCATCTGGCTCCTGACCCTATCCGCCGGCATCAGCGGGCTCCTGTTCGGATGTAAGCACCTACGCGAATACCCCCCTTCCCTCCCTCCCTCCTCTTGTCCGACGCACCCCGCTTACACCCCGCGACAAGACGACACCGGCGTCATCTCGGCGACGCTGGTGTCCATCGGCACGTCGCTGTCGGGGCGGGCGCTGACGTCCCTCGACAAGTCGGTGATCACGTCGTGCACGGCGCTGCTCGCGCTGGCGGCGTCGCCGGTCTCGTCGGTGCTGGCGGACCGCGTCGGCCGCAAGCCGGTGATCCTGCTGTCGGACGTGCTGTTCGTGGGCGGCGCGCTGGCGCAGGCGCTGAGCGCGACGGTCGGCGGCATGGTGGCCGGGCGGGCGGTGGTCGGCGCGGCCGTGGGCGCGGCCAGCTTCGTCACGCCGCTGTACATCGCCGAGCTGGCGCCGCCGGCGCACCGCGGCCGCCTCGTGACCATGAACGTGCTGTCCATCACCGCCGGCCAGGTCGTCGCCTACGTCGCCGGCTGGGCCTTCGCCGAGCACGCCGACCCGGCCGCCGGCTGGCGCTGGATGGTCGGCCTCGGCGCCCTCCCCGCCGCCCTCCAGTGCGCCCTGCTCCTCCGCATGCCCGAGACGCCGCGCTGGCTCGTCCGCGCCGGCAGGTCCGCCGACGCCCGCCTCGTCATCGAGCGCACGCTGGCGCCCGACTCGGCCCCCGCGCCCCGCCGCCGCCGCGTCGTCGACGCCGTCGTCAAGGATATCGAGAGGGAGATCAGGGAGGAGCAGGGCCGGGCGCCGCCCGGCGCCGCCCCCGCGTGGCTGCGCGGCTGGCGCGAGCTCCTCGGGGTACCGAAGAATCGGCGAGCGCTCACCATCGCGTGCCTGCTCCAGGGCTTACAGCAGCTGTGCGGCTTCGTAAGTGCTCAAGACACCCCTCTTCTTCTCCTCTGTATAGTAGCACGTAGACACACATACCCCCACGGACGTACATGCGGTAGCTGACAGACAGCATTAGAACTCGTTGATGTACTTCTCTGCGACAATCTTCACGATGCTAGGCTTTTCGATACCGACACTGACGTCGCTGACCGTCGCCGCGACTAACTTTGCATTTACCGTCCTCGCGTTGCTCCTGATCGACCGGATTGGGCGCCGGCGGATCCTGCTCTACTCGGTACCTTTCATGGTGGCTGGCCTGCTCCTTGCGGCCTTCGGCTTCAGCTACGTCAAGCTTCCGTCGACGGGGACTGATTCCTCCGCGCCCGGCGGAGCCTCCTCGCCGCAAGGCGCCGCCGTCATTATTCTCGTGAGCATCATGATCTACGTGGCCGCGTACGCGCTCGGGCTGGGCAACGTCCCCTGGATGCAGAGCGAGCTGTTCCCTCTCAACGTGCGGTCGCTCGGCAGCGGGGCGGCCACGGCTACGAACTGGCTGGCCAATTTTATCATCGGACTGACCTTCTTGCCCTTGGTACGTACTTCTCCCCGCGGCCCCCGAAGCCACCCCCGTCGGCGGGACCCGTATCCTTTTATCTTCCTTGTCCATATTTACTAACGCAGGAGCAGTAAGTGATCAACGCGTGCCTTATCGCAACCCACTCCTCCTCACCGATCACGGATGAGATCCCTTATTTTTATTTTTATTTTATTTTTATTTTTATTTTTTTGCAATGGGGGGGGTTTTTTTTTTCAATCCTCTCACTCTGCTGCTACGGTTGACTGACAATGCCGCAGGATGGAGTGGCTGACGCCGACGGTGACATTTGCCTTGTACGGTGCCGTCTGTGCTGCGGGCTGGTTCGCGATCTGGAGGATATACCCGGAGACGGCGGGCCTGACTCTGGAGGAGGCTACGTGTCTGCTGGAAAACGGGTGGGGTGTGAAATGAAACTGTCGAGAGCGGGAGAGCGCGCAGATTGCTCGCCGGCCCACACGACGCACGGATGGGCGGCCGGTGACGAGGCCTCCATGGATCGGAGATAAAAAGCTGGCTGGCTGGCTGGCTGGCTGGTTTCGGGTTTACCGCCACATGTGTTCGTATGTCCATAGGGCTTTCTCCCCCTCTCTCCTCTCTCCTCGCCATCAGCTTCGGCGCCCGTATCTTACCTGCGCCTGCGTGTACAACGGCCTTCATAATGGGCCGAGACCGCCCTCTCGGCTCGACACCGGTCGCTCCGACTGTCCGCTGCGGGGAGAGGTATGTACATACTAGTGTGTGCGCATGGCCTTAGTGCGGATCCCGGGGTTCTGGAGGGCGACGAAGATAGATCTGCTGCATATATGCTAGTCGGGTCCTCGGCTGCCCGGTTGCGCTGCTGCTGCGTGCATTATCTCTCCATACGACTAATTTGTATAACTATATGTGTGTAAGTGTGTGTGCGTAAAACACGAGAACCAGTCATCCGAGGGTATCTCACATAATCTAGCTACCTTAGCTTACACCATCTCCGTCGGGGTCTCCATCGACTTTTACCACGCACACACAAATTATATATATATATCTGTTTATCCTACGTAGGCTACCGTTAAAGCCGGCGTGAATAAGCGGGGTGCATGACACGCGCATATTGTTACCGTCTAGAGCACATTGTCTGTCGGCGCACGGGTTTAATACTAGTCCATGTACTCATAGGGAGTAGGTATATGGAAGGTAGACAGAATTTTGGGCTGCGACGGTGGCCAGTGGTGCGATGAGTCCACTCTTCGAATTCATATCCCTGCGCGGATTGTCGAGCCTCTTAACCTGGGTATAAACATGGATCGTGTGTTGTGTAAACGCATTGATGTTTGGTATGCGTGGCATGCAGGTCCGCCCCATGGACTCATCTCCCGGAGGCTGCCTCTAGTGCGTCACCGTGTATATGAACATGCTAGGTTGTGTCTTTTCGTCTCCTTCTCGATGCGCGTGGACAGCCGATTTCCGACCGACCTGCGAGGAGCTATGGGGGTAATAACCGGGTCGCGACCATGGATGAGGTTGCGACGGGATGGATAGGTATGTGCGGCGGGAGGTCGGCACAGCCATGACTCCATGTCAAGTCATGTCCAGGCCAGTGATGGGCGCACGGAAAACGTCGAATCCCGGCGCTGCGTGGTATGTACTACCTAATGCCTCTGTGCCCAGCCCATAGACCGGGTACCTCGTAACCCTGCGCGGGTTTAGGGATTATGGAATGGAGCCCACCTCTTCTATCATGCGTGCGTGTACATATGGCCTGTGCATACATGTGTACATGACATGTACACGCCCGACGCTGTAAGGACCGGCTAGGGCTGTAGGCAGAGCAGATGTTCTACATGGCATATACCTACATACATATGTACCTCTGCGTATTTATGGTAGCATCGAGGTAGGCGCTATCCCTCGGGCGCTCCTTAGCGCCTCCTTAGGCGCTCACCAATTTCCCTACTAGGCGGCAAGCCGAGGCTGGTTAGATAATTAGGATGCCGTGGCTCGTTAGAATAGCCGAGATAAGATCTGACACGAGGTTTGAGGAAGAAAAAAAAAATAGGAAGAAGGGAAAAGAGAGACACAGAGAGAGAGAGGAAAGGGGAGCCCCTCGATAGAGGAAAAAAAAAAGTTATTAAATTTCTTCGGGGTGTGGGATTCGACCGCGTCCAAGCGTCACCAGCCGAGTGCGGCGATAAGCCCAACGCGGCCGGGCCATGGATTTGGATGGGATGGGTCGATCTCGTTTCTTTGTGTCACAATCTCGACGGAAACAAAACCACCACACCGCAGATTTTCGACGAAGCGAACCAGGTCCTGGCCAATGCCCGCGAGATGCCAGAGTCGATCCGTCGCGCCCCCTGTCCCAACCGTGCCATTCGTTCCTTTTTTTTTCTTTTCCCTTTCCTCGCCTGTCCCTCTCGGGTCAGTTAATTGGGTCGACAATGTACGTCCATGCCTCGTCCACGCGATACGGTGTAATGCTGTGTGGCTGTCTCTGCTTAATAATACCCTAGGGCTTCGCCAGCCAGGTTTATTGCCATATATCAGATCCGAGGTCTCCACCGGCCATGGCAGAGGGCCGCGGCCCTGTCACCCAGAGGCCGAGACGAGGAGGAGATCACCGGCCTGGGTGCCTCCTATGAGTACACAATAACATAGGCACCTACAGATCAGTAGGTTACTTAACGAAGGATAGGTTCGATTCCTAACAGCGCTACTTAGTAGTCTTCGCTATTTAGCTCATCTCCTACCTAGGAGGTACCTAAGGCAAGCAAGTGACTTACCTTAGCAGACATGACATAGCCTTAGTCACGCCTCGTCTCGGCACCTTCGCGCCTTTTCTAGAACTCAGAAGGTACCACGAGAAGGTCAAGCTTTCCCAAGAGGCGCGGCCGGTCGCCTCCTAACGCAGCAACGTCTAAGCCGTAAGCGGACGTGGGCCGGTATCCGCCGCACATGACCCCCTATACGGGAAGTATTGCTCTGTACGTACCGAAGTACAAGTCTCTGTTGGAGAGGATCCCAATTGGATTAATCGACGAATGATCAAGCAATAGATCGAGAGGGCGAGCAGTATTAGTAGAGCTAGCGACGGGTGGGAGGGACGGATTTGTATTCTCTGCCTGCTCTCCCAATCCCGTCCCGGTCCTTTCGTCATCGGGGCCGGGATCGCCTAGAGGGGAGGGAGAAGGGGGAGGGGGAAAAAAACCCCCCCCCTGGAAACGGTTGTCCCGCCGCTCCATGACCTCTCGCTCTTTTTTTTTCTCTCCCCTTTCCGTTAGGGTCCATAATTTGAGGCAAAAAGGCGAGTGCCGAAAGCCCGCTCGCGACTCTGTCGTAGCGGCGAACTCGACCACGGATGTACGTAGGAAATGTATCTTCTGCCCCTAATAAACCTGGGCTCCGGTCCCATATATCACCCACTTTCTACCACACACCCTTGTGCTCTTGAAATAATGCTAGGAGCAACTACTGGAACCAGTGCCCGAAATATCTTGGAACGCATTGTTGGGGTTTTATTTTATTTTTTTCACGTTCGGCCCCCTCTCGACTATTTAAACAAGTCTGGCTCGAATCTCCTGATCTCGTAGCGAGAAGCCCTCCGTTTTGGTTCTCGCCCCGTCCCCCATCTTCCCAATTGCCTCCTCGGCTCCCGTGTCTTTGTTCCCCGGCCTATATTGCCAGGCATCTGGGGTTTCTCTTCTTTCATTTAAGAGACAATTGCCTATTACGTACACATACCGGGTTGGCATATACACCTCACATATCCGTTGGACGACGACGCTATCCTCTTATACTTATACGACGTTGTAATACCTCTAACGAGTTGTCCGCGCGCGTTTACGTTGCGTGCCAGTCGACCAACCCTAGACAAAGACGCCGATCCCACCCAGCATTGACTCTCCGTCCGGGGCTATATACGTAGCTATCGACGCCTAGAGTTAAGAGCTCTCCCCGCGCGATGCCCCGTCCCGGATCAGCCATGGACGAGGTAGACCGCGAACTCATACTGGCGTCGGAGGACGCTCGGGTCCACATGTCCCGCTCCAACACCGAACAGCAGCAAACGCAGCACCGGCCCAGCAGCGAAGTAGAGCGCGTGGTCACCGCCACGTCCATATCGACGTCGTCGAGCGACGATGCCGTGGCGCGGCGGCACGGCGGCCTGAGCCGGATCCCGACCCAGCGGGACCAAGAGAGAGACCCTACCGTGCTGAGCCGGATCAACACCGCCAGGAGTCAGCACAGCGCTACCGTCGGACGGAGCGCCACCTCGAGAACGCGCGAGTCTCGGCGGCCCTTACCCGCCTTCGGCGCCGGCAAGCCCTTTCCCCCGCCTCTACCCGACCAGGAAGAGTACGTCGTTGAGTTCGACGGGCCCGACGACCCATATCATGCCCAGAACTGGTCTCTCAAGAAGAAGTAAGTAGTAGTAGCAGTAGTAGTTCGGCGCCGGACGGACCCCCCCCCCCAAAACAAACGTGCTGTCCCTCGCGGCTAACACGCGCTCGCTCTTCTCCAGGTTACTGACGGCTGCTATGCTGGGGTATACCACCATGACGGCAGCCTTCGCGTCCAGCATCTTCTCCGCCGCCACGCCGTACGTCGCCCGAGAATTCAACGTTAGCTCCGAGGTCGGCATTCTGGGCCTGTCCCTCTTCGTCCTCGGCTTCGCCACCGGGCCGACCCTATGGGCCCCCCTGTCCGAGCTGAAGGGCCGGCGCCTCCCCATCGTCATCTCCATGTTCGGCTTCTCCGTGTTCTCCATCGCCTGCGCCACGGCCAAGGACCTGCAGACCCTGCTCCTCTGCCGCTTCTTCGCCGGCTTCTTCGGCGCCTGCCCGCTCGCCGTCGTCGCCGCCGTCTTCTCCGACATGTTCAACAACGCGACCCGCGGCGTGGCCATCACCATCTTCTCCATGGCCGTCTTCACCGGTCCGCTGTTCGCCCCCTTCGTCGGCGGCTTCATCGTCCAGTCCTACCTCGGCTGGCGCTGGACCATGTACATCGTCAGCTTCATGGGCTTCCTCGCCTTCGCCCTCGACCTCCTCTTCCTCAGCGAGACGTACCCGCCCGTCATCCTGATCGAGAAGGCGGCCGAGCTGCGCCGGCGCACGCGCAACTGGGGCATCCACGCGAAGCAGGAGGAGATCGAGGTCGACTTCGGGGAGCTGCTGCAGAAGAACTTCACCCGGCCGATGCGGCTCCTGTTCGGCGAGCCCATCGTGACGCTGCTCTCCATCTACATGGCCTTCATCTACGGCCTGCTCTACCTCTTCCTGACCGCGTACGGCTTCGTCTTCCAGGGCGTGCACGGCTTCAACGCGGGCGAGTCGGGGCTCGCCTTCTTCGGCATGATCATCGGCCAGCTGATCGCCGGCATCGTCGTGCTGCTCGACCAGCCCGCGTACCAGCGCAAGCTCGCCGCCAACGGCGGCGTGCCCATCCCCGAGTGGCGCCTGCCCATCGTCATCTACGGCGGCGTCGCCTTCACCGGCGGCATCTTCTGGTTCGGCTGGTCGGGGTACCGCGCCGACGTGCACTGGATCGTCCCCGCCGCCTCGGGCATCCTCACCGGCTTCGGCCTCATGGCCATCTTCCTCCAGGCCCTCAACTATCTCGTCGACGCCTACCTCATGTTGTAAGTTCTCCCTTCCTCCCTCCCTTCCATATAGATAAAACATTTTATATCCATAAAAAGAAAAGACATGAAGACTAACCTCGGAACCAACAACAGCGCCGCCTCGGCCATCGCGGGCAACACCTTCCTCCGGTCACTGTGCGGCGCCGGCTTCCCGCTCTTCTCGACCTACATGTTCAACGGCATGGGGATCGAGTGGGCGTCGACGCTGCTCGGGTGCGTGGCGGCCGCGCTGGTGCCCATCCCCGTCATCTTCTACCTGTACGGCCACAAGATCCGCCAGCGCAGCCACTTCGCGCCGACGGGGGGCCCGCTCGCGCCGCCGGCCCCCGCCCCCGGCGCGTCGAGCTCCAGCAACGACACCGCCATCGACGCCGGCGCCCCGCCCGTCGACCAAGCGGCGGCCGCGAGCGCGCCGCGCACGGTGACGAAGGAGGAGAAGGCGTGAGGAGCAAAAGTGTGGCAACATCGCGTTGCGGCGTTGGTTTAATGTCTTTTTTTTCCTGCTTTGCTTTGAGTTATTAGCGATCTAAGACACGATTCCCCTCCTCCCCTTCCCCCCCTCTTCTTACATCTCTCACCTCTCCCCTCTCGGGGGCATAATGTGCAGACTTATATAGACCTCCCGGTGGTTTTTTTTTTTTTTTTTGGCTTTCTCGTCCCCGGGCTTCTCGATCGGGAACGTGGAAAACGGGATACAACGAGCGAAAATAAGGATGGAACTTCGGGAACAACACGAGCGGCGCACATAAGGGGCGCGGAGCACGTACGGTACGGCGCGCATATATATATATACACATGTTATAGCACGGCAGCATGTGTCGCATAATGTTGGTTGGTTAGTTGGTTAGCGGCGCGGAGGCAGGACGACGACGACGACGACGGAGAAGGGAAACGATGCGTGCGCGCGCGCGCGTAAGGATACGACGGGATGCGGGTGTAGACAGCGGGGCCGCATGTTGTGCCGGTCGGCCCGGGGGGGGTTAGGTGGCGGGTGAGGAGGCGGCGGCGGAGAAGAAATTAATGCCCACATGGCCTGTTGTGCAGCCTCTGCGTGCGTTTCCTTGATTTCTTGGTTGTCTACGTAGTCGTAGTAGTAAGCCGCCAACTGCCCCTCCGTCCCGCCGTCCTCTGCGGGTAACAATGTCGCTCGGCATCTGCGGCGCCGGCGCGCAAGCAAGCCGGCTGTCAACGGGCCGGGCTTGTCGGCCTAGCGGCACGCAGTCACGGCCGCGTCGGACGGGTAGCGCCGCAGCTCGCAGGGCTGGCCGCGACGCATGCGCGCTTCGCGGCCTCGACCCCACCAGCCTTGGTCTCCTGGGGTTCGCTCGCTCTCGCGCTCTCCTCGGATCGCCGGCGGCGCTCTCGCCCTGGGCCTAAGTACGGGCACGGCGTATCCCTGGCTAGGGAGACTCGCGCTTAGAGTGGTGCTCAGATTGATAGTGGGAGGTGGTAGGACTTGCACGCACCGGGCTTGAAGGCAGACATACGGACGACGGCGGCGGCGGCAAAGCAACGCGAATTACGAAGACTTCTCTCGTCCCATGTCAACGCATCGCGTTTTATTCCCTTTCCCCCCCCCTTTCCGTTCGATTCCCTATAGCCCTATTCTATTGAAAAAAATAGGAAAAGAAGGGGGAAAAGAAAAGAGGAGACCACAGCACCACTGGGATGCCTATCACCTTGCCCGCAACCATCCCGTCCCCTTCTTTTTCTTTGGCGCCTCGCGTAAACCTGCCCAGTCCGCCTAGCACCTCTCTCCTCCCGCCAACCCTCACGGCCGTCAGTTCTGCCTCCGCGCATACAGGCCTTCGGCCGACGTGATGCAGTGGATGTTGGCGCCGAGCTTGTTCATCGTCTCGATCCACTCCTCGTACTCGTCCGAGTCGAAGACGATACCGCCTCCTGCCGGCTGGGGTTAGTCCTCTCGCGTGACATGTAGGAAGAAGGGGGGAGCAGAAGGGGGGGGGGAGGAAAGGGAAGGGGAAGTGGCGGAGGAGGTGCTCGTCCTTACCAGCCTGGAGGTACGCGACGCCGTCCTTGACCACCATGGTCCGCAGCGCGATGCACGTGTCCATGGCGCCGGGAATCTCGCCCCCGGCGGCGTCGACCGCGCCGTACCCGAAGTACCCGACCGCGCCGGCGTAGACGCCGCGGCGCTCGCCCTCGAGCTCCGCGATCAGCTCCATGGCCCGCACCTTGGGCGCCCCCGACACCGTGCCGGCCGGGAAGATGGACCGGAAGGCGTCGAACCGCGACTGTCCCGGCCGCAGCTTGCCCGACACCTGCGACACCAGGTGCTGCACGTGGCTGAAGCGCTCCACCACCATCAGCCGGTCCACCCGCGTCGTCCGCGGGTCGCACACGCGGTTTACGTCGTTGCGCGCCAGGTCGACCAGCATCACGTGCTCGGCGCGGTCCTTGAGCGAGTTCCGCAGCTCGTCGGCCAGCCGGTCGTCGTCCTCTGGTGTGCGCCCGCGCCGCACCGTGCCGGCGATCGGGTGGGTGATGATGCGGCCGCCGGCCTCCTTGACCAGCAGCTCCGGCGACGCCCCGACGATCTGGAAGTCCCCGCAGTCGACGTAGAAGAGGTACGGCGACGGGTTCACCGTCCGCAGGTGCCGGTAGATGTTGAACGGGTGCAGCGTCGTCGGCCGCGCGAGCCGCTGGGAGGGCACCGCCTGGATGATGTCGCCGGCCACGATGTGCTTCTTCAGCTCCGTCACGTGCGACTCGTACCCCGACTGCCCGATGTTGGACGTGTACTCCTGGTTGAGCTTGATCGGCTGCTGGTGCGGTATGGGGATCTCGGGCGAGTTGAGGACGTCGATCAGCTCATAGATGGTCGCCGTGGCCTTCTGGTACTCGCTCTCGAGGGCGGCCGGGTTGTCGGGGATGCGGAGGTAGGTGATGACCTTGATGACGCCGAAGAACCTGTCGAAAGCCACGATGGTGTCGAATAGCATAAACAGCGACTCGGGCGTCTTCAGCACGTCCTTCAACGGTCGCGCCGTCTTGGGCTCGAAGTACCGCACGCAGTCGTAGCCCACATAGCCGACAGCGCCGCCAGTGAGGGGCGGTAGGTTGAGGTCTGGCACATGGGCGATCACGTACTCGGCCAGCTCCTTCTCGAGACCGGGCAGCGGATCCACGGACTCGCCGTGGCCCTCGCCCGTCTTGAGGACCTTGCGGGGGCCGGCACCGACAAAGCTGTACCGGCCGACGCGCTCTGTGGCGGCGCTCTCGAAGAGGAAGGAGAAATCCGACTTGGAGTGGGCCGAGACCTTCAGATAGGCGGCCGAGGGCGTGATGAGGTCGGCGGAGATCTGGCCGTAGAGAGGAACCCGGTTCGGCTTCTTGGGGCCGGCCTGGGGCTTCGAGAGCAGGGTCTTGACGGTATCTAGCGAAGGTAGGATGAGATCCTACAGCAAGTAGATGAGATTAGACGACCTGCCCACCAGAGAGACACAGACGGGTTGAGGGGGGTGGGCATGTTTATATTCGTCGAGCACAGCACCGCGTATAGCACGGCGCAGAGGCGGTACGTGAGCTGTTCGACTGGGTATTTCCTTACCGCTTGAGCCATGGTGACTGGTGGCTGTTGGCGACCGATTGCCTAGGGATTTGGGGAGACGGGCTGGCGAGAGGCCATGCGTTTTGGGTGCGAGGTCGTCGGTGTGACCTACCTGTCCCTCTCCCTGCGGTGTATTGATATAGACATTTTATCGCCGACGACGGAAGGCTGGCAGGTACGGGGGTACCTCCACGCACCTGCCAGCTTTCTTTCCTGTTGGCTAACCTCAGATGTTGACCGACCTAAGCATGTACCTGGATATGTAGGTACCTATATAGCAAACATGTACCTACATTATCGACTTATCCGTAGGTGAATCAGCCGCTAGTCAACCCCGCGGGGAGGAGAATTTCCCTAGCTAACGCTTATCTGCCCAACCGTTTGTGTGGCCTATACTACACCTACCTAATACCTGCCTATACCTATAGATAGCCGACCACGGCGCTTGACCGAGGGGAAGTGGCCAAGAGGCGGGGTGGTGGATAGGCAGGCTACCCCTCACCGTGTCCCAAATGGAAAGAGACACGGTACAGATTCTACCCGATCTTGCATTCTCGCCTACAGTACGAGCCGAAATTGATAAGCACCTTATCATGCCTCGATCTCTTTATCGCCAGGATGCGTAGGTATTATACCTACCTGCCTATAGGTGCATACATACACGTACCTAGGTCATGTAGGTACCCTTAGCTCCCACACCTGGCCCGTAACGAACCCCGTCTCCTCCGATCTCGAGCGCCTCCAATTGACTGGCCCCCCCCTAACTCTCGATCGCCAGCGCCTTGGCGCCGACGAGCTTCGCGCCCTCGCCCTTGCCCTCCGTCGCCACCACCCAGTACTCGACGCGGGCGCCGCCGCGAGGGACGCGGTACACGCGGACGTCGTTGCCGGCGCCCGCCGCGCGCACCGCGTCCACCACCGCCGCGTACTGGCCCCGCGGATCCCACTCCGCCGGGTCCAGGATCTCGATCGACGCCCCCGCCGGGTCCGGGTGCCGGATCAGCGACGCGAACTCCTCTGCGCGCGCGCGCCGGTGTTAGCCTCTGGTCTCTCGCACCCCCTGTCTCCTCGTCTCGGCGTCGTCCCCGAGCGCTAGGGGACGTGCGCACACGCCCGTGCAGATAATGCTTACCTAGATATCGCAGACGGATATCTAGATAGCTGGGCGACAGGAGAGGGGGAGGGGGAGAAGGGGGCAGTGATGTTACCACCTCCTCATCGGCAGAACGTACCTTCGTCCGGAAGCCCCTTGCCGCCCTCGTCCCACGCGAGGTAGACCGGCAAGAACGGCTCGTCGGCGTCGCTCACGTAGAAGCTGTCCTTGGTCACGTCCGCGATGACGGCCGGGATCTGCGCCCCGTCGTCCGTCGCCTTGAGCTGCTGCTGCTGCTGCTGCCCGCCCGCTCCCTGCGGCTGAGCGCGCCCCTCGCCCGGGTCCTGGTTGGCCTTGTCTAGGAAGGCTATGTAGTCGCCGTCGGACGCCATCCTGTTCGCGGCTCCGCCTGCCGTTGTCGCGCCAAAGCTCCGCGGCTTCCCGGGGGTAGCCGCACTGGCGGTGGTGGTAGAAGCGGTGGGTCGGAGATGGATTCGACTTCGTAGCGCCGTCAACCCGGTGGCGGTGGCGTGGCACGTAGGCTGCTGTGCTCTTCCTTCGGTGATGGTGGAGGAGGAGGTGATTGTACGGCAATGTACAGCCGGGAGCGTCGGTCTCGATCGAAGGCTGTGTCGATGGAGCGGTATGCGAGTAGCGCTGCGTTTGCTCAGCAGGGGGAATGCGATTGATCCAGACATTGATCTAGATATAGGTAGGTATGTCAATCGCACGAATTGGGCAGCATCTCATGGAGGGGGGGCAAAAATCTCCGTCGCACCATCTAAAAAGCAAGCTTATCACGTTGTTTTTTCTCTAACTCACCTAAGTACTCGTCATTAGTCATTAAGGAGGTAGTAGTAGCCTGACTTTAGGTGCCTCAGGTACCTATTATATGTAGAGGTAGGTCGGTATGAAGGTATACGTACCTACCTAATGCATACCTAGGTAGGTACCTAGGTAGGTAGGTACCTACGTAGGTAATCACATAACGCCTTTGACGTCACCTCCGGGCACAGGACGGATAACGCAGGTAAGGTAAGATACCTAAGGTACATTCTCTAATACCTCCAGGTACAGGTGTCTACCTATACCCAGTACCTGCCTACGGCACCCAACGTGCCTGGTAGTGTGTACCTACCTGATGCGGCCATTGACCCACTAATACTGCGCCCGTCTCCTAGGGCTGGCGCCGCAGCAATGCAGGCTATCTAGACTTGCCAAGGAGGTCAGCAGCAGGACGACAAGAGAGACTGGTTCGAGGACCCCGTGAGATATTCCTGCGCGTAAGCGGTTAAAGTGACCGTGACATGCCTGCCTAGACTAGGTATGTAATACGGCCCTGTTATCCTCCGTGGCATTCCGCCCGGCGCGGAGTCGTCGCGATGGGCGTGGCGCGAGAGAGGGCGAGAGGGTTCGCCGCATCACCGACTCCCTACAAGCCCGCTTTTAGGCATGAGAACATGTCGTCGTCGTCGTCGTCGTCGTCGTCACGGCCGGAAAACTAGAAGACAGGCAGTGTTTGTATAACTCGATTTTACGACTTTTGTTTCGTGCATTTGTTCATTATCAACCCTAAGACTCAAATGCCAACCCTAGACCATGCCCATCGCGCAGAAGCCGAAAAGGGAACCAGGAACACCGATGCCGAGACAAGACACGAAGAAATGCGAACCCTCTTACGAGCTCTGCACGAGGTCCTTCTTGAGTGTGCCCTGGAACTGCTTCTTCTCCGCCGGCGTCTGGAAAGCACCGTGACCAAACTCCGAAGAAGTATCGATCCACTTCAGCTCCACCTTCTCCAACGCCTTTCTCGAAGTGTGCGTGAACATCGACTTCCGTAGCGTCACCACACGCTTCTTGACACCGGGGATTGAGCCCTTGACCATGACGAAGTCGTTGTTGACCTCGCCGTATCGGACGAAACCGCCCAAGCTACACACACCGGTCGTTAGCATGCACCTAACCGATTCTAACTCAACTGCAACTTACGGAGTAATCGTCTTCTTAGTGACGTCCTGTTCGGTCGAGCCGTTGCTCTCGTTATCACCCTTGCCGATGCGGTAGACCTTGTGGTTGACCGAGGTACGGTGGTGGTAACCTTGCTGACCGGCACGGGCTACGGTCCACTGGACGTGGGAAGGATGCCAGGCACCGATACAGGCGACCTTGCGGAGACCCTTGTGGGTCTTGCGGGGGAGCTTCTTGGTGCCCCAGCGAGCGGTGACACCGCTGAAGCCGTGGCCCTTGGTAACGGCGATGACGTCGATCACCTCGTCCTGCTCGAAGATGGTGTCGATGCTGACGGGCTTCTCGAAGAGGCCGTGGCCAAACTCGACCTTGTCAGCGACGGAGCCGCCATTGATCTGAATCTCCATGAGATGAGCCTTCTTCTGCTTCAATGGCGTCTTCCGGATCTGAGTGTGCGCCAGAACACGGACGACCGTGCAGTATTTCTTGATGCGCTCAAGCTCTCGGGTGATGGAGGAGCCGCTGCTCTCCGAGTGCTTCTTGGCGTACTTGGTAAACGCCTTCTTCTTGCTCTTGTACCAGTTCTTGTAGAATCGGCGCTTGAGTTCGTCGCCCAGATGCTCAGCCCAGACGGTAGTGAGCGATCGGAGACCACGGGGCGTCTCAATGTAGCCCACAAGACCAACAACGATCATCTGTTCAATAGATGTTAGCCATAGGCACAGAGCCAAGCGGGCTGCGTTGTTCGTACAGGGGGAGTGTCGATAATTGAGACCGCCTCGACAATTTCCTTCTTGTGGGACTTCGCGCCGGGTCGGTCGAGGTCGCGGACGATGGTCGTCATGCCCGCCTTGTAGCCCATGGCGGCGGTGAGGTGGACCGGCTTTTTGGGGTCATCCTTGGGGAAGCTGGCAACAGCGAGAGCAAATTAGCACTGCCCCAGCTAGATGATGGAGAGGAGACGAGAGGCGATGAGCGACGAGTGACGAAGCTTGTCACCGAGCTGGGGGGAGCCGGGGGGTTTCTGGCGACATGGCGTATACTCACGACTTTACCTTGCCACGGTGACGAGAGGCGCGCTTCCTCGGCAGGAAAGCGAGCGAACCGTGACGGGGGGCCTCGAACTTGCGGTGGGACATCGTGGATTGATTCTGTCCTGGTGCAGAAAGAAATCAATCAGTCGGGGGCAGTCGATGGTGGATGTGGGAGAAGCGACAACTAAGAAAATGTTCAGGAAAAGGAAATCCTTCCCTCGATAGTGAGAAGAAAAAACCTCCTGTGGGTAGCAAAAAAAGTGAAGCCCGAAAATTAACCGAAGCTCAAGTGGGGTGGGCAAAAAAACGCACTCCCGCCCATTGCACAGAAACCCTAAGAATAGTCACGTGATGCACAGAAGGCTTAGGTACCTAGGTACCTATTTACTGCTCAACCTAGCACATACCTACCTTAGGTAGGTACACCCTTGTGTTAGGGGGAGCCCCCTTGATCTATGTACCTCCTATGCATATCCGTCACAGAATCGTAAACGGGGTTATCTCGTCAAAAGAGTCTCAACGTAGGTAGTTAATGTTAAATTGATTCCTCGAGAGTAATAAAGTAAACAGTTAAAAACGATTGTCAGACTTGACGTCGCCTTCTCTAGTTTCTAACAGAGAGGGGCTGCCCGCCAACTTAGCAACTGATATACACAGTTTTGAAGCAATCCAAGCACGATGGCCAACGGGGGTATGTATCGACGTTCCAAGTATTCATTAAGCCAGGTCGCTTCAAGCGTTTCCCTCAACCTTCGGCGCCGGCCCCATGAGCCCGTTAATGCTCGAGCTCGTTGGCGTGGTATTCTTCAGGTCCCCGACCGCTGAACCGGCGCCCGAAGCCGGCCCTCCGACGTTGACCTTCTTTTCCTCTTCCCCGCTATCGTCGTAATCGTCATCGACATCCATCTTCCTAGCCGCCCGCTCGGGCTCATTTATCTGGGGCGGAGCGGGAGCGACGGGATGTTCGAGTCTTTGTCGCTCGTCAGGATAATCTTTTGGGGCCGGGCTCGGTTGCGGTCCGTCGTGAATTAAGCCGTTGATGGGTGGAGGACCCTGCTGCATGGGAGGTAGATGGTTCTGGTTCGTCATGGCATGAGTAGAGGGGTGGTGGGCAGCCTCCGACGGGTGGTAACCGTCGTTTGGGTGCCGTTGCTCCTCGACACGCCGCATCTCTTCGACCCTCCTCTGAGCATCGGCGAGCCGTTGTTCTTCTATGCGGCGCGGATCCTCGAAGCGATGAGCGTCGGGCGAACGACGATAATGCTCTCGGGGTGGCGTTGACGGCCGGCGGTGGCGCATATCCTCCATACGCGCTCGGTTTTCATCGTTAGCGGGCTTCTTGATGGAGGGCTCGTCTTCCCACTCCCGCATCCTCTTCGATGCCACAGATGCCGGGCGGTCATGATCCCGATGCATATCGGGGCCGATCGGCACTTTCGGGTGAGGCGGAGCACCCGGCTCCATGCTGCTAGGCATCCCAGGCTCCGGGTGATGAGGGTACGGAGGTTGATGCTGTGGATACGCTGATTTTGGAGAGGGCATGCGGTTGTCGTGGATGGGCCGCGGCTCCGAGCGCGGAGAACCGTTGCGGTAAGACAACAAGGAATGCGGTGGCGGTGGTCCATTGGGCGGGCCGTTGACCGGGGCCATACTGGAAGAAGGTGCCGGTGTATAGTTAGGGTTAGTAACTCTGGCCGGCCCTTGCGCCGGGGGTGGCGGAGGCTGCTGGGACGGGCCTGGCGGAGGATATTGGTTGGGAGGGCCGGGGGAAGGGCCCCTTCGAATCGGCGCCGGGCCCGGGCGGGAGGATTCCCCATACTGCCTCATCTCCTGCCGAGGACTGGGTTGCCGTGGAAGCGGGGGCGCCGGCCCGCGAAAGGGCTCCCGCTGCTCGTAGGGATTGGGCGGCTGCGGCGGGTTGATATCGCTAGCTCTCTGGCCCCAGCCGTTCGCGGCGGCAGGCCCCGGCAGTGGCCTATGAGGGGCTCCGGGTCCGGACTGCTGCATCGGCGCAGAGCCGGTCCACGGAGGTGCCTGCGGTCCCTGGGCCCCGTACGACTGGGGGTGGACGTCGGTAGGTACAGCTTGCGGGAGACTTCCCGGGGTCTGGCCGGCACGTAGCAGCTGCAATCGAGCCTTGATGTGCGGGTTGGTAGGGTCCAACTCGGCAGCCCTCTGGTAGGCGTCGAGGGCGTCGTTGATCTGATTGTTACACGACTCGTACTGCGCAATCTGTCAGTTCCCCCCTGCTGGAGAGGCAAAAGACAGCTCAGCAACTTACCAAAGTACCCAGGTCGTACCAGACCTCGGATATGTACGGGTTCAAGCGTATGGCACGGGAATATGCATCCAATGCGTCGCGGTACTGATTGATCTGGTAATAGAGCACACCAATGGAACACCAAAAGGTAGGATTCCGGCCGTCGCGATACACGGCCTGTTGGTACGCTTCGTAGGCTTTAGGATACTTCTGCTGTGACATGTAACATCGACCGAGAAGATACCAGCTCTGAGCGTCGTTGTTGTCTGCCACGTGTGAGTGAGGAACGAGCGAACGGGGGACATCTCGACGTTGGTTACGAAAAGACTCACCAGCGGCAACGGACTTCTCTAGATACTCGATTGCGCGTTCCTGCGTCTGGAAACTACTGCTTTGCTGGTGATGTAACCAGCCAAGCTGCTGCAAGACCTTGGCGTGGTTTGGGTCACGGTCAAGAACCCGCATGTAGGCCACCTTTGCGCTGTCATACTATACATACTCTAGTTAGTAGATGCTTAGACAGTGCGGCAAGGGGGCGAGTGGGGGCGGCACTTACGTCTTTTTGCTGTTCGTGGACGTGCCCGATTTGGAACCAAATATCCTCCTCTGTCAGCGGCGGAGGGGGGGAGTTTACGATGTATTTAAAGCACTGCCGCGAAACCGGTTAGCTAACAGAAGCAAGGGACAGCGCGCTTCCAGGAGACTTGCCTCTAGACTCGGACCATACTTGGACTGCTGTTTGTAAATTATACCCAGACGGAAGTAGATCTCGTTGGCCTTCTCGAAGTCGGGCTGCATCTGCATGACTTGCGAAAAGGCTTCCTCGGCATGGTCGAGGGAGCCATACCGATCGTATAGGATCCCTATACCGTACCAAAGTTTGGGCTCCTGCAGCGGTCAGCTTTGTGCGAGACGCAAAATGGGCAAGGCACGGCGACGCGCGGGGGGTGGCAGAGGGGGGGGGGGGGAGGGGGTTCTCACTTTGGGGTTCGGTAAGTTCACCAGTGCAGACTGGTAGGCGGCGTATGCCTGTTGCAAATCGTCCATCATGAGATAGCAATGGCCTAAATAAGGCAACGTTAGTTTTTAGTCACAGACGGTGCATGTGCATATGGGCGTGGAACATACCAAGACTGCCCCAGACCTCGCCATTGTTGGCGTCAATCTTGAGTATAGCTTGCAGGTACTCGACCGCCTTGTGGAAGTCCTCGCGAGTCCTGAGGATCAGACTAATGGCGTTCATCGCCGGGATCGAGTTCGGGTTGGCATTCAGCGCGCGCTCGTAGGCAACCATAGCATCTTCGAAGTTGCCGAGAAGCTCGGAGAAACTGCCTGCGGAGGGTGATTAATCGATTGAGCGACCACGCGGACCGGGCGGCGCAGAGAGGGGGGCGAGGGGGAGGGGGCCTACCTATCTGCATCCAGAGCGCCTCGTTCACGGCCACGATGTGTCGCGACGGAGTCGTCCACGGAGCCCCTGGAGCCGGACCGGGTGGAGGGGGCGGCGCCGGCGGCCCATGGTGCAGCTGCATCGCCATCTGTGGCGAGGGATGATGATTTGCCATGAGGGTCTCGGTGTGCGAACTCGATCACGCGTCACGACGGCTTCGAATGCAATCCCTCTCGGTCTTCAATGCCGCACCCTGGGGCGGCCGTCGGATAGGGACCAGGGGGAGAAGCCGCAGCGAAAAGTTGTTGTTATTGCTGCGGACTTATTACCAGCCAGATTGCGAGCAGGGCTAGCGTAGAGAAACAGGCGCGACGCACGGCAAGGCGGACAGGAGGAGAGACTCTTGTTTAATACAAAATAAAAAAAGGCGCACTGGTGCGGGACGTTGTAAGTGATGGAGGGTTACTACCGTCGCAGGTCCGCCGAGTCGCAACTTTGCAGACGACGATGGACGCTGACGAGCGCTTGTGACCTGGGGGGGGGGGGGGGAATCGCTCCCGGTACGAAGGTACCAACAACGCTGATCTACTCAGTACGGGCGACGAAGAGGGCTGGGATGGCACGACGGCGGGAGACGTGCGATGGGTTTCTCGATGTAGGCGAGGCGAGCAGCAGAGGAGGAGACGGGGAGCACGACGCAGCTATCGAGAACTGGGTGCTGGAGGAAGAGGGAGGGGAGAATAATAAGCGGTGGAGAGGCTGGACGGGAAGAGAAGAAGAGTTGGGAGGCGGCCCAAGGAAGATTTGGACGGACAACTGTATCTACCCTAACCCACGAGAGCAATATTTAGGTAGATAGAACTAGCATGGGAGCAGGTGTGGGGCGTGCCACAAGAGTTCCTGGACCTGGATGCCGCTCAGGCCCAGGTAGCCACCAAGTACCCGTCAAGTACACGGTCTAACCTCTCTTGGCGGGTCTTTGGGGTCTTGGCCCACATGCAGCTGACATGCCGCCGACTCTTGATTTATTATTTCCCTTTTGATTTTAGCCAGTTTTATTATATTTATTATTAATTTTTTTTTTCCGTATTATTCTTTTCCAATACTGCCCATTCCCTCCTTCTATCCTTTTTCTCGTCGCTCTGCCCCCCGGTTCCCTCTCCCCACCACCTTCGCAACCCCATCTCCTTCCCCTCCCCTCCCGGTCCCTGATCCGGATTGGACCCAGGCAGAACATGCATGTGTGTTGCTTACTGCGGTTTTGCCATACGGCGCTGCTGCCACCTAACCCCGACCAAGGGCGGCTAGTATGGTTCAGTAAGTAGGTATACGCCTAAACACCTCTAGGCCGACGACGTCCGAGGGAAAAAGGGTCGGAGTTAGGTCCTTCGAGAGGAGAGGAGAGAGTTGGTCGGGCGTAAGGGGGCAATGCGTTGCGTGGATCTTGGAGCCGGCATGGCGACGTAGTAGCACGTTGGGTACCTACCTATACTCGGATTCCTGGCGGTAGCATTTCGTGGGATTGTCATGAGCCACCTGGTCTGATTGCCGAGCCGAGGAGGAGACGGGGTGTGAGCACGTTACGTGCAAGGTGGCTGGTGGCTACATCTCCGTCTGCGTTTGTCGTGCATGTCCCTCTCGGCTGCGTCACCACCAACTATATGGTGCCTATGCGAGCCCGCATCTCCGACGCACGTACCGGTAGATATGTGGATGTCAGGCCAGGCCAGGTATTGGCAGCGCTGATATATAGCATTATATGCGCTGCCCGCGGACCTGCACGGAGTGCCTAGAGAAAGGTTAGGACGCTAAAGAATGCGTGTGGGAGGTAACCTAAGCTGCGCTCCCTGCCCTAAGCAGGTCAATTAGGTAGTGCACCTAAATATGGATTCTTTGCGACGTTTTGTGCATAAACGCCGTCTGGGGCACGACGGGTTGCGGCTAAGGCCCACACGGGCTAACAGGAGAGACGTAGGTTAAGGTACCTGCCTGTAGGGAGGCACATGTAGGTACCTACCTAATGTATGTAGGAGGTATGTAGGTTATGTAGGTACCTGGGTATGTGTATATGTGTGTATGTATGTACCTATGCAGATGTATGCACGTACTGGTTGGAAAACCCAACCTTACCTTCGCATCATCGAAACCGAGCTACTATATCGACGAAGGTTCCCGCGAGAATAGGAGCACGGAGGGGGGGGGGGAAGGCCAGCGCAAGACCAAATGCCCTACATATACAACCAAATAACCACGATAATAAATAACAGTAGGCAGGGTACCTGGGGGATACTTAGCAGGACTTAGCCCACGCTGCGGCCAAAGTTCCGAAACACGTACAAATTGGGTCAATCACCGGTGGTGGCGGCTCGGACGGATTCGCTCTTGCCGCTTGGCCTGGGCGAGCCCCAGAGGAGGGTTTGTTTGGTAGAGGCACGCTTGCAGGGCTTGGTAAAAAGGGGGGGGGGGTGGGTGTGGGTAGTCATATTGCATCCCTTGGCGCTCCCGTGCAGCCCGCCTATCGAAGGCGAGGTACCTGACCTACGTACATATACGTGTGGCATGTAGCTAGGCGAAGGTACCCCGGTACTGCCAGGGGTGCCTCCTTGCTGACATGGGAGCGTAGGAAGGACATGCGCCCACTTGCCTGCCTACCTCATACGTACATATATACATAGGCAAGGTGTGGTGTGTGGTATGGGTATGCGGTGCACACCCACGTATCTCCATGCCGGCCGACACACACACACACATACACACACACACACACATACACACACACACACGCACCGCACGCACACACGCTCACTCACCTCACCCTCAACCTCACACAAAACCTACGCACCCGCTCTCCAATTCCACCCACATTCCTCATTGCGCACCTCCTGCCTACATACGTACTACGTAGCATACATACATCATGCTATGTGCGCACGTATATCCGTACATGGATTAGATTAGATTGATGTCAGTACAGGCACGCAGCCCTCCCCCCTAACGTATGGACGTCCATCTGGCGATACGCATGTACGTTATATGCCCGCATACATACAGGTCCAGGTACGTACGTACATACACAGGCGGGCACGTCCTGCCCACCGGCCCACTGGCTCTTCTTACCTACCTACATACCCAGGTACCTACCTATAACCTACAGAAGTGTGCAAATGCATGTATAATGCCAACTCGGGCATGTAAGTGGGAAGGTTATCTACCCAGGTACCTACCCACCTACCTAGGTACCTATATAATATATGCATGCGCGTATATATCTTAGGTACCCAACCTGCTGCTGCATGCAAGGTAATGGTCAGGACGATGTCCAGATGCATGTATACCTATATACTATAAGTCTACCAGGTAGTAGGGGAGGTATACACGTAAGGTAGAGGTTAGGAGGTAGGTATGTACATGTGTACCTATATATATACACCTCCCGCCCGCCGTCGATTTGGTGTCGAGGAACCCGAAGGAGGAACAATCTAAAAATTCGAGCGACGCTTATCTCTCTTGGTCGGAGTATTTATCCTCTCACCAAACCCCTTCCCTGCCGACGTTTGACGCACAGCTTCCCGCTAAACATCATATTACCCAACACAGCTAAGCCTGCACTGCAACCGTGCCAGACGATTCTCGCCTGCCACCTGTCCCGTTATTCATCCAGGACACGGCAAACGACGCCCTCCCCCCCCCCCCCCCCTCCATCTGGCTGCTAATATCGATTACTGTAAATCCCAACCCAAGGTACACCTGAGGAGGGGGGCTGCAGATGGAGGAGGTAGTGGCTGCCACGGTAGAGAAATCCACCCTCGCCCCTCATCCTACTCATTCTTTACCTACCTACCATTCCCTCTCCCGTTAAGGTTGAGCACGCAGCCATTCCCCAAGGCTGCCCAGAAGGTTAGGGGAGGCGGAAGGGGGAAATCTCGACGAGACTGGTATCAGATCGACGTATCCGGCAACCTCGCCATTGCCGAGGGCTGCGTGCCCGTAAATTATGCGGAAGCTGGTACAGGTAAAAGTCGTCTCGCCGCTGCAGAGAGCGCCCCCAGACCTCTGGTGCCGTCGCTGGACAGGGGGTCTGGGGAGAGCGGCTAGGGGGGGGGGGAAGAAGGACGTCGAGAAATATACCGCCTCGCCAGCGGTCAGTCGGCTGGAATGTCACCGCAATGCGACGAGGGAATACGATAGGGTTTGAGGCGTCGCGCGACACTCTAGACCAGGGAGGGGGGTTAAATGGTGAGGCTATTGCGGGTTGGCTGAATCAGGTCAGCAGGGAGATTGGGGTGGGCGTAGCCAAGCAGCCAATCTCGTCATCTCCCGAAGATCGAGGGTTAAGAAACACCGACGATGTGGCACCAATTTTCTTTTAGACTTCGGGGCGAGAAGGGGGGGGGGGGGGAGGAAACGAGGGAAAAAAAAAAAGGTCGAATCGGTCATTCCCGTTGAGGCAGTGTACGCCTCCGCGCTAGCACAGTTCAAGGAAAGCCCACGTGTCATAAGAAGGGGCTGGAATCTCGTCGCGGCTCACCTTGCGCCGTTTAAGGCCGTCTGGCGGGTTGCGTAATTACCATGTAGGCAGTTCCTGCCCTTCTACAGCATCCCTGGGGGTACCACCGGGGGTGGGTTCATAAATTCGTATTAAGAGTTTCATCACCCGGTGATCGGGGCGTTCGCTGATTGACCTCTCGCCGTTCATTGCTCCTCCCGCTGCCTCCGCCGGTCCAACTAGAAACCAGACGTCGGGCAGGGCGTCGGCAACAGCAAGGAGAGGGCCCATCTGGCGTGGGATAGCTGTGTATTCATATATCTGCCTGCGCAGCTGCGCGTGTGTCTGCCCCGGATGCCACGCGCCGTCGCCGGGTTCTAAGAGGCGGGTCAGTCAAGTCGGTCGGGACCGGCGTTGCTGCGCGGCGTCGACGGTGGGCGACTACTGAGAGAGCGATATGCAAGGTTGCGTGCGCGCGTATGGGTATGTGTGTGTGTGTGTTGTGTGTGTGTGTGTGTGTGTGTGCGTGCCTGCGTGTGCGCGCGTGTATGTGTGTGTGTTCGCAGCGTTCGTGAGTCGGGATGTTAGGATGTCGCCTTTCGATAATCGACTGAGATTGATCATTTGGAAGAGGGCCGGTTGGTCGATGGCCAGCGTGTGATCGTCGCCATCCAGCAGGCGAAGGCAGCTTTCTCCCGCAGGCTGCACGCAGCACGCATGCAATATGTGATTTCCCGGCATAAGCGTCCGCGAGATGGGTGCTGGGAATTTCCCATAACGAGCAAGAGGGTGTGGACGGAGAAAACTGCGACAGACCTGGGCAGGTTGCACGATTCGTACAGGTAATGAGGTGTCTGGGAGGTTGCCAATCACCCTGGCTGGAGGTTTCGGGGCGGCGTACGGAAAGGCGACGCAGGGCTAATTAAAATAATGGCAGCGATAACAATAATAGCAATTAATTAATTAGATAGGTGGAATAAGAGCGAGGACAAGCTGGAGAAGGGGGCGGCCGCGCTGGTTGGCCGGTGTGACTTTTTCGCATTATTCATCGTGTGCATGTCTTCCCTCCGTCCCACTCCCCCTCCCACCCTCGACAGCCGTGTGCATGTACTCGCGTACCTAGTTGCCTCCACGGGTGCTCTGTAGGCGGTAGGTGTGCACCGATGAGGTATGTGGGTTGCAAAAAGGTGCAGGCAGGTAGGTACCTAAGGGATGAATTATTATTAGCCCGGCCAGATTGGGTAGGATGTACCTGGGTACGAAGCATTGCTGGGTGCTGCATCTCGCGCATATGCGGCCGTTGGTGCGTGGGCTTTTTCATTCGCCAGTTAGCGGCGGTCGGTATGGCTGACGTGCCACACATCCAGATACAGATCACCCTACCACCCGTGTGAGTGGAGCTTGCCGACCCTGCTAGCCGTCCTGCCTGCCTGCGTCGGGCCCCGGCTTGTCCAGCGATGATGATGATGATGGTGTGCCTCAGGAGGCACGCAGTCCGTACCGCCCAGGCGCGACAAACCTGGCTCGCCCGCCACGCCCCCCGGCCGCGAGTTACGTACCAGGCAGGCAGGTCGGGTACGGCTTAGGTACCCCCCTACCTTGGGCGTCTAGGTAGGTACCTAAGGCAGGCAGGAGGCCGAGGCCGACATGCAAGGTAGGTACCTAGGTACCTAGGTAGGTGCATACCTCTCAATACAGGGCTTGTGTATGCGTGTGTGGACATACGAGGTGTTCGCTATGCATGAGTACATATGTAGTCGGCGGAAGGCAGGCATGCGGACAGGTACCTTACGTATGAACACATGTACATATACGCGATAACCTACCATATATCTGCGGATGGCCGTCTGTCCTCGTCGTGGTCGCCGCCGTCGCCGTCATCATTACCGTCACCGTGGTTGCTCGCGGACCGACACGTCGATAGTGGTTTGCTCAATAGGAAGGGCAACAGCAAGGTCAAGCGTATAGATTTGCACGATCGTCACCAATCCAGCGGTTGGTCTGGCCGACAAGGAAGCTAGACGTCCCGCTGTGCATAGTATATGACTATAGACAAGGGGGGGATATCAAACGCGGTTAGCGCTTGTACTCCGATGAGTTGGTCGTGTTCCTCGCCGAGGCTTAGATAGGCAGCACTTTGACGACGGGCCGGCGAGCGAATCCTGTCGGGAGGCTGCCCAAGGACAGCCTGGGAGGGGGAAAAAACGGCAGGTAAGTAGAATGTTGGCGGGTAGCATTACCTGAGGGCTTAGAAGGGGGAATGGAAGTTGAAACAAACCCGTCTTGTTTTAGTAAATTCGTGGGTAGGATGACCGGGGTGGAAGGGTGGGGACGACAAGTCCGAAAGAGAGAGAGAGACAGAGAGACAGAGAGCGAGCGAGAGAGGGATGCCGGATGATGGATGCTGGGGAGACGGGGAGATGGGGGGGGGGAGAAGGACGACTGGAGGAGGGTTGCAGGGATTCGGGCAGATCGAATCGTTTGGGAGAGACAAGCGCGGGCGCTGGAGAGAGAAGCTCCATATTGGTCCCGACCGCATGAGATTTGCGATTTGCCGGCTCGCACACTCGTCAAAGTCACATGCAACGGACCTGAATGGCTGATGTCTCAACGCATCGGGGATAGGAGCCGTGGAACTCTCCTCGAGCGATACGTGTACACATGTGCTCAGCCGATCCGGTTGTACCCAGATGCAGTGGAACGGGCTGGTTATGATGAGACAATCTGTGCCTGTCTGACCTTTCCCCAAACTGACGTACAGCACAAGCCACTTTTACCGACCGGCCCTCTCCCCCCTCCCTCCCCTCTCTCCTCCCCTCCGGCCTGTGACATCGGCGGGAGTGCTGGAAGTGCGGGATCTGCCCAAGCCACGATTTGCCGCCACACCCACGCACGGATCCATGTGTCCGCGGACCGTGCGGATGCACATCTGTACATGCGTATGTATAGTACACACCTACATACCTACCTACTACGCGCATGCCCGCAGTCACAGTCATCGATCGCTGGGCGTCCTCGACGGGCTCAATCTTGCAAAGGCAAGGCGAGCGGCAAGGTCAACTAAGGCCTGCTTATCTGCATCCTTGAGGGAGGTGGTCCGCGTACATACCTACCTGGGTAAGTACCTACCTATGTATCCAAGGCACCTCACACCTTACGTAGGTAGGTACCCAGGTTACCTTAGGTACCTAGGTACCTCTTACCTCCTTACCTCCCGGACCGGGCCTCAGCTTACACTTACCTACCTAGGTACCTATCTCTATATACGGTATTGTGCGAGGTTCCCTATGGTGGACGTTGGGTACCTCAGGCAGTGACGGCTTCTATGGATAGGGTTCCTCCTCACATCACCTAAGGTAGTAGGTATTATCCGAGGTACTACAAAGTGGAGGTGGCCTGCCTACCTGTATACCAAGTCGGGTCTCACCTAGCCTCGGGTGGGTTACGTACGTCACCGGCCTTGGTCCTCACCCTGAGTCATTGCGTCTACGCACGAACGTCGAGGTAATCGTGGACAAGACCTCAACGTCGACTCCGGGACAGGCTGCTTACTCCGAGCAACACAGGATGAATCTATTATGCTTAGCTCGCTTGCTTATACATACACATCATTCCGTCCTTGCCAACGCCATTTCTCGTCAAGTCGCTAGTGCTCGTCGACCTTTGCAAAGCCCACGAACGAAGTAAAAAAAAAACCCAAAAACAAAATAAAAGCTACAATGCGCACGCTTCGAGAAGTACATTCAACTCCTCGTCGTGGGTCGAAACGAAGAAGATAAAGAGCAGATGAGACGCCCGTCTGGGTTGAACCCGTCTAGGTTGAAACACAACTTCCTCGAAAGCGGTAGACGTACACACGAAGATGACGCGGTGTGCAATTTCGTCTCATATTATTCCAGGGCTGGACAACCAGGCACCGGTACTATGTTGTTGTTCGCTGTGAGGGCCGCTGTGGACGATTCCACACGAGGTCCGATATGCTGTTCTCCGACACAAACCGGATGGGTATCACCTTCCAGGCCACGGTTTTGCATATATATATACCACTTATTCGATCCGAGCGATCGTCTTGCCGGCACCCGACATGTACAGCTAGAACGTCAGCGCTGCTCATCAGAGCGTATGCCAGCCGCTGAACCCGACTCTCAGGTGACGCATCCTTTAATACCGACTCGGAGGCTGTCCCCTCCTTCGTAGCAATACGTATGTATTCAAGCTCGGGGTAGAGATGGTCCGAAGCCTCGAGGCAAGAGCGATCTCCGCAGCCTCTCCGTGGGGCGGATACCTCAAGATTCCTCCCTCTCGCCGTGATCTTGATCAGGGTTATAGTTCGTCTCCCCCAGCACCGTCGCGGGCTGCGAACTCATCGCCGCCTGCGTGCTCGGCCGAGGCTGCGTCTGCACTGTGGGGGCGGCCGGTTGCGGGGGGGGTTGAGATGGACCACGCGGAGCGGTGCTTGGTCCTGCGCCTGCGGTGGCGGCGTGCAGTCGTTGGTCAAGTACCTTGAGAGCCAGAGCTCTCCGTCTCTCGGCTTCGGCCCTCACGCCTCCGTGGGCGGAGCGCTGGAAGCTGCCGCCCTGCGCGGCGGATATGTCTGCCTGCGAGAACGGCGTACATATTTTTATCGCGACCATCGCGTTGAAAATCTGATCTGTAATCGCCGCGACGAACGGCTTCACCGGTCCGGGGAAGAACTCGGCAAAGGCGAACGTTTCGCTCGCATCTCCTCGCATAGACGTTGCTTGCGAGGAATCGAGGTCCGGGAAGACCGTCTTATAGAAGCGCAGGTAGGTCCAGCTCGAAAGAAGGCCAAATATAGCCAAGAAAAGCGATGCGCTCGAGAGCAGTGGTGTTAGGGAGAGAATTCCGACGAAGCCGATGTAGAGCAAGGGGAACCGGGGTACGCGCAAAGACAGGACACCTCGGAAGAGGGTGACGGTATGTGCCGGAACAAGTTGACTGAAAGCAACGAGAAAGGAGATCTGCAATGGTATCGTGCCAGCGATCGTCGTCAGCCTAGGTTGTTGTTGAAAAAAACATGGTCAGCGCACATATCCGCCCTTCGTTTCCTATGGCTACGAGATGGTACTTACGTCCATCTCTCGTTCCGCGTGATCGTGAACAATGTGACCAAAACCAGAAAAGACAAGCTGTTGGGAATCAGAGAGGCCACGAGAAGGAACTTGGCGAACTCCCTCGAGGACCATGCCCTTTCCAGATACCTGCCCCCATGGTAAAGAGTGAGCCCGGCGATAGTCAAGGTAAAGATGTTATTTTCGACCAGAGTAGCCGTCAAGAAGGTCCAGGGATAGAACAGCGAGAGTTGGGGGATGAGAGTCAGCCATTCGACGACGATCTCGGAGTGTGCGGACCATTGGCGATAGCGCACTGCTGCGCTCAGGACGGACTGCAGGAGCAGCACCACCAGGAGGATGCGAGTGACGGGCGGGATGTTGAGTCGGGGGGGCATGGCGGCAGCGGATGAGATGTTGAACGTTCGGCTTCGAGTGGCTACATGAGAATTTGTGAGATGCCGGATTTTCGGAATCGCGTCGACGCCCACCTGCCCTCACAGGATGAAGATGAAAACGGCGTGCCGTTGGCCTGTGCGCGCCTGGCTGTCAGCCACATTATGTAAGTGAGGCTGTCTGGAAGGTTGCACCCCTACGAGGTAGCCACATCAATGGCCACCTGACATCTATAATTATGAGAACAGGCATACCTATCTACCTAGGTACATGCAGATGTCCCTTCTTGGTCATAACGGCATCGGTGGCTGGGAGGTTCTTAGCCTATGGCGGCCCGCTTACGATTGGATCGAAGCTCAGGTCTTCCAACATACGTGTGCAAACGGGTTACGAAGTACCTGAATACATTTGGCAGGTATCCTGGTAATCTTCTGACGTGTAACCACCCAGATACGGCTTTGCCTCCCCCGACGCTTGATCCTTTTCCCTTTACCACGAGGGGAACAATGACCTACATGTAGAGCGGAGATGCGTATACTAATAATAATATAATACTATAGCATTACATGAGGCACATAGCCTACAGACTACATCACGCGTAGCCTAGGCACTGCATCCCGTGTTGTACCAATTTGGGTTAGGTACCTAACTCTGGGCCCACTCTATACAGGTAATAAATCGATACCTGCGTGTGGGTACCTAACCTACCTCGGGTACAGGCCGTCTGCCTTAATCCTCAACCTGTCAGTTGAAGCTTCTTTCAACTAGGAGGAGGTAGGTAGAGGTATTTGCTGAATCGATGGGCGCCTAGGAATGATATACATATATATCTACGCCCCTCTAATAACTGACCACGCCTTCATCAACCCATCTATGCAACGACATCTCACCCGTCTACGTGCGGAATGTGAGGATGAGAGGTTTATCCGCGGGCCCGATTTGAACTAACCAGGTAGTCATTAGGGCGACCAGCTTCTGGGGCGGCGAAATCTCTGCAGAATAGCAGGGTTCGAGGATGTTTGGATAGCTCGATACCTATATGAGTAGGTGCCCACGTTATTAATGTAAATATCTAGGTAGGTATACAGCAATCTGTAGGTGCACCGCACGTACCTAAGGTGGGTAGGTGGGTGAGTAGCGTGCATCCATTATCTAACGTAGGATGTAGGTATGCAGCAGGAGAAGATGATGTGTAACTCTTGGCGCTGCTCAACCAACATACCTCCCGTAGCATTCTCCCTAGGCAAGCCGAGATCACGCTGTTCCACCGATGTATGTATGTAGGTGCCTCTCTTCCCGAAAACGGTATGTGGAAGAGCGGCTTACGATTTCGCGCATACGTAGGTGACCTAGAGATGTATCGTGTAGACGGTAGGGAGGCTAAAGGGGTGTGTATACACGGGCATTTGCTGTATATACCTATGTTTGTCCTGCCCCCGGGCAACTGTGGAGGCTTCCGCTCCGCTCAGGCTGTTTATTGCAGGCGCCGTTATCGATGGACACACTGAGGTAATAAGAGGGACCTCTCTACCTACCTACCTACCTCTACCTTAGGTATGGCAATATGTGTACCTAACCCAGCCTATAGGGTTCCAATAAACGTTCACTTACCCCCTACCGTATACTTTTATCCGTCGACTGTAAAAAGTCAAGAGGAGCAGAAGACAGGTCCACACCTACCTACTCCGTTGGACAACGCTTAACCTTCTGGAGGCTATCGTCGACGTCGAGCGTGCGCCGTATATGTGTGTGCATGTATGTACCGTACACATCCTTCCTTTTAGTGTGGTCGGACGGCCCTTGGGTGATGCCGACGAGGCACAGTTCTATTTTCAATGCACTAAGCCTCAAGAGGACAAGGCGACTCGTTAGTCGAATGGCAAAGGGCTTGCAGACGGACCGCCTGCGGTAGGCGAAGTATGTACTAGGTATGTATCGCATACCTACGTGGTAGGTATGTATGTACATAGGTGATACCTACACCCCATCCACCCGGGATCTTCGTGCCAGAGGTAGGGGTACGTGCCTGCTTTGTTTCCAAGGTTAACCTCACCGAATTCCATCCGTCCACTGCCAGCCCACGACTCTCATCATTCGGATTGCCTGCAGCGCCATACCCAATCTCTGGATGCCGTCACATCCACCAAAAGATCCCGAGTTGCTGAAGGCTATACTGAGCAGTCGGAAACAATCATCTGCGCATTGCCACGTAACACTCCCGTTCTACCTCCCCCTCGACTAAGAAGCACGTCCGATCTCAATTGAGATCCCTCTGTCGATTGCGAAATTCCGGGAATACCCCAGCCCAGCTACCAACGCCAAGCCAGGATGACGGCGGATTAATAAATAGTGAACCCTGGCCAATGCCGGTGGGGTCGCCTGGAGTTTCGCTGTCGTTTCCATTGTTCAAGGGAAGGCCACCTCATAGGCTCAGCCGTCTTGTCTCGCCACCCCCCCCCCCCTTCAGTAAAATCCGAGTCTAGCCTCCCTCCTCCTACCCGCCTGAACACCTGCAGCAGCCGCTGCAGCAGGGAAATGCCCTACTGAGGTTACCCTACAAACATGCATAGAGCGGGTTCGCAGCGAGCGAGCGCGACAAGGTGGTAGGCCAACGATGCGCCCAAGTACCTCGCCGGGGTGCTGCGTGACGAGGGAACAGCAGAGCAGGAAAATGGACGGGGGGAAGAGGGGGGGAAAAAAAAGAGGAAGGGAGGGAAAGGGGGAGAATTGCGATATCCAGGACAAATTGGTGCTGGCAGAATGAAAAGCGACCTTGACGACTCTGGCAATCCGGAATGCTCGTGAGGTAGGTACATACACGCAGCCTGATCATTGATCGTCGACCACATAACAGGATATACTATATGTGCGTACATACGAGGTAGCACCTATAAGCCTCGCCTAGTGGCCCAGCCAAGAAAAAGAAAGGAAGGGGAGAGAAAGGCCAGCAGAGCGGCAGCCCTACATGTACAGTGTGATCAAAAAACGCGCCGAGGTAGGACCCTACGCATCCAGAGTCAGAGGTTTCCAACTCGGGCCCTCGTTACCCATCCCGACGCGCGTGTGGTGTGTGCGGCATCCATCTCCAGGTGCATCCCCCCCCCCCATCTATACACCTCCTACAACTTGACATACTCATACATCAATATCTTACATACCGGATACCTCTTACACATATACGCACATACGTAAACGTAGGACATGAATGGTTCCCTACCTCTCATACTCTCCCTCCTAACTCTTGGAGGCCATCGGCGTTAGGCACGTAACATACGTTAGGTAACTGTGACTGACCAAGCCTCTTCTCCAGCGGACAGACGCCACCTAGGTACCCAACCTAGGTAACATAGGTAATTTGCCCTCACCAACCGCACCTAAAGGTACCCCCTGAGAAGATCTACCTACTATTTTCATCCCCGTACTCGAGCTGTGACATGGCTCGCCTACCGGGGCCGCGGTGTACCTACGCGGAATGGGTGGAAGCGCAAGACCTCGGATGAGTGTGTGCGTGCGGATGTAGGTGTAGGCAGGCACCTCGTTAGGTACCTAGGTGCTTGCCTCGTAAGGTACCTACACCTAATGAGGCGGGCATGTATGTACATACGTTCTGCACATCCTTACATGCCTCCTAAGGTAGGTACCTACCTTAGGTACCTACCCTGGCGCGTGTGGTGTGGCATGGGATCAATTGGCCTGGGAGGCCCCTGGCTGTCTCCAGTCCCCCAATCGTGTATTCATCGAATTGATGACCGATCCGGACTGGCACAGAGGCATGTACCAGCGCTGCGGAAACGCTCGCGATGTCTACCTCCATCCACCCGCGACGGGGGGCATCCCTTGGGTTAGGTAGGTACCTGTGTACATCCGACGTAGGCTGGGCGTCCCCCTTTCCCTTGCCCGGACTGGAGGTAGCGGCAGGGAATCCGCAACGTCTTTGGGCGAGTTGCGGTACCTGGGTACCTCCGTACTAGGATGATTCTGGTGTGGATCTACCAGGAAGTCACTTAGCTTGGCCCCGACCCGTGGACATGCATCTTAATCGTTCCCAGGCCTCACAGCCAGAATCTCGTCGTCTTCTTTCCTTCACCAACCTCAGAACGAAAACTTGGAATACCGCCTCTTCCGAACATCCTGTCGCTGCTCACAGAGTTGGTAGGGAACCCGGATCCAGAGCTTCTCGAAAGCTCATAGTTTGCGACCATGAAGGAGTTCCTAGACTCTAATCGAGTCAATTTCTTGATTTGGAGGTATGTTTTGGTGTTTTTACTTTATTTTTTATTTTTTATTTGGCTCCCCCCGTCCGCCGTCCCCGGCTTTCCTCCCACCACCCAAAGCGCTGGTCTTGCCCCCTTCGCCTACCCCCGTTTCTCGACGCTGTCGCTTTCCTGCCGGGTTATTAACAAGAGGTGCTAGATATCTACTAGAAGGCAGTATGTGATCTTGTAATATGCCTTGGACAGACGCCATGCATCGCCGAACGGCGCGCTATGGTGCCGTGCCATGGGACGGCCACAGTCAAATTAACCTAAGGTTGCAGATTACCGAGAGACGGCGGTCAAGTTCCAGAAGGAGTGGCACGTCGAGGAACCTCACCGGCAGCTAGACTTCGCGCAACATGTCAAAAGCCATGCGCTAGTGAATGTCATCAACAAAGGCCTCTTGTATAACTCCTTAGAAAGGGAGCATGCGCAGTCGCAGCAGGTATGTCATTTCGGAAGAAAAAAAATGCTGTGTCGAGAGTAGTATGAATGGTGGGTTTGATCCGGTTGGGATGCTCAAATCCGAAAATGGGTTCGACGATGGATGAAAACGGTGAAAAGCGAAGCAGATTGTCCAATCTTGCCCGGGATTCGGCCAAACGGGCACTGACGGATTTCTGCACAGGTACCTCGAGATGCTTCGGCGACGGCAGCGCTGGCCGAGGCGATGCAGCTGGGGATATTCGGACCACTGCTTGCACATCCGCTGGCTCAGCCTCAGCAGCAGCAACTCCTCCTGGAGCAGCAGCAGCAGCAGCAGCAGCCGTCAGAACAGCAGCCAGGAGTGGAAGCGGATAACGAAGACAAGGTAGACGCGGAGATAGCTGCATCAGCACCAGCACCCGGGACGGACATGGAAAATATCCGAAAGCGTCAAATGGACAGGCAACAACAGGCGCCGCTCCTGAATGGCTCCCCGGCTAAGCGACCACGCCTAAGTAATGGGTACGAAAATGGGGTGGATGCAGCCACAACCCCGATGGACCTGGACGGGCAGAGCCCCGGCGATAATCACGCCTACCCATCGCCCCAAGAAGGCGAAAGGGCACCAACACCGAGGCCCCGAACCGAGGGGCCAGATCGGGGCACACAGGTCGACAAAGTCGAAGAGTTAGCCACCGAAACCACCTTCCTCCCTCTGACCGGTCTCGATGAAGCGCCGACAGCCTCGCCAACCACAGGGTCAGCCAGAGTCGATGGCGACGGCGCGCCTGTGCTACTGCATTGCCAGTGGCATCCCCGAGATCCCACCATCTTGGCGGCTGCTGGGACGGATGCACTAGCCCGCATCTGGAACGTCTCTCGTGGAGCCACAGCCGACCCTGCGTCTGACGGTCACGTGAACGGCTTCGCCCCGAATTTCCACACGCTGGTCGAGGACGACATACAGCCCCGAGCCACCGTCACCGCCATGGCCTGGAACTGGGATGGCTCGGCTATCGCGCTCGCCACCGACTCGGATTCGAAGGCTCGGATCACCCTCTGGACGCCCGAAGGCGCCCACATCCATCACTTCGAGGTGCCCGAGCCGCCCGTCATCAAGTTGCGGTGGAACCCCAACAATGCCGCTATCCTGGGTATCGCGCCGGACAACGGGGGTGCGCTGATAACCGTCTACCATGCCGTCACCCCGAACTCGACGACGTATTTCCTGCCACGCCACGATCTCGAGGCCGACCCTCTCGACGCAGCGTGGACTAGCGAGACCGAGTTTCTACTATGCGGCGGCGACTTGCTGATGGCCTTGAAGTGTGTCGATGGAAAGATCACCGAGGTTAAGAGGTTCGACACTCGCGAAGGCGATAGTATAACGCAGGTGCAATTCGACTGGCGGACCTCGCTAGCGGCGACATGCGGAGAGAAAGGATTCGTCGACGTATGTTCTCCCTCGCCCTCGCCCTCCTCGCCGGTGCGAGGCTACTCTTACCTGCTAACACATGCGACTTCCAGATCTGGGATCACTCAGGCCGCAGGCGTGAGATAAAGTCTCACACCGAGCCCGCCACGATGCTGGCTTGGCAACCGTTACCGGAGTCGGCATCCTCGAGCGGTGAGCGGCTCCTAGCTTCTGGAGGCGACGATGGAGCAGTATTTATTTGGGACGCCCTCGCCCCCGATGGAAAGGCCAAATGGTCCATTACTATGGGCCCGCCCATCGTTGCGCTGGCCTTCACGCCCGACGGTGCCTTTCTTGCGACGGCCACGAGTGCTAAGATATTAATCTGGAAGGTCGGAGACCATACCATTCCACGGGCTGCTTGGTGCAGGGCACCTCACCCCGGTTGGCATAGTCCACGGATAAACCCAGAGGCGGACGAGGAAGACGAGCATTGCCTAGGTTGGGACGCGACAGGACACAGGCTTGCTTACGGCGTTAATAGTAGAGTAAGTTATCTCGGGCAGATCTGCTTGCCCGTTCAGTGTTGAGCTCACAAAATCCAGCTCGCGATAATCAACTTCCGATAATTACCAGCTCCCGCGCCCCTTCCTCCACGCTCGACCGCGAAGAGAAATCAGGCTTTATCCCCGCAACGGCTCTCGCTCAGCCTAGCCGCACCCTGTCGAGATCGAGAACTAGGCGCGGTGCTAGTTCAGCATTACGAGAAGAGATGCAAAAAGTCTCCGCTTCTGCAAGCGCCCGTAGGGTGACGACGGTGTCAATGAGACACCATAACATTACCATAGCAAGGAAGGGGGGGCCTACAAAGGGAAGGGTCTGTAGTATAACTGTAGCGTTGGATGTCAGAAAGGACTTTCGAAGTACGTGTTCTGTAAAAAGGGGGTGGGAAGGGTCGAATTACGGTGTTTACAGAACGAATGGCGGCGGGGGATATCACCACGGAGCAGGCATTGAGTCACCGCCATCGCCATCGTCATGGTGATGTACATGCATCATCACCATTGGTGGTTTGCGACGAGGGGAAATGGCGAATCGACTACTGCTCCTGGCCATTACCGTGGGGAGTTAAGGAGATTCGCGGCAACTAAGACATGGATTGGGGGCTATAGCATCTGTCAGGTATACAACACCATGTAAGGGCATCCCGTTTGTACAAAGGCTATACCTGCGATCCAAATATATGACACCGGTGTGTTTTTTTTTCTTGCCTTCTCCGGGAGCCGGATCAGAAACCTCTTCTCTTTATCTTTTCTCGTGCCTATGTTGCTTGTCGATTAGATTCTACGTCGCCCCATCTGTTTCTATTACCTCGTTCATTCACCGTTTCCCTCTCCGATCCTTTTTCCTAGCTTGGGAGACCATTTCGCAAACGAGGACCACCGCCTCAGCCGTGTGGCGAAGGTATAATAGAGAAGGGGGGGAAGACGGGGGGTTCTCGTGTCCCTTTCGGCAAGTGCACGCCGCCCTGCTCGGCCGGCCTACTCCCTAAGTCGATCGAGCCGGCGGCGTGTCCGTAAACGTCGCCGTGGCCCCGGCACGTCGTATCGCTCGCGGGGTTTCGTCGGCCGTCTGTCTTGACTCGCTAGAGGGGAGTTGAGCAGCATTCGTTTCCTAAGGGCCCTCCGGCGAGGACCGGCGTCACTAGAGGTGTTCGGCATCGGCTTCGACACCAGCGCCACCTTCATCACGGCGAAGGCGCTCGATGACGGGCAAGGTCTGGCGGGCGGGTGCCGTCGCGTCTCCTCTTGGGCGCCGGATCACGGGCTAATCCCCCCCCCCCCCCCCCCCCAAAAAAAAGGCTTGCGCGTCTGATTGGCTCGCGGGCAGATGGACTGGGTCGTAAGAATCGCCAAACGTGCAAGCGAACTCTTACTAGGCGAATCAGCCATGTGTATTATATATATAGTCCTGTGTTACCCATGTCTGACAGACAGGGCCAGGCCTGGGAGAGGGGATTGATTTGCGACAGCCACGCCAGCGACTGAGCAGCCTCGACGCGGCGATCATGGCGGACAGCCTAGGGGGGGCGAGTCGCTTCCCATCCCACGAGGCAGGGGGGTTTTCCTTTTCCCCTTGCTCTCTCGACTTCTTCGGCGTCTGGGCTTGTTCGGTCCGAGAGCATCTGGCGCTCGACCCAGGGGGGGGCCCGTGTAGCCCATCGCTGGACCTGGCCCTCCCCTGGCTTCGAGGGGCTCCACCTGTGGGAGGCGGTTCGATTCGTCGACGGGATGCCGAGTTGGTCTGCATAAAACCCAAACCCTCCCCCCCCCCTACTAGCAGATCGTGACAAGCAAGTTGGGTTCGGCCCTCATTCGCCGAAGGGGAAACGAGCATCTGACCTCCTGACACGTTTTCCACCGACGCATCCATACGTACATTACATATATACATCGGGGACTCGCTACGTAGGTCGAGGTAGGTAGTAAACAGGGTGGGGAACTCGGGGGGGGTTTCCATTCTGCTTGGCTCCCTGACGCATAGCTGGCCAGGTTAGGTTAGGTTAGGTTAGATAGGTAGGTGGATAAGTAAGGAGACAGACAGACCACCGGAGAGAGAGCGTGTTCATTTGGGGTTCTAACATATAGATAGATAAGTAGATGGGTAGATATAGGAGAAAAAGGGAGGAGGGCAGGAACAGGAAGAGAGGCCACGATAGAGACGGCTCCCTCGGTCGGAATCGGCTTTTGCCTAGGAGGTACCTGAGGTTAGGTAGTTGACCATTTGGTGTCGGCTGGTGCTGGCTGGTGCTAGCTGGCGAAGAGAGGTACCTCTACTTCGGTCTGCGCCTACGGAATGCAACACGGCAGGGAGGTACCTGACGGCTGGACGATGGCCAGGCCTGCTACTTAGGCATGTGCCCCGTTCTCCTTGCGAATGCAGGTACCCACCTCTTGCGAGGTTCTGTGCCGCTTTTATCTTGGCTTCGCTCGCACGTACTTCTTACGACTTCGATAGCTGTGGGTGCGCATGTACGTACATGCTTGAGTAACCGCGTCGACTAATCAGACGAGCTGCCCGGAGCGGGATAATCCTCGGGTTCCCGCCATCCCGCCTGTCTGTCTGTCTTGTCTGTCTATCTGTCGGTCTCGATTTCTTCTCGTATATGTCGGGTTGTGCAGCCGTGTCTCCCTACCGCAAGGTGCGTCGCCCATCTCCCGCATGACCTCGCCCATCCGCCCCCGGGAGGGAAGACGGAGGCAGCTATTCCACTCCATTCCGCAATCCGTCCGCCCTGGGTCGTCGCCGTCGTCGTGTCCTCCTCCTACTCCTCCTCCACCTCTTTTTTCTTCTTCTACTGCTGCTGCTGCCGCTGCTGTTGGGTGCTGTTGGTGCTGCTGCTTCTTTTCCCTCTTCTCCTTCTCCTCCCCCCGCCACCACTACTTGTACTTCTGCCTCTCCGCCCTCGTCACCCTCGATTGCAAACTACCTACCTAGCTACCTACCTACCTTACCTACTTACCTACCTACATCCTTGCGTGCCGTCCACGCCGCAATCTACATACTACGCACCCAAGCTAGGGGTACCCGGGATATATCGTATCATGTGTGTGTGGTAACGGCCATCATACCTGCTTACAGAGGTACGTCTTCCCGTCCACATTCCGACGGCCAATCCCAGACACGTCGATTCGACAAACGCCGCCTACCCCCACGCGCTCAGCCCGCCCCATACCGGCGCCACGGGAAGGATATTCGCTTACACGTGGGGGACGGCCAGCTACACAGCATCGACGAGACCGTCCCGTCCTCCCCCACAAACCCTGATAGGCATCCCCAAATAGGAATATCTACCTACTGTAATGTGTGCGCGTCTCGGTACATGACTATGCGCGTTACTAGACTACGGTCGCTAACCCCACGTACCTAGCGTGCCTAGCTATAGTACCTGGCCATTGTCCCTGGCCGCAGTAGCTACCTCGACAGGTCCGCACGATACCGGACACCCGCCCACCCCGCGTACCTACATAAAACCCCCTCCGTGCATACTTACCCACCTACATATCTCTCCTCCTGCCTAATCTCCCGCCGCCTTAGGTTACTCGCATCGAGTAGTAGCAAAGCCCTTCACTACCCCCTTTATCTGCTCAGGAATTTTCCCACCAGTCCCCCCCGCGAGAGGCCGAGGGAAAATAAACACAACAAGACTGAGAGCCGCCTGCCGAGCAAGTCACCCCCATACCTAATAAGGATAATCCATCAATCCACCAATAGCCTGCCCGCGTTTCCTTCCCCAACCGTCGCATACGTCCTGACGCCGAAGGGGGGCGAGAGATAAAAACAGACGAGAGAGAAACCCCGTTACGGACGGAGAGCGGGAAGCCCGTGCACGCGAGAGCGCGCGCCTACGTGCGTGTACGTGAGAGAGAGAGAGAGAGAGCGCGAGCGGCCGAGCGGCAAACCGACCGACCAGTGAAGCGACCAGCCCACCACCCACCCACCCACGATGAGCGGCCACCACACCGCCAGCCCTTTCGGCCCGGACTCCCCGCCCTCGCCATCTCGGGCCCCCACCGCCGCGGGCAGCCAGTCGCCGGGCGCGGGATCGGGCGGGGTCCCTGCGGCGGCGACCGCGGCGGGAGTGTCCGCCGTCGACGGATTTACGGCCAAGATGCGGGACCGCCAGGCCCGCGGCAAGGATCCCTACGAGTCCTCGGACGGGGGCAGCGACTGGATCGGTGAGCGAAACAGGTATCGCATCGGCGGGTACGTTCCATCCTCCTCCACCTTATATATATATATATAAACGACATACAATCTCTACCTATCTACCTGTTCATCCATTCAAGCTTTCCGTCACGCTACGAACCTATTTTCTGTTCTTGTTGTTCTTTTTTCGACAACAATACGTCGATTATGAACTGATATCCATAACCCTTGCACTCAGTAACGGTGAAGAGGAGTCGTTTGCAAGCATAGAGAGGCGCCGCGTCGCCGCCCAGGTCCTGGATAGCCCAGAGCTCCTGATGATGGCCGCACAGCGGGACAACGAGGTCTGTGAAATTTTCTTCGTTTCTCTTCTCTCATTTTCCTCTTTTTATTTTTAAGAAAACAACGGTAATCCGTGTTTCTATACCGCGTTCTCCCCCCCCCCCTCCTCTCGCCATCCACCTCACGTTGAGCTACACATTGATATATCCATCCTTGCCCTACCTCATCTCCCCCCACTTCCTTGCTCACCAACCAACCCCCTTACCGTACGGATATTTTAAACTCCCTTAAAAAGGAGCGGCAACTAACCCCCCGACAGAGTATACCCGCCACCCGCCTCCGGTACACCCGCATGTTGTGCGGGTTCGAGGAGCCCTCGGCGCCCGCGCCGGGGCGCAGGAACCCACACCGCTCCGGCAGCGGCAGTGCCGGCGGCAGCGGCGGCGGCGGAAGTAGTAGCGCCGGTACGGGCGCCGGTGCCAGCTCGTCGCGCGCGCCCGGCGGGTCCGGCGGCGCGGGACGCTCGTCGCGCAAGGACGCGCGGTGACGTGGCTCTCGCGCGCCACGCGCGAGCTGAGGACGGGACGGGAAGGGAATGGGACTGCTAGGCCGGTAATAGGGAGATGAGAGGGGAGGAGGGGGAGGGGAGAGGGTCATGTTGTAATGCGGGATGGGATGGGATGGGATGAGGGGAACGCGGAGAAGGCTTGGAGGGAAAGAGAATATACGCGGGAGCATGGGTACGGAGCACACGAGTATATCCCTGACGGACGGAGTCACCGCGCGGGGGGAGGGTGGGCAAGTGCTAGCGGGCGGTGGACAAAGCAACAGAAATCGATAACGCTCCCCCGTCCTCCCGTTGTCTTTCCGCCGCGCTCGCCCCCAAGGAGACAAAAAGCAACAAACGAGGGAAAAGCGGAGGGGCCCGGCGACGGGCAAGGTCGTATAATGAGTGTGTTGTTTACGTGCAAGGTTGCCCTGCCTTGTTTTCGTCGTCTAATTCTTCTCACACCCACACCTTTTTTTCTTCTTCTCTTGTTTCGCCATCAAAGATTATACCTAATTTAATAATGTTGGTCGGGGCTACTTATTATCCCCGGGCTTGTGTTGATTGCGCTTCCCTTTGCTCCTGGCAAGGGGTAGTTAGTTGTAGTAGTAGTAGTAGTTGTAGTTGGTGGCTGAGGTCAGGGTCTTGAAAAGGTCCAAGGTTGGATTTCATCACGCCGTCGAGTCATAGTAATATTGGGAGCGGTAATTATATATGTATATATATATATTACCTATATCCTGGAGCCCCCCCCCCCCCTTGCCTTCGAGAGGCAGGCGGGAATACCCCCACACTCTTCTTGTCGTCATCCCGAGAGAAGAAGCAGCAGCAACAGCAAGCTGTGACTGTATAAACCTCGACTCTCTCCTCACTCGCTCCCGCACCCGTCGTTGATGAGCAGGCGTCATGTCAGGCCTTCTGGCCCGAGGGGAAGAAAAAAAAAAGTGCGCTCAGTTTCCAAGTGCCAAACCTCCAATAAAATTGGTCTAAAGGGATCAAGAAAATCCCAAGGTCGTGACCATAATATATATATATATATGTATTACGGCAGTGGTAGAGCGGTAGCCGTTGTAATGCATGCCGTAGCTTCAAAACACCCGAAACGCCTTGATATGACTGATGACTGATGATATGGTGTTGGTCCTCTCTATCCAGCGAAACCGTTTTTGCTGGTCGAATAACCCCATCTCTTATCAAAAATTGCCACGTGCATTTGCCTCCCCCCCCCCTCCCCGTCTCCCGAGATTCCTAGATAACCAGCCCAGGTCCCTTTTTCAACGGTAAGAGCTTGTCTCACGCATAACGCATCGTAGATACCCTCGGGCCCCACTGGCGGTTGTCCTGCCAAGGCTGCGGCGGTCTGTGCATGCCTGGTCCTCGGGCCGCGACGGGTGGGCGTGCAACCGAGTTGGCCGCCCAGGCGCCGCCGTGTCCAGCTGCCCAGCTGCTGTTCGGCGGCGGCACCTTGGCCGCTCTCCGCCTCCGTATCCTGCGTCGGCACGACGTACATATGCAGCAGGCGAGCCCAAGCAAGATGATACCGCCGACAGCCGACGCCACGGGGATGACGATGTTCCTGTTATCGTTGATCCAGCTCCCCACTTGATCAGTGAAGCTAGACCCTTCGCATCGTCCACTAGAACAGCGACCCCCGCCTTCACAAGGGGTGCCGTCGAGGAAGTACTGCCCCAAATCGTAGCAGCTATTTGGTCCGAGAAGAGGCGAAGAGCATTGCATTGTACAGCTCTGCGAGTTACAAGCTCTGATACTGTTGTTGCTGGTGAAGGTACCGACCAGGGTCGAACACTGCAGATCACGTGAGGTGCACTGGCCGGAAGCACATGATAGACCGGCACCACTGGCGCCGCACGTGTCGCCGTCGTTCGCCTTGAGATCGGTAGGGCACATTCCGGACTGGCCGCTGCAAGTTTCCTCGGGATCGCACGAGCCCGTACTAGCTCGGCAAACCGATCCTGACGACCTGAACTGGCATTGGCTCGTACAGCAGTCCTCGTTAGACGGATCGCATACAGCGTTCTCCCGGAACTGACACGTAGTTGGATCGCAGCAGCTGTTATTACCGCACCCGTTTGGACCGCCGCAATCGCACTGCTCGCCCGCCTCTACAATGCCGTTACCGCATTGGCTTCCCGTAATGGTGACGATGTTCCGGTTATCGGCCAAGCAAGAGGACCTGACGCTATTACGGCCCAGGGCGGAACAGACATTGCCAACGGTACATGGCGAAAATTGGGTAAGACCGGGCAGGGTGGAAGGGTTCATGATGAAGCCCGCCCTGGCATCGCAGCTCGAGGTGCTAAGAGGGCAACATTGTTGCCTCGACACGGTGCCGTCGGAGCACGATTCCTGGTTACAGTCATGGACAGCGCCAAACGTATGGCCGGCTTCGTGAGCAAATACTTGCCACTCGGTCGACGTCCGAACGACCACGTTGGCCCCAGCTATCGTTCCGTTCCCGCCGCTCGAGTCTTCCCGCACCCACGAGCCCTGAGCGCATAACAGGCCCAACCACGCGAGACCTACTGCTGCGTTGGTGTTGCACGTGCTCAGTAGGGTCCAGTACGAGTTGGTATCGTTAAACTGCCCTCTCCAGCCGGAAAATAAATTGAGACGGTCGGTGATGGTGACGCCTCTGCTACAGGCGACGTTCCACGGGGCGTTGGCAGACGGAGTCGCAGGGCAATCGCGCTCGCTGATGGTCAAGTTCTGTATGCCTAGGGAGATGTTGAACGAGGTCTCGAAGAGCGCCGAGGCCGAGTTAACCAGTTGGATGATATTGGTACGTACGTCGGCGTTGGAAGCGAACTGGGCCGTGTATGTGCAATCGGTAGCGATTCCCACCAGGGCAACTCTCCGGGTGGTAGGGCAGCCTTGCGTGGATCCGATACTCCCCGCTAGGTTAACACCGGCGCCGTTTCCACCGGTTGTCCCGTCGATCTGACGACCAAAGAGCGAGTGTGCGTCTACTACCGAAAGGTCGCGCAGGTCTAGTCCACTCCGGACCGGATGCTCGTTCTCGTTGTTGAAATCTAGGGAATCAGACAAGCATGTGTTTTCGTCCAGTCCACGTTTCAGCTCAGAGTTGCTATACGAATTCGGTTTGATATCCGAGTCTCTCCAAACGACCATGTATTCGTCCTCAGCGGCGTCGGCGGCGGGGTCTTCCTCGTGTTGCGTCTGCCTGTAGTTAGAACTGGTCTGGATATGATGGTGGTTCCCGTTGACGCGGAATGTGCCCTCGAATAAAGGCTTGGGCCCATCTCGGAGGACGGATATCCTGGCCCAGCCGGTGTTGAGCCACTCGGCATGACCTGGATGTCGTAGGAAGGCGTGGCCCTTGAAGACGCGGTGCTCTGTCCTTTCTACCCTCTCGTGTCGGACGGTGCCGTCAGCGCCGAGGTATTGCACGGTTGCCGAGTCGGACAGCACGTCGGGATTAGGCTCCAGCGATATTCGGATCTTGTCCTCCCCTTCGTGGAGGAGAAATGTGAGGTCGAAGGAAGTGTGGGAGCGAACTTGGTGAGAAGGGGTATGGAGTACGGGGTCATCGAGTCGACTGATATAATTCAAGGCATTTCTCCTGACGGAGTGGGCGTCTGAGAAATGCGACAATACGGATAGCACAGCGGCCGCAGCCTGGAAGAAGCCGCGCATGTTTAGATGGGTTTACGCCCTGCTTCGAGGACAACGGCAACCTGTTTCCTCAGACCCCATGCGACGATGCGGTTCCCAGGGATATCGTCGCGAACACGTCGAAATAGAATACAGGGAAAATGAAGAGAGGGGAACAAATCGAAAAGTAGCAACGGTGATGTTCGTCAAGCCGCTCAGCGGAAGAGAGCAACGCACGGCTTGGAGGAAGGGGATTTTTGAGGGAGGAGGTGGAACGGAGAGTGAAACAAGCAGCAGACGGATACAGTTAAGGGCGAGTGCTAAATGTTATGGTTGTTGCTGGTAGGGGCTGACGGGGTCCCGGGATGGGATTTCTAATCCTGGAAAGGCTGGAGGGACTGGCTGGGCTGGATGGGTCGGCGAGACTGAGCCCGGATTTATTATTTATCGACCGCTATCCGACCTCTGCCTTGGCTGGGCTTCGTGATATCGACGCCGAGTTGCCGTGAGTTCCGACAGTGACGCCCTGCGATGATGCCAAACGATCGAGTTACGAAGACGGGGTCCGGGAGAGGGGGGAAGAATAGTCTAAGAAACCACAACACGACCAGCAGATGGAGGTTCTGGCTACGAAGACGAAGCAGGGAGAAGTAAGGGGAGAAAGAAGAAGGAAAGAAAAAAAAAAAAAAAAAGAAGGTACAGCACCAACCCGGCAGAAGGGGGAGAAGAGGAATGAATGGTTGGAAGACGTCGAAGTCGCAGAGATGGCGGGAAGAAGGGGAGGGAGAGAGGGGAGAGAGAGGTGTGGGAATTGCTGATTCGACGGGACAGACGGCGACGGAGAAGAAGACCAGAGCGAGGCCTGGGTCCTTGGTCTCAAACCCTGCAGGAAGGTTACGGTGGTCACCTTACCGGTACGTAGGTACCTACCTCCTATCCATATACACAACCCTTGGGGAGGTACCTAATCTACATACCTGTAGGTACCTAGGTGCCTAAGGACCCTAGAGCAATTGCCTAGGTAGGTACCTACAGGTATTGATCACCCGCCTGGATAAGGCACCTTGGGCATCCAATACATCCAGCGGCCGGCAGCACATGTACCTAACGTGCGCGCCAACCTACCTATCCATAGGTACCTAAGATGCCTACGAGTTATGCACATGAATGGATTGTCCCCATGTACGTACCTAGCCAACAGCCGGCCGGCGTGCCCTGCAGACACAGCCCGAGCAGAGGCTGCAAGCGGAGAGCGGTGATTGGCGCCGCGAAAGTCTGCGAGTTAGGGTACGTAACACACATCCATCCTTCGGAGGCGGGGCCACTCACGGAGAGCCGCGCGCAGGAAGGCGAAGGAAGAGGAATCGAGTCGAGATGGGAAACGAGCGTTGGGGGGGGGGGATACAAGTGTGTGCTCCTTCTACGGCGCTCCCCGGCAAGTCCGCGCGTGAGAGAGTGAGAGAGAGAGAGAGAGAGAGAGAGAGATGGCGGGCGACGGGGTGTTGTGGTGCGCAGAACTGGTTGCCCCGAGTTCACCACCAAACGTGGAATATGTACGCGCCCGGTAGGAAGCACGAGCCCTACCTAGGTACCTAACCTAGTACGTTCCACCTCTGCTACCTGGCCAGGCCGGGTATACCAGTCCACAGAGAGAGGTATGCATGTACGGGACGGAAGCAACCTGCGGGTAATTGGCCTATCATCAGTGCCCTGTTGTCCCTTGCCCTCACTAGGTACCTACCTCCTAACCCAGACTTAACCCAACCTACCACTCTTCAGGGTCTCCGAATAACAACCTTCCTTAGGTGGACCGGGGGGTACACAATACGTCCTACCTGTGAAAGAGGTACCTACCTACCTCCTACCTATAGCGGACATGTCTGGGTACGTGGGTGTATCTCCGGGACCCAGCAGTTGTGGTAGGTAGGTATTAATACGACAAGTCTAAGTTAATCTCGGTAGTCTGTTGAATACCTACCCTTAAGTAGGTCGATGCGACCTAACCGGTTTCTTCTCTCTCTTCTCTTCTCGTGTCTTCTTTCTTTCCTTCCCTCTCACCATCACGTCGTCGCTGTCCTTCCGCTTTCTTTGCCCCCCCCCCTCTGTCCGGAAAAGCTGTAGGTACCTTGGGTCCGTAGGATGAGTGGTTGCGGTATACGATGCACGCGGCGCAGGTAGGTAGTACACGTACACGGCTACGTAGTACCGTATGTAGGTGCAGTCGAACTCGAGGCATTGGCGCATCGCAGGTTCTCGCGCGCGGTCCGCTGCCGAGCAGATGAGCTGACGCCTCATTGGCCACCAGATGGTCAGTCGGCTGGAGGCATGCGATATATGGGATATCTGTGAGTATCTACTGTAACCTGCCTGCATACCTTCCTACATCTAGGTATGTGCATATGTATGTGTTCGTTCAGGACGGGAACAAGCTTGATTCTCTCTCAATGATGGTGCCCACCTCCCTCGTGCCTAAGGTGAGTAACTAATACTGCGTATTCCGCATGTGCTCTTGGTGGTCCCTTTCTGAGGAGAGTCACTCATAGAATTAATAAAGAGGGTGTGTTGAGGCGCTCGCCCTGCGCCAGCCCCGCGGCCTCAGATAACTGCTGCTGCATCCCACCACCGCCGCAAAACCCGAGTTATTAATAACCCCGTATGGTCCTACCCAGCTCGGCATAGCATAACGGATCCCGATCTGCCTCCACGGCATGCTCTTGGTGGAACCCGCCGTATAGGTAAGTAAGTAGGTATACGCAAATTCGGCATGTAGAGCGAGAGTGGCCGGATGGGAATACCAGCCAGGCATGTGCCTAACCGAGGTGGTGCGCCGTCCCCGAACCCAAAGCACCAGCAAAACCCCCAAGAGATGAGAAAACCTGCATCCAACAACCCCCCCCCCCCATGCCGCCGTCTTCCGAACATGTAGGTTGGTATACACAACCTCACCGACCTGCATACGCACGCACGTGCATGCGAGCGCGCCTCCATCTGACTGACTGACCGACTTGACAGCACCACAAACCACATGATATGCAGATATGCGCCCTCGCCCCCGCCGTCGCTTACGTCGACGTCGCCCGTAGATAGCGCCGTCAAGACTTTGCCAAGCAGCCGCCGCTTGCCAGTAGCCCGCCTAGACCGACGCCCCATGACGCGTCCACCCCTTTCCCAGCCTCATCGACCCCTCTCTCTCTCTCTCTCCACATCTCTTTTTTATCTTTCGTCTCCCGATACCCTACCTCTACCTAGCTGATCCGCCCACCCGGGCCAGCTCCATCGGGGGTGGAGCGTGTCCCATTCCCGAAGTGGGAAAATCTTGTTGTACGGGCGACATCTGATCTGAGCTCAAATGCCCGACAGAGGAGAGAAAAAGACTGCGCCGCCTTCCGGCCACGTATACTTGCGGAGCCGCCAAGCTCGGTAGGACTCGGATCTTCGGCCGCTTTTACTCGTGTTAGGTACGTCGTCGTCAGTCATGTAGAGATGGTGCAACGCTCGTAAAACGAGTGTGATAATTTAACTCCGAGGTCGGGTAACGGCACCGCTTCAACCAACGGCAAACCACGACCTGTTTGATCACCCTCGGCGTTAAAGCCGCCGCGTTATAGGAATGTACAATCAAGCTGATATAAGGTGGCTCTAAAGCTGACAAATCAATAAAAAACACGCCGTCCATATCAGCGCAACTATCCCACCCTTGGCCGAGCGATTCCTCAAAGCCTCCACACCAAAGGGCGCGCGCCACTAGCTGCTGAGCCGGTGGCGTACCGTCTTCCTCCGCTCTGTGGCTGTGCCAAACCACAATGTTGCCGTCAAATAGCATACTATACTCATAATTCTCCAACTTATCCGATGTCTTGGGACCCTTCCCCGCATTTGCGATCCAAGGCCCTGTCAGGTGTTCTCCAATCGAGCCGCCTACCTACCCACTTATATCCGTATCCAACCATTACTTCTTCCGAGCTTCGTGAACGGTAGCAATAATCTTCTCAACCACCGACGGGTCCGATAACTATTAGACGGTCAGCACATGAGCTACTAGTGGCCCGGGAAGCGCGGCATGTGACGGGGACTGACCGTTGATACGTCACCGAGCTGGTCCTCCTCGCCGGCCAGAATCTTCCTCAAGATACGGCGCATAATCTTTCCGCTCCGGGTCTTTGGCAAGTCGGGTACGATGTACACCGCCTTGGGGGCGGCAAACGGTCCGATGCTCTTCCGCACTTGCAGAATGAATTCCTTCCTCAAGGCGTCCGAGGCTTCGTTCCCGTTCTTGATGGCCACGAACGCGTTGACGGCTTGGCCGGTCAACTCGTCGGTGACGCCGACGACGGCGGCTTCGGCTACCGAATGGTGCTCGATGAGGGCCGCCTCAATCTCGGCAGTCGACAGACGATGCCCGCTAACGTTGACGACATCATCGACTCGCCCTCGGATCCAATAGAATCCTTCGTGATCACGGCCAGCTCCGTCGCCGGTAAACTAGCATCCGGTCAGCGACTATAGCAGCAAGGCATGTTCACGCCCAACACTTACGTAGTAGCCCGGATACACATTCAGGTATGTATCTAAATATCTCCTGTGGGCACCCCAGACAGTCCGAGCCATGCTAGGCCACGGCTGCTTAAACGCCAGCACACCTTCAACGTCATTTCCGTAGATTTCCTCGCCGGAAATGGGGTCGATGATGGCTGGTTCTATTCCGAAGAAAGGCAGCGAGGCACTGCCCGGCTTCGTGGGGGTTACGCCGGCCAGGGGCGTTATTACGTTCGAGCCAGTCTCGGTTTGCCAGTACGTCTGTCCCTAGTTAGAGCGCGCGCCCATAGTAATCGTCGGTGGCCACACTTACGTCGACAATCTGCGATTCCTCCTTGCCAACAACTTCAAAATACCACTTCCAAACCTCGGCGGCGATAGGCTCACCCACCGATCCCAAAACCCTCAGCTTCGGCATGTCGGCATTGACGAAGTCGTCGCCGGCGCGTTTCAACAACCGTAACGCCGTCGGCGCCACGTAGAACTGCGTGACCTCGTGCTTCGCAATGATCTCCCAGTAACGTGAAAAGTTCGGGTAGGCCGGAGTGCCCTCAAAGACCACCGTGGATATGCCTAGGAGAAGGGGCGCGTAGACGACGTACGTGTGGCCGGTAATCCAGCCGACATCGCCGCCGCAGAAGTACCGATCTCCGTCGTGAATGTCGAACACGTATTTACCGGTTAGCGCGGCGCCGAGCAGGTATCCGCCGGTAGTGTGCATAACGCCCTTGGGTTTCCCGGTCGAGCCCGAGGTATACAGCAGGAAGAGGGGATCCTCGGAGTTCATGACTTCGGGCGCAATGTATGTCGGCCACTTCTCGACCTCCTCGTGCCACCACAGGTCGCGACCCGGCGTCCAGGGGATGTCGGCGCCAGTGCGCTTGAAGACGAGCACGCCGGTGACATCGGGGCATTGCTTGAGCGCGTCGTCCACGATCTTCTTGGTGCCGATCAACTTGCCACCTCGCTTCCCCTCGTCCGTGGTGATGACGACCTTGGATTGAGCATCGATGACACGGTCGCGCAGGGAATCGGCGGAGAAGCCGGCGAAGACGACGGAGTGGATAGCGCCGATACGGCTAATGGCCAGGAGAGCGACAATGGCCTCCGGAATCATGGGTAGGTAAATCGCGACGGTATCGCCCTTTCGGACGCCCATCTTCTTCAAGACATAGGCGACCCGGCTTACCTCGCGAAGGAGCTCGCCGTAGGTCAGATTTCGGCCTTGGTTAGGCTCGTCGCCCTCGTAGATAACGGCGACCTTGTTCGGGTCCTTGAAGGCGTGCCGGTCGACGAGATTGTAGGAGGCATTGAGCTGGCCCTCAACGAACCATGCAACATTCCCGTCGGTCAGAGTCCCGGTTCGGACGGTCTGGAAGTCCCGCTGCCAAGTTAACAGCTCCCTAGCATTTCTCGCAAAGAACTTCTCCGGCTCGGTGATGGACTCCTTGTACAGCCGCTGGTAATCTTCGAGGCCTGGATGCATTGTTAGCGACGGGGATATTTGGCATGTCTCCCGCTGGACACGGGAGAGGGTGCGAGGGCCTTACCATTCAGATGAGGTTTGCTTGGATGCTCTAGTTGCGGGTCAGCTCGGCTCAGATCAGTGCGTCCCGGGACGTTCCAACCTCCCGGGTCAGGGGCTCTCACTCTCAAGCATCTTGTGGGGGGGATCTGTGTCCGGTTCCAGTCAGCATTCGGATCACGAGCTTATCGACCCATAGCAAGTATGGCGTGGGGATCTCACGGTAGGTGTCGACCAGATGGGCCTCCGCGACCACGGGGGTCTTGACTGGCTCACCCATGGCGATGGCGGGGTGGGAGGAACGATTTGGCTGAGTGTTCGTTGACGCTGCACTGCGGGGCCCGAGGAGCCAAGACGGCGGGTGCGAAGGGAGAATTGGCGTTTCGTCGTGGGTTTAAAAGAGAGGCAGACTTCACGTGCCTAGCTGGCTGGAGATATATATATTATATATATCAACGAAGGGGTAGGAAAATGTATGTAGGTATATGCAATGGCAATGGCACGGTCCGATAGGTATAAGCTCGAGTCGGAAAGCCAATTCGGTAGGGGGGAAGTGTGAAGGAAGAAGAAAAGAATGGTTAATGGGGTGGGAGGCAAGTCCTCTAGCGAGGAGGAGGCACTTTTTGTATTGCGGCAAAATATTGGGCTGGCCAACAAGAACGCAATGGCCGGGGCCCGGGTTGTATCGGGTACATCCAAGAGGCAGTCCCAGGTACTTACCACGGCCAGTAGGGGTCGGTACAAGGGTAGGCTAGGCGTTCCCCAGGCGCTATCAGATAGGCCGGGGAGTTTCTGCTTCTTCAGCCCCGAAAGCAGTGCACTACACCTCTTAGTCGCTATCCCAGGACCCCAGACCAGCATTTGGCGGGACTGGATTGGGGAAATCGCCGACTTAGGCCGGGGGTTTCGCTTGGCTGCGATGTGGGGCTCCACGCTTCCGCTCGACCGTCGACCGTATCGTGCGTTATGTAGCGTGTGTGCATCGGACCCTTGCTTTGTTCTCGTCTGGGCGATACGTTGGAGGGGGGATATCTCTCTCCTCTGCGTCCTGGCGAGCTTCCCCGCCGAAACCCCATGGGAATGCCCAGAAAGCCTCAGGCTTGGCCGGCCGCCGCGCAAGCGGGCAGACGCGCACCTACGGGCACACTCATCTCCGACACGGCACATCGGAGAGCCACAGGCAGAGAGAGGCGGGAGGGGAGAGAGGGCGAGCCAGAGAGGGCGGCGGCGGCTGGGATGGCGCCAGTGTGGAAACGCAGGCTTTACCTCTTCCTCCTACACGTCTCGGCCGCGGGACCCTTTGGGCCGGCCCCGACGCATTCCTAGCAGAGGAGCTAAGGGCCTGCTGGGCGCGGCACTCGGGGCGACCTAGGCGAACGTGGTCGAGAAACAGGACTAGAAGGATAGACGCACCCATGCATCCGCGATAGGCCTATTTTCGTCCATGCCCGCGACGTATCGCACTCTCCCGGCCACTTCTTACGGCGCACGCGCCTTACCAGCAGGCCGGTCCGCTGCTGCAGGTCGGCAAGCTCCCGGGTGGGAGAGTGCACAAGCGGGCGGGCAAGCGAGCAACCCAAACCCCGTCATCCCACGCCGGCGGCGGAAATGGCAGCGGTTCATTGGTACGTTGGACTGACGACACACCCGAGTCATTGCATTGGAGGGGACGGTGGCGTGGTAGTGCGTAGTGTCGCGGGTGAATCGCGAGGTGAGATGGGTAAGGTAGGTTGGTGACGGGGTGAACGGGGCGGGCGAATTGATGCTGGGCTTCGGCAGTAGGGTAGGACAGGTAGGTATGAGAGAGAGCACACGCATACCGACGTAGAAGATGTAGGGTTACCTACCAAGCGGTGGGCAGGGCAGGTCATACCTCACGATGCTACACAATTAGGGAGACCGTTAGTGTGATACGTGATTTTGGCGTGATACGTGGCATGGAGGATGGAAGCGGTAGCTAGGTACATCCTTAGGTGCGCAAAACCGTCCTCACCTAGCCTCCTAGTCGGGGCGGGGAAGATATAACGTCGGGCGAGGGGAGGAGGAGGTAGATAGCAGAGTAGGCGTAGGTACCCGGAAGCGGGTTGCAGCTCATCCGCAGATTAGAGCCCAGGCTAGGGACCTGCTAGGTACCCAAGGAAGGGAGGCAGCGCCAGCATTTGGGAGGATGCTTCCAACCAATCGACCTACCCCCCCGCTACTCTGCCCCGCGGAAGCGCCCGACCTCGCACAGGCAACGATAGACGTAGGGAGGGTTGGTTACCTGACACCTCCAAGGGGTTGTTGCGCTTCACCGGGTACATGGACTCACGAGCCCAGCCTCTTTCACCTACCGACACATGTCCGGTTCCACGGGTCGTTCCATCCTGTGGGTAGATGCGCGCGCCTTGCACCTCCTAAGCGGATGAAAAATAGCTTCATCTGCGGGTGTCTTTATGCCGGGATGAGGCACGCAAAATACGACCCGTTCGCCCTCCCCTTCCTTACCTACGCCGTCTGCAATGACACGGTCATCGTCGCCACTACCGCCCGCCCAACATCCCCTGCGCAGGACGATGTACCGACGTAGGTTACACCCGATGCGTGCGTGGATCTATCTGCCTACACAGGCACCGACGGGTTTCCCTCCATCTCGAGGCGACGACGTCGTGTTATAGGCGCTATATGTATGCTATAGGGAGATGCGACGTAGTAAGGGCCTAGGCAGGGAGGGCCAGTCGGGAAATGGAGCGTTCCAACCCCTCGTTCCCCCAACATTATCCCTCCCACCTCGCATCCTTCCCCTCGCAACCCCGCATTCCCGTTGCGACCAGGACCGCGCGGATCCTGGCAGCCAAGAGGCGTGTTAACCCTCATCATACAACACCTCCGCAGCTCCGTCGCCCGCGTGCCCACGTCGGAAGGCCCAATGGAAACCCGCGTATTTCTCGTCGTTTACGTACTGACGCGCGAAGGAAGGCATGGGAAAAATCAGCTTGTCACCAGGCCGACGCCCGCTGCTGCGCGCGCCTCGCAACTTCTTGTCGTCCGCTATCTATACCATACGTGATCTGTGATATAACATACCTGTGTGTTTATATATCGCACACGTACATATACGCCTGCATGTGCTGGGAGAGGACGACGTTTCGTTGAGGGGTTCCGCTGATGCTGTTGCTCCGCGGGGGAGGGGGGGGGGTTGGCTGACGCTGTAGCCAAGGTGCCGTCTGAGTCAGAGTTGCTGCTAGCTGCCCGCTCGCTCCCCAAGCGGCGTAGGCGTGTAGGCATGCTAGCGGGATTACTACGAGGGCCGGAACGATGATGAACAACACACTGACGGCACCGCGGCAACCCAAGACGCACTTGTGTGTGCACGCACGCACTTACTCACACGCACTCTCGCACACACACACGCTTGCACACAGGCTCACATGGTCGGTAGTAGCGGCGGTAGTAGTGGGAGCGACGGTGATGGCTATGGTGGCCATGGTGGTGTCATCTCTCTCGTCCTCTCCCTCTTTTGTTTCGGGTCAAGCTTCCATTTGCCCTTGTCTAGAACTCCTCTATCCTCGTTTTCGTCGTTGGGGTTGTGGGGGAAAGGAAGCTAACATTCTCCCTTTCCCCTAGTGAACCAATGAGACACCCCGCTTGGCACCACGGTCATCCCTATCCCGTGAGCTGGCCAGGATGGCGAGGTACCAACACGACCCGCATCATGTAGCGTCGCCGTCGGTCGTATGTACCCGCTACATGTATGCATGAACTGCTTCCTGCTGGCACCACAATCCAGAAATGGTGGGGGAAAGGGATAGTTCTCCTTTGTTTTCTTTCCCATATTTATCTCCCCGAATCCTTACATCGCCTATCTACATATCCTAGATACCTGCATCCAGGGAGGCGAGCAGGCGGGATGTGGGAGCGCAGTGGAGATAATAACCTACCTAGGTACTACGCAGGTCAAGTAGGTAATACCTGGCTAACATGCCTCCTGCTGGCGCGGATGCGGATACCGTTCGTAAACATCTGGCTATGATAGGATACGGGCCTCCCTCTTGCTGACCTACTACGAATGCAGGTACTGCATGTGGACGGCACTAGCTGCTCCTAGCCGAGGTAGAACAGACACACGGCCGTGGCCACGTTTTCTATGCAAACCCGTCCGTCATCGCAGACCCCACCGTCACGCCCGTCGCGCGATACGGAAACTGGCAGCTCTCGGCTACTCGAAGAAAAAAAGGGGGAGGGGGCTCTGCCAGTTATGACGTCGTACTCGTACGGGTGGTTGCGAACTCGGCGCTTCGGGAAGGCCGCCATCGTGGATACTTCGGCGTTGAGGGGAATGCAGAAAGGGGCGGGCCACACAGCCGTGACTGGCGGGAGGTGTTATACTTATGTATTCACGCGTATCCGCCCAACTAAATGTAACCCTTGACAGCCGAACCAGTCCCGCGTCTAACTTCGGCGCGAAATCGGCTACGGCTTCGACGAGGCTTTCCTCCTTCTGTCGGAATGAACCGGATGTCCTCTGCCCAAAGGACCCTCCGCGCACGTCTACCTGTCAGGTCGGGCGCGGTCTAGCCATTATCGTCCCTCTGGGTGCCCCCTCCTGGGTGCTCCGTGCCGATTCGTTCGTCTGCCCGTCTGCCCCGTCCGCCCCCGCTGCTCTCCGTCCCTCAATCCCTCGATCCCCGCTCACATGTCTATGCTCATCAAATACATCTCGACTATCCTCATGAACTTCGCCACGAAAGCCTCCAGGTGGAAGATGACCTTGGTGCCCGTTCTTATCCTGTGCTCGTAGAAGGCCGACCACTTGATGACCTCGCATTTCAGCCCGTCGTCGATCATGGGGATGAGCTTGAAGGTCAAGGTCTTGAGTATCGTGGTGGGCGGTATGCAGTGCGTCAGCAGATCGTACAGCTTCGAGCGGACCTGCAAGATGCGGGCCGGTGAGTGCTCTGCCATGATATCCTTGGCGATCTGCGTGATGAGCGCCTCCCAATCCGGCGGCGGTATGGGCGTGTCATCCGTGACTTTCTCACTAGAGCGGGTTTGCCCGGATTAGCTAAGTTCGCCTGGAGACAGGGCCACGGAAGAGGTGTGGACACATACTTCTGCGCGTGCACGGCCTCGTACATCAGCAGCGCCCTCCTGAGGTTCCGCCCGCTCTCCTCGGCAATTCTCTTATGTAAGCCCTTGACGACGGGCCAGCCCTCTCTCTCGGCCGAGTCCGCGAGCACGCCCGCAATTTCGTCAATCGTGGGCGCGGGCACCCGTACGAGGAGTGTTCGACTCCGGATCGGCGCAATGATGTTGGCAGTGCTGTTGGCTAGGAGGATTAGTCGTAGATTCGGGCTATATTTCTCCATCGTCCTCCTTAGCGCGGCCTGGGCGTCTCGTGTCAGATGGTCCGCCTCGTTGATGACCACCACTTTAAACCTCTGCTTGGCCGACTGGTCGACCTGCTGCGTCTGGGCAACCTCTTTCAGCAGATCCTGGACGACGACTCGATCATAATTTCCGACATCGGATGGTGTGATCTCGAGATGGTAGACGGACGCGACGATGTTGAACTCCAGCTTGCGGTTGGACGTGGTTTGGAAGACGCGAGCATCGATCTTGATCTTTTCGACACCGGGGCCGTAGAGCTCCTTCAGCGTCGCGACGATACGGGTTTTCTTGCCGGCGCCGGAAGGACCATACACGAGGAGATGAGGGAAATCGCCACTTTGGGCCTACAGCGAATTGTAAAGTTAGCGGACGGGAAAAGCCGGAAGAAGCACACTGCTGGAGGCAACAGGTACGCAGTGCTATATACCAGTGATCTCAGTCTCTCCGATAACTCGGGATGATAGGTTAGGGTATCGAGGGAACGCGGTCGGTGCTTATCGACGATGAGAGCCATTTTTCGGTGTTTGATCCCGATTTCGAAGAGTTGCGCTGGCTTGAGAAGAAGGGAAAAAGCCTTGGTACGCTGCCTCGTACTGCAGTCGGGTTAATCGAAGTCGAGATTGACGGCAGCGGGTTATTTTGCCAGGAAGCTAAAGAGGGCCTCGAAACGCGCGTTAATTGACTGCGAACGCGTCTGAATATTCTCTGCCACCGCTCGCCGCCTGCCGATTTTGGGGCACTGCATTCTATGCCTAGGTATGTACTTCAGTACCCCAGGCGCGCCCCGTTGCCTTAGGTAATCGACGAGATACCTACCTAGGTACCTACCTACCTTCTACAGATGGATGTTAGGAATGACGCCTCGTACCCTTGAATTGACGCTGATGGGCAGAACAGTAAGTCTATCCAAGAGATCATGAGCTAAAGGCAGCCGTGGCGTCTTTCTCGGCCCTTTAGCCTTTTCCGCTGGCCTCGAATGGATTTTCGTGGACCGGATGTTTCCGTCTGATCTGCAAGTCAAGCCGCCTCTTTACCGTCCACTGCGTGGTAGTTGACCGGTAGCCGGCCGATGAAACCCTGAGGAGATATTCTTAGGCCTGGCTGCTCTTTGGGTCCTCGGACCGCGAGCGTGTGCGGCTACGTAAACTGCAGTCGATCGATCGAGTCGGGCAGGAGACAAAAAGGGGGATGAAACCTCACCACACGCCGGTGACGAGAATACAGGATATCAGACCTGTTTCACAGTCAGCTCACCGGTGCCACCGATTTCTCCTTTTCTTTCTTTTGGCTGTCTTCCTCCTGCAGCCCGGGACCTGAGGTACGGCAACAGGAGAGGTGGCGGGCAGGAATGCATGGCCGCCCTTCAAGATCCATCCCGATTTCTTCCATGCCCGGGCACCAGAATGACCTGCCTGCTGATACCTATACGAATATACCCAAGCGCCGCCCACCTATCGTCTACTCCTTCAGCTACCTACACGCGATGACCGCGAGGCAGTGCAACTGCGTAGGTCTTACCTTACCTACCCTCGTGCATGGATGGATGCACGGATGGCCACGCACATATACGCATCCCACGCCCTCGCCCACGCCCTCGCCCTCGCCCTCGCCCTCGTCCTCTCGTACGTACATCGGGTAACACCTCCAGGCCAATGTCTCTCCACCCCGCGCCCCGACGATCTCTCACCGCGTACAGGAAAGGAGTCTTAATTTTCAACCTGGCAGATCCCGTCAGTTGTGCCGCCGCCACCGGACATCTACCTGCATGCCTAGTGAGGTGTAACGACTTGGTTTCCCAGACACGATGAGAGGGATGTTGTGGGAAGCATCGATAGGAGGGATACGCCCACGTATCCTATTATCGGAACCATCCACCGACTACCTACCTCACATACCTACGTATATAGGTTGGGATATACCTACATATGCCTACTTGGTGCGCCTCTGGCAGCCCTGTACGCACATCTCCTCCGTGCGCACGGCATCACGGCAAGCCAGAGATTCCTTGTGCCTACGTCGCCCAGGATACTGAGAGGTAGGTCAGGCACGGAATAGGCAGGTCGTCGTCCGACGTTTATCCCTACATCCCTACCTATACCTATCTAGCTATATGCTGGCCATCCGTCGAGAAGACGTATCCTGTCTTGGATTTGTCTGGGTGCTTTATTTTCCCATCCCATATCCGTTGGTTTCTTTTTCTCTGACTGCGTTGCTACACCCGCCTCCCCCGTGGTGGTCTTCCCATAGTGCCATCCAGGACCAGAGGCGACGAAGGAGGGCCAGCTCCGCAGGATTGCGCATCACTGCCGGGAACAGGGCCCAGGCGCCCGGCTGGAGGTCTGGAATACGTTGGATAAGCGGGTATATGTATCTAATATTGGAGATACCCTCGAGAAGAGGTACCTAAGGTATGGGGCGGGTGGGTAAGCAAGTAGGTAGGTTAGGTAGGTGAATAAGAAGAGGTTAGGTTAGGTACCTGGGTATTGTATGCCTATAGGAGGTAGGTTGGGTACCCGGGCGGAATCGGTCGGGTGTTCCACTCGGGAGTCTGTGTCCAGTTGGACCTCGAGACAGGCACGGCCATGGAACTGGAGATGTACCTACGACTGGCTACCTCATAATCGAGTTGACCGGTGCAGGTGCATAAACAACCCTTTTCCAATTCCAGCTGGCCGCCCGTCTGTACTTGTGGCTGCTAGGTACCTAAGCCGACCCTGCTAAGCCTGGCTAGCTAGGGAGATAGGTACCTGATCTAACATGGACCTACACGGCATAAGGTCCCTGTCGATTCACTGCGGTGCACTGTCCACAAACAGCCAAAATTTGCATGCTTCACTCTTCCCTCTGTCTCTCTCGTCCTACCCCACTTTATCTCGACAACCCAAAGGACACACCGACAACCATCGCGATACCTCCCACCTCCCTTTCCCTTACCCTCCCTCTCCCTCTCCAGCCGTGTTCATTTTGCACCGCCTCTTCCCTTCCTTTCATTTCTCTCTCTCCTTTTCTCGTCTCCCGCCCCCCCTGTCCGGCTGATTCCCGTTCCTTTTAAAGGCCGGTTCCCTCTTATCACCCGCCCAACTGTGGACACTGGGCAGCTTACTGAGGGAGAAGGAAGAAAAAAACCACCCCTCGGACACACATACTCTCCTCCCCCAACTTACACCTTTGCCTTTCCCTCCCTCTCAACGGCAGCGTTACGCTCCGTAGCTTGCCAATATGTTCAACAATCGCAAGTTCTCGATGTAAGCTCATGCCTATAGCCTTATAGCTGGCTTCCAACGATACTGCGCAGCATCAGTGATGGATTCAACTTTCCGTCCCAATACGCAAACCATAGGTTGGGGTTGCGAAGGAACTCTTGCTAAAACACCACGGCAGGAATAGGAACACTGGCGTCCCAAGACGTCGGTTCAGTATCGGAGACCCGAGTGCGAATGGTACGGTTGATATAATTTTTTGCTACCTCCCACTCTCGTATGGCGTGCGGGAGAGGGGGCGGCCCGGCGAATATACTGGCACATATATCTGCAAATGCTGTCATACCGCCAAGAACCCGTCCTGCTCCGTGTCCGGCCTCACAGAGAAGCTGTGGCGGCCTTGGCACTTGGCAAACGTGGCCTTCACGTTGCTGTCCCCAGCATGTCTCGGGTTTGCTATCGTGAATCCGATCTCCTGCTGACAATCCCTCTTGGCAGAGACGAGCTCCAAGATCCATCGCCAGTTCCGTGCTGCCAACCCGGGCCATCTGCCCCATGCCGGCTTGGACGCCACACGTGCCTCCACCGGCGTGGTCTGGTGCACTGAGCGCGCTGCCGAGTACGGCTTCCTCGACGAGCCCGAGAAGTGGGCCAACCTCGGCCAGGGCGCTCCCGAGGTTGAGGATGACATCGAGGGGTGCTTTGAGCGCCCTCACACCATAGATGTGTCCGTCGCGCTCCGGGAGTACGGCCCGACTGCCGGTATTAAGCCCCTGCGCGCTGCCGTAGCACGGATGTACAACGAGATGCATCGTCAGGGGAAGGAGAGCCAGTACAGCTGGGAGAACGTAGCCATCGTTCCGGGCGGCAGAGCCGGCCTGATCCGTATCGCCGCCGTTTTGAATAACGCCTATGTCGGCTTCTTCATCCCTGATTACACGGCATACAACGAGATGCTGTCTCTCTTTAAGAACGTAAGCTAGCTAGCTCGTCTTGCAGGCTGTCCCCCCATTTTATGGCAAAAGAGAACAATAATCTAAGAATTCCTAGTTCGCCGCCATTCCAACACCACTCTCCGAGGAGGACGGCTACCATATCCACCCTGATGTGATCGCCCGGGAGATCGCTCGGGGCACTTCGGTCATCTTGACCTCGAACCCGCGAAACCCCACGGGCAGGGTCGTAGCCAACCCCGAGTTGGCCGAGATCCAAGACATCTGCCGCGGACGCGCGACGCTGGTCAGCGACGAGTTCTACTCGGGCTACAACTACACCAGCGACTGCGATGGCACTACCATCTCCGCCGCCGAAAACGTCCACGACGTCGATGAGGATGACGTCCTCATCATCGATGGCTTGACCAAGCGATTCCGTCTGCCGGGATGGCGCATTGCGTGGATATTGGGCCCTAAGGAGTTCATTAAGGCGTAAGTGCCACCCGCGGATATGCCATGGCCTGACGGGGCTTGCTAATTCATCATGTCAAGTATCGGTTCCTGCGGCTCATACCTTGATGGTGGAGCCAACGCTCCGTTCCAAGAGGCGGCCGTTCCTATGCTCGAGCCGTCTCTCGTCAGGAGGGAGATGGAGGCCCTCCAGCGACACTTCAGGGTAAGCCCTTTTTACTTCCGAGGCCGGTGAACACGCCCCGCACTGACGATAACCCCGCAGGATAAACGAGACTACGTAGTTAAACGCCTACGGGATATGGGATTCGTGATCAAGTACGTGCCGGACAGCACATTCTACCTCTGGCTCAACCTCGAGGGCCTTCCTGGCCCGATCTCGGACGGCCTGAACTTCTTCCAGGCTTGTCTCGAAGAGAAGGTCATCGTCGTCCCGGGCATCTTCTTCGACCTAAACCCGTCCCGTCGTCGAGACCTATTCGACAGCCCTTGCCATCACTGTAAGTTGCCCCCCCCGCCTTCCCGTTTGCGTGGTCATGTCTAGTTGCTGATATGAGATCATAGTTGTCCGCTTCTCCTACGGCCCTAGAATGGAGACCTTGAGAATGGGCTGCGACGGTATCGAGAGAGTCGTCAACAAGTAAGCAGCGGCACCCTACTTTATCCGCACCTCTTTCTAGCTACATTGATGCAATGGAAATTAACAACGCCGTTTAGATTCAAGAAGTACGTCGACTAGGGGAGGAACGACCAAGTTAGATGCTCGCCAGACTAGGTATATCGTGGTGGCGCATCGGCAATGCTAGCTAGGAACCTCTACACCGAGACGGATGAGATGGTATACGTATGTCACCTCCGTCTTTGGATCAAGATCAACGGCTATGGATAAGTCGGAAAGCCCTCCCTTCCTAAGCAATCACTTTTCCCACCTCCCTTTTCTATTGGTATAGCCTGCGGAACGTTTATTTATACTCTCTTTTATGATGAAGTGAACTATATCTCCCCATCTCCCAGCCTCTCCCATGATCTTAGAAATGCTACTCTTATAATGAGGCGCCGCGTTGTCACCCTCGTAAGGAAAGCCGTGCTGCAGGCATATTCGCATCAACTAGACTAGGCAACTTTCCACCTTGTTATATATTATTTCATCCGTCTCTGCGAGCAATACGTATTCAACCGACTCGCAGCCAATCTCTCTAGGGCGCGACGAGCTCGACTCCGTGGTACTTTGCTAGGAGCCAAGCTCGTCGCGCGCTCACCAAAAAGTTAGACCAAGCCATTTAGGAGATGCCCGGCCTCAAACCCCGGCGTCGCTTCGTCCCTCCTCCTTTTCTACTTTCCCTGAGAGGGGGGGGGGGGTTCCCCGCCGTTCCCGGCGGGCAGCGATGATAATATACTGCATCAAATCACATACACGCACGCACCCCCAGACCAAGTTTGCAGACACATCCGTAACGCCTCTTCTCTTTCCGTACGTAATTAACTACCTACAAGTCCATACCGAGCCGGGTGTGAAATCACAATCTTGAGGGGATTCGTCGGGCGCAGGAAGACGAACCAACTGGGAACCTAAGAGAGAAACACAGGTCCTGCTACCCCGTCGCCCCGCCGTTCATCTGAGCGGGAAAACCGGGAAAAAAAACAGGAAGGGGCCAGACTGATGAGACAGAAATATCATGGCGAGATTTTGTCGCTTGAGCACGGTCTCGGAACCATCTAGACCCAGATCTCTGACTGCCTAGCACACCATGACTCGTTTACTATGCACCCGTTAGCACAACTGTCACCCAAGAACCGGGGGGCTTTATGCGAGACGTACTAGGATCTCATCATCCATTGGAGCGTCGCCGTTGGTAGCCGCGGGAGCACCGCCGTTGGCATTCTCATTCTGGTTCCCCGCCTCGAAGTAGTCAGCCATCTCGGAATCGAGCTCTTCGGCCGTCTTCTTGGCTGGGCGGGCGTTGCGGGCTCGACGCTTACGGCCGCGCAGGCCGGAGCCGGCAGCTTTGCTGGCAGCCTCCTTCTTCTTGTCACTGGCCGCAGACTTGGGTTGGGCCTTGGGCTGGCTGATGCGTTCGGTCAGAGTCTTCGGAGGCGGCGCGATCTCGGCAGCCTTGGCAGCAGAAACGACAATCTCGATCTAAGAATTCGTTAGCAAATGGGGAAGATGTAAGCAGTCGGTATTAGTAGAGTCATCTACCTTAATAGGCCTGTTGTCGACAAGAAGGCCGTTCAAGGCGTTGAAGGCCTTGCTAGCGCCGTCCAGTTTGGCAAAAGTGACTGTGGCGATACCACGGCTAACACTATTCGGGCCGTAAGAAAGCTCCACACGCTTGATCGGACCAACTGAACTTGAGAAGTACTCCTATGGGGGCACGCGCGTTAGTAACATGGAATCCATTCGGCGTCCGTTCAACGTAGCAAGACAAAATCGGCCATCCAGGCGTCTTAGCTACCCAGATACCCTTCGTAGCATCCAAAGGCAAATCAACGTCAACGAGCAGGCAGTGAGCGTCAGTAGACAGCGTCGAATCCAGCAATCGACGTAGTCGGGTCCTTATCGTTTGCCACCAGAGTCGGCCTCCGCTCGACTAACGAGGCTGTGCATGACAGGTTTCCGTTGCGTAACGATCAACCGTGGTATTCGCTGCGCAAACCCATCCCAACCCACGCCCGGTATGAAATAGAATGCCACCGCATTTCGGTCTCGACTCGATACGACTTGTCTCGCCCCCCCGCGTTCAGACCAAGTAGTATCGAGAAAGCCGGCCAATCACCATGATAACGTGCCTCTTATCGATGTCCGCTGTAACTCTGTTGCTCACTGCGATGCTCGCTGGGTTGGAATTGTTCAATATACGGATGAAGTTTCGCCAAAGAGAACGACCCCGGGAATCGAGGATGGAAGCTGGACATTAGCCAGTGCCATGGTCCTTTCAACGTCTGCGCATTGTAGCCTGCGATGAAGGGTTGCCAAGCCCGATCGAGGACATGCAATATTTGCGCGACAAGGACGGCTCAACTCCCAACGATGCAGCTGCTCAGAGCGCACGTTCAATAATAGGAGGAGGCTAGGCGAGCTGGTAGTTCCAAACTATCCAGGACGGTCCATTCTTAGAGACCGTGGAAATCCATTTCGGTCGGTTTTACGCGCGTACGTTCAAGGGAGATGTCGACGAAATTCCGCAGGCGATAGCCTTAGGAAACATACCTTAATCTGGCCTTCGTTCACATCTTTGGGCTGGAGCTATGTTAGCAATCTGGAAATTCCTAAGCGGCAGTTGGAAGGATAACTTACCAGGTTGCTCACCACAACCTTGCTCTCTCCGTGATTTCCGGCAGTCTTAGCTGGAGCCTGCTTGGTTGCGGCAGTGCGAGGCTGCTTCGAGGTCTTTTGCACACCGCCAACAGGGGCAGTTGTGGCAACTCGTCCAGCAGTACGACGCTGGGATCGGCGTGGGCCGCCAGAAACGCGCCGCTGGGTCGAGAGGATCTCATCAAGAGACTGGTCGAGCTTTCCAGACATATTGATGTTTGGAAGGATGTGTCGGTATTAGTGAAGGCGTAGAAAGGCGATAGCGCGTCGCGAGATGAGAGCGCGGGTGGAGTTCGGCCTTGCGGATAGCGTGATGTATGGATGCACAAGTGACTGGAACCCGTACAGGAGGGGGGCGGTGGGCTTGAGTAATGACGCGAGGGCTAGAAGGCGTATTGGCTATGCGCAGCGCGAGAGAGGGAGGGCGAGGGCGTCGGAAGGATTGACTGGGTGGCAACAGGTGGGTTTGTGAGGGTCCTGGATGCTTTGCGAGATGGCAGCCAGAGGCAGATACGGCTGACGAAGTTGGACGCAACCGAAATGAAGAGATGAGAAATGGAGAAATAATCGAAAAGGGCAGTTCTATGTTGGAAGCTTTCCCTCGGTGGCAGATTTTGGGAAGGAATGCTATCCTCTTGATGGGTGATGAAGTTGAAGATGGCTGGCTGCGAAAGAGTCGCGGGAGAGAGAAGAGGAGATGGAAGAAGGAAGAGGGTGGAGGGAGCGCGAGGGGAGCGCGAGGAGGGAAAAACAAGTTGGCAAGGCTCATCCAACCTGATACGACTATGTACCCAGGTACCGCTATAGGAGGTGCAGGTTAGGTTAGGTAGGTGCGGACGGTTCCTATCGTCAATATGTACAGATACCTACATAATTGAAGAATCACATGTATGTATGTATATATGCAGTATGAATCAGGCCAAAAGATACTTATATACGTACTACGTAGAATTGAAGAATCCTATTAGTTATGTACCGCTACGTTAGGTATCTAAGGCTGGTGGGCATCTATATACAGGTATATTAGGAGGTACCTACCTAATAACATCTCCGGGTTGTATACCGAAACGTACCTAGGTACCTATCCTATTAGAGGTAGGTACGTACGCAGGTACCTTAGGTGCCTAACAGCCCTGGCTCAACAGGCCACACTAGGTGTGTCCATACCTTAGGTACCTACCTATGTACTTACATGTCTCGAGGTCGCAGCTTTACATGTTGGGTTTGCTCCAACAACCTGCATGTACAGGCTTGTGATAGCATCATGTCTATCGTTTATTTAGTCCCTATGCATACCAATGCTTGGGAAGGTCAACATGGACTATCCATATCCAACTTACACTTAGCCAATGTAATCCGCAACACTTAGAAGCACTAGATGAATGCAGAAATCACAAAATGCGACGACACCCGAGTAGCTGGAACTCCTAGACTGACCATTCATCCATTCGCATTCAGAGGCTACTAGGAGTTATAGGTTAGAGGAGGCTCCCTTAATCTAGCATAGTGGTCCTGCCTCTTAAGGCCTTCTCAACTAGTAGGCAACACATAGATCGCCCTGTCAAGAGCTTTTTGGCTTGGGTGGCACTCCCTTGATCCATTGGGGCCTCTAGCAGCCTGTGTAAAGTACTGATACTGCCTTGCTTTTCCTCCATGGATATGGTCTATGTCCGTAGATATTCTTTCAAGTCTGTCGAGAACCAAGATCATCCCATCTCGTCATTTGGTCGCGCCTGCTGGCTTTCCCACTGCTGCAGGCTGCTGTTCTGGCTTAGATTTGGCAGCCTTCTCGCCCAGTATGCCATCTTCGCCCGAATTAACCTCGATAAAATGGTATACAACAATCATAACCATGGCGAGGGAGCCGAGGGAAATAGCCAGTTGGTATAGATCATTGTCGGAAATCATGATGGATGTCGCGTCAAAGGACTGCCTGAGCTGTGCGCCGGGTAGGAGGAGCGACACTACGATGTTGATTAGGTATTTGACGGATCGGTAGCTAGGAGGATAATTAGTGAAATTGAGCCTACAGCTTGCAGATATGTCTCTTTGCTAATACTTCGTTCGTGCGATTCAGACGGGGCGCAAAAAGAGAAGCTGTTCGTGGTGGGCGAGGGGACGGATGTCTTGCTCGATGTTGGATAAATTAAGGCCAGCTTGGAGCTTGGTGGGCAGCCTTCCAGTTGTATGGGTGTTACGTATGGGAGTAGAGAGGCGCACAATACCTCCTACTCATAAGTACCTACCTCAATGTTCAGGGGTTCAGGTGTACATTATCATTCTTACCCTACCTTCAGTATGCAAATAGAGACCAGTCGCTGTACCTATGCGCTAGATAGATAGGTACCTAGGTACATACCCAGGTACTATATGTGGCTTGTGGCTAAGCGGTGGGTTTTCAGCCCCAGATCCCTCCCTACCAGAAATCATGTGACGTAGCTTCGAGATCTACATCTTCATTGGCTTACGGCTTATTACTCGGGTTGGCCTCTCCTCGAATCCACAGCCCACCAACCTACTCGTGCTTGAATAATTCTGCGAAGTACTCGCCTGCTTAAACCGCCCAGTTCCATCGCGCTGTCGCCAATCGGCCGTCCGACTCGTCTCCTCGTATACCCCGTTCCGCCGCATTAAGAACCTACCTCCCTCTCTCACAGACTATTCTACCGCGCCTCGGTCTCAGCCAAGATGCCTCCCAAAAAGAAGGACGAACCCAAAGGCAAGAAGCCGTCAGCCGCTAAGGTCGCCGAAGACAAGACCTTCGGCATGAAGAACAAGAAGGGATCGGTTGCTCAAAAACACATAAAGCAGATAGAGGCCTCCGCCAAGGCTGGCGGGAGCGCCGAAGAGAAGAAGAGGCAAGCAGAGAAAGACGCTCGTGCCCGAGAGAAGAAGGCTGCCGAGGATGCCAAGCGGGAAGCCGAAGCCCTGCTCAACAAACCGGCCCAGATCCAAAAGGTTCCTTTCGGTGTCGACCCGAAGACTGTGGTCTGCATTTTCTTCAAGAAGGGCAATTGCGAAAAGGGGAAGAAGTGTAAATTTGCACACGATCTCTCCGTAGAACGGAAGACCGAGAAGAAGAATCTCTACACCGACGGTAGAGAGGAGGAGGAGGTAAAGAAGAAACAAGAGACATCGGAAGACTGGGATGAAGAGAAGCTGCGGAAGGTCGTGCTCTCCAAGAAGGGTAACCAGGTAACTACCACGGACAAAGTCTGCAAACACTTCATCGAGGCCATCGAGGACGGGAAGTACGGTTGGTTCTGGACGTGCCCAAACGACGGTGACAAGTGCAAGTACAAGCACGCCCTCCCACCAGGGTAAGTTCCCCACGATTAGACGCTATAACGTGGCATTCCCCGCTAAAAGCCCATACAGTTTCGTGCTCAAGACGAAAGAACAGCGTGCTGCCGAGAAAGCGCTCATGGACAAGTCTCCGCTCAAGACTCTGACTCTCGAGGACTTCCTGGAATCGGAGAGGCACAAGCTCACCGGGACCCTCACGCCCGTCACCCCGGAAAGCTTTGCAAAATGGAAGAAGGAGCGGTTAGGCAAGAAGGCTGCCGAGGAGCAAGCTCGGCAAGCCAAGGAGTCAACTGGTCGCGCCCTGTTCGAGAGCGGGAACTGGAGATATGGCGAGGATGATTCCGAGGAAGAAGACGATGACGGCGTCTGGAATCTGGAGAAGCTGCGACAAGAAACGCTTGCGATCCGAGATAGAAAGGAAGCGGAACGGATAGCTGCCGAGGCAGGTTATTCAGTCGACTCAATTCAACCTCCGGACGACGGTGATGGTACATCCGTTGCCGATGGCTCTTGAGATCGTCGCCCTTGTCCTCGTAGACCGAAAGAATGATCATTCGGCCAGGCCCGCGGGGACACTTGACGAACAACACACATTTAACATAAGCGACGAGCCGAGCCCAACGACGTATCGCTTGACTGGTACAAGTAATAGGCTTGTCACCTTCAGGTCGAGGCGGACCTTTCGTAAACCGAGCCGCCGGCTAGTCCTTACAAATCATGCAGAACTACGAACCCCGTTGAGATAGGACCAACAGAATCGAGCTTCCAGCTTAGGTTCATAGGCTATACAAAATAAACGGCAGATTGACAAGTTTACGACACAATTGGTCCGCATTACCCTTCAGGCGCCGCGAACCCCTCAAAGTAAGAATGCGGGTGAAGTATCAAACTAAAAGCCTCCCTAGTACGTCAGCGAGATATATGGCTTTCCTTTGAGGCATCCCCGCTGTCCCGGGTATTCCACACCCTTATACATGACTCACGTGTACGAACACGCGGACTTCGGAGTTATCTCACGATAGACTCACAATATCCTTAGCTGATACACTCTACGACTTAGAACTTCTCAACGTAGGGCCGCATGTCGATCTCCTGGGTGAAGGCAGAGCGATGTTGGGTGTGTAAGTGCCAATAGCTGTCGGCGATCTAGTTGCGTGTTAATAGTGAATATGCTGCAGGAGGCGTTATTGACTAACCGCGTTGGCGCTGAGCTTTCTATCTTCGACACCGTCATCTGCGAAGAAAGCAGCCGTTCTAGGAATATCGATTACGCCGTCGATGATGGCGTGCGCTACGTGCACCCCCTTGGGACCAAACTCACGCGCTAGGGACTGGCCGATCGCCCGGCGAGCGGACATGCCGGCAGCTATCGTAGAGAACAGGGCGGAGCCCCGAGCGGAGGCTGTGGCGCCCGTGATGAGCAGCGTGGGCGGGTGCTCCGACTCTGGCACCGCCTCTAAGAGTAAGGGGATCGCCTTTTGGGCAAAGTTGAAGAGCCCGCGCCTAGCGTAAAAACACAACAATTCCCCCAGCTCAGTACGGGTCAAAGCAGGTCCGAGTAAGTAAGAACTCTTCATACGTACGCGTTAGGGTTGACGGAGGCGTCGAAGTCCTCGACGTCTAACTCGAGGAAGGGCTTCCTCTTGTAGCCGCTGCCGACGTTGTAGATGGCGGCGGCGAGCTTCAGGCCGGACAACTCCTTCGTGATAGCTTCGAAGGCGGAGGCGACCGACTTGACGTCCGAGGTGTCGGTGCTGATGCCGATGGCCCTGCCGCCCGACTGGTTGATCTCGGCCACCGTGCTCTGGTACGAGTCCGGGGTACGCGCCAGGAGCACAACAGGGTAGGCCTTGGCAAACCTGAGGGCAACCGCCCGACCTGGAGAATTCTGGTGAGCCCCGACATCCTCGACTTCCCGGCGCGAGAGTTGTCTCACCTGTGCCGGGGCCAGCTCCCGCGACAACGGCATAGAACTTGGAAGACATGGCAGTGGGACTGTCGATTCGCTAGGGGTAAGGATTATGGTTGGTGATGATGCCTATCCAGTCCGGACTAGGTCAGGTGTATATGTATTTGTTATAGGTATGTGTTAGATAGGTGCGTATCGCTTGGGGAAAAGGTGAAGACTGATCGAACGGTCCGTCTTTTATAGCTGAGCTCCGGTAGGTATTGTATTATTAAGAGACGGCCATGTAACTATCCGGCAGTTCCATACGACGCCGGTCCTGAGGTGCCGAGACTAGCGACTGAGGGATGTCGATACAACTCCCACCTGTACTGGAGAGAGATGGATGGGGTGCTTGGAGAGGGGAATGGCAGACTTGGAGTGGGAGATGTCGCAATTCTCGACCGGCCGAATCGCGGATTACCAACCCGGTCGCACAGTTTGAGGAGGTCTCCTAGTAGAGAGGGCACGTTCGGACGCGGGGAGTGGCCGGACTGCCTCCAGTTTACCAATCGAGGTGACGTGCATCTTTGGCTAGCAGATGGGGGGGGGTTTACTAATCGCCCTCGATTTCTCTCCCGCTTGCCTCGGTACCCTACCTAATGTCTCTATGTACCTGGTATATGCTAGGGAAGCTGCAGACACTCCAAGTTATTGGGAGCTATGGCTATTAGATACCTAGGTACCTCTAGGTATTGACCTCCACATTAGGTTAGATTATGTACCTACCTATGTACCTAACCTGCACGTGCACCTTCCCCCTCTCAGCTTCAGGTAACCCAAGATACCTACCTAGGTACTTTCCGTACTTCGACGCGTCGACCAACCGCGATTGTCTAATGACACGATCTGCATAAGTCTGCTTCACCTACCCTCTTCATGAGCTATCCTCCTTTTCTCTTCCGCGGAGTAGCAAGGCTAGCTACTCGCCTACATAGCTCCCTGCTCACCCAATGATGCTCCTTTATTTTATTTTTTATTTTTTTTAGATTGCTGTGAACTGATTCTTATTGTTATTGACGACTCTTAATCAAAATTTACAGCCTATCAGTGGCGCCTGGCATAGACACCCATTCAGATGGATAGTGCAATGCTCCGTCATTCCATGGTAGCGGAGGAGATCACAGCCGGCACCACTAGCGAGACAGATAAGCCTGGGACGGGGGCCGACCATGGCTGGAGTGTTCATGCTGCCGCAGATACCGCCACCGGCTTCTACCCGTCTGGCCATAGCCTCGATGCGAAAACTATGGAGGAGGATGATCCCATACCTTCAGTCACTTCGGACATTTCACCAAGGCGTGTTGGCCGGCCTAGAGCAACGCTCTTGCATCAACCAAATCAGCAAATCGGGACTGAGACGCGAGATACACCTATCACTTTCGGGACGCCGGCATCCCCGGCGCCATCAACCTCGCGAATAGCCGTACATATCAGATCCTTACCGGTAACACCGCTGTCTTACATACGCCGGGACAACCGATCTGCTAGTAGAAGCCTTCGGGTGCCGCAATCCGGGGCAGAATCGTCCCCCATAAGACGCGGGGCCTTGCTCTCCGTTGGAGGGACGGCTGACCTAACGAGAAAGAGGGGAAGACCAAAAGGTTGGAAGCCTAAGTTGTCTTACGCCGAGCTCAAGGGCGATGCCAGCGCTGCAGTCTCTCGGTCTAGGAGAGACAAGAAGCCGGTAGTGCAACCCGAGCCGAAGCGGCGCGGACGGCCGCCTCGCCCCCTCGAGCCTACGGCTAGGGAACGATACCTGCGGACCGATGCCAAGTACGTATCGTTCAAGTGCGAATGGAAGGAGGCGTCGGGGAGGACGTGCCCGGCGGAGCTGCAGAACATGAAGACGCTGCGCGAGCACGTCCAGGTCATCCACGGCGACGCGGACCCGCTCGTGTGCCGGTTGGGAAAGTGCGCGGCGAGGGACCCCGCCGTCCGGTTCGAGGCGGACGAGGAATTTGAGGAGCACGTGGAGGAGAAGCACTTCCGAGCGCTTATGTGGTACTTGGGGGAGGGGTGCCAGAACGACAGCGCACCGACAGCAGGCAGCGGCAGCGAAGCGCTGCCGGCCTACCTCTTCGACAAGGACGGCAACCAGGTCACGCCCTCGGTGGCGGGGCAGCGGCTCGAGGACGAGCAGCAGCACCGCGAGCGGAGGCGGAAGCTGAAGCGACTCCTCCTCCAGGCGGAGGAGAATGCTCCCTCCGAAGAGGAGTACATCAGACAAACGCTAGGGATGGTCTGATGCCTGGTGGATGGGATAGCTCGCGTGGTGCACCAAGGCAGTTCACCGGCTATAGTAACTGCGACTGGCCCGTCATTTCTTGATGAAACACGCAGTCGGCGTGCAGCCGTTGTTTTCCTATTCGTCCGGCGCCCGAAGGTGAAGTCAAGATTCCAAGGGGAACAAGCGCCCGTTCCTTGGACATCCGAGGACGGGTGTGCGCATATATATATATTTATTTATACCCCCGGGTAGCATGTCTATCACGCTTCCTGGTCTTTCTTTCTGTCTAGCATGCTTTTTGCCTACGCCTACTCATTTGGATCCGTCATTAAGAGGCATAGAACGTTCATCTATGTGCGTGCACCCAGAATCCTAGGGCAACCGTTGAAGTAATCTCCAATATGTGACTACTTTACGGAGTAGCATTATGGCCGTCGAGGACAAGTGACATGCCAGGCTGAGGCTGATGGCTACGTGGTATGGCTGATTACTGACAGAGGCGTACGTAGGGTGGCTAAAGCCCCATCGGGTTGCCGCGAAAGCCGTCGCGATGACGAAGAGGCGGAGTCTGCTGCGCCTGTCGCACTTGTGCTGGGTGGATCGGGTACATTCTTCATCTTCCCTCCTACATGCATACGGTGCATGTGGGTTGTGGAGGGTTCACTCTCGTTGCTTCGCTGCCTTATTTATAAGGCATACAAAACGTTGAAAGCCCAACCTCAGTGATCATTGATATTGAAAGGAGGTAAAAACTAAGGTGCTAAAAGAGCTTAAATACAGCGTTTTACGAACAGTTAGCTGTTGAGCGTTTTTCTTCAATCTGACCAATCGCAGAGCTATATTCTGGATGCCTGAATGCCTCAGGTGCCACAGGCACCGTATAGATGAACCATCTAGGTACCTACCTACCTACCTACTAACGGGTATACGAGGTACTCAGCTCAAAGGCATGCGAGGTTCACGGTACACACAGGAAGATTTGCCGCAAATTCGCCCGATGGATGGGATGGCGCGGAGGCTGACCAATCTGGTCTACATAATAATATGTACATACTACATACCTAGGTAGGTAACTAACACGAGGATGATGCGGCGTGTCTGTCTGCCTGTCCTTCTGTGTGGACGGGATGTGCAGACCGGGGGGTATCGCCATTCGTCAGCGTGTTGTCGTCCCTCCGATGCGCCCACGAGGGCTTTTTTAATTGTATTCATATATTGTCATCGCGACCAGCATGGCCTTGTCTTTTCCGCGTTATGACGTAGGCGCATCGGCAAGTTACGAGAAATGAGAGAAGGGTAACGTCCGTATGTGCGTATGTACGTGCCATGTATTACTGTCTGCGCATTACATAACACATTGCATCAGGTATATGCTGATGGGTCTGTCCGTTCCAGCAACACGGGTTCAATCCACGCGGGATTGGCGGGCGAGCCTATTGTGTGGCCTCATGGCCTGTCCCTACGTGTACATGGTAGGTACCTGTCTAGGTAGGTAGGTAGGTACCTCCTCCTAACCGCTTAAGTATTTAAGCCTACAGGTAGGTACAAAGTGCCCTTCAATCCGAATGTCGAGATGCCCTATAATATGGTTTAGGCAGGTCTTAGGTAGGTTCTGTGGTCTTCAATCAGAGGCAATACCAATACATAGAGGTACCTACCTTAGGTACCTACCTGGTTAGGTATACATCCATCCACTATACGTGTACAGACCATCGCCGTATTCGTCGCCCTTGACTCCATCCCGCTATCTCCTACCCACCTCCTAAGATAGGTTAACCCGTTAAAAGAGGTACCTAGGCAATCATTCAGCACCTACTGCCAAGCTCAGAATGACCCAAACCTGCAGGAGGCTACATCCCAAGCTCAACACGGATATTAAGGCACAACGCGAGAACGTGGTATGCTATATGTGCCTATCGAATGGGGAGATAGCTGTCGAGAGGAACCACCTAGGTACCTACCTACCTCCTAGGAAACGTCTGCAGTGGTTCATAAGAAATTCCTTACATTGCGTTAGGGATATTTGCCTGCCTTAGGCAGGTACCTTAGGTAGGTACCAGAAGTAGTACCTTAGGTACATGGGTAGGTACTTAGATAGCCTCCTAAGCCATCAGCAGTACATGTTGATACCTAAAAGGATTGCGATCTCGGGTTCCTCGGCTTGCACCCGCACATACGTTAGGTACGTGTATAAATATAGACGGGGCCCTACGTCCAGCAGGTACCTGAATGCTGAAGGAGGTACCTGATCGGGTATCACTCGATGTACCTGACGCATATCAGAAGATCCGTAGAAGGCACCGGCAAAGCTCGACAGGTATCCCCCAATAAAAGAGGCAGATATCTAATTGTATGGTACGAAGGCAGGTGGAGATGGAGTTGTGTTGGAAGGCAGCACCAGAACCAGAATACAAATGCAGATGCCCTCTGTGTTCCCTATTCCCCTTCCTTATCCTCTGCCTGCTCCTCGTTATCCCCGTCCCTGTTCTGCCTCCCTGGCGTGGCCCGCCCTGCCCGTCCTTCCCGTCTCTCTCACCACCCTCATTCCCTCATCACTCACCGGACTCACATAACAGTTCTCCCTCGCAACCCTCTCGCCTCTCGCCTCTCCCTCACCTGACAGAAGGCAAAACCTCGCATCCCACGCTACCCTTGTCGCCTCCTCTCCAGCTCTCGTCATCCCCTTTTTTTTTTTTTGCTTCTCTTTCCCCGCTCCCGTTCCTTGCCTACTTTTCCCGTCTCCCTTCATCCCTCCCCCTCCAGCCCTCTCGTGAAGTGCCCCACCTGGATAGTACGCAGCCAAGCTGCGGATGAACGCATGCTAGCCTTTTGACGAGAGAACACTATGCACCCGAGGGTCTGCTAGTTCGACAACTACCTGCTAGGTTTGCTGGCGCGTCCCTAGTCAGGTCGTGCTCTGTTGCATCGTTATTAGTCTTACCACGATCGTATCCTCGCCGGGGATCTACACTCCCTCCCCCCTTCGCATCGCGGCAAAGGGAAACCAGGGCGAATAAAGGCCAATCCGGAGGTACCGGTATTCGTTTTGGCGCAGCAGGGCCCAAAGAGAAGCCCATGTTTCTAGGCTAGACGAGACGCGCCGTACCTGGGTTGCTTTCCGCGCCGCGCCTTGATTAGCAAGCAACAAGCAATAAGCAACACACGCAGCGAGGAGCAGCCGGACAAGCAGCCTGGGCGAGCACCCTGGATTGCAACGTATGCCAGCGGGAACCCAGCCCACCCGGGTCCCGCCCCTTTTTCCCTTCTTCGCTTCCCCCGCTCTCAGTGGCTCCCCCCGACCGGATCCAGGCCTGCCCTGTATATACGACCAACATACCATAGCGTCCCAGCATTGCCCCCCAAGCGCCAGCGCCAGTCCCAGTTTGGCAGATCCAACCAGACAATGCCTGCGCCTGTCTTTAGTACCCAGCAGCAACCGCCGCCTACCACCGACATGGGGTCCGACAAGTCAATTGACCACCATTCCAACCTCAACCACTCTCCTTCTCCGAGTCTTCCCTCTCCAACCTCTATCACCCGACGAGGGCCTCATCTTCGAATCAGAAAACGGTTTTCGTCATGGCATCACTCCAATGCTGATCTGAGAGACCCGAGCCTGCACAGCAATAACCATAGCGATAATAGCAACAACAGCAACATCAAAACAACCGAATCGGGCAAGATGCCCGTCAAGGCGGCCGCCAATACGGGGACCAACAGTCATAACATTCACTTCAACCAGAAGCTGAAGAATTTCTTTCGCATCAACTCGAGCACCAACGGCGACAAGGAGAAGAATCTCGACCATCCCCTCAGGTCCGAGGGGAAGGTCAGCTTCCGCCAATCGAGGAAATTTTTCACCAACGTCGGTAGGATTAGGTCGACTACCACCACGAGCGAGGGAAATCCGCTTGATGAAGCCCTGAGTCCCACCGCCAACGCAAACCCGTATTTTGCCCACCAAGGCCAGCCGGGGCTCCGCCACCATAACGAAGGCTCCGTGCCGCCGAGCCCGCCCGACACTCCAAGTCTGAAGGTCCACGGCCCCGACGGCGCGAAGCAGCAGGCTACGAACGCTACGAAAGAGGAGCTGGCGAGAAAGCTACGGAGGGTTGCGAGTGCTCCCAACGCCCAAGGTCTCTTTAGTCAAGAGAAAGGTAGCGGGGAGAGGCCGGCGACGGCAGAGCTGGGCAAGGAACCACTGGTCCAAGGCGAGAACTCTGCCTCGCTCGGCCTTGTCGATTCCAAAACGTCGCACTCCGATCCGGCGACCCTATCCGTACCCGAGACTGACGGTCTCGGCGCGCTCCCCCCTCCGGTCAACACTTCCCTAGCTTTCCGCAGGACATACAGCTCGAATTCGATCAAAGTCCGCACCGTCGAAGTCGGGCCCTCCAGTTTCGATAAGATTAAGCTCATCGGGAAAGGTGATGTCGGCAAAGTCTATCTCGTGCGGGAGAAGAAGAGCTCTAGGCTCTATGCTATGAAGGGTGAGCTTTTCCCATCCTCGGCTCTTCCGGGCGTGTGCTGACAAGTGCAGTCCTGAGTAAGAAGGAGATGATCAAGCGGAACAAGATCAAGAGGGCGCTGGCTGAGCAGGAAATTCTGGCGACGAGCAACCACCCGTTCATCGTAACCCTGTATCATTCCTTCCAGTCCGAAGACCATCTCTACTTGTGCATGGAGTACTGCAGCGGCGGCGAATTCTTCCGCGCGCTGCAGACTCGGCCCGGCAAATGCATTCCCGAGGACGATGCTCGGTTCTATGCGGCCGAAGTGACGGCCGCCCTCGAGTATCTCCACCTGATGGGGTTTATCTATAGGGATTTGAAGCCCGAGAGTGAGTGGCAGCTACCGCGTCCTCGGAAATCGTTCTAACGCTTTCCAGATATCCTACTTCACCAATCGGGACACATTATGCTTTCCGACTTTGACCTCTCCAAACAGTCGGATCCGGGTGGTAAGCCCACCATGATCATGGGCAAGAATGGCGCGAGCACCTCGTCCCTCCCTACGATAGATACGAAGTCCTGCATCGCCAACTTCCGAACGAACTCATTCGTGGGAACCGAAGAGTACATTGCTCCCGAGGTCATCAAGGGTAGCGGACACACGAGCGCTGTGGACTGGTGGACCCTAGGAATCTTGGTCTACGAGATGCTCTACGGAACGACGCCTTTCAAGGGCAAGAATCGCAACGCGACTTTTGCCAATATTCTGCGAGAGGAGATACCATTCCCAGAACACTCTGGCGCGCCCCAGATTTCTAAGTATGCGATACCCGAGGCCAAAACTTGGAAATTTAATGCTGACTAGGCAATCCTTAGTCTTTGCAAGTCCCTGATACGAAAACTTCTGATCAAGGATGAGACCAGGAGACTGGGCGCAAGGGCTGGAGCTTCCGACATCAAAGCGCATCCCTTCTTCCGAACGACACAGTGGGCACTCATTCGACATATGAAGCCGCCGATAGCCCCGCACGCAGGGCGCGGTATCGATACCGTCAACTTCAGAAATGTAAAGGAAAGCGAAAGTGTCGATATTACCGGCTCTAGGCAGACAACCTTTTCCAAGGGCGTACCGTTAGATAGCGGAATGACGACGCCAGGCAACGAGATTGCCGATCCGTTCGAGGAATTCAACAGTGTAACCCTACACCACGACGGTGATGATTACGACAGCGACAGGTGATTATTCCCAACCGCATCTTCTTTGGCCCGGGCAAGGATTTGCTATATTCTTCTCTCCGCAACTCTTGACCGGATTGCGGTCAAGCGCGGGAAGGAATCTAGCCTCGACCTAACGAAGCTCCTATCCACCTACAGGGATTGCATTATGGACAGTGTATAAAGAAAACTAGGAAAGAAAGAAGCCAAAAAAAAAAACACCAAGCACCATCTCGGAGCATTCCTCTACCGCTGTTCATGATGAAGATTGAAACCTGGGTCAGGCACTGGAGGGAAGGGGGAATGACGGTAGCATCGAGCATCGTTCACATATGTAACGGAGTTTGATTGGCACCAGGAGTTTGAGCGGGAAGACCTACAGAAAAGAGATTCGCGGGTACGTAGCAGCCACCGCAGCAAGGACGACGACAAAAACGGCTTACACGACAATTGAAAGAATGGCGAGTCAATGCCATTGGCTGTTTTCCCCCTAGAAGCACAAGTCTCCTAGCATGGCGGTTCCTCATGCACTTTATGCGTGTGTGCGTGCGCCCCTTGTCTGTTTTTCTCCTTCCACATATATCTGTCCTCCTTCCCTCTCCCTCTTGTAGGGAGAGCGAGATGCCTCCACGCGGGCATGAACGTAGATGGCCCTAGATTAGTTTTCGATCAGAGTCCCCTCACGGGGAAACCCCGAAAAGACGCCATGAAACCAACGTACGTCTCGTAAAACTTGTCTCTCTCGTGTTTCCTAGCCTCGCCGCAAGACCTCGACGCGCGGGCTTGGTTAGTTCTCGCCTCTGGCCTCTGGACGTCGATCTCCTGGCTAGCCTCGCCTAGCCTCTTGGGGAGGGGGTTGCCGGCGCCAGTGGTGCGTTTGTCGCTGCTGCTCTCTCGCGAGGAATGTGCTCGCGCATCGCGATATTCCGAATCGTCTCTCTAGTCCGCCTCTCTACTCATAGTCTCCTATGTACGTGGGTCTACTAGTAGGTTGGCGGAGCAAAAAATAAAAAATTACCTTCCCCCCGGTTTTTTTCCTCCCTTCCCCCAATCTTTTAAGACCGTTAGCACGGTTGACGGCGAGAGGGTCTGGATAACCGACTAAACGGTAGTGCTGGTGGTGGGTGGGTAACGTGACGGGCTGGGCGGCGGGCGGGATGGGATGGGTGTCTCGGATCGGGGGGCGCTCGTGACGAGTGCGTGTGAGTGCGCGCGAGCGGGAGCTTATTATATATAGGGGTGAGGTGTACATGTACATACCTAGGTAACTTGGGGGCACCCATGCCGCGGCTGACCGGCTAAGCCTACTTACCTATCCCATCGCGCGGCCGTAAGCGGTGATCCGCCATCTGCCCTCTCGTTTCTCTTTTAGGGGGTTCCGTTTCCGCCTCGTCTGGGACGTCGCAACGTAGCAACGTCGTACGCTCTTTTACCCGTGTCCGGCGAGGAGGGCAAGGGCGCTACATGCCTGCCTACCTAGGAGTCTGGCATGCTCGCGGGATAATTAATAGGCGGGAAGCTGGGAAACGGTAGGTAGTGTTCGCGTAGGCTGGCTGGGTTTGCCGGAGGCTGTTTCTTTTTCGGCGCAGCTGGGTCGGCTGGTTCGGCGGCTGACACTGCCTCGCGCCCCCCCCCTCGCCCCCTTAGGTACTACTCGTAGCCGGGTCGCGGCGCGCGCTTGCACGCAGGCCTGTTGTTCATATACCTACCTACCTGCCTACTCGTGTGCACCCGGGCATCTGCGAGGGTAGACCGGCCTCTCCTCGCTCCGGCTTCCTTTCCGCTCTCGCGTCTTGTCCGCTTCTCCTCCGCGCGAGCTACCCAGTTTATCTGTCCGCGCCTCGTCTCTTGTCTAATACGTAGCAAGCACAGCGCTGCGTGCAGAAATAGCTGGCGGCAGCGAGGGAAGAGAGAGAGAGAGACAGAGACAAAGAGAGAGAGAGAGAGAGAGAGACAGGACGCGCCGCTGCCGCACCAAGCTCCGCCGACCGACCGGCGCCTACGAGAGGCAAGCGTTCTTGACCTGATATATTACAGCCGCTTGTCTGGCGTCGGCACGGTCGATTCGTGGGTTAGTTGGATAGCCTGGCGTTTCGCGAGCGACGGGCGGGATTAGCGCGCGCAGCCGCCGGGAGGGCAGACGGCTCGCGAGATGGACCCGCCGCCGCGACGCTCCGCCGAGGGCGGACCCACCCTCGCGGGACCAAGCACCCACCGCCGCAGCAGCGCCGACGAGCCGCGGAGACCGACGGGGCGTCCGCAGCCGCAGCCGTCACCAGAGTCCGCCACGCGGGCGTACGCGCTGGAATGGGCGGAGACCGAGGGCCAGCCGGGCCTCGCGCGGACGGGCTTCGGCAGCGCCGAGGCGCTGCGCGCTGCGATCCGGCGGCACCGGAGGGGGGAAGAAGAAGAAGAGGAAGAAGCAGCGCGGCGCCTGTTCGTCGTGCAGAACCCGGCCCCGCCCTCGGACTACGGCCGCGTGCTCTGCGAAGAGCTGGGCGTCGACCCGCGCTTCGTCGAGGCCCACGCCGCGCGGCGCACCTACCGGCCCCCGGGCCCGGGCTCCTGGCAGGAGTCGGAGCGCAGCCCGCGGGTGGGCGATGCGCCCGCCGACTCCGCGCCGCCCTTCACATACTACGAGTATCCCGAGGCTTGGGAGGACTCTGGAGATGGTTCGTCGTCCTGGCCCGACGCCGGCAGCCGAGTCGACCCCCGCCAGAGGTCCAATGTACATGTGGTACCATCCGGCGGGGACCTGGTGGCATTCTGTCGCGCTTCGCTGTGGCTGCGTCCCTGTGGTATGTTCTACGCGCTTTTACTAGCTACGCGTATCACCTCGCGCTTCGCCTCGCTGACAACGTACCTTGATACAGCAGTCCTTCTCGTAGACAGGCCGTTATTACACTCGCAGGAGTCCACGCCGGACCCCGCACAGGACACTGTGAGGAGGCCGTCGTCGGAATTAGCATCGGTGGGCAATGTCCCCCTTATTCACACGGGACGGAACGACATCGGCAGCGATCCTGGGCGTAATAACCTAAAACCCCGCAGTGACGACGAACTACTAGGCTTTGAGGCATTGCTCTTCGAGAGGTTGGACAAATTACTAGGACAGCGGCAGAGCAGTGACAAGTCGCATAATAGCGCCAGTGCCAAATTCACCGCGGTAACAATATCATCTCTCGTGGAGGACATCGCGATAAGTAGATGGATCGAATTCATTGACACACTATCGGCAGGGGTACCCCCTTTCACTCGTAGCTCTTTAGAAAGTATGGCCACACTCTACTGGAGGATTCAAATGAGCCTCGAAAGAAACATAAGCAGCTCCGAATACGACCATAGGTCCCCCGGCTTCACGTACCACCCTTCCCGGGCGACGTTAGAATGGAAAACTCTCCTCGCCCGCACCGGCCGCGGAGCCGAGCTACTGAGCCGACTGAGCTCGATGGCACCGTGGTGGCCGCTGCCGGAGGCACGAGTGACAGGCGAAGCGGAAAGTCGGGCCGTCGCAAGAGGGATGCCACGCTCAAGTCGGCGAGATGACGCCTCGTTGTACGACTTGGAGCGGAACAAGCAGAGCTTCGATCGCGTCTCCTACATGGGTGGTATTCTACTTCCATTTACCGTTGTGTCTGGCGTCCTCTCGATGAGCGATCCGTTCGGCCCCGGAGGCGACATGTTCTTCGTCTTCTGGGCAGTATCCATTCCTCTGGTCTTCATCGCCATCTTAGTCGTCTACGCCGACTCCATCCGAAAGACCGAGGTGTGGATTGAGGTCGCCACAGACGCGGGTCTCATGGAGGAGCAGTTCAACGAACCAGAACCAGGACTGCCTCCTATGCGCGTGCCCGCCGTTGAGGTGATATTGGAATCCGCGATACCGCCAGTTATAACCGATGAACCGCCATTGAGATCCGCAGGGTCGTCAGTTATAGTAGAGAAGATGTTTAAAGACGGCAGGAAGAAGAGATGGCGGAAAGAGCGGCTTGGTTGGACAGGCGCATGCAAGGCGGCCTTGGGGATATACAAACTGAAGAAAGGCAGGCCACGTGGCCACACATGACCGTTACGAGAGGGTGCGTGTGGAATGGGACGCGTGGATGATAAGTATATTAAATTCGAAGACGATAGCAGTTGAAAGTCAACGAGCATTCCTTCAGTTGCCGTGATTTCTCAACGTCTGTCTGCTGCTCGGCAGCACTTCCCCTCTCGCTTCTCGTGATTCATGATGCAGAGCCGGAAGTGAACGACAAGCTGCATGTCCGGCATGTCTTCGATAATCTTTCGGCACCAGGGGTGGGTATGGTTGAACTGCTGAACGGCGCCGAGGACCGCCACGGGTTCGACTAGAGGTTTCACCTTAATATTCGCCTTGTCCGCCGAGAGGGCGAGGGCGGGATTCGGTGCCTCGTCTGGCTGCCCCACGAGCCACAGGTTTCTGAGGTCGGCGTACGACTCCTCCACATACTCCTCGTTTGGCTCGGTGATGTCCTCGAGCCAGTTCGCGACCCTCCTCTGCTCGCCAGCGTCCGTAGGTTAGTCAATTAATGTTACGAAGTAACCTGGAAGAGTGGCCGGGAGCGTGCTCATGAGCCGGGCGGTGATATCCGTCCCGCAACTCGACCCTAGATAGGATGAGAGGACTCGAGTCACTGACCTGAAAATACGCCGGATCCGACTCCTCAACATATAACTCCGTCAACTGTTTGAGCTTTTGGCGATCATGAATATCGATGAGAAGAGTATGGCATCTATCGACACCCCTTCCAAAAAGTTGCTGGACCTTGGAAGATCTTCCCAGGTGCATCACTATGCTGTCGTGGTAGAATAAGTATCGCGGCACACCGAACCAGAAGCCTCGCGTACGCTTCCACTGATCTATGAGGAACCTCCCGGTAGAGCCCGACAGGGCCGAGAGGCTCACGCAGACAGAACTGGCGGGAGAACTGGCGAAGTAGGCCCTAGTGACGGCGGGGTTATTGCCGATCTCTGTGACCAGGCCGTTCAGCTCTGCGACTGGCCCGGTCGCCGGCTGCACGATGGAGTCGTCGAAACAAAGAGTGTCCGTCGAGGGGTCGAACCACGTTTTCAACCTGGCAACACGGCAGACGCCACGGGGACGGCTCCCCACGCACTTCCAGGATCCATGTCTCGAAGCGACTTTCCGGGCTTCACGACAGACCGACAACAATACCGGCGGGGCTAGCAACACGGCGGCCAGATCCGAACTGCGGATGCGCCAGGGGTCGTGATCCAAATCCGCAGTCGTGTCTGGCTCACCGTTCTCCTTGATAGGCACCGTCTCCCTTCGGATTTCGAAGACGCGACGCGGCAGGGCGAAGTGCCATACGAGGAGTCTCAACTCGGCCGGTAGATCGGGGAATCGCGGGAAGGCGATAGGGGCTATACTACTCTCGGGCTCTACCATAACTTCCGCCAGGATAAGTAGTCTTGGTACGGGGAGCCGAGCTTGGGGTCCCAGGGGGGCAATATGCGGCGACATATATCTCGTGCACGCGAGGCGGTCTAAATAGTAGTGGGTTCGTATGGAGGAGGGGGTAAAATTGGCCCGGGGGGGGGGGCAGGGAATCAAAGGGGAGGTCGTACGAACAGCGAAAGAGAGGGACCGCCGGTCGTGGTGAGGGGAGGCGGCCGTTAACAGGCTGTATGTATGGGCCATAGATCTAGTCCCGGCCGAGTTCTCGGTGGGTCGGAAACCGACGGCTCTGTTTAGCCTGTCCGAACCAGGACCAATTTCTCGAAGCGTCGGCGACTATTTGGAAACCATCACGTCCTGGAACTGTATCTCCGCGCCGCTCGCATTCCTCAAGCATACCATCGGCAGGTTTGGGAGTCCTGGGAGTCTTGGGATGCAGTTCCCACCGAGCCCCGAGCCCGGGCGGACTTGATAGGATAGAGGAGGCCATGTGAACAACTTGGTGCTCACTGTGGCCGAAAACAGAGCATTGTCCGCGGCCGGACTACCATACCCTGTCTCACCTGTCGGAGTTCGGACAAACACCGAAGAGGGAATCGGAGATGCAGAATCCAGGGCAGGGCTGACCTGAAAGGCAGGTCGGTGGTGAAGGAGCCTCGCGAGCTCGAAAGGAGAAGGGGGGGGATACGAATGTGACACAGCAAGCATACTGTGAGCGTGAGATATACCTACCTATCTTGTACGCTGAAGCATACTGCGTAGTACGCTGTGGTATGACGAGGGAAGCAGTTGGCGCCAGCGATGCTAGCGGTGCCAGTGGTGAGGATAGGTGGCGCGCGCAGGCCTCTCGGATATACGAAGCGACATGGATGTAGATGTTGGAGAAGACCCCTACTTATTATCCGGAATGATGATTAGCCAATGGCACTCAACTGGGGCCTCCCGTTGATTAATCAAGTGGGTGTGGATTACATAACCCAGGGCGGTATGCACGGCACGATTATTAAGCGCTAAGCATGCACGCATCACGTGACATCCTGGTGTGATGACCTGGCTGTCACGGAAGGAAGCGGTAGGAGGCTCCGTGCCACGCGAGGCGAAGAAGCCCCTAGCGATTCGACCCCGCCAGCAGCGACGCCACAGTCCGTCCCACACCTCCCCGCGGAGCCAAGTCACCTTCCCGTCCTCCCACCAAGCCAAACCAAGATCATCTCAACGACGCATAGGTACCGCCCGCGAACACCAGACGCACGCCCTCGCGCACACCCCCCTACCCCCCTCTCGAGCATGGACAGCCAGGGATCCAACCCGCTCCTGTCGCCGCCGGAGCTCTCGCCGCTGGAGCAGGAGGTGCTGGAGGAGTACGAGCGGCTGGCCGAGAACATGAAGAAGGTAGGTTTGTTTTCTGGCAGCGCCCGCGGGCGCGAGAAGGGCGACGACGGCTAACCAAAGGCGCGCGCGCGCGCTCGCTCGCCCCCCGACGCAGCTCGCCCACGTGCTCGACGTCATGGCCGGGCAGCCGACAGCCGAGATCCTCGACGGCCTGCGCGAGCTCGAGCGCAAGACCAGCCTCGTCTTCACCCTGCTCAAGGCCAGCGTCTACAGCATCGTCCTCCAGCAGGAGATCGACTGGGGCGACCAGGCCCGCGGCTGAGCACGCCCACACCCACCCCTCCCTCCCCCCTACCCCGGCGTATATACCTACCCACGCACATATAAGCACGCGCATAAGCGCATGGGATGGGCGCCCGCCCTTTCAGCCCATCCGGACCTCCGGGACTATCGACGACGGATCTAGAAGGCTCGAGAAGGAAGACTGGCGGGCCCAGATCTTGGGCCGATGGCGCCTGTGCCCCTCGGGAGCAGAAACAGCCCATATGGAATGTCTAGAGCCCATATCGGATAGGCAGGCGAGGACAGGGGGGGGGGGGCGATGTCTACACGGCCCTAGGACGCTGTGTCGAGGCTTAGTTGGTACCGCGAGCAGATTACCTACTTGGGTGTAGGCATGTGGAATACGGAGAACACGAGAAGAAAAAGAAGATACCCCGAAAATCAGGATCGGGACATAAGAGTGATGCACGGGAAATACGCCCCCCGCACGTGTTTGGTTTCTTTCTTTTTCTTCCCTCCCCCCTTCTTCTTTTTCGCTCGGAGGAGAAGAAGGGGGGGGGTTCTTCTACTACTAGTACACATTGCCGCCGTAGTACACCTTGCGCACGTCCACCAGCTTCTTGCCCCTGCCGATGGCGAGCGCCTCGGGGTCCTGCTGGCCCACCAGCGCTAGGAAGCAGGCCTTGACCGAGTTCATCGGGTTCCGGCCCCTCGGCATCTTGGCCGCGATGTCGTGGATACCCACGGCGCGAAAGATCTCGAAGAGTCGATGGGACGCACGAAGACCAAAGCCTGTTGTTTCGGGGAGGAGGGGGGGAGAGAAATGCATTAGCACGTGTCCGCATGGCTTTAGGATAACGGTAGTCACAGTACGGGGTGTTTTTTTTTGCTTCTTTTTTTTTTTGAGGGGAGGAAGGGGGGGCCGGGGAAAGAGAAAAAAAAAAAACCTTACCAGGCGGCCGGGCGTCGATCTGCACGATGGTCGCGCCAACTTTGGCCCTCACCATGCCGTAGACGGTCCTGTCTTCGTATCTGCGGATCGGCCGCATGTTCCGGATGGCGAGCAGCTTCGCCTTCTGCACGGCCACCGAGTATTCGACCGACTTCGCCTCGCCGATGCCTAGCCGGCCGTTCTTATTCCCCGCAATCGCTAGGACCGATGCGGTTATGATCTTGCCTAGACGCGTCTGGTTGTGGACGTAACGCGTCACGAGGACCTTGGTGGAGAGGTCCAGGATGTTGCTCACGCTCAGGCCCGTTCGCCTCTTGAGATCTTGGTATATGCCCTGGTCATCCTTGCCGCCGTCCGCCGGGTCGATCGGCGGCTTGTAGAGTCCCGCCACACCCTTGAGCTTTTTGCCCAGCAGCGGGGCCACAGCTGACGCGGTAGGTCCGTTGGTCGGCGTCAGCGTTTCCGGCTGCAAGAAATACTTGGCCTCCTCCATGTCGAGGTCGACTCGCTCTCGCAATATTTTTTCTATCTCCTCGGCGCTCATGCCGTCGAAGTTGACGTCCTTCGGTATTAGTTTCTCGAGGCGCGTGGTTAAGTCTTCGATGTCCTCTTCGTCGGTCATGAACCTGGCGTTCGGGTGTGGGGGGGCACCTGACTTGGGTCGCTTGTCGATGATGGGGTAGATCTTGCTGAAGTCGTCGAGGTACGGCACCCTGTAGGTGTCTCGCCGCACCCGGCCCTGTATGGTGAGGTCTTTCGGGTCTATAGCTGCCTCGCCCGCCTCGAGCGCAGCTATCTGATCGGGCGTGTACTTTTTCCTGAGAATCTCCATCTCTTGTGGGCTGTACTGGGGGAAGGTCTCTTTGGAGAACTCAACAACCTTCTCCGGCGTCGTGAGGCCCATCTCCTCGGCTCGGATGCTCTTGAATCGGGGTTTGCGCTTGCCGGCGAGTCGCGCCGAGCTGTGGAATTGGGCGCGACATCGCGACGGTGGTGGTTTGGCCGTAGCAGCAAGCCTGCCGGAGAGGAGGCACCTCGTAGGGCGTACTACGCTCATCGCATATCGAGAATCCGGTAAGCCTGCCCTGTTCTGGTTGCGACGGCGCAACTAAGAAAGACGAAATGCTCATACGACAGGAGGAGGGGCTTGAGGTACATGAGCTTCGATTGGTACATGTGCGGTACAGGGTTCCCTAATTTTTTCCCGGCGGCTTGTCCTACATAACCCATATTACGGATTTACAATTTTACCGTGCCGAGCTGGCGGGACCTCTTTAGCTTAGTTCCACCCGCCAGAATGGGCGATGCGGTGGAGCACGAGGGCTTCAACGATCCTAGCCTATGGTTGGTTCAAGACTTCAGGTACAAGAGAAGCGATACGTACCTGGAAGAAGTACTCATAGGCACGTTACATAATCATGGGCTTGGTGGTCTTGCATCTTCATTAGCTGGAACTAGGATGTAGATCTGTGCATAGGCACACACGTACAGGTAAGTACTTAGGTACTTATGTACCTACATCCATAAGGGGGGTTGCCTACCGTAATGTATCAATGTATCGATCGTGGGAATCGCTACAAATACCCGCCAATCAATTATCGTTTATAAAGGGACAGGGACTGCCCTCCCGCTGACGATTTAGGGAGGTAGGCCGCCGTGTCGCACAGAGAGTTGCATGATCTCACGCTTCTGAATTGCTATAAACATCTGTTCGAGCCATCCAACAATCTCACTAGCCTTCCTCCCACACGCGTTTGGGCCGAGGCGAGGTCCCATACTGCGGCGCGACGCCGCATCGCGTGCCATGGCACAAACGACGAAGCTCCTTCGAGAAGAGAGGTCGAGCATTCGTCAGGGACTCAGGCCGGGCATACCCACCCTTGGGCCCCTTTACACGCTCCCCGTCGCCCGTCCATGATTGGCGCCGCCCCATCAGTCGACCTCTGCCGCAGGTCTGAAACGCACGAGTTTCGCAGGGATTGGCGCCGTCGTCAGTTGGTCGAGGGAAGATCGAGAACGATGTATGTGCTAAGGGTGGATTGCGTGGGTGCCTGTCTCATAATTGCACCAGCACGCAAAGCGCTGTGTAGGATTTGCCAGCCCTTCCCTCTCTCTCGCTCTATTATGTCCACGTATTTTCTTATCTCGTAGTTGTTCTATCCTCTCTTCTGTCCCGATTGTGAAAAAGTGAAGCCATCATCACTCCGCCTCTCTCTTTTCCCTCCTTTTCTTCCCAAGCGTGACTGGTCCACCATAATTGTTATTGTTATTTACTAGCGCGACCTCCTTTATCGGCCCATTCCCGCCCCGTTTTCGCGTCCGTCCGTTCGTCAAGCAATCGAGACAACTCATCATCCCGCGCTCGGCTTGAAGTCGACCACCCCAACCAATAAAGAAAAGAAACTCGAGAGCGCAATCCAAACCTACATCTCAAAATGTCGGGCCAATTCGGGTTTATGGGCAAGATCGGTGCCACCGACGAAGCTGTCGCCGTCCTCAACGACCAACCTTACATCTTCACCATCCTCGTCGTCGTCCTTGTCATCCTCATCCTGCAGATCACCTTCCACTGGTACATCCACCACGCCACCCTGAAGCCTGAGCAGATCAAGAAGAAGGAGCCCAAGGGCGCGAAGAAGAAACCCGCCGCCCCCGCCTCAGGAGCGAAACCGCCGGCCGCACGATAGACGACTTGCCACTCGCGCCGTTCGACCAACGCAACTGCCATTGACACGACGGTTTTGTGCGCCATCAAGAGCAAAAAAACCATCCGAAAACGATATGGGACCGGTTCCGCCAGTACGGGTGATGGTGGCTCTTTTTTGGATAAAAAGTTCCGAGTCTCACAATACCCTGTGTTTTTGCGAGGCAGACCTATGCTGCTAGATGACAACGATGGACACAAGGAAGGGGGACCGAACCCTACAAGCGGCCGGGGATAGGCGAACGAAACGAGAGGAGAGCCACGGAGTGCTTCGATGACTGCAGGTCGCATCTAGCACTTATAATCAGTATTATTACACATGTGTTCATTTTTGTTTTTTTATGTCGTAAATCGGTATCGTTTATATATATATTCCCATGGTTTAGAAATTCCGCCATTCTTCCACTTGGTAGTCACTCATCATAGCCTGCTTTTCTGATTCTACAGCATGATCATCTTCAAATTCGTATTTGTATCGATGAGTGTCGTCCCAAAGCGCGACTTCCACAAGTGATGAAGTCTCTTCCCTGGTACGTTGAATGGTGTCGACGTCGTGGAAGTAGTCAGATGTGGATACGCCATCTCTATCTATAATAAGACCACCACTATTTTCCTGGTGAAAGGAAGGGTCGTGTGGCCTCTCGCGTGTTTGTGCAGATAAATCGAAGAAAGCATCACGGGAATTACATTCTCTTAAAGAATCAAACGGATCGTCGACGATACCAAAGGTTTTGGGGGACTCGTCCATGGGGCCCGGGTCTATACCCCCGTTCTCATACCCATCTTCGTACTCGTCTTCGTACCTATGCCAGTGTCGGGTTCTCTCTGTTGCTTCGAGAATGCTCTCACCATTTGCGAGTTGGTACTCCGGATATTGAAGCAATGGCAAGTATGAAATTGAGTTGAGGTGGAGGCCGATAGCGCCCTGGTTGGTATCATCTGGTCCATTAATGGGGACGTCAAGCTCAAGCTCAACGTCTTTCGGTTTATCGGCCTCTGACGACATGTTCTGATGGGCATCATTTCCCAATTCACTACACCGAGGTAAACCGCCGGCACTGACATTACCTATGCGAATGGTTGGTGTCAATGTCGTCCGTAGCAGATCCCAGAGTCTTTCTTGAATGGAATTCTGATAAATCGTAGGTTCGACCGTCGCATTTATGCTGAGCGTTGGATTGCATCCAGGGCTGCTGTCTACTAGAAGTCTCCTAACTTTCTTCCTCAGCGACGGTGATTGAGCTTGGGCGGACGTTGATAGGATGGCTGAGATGACCGGGAAATTAGTCACATGCGATGCCGCCACCTAGCTCTCGACATTAGACACAAACCTGACATCCCGTTGAGAACACCAACCTTGAGATAATGGGCATTCCAGACAGTCGGAGCCAATTCAAGCAGCGAAGGGCGCAGACCAACTTGGAGGAGCCGCAAGCCGTAAATACGCTTCCTAATGCCAATAGTGACATATAGGGCCATCCGGGCTAAATATACTGCCTCCTCCCATCCATGTCGAGAGTGCCTCGTTGTGGAGGAACTGGCCTCTAAGCCCTTATAATAGTCTCCCAGCCATATAGTTTGATAAGGATTAGCTTCCAAGTCCCAGATTTGCGTATACCGGGTCTGTTCGGGAGAGCAGTGATGTACGGGAGCACAGGGCATATTGGATTGACCGGCGACGCTTGGTCGATATTGGAACAGGCATTCTATTCCATTAAGATAGGCAGCGGAGATGTGTGGTGGCGATAGAAGTGAAGAATATTTGTTTAGATGTTCGACGATGAAGTATAGATTCGGGGCGCCTTCGTAAGACGGCTGGTACTGGATGTCCTCTTGCTTGATGGTAAGACCGAGTGTTGGCCATAGCTACGGCCATACGCATGAGTAGCAATGACTGAAAGCGGCACCACGAACTTACCGAGCATTGACAAATCGCGTCGGCTAGGTATTCCAGGAAGCCAACTTCGGGGTTCGACTCCCACGTGCAGAGGAGGCTCTGGTCAATAATGATTTGTATGCGGCAGAGGCCCGGGGAAACCAGCCACAGTCGCTTCAGGTCGATTAACCGTCGAAGCTCCTCGGGGGAGTATTGCGAAGGGGGTATATTAGATATCAAGGCCAGCGCAGTGACGGATAAAGACATATTGGCCTGTTCGCTAGAGAGTTGGAAACTTTTGAGCTCAAGCTCAAGGTAGTCGGACATGACTAAAGGACAGTGTTGACATACTGCTAACCTTCTCGACGCCGATCTGGGCTACAATGGATGAATACTTGCAAACTCGTACAAGGGAGACATAATATGTAGCATGGGACGGAAGAAGCGCAAGGGAGGAGGATGGCCTAGGTATCTAGACAGAGGATCTGGATGGGTGAGTAACATAGGCGGGCGTGGTTGAGGGCGTCGTGTTTAGCCTCGACGGAGAAACCGAGCCAGCAGATTTTGAGCAAAAAAAGAAGAGGAAAGAGAGGCCAGACGAGACTTCCGTCATGCCGGTCTTCGATGGCACACCCAGTGGAAATGACGTAGGAAGGGCGCGCCGAGTCGGAAAGGAGCAGATACTCATACTCTGGAAAGTGCGAGGTGCACCGCTGTATCTGTCGCCCCTACCTAAAGTCCTAAACTCGAGAGGTACATATCGAGGTACATGTAGACACCCGCCGGTCTCTAGGGCTAGATCGTGATAGGGGTATATTCGCCATGTGAGGTCGGTAGTGAGGTCCCTAGGATGTATCGTCTATCGGCTCGTTGCCGTTCGAGAGGAATGACAGCACGAGGCAGTAGTCCCAGCTTGAATGCTCTCCTCAATTCCCCCCGCCGCCTAGCGGGTATTTATGCCGGAGCACTTGCGGACACCTGCTGGGTTTCCGGCCTCGGCGCCGGGATAGGGCTGGAGCTGGGCGATTTTGTGGGAAGTTTCCGCCTTGGTCTCTTCAGCTCTTCTAGCGTGACCCCTTTCAGCTTCGTAATCCCGACCACAGGCGGCTCTCCCTTCTTGACAAACTCCCATTGCCCTAGATATAAAGTGTTAGGGGTGCCTGCGTTCCCGGTCGGGCCATGGTTGGATCCTTACCGGGAAGCTTGTGGCCTGCTAGCCGGAATGCATCGCGGACCACTTGCTCGTGTAGCACTCCTTTCATCTCCAGGACGATTTGGTTTACCGCTACCCTCGTCGCCCAGTGGTCGAACGAGCCTTTACCTTTACCCATACGAATCTACGGCCACGCGTTAGTTGGAACATATATGTGACATGGGGGCAAGCATCCGGGAACCTACCTCGTTTCCGCTCACGAACACGCCAACATTGCAACAGACTCTCTTGTACAACCGATACCTCTCTCCACGTAACCGCTGCTTGATGGCGTCCTCCGCACACTTGAGTTGCTTTGCACTAATCCTCCGGTGGTGATCGATCATCCGCAGCCCGTAATCGCCCCATACCACTGTCGTTCCTTTGGTAGAGCCGCCAGTGGCGACCCTCGGCCGCCCTTTCATCATCTTTTTCTTGCGATTCAGACTGGGCTCTAGCCAATTGCCGGCCATCGACGTCGTTGCCGAGAATAATCGGACATTTTGCGGGTGTCGAATCCGGGGCGTCGCAATTGAGGGATGAGGTATCGTCGACGGCCGTGTAGCCGGTGCGTAGAGTATTCTTAGGGAGCGGAGGGCGCCGATGAGGCATGACGGCCCGCTGGCGCGCATGGTGACAGTGGTTACGGAGATACGGTTGCTCGAAGGTTAGGGCATCGCCTCTTATTTCAGGTAGAAGTTGAGAGTTGAGGTTGGAGCTTGGATGTGTTATGTACCTATGTGCAGGTATACTAAAGACTTCATTGTATCTATCTTGTGTACGATAAGCGACCTTTATCTCAGGCTCTGCACTAGCTGGCTTTACCCTCGTAGCATGTACGAGGTACCTACGGTGTAGAGAGGTATGCAATAAAACATGCAGTACGCGGTGTAGTTCCATTAATTTAGGAGGTACCCAGTTAAACCTGATTCTGACAGCAGAAGGGCGGGCGCGTCATAAGTTCGCGTCGAGCTTTTTAGCGGCTCAAACCTCGGGCATCCCCTTTCGCGCCAACCCGCCTCTGCAGCCGTCCACCCTTTCCATCCTCCTCCTCTTCATCCTTCTTCTATTTTCATTCCGGGTAAATTTCAGTATTTGGAACGAAATGTCTGATATTCGGTCCTTCTTTGGGGCCAAGGGTGCTACCGCGCCTACAAAGCCGGTCCCAAAGAAGACAGGCGAGGATTCCTCGAAAAGACGCAGCAGTACGCGTATTTTCTTTACTATAACTGGTTACGATACTAACACCTAGTACTAGAAGTGCGCAAAGTCGTGGACGACAGCGACGAGGATGACGAGCCGGTCGCACAGTAAGCAAAAGGGCTCCGATACCACAACCAACTTGTATTGGACCAGCTAACTTTATTCTCTAGGACGAAGAAACTGCCTACTAGATCTTCTCCTAGGAGGAAGGCGACGTAAGCATCATTTGTATTTCAAGTCAACCAAAAACAAACTAAAAATTTTGAACCAGCAATGAGAAGCTCCAGGGGACCGCCATTACAGCCAGCGAATACTTTGCCTCAAGCAAAACGAAGAGCCAGCCGACCAAGAAATCCGAGCCCAAAATCCAGCCCCAAGTTGAGCCGCGATCAAGCCCCCGAAACAAGAAGACCACTGGAAAGGAGACGACCGGGAAGGGGGCATCAAGGTCTGGTCACAACGAGATACCCGAATCGGGAAAACGCCCCTCGACTAAAGTCAAGCGGCACGTCCTAGACGATGAAGAGGATGTCTATATGGAAGACGACGTAGATGCGGGAGATGATATTTTCGCTGCCGACGCAAAAGGTCGGAATAAGAGGAAGAATGACGACTACTCGGAAGGCGAAAGCGAAGAGGACTTCATTCCCAAGCCGAAGCGCGTTAACTCCCGCAGCAAAGCGGTTGACAGCGGCGGGAAACTCGCGTCGAAGTCTGCAAAGACTGACAGAACCTCCACGCCGAGTAAGAAGAGGAAGACCCCTGAGCCTGAATCTGACGAAGAGGAAGAGGATGAGTCTCCGCCCCGTAAGAAGCCAGCGCCGAGGAAGCCGCGTGCTCCGAGAGCGAAGAAGGTCGACGAACCGGAGGACGCAGAAATCCAAAACATACTGGATGATATTCCGATGGTCAGACCTCCGACGCCGCCAACCCAAACCCCGGATGCCAAATTCGACTGGAGAAAGGCGGCAGCGGGTGGTGGTAATTCCGGACCGCCACTCAACCCCACCACAGAACTGCCCGAAGGAGAGGAGGATTGTCTTGCTGGCTTAACATTTGTCTTCACCGGACAACTGGGTACTATCGCCCGCGAGGAAGCCCAGATGTTGGTGAAGCGATATGGCGGGAAAGTCACGGGCGCCCCTAGTAGCAAGACAAGCTACGTAGTGCTGGGCGAAGACGCTGGCCCCAGTAAGCTGGCCAAGATCCGCCAGCTTGGTCTTAAGACCATCAACGAAGAAGGCTTGTTCGAGCTCGTTCGCCGCCTTCCTGCCGGCGGTGGAAGCGGGAAAGGCGCGGAGAAGGTCCGGGAAAAACGGAGATTGGAAGAAGAGAAGGCTAAGCAGCAAGCTGCTGAAATGGAACGAGAAGAGAAGGCTCGAAAGGCAGAAGCTGAGAAGGCTCGGAGAGCCGCTGCCGCCACTCGTGGTTCTTCAGGCCCTGCTCCCGCCGCCCCGATCCCTCTCTCACAATTGTGGACGGTGAAGTACGCCCCGACCCAAGCGAACCACATCTGCGGTAACAAGGCCGCGGTAGAGAAGATCCAAACTTGGCTGAAGAACTGGTCAAAGGCCCGCAAATACAACTTCCAAAAGAGAGGAGCGGATGGCATGGGTGGCGCCCGCGCTATCATCGTTTCTGGGCCTCCCGGTGTTGGCAAGACAACAGCGGCACACCTGGCGGCCAAGCTAGAGGGCTACGATGTTATAGAGAGCAATGCTAGCGATGCGCGCAGCAAGAAGCTGGTGGAATCTGGTGTCGGCGAGGTGATGAATAACACGTCATTGAACGGCTTCTTCGCGGAGGATGGGAAGAAGATAGATAAGGAGAAGAAGAAGATCGTCCTGATCATGGACGAAGTAGACGGGATGTCGGCTGGAGATCGTGGTGGCGTGGGCGCTCTGGCAAAGTTCTGCAAGAAGACCGAGGTGCCTCTTATCCTGATCTGCAATGAGCGAAAGCTGCCGAAAATGAAACCGTTTGATTTCGTGGCATTCGATGTCAAGTTCCAACGACCGCAAATCGACCAGATACGCTCACGGATGATGACCATCTGCCACCGGGAAGGGTTGAAGCTATCCCCCCAAGTGCTAGATGCCCTTATCGAAGGCAGCAACCGGGATATCCGGCAAATCATAAACATGTTGTCTACGGTTAAGCTGGACCAATCCTCCATGGACTACAGCCAGAGCAAAGATATGTCGAAAGCGTGGGAGAAGTCGATAGTGCTGAAGCCCTGGGATATCTGCCAGAAGATGCTCGGTGGCGGCCTCTTCGCCCCGGCGAGCAAGGCGACACTCAACGACAAGATCGAGCTCTATTTCAACGACCATGAGTTCAGCTACCTGATGATACAGGAGAACTACCTCCGCACTAAACCGTCCGTCCTGAACCAGAATCAGTACAACAAGCGAGAGCAAAATCTTAAGGCTCTGGAGCTGGTCGACAAGGCGGCGGAAAGCATCAGCGACGGCGATTTGGTAGATCGGATGATCCACGGCCCGCAACAGCACTGGAGTCTCATGCCCACGCACGCGGTCTTCAGTACCGTCCGGCCAGCCAGCTTTGTAGCCGGCCAGTTGATGGGGTCAAATTTCACGACTTGGCTTGGTAACAATAGCAAATACGGCAAGCTAGGTAGATACGTGCGGGAGCTCCACTCGCATATGCGGCTTAAATCCTCCGGCGACCACAACGAGGTTCGGCAGCAATACTTGCCAGTTCTCTGGACACAGCTCGTCAAAAAACTCGCAGACGAAGGTAAGGACTCCGTGCCGGAGGTTATCGAGCTTATGGATAGCTATTTCCTCACCAGAGAGGATTTCGATTCGATCAAGGAACTCGGCATCGGACCCCAGGACGAAGAGCTCGTCAATATCGACACCCAGGCGAAGGCTACCTTTACCAGATTGTGAGTCCATTTCCCTCTGAGCTATGAATATAGGGGCTAACGTTCTTAGGTACAATACCATGTCCCACCCCATTCCCTTCATGAAAGCTACCAGCGTGGTGGCTCCGAAGAAGGCAGCCAGAGACAAGCCAGATCTTGAAGAGGCGATAGATGACGATGATGATGATGATGCAGAAGCAGTTGATGTAGTCGAAGCAGCTGATGATGACGAGGATATCGACATTGAGAAGGACAAGTACATAAAAAAGCCGAAGGCGAAGGGCGCAAAGAAGGGTGGTAAGAAAGCTGCTAAAGCAGATGACGAGGACGAGGAAGAGGAGAAGCCAAAGGGGCGTAAAAGCAAGGCGGGTGGTGCCAAGGGCAAGGGGAAGAAATAAGAATCCCACGGCGAATAATATTGAAAGCTTTCTTCAAGGGAGCTCTATGTTTTATTTATGGTTGATATTGGCTGGGCTGGGACCAGATAACTTGTAGTCTGGAACCAAGACGCTGACACCTAGGTAGATATCGCATACCCTCATTCAATGCCATTACCTCAAGAGACATACATACCTAAGAGGACTCTATTCAGGTCGTTGTGTGTTGCTGCGTTAGGATATCATCCCATAAAGTGCTCCCTTGTGTTATGATGTTTTCAAACCGAGTTGGTTGCCCCTGAAACCGTTCACCCATATGCACGCAACACTTAACGCGTAATAGGTGTCGACGCGACAGTACGAATATGTCCTTGACGAGTTATCAACAATATCGGCGGCGCTTCCTGAATTCACACAGTCAGATCCATAACACCCACAAACTCACGGCGATTCTGAACCCTGAAAATTTCTTCCGTTCAGCAACCCTCGCCCCTTTCACTACCTACAGCTGGCCTCATCGCCTTTTCTCCATCCACACCTTCTTCTGCATCGATTCTCGCCTCATTTGAAGCTTAGAAGCACGTATTCAACTCCTGCCTCTTTATCAAGGAATTCCCACGCCGTTTTGGTTGATTTCCAGGACGAGTCAAATTTACCCAGCTGGCTGACAATGCCTCCTACACCTGGAATCCCGCCGTCTCGCGGTGAGGTTCATCCCTGAATATCCCTACTGCAGGATCTTGAGTATTGATTATTTGTAATAGGCAACCGACAATCTGTGCCATCTATGGGTGGAGTCTATATTTCTGACTATCCAGCGGTTCCTGCATCTGGCTCTGTTGTGAGCAGCTCCAGCCAACAGCAGATGGAGGAAGATATCGACATTGGCGCCTTTGGCAATCTTCAGCCATATGCCACTGACTCTGGTTCTGGTGGAAGTCTAGCTGGAGCTCGCCATGGTCATGGTAACTATTGTCCTGATGAGCCAGCCTCCTTTCTCTACTCTAGTTTATGCTAACTCCTCTCTCCCTCTCCAAAGCAACCCAGGACGAGAAGACGAAGAGTGATGAGTACCTACACAATGACGAGAGTAAGAACTCGGACGGCGAGGTAGCCATGCACAAAGAAGGCCAGAATGAGAAGAGTAGCTCTAGTCCTCCCCCTGTTCCCGCTCATGAACGATTTCTCCCAGGCTGTTCTGCCGGAGCATCCAATGGGGAAGGGGGAAAACAGGTTATATCAAACTCGATGATGCAGACTTACATTGCCATGCGCGGCCCTGGAATGGGAGGCGACAGGGATCCCCTATTCGATTGGATCGGAGGCCGACCGTGCCAGCCCAATAAGGCATCTACTCAGACCGGTGATGCCCAGGCAGGAGACAAGAAGAGCGTCTCTCGGTGAGTACTTCTCCTGGAGCACTTCTCCCGTTGTGATACGGAGCTAACCGAGAACCGGGGTGGGTGGCAGAATAATTAAGATGATGAGCAAGGCACTCCGTTCGAGCACCACGGCGAGCACTTCTTCTCGCGACGCCGTCTTCGAGGTCAAGCGCCCGGCCATCGGCCACATCCGGGCCCCGGCGGACGCAGACCTGACCCTCCACGCCATGTCGGCGGCCAGCGGCCGCTGCCACTTCGGAAAGGAGGACGAGGACGACGACGAGGGAGGCCGCCCCAGCGGCCGGATCTCGCCCTGCACGTTCGCGGCCTGGGCCTGCGGATGCAAGCGCTGGGCCCACGACGTCGACATCAAGGACCCCTCGGGGGTAAGTGCCCCGAACTTGATCCGCCGCAGCCGCGAGCAGGCAGATGCCCCCGCTCCCGCTCCCGCTCCCGCTCCCGATATTAACGCGAAAGACCAGCTCCTCGCGCGCGCGACCCGACTGCGTCCGCCCACGCCCCCCGCCCCGGCCCCGTCCGAGGCCCACTTCCCCAAGTACTACGCCGGCGCGGCGGCGCAGGTCGACGGCTCCACCGGCGAGCAGATCTCGCCGTGCTACCCGGTCCCTAGCAACCCGTCCATCATCTACGACCCGCCGGCCCCCCCCGAGCAGGCCTACCTCTCCGGCAGCTTCCACGACAAGTTCAGCCGCATGGCCCCCCTCGACGCCCGCACCTTCCGCGAGAAGCACTACGGCAAGCCGATCCCCGACACCAAGTCCACGACCGACAGCGAAACATATGGACGTGTAAGCTTCTTCCCTCCCCTCTTTTCCTTCTGCACACCCCCCCTCCCTACCTATATCCCCCTCCCCCTCCCTTTCCCCTTATCCCCCCTTATATATATATATATATATATACACACCTCCCGACGCTAACCTCCCCACCCCTCCCTCGCCGGAACCACAGACCGAAGTCGAGGCCGCGGCTCGCACCTTCGCGCTGCCGACGTCGCTGCTGGGCGGGCCGTCGCGGTCGACGGCGTCGGCGGCGTCGTCGGCCGCGGGCCTGCGCGCGGGGCTGGAGGCGCAGTGGCGCGCGGTGGCCGCGTGCGAGGCGGAGGAGCGCGCGCTGGCGCGGTCGGCGGCGGCGCAGGCGGGGCGCGTGGCGGCGCTGGAGCGCGAGCGGGACGGGCTGCGCGCCGCGCGCCGCGCCGCCCGCCTGCGCGAGCACATCGCCGTGCACGCGCGCGACGCGCGGCACCGCCTCGACCGCGCCGCCGCCCGCCGCGACGACGCGCGCGAGCGCCTGGCCGCCGCCGAGCGCCGCGAGGACGAGCTCCGCGCCGAGATCGCGCGCGCGCGTCCGCGCCGTGGCGTCGCCGCCCCCCGCTGGCCCTTCTCCGACGCCGAGACCGAGACCGCCGGCAGCCAGCCGGCGCAGGACGACGACGACGACGACGCCGCGGCCGAGCCCGCGAGCTACGACTACGGCAACGACAACGTGGCGGCCTGCGGCGGCCGCCCGGGCGCGGGCCCGTACGCCGGCGACAGCGGCGCCTCGAGCGCGTCCGCGCGCCCCGGCACGCGCGCCCCGGCGAGCACGCCGGTCCCGGGCGTCTTCGCGCAGCTGTACGACGAGCAGGGCGTGTACGCGCCCAGCCGCGCTTCTCCCCGCGGCAGCGGCGACGCTGGCGGAGACGGCAGCCAGGGCCCGCACGCGGCGTGGCGCGCCGCCGCCGGCGAGGCCGACGGATACCTCGTCGCCCAGGCCCCGGCGCACTACTAGGGCTACGTGTCGGACTCGGTGCGCTCGGTCGCGGGATCCTCGCCGCGAAACCTGGACTTCGAGCCGTGAGCGCGGATTTCGTCTCGGGCCTGCGGGCGCGTATGCGAGCGCTGGGTAGTTGCCACACTCGGGAATGTGTTATCGCACGCTGGAGGTCGAGTTGACGGGAGGCATGGGTGAGCATGCAAAAGCATCTCTGCGGTACTAAAGCTAGATGGATCACGGTGTCGTTCTCCCAGGGGTGACGTTCACGGTACTTTTTTCTGAGCCACGGGCACGAGTTATCCCTAATCCCATCGCAATGAGGACCGCGTAGAGGCGGATGTCGAGGGGCCTCAGGCTTTGTTGTATTGTCTCAGGACAGCACGTGCTGGCCTGTTGCTTCAGATTGCTGTGAATTGCACACTAGTCCAAATAGTGAAAAATGACATTCCTCCCGAACTTGAGACACTCTCTTATTTCGCGGGTGGCTAGATGTAGTTTCTCCTAAACATACCTATATGGTCCGACCGCAGCTATCCGATCGCTCGGCTATCCCGAAATCTGCCACGCAAGAATCCGAGGGGAGCAGAGTGCCAAGCTCATACACACTCGCTTTTCCTCCTCTTCTTCGTTAGAGACCTCCACTGCAGAAGGGAGGCCCCCCCCCTATCCCAATGTCCTCATATATCCATCACCACCGATTACGATTCTCCCGGTCGTACCTCGACTCCGTGTAGCCATTCCATTCGTTCCGCATGGTCGCGGCATCGACCTCGCTGCGCGTCCCCTGGCCACTTATTCTACAGCCCCGAAAATCGAGGCGCATAAAGTCAAATTCGCCCTCAATCCGGCCGTCGCCGAGGAATCGAATCGATCCCAGGTTATCGTCTCCGTACTTTATGGGGCCGTCGAGCTCGCAGCCGCGCCAGGTGAAGTCGAGGCAGTCTAGCGACGACTGCCAGGGCCGCTGATCGATGCGCAGGATCCCGCTGATGATGCCGAGCTCGAACTGACCCCACAGTTCGGAGCCGCTTAGGGTAAGGACGAGACTAAAACCGGTGTGGCCCCACTGCGAGGTCACCTCGTCGCTGCTTATCTCGTATCGTCCGTTCAGCAGTCCTAGCGGCTTGAGTTCCAGCTCCTCATCATTATCGTCGTCATCACTACGTTCGTCTTTGTATTCCGTGTACGGGGGCGGTGGATCGTCATCATCATCGTCGTCGTCGTCGTCGTCGTCGTCGTCGTCAATTGGCGAGGAGCCATAGTTGCCAAAGGTGGGCACTCGACCTCTAGCAAAGAAAGCGACGCTTCGGCGAGCGGCTCGACTGGGCCGCGGTTGAGGATTGGCCGATGTCGACGCCGACGCCGACGCCACCCCACCTCGGGTGGGTCCCTGGTGAATCCCACCGCGGCGGGCCGTCTGTTTCTTGACGGTGGGAGTAGTAGGGGCCGACTTGGCGGAAGCCGGAGGCGTAGCAGATGGCTTCTTGCCCGTGGCTGGCTTAGATGTGCTGGATGAATTGGCTTTGGCTTTGGGAGCTGAAGTTTTCGCAGCCTTCTTAGCTTTTGGCTCTGGCTCTTTTGCAGCTTTCTTAGCTTTTGGACCCGACTCTTTCGCCGTCTTTGCCTTCTTCGCCGCGGGCTGGGTCGACGACAGCGTTGAAGGATTTACTGTGACGGCAATGTTGAGTCCCGCGACGTCAACAGTGAAATCGACACCCGAAGTCTCGGCCTTGCGCTTCGTGGCCTTCGTGGCCTTCACGGCGGGTGGGGCCTGGGTAGCCTTCTTCGCGTCGCGCTCGTTCTTCGTCCACGTCTTCTTTAGCTCCGCCTCCAGCTTCTTCTATTGCCGTTGGGCAGTATTAGCGATAGCTATGCCCGAGAAATATCCGAGTGAGCAAACATGTCTGCAAAGCAGACTAAAACAAGCTGGGGGGGGGGAGGCTCTGGGAGAGAGGGCTTATCGGGGGTCACCCACGATGTGAGCGGGGACAGAGAGCTTGCCGCCGTTGACGGCGTCGAAGAGACGCATGCGAGCGACAGCCTTAGCCTTGGAGGGCTGCAGGCCGTAATGGATGAGTTGGGCCTCGAACCAGTGAGCGGGATGGTCCTTCTCAGAGCCGGTCTTGAAGTGGTTCTTAAGCTCGGCGACGGTCGCACGGCGATGGCGATTTTGACCGCTCGCCTCGACGAAGAGGTCTCCGGCGTAAGAGAAGCCATCCTTGGTGACGGCCGTAGCTAGAGCCATGGCGTAATGGGTGGTTGCGTGATCTCGAGTCGGTATCCGGTTTGATCGGGAGTGGTGTGTGCGTTCAGGGGGAGGTGAGATGGAACAAGGCTGGAGCCAGTGAGGAAGAGAGGAGAGAGAGAGAGAGGAGAATAACAGAGAGGGAGATAGAGAGAGAGAGGAGAGGAGAGCCTGGGGAGGAGGGGGGTTTAATTGAGTGTGTACGTGCCGTTGAGTGGTCCTCGCTAACTACCCCAGGTACTACCGTTGTATGGTTATGTTCGCAGTGCGTTTGTGCCCCCTGGTGGGTACATCTCCTGGGAGACGGCGATGTGCCAAATGTAGGTACCTACATGGTGACCTGAGCACACCTGTAAACATACCTACATAGGTACCTACGTAGGTAGGAGGTAGGTAAGGTATGTCTAGGGGGTGCCAACAGGTCTCTGTTGGTGAGTTTCGTGCCTGCTAACCTACATGAACGCCTCAACAGGTACGTCTGCTATATGACGGGAGGCAACTTGCAGGTTGGGCACCGCAGCTTAGCTGCCGTCTCAATTGGCCACTGCTGGGTGCCTAGGTAGGTAGATAGGTCGGTGCTGAGCCTCGAACGCTTTGTAGGTAAGCATTCCCTTCTTACCGTCATCAATATATCTATATAGGTATATCTATATCCTAGATAGAGGTAGGTAGGTACCTGTTACCTGTCTGTCACCATCCGGGAACATCTCCCAGCCAGCTAACCGGGTCCAGTACAGCCCCCCGGAGCTATAAGGACCTACCTAGGTAGGTAGTGGTGGAATCTCTCATACGCACGCCTAACATACCTACCTACATGGATAGATCCTGCGCTCTCTAGGTACCCATGCGTTCCCCACGACCCGAGTTCATCTAATTCTCTCCCGCCTCGGGTGCATCTACGCGTGTGCCTGCAACGGGACGGACGGTTGAATGCTGGGAGGACATCCATAGTGCGACGTCGCTCCGGATCGCTGTCGCTATATCTACGTCTTGGTCGTCTCCTGCTCGAATGCCTTACCGGGTACAATAACCCCAAGCCCCCCCTTGTCGCGTAGCAGGTGGCCATTCGATAGACCTTGCCGTCCTTCCTCCACCGGCCAGCCCCGGCCCGCTTCATGTACAACGCCGAGATCCCACATCTGGGTCGATAGCAGGGTGCGCCGTATTGAACAGCTATATTATGAATGCATCATGCGCGTGCATGCATATACACTATGTAGGTGGGTATGTAGTATGGTCGTCTCCGCCGGCCGCCTTTTTTTTCGTGAGAGGAGCATGTTTATATACAGTAACCCAACGCCACGCCGCCCCTAAGCCCCCGTCGTTTGGTGGTGTACAACGTCTTCATGGTATCATACAGTGACCGAGCGATGTCGGTTCGTTCACGTTGTCGTCGTCGTTGTCGTCGTCGTCGTCGGCGGCGGCGGCGGTGGCTCTTGGCCCTTGGCTACGCCGACCTTGGCCGCGCGCAGGATCCTTCCGTTGAGCTTAAATCCTTTCTGCTGCACGTGGAAGACGGTATTGTCTTCCTTTCCGGGAACCGGGGTCATGAAGGTGGCCTCGTGCTCGTTCGGGTCGAACTTCTGCCCCTCGGGGTCGAACCGCTCTAGACCGTGCTTCGCGAGGGTCTGGAGCATGTTGGTTTCTGTCATCTTGACTCCTTCGTAGAAGCTGATCAGATCCTCGTTCTTCTTCTCCTCCTCCATCGAGCCGATCTTCTCCTTGCCCATCGTCAGAGCCCTATCCAGGTTATCAACGCTGTCAACCAGGTCCTTGGCGAACCTCTGGATGGCGAAGTCGCGCGCGGCCTTCATTTCCCTCTGTGTCCGATCCTGCAAGTTGCGGAAGTCGGCTACCGACCGGAGGTATCTGTCCTGTAATCAATCGTCAGCATCCCACACTCGCGTGCCAGAGTGGCGTCGCCAAGAAGTGGCGAGTTACCTTCCAGTCAACGGCTTCTCTTTCTTTAGTCTCCAACTTCTTTCTGAGTTCAGCGTTGAGGCTCGAGTTGGCCCCGTTGGCGGATTTATTGGCAGCCTCACTGCCCTGGGCTTCTGCCTGGGCCTCTGCCTGGTCTTCTGCCTGGTCTTCTGCCTGGTCTTTTGCCTGGTCTTTTGCCTGGTCCTTTGCCTGGGCTTCAGCCTGGGCAGCTGGCTCGCCCGCTTCTTTCTTTGCGGCGGACTCGGCGGTCTGGTCGCTGTACCATCGTGCACTCCGTATCGCGCCGTAGAGAACTCGTGGTTGCCGGGGACTGAGGGGCACCGGGGCAAATGGCGGTCGTCGCTGCGCGATGGTTCTCGAGCTAGAGGAGAGGACCCTGGATGACGTGGAAAGGACTTGCTTTAACATGACTACGAATGTGATATAACAAGATACGATATTGCAAGGCGTGCGGACGTCCTCAGGGAGGCAAGGTTTTGCAAGGTCGCGTGGGCCAGTGGGCAATGTGAGGGGAGTCCTCGATAAGGGAATGAATAGAGATTGATAAATTTTTAGTTGTAGATGCTCCGCTGGTTGCACGCAATGCCACCTGACGGTAGAACACCGGGCGCCTCTATATGTACCCGCTGGAACCCGAGCCCTTTCCGACCCAGTAGGTACATCTTGCGGTACATCTTGCGGGTGCACAGTCCTATCTGTTAGGTATCTGTTACCTAAGCCCAGAGGCTCGAGTGGCCGGATTTGCCAATCGTCAGGGCGCTCCAGTACTCGGGTACGTAATAGCAATGGTCTGGCTCCATACGCACATCCATTAGTACCTGGCGGGGTGACTGATGAAATGCTATTGACGGGTTACGCCAATATCGACCTGGCTGGCCCCACGGATTTAGGTACCTAGGTACCTAGCCATAGAGGTGTTTTGATCGATTAAAATACTACCTGCGGCTGTATGTAGGTACAAAGCTTGGAGGAGGGTACGTTGGCTATACGTGTAGATGCATACATATGTGTACAAGGGATAGATAGCCGCGTGCATTCACCTCATAAAAGGCGGGAATAGATAGGAGATACCTAAGAGGTAGATAAGGCAGGTTCAGGTACCTACCCATGTACAGTACATAGGTAGGTACATACATAGAGGTACCTACCTGCATCCGCCTCCTCCTTACACATTAAAGATGAATGGTAATTGAAAGGCAAGGCCGGACTTTAAAAGGCTTATGCAATGGAATCGGTTATGGTAGGTACATTGCCAATAGTATCGAGGTTCAACTTAGTAGACGTCTTGCCTGAGGTATCTCATTTTCTGCCCAACCTCACCACTCTCGAATTCTCCCCGCAGTTATAAACCCACAATCTCTCGCCCTCCACTCTAGCTTCTCCTCCTCTTCCCCTCCTTCTTCAGCTCTCTTTGGTAAGCCCCTCCTACCCATCGCGCTACCGGCAACGCGATTGCGCCCGACTCTATGCTAACTTGTCTGGCAGCCTCTTGGCTTAGATCAAGTGTAGTATCTGTTCTTTCTAGTTTAATCTCTGGAAGAGTCACATGGTGGCTCTATCTCTGATTATTCTTATTTTTGATCCGCGGGGACCCTCCTCTGCGCTCGCGCATGACGGCCCCCACCGTGTCCCTAGTATCACACTGCCTCTAGGCGACGCGAACTTTCATTGCTGTCTCTAGCGCTGCGAGGGCTGCGAAGAAGGCTACGTTCGGTTGGGTGGGAAAGGTTGACGAGGACAGACGAACGGAGCTACCTGTATCTGCTACCTCGTGTGCCGCCTCTTGTATCGCACACCGACCCGGCTTAACACTATCGCGGTCAGTCGCATCTTCTCCAACCGAGCCAAAGGAAAGGCCGGGTGTAAAGCGATGGTTAGCACGCTATACATAGCTTCCTAGTAACTGCGCTCTGCGTACAAATCGATCAACTGGCCTCGAGATTCTATCTCTACGCGGATTTGTCACACAGGGTATGACGTCGTTCCGTGTCGAACATCTCCAGCTCCCCCGTCCAGGTCTGAAAGCCACAAGGTCAGAAGGGTGGTAGTGTTAGCCTTGCATAAAAGCTCTCTCTAGTTTAGGTACCAATCCTTGCTACCATCAGCCCTACGCTAAAAGTTTTAGCACGGAATGAGCCCCATTCGCTCCGTGATTCAAAGTACCTATGTATCCTCACCGATTGACTCAAACCAACGCGCTTCCTACTCATACTTCGCGTGCCTTGTTCGAAATCTTTCAGCCTCGCAGCCTCCCTTACCCTTATTCTCTTTCAACAACGTTCCGACTTTGGCGTCCACGTCCTGTCACCATCTCCTCTTTTGGTCGCCGACGTAATAAAACCCTCTGTATCCACAGAAATAACGACAACACTCCCAGCACTCTTTTCCATTCTACCCGTTTGCCGCCAGCTGGGTGGCGTCAATTGTGGCAATGGATTACAACCATGAGATGATCGAGGAGAACCAGACCCGAATTGGACCGGGTGTCGGCATTCTCGGCGTAGGCTCTCCCATCGTCTCTCCCAGGGTCTCCTCATGCTAACCAATTCTTCGTGCAGATCGGCGACAACCACGTCGACTTCTCCATCGACTCGGTCGACCTCTCCTTCGCCAACTCGCTCCGTCGCGTCATCCAGGCCGAAGTCCCGACCGTCGCAATCGACCTGGTCGAGGTCGAGGTCAACACCTCCGTGCTCGCCGACGAGTTCATCTCCCACCGCCTCGGCCTGATCCCGCTCGACTCGAGAGAGATCGACCAGCTCAACTACTCGCGCGACTGCGACTGCGACCAGCACTGCGGCCGGTGTAGCGTCACCCTCACGCTCCACGCCAAGTGCACCTCGGACGAGGTCATGAAGGTCTACGCGCGCGACCTCGTCGTCGGCATCGACCGCCCCAACAACCACGTCGGCAACCCCGTCATCACGGACCCCGACGGCCTCGGCTCGCTGATCTGCAAGCTGCGCAAGGACCAGGAGCTGAAGCTCACCTGCATCGCGAAGAAGGGCATCGCCAAAGAACACGCCAAGTGGTCTCCCACCTCGGCCGTCGGCTTCGAGTACGACCCCAATAACTACCTGCACCACCTGGACATGTGGTACGAGCAGGATCCCGAGAAGGAATGGTTAGTCTCTCTCGCAGCCCCTCCTCCTCGCTCCTCCCCTCCTCGTATACGGTATGATCCGATCTAACCCATTTCTTCTTCTTCCTCTCTCCCCTGCAGGCCCAAGTCGAAATACGCAGACTGGGAGTCGGCGCCGAAGAACGCCGAGTTCGACTACACGGCGGTGCCGCAGAAGTTCTACTTCGAGGTGGAGAGCATCGGCAACATCGAGCCGGACGCGATCATCCTCGAGGGCGTCAAGGAGCTGCAGCGCAAGCTGGCGGGGCTGATCCACGGGCTCGGCGAGAGCGACGGCGGCATGGGCGGTAGCGGCGGCGGCGGCGGCGGCGACTACGACGGCCCCCGCAGCCCCGACGCCATGGACGGCCCCGGAGGCCCCGGCGGCCCCGGCCCCGGCGGCTGGCAGGACCCCGGATACACTACCCCCTACGGCAACACCGGCGGCGCTAGCGCCTGGGGCGGCGGCGCCACGACCGCCTACGGCACCACTCCCTACGGCAACTCGGGATCGAGCAGCTGGCACTAGCGCCACAGGCCGAGCCCGTCGGCTTGTGCCAGGCATGCGAGCGATCGGACCTCGTCTGTCTGCGGAGGCGGAGGCGGCAGGCTTTTTTTTTTGTTGGGGTTTTTTTGTGTAGGCCCACGCGCGTAAGCCTGCCCCTGTACTACTATACGAGAACACTGCCCGCAAAAAAAACAACAACACAGCATGGAACCAATGGTTGGGTTCCCTCTGGGGTAATATGTCACGCATGGCTGCTAGGAGTTACGGGGCGTACTTGTTAGCATAGATGATTTGGACGACAATGCATACACAATATGGGTGGTTCTAGACAGCCGCGCGCGACTTCGGCCCGGATGCACACACGCACGTCGATAATTGTGTACTCGGGCGAGCGAGAGAGAAGATCCCCCTCGCCCCCCCAAAAAGAGACCATAGTGTTTTTTTTCTTCTTCTTCACTTTTCTCTCTCGGCTTCCCGTCCCGACCGTCTTTCAAATATGCAGTTTGTGCCAATCAGTATACGTGCCTACCTAGCCTCTAGGTCTATCCGGCAGCCAATGCTGCCGTGTAAGCGGGACCGTGAACCTCCCAAACGCCCGCAGCTATGCAAGCTGAGTGCCCTTGCCCCCATCTCCCGAACGCCCTCGGTCCTGATGTATGAGCCAGTCTGCCCGTCCCCTTCTTCCTCTTCTCTAGCAAAAAAAAAACCTGTCAAAGGAGCTGACCACCATCTATCAAGTGCCCGTTTCTGTACCGTGACCATCCCACCCCGTCTGTCTAGGTAGTAGTAGGAGTCCGTCCGTCTGTGGAATATGCGTGCATGCGTGCGTATGTGCGTTATGTGGGTGGACGAGCCGAGAATTTCAGCTCTCGATCCCCTTGAATTGCCGGTAAGCCTTGCGGTGCGCTTCTAGGAACAAAAACGTGCAGATCGTTTGCCTGTTGCCCCACGTTCCCGAATGTTAGCGTCGGCGGGAAGACGGGGAAAGGAAGCGGGGGGGGAAAAGGGGGTGGGGGTGGGGATTAAAGGAGAAACTTACGGTCCCAACCGCAGGAAGGCTGGCACCCATCCTTTGAACATCCAGGCGGCGCCCTCCTTGGCGTAGATGGTGCGCAGCAGGTGGAGGATACCCTGCTCGTCGTGCGCGCTCATGACACGGCTCTTGATGACGTCGACGGGGGAGCAGATGGTGGTGGCGACGAAGCCGGCGAGGAGGGAGCTGGCGAAGTGGGTGGTGGTGGTGTCGCCGAGCGGGGTGTAGGTCATGAGCCAGGCCTTGAAGCTGTCGTAGCTGGCGAGCTGGCTGGCGTTCATGAGGGCAGCGCGGGTGCTGTTGGGCCAGACGCCGCGGAACCAGCTGCGGGGGCCCTCCTCGCGCAGCATGCGGAACATGCCGTCGAGGCCGTGCTTGTAGTGGCGCCGGCGGGCGGCCGGCAGCGCCGTGTCCTGCTGCATGCGCACGTTGGTCACGTCGGCGGCGTTGCCCGAGATCCCGCCGAGGAAGCCGGAGAAGGTCGACAGGCCGATGAGCAGCGGCAGCGACGGCTTGACCGTGCCCTCGTGCGTGAACCGGCTCTTGAGATCCTCGTACACGCCGAATCGCACGGTCGAGTACGTCATCTGCCGCAGCAGCGACGCGGTCAGCCCGTTGTACAGTCCGAGCGGGCCTTGCTTCCGCACGATGTGGATGAAGGTGCCGCTCATGTTCCTCGGCGCATCGCCGGAGCGCAATTGGAGCCGAACTTTGACTACACGACGCAAAACGCCCGAGTTAGCGTGTGGGGTCAGACCTCTTTTCTGGGCGGTCTTTTATTGTTTTTTTATTTAAAAAAAAAAGCCGCTACCGACTAACCCGCAGACTCACAGACCCATGGGCCCGTTGCCATTGCCACACACTTCGGGAAGGGTTGAGGAGGGCGACGTACCAAGATCGAGCGGGTGGGTGACGCAGGCGGCAAGGCTGCTCGCGGTGCCACCGAACCAGAAGGGATAGGAGATCTGCTTTTGCGGCAATGCCTTCTTCTTCTCCAAGATCTTGGGCTTGGCACTGGCGGCAGCAGCAGCAGTGGCCGCGGCCGAGGTGACAGACGACTCCTTGGGGCTAGTCTGAGCCATGTCGGCGGACTGCATCGTGTACAGGTGTTACACCGAACAAGCGCAACACGACAAATAGCTGGGCAGGGGAGTCACCATCCCTAGATTCTGCTTACTCCTTCGCTCTCGATTAAGCTGCTCTCTCTCTCTCAGTCTCGGCTTCTGTCGCTCCAATCTTTCGACGCGCAGTCTACTGAGGGTGGTAGGCGTAGTAAGAGAAAAGACGGAGAGGGTGGGCGGGAGGTGCGTTCGACAGGCAAGTAAAGAGGCAGGTAAGTGACAAGACGGACGGGATGCGAGGTAAGTAGGTAGGTAGGTAGCATACAGAATTTCACCTACCCAAACCAGCGAGTCGAGCCATGAAGAGAATTAGAAGCAACCTTACGCACTACGCCAGCCTCGGGGGGGAGGGGGAGAGGGGTGTAAGAGGTAAATGTTGACGGGGCGGCTAAGAATTTTGTACGGCAGTCGATCGGAGCAGTCATCGATCCAGCAGGAAGAAGAGGGAGAGAGGGCTCGGTTGAACCGGTAATTGATTCTCGGACGGGCTTTTTTCGCCCGAGAAAAAACAGTGAGATGGGAGCACAGGGAGACCCATCCTTCTATAAAGGTACCATCTACTAGGTGTGTAGGTACTACCCACCTGCCATTGTTGGCGCCCTCCAGCTGGGATCGGATCGGTGCTGACTCCCATCCTTTGTACACAGTACACGGGCCGGTTGCCGTGGTCCGATGTCGCGATCGACGTCTTACCTCATCGTGCAGCCGCGGCAGGCACTGCCGTAGTGGCAGTAGTGTATGTACATGTGCAAGTTACATGTGTAGGTTACATGTGTAGGTAGGCAAAGATGCCAACGCGTGAAGTAGCGGTACGAGGCAGCACTGCTGGCGGGCAGTTCAAAGTTGGTCCAGGGGTCCTTCCCGACGACATAGCATCCAGTCAATTAGGTGCTTTACCCTGCGGTTGATTGGCCGGTGACTCTGCGCTGCAAGTACATGGTACATATCCGTCTGCCTCGGCCTGAACTATCCCCCCGCTAATCTTTTTTTTGGGGGGTCTCGACAGTCTCGGAGAGCCTCAAATTCTCAACGTTCAGTCCTCGCGAGCGCCCACAACTCTTCCCTGAGCTCGCGCGCAACCATGTGGGCAGGCCGAGTTATTGTACCATGTAGCCGAGTAAGGGGAATACTTGGCTCCCCCGCCCGCGGGGTGAATGGCTGTAGTTCTACTCCTTTTCTACAGCCGAATCGCCGCAGGTTCCTGCTAGATGGTGCGTCCCGACCGCTGTGGCCGTCACGATACATGCGTATAAGGCCCAGTGCCCCCTGACCAGTGTATGCCCCTCAGCTACCCCGGCTCTCCAGTATCGATCGAACGCGACGACAACCATCAATGGCAGTGAATACCCGACTGATTCCTGGTTCAACGTGCCGCGAAACGTCATTGAAAAGGTCCCTCGCCGACTCCACCTGCAAAAAGATCACCCCATATATATAACCCGACAGATCGTCGAGTCTGTCTTCCCGGCGCCGACGTACAAGCACCACAACGATTTCAGTCCCGTCGTTTCCACGCTCCAGAATTTTGACTCGCTGGGTTTCCCGAAAGACCACCCGGGCCGGTCAAAGTCGGACACGTACTACGTAAACAGCGAGACCCTGCTACGGACGCACACGAGTGCGCACCAGGCAGACGTGTTTCGGCAGAATGTCAGCGACGGCTACCTGATCAGCGCTGACGTCTATCGTCGCGACGAAATCGACCGGAGTCACTACCCCATATTTCATCAGATGGAGGGTGCGCGGTCGTGGGACCGCGCCAAGGCGTCGGATGGGGACGTCGCAGCGGCTATATGGTCGGACGTACATAAACTACCGAGCCACAACGTCGAGGTCCAGGATCCCAACCCCCCCTCTCACGACCAGAGAAACCCCCGCCAGGCGGATCATCACTCCGTAGCCGAGGCTGAGGCCATCGCCGCCCACCTAAAAAGGTCGCTCGAGCTTGCGGTCGTCGAGATCTTCACCCGCGCCAAAGCGGCCGCTGTGAAGGCCGACCCCAACTTCGTAGACGAACCTCTGCAGGTACGGTGGGTTGAGGCTTATTTTCCCTTTACTAGCCCTTCCTGGGAGCTCGAGGTCTACTACGGCGGCGACTGGCTGGAGGTGCTGGGCTGCGGCGTGGTTAAGCAGGACATCTACATCAACGCAGGCGTGCCAAACCAGCTGGGCTGGGCCTTCGGTCTCGGCCTCGACCGGATCGCCATGCTACTATTTCAGATCCCGGATATCCGCCTCTTCTGGTCGCAGGACGATCGCTTTTTGAACCAGTTCAAGGGAGTGTCGGACAACCTGAGCTCACTTAAGCGTTTCGTGCCCTTCTCTAAATACCCGGTTTGCCTAAAAGACACGTCGTTCTGGTTAGGGTCGTCGTCCGCAGCGGGGGGCAATACTAAAGCGAACGTGCACGACTTCCACGAGAACGACGTGATGGAGATTGTGCGCAGCGTGGCCGGGGACGTCGTCGAGGACGTCAGGCTAGTAGACGAGTTCACCCATCCCAAGACCGGAAGGCGAAGCATGTGCTACCGAATCAACTACCGGAGCCTCGAACGGACCTTGACGAATGTAGAAACCAACGACCTGCACAACGAGGTCAACAGAGTCCTGGTGGAGAAACTCGGCGTCGAGATCCGGTGAACTGTCTGCCTAACGAATCTAAGAAGAGAGGGAAAGGGAAGAAGAAAGAAAAAAAAAGAAGACGATCCGCAGTAGAATCGAGCGCAAAAGGCACGAGGAAATCTCCCATCCCGCCAGGTCGAAGGCATTTGTATACTACGATGTGACACCATCTAACAGAGCCATCCCGGATGTGCCTATCCCACAGCCGCGTGAAATGCTGAAACATGCCAGATCACGTGGAAGGGCGGAATTGTGTTAGAAATCACGATGGAATCAGGGTGACCTTGCTTACATGCCTTAACGCCAAGTCGCGTCCGTGACCGAGTGTATATACGCCCCAGGCAGTGTCTGTTGGAGTATCATGACAAAGTCATGCTAAGCTTACCACAACAGTGTGCGTGGACAGACCCGGATCCACGGGTTGTTGGCGGATAGACCGCGCCACGGGGAATATAGTCACAAGACGGGTGGGGGGACTCAGAACTGATCGGTGTTTGCTGACTCACGGCAGAGATCAGAATCAAGTGGCACAAATGTTTGTAACGAATATTGTTGGTCGAGCCACGCCTCTCTCGATTCCGCGCCACGAGGCGAAAATTCCTTGTAGACGAGATCCTGCCAGGCCGAGGCCACCGTACGAAGCGGGTGGTCAACCCATCGTCAATTACTAACATATCTATGAGGGGGCGTCCTTCATAGAGGCGAATTATTGCGGAAGCTGGAGCTGGTGCCGTTTCGGGCTGTGCAAGATAACCCTTTTTCACGCTTGGGGCGCTAATCGATATCTGCTCCACGACCTAAGCCCTTTTTAAATCCCCGGAGAGCCCGATGACAGCTCGGAGGGAGGCTGGGCTTAAGGTCGTGGTGCATCGATCGCCGACGAGGTCGATTTGACAAGCGCAGGGACTAAACGGAAAGCCTCTGATGGGTCTCGACTGAAGTGAATCGGAACCAGCGTCAAGAGAATTGATTGCGTATCCTCGAGCGTCCGTGAACGTTCTGGAACGGGATGTCGGGGAGTGGGGAGTGAGAGTCGACGATCTGAGTGGTCCAAGCCGTTCACACTCACAGGCGCGACGCGATTTGCGGAGATACCTTCCGACATAGAGGGACCCTAATCGGGGCTGTGCAAGACGCATTTCGCTTCGCAGCCGCCCGGGGGGAAGTCCATGATTGCCGATGGCGGCTCGCTGGTGTCCACGCAGCGATTCGTGGCGAGTTTCGCAGGCAGTAACACCGAGAATGCGGCCTGCCCACCTACCTCATTCGCACCGTAGGGTGGATTTGCTGGCGATTTCTCTCCCACGTTACCAGTGTCGATTCACCACCTCTACGATATACATATACGTAAAGTTAGAGAAGCCGGCGAGCTGTCGAGATTTCCGAGCTCGTACACTGACAAGAGCGGGGGCAAAACGCGGTCCATCCCGGGATGGAGATTCCCATTATCCCTTACGTGGCAGTCAGAGTCGCCCTCGCCATCGAGAGGTTGCCTGGGGCCAACACAGGAAATAGAGACGGGGTGCGCCTTGCACACTGCTACACAGACGCACCCCAGAGTCCCGAGACAAGACAGGCGTTGAGGCGGAACGGCGTGATCTACTCGACCCTGGCTTCAAATATATGAGCGTATGGGTGCACACGGCAATCTCCCTCACACGCAAACGGCAGCAGAGCATATGTAGCATGGCATGACGAGAGCTTGAGTAACTACTTTGTCAGCCGTGGGATGTGACGGCCTCGAACGAGGGTGTCGTAGGCCGATTTCTCCTAGTTATGCGCCACAACGTAGCAGGTGGTTTGGGGGACGCGAAGTTCTTGACTTGATCGGCTGCCGTTTGGTGCGGGTAGATTTTTTGTGTCAACATGGGCATACCGTCGGAGTTAAGCCCGCCAGTCAGCTTGCGTATGATTACCTCCAAGATGGGGACTGGTATGCCAGTTGTGTCTGCCTGTCCGTTTGTGTGTACGGTAAGGCAGGTAGAGAGAGGTGGCAGAAAACCTCGGTTCGGCTCTCTTGCGCCGCCACGCAACCCACGGGACGCTGCGAGCTTGCGCATACGGACCTAGCCGGGCGGCTGGGTTGAGTCCCGTGAAGGTCGGGGCGCCTGCTATAGCCATGGAGTGCTACGAGGAGGGTGGGTGTCGATACGGATCCGATGGCTTAGCACCATCGCAAGCTCAACAAGGTGGGGAGGAATGAAGAAGAGCAGGAGATGTGTTGAGAGCGGGTGGTGAATTGTGGGCGTACGAGGGAGGATGTAGGGTTAATTCTATGGGGTACGAGGTGGAATAGCAAAACCCCAGTGCATAAATGCTAATGCATCCATAGGCAGATTCGTATATCCAACAGCGCGCAGAGCGCCGGCCTAGGTAGGCTATATCTCGCGCTCGTTGCTGCGGCCTGCGGCCTACGTACGTACCACGTACCGTCCTCTCCGCACCCCTGGCTGGTAGCAAGTGCGTACCTCTAGGTAGCTATGTGCAATACATAGGTGCCCTCCTGGAGAAGCTGCCCTACGCGCCAAGTCGATTCGATAGATACCCGGGCAGGTAGGTAGCTGCTGTGAGGGTCACCGCTACTACTACTACGTTATACTGAACTATAGGTACCTTAGGTAGGAGGTAACTACCTACCTCCTTAGGTAGCTACTAGCTAGAGGTGCCTACCTACCTAGGTATGTAGGTATGTACCTAAGGTACCTGTGTGTGGCACTGCTCATTGCTTCACTTTGGGCCCCACGGACGATTCCATGGGCAGACATTTTTCTGCTGCGTAACAAGTTGGCGCCGTTCCCAGAAGCCGGGGGAACGTGCCAGGAAATCCAGGTGCTTAGGCGCGCACTTCTCTGGCCACTGGCTTCCTAGACCTACTACTAATCGGGTTCATGTGCCCACCGGTATGTTAGATACCTACCTCTGTAGGAGGAGGTGGATATTGATGTACCTGGGTACCTTAGGTACCTACCATCTCATGTCCGGTGCTGCGAAGAAAGGGAAGGTCTGCATCCATCCACGTGTACATGTACCTCCATGCCGACGGGGATAATATGGATGTGGATGACCTCCAAGGGGGCGACGCCTGCGTGGTGGGCGCGATGGGAGGCATGTGGAAGGTAGGTGTACACGTAGGTACGTGTCAGAGGTACAGGAACACATACCTACGTACCTTGGGGCGGTCCCAATTCGCCAATGCTAGAACGGCCCACCGGGGGCATTCTGGTGCGTGGTAGTGCCAGTTCGGGGATGCCCCATGCCCGACTTTGCATCCTCCCGTCGCTTGGGATTCACTGAAGTGTATTACAATGCATCCGCCCACTGCTCTGCGCAGCCACTGTTGAGACCAGATACATATTCCGCCCATCCTCCTCTTCTCCTTTCCACCTCTCCCCTACGCCTAACCCAACAACAGACCAACTCGCAAATTCGTTCTACAGACTACACCGACTCACAGAGCAAAAAGCGACAGATCTCTTTCTCTACCAGCGCCCAAGCCTATCGTCACCGCTCAACACAAGCAGGCGTCGGAGACTCGACTCGGATTCCACTCCGGTCCTCACCAAGATACACCAACCCCCAAATTTCTTCTGACGAAGGAAATAGCACGCTGAGACGACCCGATACCATCATGTCTGGGACGCAATCGCCAACTTCTTCTACCTCTCCGTCTCTCATGGCGCGCCGCGGATCCTCTAGGTCCTTGTCGTTGGACCTCTCGAGCCTACCGCCACTTACACAACCCACCCCACCCACAAACACTCTACTTATCACAAATCTGGGGGACGCCGAGATTTTTCGCCCCGACAACCTCCAAACCATCCGTGACCTCATCTCCGCCACGGAACCCATATACACCTGGTCGCCGTTGAAGTCGTTCAGCCGGATAATAGTCTCGTTCCTCGACGAGCAAGCCGCCATCAGGGTGCGGGCCATATGGGACGGGAAAGTGATCATGGGCGAGCGGTGTCGGGTCTACTTCGGCCAAGCCACCTCGCTGGACTTGCACAAGGACAACCACCTCGAGCTTCCCGATGCCGGAAAGCTGTTCTTCATCAGCCCGCCGCCGTCGCCGCCGCACGGCTGGGAGATGAAGCTGGAGGATGCCCCGAACAAGCAGGTCCACGCCGAGGACCTAGCCGAGGCCCTAGCGAAGCTGCGCCACCAGGCGGCCCCCGTCGGCGTCGCCGACGCCTCGCCCGTCTCGCCCGTCTCGGGGGATTTCGCGATGACGGCGAGGACGACGAGGAGCCGGAGCAGCACGCTCATCTACCACCCACACGAGCACGGCGGTAGCCCGAACCTACCCGCTATCTCCGTCGACGATATGACGGATGATTCCCTAGACATCGAGCCCACACCGGAGCGTCCGATCATGGCGCACACATCACGGCCGCCGGTGGAGCTCATGGAATAAATACAAACAGTATGACGCGATCGGGGACCCGCTCAGGCCAGGAGGAAAGCAGAGGTTGTATGGGATTAAAAGTGGTTGCATTAGTCACCTAGCACTTCGAGGATACGGCGTTATTACGGAAAGGGTACGAGAGAGTTATTTGATCCTAGTCGATATTCCTCCTTTTCTTTTGTCTACATACTTTTCCCGGCCATAGCATGACATCGACGATCGTCGCATGGGCGGAGAGGACTAGTTCGCGTGATTGACTACTGCAGGGACGTGCACATTCAAGGTAGAATTGTTCCTACCGGGGTTGGGCGTTGCTGCTTTGCCGATGGATAGACGGAGATATCAATGGTGTTGGAGGGAGGGAGAATGCGTACGGGAAAGGGAGGGAGAGGGGAAGGGAGGAGTTAGAGAATCGGCCTATCCATTAGTCGTCGTGTACAGTATGCTAGCGGCCAGGACCGAGGAGATAACTTGCATATACGTCCCACCTAATACGCAACCATGAAGACAACGGATCGTACCAACGCACGCTGACGTACGCGTCTACTTGACTACGTGCATATACGTGATTTTGGTGTGTGTCTACGTAAATCTAACTAAATGTTGGGGGGGGGGAGAGAGGAGGGCAAGTAATGCCGACAGACGTCCATCTCGATCTCGCGGCCAAGAGAGAGGGGGGGAGGGGGGGGGGATGGGGGAGACTACGCCGCCGTGCGACGTCCCATCGGCGATGGCCCCGAGCTACCACGCGCAGACCCGGACCGCCCGGAGTGTCGGGATTTGGGACAGGGGGAGCGGGTTACACTCGCGGCCTATGCGTGGGCGACACACGCAATGTCTGCGCCAGGCCCCGCGGGAAAACGCATCCCCCCCACCCGCCTGAGGCACTGGAACGCCGTGCCACGCCCGCTCCCCGCGCCCTCTCTCGCGCGCTCCTGCGCTGACCGCGCGATGGGAGGTAGGAGATCGCGCGGGCTAACGCCGGGACGCGAGCCGGCGAGCCGGGGGGGGGGAGGGGGGAATGCTTCGCCGACGCAGGCCGTGCTCGCGTATACGCCCCAGCCGCGGCGCGCCGGCGGTGGCGCAGGGGCAGGCTCGCGCCGTCGAGAAGCTTCTCGGCGAGGCGCGGCCTCGCTGAGGGGACTCGGTCTCTGGGTGGTGCACCCCCCGTGGCGACGTCCTCGGGCCTGGGGACTGAAGATTGCATATATACGTGCGTGTGTGCAAGTCGAGGCGGGGACCGCCTTGCCGTCGTGCGCGGCCGCGTGGCTGATCTCCCGGCTCACGGCGCTAGGCGTCGCTGCCCCCGCGCGTCCGGCCCGAGAGCGGGCAGGCAGCCGCCGCCGATCTGCGGGCTGTCTGACGGTGTTTGATTTCGAGGCTTACTGCCCCCCCGCCGGCGACCTGCTGCCCGCGACGATAGCCGCTATCCCCCCGTAGCGAGAAAATACAAGTCTTGTTCTTAGTTGGCCCATTCCGGAACGACGTTAGCCTCAGTCTTGAGGCTCTTAGGTAACTAGCTGCCCCTCTACCCGCCCGAGCGGTGTTATCTAATATACTAAGATCAAACCTGCGCCACAGTCCGAAATAGGCCAGAGTCTTACGAAGGTGATTGGTCCATGAAAATGGCGAAACGGTCATAATCACGTAAGCCGCTCTACAAAGCCACACGAAGCCACACGCCTACGTCTAGAACGTTCGTACCTACGTACCCGCACGCCTACGTCTGGAACGTTCGTACCTACGTACCCGTACGCATACGTTTAGAACGTTCGTACCTACGTACCCGTACGCATACGTTTAGAACGTTCGTACCTACGTACCCGTACGGTTACGTCTATAGCGTTCGTACCTACGTACCTATACGCCGTATGCTTACGCTTTACGTTACGTAATATACGGTACTAATTAACGATATATATAAATATTTAATATTATATATTATACTTTCTTATAAATTATATATTAATTAAATAATTTAATATCTTAAAGTAAATATACGTTTTAATATAATTATTTTAAGCTTATAAATTAAATCCTTAAAGCTAAATAAAATATAATAATAAAATAAACTATATAATATATAATGATCTATTTAAACGTTTACGGTTATATATATTTACGCTTTATGTTATAAAATAAATATAAGAAATACGATAAATATAATAAATATAATAGATATAAAAAATATAATAAATATAATAAATATAATAAATATAATAAATATAATAAATATAATAAATATAAAAAATATAATAAATATAATAAATATAATAAATATAATAAATATAATAAATATAATAAATATAATAAATATAATAAATATAATAAATATAATAAATATAATAAATATAATAAATATAATAAATATAATAAATATAATAAATATAATAAATATTATTACGTAAAACAAAAAAGCTATTAAGGAGAAGCAGGGCGTACGCGATACTAAAGTCCTAGATAGGTTTATTTAAAAGTATACTTTATCGAAGACTACGGTACGTATAATGATCTAGGATAAATGGAATTAATATTACCATATAAATCGAGAGACGAAGAATTTAATGTAATTATTATATCTTAGTTATTCCTCTTAGTCGTAGAGATATAGTAGTCGCTAACCTAAAGGTATAAGAAGTAATAAGAGAAAAGGAACGAAACGTAAAAGTTATTTATTCGGTTATAACGGTACGACGAAATAACTTAAGCACTTATAACTAAGATAAATATATTAATCTAAGAACAATAAAATTAATAATAAAAACGAATCTTTAATTAAAGTAAAAATAATAAAGATAGTAATCTAGCTAGGTAGTAAACTCGATAATAAGTATAGCATAGCCCGTACTTACGGGAGCTATAGTTATTCTATATAGATATAAGGCCTATCGTAACGTATTATATAATATATTAAGAGGATATATCTTACTATATTATTATACTACATAAGTATTTAGGTTACTTTATAAGTAATAAAATATAAAAAGAAGAAGGTAAATTAACTAACTACTTAAAAAGAAAATAAATAAATAAAGGAAATATAAACTACCTCTATATAAATAATAAGAGGTTACGAATTATATTATATAAGCAAAGTATAAATTAAGGTAGGTAAACGAGTAATTAAAAGAAAATAAAGAGTTATATATAAGTAAGTTTTTATATAATAGATATAATATTTAATAAAATTAAAAAGTAATATAAAGATTAGAATTTAAAACTAATATAATAAATAAAATTATAAATAAAATTATAAATAGAATTATAAATAGATAATAATAATACTAAAGTAGTAATAAGATAATAATAGATTAAATTAATATTATATATTAATTAAAGTACTCTTTATATACCTTTATATAGTAAAGTATAAAGAAAATACACCGAAGCGCTTTACGCTTCTTTAAGTTTTAGTATCGAAGACTTAGAACCTCTCTAAAGGCTAGGAGAAAAAGGGTAAGTAAGAATCCACGTTAAATTTAACTATAAAAAAGAATTAATTAATAATCGATCTTTAATTAAACGAAGAGATATTAACTTGAATTAAATAAAAAGAAACTAACCTAAATTAAATAATAAAAAACTAACTTAGATTAAACAAGGAGAAATTAACCTATATTAAACGGAAAGAACCTAACTAAAATTAAACTATAAGAAATTAACTTGAATTAAATAAAGAGAAACTAACCTTGATTAAAAAAAGAGAAACTAACCTAGATTAAATAGAAAGAAATTAACCTAGATTAAACGAAAAGAAACTAACCTAGATTTAATAAGAAAAAACTAAACTAGATTAAACAAGGAGAAATTAACATAAATTAATTTATATATAAATAGAATTAAAATAGGTAAAAAATAGACACGTTAGTAAGTAAATAAGGATCCTGTTACATATGTTATAGTTTTATTAGATATATCTTCTTTAAATAGGTTATATAAACTTTTAGCTAATAAAAATAAAATATCTTTTAAATAACTTCGTAATTATAAGGTTATTTATAGGGTTATTTATAAGGGTATTTTTATAAGGAAATTACTTTTATAAATAAATTAGTATATTAAAGAGTTTAACGTATTATAACTATCCTCTAGATAGGGTAAATATTTATGTTTTATATAATAGATAATAATATCATCCATAACCTAATTATCCTTTAAATAAACTAAAACCCCTACGGCCCCCCGAAGGGGGGCCCTGGCATGCTTGTAGCGTATTGGTGCCTGAGCGCAAAAAAGAGACTATACGATTCGACGGTGCGAGATAATATTAGATGAAATCAGCAAGTGCCCATGAAGAGGATAGGTAAGTATAAGGAGAGTTATGGGATGCGTTGTTACGCTATACCCGCCTGGGGACCTGTATAGGCAGATGCTTGAATCAACTAGAAAATAATGTTTTTGTTGAACGTAGGTGAGAAAGGAGTACCCCCCTGGCCCCTTTTCTTCTCTCGCTTCGCACTACATGTACCTAAATGTAAAACTGTGCGTTTTGGCTAGGCTCGCTTCCTGTGATCAGTAAGTAATCAACTAGTATGCGAATCTTTAGGATGCTGAACCTGTGCCTGATCTATCAAGATAACTAGGAGCTAACTGCTAATTGACGAGCTTATATATGGCTCCTTTTCCAGTGAGTATTGGCTTATCTCCTAAGGTGCCGTTGGCAGTGAATAGGGTGGCGGGGATCCACAAAACGGGTGTATTGCATATTGCTATATATATGAATTTAAGCAATACTATGCTTCTAAAGTGTCTGGTGCGATGGTCTCGTCGCTTATCTTATCGCATGCCTACCGACTTGGAGGGACGTAGGGCAAAAAAAGACTTTTATTCTCGTGCCGTCGGTTTATGCGGCGCAACTCCACGCGGCAATCCGAATCCCCGAGAACTATGATGAACTGTTCGTGTCGTGCGACTCCCTTGAGGATATTCATCCAGAGCCTCACAGATCTTCGCTTGTCTAATCCAGCTACTGCTATAACCACGCGGCGGATCCAATTTAGCTATCCGAGGGCCACCGGTTGCCAACTACGATGCAGTCCCTCCCAACCCTTCAGTGCTGCAGCCTCCTTAGGTCTTCCGGGGACGACGACCCCTGACGAGCCGGCTACTCGTTCCCCAGCACACGGCCAATCGGCGGAGGCTCCTAGACGGAGTCCGTCCGACGGTAGCACGGCTGGTAGACGCCGCGGAAGACTGTTTGAGGTTTCCGAGGACGCTGTAGCCAAGGGAAAGCTGCAAGGCGCAATCGCCGAGTTGTCACTCGAATCGATCGATGCTCTGCTTGAAGATGCGGACAGAAATTCATTACCGGCGAAGAAGAAGAAGAAGAAGAAGAGTCATGCGCGACCTGTTACCGATCGCAAGGCGACAGCTCCGTTTCCGAAAATTTCTCGGCATCTAGATCCTGAACGAGATGCGCAGTCTGACGAACAAGGCCTGCCTGCTCTCGGTTCTAAAGGGCCCAAACGACTCAAGCGAAAAGCTCGACATAGTAAAGACACCCGCTCTGCTGTCGGTCCCGTATTAGAGACACAGTCCGACATGGGTACTCTACCTGCAGCTGATTCTCAACTGGAGGCGCCCGTCCTGCCCAGCAAGCTGAAGAGGCGGAAGATCGTGGGACGACTGCGTACGAAAAAAAAAACCGGGGCGTCAAAGATGCCTGCGAAGTTGCGGCGCCAACCGTGGTTTATCCAGAAAGAAGCGCTCCAGCAGAAATTTCCGGAAGGTTGGAACCCGCGCAAACGGCTGTCGCCGGACGCGATCCAGGGGATCCGCGCGCTCAATGCGCAGTTCCCCGATCAGTACCGAACGGAGGCGCTGGCGCGCAAGTTCGAGGTGTCGCCCGAGGCGATCCGACGGATCCTCAGGACGAAGTGGACCCCCAGCGCCGAGGAGGAGATCGATCGCCAGGAGCGGTGGTTCAAACGCGGCAAGAAGGTCTGGGCACGGAAGGTGTTGCTGGGCGTCAAGGCGCCCAAACGGTGGCGCAAGGAGGGCATCGTCCGCGATCCGTATTGGAACCGGCCGCGGGGACAGCCTACTCCACGCCGGCGACCCCTACGGCCGAACGAGATCCCCTTTGTGAATCTCTAGTCTAGCGTCGCTCGGAAGAATCTCCACTATGTACGATTACGCTGTGGGTGGCACCTCTTCGATTGGGATGGGATAGATAATAGTGACTGAGGACCGCCAGTGTGCTCAAGAGTTGACTGCATCAACTCCAAGAAAGGGGCGAGTGGCCATTATAAATTTCTCACATCGTTTCTTCGCTCTAAGCCACCACCTAGAAAATACATTCTAGATTTTAATAAGCGTAGAGATGGGAGACATGGGAGTGAAAGCAACGACGAGCCTCTCTCCTAGCTGGTTTTGGGGGGCACCTTTCGGCTTTCCTCGACGGGGGGGGAAACGACTGTATTCACATTCCCAATGCCAATCATCCATGTGCTCGGCGCATGACAGCAATCTTCTGGTTAGCGCCGTTGGCCATGCAGGTCTGATCACTGGACTAGTCGCCTGATTGGAAAGATGTGCTGTTCTCCTAGCCGGCTCAGCCTCACCGTTTACAAGCCCACTGCGACGGGGGCCTTTCAGCCGAGCTGATCCCATCAGAGCCTTAGGCATCCCCCAGCCTGCAATTTTTTGTGCAATACAATCACGCGCTCTCGCTCTCCGGGCTCAATCCATCTACTGCTTTTGACGACCTGCTATCTATCTGCTTTTTAGGTGTAGGAATAATTCTTCGCCAAAGGATAGAAACCGCTGGTCCTATCATGGATGGCCTCAGCATAGCGGCGAGCATCATCGCCGTGGTAGATCTGTCAACCAAGACTGCTCTGTTATGCTCACAATACTACAGAGACGTCAAGGATGCCCGAGACGACATTTCCCGACTTAAAAGAGAAGCTAGCCAGCTGGAAAGCACATTCGAGAACGTGCGAAGTCTACTCGACAGTCCCGATGGGGCAAGGCTTAAGGCTTCTCAACCATTACGCACTGCCGTCGAGGAGAGTCTAGCACGCCTTCAAGTCCTGGAAAAGGAACTGAGGCCAAGCAAAGGCCGCCGGGCCGTGCGTGTGTTTAGCTTACGCGCTTTGACATGGCCATTCAAAAGCAAAGATGTCGACAAGATTGTTCAAGATCTCCGGCGTTGCACAGAAACAGTTTCCCTGGCCTTGCAAGTTGATCAGACGTAACGATCCCCAGACTATTCTCACACCCTACCATCGATCGTCCTCGCGGGCTGACTGAAACTGCCAACTAGAACCGTCATACTCAATCTTGTCCAAAAAACAGTTCTTAGCCGGCTTCCCATTGCCGATGGCGCAGCATTCGACTCCCACGCCGAAGAACATAACCCGACCTGTTATCCAGGGACCCGGGTCGACCTTTTACGTGAAATATCGCAATGGGCAGGGGATACCGAAGGCAAACCCATCTTCTGGCTAAATGGCATGGCCGGTACGGGAAAATCCACCATCTCACGTACCGTCGCTCAATCGTTCTCAAAACGTCGCCAGCTCGGCGCCAGCTTCTTCTTCAAGAGGGGCGAGGGCGACCGAGAAGGTGCATCTAGACTTTTCACCACGATCGCCGCGCAGCTTGTTCGGAGAGAACCTGAATTTGCGTCACACGTCCAAGCAGCCATCGACGCCGACCCTAGAATCTTCGAAAAGAAGTTGCGCAATCAGTTTGAGGAGCTCATCTGGAAACCCTGGACCCGAATTACGCGACACACCCATCCCGCCTCTACGGTATCTATTGTCATTGACGCACTAGATGAGTGCGGGCGAGGGGAAGATATTGAGACGATCATCCAAATATTGTCTGAAACTCGTTCTTCACAGCGACCGCTACGAATTTTTGTAACCAGCAGGCCTGAGTTGCCGATCCGTCTCGGGTTCACCAACATCGAGGGCGCATACCGAAATTTAATTCTTCATGAGGTACCTAAGCAGGCGATCGAGAATGACCTCTTCGCCTTTCTCGTGCACGAACTCGGAAACACACGCGACAACTACAACAAATCTGTGCAAATGGCTCAACGACTCCCACAGACTTGGCCTGAACAGCGGGTGGTCCAGGAGCTCGTCGAGATGGCCGCTCCCCTCTTTATCTTTGCGGCCACGGTATGCCGTTTCATCAAGGACCCAGCTTGGCATAACCCAGAGGGACAGCTCAAGAAAGTGCTGGATTACAAAACGAAGACACCTGACTCGGGGCTTGATAAGCTCGCTGCTACATATAGTCCAATCCTCGACCAGCTACTGTTCGAAAAGCCTAAGCGTGAAGCGGAGAGCCTGATCAACGAGTTTCGTGAAGTTGTTGGTCCCATCGTCCTTCTTGCTCGACCTCTATCCGTACTCTCACTCGCGAAGCTACTATCCATCGACCCCAGAGTCATAACCGGTAGACTGGACTCGTTGCATTCCGTATTAAACATCCCGCCCGACATAGTTCTACCTGTTAGACCTTTCCATAAGTCCTTTCACGACTACTTAGTGAATGTTGAGAGGCGAGATAGCAACCCGTTTTGGGTAGACGAGAAAGCAACGCATGAGAAACTGGCAATAAACTGTCTACGCATTATGGACGAAACCCTCCGGACGGACATATGCGGAATAAAATGGCCGGGGGCCCCTCTATCCTCTGTTGACCCCCAGATCATACGCGACAAGCTGCAACCGGAAGTCCAATATGCATGTCTGTACTGGGTTGACCATATTAAGGAGTCGGGAAGGTGGTTTGATGTCGGTGACGCAGTCTACGGTTTCCTCCAGCGGCACTTCCTGCACTGGCTAGAGGCCTTGAGTCTTATGGGGGAGACTGACCGCAGTTATTCCATGCTCGATTGGTTACAACTTAACGTACGTTGTTATATTCCTTAGGAGGTAGTTACGGTGGTACGACTTTATTAACTCGATCCAGGCGAATGCCCGTCGCACGAAATTGGCATGCTTCGTTGAGAATGCCGATTCCTTCCTTACGAAATTTGGGCCCTACATAGAGGCGGGTCCGCTCTACATATACTCGGCACTAGTCTTCGATCGGGAGGAAAGTGTTGTGCGTAATACATTCAAGAATTGTATTCCCGACTGGTTATGTGTCGCCGCAAGGATTTTCGGACCCACACTACCATTTTCCGCCTCGCCCGGCTCCGTGGCACTTTCGCCCGACTCGAAGCTCGCAATGTTGGGATTATGGGAAGGGACGGTACAGGTTTGGTCAACGGATACGGGTGAATTACAACATACACTCCAAGGCCATAAAAGCTCCCCCCGCTTAATATCGTTCTCATCCGACTCGAAACTTATAGCATCAGGGTCAAAGGATAAAACAGTGCGGCTCTGGTCAGCTACCACCGGCGAATTACAACATACATTCCAAGGCCATAAAAGCCCCGTCCACTTAATATCGTTCTCATCCGACTCGAAACTTATAGCATCAGGGTCAAAGGATAAAACAGTGCGGCTCTGGTCAGCTACCACCGGCGAATTACAACACACGCTCCAGGACCATCAATGCGATATCGATTCGATTGTATTCTCGCCGGACTCGAAGCTCGTAGCATCCGGATCAAAGAACGGACTGGTATGGGTTTGGTTGGCGGAAACGGGCGAATTACAACATATGCTCTCAAACCATGCAAGCTCCGTCCACTTAATATCGTTCTCACCTGACTCGAAACTCATAGCGTCAGGGTCCAAGGATAAAACAGTGCGGCTCTGGTCGGCTGAAACGGGCGCGCCGCTGCTAATTTGCTGTCTCGATAATTACGCCCGCACGTTGTCCTTTGCCTGTGACGGCCAAACTATACTCACTGAGACTGGTACTATATCTACCGATGGTATACTATCGTCAACGGGGCCTTTGTCTGCTACACTTGACAGATATTCCTTACTGTCTCTCAGTCAAGCCGCGTCTGGTCATGATCGAAACCATGACCTCAGCAATCATTTTCATGGGGTCGACCACTGGGTATATTTTAACGGAAATCCCTTGATGCGGGGAACGATATTTCGTCGGGACCAAAATTTTGCTGTATCTGGCTCTGTGGCGGTAATTTCACACTGGGACGAAATATTTATTGTGAAGTTTTCCACGGAAAAGCTCCTGGGGCTTTTACCGGCCCTGGGAAGCTAACGGGGGGAGTATGTTGATATGACCCTGGCCCATCTGAGCTTGCGGGACATACCTAGTAGATGGTAAGGAAAACAGAGACCCGGTGCCTTTCCTCTAACATTCGAACGGTTCATATAACTGACCTGTCAGAGCGAGATCGAAGTGAAGCCGACAGAGGATAAATTCAAGGCAGAGAAGGCGGTTTCCAGTAAATTTGGTGTTGTGTTTCCCGAAAGTTGCCCTCGCCGGACCCCGTCGCTTACCTAACCCGTCGCCGCTTTGCTCAGGCGCGGCTAATGCAGTACTTGGAAGAACTCAGGAGGCTGGTTGGGATTGATCTATGTACGTAGGAAGCGCCCTGTAGTTAGGTTAGTCGAATTGCGAGATCGAAATGTGTGAACTTTTTGCGAGGGCTGTGGTAGAGAGCGGGTTAGGGCCACCAGAGTGCCAAAAACGGAGATCTTAACTAACACAAGATGGATTCTGGGAGGAGATGAGCTGGTCTGTGACTTACATCTAGTCAAGCGTGCAAGCTCCTTGCCATTTGTTTCGCTTTCCAATGCCATCTCCCCGATGCGTTCGAGTTTCAGTCCCTCTCTTCCTCGGTCTCTTTGCCGTCCCTGTGGACGTGCTGCAGGGACGCCTGAGGGGGGCGGTGGGCGGAACACAATTCCCCATGTCTTGTGACGACGAAATTGGGCATGTCGGAGTCGTCGGAGAGCACAATCTGATCTGGAGGGTAATGGTAAGCTCTTAAGACTTTATTTGATTGCGGAGTATCCGGTAACGAAACCCTATGTTTTCTTAGCCCCTTCTTCTCCTCCCTTCCCCCCCCCCCCCCTTCCCCCCCCCTCTTCCCTCCCAAATCAAACATACGCAATACAGTAGAAACACAACGGACAATTTTACTAAAAACACCGAAGCTCACATTATACTTTGGACGGTCCCCATACTTTACTTTTCCATAAACCCATCCGTCGCACCTCTAGCACGCAGGCCCTTCGATCATTACTCTCTCTTCAACTTGGTCGGTATTCCACGCACTCGGGGACAACGTATCAAGCCAGCCCACGGCCGTGGAGCTGAGATCTTACCTGGTCCTCGAGCGACGGCCCAGTCTGCGGCCCCGCCTGTCTCTCCGGTACGTGCCGTGAGTCACGGGCGACGGGCCCCGGGGTGCGTTCCGCTCCCACCAGGTGTTGATTGCCTCCTCGAATTCGAGGGACTTATCAGCCGCCATGAGGTCCGCCCGCACAAATAGGTAGAACTGGTCGTGCACCCAGCCGGCGCACCCCCGGCCCTCCCGAGTGAACTCGTACATGTGGTTGCCCGCCTGGACGATCACGTCCAAGAAGTCGGCCACGGTGTGCCAGCCGTGCGCGGGCACGGCCACCACCTTGTGGCTGCGGCGCGGCACATCGCCCGAGTGATGTAGGATGTCGAGCCGGCAGGGGTACCCCTCGCGGCCGAGAGGGGCCCTCGCCGTTATCTCCAGGCTGATGAACTCGCTCTCCCCGGTCTGCAGGAAGATGTCCCAGTGGTTGCTGCCCCAGGAGACGGAGGTGGAGGCGACGAAGTGGACCGCATAGACGATGCCGGTGCCTGTGAGATCCGTCTCAGAATCGAGTGCGTATATCAAGGGGTCTAAACTACCGCCTCGAAATCGGTGTGAGAAGGCTTACCTAATTTCCCCAGACGGCGTCCCACCTCCCCCTGGGAAGCGTAGCTCGTGTTGGCTCCCATAGCTGAGTGATGATGGTCTTTGCTTATTTGGTCGTATTCAAGGTATCGAGTTTACCGGATTCAGGGGACAGGAATTCCCAATGAAAAATAGCAATTGAATCTCAAGAGGCCTGCGCTCGAACGTGTAGGGCTTTGGGAGGAGAATATGAGAACTATTATCTTTACAGATTATAGACCTAGGACGGGTTATAAGGGGAGCTGAAACTTCTAAAGCTACCCCCTCTAGGTTTCCTTCTTCCTCTTTCCGAGTCCGAGAAGGTGTATAAAAGGGGAGGCTTTGGGGGATAAACTTAACCTACAGCGTTTCAATTCCATTTCGTAATCCATCCTTCTCGCCTTTTAGTCTCTTGCCATAGGTTGCGGATAACTAACAGCAAAACGGCACCAGCCGATTGATAGAAACGGGGACCCGGTCTGGCAAACTACGACTAGCGCGCTGTTCTGTGAGATGTTGGTTGAGGCAGGTAAGGCGCGGGCTCCGTCTTAGACGGATTTTCCACTTCTGCTAACAGGGTCCCGGACGTCGACCCCAGCCGCGAATAGCCTCGAGCGCCGGAGGACCACGCTGTTCCATGTGAGGGGGCCATCACGTAGATTTAGTTACACGGTGCGGAGCGTCCTCTCCTTCTAGTCACCATATTCTGCGTCTGTAGGTCACCTGCGTTGTGTACGGTGCCTCAAACGGGACCACGCCTTCAAACAGCCCAACTCAGTAGACGACACGTATACGTTTCCCCTTTGACATTACCTCTGTATCCGGCGACGAGCTCTTCCGCTTCTACTGTGCCGGCCTGCGGTTCCATCGCTACGGAGCGGCCAAGATTATCCGCATCTCGCCGTCTCTGGTTATCAGAGGGAGGGACGGACCTGGCGGAGAGCGAGGTGGCAAATCTCGTCTTCGCTAGCGAGACCCTGTCCTTGCCGATTCCGAGGGTGCACCGCACCTTCACGGTCAGAATCTGGCTCGTCGACTGGGGCTGCGCTGGCGCCTACCTCCGCGGCTTCGAGTAGGCGGCGCTACGTGCGCAGGCCGGCCGCCGCGACTTCGCCGGCACGGTCTTCGAAAGGCTGGCGGACCCCAGGAGGCCGTCGTGTAGCAGCTGCAGGCCATCGCATACGGGCTCGCGACGGGACACCGGCTCTAGGCGTCTACGTACGACTTGAGTTTGCCTCGGAAAGCCGGCGTGTGTGGGCATACATGTACCTATCTTGTTGTAGAGGCTCGCTGCTTGACTGCGCTCGGGGACGAAGTTTCAAAGCACAGAAACTCATTTCCATTCAGCACCTCGAGGTTATCTCGGCTAAGCGCACGCCTCGTGAATTATGGCCCGGCCGACTGAGCACACATATGCCAATCACTGGTTGGCCATTCCGGCTCCCTCAATCGATAGAGACCGCTGACGCAGTCCTGCTGCTTACTAGGCTTGTTAACTGCGAATTGGGGTTGGGTCCCCCTCTCCTCTCGTTGAGCGCTCCTCCTAGGAGAAGATGACGATCAGAGAGACGCTGTGATAGATATACAGTGCTCCTGGCACAAATTCTATCTTACGTCCTTTTTCCAGGTCATAGGCGCGTTGGACGGCACGAGGGACGAGGGATAGGAGGAAGAAGAAGCCGAGGGATCGGGGTAATCCGGCAAAAGTTTGGGTTGCCCGTCGACTAAGTTGATGGGCGGGATGGTTCTGACTGTTTCAGGTCAGCCGACCCCTTTCCCCCGCTCCCCGGTGACCACGCTTGGGCTGTCGTGGAGCAGGCTTCGAAAAGATGGCCTCATCGTCGGGAGGGGGGCTTTGGGTTGAAAAGAACTACTATCTGTTCTCATGTGGTGCAGACTTGGTGGCTGTAATACCACTCTCCTGCTGCTATTGACGTCTATGAATGACACCATGCAAGCATAGGAGACCTGATCGACTGCCTCGAGTTCGTCAGTCGAGACTGGTTGATGATGATGCCAAGGCGGACGGAGGAGGTGTGGTAGCGGCTAGAGCGCAATTTGCTTGAATACTGTCCGTTATCGTCTCCCACTAACGACCTACCTACCTAGTAGATACTTCACTCGCTTATCCTCTCGGCGAGGAATTACGTCGTGATGCGGTACCGGCGGGACCAAGATCTAAGTGACGAGGGAAGCCCGAGTGATCGAAATCGAAATAGGACTAATATCTAATGACAACGGAGCGTAGCAACGTGCTTGCAGCGCCGACCACTGTCGACGCTGACCTGGTTGCGAGCATCGTCATTATATGGAGGCAGGATCCGCCACGAGACTGTGCGCCATCGCGGAGCAAGTAAAGTAACAAGGTAACGAAAGCCGAGCAGGCGACAGGGCAGGCGTGCAGAATATACCAATATGCCAACTCTAGATGGCTTCCTGTACATACTCAGGGTAAGGGAGGTGCATCGACTACGGCTTGCGGTGTTGCCAGGTGGCGATCTCCTGGGGCCCAGCGAAGTGCCGGAGAGGCGAGGACGGCAAAGGATAAATGGCCAGCCCCGACGGAGTCTACGAATAAGATTGGGATGGAGATCCCGGTTCTGTCGTGTAGCTCACCGAGATGAAGCTTTGTGCTTTGTGCGAACAAGACACGTGAAGTGCAGGGTAGGCGCGATATTATCCGGGTTTCTCGGTGGTTGTTTTATGCGATCGCGCCGTGGAGGTCTACTCATAGTAGGTAGATGCCGGCTACGCAGTTTAGGTACCTAAGGTAATAAGGTAGGCTACCTGAATACCAAATGTGTGGGTACGTGCATATGGCACAATCGGATAACACCCGACGTCCGGGAATCTCGGCCGTTGCCGGACTTGCACGCCATCATTTGATTTTTATTTCTTTTCGTACCCATCCGGATACTCGTTTACTCATATCGAGGGTTCTGAATATGAGCATGCCTGTCTCGCCACCCTAATTTTATATGGGCGGGCGGATGGTACCTACCCATCATATCCTGCTACTAACACATGTTACCGTACCTCAGCGTAGTACCTAGGTACCTACCTACCTACCTACCTACCCTCGACCTGCAAGGACTTACCTTAAGCTTACCCTGGGCAGGGCAGGCATGCACTTAAAAAATAGAAGCTAACCACATCAACCTTAGATGGGTTATGTATCTGCAAATCAGAACCAGAACTTACTGTACCTACCTGAGGTCATTCTCACGTACCTTAGGCACGTATACTCATTGTGTCGGAATACGATTATGAACACCTGGAGGTACGCATTCGAGTAATAACGGACCTAGGCAATCTAGCTATATATAGCCATCGGCTTAACGTAGATCAAATTTTGTGTAGCGTCATTGCAACCCAGACAGGCAGATAAGAGCTTCTCAGCATGAGAAATGAAGAGAGAGAAAAAAAAAAACAAGGTGCTCGGGTGACATGGCTAGGGGCAAGCTCCATGGAGACCCCCTGTCCAGGTACGAATGTTGCCTCACGGGAGGGTTTCTGTGCGGCCGTGCGTCGCTGCATAGCCGAATACAGACCAGGCCCCTACCGAGTTGGGGTAGAGAGATACCAGAAACGTACGTGTGTGTGTGTGGGCGCGAAGCTCTGTGCAGAGACACCGGCGAGTGTAGATGTAGAGGTAAGTGTACTCATACCTACCTACCTACCTACCTAGGTACCTACCTAGGTAGATATGTACCAGCCCCGTTATGTATGTGCTGTCAAGTCAGGCATGTCATCTCAGGTACCTGCCTAATGTACGTGTATGTGTGTATGTACAATACGTATATGTATGCGTGTAAGTGCATTGCTGGGGCCGATTCCCTATGGATACGGGTGTGGGATGAGCCTAGACGGATGCCTCGACGCGCCTCTGCGACTTCGCCGGCGCGCTCTATCGCACCGGGCCACGGAGGTGTACGCGGAAACGAACAACGTAATACCTCCAGGAATATAATCGGCGCAAATACTCATACATGTGTGTACAAAGAAATACGGCTGGGGAGGCGTGACGGCGCGGTGACGCCCCTGCAGCCTCACGCCCCAAAGCGGCCTAGCAACGTCGCCTTGACCGGGACACGGCCAGGGTAGCGGCCTTCTGAGAGAAAACCGTCACGCCCCAAGCAGTTAAACCCGTCTCCAGAAAAGCTGAGGGACCAACCAATCAGCCCGTGCTCTCGGTTGCTCCCCGTCAATATCCCTTCCCTTTTCCCCCCCAAATCCCAGTCGACTGTCTCTCTCTGCCTGTCTCACTCAACGCCGTCGTTGTTCTCTGAGAGGCAGAACCTCCCTTCCCCCCCCCCCCCCCCCCCCTCCCCAGCTAACCCCGGAAGTGAACAAACGGACGGACGAGCAGAAAAAGTCAGTCGTCCGTATCGCCCTTCTTATTTTCTCCTCGATATCGGTCTAAGGAGAAGAAGGCCGGGGAGGGGGTTATTGGCCGGTTTCCACCCTTTCCGCCTGCGAACTCATGACCTACCTACTCCTCACACTCTCTCCTCTTCTCCTTCTCCTCCGCCGTTGCACCTGAGCTCTCCCTCTCTTTCTCTGCTTGGCTCGCTCTGAGGCCGCGCCGACTTGGTTTCCATGCTCCTCCCTCTCGCCCCTACCGCTGCTCCTGCTCCCCCCTTCTCCTTCGTGATCGTTCTTCGGCTTTCCGGACTCTCATAGATATATCTTTACATGTGCATACGTCGCGCATCATCCGCACCCATACGCACACGCGCATATACATATGTCCATACTGGGTCCTATCCCCGTATCCATACGCGCGCAACATCTTCTATCCCGGCGAGGTACGACGTGTCGGAGTCCAACGGCATTCTCCGGCCTTGTCCACCTCGATCGCCTGTCCTGCCCTTTTGTAGCTACCCACATGCCTACCTACGTACAGTAGTCTTAGACCTCCGCCTTTTTTTTCTCCTCTCCCGCCTTCTTCCGTACTTGCTGTCTCTCTGCTTCGCGTCGCTGTAAGTCATGGCCGGTAACGACCCGCTGCTCTACCTTCCAATTGACCTATCTTTAGCATTTGAATCTCTCCGCTTGTCCTCTCCTGCCCGTCTGTTTCTCCGGTTGTTCGGCCAAAGAGGAGAGCGCAAGGCAAACCCGCTCATTGTGTCTGTCTCTGCCTAGGACGTGCTCATTGTTCTCCTCTTTCTTATCACGCCCGTTGAACTGCAACCTGTACTCCCCATGACACTCCGCCCACACATAAGAATCTCCAGCACCTTTAACGCCACCTGAGGAGGCCGGCTTTGGGTTCGGTTCCCCCCTGGTCATATTTCGCACACGTCGGCGGAAATCAATGGCGATAGGATGGCCTCCACTCCTTCTAGTCGGCTGAAACCAACCCCCTCGAATTCTCCCCACCTCACCTTACCCGTCCGATCTCTTAATCGCGGCAGAGCCTCCGTGGAGCCTCGCCTGTCCCTTAAACGAGTCGTCGGCACGACTTGTACCTCGCCCACCGGCTTCGACACCGTCGGCTCCTTGTTTGCCTACATCGCCGGTGGAGCCGTCGTCGTCGTCGACGTTGACGGCGCCGAGTATGCCCAACGCTTCTACAGAGCTCGCCCGACCGCTCTTCCCGTCTACAACACTTCCTTGTCGCCGTACTCTCCCTCGACGCCCACCGCGACGCCCAAAGCAAACGATAGCCGAAATAGGGCGTCATTGCGAGAATCGAGCTACGGCTCAGCTGATTGGGCCGAATCTCCTACCCCAAAGACGTGGACTAGCCGAGAGCGAATCAAGGCCGCTACGTGTTTAGCTCTCAGTAAGGAGGGCAAATTTCTAGCCGTCGGCGAAACAGGCTATGCTCCGCGAGTGCTCATCTACAGCCTAGAAGACAACTCATCCGACATCCCCCTCGTCTCCATTAGCGAACATGGGTTTGGGGTCAGGGCTGTCGCGTGGTCTTCCGATTCGAGATACCTTGCTTCTCTTGGTTCGGCCAACGACGGCTTCCTCTATATCTGGAAGATCGACCCCAAGACTGGCGCTGCCAGGTTGTTTCAGCAAAACCGATGCACGTCGTATATTCGTGGCATGATATGGGTGGGCAGCAGTCTAGTCACGTTGGGCGTCCGCCATATCAAGGTGTGGAGGATCGACGAGGCGCAGGTGCCTTCTCTCCCGAAGCAGAAATTTGCGGGAGACCCCAACACTGGTTCCCCGGCACACCAGAAGACGTTGCCGGGTCGGAACGTTTTGCTTGGCGGTCTAATAGACGCGACATTTTCGTGTGCCGTCGCCGTCGACGATACGAAGGCTATCATCTGCTCTGAGACGGGCGAAGTATGCCTATTCGACGACGCCGACAAGCAGATGAAGTTGACCAACGTCCTCGAGAGTGGATTTGTGACGACCTGCGTGACAATTCGTGGGGATCTCGCATATCTCGGCGGGAAATCGGGTCATCTCGCAACATTCGACCTGGCCTCCTTTGTGAAGTGCAGCACCGATGCGATATGCAGAAATCTTGGCTCGTTCGAGGGCCTTTTCGCCCTCGGATTTCTCAAGGAGAATATGGTGACGGTTGATGCCAAGCGCTCCATCCATATTTGGAAATTTGGCGACAAGCCTGATGAGGTGGACCTGAAATCCTCACCGATTCCAATTCCGGGACACCAGGATCCCGTTCTCGGCATCGAGGCGCTTGGCCGCCCGAATGCCTCCGATGCCGACTTCTACAGTTGGTCTGGGTCTGGAGAGGTCATACTGTGGGATGTCGAGGGCAACATCAAATCCTGTTTCAAGGTGCCTCTTGAAGAGGCTTGCTTCGATGACGAATCTGACCTGGTTAACCAGTTGGCGCTGGTGCGAGCCACCGAGGGTGGCAAGTTCTTCGTCGTCGGCGACAAGCTAGGAATTGTTAAGATCATCGACTTTTTGACCCTCAGGTGCGTGTCGTCCATGAAGGCGCACGCTTCGGATTGTCAGTCTATCGCAACCTACGAGGACAAGTCGAGATTTGTCATTGCGACCTGCGGCCGCGATCGCACGACGCAGTTATTCCGCCAGACGGCCAATGGCGAGTTCGAGCATTTTCAGACGCTCGAGTTCGCTTCCCGAGTGGTCCAGGTCATCGTGCCGTCGGCTGACAGAGTGATAACCTGCTCTCTCGATAGAACATTACAAGTCCACGAGTTGGTGACGAAAAACGACGACCCCAACGTCATGGCAGCCATTCATTTAAGAACTCTTCCCTTAAAATCCTCGCCGGCGTCGATGACGATGAATGCCGATGGGAAATCGGTATACGTGTCGTTATTGGACCGTTCCGTCTCCGCGTTTGACGTGGAGAACGGGAAACTTTCGAATACGTTCAAGTGCATCGACGAGAGCGGGATCGAGTCTGTCGTTTTGGAATCCCTCACGTCTCGATCGGCCACGGATAAGGAACCGGCATTTCTCCTAGGCATTTCCAACACGGACAAGTCGATTAGGATATATGATGCGCAAACGGGAGCCTTCCTGGACCGCGAGTGGGGCCACACCGAGTCGATTAAAGGCGTAGCGTTAGTCGAAGAGGAGGGTACACGGAGGGTGGTGAGCGTAGGGTCTGACGGCACAATCATGATTTGGGAAATGGACCTGCCGGATCGGGCGTGGAGCTCTACCAGTCGCGAGCCCTCCCCGGTCAAAGACGGCTCTACCCTTACTCGCCCAACACTTCGACGTGTGCTATCCAAGGCCGAGCTGGCAGAATTCCAACGGTCTTCGCCGGCGGGAGGACGGCGGTCACCTCCAAGGACACTCACGAAGAAGAGATCAGCTTACAACATGTCGTCCACGTCCTCTGCGAGGGCGCCTAGCTCGACAGCTCAGGCTAGTCCCACGGTAGCCATCGCCGAGGATACCCCGTCTAGGCGGCCGTCCACAGACAGCCGGTCCGGTAGTCCGCCGCCGGTTAGTCCCAAGACGAAAGTAAGGAGGCGCCCATCTCTGCCAGCTCTCAATTCGGCTAAAACGAAAAGCAACGGCAATTTGAGGGGATTCGGCTCCCTCGACACAGCTACGGAGCAAGCCTGTCGGACACTCCGGGCCTACCGGAAGAAATTATCGTCCACGGACCCCGTCAGCCATGAAATCCTGGCTGAACTGGACCAAGAACTTCGCCTCACCGCGGTCGCTTTGGGCGACAGGACCAACCGAAGCAAAGCTATGAGCGATACTATGCTTAACGGGCTTCTAGACCAGTACTCGGAGCGTCTCATTAATATGCTGGACGAAAAGCTCCGATTCGGCTTCCGATCGCACTCGGACCAGGAGCCCGATTCGCCTAGCAAGCGTCCCGGATCGTCTGGAGCGGGCTCCAGTAACAGCTCAGCGTAACTCGATACATATTTATTTCCTAATCTGTACTATTCGATTCGCCTGGGCCCGAGATTCGCAGCGCAAGGCGTGCACGGTGTCACGATGGTTAAAATCAGGTTGGAGGGGGGGGAGGCGGCGCGATGTTGGGAGGAACTCCTCATTCTTTCAAAGAAACGTCCCCATCCGAAGAGGAGAGGACGGTCCCGGCGTTATAGGATATGGGATTTCTGTCTGCTTGTTCGGTTAACCGACCGACTAACCCAACATGATACCACCTGGCAGGAGAAAAAAAAATAGGAGTTACATGGCATGCGCCGTAAGGGAGGTGTGCGCCTAGCGAGGGAGACCCGTACTTTACCCGGAGATGCTTTGTTTGTTTGTTTAGACCGAGGCACATGGGTGGAATTCCCTCTAATGGTATTGTAGCATCGTGGAATCGCATCAGGACCTAACCGACGATATGGGAGCAACTTATTCACAACCTATGCATATAAACAACCGCAGTGAGTCGAGACTGATCACCATCGTAGGTAGGGTAGGTAGGTCTGTGTGGCTATAAGAGGCAGCTTGGTTGACTACCTTTAGGTACTCAGAAAAACTCTGAGAAGATTGGCCTGATGCTCAAGTATGATCAGTGCCAAGGGCTAGGTATACATGTACAATGCCTAGGTACCTATATAAGTACCCGCCACTGGAGGCATTAGGTGGGTAGTACACCCCCTTAGAGTAGGTACCTACCTAAGGTGCCTACCTCTGGTAGGTAGTTAGTTAAGTCTAGGTAGGTACGTAGGTATCTTGCATGCTTTGGTCACTTACCTACCTAGGTAGGTAGGTAGGTAGCTACTTTACAAATCTTATCGAGTATGTACCTACCCAAAAGCATGTGCACAGGTAAGATACTATGAGGTATAATGGAAGTTGCCGCTAGGGCCACCTTCAAGCTTTGAAACTTGAAAAAAAAAAAGATACAAGATACTTCGGGGGATAGGTTTCGCCTGGACCCGGCTAGGCTTTGCCCATGAGAGAGCATGGGTCGCCCCAGCAAAAATCTAGGTCTGGTCGGTTTCCGCGCTGATCCTGTTCCCAGAGACAGACAGCTTTGACGCATCCCGTGTGTACCATACCAATCCCGTCCCCGGCGCCCCCTGCTGGTTGGCATCGTATCTGATAACAACACCTCACCCATTCCACCGTCGCAATAGTGTAAATCGCATCTGATGCTGCCGAAGGCGCCCGGCCATTTTCCCTCGGCGTCTTGAACCTCTCTTTGTGCCCAATGCTCCACCGTACCCGTACGAATCCGCATCCGACACGATAACTAGCCAAACCACGCCCCGGTACCGAACTGCTCCTGGCTCCATCCTCCGTCCTGTCCTATCCTGCCCATAGCCGCAGTGGACCGGATACTGCATCATCCCATCTAGACTCGGCTCGGGGCCGTCTCGTTTACTTCCTGGCTCAAGCCGCCGGCCGCCAGTTCCCAATGACATGACCACGACGATGCGGTTCCATACATGAGTCCTCCCCTTCGATTGGAAGGAGTGTCACCATGCCGCCTGAAGGAGTAGCAAGCAATATCCGAGTGTTTATAGCCTGGGACGACCAGACCGTCTTTTCCGGCGAAGATATCAAGTGCCGGATCACCTTCAAGAACGTCGCCCCGGGCCCGAACCAGGCGAGGCCCCCAAATCAGCATCAGCAGCCGCAGACGCCCATTGCCGAACGGTCGAGACAGCCGTCGCCTCTGTTGAGCCCGAGAACGAAACCGAACAACGGACTCACCCCTCCCCTCCCAGGACGGGGGCACCGTTCTACCTTGTCCCTCTCCGTACCCTCCGCCAGCCCGCGTTCGACGAGAGCGCCGCCGCAACAATGGACGCCGCCGCAGTGGGCCCCGGCACAACAGCCGCCGCAACGGCCGGGGCATGCTCACAAGCGGTCTCTATCCATAGTGTCGATAGGGTCGGCCGCGGCTCTCGAGGACCAGCCGCACGCGAATGTGGCACCCGCGCGGCCTCAACGGTCGGGCCGCGGCCACGGGCGATCTGCTAGTTTACAGATATCGCCGAGGGGCGGCCTGATGAATGGCCCGCAGTCCGCCGCCTTGCCGCGACGACCGTTCGGCTCTGAAAGCTCGCCCGTATTCAACCATTCCTTTCCCCCGTCCAAGTTTGGGTTCGGGAGACCATCAGGCGCCTCCACCGTACCCAGCACTCCCAGTTTTCTCGGCTCGCAGGCGCCGAAGAGAAGCCCCGGGCCAGTACCTGACTTCAAATTCCCTGTGGCGCAGTCGTCACTTCCGACCGAAAGTGCCGGCGGCCCACCTAACGCGCAGCTGAATGAGGCTTTGCCAATACCTGTGTCCGGGCCGGGGGAGGCTGTGAGTCTCCCGGCGCGCCCGAAGGACGCGATACCGACCATCACTGAACAAGCAATTCCCATAGCACGGATATTATCCACGACGAGTATTGCCGGCGGTACTCCTAGAAGTAGCGGCGAGTTCTACTCGTTGAGCAATAACTCGTCTGAGACGCTCGCTTCGGAATATGTAACAAACCCATTACTGAACGGACGGAAGCCGGCACACTGGCGGCGGGGCTCCGGCATGTCATTCATGAACCATGCGAAGCTTCCGGAGTCGTTAATGATGGGCTACGCACAAGTCCAGGGCTCATTTACGCTCGACGGGTCGCTTATTAATCTAGGCCCCTTCGAAGCAGTCAAACGGAAAGCTGTCTTGGGCGGTCAGGGGGGTGGCGTCATCGGCGTCGAGACCTCAAGGAGAACGACCGGGCTCCTAACCGGATTCGGCTGGGGGAGCATCAGCAATTCCATCGGAGAACTCCTCGGCGGCGGGGAACTGAGCAGCATCAAGCAGATGCGCGGCGTGGCAAGCTCCAGGTCCATTCCCCTCCTATCGACGCCGCAGTCGATATTATTCGTGGATCTACAGTTGGGCCCCGGCGAGAGCCGTACGTACGAGTACTCTTTCAAACTGCCTAAAGGATTGCCTCCGACGCACCGCGGCAAGGCCATAAAGATCTCGTATAGCCTAGTGATTGGCACCCAGAGGCCCGGTGGCACGAAAGAGCAACAGGTACGATCGGTTGACGTTCCCTTCCGCGTTCTCGGGAGCGTCAACAGCCACGGTGAGATCCTGGGCCACGATCTCCTCTCGCCTTACATCATACTTCGCGATCTTGCGAGGGTGCAGCTGCTTGATAAATCCTCCCATCCCGTCCCTCTGAAGAGAAGCAAGCCCGAGCGTCCCGAGTCGACGCACAGCGGGTTTTTGGCGTACGTCGACGAGCTTCTCAATCGACCTCATCCAGGCATGGGGCTTCTGTCACCAACCGCCGCCGCTCCGCAATCCCGGCGAGCTTCTACTTTCGAGGAGGCTACGTCGGCAAAGGAAGCGATAGACCTCGCCATTCTCCGGTCAAATCTTTCGTCCGAGTCCGGACAGAGCAGCAACCGTTTTGAGATAGCCCGGAACGGGCGGCGTGTCGGCGTTGTGATGCTCGCGCGGCCGGCCTACAAACTAGGCGAGTCGGTGACGATGGCCATTGATTTCACCGGGGCCGAAATCCCGTGCTACGCCATCCACGCAGCGCTCGAGACGGCAGAGCGTGTCGAGCCGACGTTAGCACTCCGGAGCGAGGCGAGCATTCATAGGGTAACGCGCAAGGTGTACGGAAGCTCGAGCGAGGCGACGCTTTTCTCGCGCAGGATCGTCTTCAACCCTACGATTCCCATCGGAGCAACGCCGGAATTCATCACGACCGGGCTGAGCTTGGATTGGAAGATCAGGATCGAATTCGTAGTTCCGTCGTCGGTGAGCGCCGACTCACAGCTCATCGGCCCGCACCCGCTGCTGGAAGAAATCTCCCGGGACGATCGGGGCGGGCTCGTGATGGTAGCAGCGGAGAATCTCGAATGCGAGAGTTTCGAAGTGGCCGTACCCCTGAGGGTGTACGGCGCAGTGTGTAATGGACTGGAGCGCCTCGAACGAGACGAAGCACAGGAGGAAGGCCTTGTAGTATAACTGGGGTGACCGGAGACGGGGGAGGGGGTTATCACCATACGTGTAACGGACTAGAAAAAGCGGATACTGTGACTAGGAGAGGAGTAAAAGAGATGACGGCTTTCATTTCTTTCCCACCTGAGACGTCACAGCTGGTTATACGCGGTTATCAGGATGAGGAAGGGAACCGACTTAACGACCTAATGGAACGAGACCATAATTCATGTGCCTCTATTCACTACCATAATACTGATGGCTCCCTCGAGATGTGCTGGTTAGTCCGTACATGAACCTACATCGTCTTTTTACGAGTGGGTGTTCCAGGGAGGAGGAGGCACTCGGAAGACAGGGCTGACGGCTTGTAGCTCGACGGCATAGCCATATATATATCTAACTATCCCCTGCTCTGGGATGGTGGCTTCGACATCGCTATACTTAGTCGTATCTCTTCGACGTGTCATCTTATTCGGTCGCCCATGGCAGCCCCTACGCGTATGCGTGTACGTGTGTACGTGTGCCCTACGCGTGTATACACCGCGCGGCACACACCTACACTGGAAACCATCTGGGACAGCAATTTAGGTTATGGTTTATGATTCACATAAGGTCACGTTACGATTTAACCTCTATTTATTGAATCTAAGCCTTTGACAACATTACATCCGTCCATCCATCCATCCCCTGAGCCACCTCCATCTGTCCTACCACCCTATTTTCTAATACCCATCCTCTTTACCACTCCTTTCTATGAGGCAACTTTCCTCCGGACCACAAACCCGGCCCAACTCATAGCCGCAATCTTCCCGTTTGAGCAGACTGCCATATCATTAAAAAGACATTCACCCGAGGTTCAGAGCGACTCGCCAAAGGGAAAATGGCCATCATCCCTGCGGTCCCCGGACTGGAAGTCACAATCCGTCTCAACGGTATCGAAGCAACTGAATTCATTGATCCGGATTCCTTCTACGTCTCGGACGACAGCCAGAACGATACGATCATTACTGGCAGGGTTCTCGAATATAATAGCACCGGAGTCTCTGTCCATATCAAGATCACTGATGAGTACGAATGGGACCTCTCCGCCAACAGCCTCGACGTCGCCGTCTACATGAACGGACGATGGGCTAAGGGCACCACGTGTGGCAAGGCTGATATCCAGCACGGTGACTGGGAATGTGAGATGTCTTTGGTGGATACTACCCACCATATTGGCAGTACTCAAGAGGATTTCAAGTCTTCTCTCATCGACTCAGGTGAATACCATCGTCAAATACCATCCTAAACTTCACCTATGACAAGCTTGCTAACTCTGGGGACGCAGCAGAGAATATTAATGGAGCAAAGTACACGGGAGCCGTCGAAGGACTCGAGAAATCCGACATCATTGAGGTCAAAGTCCAGAAAGCAGTTGGAGAGTCACACAACGACAACGTCCACGCCCATTCTCCTCTCGCGGTCCCGTGCGGGTATTCTATTATCACCTTTCTATTCTCATGCCTAACCAGAGGTAAATGACTCATAACCCCGAACCCCCTCCCCCTTTCTGCTTGTAACTTTGCTTGACACCTCGTTAAGCTAACGTTTTGAAATAGAGGCTATTATGCGTATGGGAATCATCCCGCGCCCTACCTACCCAATCCGCAAAGATCCTTATAGCACCACTCCTGCTGCCCTACAGGGGCTCTCGCAGGAGGAGATTGAAGCCCTAGCATTAGAGATGCTCCAGCAGGTAAGACCAGTACATCTCATAGACCTAGCTATCGTTTGAGAACCCCTATGTTACATTGTTAGTAATGCTATCAGTTCCTAACTCGAGCCCCAGAAGCAGGCATCCGCTATCAATCACGAGAAAGATCGTGTTGGGAGAGAAGATCATAATCTCGATACTACCCTACAGGAACACGTCACTCAGTACCACGGAGAAGACAACAATGGCCTTTCTCTCGAGAATAAGGGCATCAAAGAGAATGATTCCGGCAAACATCCCGCCCCGGACACGCACGTCAGAGTAGAGAAGGACGAGGCTCATACCAAGAGCCCAGAGATCCCGGAAAATGACACCGGCGACGTTGACTCGAACCACCACGACCAGGCCCCCGTCAGATGCGAGCAGGACGACGATGCCCGCAGCCCAAGCTATTACCCAACCTCACCCCCTGGGCACTTCTTCTCCACAAGCCCCTTCCCCCCCTCATCCACCGCTGTCACCCACCCCGACAGCGACCGCGGAGTCGCCGACGGCTGCGAGTGCCCGGACCACAACTACTGCGACCGCGGCATGCGGGAATACAACTTCGGCAAACACTGGTACCCCGTCCGCGTCCCGCGCGTCGAGAAGGCGAAGGAAGAGGAGCCCGTCGCCCCGCCGCGCCCCGCCGGCGGGAAGCGCGCCCGGGACGACGACGACGACAACGACGACGACGACAACGACGACGACGACGACGAGGGCCGCGGCCGAAAGCGGCCCAACCTGTTCGATCCCGAGGGGGACCAGGCGCGGCGCGAGCGGTTCCGGGAGCGGCAGAAGCAGCGCTGGCGGGAGCGGCGGCGGCGGCGCCACGCCCACCCTGACGGCGCTAACACGGCCAGCCGTGCCTCGGCGGCGGCGGCGGTCCCCGGGCGGCGGCGGCGGCGGTTCGACGCGTCGCAGCTGATCGACGCGTCGAAGTGGACGTGGGCGGAGAGGACGCGGGACGCGTCGCGGACGCCGCCGCCTCCGCCACGGCCGCGGTCGCCGGGCGCGCGGCTGCCGACGGTGAGCCTGACGGCGGAGCAGATGCTGTTCAGCCCGACGGCGCTGGCGCGGGCGACGGGGCTCGACGGCCCGGGGCTCGGCGACCGCGGCGTCGTCGTCTGCCAGCCGGCCCACCTCCACGAGCTGCCCGAGCGCATCGGCGCCGGCTTCAGCCGCCGCGGCGACTGGTCCACGCGCCTCGGCCGCGACCGCGACCGCCCCCTCGACTACGGCTACGGCGGCTACGCCAACGGCCTCCGCTACGACTACCTCCACGAGAGGTTCCCCTCCGACTCTCGCCCCCCGCCGCGGGAGGGGCGGGGCGCAGGGGAGTAAGATAGGAGAGGAAGAGGAGTGAGTAGAGAGAAGGAGAGGAGGAGTGAGGAGGAGAGGAGGGGGGACTAAGGGGGGTATCACGATTGCGGACTGTTACGGGGTTGCTTCTTTTTTCCATTTCCTTCCCCTTCCCCCTCGGGCCCGCGACGCGACCTCGCGACTTCTACGCACGCCAACAGCGATCTTACGATATATCTACCTACTACCACGACACCTGCCACCTCCCTACAGGCGTGAGGACACACACACAGGGGGATACCGGGAAAGGGAAAAGAAGCGCGGTCGCTAGACGGGCGGACAGAGAGATGGGACGACTCCTGTCTGCTGGTGGTGACGAGCAAAAAAAAAAAGAAAAGAAAACGACTATGACGAGATTACGAACCACCGTGGTTGACGGCGGCCGACGACAAAGAAAAATATTTGATACCCTGAGATGCCCTCGAGAGCGACCGTGGCCGGTGATGGCCAACGATGAAGAAAAAGATTTGATACCCCGAAATGCCCGAGAGAGAGGTGAGACGCCGCCGATGCCTAACGCGTCTGAACCTGCGTCGCGACAGCCTTAACGCGAAAGAGAACTTGGATTTACACCAGGGGCGAGGGACTCTTACTCGCCTATACCCACGCGGTGTGAGATAGCGGCCGGATATACCTATAGCCAGCTTAGATCAGTCTGCTGGAATACTACGCTGACTTCCATAACTGAAGTATTTAATGTGCTCTTCCGTATGAGCAGAGACGAGGTAAATAACCAGTAATTACGAGTGTATCCAAGTTAAAATGGTACGTAGGTAGGCAAGCCTAAGTCGTCTATCTATCTATCTATCTCTAACTATCCATCTCCCCGATATCCCAACCTCGTGACCTGCCGTAGATCATCGCGCGTAGTATCCATCAAATGCCCTCGAATCAAAAAAGGTAAAGTAGGGAAAGTCAGAAATAAACCTTGGATATCCATCCATGGGCGGCGTGGCCAGGGCCCTGCCCCCTTCCCCATCGCCATTTCCGTCCGTACCGACGCCTGCCATACTGCTTCGTAACCAGCATATTCGTTACTCGGCTCGTCCGCGTGTCCTCGGTAAATCAGAGCGCCGCTCCCTGCATCACCACATCTGGCGTCTCCTCCTCCTCTTCTTCTCCCCTCTCGTACCTCTCCCTGAGTATCCTGTAGGCCGCGTCTGCCGCCACGGCCTGTATCTCATCGGGGGTCGCGCCCCTGCGGACGATCTCGACGACTACCTCGTCCCCAATCACGATCGTGCAGACGAGCTTCTTTCCGCCTTTCACATCTCCCACTGCGTCTTTCTCTCCGGATATCCCCGAATCCTGAGTAGGCGCTCCTCCATCTTCTTCTTCTTCTTCTTCTTCCTCCTTCTCCTCCTCCTCCTCCTCTTCTTCTTCTTCTTCTTCCTCTCCGTCCCCTTCCGCCCCGCCCTCACCACCGTTTCTATCCCGGGCCTCGCACCGGTACTCGACCGTCAGGCCCCGCTTTGCCGCGAGCTCGCCAAGCTGGTTCTTGGGGTGCCTCACGTCTGCATCGGCACCGGCGGCGAGCAGACGGCGTAGGAACGGTACGACGCCGGCGCGTTCGGCAACCGCGGCACACGCCTCGTCGCGCCATCCCGCGTCGCCGTCCGCGCTCGCGTCGACCCAAACGGCACCGAGCACACTTTCAAACAGGTCACTGAAGAACTTGGGGATACGCAGCTCCGCGAGAGCCGCCCATGGGTAGGTGTATTTGTGACCATTCTCGACGTTGCTGTGTACACGCTCGATCGCCTCCGCGATCGGCTCCCGCCTTGCCGCGTGCCGTGCCGCGGCCCTGAGCTGTGTCGCCGTCATCGCCGTCGACACGTGCCGCAGGAACTTGAAGAATGCGATCGATTCCGTGTAGGTGGAGATGATGGGGTGGGCGGCGATCTTAGCCCTCTTAAATCTGTGGCTGGTCGGGGAGAGAGGGGTGCTAGATGTGCCACTCTTAGTAGAATGCGAAGCCGACGGCGCGGGGGAAGCACGAGACCCCAGGGAGGACGAAGGAGGGGGAGGGATCCTGGGGTTGGATACGTTGGTGGCCTCCTGCTCGGCGGTCCATTCCATAGTGACGAAGCCAAGCAGGTCGGCGTTGACGGTTGCGACACGGAGGAGGTGCATCTCGTTCTGGGACAGGTCGAGGTCAGCATCCCACAGGACGCGCGTGACGATACTGTCGAGAACAGCGTCGCCGAGGAACTCGAGGCGCTCCATGCACACACCAGCTGCCTCGATGAGGCCGAAAGAGGCGTGCGTCACCGCCTCGACGAGCAGGTTCTTGTTGCGGAACGAGTACCCGATCAATTTCTCGAGCGGTTGCAGAGCCGGCGGGAGCTCACTGCTTTTGGCAGCTTGCTTGAACAACGTTCTGCCGGCCTCCTCGAGGCTGAGCCACTTCACTTCCGGCAGGAAGATCTTGAGGCACGTCATCGCCTTAGCCATCCCACCGTCAACATACGCAGCCCCAACGAGTGCCTCGATAACGTCCGCGAGTGTCTTTGTCGACATTTCCCTCTTCTCGTCCGCGTCAGCACCCGCGGCCTCACATAGGTCCTCCACGTAGAGCGGCTTCCATTTCGCGGCCGTGAACTTTCTCGAGAGGATGAACTGGTCCAGGTGCGTCTCAACCGCCGAGCGGCACAGCCTGGAGTTGGACACTATGGTAGTCTTTATGGCGTCGAGGTATCCTTCAGGATAAAGAGGGTCTGAAAAGATTCAGTTAGAATGTATGCGTATATCTCCCCCTAGAAATCTCTGTTTTGGTAGATTTCGTATTTGTCTTGGGAGGAAGTGGTGACTTACGGTTTGCGGTTACGGTAGCCGTCGCTAGCATCTTGAGGATCGAATCGCCCAGGAATTCCAGTCTCTGGTAATTTGTCGGTTCGTTAGCCGCCGGCGAGCTGATCGCTGTTACGACTAGCGAGAGATCCGAATACTGCACATCCTTGAGGATGGTCTCGCATAGTTCGATGGCCACTAGCTGAACCTCTATCACGTGTGTGATCGAGGGAATGAGGGTGCCAAAATGCACGCTGGAAACGTCGATACCGTCCACCGTACAAAGGTGCATGGGCCATACAATCTGCCTCGATTTCTTAGAAGGCGCCGAGGCTGTTTCCGCGAGCGGCCGGAGAAAATCTCTGCGTTTTGGCCACTTCTGGAGCACCAGCCAAGGTTGATCGGCGGGTTCGTCCTGTAGTTTTTCAGGTATCTGTACAGCCGGGTCGAGAGAGGACAGCCGGCCCTTGAAGAAGCCAATGTTCCCATAATGGTAACGTATGACGACCGTGTCATCGAGAGAGGCCTCTTCGATATGTTTTTGGCCAAATAGCACTTGGAACGGAATCTCTCTAGTCGGCGACCGAATGTGAAGGACTTGCTGAGCATTCTTGGCTGTCAAGTTGCGATGTCGGAATGCTAGGTCGACCAGTGCTGGACTTTGATCGCTGGAGAGATCGTTTGGTGGCACGGTCTTCATCTCGCCCACTTCGATCGTCCAACAGTTGGAATGGTCCCAGTAGATTGTGAAGGGCGATAACTCTGGGAACTTAATCGGTAACGTACAGTCGAATTCGCACATCACACTGCCCTGCTTGCCTACTAGGCGTAATCTACGTGTGTATCTCTCGGCTTGGTGGCCCCAGGCGTTCGCAACTCGAGTCCAGGGTCTCCATTGCGGACGAACTTCAGCAAGCGCAGCCCTGGTTTCAACGTCTCGCAGGATTTCGTCTCTCACGGGCAGCAAGTTGTCATTGACCAGTCCCGCCTCGTAGATCGCCTTAAAGGCGTGGAATGCAGCGTCTTTACTAGCATTCTTCTCGGAGTACCACGTCCACTTGCTTTCTGCTCTTCGGAGGTCGGGGGGTAGTGACATCGGCAGGACCACGACCGCCCTGATTTGCGGGGGCCCTTCTCGAAGGACATTTTCTTGTTGAAACAGATAATATGGCTGTGATTCGATATATTGTCGGCGCGAAAGCCCCGCGCATAAATGATGCAAATGCGACTTCACTTGGTCGAAATCTAGCTTAGCTCCAGTTGCCGGTACATACAGGGGCTCGATGTCTGCTTGTTCGGATTCTTCAAGTTCTATGAGCTCCTGGACTTCTCTCATCTCATCTTCGTAACGTTTCTTCATCTCTTCCTCAAGCATGGTCCACTTGTTAACCATGAACTTGGGGTCACCTGTCAGCAGGATGAGCTTCGACTCCTTCATCCGGGCTCTGCCGCGCCTCTGGATAAATGCCTTCAAGTTAGCTGGTTCGTCGAAACAGATGACCATGTTACAGGCTGGGACGTCGATGCCTTCTTCTAGAACGCTGGTAGCTATGAGGAGGTTGAGCTGGCCTTTTCTGAATTTCTCGAGGTCCTCGTAGTTATTCTTCGCAATGAGATTGCCTAGGTCTACCCGTTTCTGGCCGTTATAGGTATTTGCGCCGACCATAGTGCCGATCCGGAAACGGCTCTTTGTGGACGGGTGAAGGGATAGCATATGTGACAGGACTGCTACTGTCGCGATTTCGCGTACGAATATGATACCGATCGTCTCCTCGTCGGCAGGCGAGAGCTCTCGCACAAGGGCTTTAACCTTTTCGGACATGCTGATCCGAGAGATATCCTTTTCGAAGGAGGGGGGCGTTGAAATATTAATCTTTAACAATGCCTCTGCGAGATACTGCTTCTCCTCGACCCCCAATTCCTGGAACCATATGTTGTTTCCCTGGGTGGACTCGAGCAACCGCTTGACGGACATGAATATGAAATAGTCCGCGGCCCACTGCAAACCGCAGAGTTAGCTAGAAATATCGCATGTCAAAACGGGGTTGGAGCTGTATTGGATAACAGGGACCCTGCTGCCTCAGCTTACAGTCGACGGTATCGTCTGTGGTTGCCTAGGAGGAAAGCGGCAAAGTCCACAAGGAGGCAAAGAACAAACGGCTTACCGAACCAAGCTCTCTCTGCATCTCTGTGCTCTTGCGCAATAACGATTCCATATACTTGAAGGTATAGGTGTCCCTCTTCTGTAAAACTCGTTGGAGTGAGGCCCGGCCGCGCTCGGTATTGTCGGCCTGTAGCCGAGTTACGTACGGGTCTTTAAATATGACCAAGCCGTCATATGCGTCAGCGACGCTTTTCATGGTGTTAGTATGAGGGATGTCATAAGGAAGGGGGTACATGACGCTGGTTATAACCGGCCGCTTGACTGTGATTATGAGCTCCTCTCGGTGGATGGTTGGGCTCTTGCATATGGAATCTAGCGTATGTTCTATGCGCTCTAGGCCCCTAAGATCGGATCTCATGACGGGGCTTGCCGTAAGACCAAGTATCGACGGGACGGGGAGGCTCGCGTCCTTATTGTCGCGATACCGATCCATGATTTTCTTGCCCGGGTGCTTGCCGACGCAGTTGTGCGCTACTATATGTTAGCTTCCACGAAGCGGGTTCAGTAGGACAGCGAGGCCGTACTTACCTTCGTCAAATACTATCAACGATAGCCGATCAATAGGCACGAATCCGTGGGAGACTGCGTCCAGGAGAACCTGATAGGTGGAGATAACGATGCGAACGTTCTTCAGATAGTCATTCCACGTACGAACGTCCGACCAAGTGTCAACGCCGTCTGCGCCGCTGAGAAGCTTGATCTGAACAGACTGGATCTGCGATCTGAGGACTCCGAATTGCTGCTCGCACAAAGCGACAGTGGGCGCTAGAAACCACACAACCTACACGACACTGCAGTCAGCAACAACGTGCAAAGGTACCTACGGACGAAGCAGGGCTTGCCTTATCGGAAGCAGGCTTGCTGAGCTCGGCTTGAATTCTGAGCACCGCGCTGAAAGAAGGCTATAAGTATGTACGTGTAGGTGGAGAGATAGGGACTTGCGAGTACATGCGATCACACGCGCGGGGACGAGACAAAGAGAGGGAGAGGAGTTCAGCCATGACTTTGCGGACTTCAGGCCAACTCGATGGGCGGCACTAGACGGACAGACTTACACCTGTGTCTTCCCAGTTCCCGTTTCCATCTGTGAAATACTCGTGTCAGGCCAAGGTGGTCACACAGAAGATAATTGGCACAGTGCTCTCCTACCGCAACTATGATGTTGCGTTTGAGGCTCAGCTCAAGCATCTCAAGCTGGTACTCCCGGGCGTGTATGACTACCGGATCTTGGGCCTGCTCTTCGATCTCGCCGGCCTCGGGCGGCTCGGGAGATGGGAGGGTCGGGTCTTCATAGCTCTCGGTGGTGACGGGCTCGAGGTCCGCCCCCTCGCTTGAGTCGTCCGAGTCCCAGTCGACCAGTAGCGGCGGGTGCTGCGTCTCGTGCATTGTCGCTGGGGCGGTGAGGGCCGCAGACTCTCAGCTGGGTAGACTTGGGGCGGGAGGAAACAAGACGGCCAGTTATATCGTCGCTCCAGGCTGGCAGGCGGGCGGTGTCCGCGCGTAAGTTATGGGTATATGCCCTACACTGGGTATGTGGGTGCCGACTTACTGTGCGCCTATAGAGGTGGTTATGCCGTATACCGAGCTCGCCCGCTTATATAAGTATGTTTATGCTCGATTCCCAACTTCCTCTCCCTGTTTCTTGTTGGCTCTCGCTTATCGGCTTAGGTTAGCTTGCCTTATCGAATAAGAGTCGGGACGACTTACTCTCTCTCTCTCTCTCTCTCTCTCTCTCTCTCTCTCGCAGAATTCCTGAGAAGCAATAGTAGTAGGCGCCCAAAAATCGTCATTTATCATCCCGGGGGTGAATCACTCGTATCCTTCCGTTTGTGTCGCAGCCTGACAGGTACCCTATAACAGAACCGGTACGAAGTACTTGTCCAGGCTCCAGCCTCACCTTGAACTGCGTCCTTTCAGTCCCACGAGAATTAAATACAAGAATCGATTGATTGGCGGAGCTGTCGAGAGACACAGCACAGGCACAGAAAGGGAAATTCTTGGGAAAAAAACAACTACTCCTCCCTCCTTGGTTTACTCTTTGGTCCTCCGTAGGAGATGCGCACAAACCCCTATGATCCGCAGTAACTCGCTTGGACTTGTGCCACTATGGAACTGCTTGCTGCCGGCTTCAATGCCTGGCGCCAGCTGCAGTTCGACGGCGGCGAGGACGCATCCGCCGAGCCAACCGATCTAACGTCTTTTCAACCCATCCTGACGGACAGGAGCATCGAACGCCCACGTCCCCTCCTATCCTGCACTTTCGGTATGTCTGCTCCCCTCCGAATGCCATGTTCCCTACTATATATATATATGTCCCTATCTATATTCATCGTTGCGTTAATACGGGCCTCTCAGCTCGGACTGCCTCGGCCGTGCGACAAGCGGGCTTTGTCGAAGACACCCCGAGGTGCATCATCAACGAGCTTCTCTCCTCCGTAGCAGCTATTTCCGGCAATGGCCTAGTAGCTGGTAGGTTGAACAGTTCGTAATTCTAGCCGTTTGCCTAGCACACGTCGCGCTCATTCAAGGAGTAGAGTACGATGGCCGCGATGCTGTTCGCCAATATCCCTCGGCGCCTGGCGCGCGCTTGCAGGACCAGCAAACATTCCCCGCAATAGGTCGAATAATCCAGCTGGCGGCGTACGAGACGGGCTTTGCAGCCTTGTCGCAGGACGGCCGCGTCTGGACCTGGGGAGATGAGCGCTACGGTGCCTGTCTCGGGCGGCCGATAACGCCTTCGAGGTAGGTCAGCCATCGCTTCTCTAGGAAGGCGAAGATTACGGGGTCTCATGCGTACGTCTCTGTTAGCCCGGCGGAGAAACCCGGCCCCGTAGAGGAGCTCGAGGACTTGCCGACCGGTAGAATAATAAGGATCGGCGCGGCGGGATATCTACTCCTGGCCTTGACCGAAGGGCATGACCTCTACGCTTGGGGCGGCTATCCGGGTCGGCGGGGGCTCATCGATGATTTATCAAGTAGCCCTGCGCCTGTCGTGGTGGAGGAATGCGACATAACGGATTGCGGAGTCGGGGAATCGCACATAATCGTGCTTAGCTCGGAGGGAGACGTATATGTCACTGGTAACAATACTAATGGTCAGCTCGGATTGCCTGCTAGTGAGGCGTCGTTATTGTCGTCGTCGCCGTCGTCGTGGACGAAAGTACCCTTGGTTCTAGGGGAAGGGCAAGTTGTTGTTGGTGTAGAAGCGGGGCATCGCACTTCGTTCATCCTAACCAAGCATCAATCCCGTGAATGATTCTGCCGCATTCAGCCCTCTATGCTATTCTATGATACACGTGAACTCATGCAAAAATTAGGCCGTGCCGTTGCTCAGAGATTCGTAAGGTAGTCCTCGATTTCCTGCGGGGTGAGCTTTCTGAATCGCGGCCCGGTGGCCCCCTGGACACCCTCCACGCCGAGCAGGTGATCCGCGGGGGGACCGACGATACCTCCAATCCGTTAGCTAACCCTCTCGGACGGGGTCATTTGCGTCATGCTCACCAATCTCGATTGTCTCCCCGTTCATCTCGCCCTCGATCGTCTCCTTCAGAGTTAGGAGCGCAATGTGCACGGCGTCCTCCAATTCCAAGCCCTCGGTGTATCTCTTCTCTAGGAAGGTCTTGGCCGTCGTTGCGCTCTTCCCGATAGCGGTGGCCTTCCAGGGGAAATAACTTCCCGACGGGTCGACCTGGTAGAGCATGGGGCCACCCTTCAGAATGCCGCCGGTCTTACCTGACGGCTTCTTCTCGCCGCCAACCTCGCCTTCAGCAGGTAGCTCCTCGTCTGGCAGGATGCCTTCGTCCCACCCGGCGATCAGCAGACTGACCCCGTAGGGCCGGACACCACCGGATTGCGTCGCTTCCTGCATCACACGCGCGACGTCCTGCACTAATATCCGAGTAGGTGGGTACTCGTTGTAGATCCTCTTATAGCCAGTGTGGGATACTTTCCGAGCCCTATCCACCAGCACCCGGTAATCGGGGCCCATACCAGAATACACCATGCCGATGTTGGGGGTGATCAGGCTGACCTTGGACAAGGAAGAGGGGTCTGCGAGAGGCGAAGACGACTTCTTCTCAGTTGCAAGGACAATCCCATTTGTCGCTACAGCTATCAGCGAGGATACACCCAAGCCTATTTCTCAATCGACCTACTCACCTTTAATGCCCAGGGCTGTCACGCCTTGGTTGACCGCGTTCAGCGCATACTCTAGGGAAAGGTTAGCCGGCTTCACGACGAATCGGAAGCGCAAGCTTCTCTGCGTTCGAGCGCTAGGTATTTTCCCCTTCTTTTTCCTTTCGCAGGGCTGACATACCAATCTGGACCAGTTTTCCGCTGGTAGGGAATTAGCCAGGGCTAGAGCGCTATAGGCGGAGGGACGCTCCAAGGGAGTGAGATTTTACCTAGGGGAGAAGGTAGTCAAGGAGAATGAGTAACGGTCCGCCATGACTGTGGTATGATGCGAGCAGACAGAACTGCAGGACGGGTTCGAGAGACGTTCAAGTCGAAAAGGCGGTTTGGGGTGGCTTGGGCGGCGAGGCTCCTACTACTAGGTAGGATGTCCACTGTCTATATCCGTAGCTGAGTAGTAGACTGTAGCGGTAGTAGCGGTAGTAGCGGTAGCAGTGGTAGCAGTAGAGAGGGAGACGGGAGGGAGGCAGATGGGTAGGGACGTGGGGGACGAGCTGTGTGTGGAGAGCTACAGCAGATGCTTGCCAGGCATCGCGAGTTTGCGCGTCAAGAGGCCTGGAGCTTGGTTCAGGTACCTGCCTTCCACTGCTTAGTAGCACTGGGCCGCATCCTGTGGGGGGAGTAAGCAGCCCATACCTATAAAAAACCGGCGGGGCACACCAATCCGGATTATCTTTATCCGCACTCCGACCCCAACGGAGACTCATCTCTTTGTAAATGAGAACCCCCTATAACGTACTTCAGCCCGTTAGGTATATAATAGGCAAAGAAGTGGGTTCAGTGTCGATAAGGATAGGCTATGTACCTGCGTACTTCATATGGATTAAATTCTACCCAGAGCTTCAAATCTGCGACTGATAAGGCCCGACCCATTTCCAGTTCTTGAGGCTGCCTCCCGATCCCGATCCTGTTATGCCGGCTGGCAGTCTTGCATCTCACCGTTGAGACAACTAAGGAAGTCGAGCGCGCGAGTTGGATGCTGGGCGAGTTCTTCAAGGTTGGCCAGTCGTCGCGATAGCACAGTGTGATTCTGAACGCCGCAGCCCCAACCCCGGCTTCCACAGCTCGTTTGTTCCTTATAAATTACGATACCGTGCCATTCCTTGATCCCATTCTAACCTATGCCGAGTCTTTCGCCAATACCGGTCTAGCTACCTCAATCCGGCCATACGTGTTCTTTGTGTCGCCCTCTAGACAACGGTCCGCGGTTTTAGACATACGCATTGTATGCGAATCTGATGAGTTTCGTCATGGTGAGGAAATTGCATGGCATCCTCGGCTTGTCTGTTCTTGTCTGCATATTCTCCCAGCCTTGTTCTAGTCATACCCCCCACGAGTTTCCCTAACACTAGCTGGTACCGAGACCGATAATCGATTCCATACTGCATCTTTCGACCCTTACGCCTAATAACAGTATCCATCCGAGCACGAATCGCCCCATCGCCCGAGTGGGAGTATTACGCACGCCGATATGTCCACCCCCGAGCATCCCGCGGGCGCCGACCCTTCCTCCGCAACCGCGACCGGCAGCGACCATCCACGAGGAGCGGAGCCGCAGTCCGAAGGGGACCGACGAGGAGCTAAAAGGCACATTCGAAAGTGCTGGATCTGCCATGATGAAGTTGAAGCAACATATGAAGAGCAAGGTTTCCTGAACGGCTTGCGAAACCGCCGCCCGAGACGACGGTATGTCACTGAGGATGGCGACCGGCTCATCAACCCGTGCCACTGCAAGGGGAGCATCAAATACGTCCACGAAGGTTGCCTGAAGATTTGGATGAATCAAAACCCAGATGCATGGAGGTGCGGCCGATGCCGTTACCAATATCGGATGGGAAGGTTTACCTGGGCTCAACGGCTCCGAAGCCCCATCCTGACGTTAGGGTTGACTATTCTCATCCTGTGGATCACCATTTTCCTGCTTGGTTTCGTAGCCGATCCTATCCTGAGCTTGTGGCTTGATCCTCTCGGCACCATAACAGATTCTGTGGTGTCTAGTCACATTATGCTAGAAGACGACATCGATCTGCCTCTGGATAGAACAGGTTGGTTCGAACACTTTCTAAAGGGGTTGTTCTCGCTAGGCCTGCTTGGGTTCGTGAAAGCATTCCTCATTACGAGCCCGTGGCAGTGGTGGAATCTACGGACGAGTGGGATAATTGGCGGAGGGGGCCGCCGCCGTGGTGGAACTGGGCGCGACCGGGTGGAGAACATCAATCTGGTTCTCGTCCTTATGGGTGTGGCTACATTTCTATACGTACGTTTCGACTTGGATGACGGCTCGCAGCCGCTAGTTGCTGACTGATCCCCCTAGACCGTGTGGAAGACGACCCGGAAATGGACTGAACGCACTCTTGATCGCGCAAGCCAGAGGATTCTGAACGTCCAGGGCGACGATGATGATAGCGATAGTAGCGAGGAAGACAATTAGCCTCGAGTATGAGACGAATTAACAAAGCCGCGAACGCATTCCTATGATCGAATACCACGATCGAATGTGGTGGTGTTCGTCCACGGTCTTGCAACATTGCCACGGCATTCCCACTTTCGAACCAACTTGCACACTCTTAAGTTGCCTTGAATTTTCTCCTCCATTTCTTGTCAACTAGTCTGTGTGCAAAGATTGATACCTTGTCACGGTCCGGCGGGCGAAGGCGTCTTGCCCTCGCCCACATACAGACCGGCTCAAGGGCGTCAGGATCTCCCCGCCCACTGCCGCCGGCTCTTTCTGAGCCAAGCTGACTTGGCTAGCCTTCTCCGTTACGGATACGAATTCACAAGGCGCGGCCGGGCATTCTTCGACACAGACGAGCATATGTAGCTGCACATGTAGTGTTTTCATTGGCCCATGTACCTACCCGGCCCCTTTATTTGGATACAGAATGCGCCGATATACGTAGGTTCCATGAATATAGAAATCCAGTCCAGTCTACTACTATCTGATTTTACCTGCCTGAGCAGGTAGGTAAGTTGGGCAAGGCACCGGCCTCTACCTACCTCTTTATCTGTTAGTCAATGTGCTAGGTATCTACGGGGTTCCGTGCAAGAAGCCTCGGTGACTGCCTATCCATCACGGAACGAACCCGTTACTCGTATACATCCGTGTTGCCCGCAACTGGGTTAGAGACATATCATGCATCAACGGGATTCCGCGGTAGAAGGTTCAGTTCGTGTCATATACTCACTGTGTACCACTTCCGAGGACTATGCATCTATAGTGTATATCACATCCACCGGGTGCATATTCCCTACCCACATATGTAATAACACAAGTAAGAAGGGACCCAGTCTAGGATCAATCTTGTCATTTAAAAAGTGCAGCCAAAGTGAGATTCGCGTAATTTAGCAACGAGCAATTACTTGGGTGCGACTTTGCGATGTGTCGAAATCGGGCGTGGTAGCCATTCGTTCGGAACCTTCGTTGCCTAGCTGGATTCCGATCTCCGACTTCATTGATGCACTTGATGCGACCCGGATCACCACACCCCTTGTCCGCATTTCTCCAATCCCTCCGTCTCGCACACGCTCGTCTTCCCAGTCGCTTCTGACACCGAGTCCTGCGCTGCCCTGCACCCGCGCGCGCCCCGTACCGGCCACGTCTTTCTCATCGAGACATCGAGGACAAAGCGCCCGGTGTCCAGCCCAACACCCCGAGAGAGCCGACGGCCCACCGTTCGCCGTCCATCACCCGACGGTGCCTGCAATCGGGGTAGAGGACAACGACGTCGTTACTACGCACCGCAGTCTAGCCCGCGTCCAGTCGTCCACAGTCGACCGACAGGCCATCGTCGGTCCCTCCTCGAGCATCGGATACCGAACAATCCCAACTCGCACACGTTGCCACAATGCACTACGCTTATCCTCCTCGGAAAAGCTCGAACCCGCCCCCCTACCTGCCCCGTTCCTCGCGAATACCCAGGATACGGAGGGGCCATCTGAAGCCAATTGTGCTGGTTGGGGTGATAATCATTGGATTAATATGGCTTTTTTCCGGCGGCTCAAAACAGGCGGGGCACACGATATCGGGGAAACCGCCGGTCGTGTTGGTGACGGTGTTTGACGATAGGAGTGACGATTCCGTCTACAAACGAGACACGCGAGAGAACAGGATGCAGTACGCAGAGAAGCATGGTAAGACCGTGAACACGAGCAGCTCTCTCCGCTCGCTGTTTAGCCTCCGGTCCCTAACCATTGAGCAGGATACGGCACATTACTTGCAAAGACTACCGATTATGACCTCGGTGGGTCGCCTTCATCTTGGTCGAAAGTTGTGGCGATGCGACACGCCCTGGCCAAATACCCCGATTGCAAATACGTCTGGTATCTCGAGCAGAACGCCTTCATCATGAATCCACACGTGAAGGTGGAGGACTACGTGATGGGCGCTCGCAAGCTCGAAGCCAATATGATCAAGGAACTCCCTGTGGTTCCCCCGGACAGCATCATCAAGACATTTTCGCATTTGAAAGGAGACGACGTCGAATTTGTCATAACACAGGACAAGGAGGGTCTAGCCCCAGGTAGTTTTATCATTAAGAATGGCGAATGGGCCAAGTTCTTCCTCGATACGTGGTTTGACCCTCTATATCGAAGCTACAATTTTCAGAAAGCCGAGACTCATGCTTTGGTATGTCGATACTCTAGCAAGCCGAAAAGGGGCGAGAGGTTCTAACCAAAGGAAAACTTAGGAACACATTGTTCAATGGCACCCGACAATCCTATCAAAATTGGCCATCGTCCCACAACGAATTATTAATGCTTACAGCAGCAACCTCCACGGCGAGCAGTACAAGGACGGGGATATTGCGGTCGTCTTCGCTCGCTGCTCGAACGCGGCCGACAAAGGCTGCGCGAAGGAGGCCGAACGGTTCACGCAGCAGTGGCGAACGTCCTTTTCCAAGGCACGATAGGATACGCGATGATATGTAAACGAACACGAGCGTTTCGATGTAGATACTGAGATCCCAGCTTCGCGGCCACGAATAAAGGAAGGGGGTGGGGGTTGTCATACCAACATGTTATAGGCGTTTAAGGAGCACCAGGATGATAATGTTCTCTAATCAGGTACGAAACCACGCGGGCCTCGGCATTTACACAGGTGTTGTGCTTATTTGGAGAGGATCCACGATGAGATGCCTTTCCGTGCCGTTGGGTGTGTATATCCCCCCATCCCCCTCCACGACCGGGTTGAAGAAGGAACCAACAGCACGTCCCGGCGTCGAACTCGGCAGCTGAACAAATGCCTCGATACGGCTCACCATACCACTCGACCGAAAATATGTTGCAGGTTCAGACGACGACTCACGACCTGTCTAACACGAGAAATTGTAGCTGGAAAGGCGTAAAGAGAGACAGGTCACATTTCGAGACAGATAGACAGTATGGGCAGTCGTGGGCAGGTCGCGGGTTGATGTCTGTCCATGGTGAGGGTGGGGGGAGTCAGATCCGCGGCAGACAAGCCTGTCTGATGGCCACATAGGCGAAGGGTTTGTTCTGTTAGTTTATATACGTATATGTAGTCCCCCCCCCCCCCGGCCGCCGAATATATAAACACCGTGCTATTGTTGCATTGACGGTAGCAACGGCAAATCCTCGAGCTCCGTCGGTTACAAGCCGACGACGCGTTCTCACGTTCGCCATTATCTACCCGTGCATGCTCGGAGTGGCAGCGATTGGCAATGGTAGCAATCACACGTCGTACGCAGTAGTCTGTCGAATGCCGAGGCTGTGATGGTCGCAGTGATTCCCCCTCTCATAATGCGGCTGTCTCCTGGGCCGGCCATTGCGCGCGAGGAGTCGACTCCAGGGGAATCTTTCCGGTTGGCCGTCTTTTTCCTTCTCTCTTCTTCTCTTTCCTGGGACTCGCGTCGTCCCCTGTCCTTCCCAGCACCCGAACTCGGGTCTGGGTAATCCGATCACAAAAGGGACTGACGCTGCGTTTCAGCCTAGGAGCGGCGCACCCCTGGTTCTGCGGCGTGGAAGAACGGGGGGGTAAGACGGGGGGGCGTGGGGTGGGATGACAGGTGCCTCCTACATACATACCTAGGTAGTACTCATATGCACATACCTACTCATACCTACAAAATAGAGTACGGAGCGAAGACGGGGTGGTCGCCGACTCGGCCAGTCCCATCGTATTCGTCTGAATTCTCTAGTCGGGGCTTCGCTTATCTGGGAGGATTCTGAGGATGAGAAGACGACGGGTTCCTTGTCGCCATTCCAGCGCAATTAACCTTAAAAAAAGATGCCGGGGTTGTCGAGGCCCGAACTCGCCGCCCAACACCGGAGCCACATACCTTCGTTAGGTACCTATCTAGTAGATACCTAGGTAGGTATGTATGTGCTATAGCCTCCATATTATAGCGGTATAGCACAGTACCTAGGTACCTATAGCATCCCTCTACCAGGTGGATGGGTGGCGCATTTGCAAACGCACTCGCGTCGAGGGCGCCGCGCATCACTCACTTGTTCCCGGCTATCACCTCGCCGCCGCCCAATGAGTAGACCCTCACGACCCGTGATCGGCGTGGGATAGCTGCCAAACGCGACATTCCTCCCGTCGATTAGAAACCCCGATGGCCCAGCTGCGGAAGAAGGAACGGACTGCCTCCCTCGCCTCTGGTAATGCCACCCACTCTCGCTCGCAGAGTCGCCGGCCTTACCAGATCGGGACACGAAACCAGTACGGCCTGCCGCGGGTCTCTTCAATGCTCTCGCCTCTCATCCTCGCGGTCTTCCTGGTTAGCGCTCCTTGGCGCATCTCTGCTCTCGTTTCCAAGTCGTAGATCATACAGTTGACCAGGACAAGCGCTCGCTAGGTCACCAGGTCGACTCAGGGAGATCCTGCATGCCTATCCCCGGCTCTGGGGACTGGCCAGGGCCTGGCCAGGGCCTGGCCAGGGGTGGAGACGTCTAAAGGATTTCCCAATCCAGCCTCAACACCAACAGCTCTGTTACCTATAGTACGTATCGACGGAGCGCATGAACACAACGCTTACCAACGTGGAGAGGGGGCACGCCTAGCGATAAGCTCAAGCGAGCACGAGGATTGGGGGAGGGAGGGAGGAACAGTATTATGGGGGTAGAAGACGGGGCGCCACACCGGACTAGTTCTTGTCTATCCTATCCGTTGTCATATGAGCATCAACCCAGCTAGACGTCTGTCTCCATCTCGCCAATCTGCCCTTCTTTCCCTTCTTCTACACATTCGCTTCTGTATTGGCGACGTCGTCCTGGAGACAAGGAGTGTGTTTTAATATATATGAGTTATGGATTTGTGAGCTATGTTGCAGGGCAGGCTCTTGCGGTGCTCTCTTTTAATCGCGCTGGGCACGATGGGGGTTTGGGCTCACGAAGATGTTGTTAATGTGGGCAGGAGTCCGGCGTCTTGTGGAGATGGGGCTTGCGTGCGGGAGGTGAACCGTGTCGTGGCGGAGAGGGAAGATGTGATCGAGAGATTCATATTGGAAGGGTTACCACCTGATTCGACGAGGGCCCCGAAGGAACAGGCAGCGCCCGCTCTCACGACACCTCAACCAACGCTCCCGCCACGGAAGCGCCAGGACGACGGCCAGATCCAGGCACTCTCGGAGCAGCTACGACAGGTTTCGGAATCCGCAACCCGAGCCCTCTCCTCCGTCTCGTCGAGCGCGTCTTCGGCTATAAGTCTCGTAACTCAGTCAGCGGAGTCTGTTCGCCAGTCCGCCGACCAAGCCGTCAGGCTCGCCAGCCAGGACGCCGACCGGGTCAGCCAGCAATTGTCGCAAACCCAGTCCTCGGCTGCGAGCGCAGTCTCTGCGGCCAACTCGCGTGCTAGCGAGCAGATGGCGCGATCCTTAGAAAGCATAAGCAATCGCATAGCCAGCGCTCAGAGCAGTGCGAGTAGCGCAATAAGCCTTGCTCAGGCGGAAGCAAGGTCAAGCGCGTCGAACGCGTTGAACATAGCCGCGAGCCAAATTCAGGCAGCAAGGGCCGACGCGAGCGGGGTGAGGGTGCGTATATTGAACGCTCCAGAGTAGCCGAGTTCATATGTTGTCGTCGTCAACTAACAAACTTGACAGGGGGATGGGAATTCTACTGTAACCCAGCCGCAGTCCGACTCTATCTCGGGCACGAGTGTCGCCATAATAGTCACTGTGGCCGTGGTCGGTACCGCCATACTTACAGTCATCGCCGCGTGCTTCATCGTCCGCTATCGACGAAAGAGGAAGCGTAACCGCGAGGGCCTGACCTCAGCAATGAGCATAAACGAGAAGCAATACCAAAAACCGGTTGCAGTTCGGGGGACACCGGATAGTCCCCGTTTTACACCGTTTGGAGGCGGCAGGGGCTATCCGATGGATAACTTCAAGCTTCCGGATCTAAGCTTGAGCCCGTTCCTAAGAAAGAAGATAATCGCAGACAGCCAAAGCGACATTGGCTATGCGAAGAGCGATTATAGTGTCAAGGAGGCGCGGAGGCCTAGTAATGCATCTGGTGCAGATGCTAACGGTGTTTCTCCAACGGGCTTCAGGTTACAAAAGGATAGGAGCATCCGGAGTGCGACCAGCGTGCGGTTAATCAGAGTCAGTAGCAATAAAGGCAAGGCCAAGGAAGACGATCAGGAGGATCTACCTAGCCCAGTGGCATATTCTCCGCCCCCAATACCTGTACAGCTGCAACCCCCGGAACCACCCTCGTCAGTACGGCCGCCACCACTACCAGTCTCCGAGCCGGAGCCGGCGGTCACCCGGTCGAGCCGGATCTCGGAGCCGAATCAGCCAACATCGAGTCCCCCAAAGCGCACGACGATGACCAATCAGCAACGGCTGCGTTTCCGGGATAGCAGCGATGTGGAGTCGGCCGAGCCCACGCCGACTCTGCCTTCTCCGACCACGGTGACCACCTCGCTACGGAACACGAACACGGCTAGCCTACGGGCGGTCAGCGGCACCGGCGAGCAGCCGCCACTGCGGCGGCCCAAGAACGCCGGCGCCAGCTTCGCCACGTTCCCCCGGATCCGCAACCCGCCGCCGGGGGGGTCGGCCGCGGAGGCCATCCTGAACCGCGGGCGCACTAGCCTCAGCGGCGTCGCGGCGCGGCTGCAGGACGAGGCCGAGCGGAGGCGCCGCGAGCTCGCCGCGTTCAGCATGGGCGGCGGCGCCGGCGGCAGGGCGAGCCAGTCGGGCAAGGGCAAGGGCGCGTCCGCGGATGACAAGCCAGCTGCTCGCCCGAATTGGCCTTTTGGCGAGGGTCGAGAGTAGCCCCCATTGACGTGGCGAAGGATGGGGGTAGTTGGCCTGGAGGCAGAGGAAAGAAGTCGAAGCGTAATTAATGGCGGCGGATATACCAGCTTATGGCGGAGGCTTCTTGTTACCTACCTATTTTGTTTTGCGCACGCGAAGATACCACGACCCCGGATGGACAAGGGGTGAACACACCTGGGGACACGGCGAGAGAAGTAGGGTGGGAAACAGCAGGAAAAGGAGGAGTTATTAAAGGGGTGGGGGATATACATGGAAGGACTCGAGCGTGTGTGCTCGAACATAGGCCCCGTACCAACTAGCTAAGCACGGATTCCCTGGTTAGCTGCTCACATACCTACGTATACTCTATTACACATGTACTGCCGATCTAGTACCTACACTTCATGTCCTAATATGTATTATTACCGAGAGCCTGTGGTCGCGTGTCTCACTTACTGGACTCGGACCCCATATCTGTGCCTCTGGTGGGTTGACGCGCACACATACATACGCCTGTCCATGTTACCCATAGGCAGCCGGCTTACTGAGGCCACTAGCTGATCCCTCTATACCGCAGCCTGCGTGTTCTCTACCACGTAGCATGCGGCGACGCCGTCCCACGCGAAAGCAGGAGGGAGGGAAACATCTCCCCCTCCCCCTTGCCCCATTCCCGCTCGTCCCGTATTCCCGTCTCTCCCCCCCCCCCCTTTCCCCGGCTACGAAGCCGGGCCAGCCCACGCGACGCCTAGACACCGGGATGAGCCAGCGCGGCGAGACAAGCAGCGAGCGCGCGGGGGGGGGAAGGAGGGCGGGTTGCAGAACGAGGGGCGGTGGGTGGCCACGTGCCTAGGGGAGGCGGGAGGCGGGAGGCGGGACCGCTCGCGCCGCGCTCGAAGCGTGCGTGGCCCTCCCCCCTTGCTCTCGCTCGCTCACCCACTCCCTCTCAGTAATCTCCCCCCTTGCGTGCCGCCAGCCCAACGAGGAGGGCGGGAGAGCCGCGCACGAACGTACCTGTCGCGCCCTCGTGACCTGTTGACGAAAATGGCTCACCCGGCCGTCTGGGGAAGGGGTTGGGGGGGGAGGCAGGGCGGCGCCGGGGACCCTAGCGGGCGGGGGATGGGGATGAATGGAGACGGGGCTGGCCGGCCAAGAGGGGGTAGGTAAGACATGCATGAGGAGGAGGGGGGGGGGGGGAGGAGGAAGGTTGCTGAAGAGTGGGAGAAGGAAGGATGAGGATAAGGGGAGGCAAGGAAGGGTGCTGCTGGAAAGGGGAAGAGCAGGAGAGCAGAAGAGAGGAGAAGCCCGGCGTAGCCTGCTGGAAGCTGGCTAGCTGGCCGGCCAGTCTGGGACGAGCGAGGAGGTGAATACGTGAGTTGAGGCCGGGCAGGGCAGGCAGGGCAGGGCACGGTAGGGCAGGGGAAGATAGGCGAGGCGAGGCGATCGAGGGGCGATGGACGGGTATAGGATCTACACGCGCGAGGAAGGGGGGGGAGCAAGGAGGGACGAGTAGCCTCCTTACTACCTACCCAGCTAGCCAGCTAGCCAGCGGGCGCGGCCAGATCGTTGGGGCGTCCCGAGGTATCGGCGAGAGTGCGTTGTTATGTCTCGTATGTATGTAGGCACGTATGTATGTCTCTCGCCGCTATTGACGAGAGGCGAGACATGCCTCCCCCGCCCCATGTCGCGTACACTGGTCAGACACGCAGGCAGGCTGCGTACGGCCCTCGCTGACTGCCCGGCTACATACCAACGGAGTCATCTCGCCCCTATGCGGGCTCAGCACGCGCGGCGCGACTCCCTGTTACCGAGGACACAGCTGTGCTCCTATGCTGGCGGGTGACACCGGTACTGATATACACTAGGTGTTTATAAGCACGTATATGTATGTGTGTGCATACATAGGTAGGTAGAAATATCTGTATGGATACCCAAATAGGTAGACAGTGTCCCTGTTAGGTAGATATATAAGCATCATGTACCTATAAATGTATATATATATATGTGTGTGTGTGAATGTACGCGTGTTGTCTACCTATTAATATCAATATTCCTACCTTAGGTACCTAGATAGTCATAGTTAGAGGGTTCTCTCACATCCCGTCTATAATTATTAGTATGTGATATCCCACCCCCTTCTCGCCCAAGACAATAGCAATAAATAGATATAGGCACACTATCACCCGAGCCCACCTCGTAGCACGCCGTCAGCTGAAATCCTACAATCGGACAGGTGGTATGTGTGCTCGTGCGTGTGCTCGTGCGTATGCGTGTGCTCCAAGCACCCGTTAGGGTGGGAGCTTCCGAATCTCGATCCTACTTGGCACACGTCTACGCGGGTAGGGCCTGTCCTTGGGTGGTCTTATTTACCTTGGGTATCCTTTGCTCGCTCTCGGGCATATGTAGGGGTTGTCTGCTACCGCGTCGAGTCAACGCTGGCGACGCCGAATATGTACGCCGCTCCATCGGTGGAATCCCCCCCTCCCCCCACGGCTTTGCTGGTCCCCAAGAACGTCTCCAGAGACCGAATACAGAAACTCGAGAGGCGGGGGAGATCTTATTCTTTTGAGTGGTAAAATGGACCTCATCTGACCCTCTGTAGCATGTCACTTGCGGCTAGCATGTACTGACATGCGGGAGAGCAGTCCCACGTGCTTCACTATCACAAATACGTATCAGTTGTGAACATCGTGACACATCGCCCGCCGTCCTCGAATGCTGGAGATGCCCAAATCCCTGCCTCCCAGGTATTACCTGGGTCTGCAGATATACCTATTTTAATGCCGATTCGGTAGGCGCGTCTACAAGGCCCACCGCCGGCCAGTCTTGGTTTCAACACCCTCTATCCCATGTTGCCAACAACGCCTAGATGTATGCAAGCTTAGTATGCCTTCTTTTCGTCCAAGACGGCTAAAACGAGCAGAGTCAGAATGCGGGAGATCTTGGTGACGTCAATATTCGCTTGCTCGGTCGCAGGTGTTTTTTTTGGAGGTCTCGCCTTTCCTGTCCTGGAGGGAAGGGGGGGAAAGGGGAAATGGCAGAAAGCGACGCATCTTGATATGTGGTGCCGCGTAATAGAAACCAATATCTCGAGGCGAGATACCAACTCCAGAGCCATGATCTATGCAATTTTCCCGAATTGGACCTCGACGTAATGAATTGTATGGACAAGAAAAGAAGATGATGCGTGCGGACACGCACCCGGAAGTCGAGACTATCGAGAAGGTGTCGTGTGGTGCTCCTCGTGGTTCCCTGGACGAACACGGGGCCGTTAGGATCTATTCATGGTGGATAGTTCCAGAGCCTGTAGGAGTTCTGGCCGGTCGGAAAGAGCTTCTCTTGCTTTCGAATACGTGAACCATTGGCGTTCTCTCTTGTGTTTCTCGGGCCAGTTTTTTTCCTCTGACAAGACCGTAGCTTCGTAAAAGCGGTACAAGGATTTCGGGGCATCCTTAGAGAGCTTCTTCGGCGGGCGCGAATCAATGACCTCGCCTAGGTCATAATCGATCCGGATGACTATGCCGGCTTCTTCCCAAGCCTCGCGCTCGGCAGCCTCTGTGCATTCTTCGTCCGACTCCCAGCCTCCCTTGGGGAGGACCCAACCTTTCCGCCGAGTCGACTGGATTAACAGGACGTATGCTCTGTCCTCCGAAAGAGGCACCACTCCAGCTACTAATCGTTCACCACTCGAGTTGTACCCTGCCAGGCAAAGGGTTAGTCGGTCAACGGGGCGGGGACCCAGGAATCGCCACCCAAAGGGAGAAATTCGCGATCACGAAGAGGTAGCTGAGAGGGTCTGCAATAGACTTACGCTGTTTGCTTCTACCAGTTCGTGACTCCATCACACGGCCATTTGACGAGCCAGATGCCATCTTGGAAGCCGCCAAGGGACGAAGACGGCACGTGAAAGGGTTTAAAATCAACACCAGGTACGAGGAAAGATGACGAAATCAAGGGCCGTTGCAGCTGTGGCAAGGTCTTGAGGGGATTGCCGGCCAGGTGAAGCTGGGGTTAAGGCGGTTTACCGGAGACCGTCAAGCTGCATGATCATAGAAGATAAACGAGTCTTAGAATAGGCGAGATCGTCTAGTCGCGGTTCAAGGTGATAATCGGGTTCTCGTGATGCCGATGTTATGTTCGTACAACCTGTCCGGGGGGGGGGGGGGGGGGGTTCTCTCTTTTTTTTTTTTCAATTCGGTCCAGTTCGTACTTTATTTCCCTTCCACTTTACGGTCCCGGCGGTCCGATGTTGAGGCTCAACACACAAATTCTCCGGACTGTGATACTCCAGAATTGCGGCTCGAACAACCAAACAAGCACGGCGGACAATGAGTGGTATTGCCAAAATTATAAGTCGGTATAGACGCGCACGTCTGCACCCACGTATGGCCTCGGGCTTTTCTGAGGAAACTCGGCAGCGTCGCGGAAAGGTAGAAAAGGGGCGCGGCAGATCCGGGAGTTTAGCAGGTAGTCAAGGGAGTAGGCAGATTCAACGAGTTCGTCGCAGGAGCGGGCTGGTTGTCCCTTTTTCAGTTCTGCAACTGCGGGAGGCTGAATGCGGAGAGCTGAAGGGGCGTTTATATAGAGGCATATAAAGAGGTAAGGGGAGGCTCGGGGAGGTCAAGGGTCAGGAACGGCGCTGGTGCTTGGCCGGAGAGGACAGGGCGGACGAGTAGAAGGATGCTGACGTTGACGTCGAGCCAGTAGCAAGTCAGGAGGAGGATGAAGACGATGCTGGCTGTTCTGGCTGGACCAGTACGGCCGTTGTAAGTCTCGTGCCATAACTGCAATAAAATGGGGGGTTGAAGACAAGGGGAGAACGCAGGCGAGATGGTTTTTATAGTACTTACTCGCTCATTTTTTTAATTCTAAAAAAGAGATAATTAAGATAATAATAAAAAATACAACTTAAAAAAAGGAGTTAAAAAATAAGGAGCCCCCAGCTACCTAGACGAGGAGCCGCCACGGTGTCGACCAGGGGAGCAAAGAGGCAAGCCTCCCAAGCTACCTAAGGTTGGTAGGTACAACCATCCTTTAGGTTGTCAGATGCAGGGCCCAGGAGCGAAGTACCTGAGGGTACCTCGCACCGTAGCTGGGTTGGCCTAACTCCGTAGCATGCCCACAATGTACCGCTTGGTGTGCCGCTCCTGGTGCCCGGGGCTGCTAGCAGGCTTGTGCGCGACCCCCAGGTTGTACATGGGTACATGATTGATGTACAGTTTCACACCTGCACATGCCTTGAGAGGTACCTAGGTACATACATTATGTACATAAAAAAGGTACCTACCTGCAGAGGGCAGGCAGCTTAGGAGGTAGTTGCGCAGCTTCGCGTTTGGCGAGGCGGCCAGGCCAGAGCGTGCGGAGACAAGAACAATAAGAGAAAGAGGCGACTAAGAAAAGGGGGTGGAAAAAAAAGAAAGAAATATAAAAGAAAAAAAAGGGGGGGGGGGAAGGAGGGGGAAAAAGAGAGAAAAGAAAAGGCGAGAAACAGAGGTAGTAAGGCAATCCATACAGCTTCCCCTGTAGCTGTAGGACGAGGCCTCAACACCAGACACCAAGACGCACGAATAACCTACCTGCCTACATATTGAAACCTAGCCAGGTAACCCACGAGGACGCAATAATGCAGTAACTTACGTAGGTAAGCCAGTAAGATAGCCCGGGCTAACCTACCTTTCGTGGTTTAACGTGCCATATTGGCGCGCTTGGGTTGGTGGCCGACCACGCCTCGGTGCCGCATGCAAGACGTGGTTTTGCTGCTCTTCTTTGTTGAAGACCGCCGACATATATGCGTATGTACGTAGGTATGTACACGCTGCGCGGGACAGGTACAGGGTGATGGCCGGGATGCCCAGAGGGGGGTGGGCCAGAGGGACCCAAGCAAGGCCCAGTGACTTGTGGCCACGGGCACCAGGGCCGGAAGCTGTCGAGTTTGCCCGCTGCCGGCAGGGGGCTCTTTTTTTTTTCGTCGTCAGGACGTGCGAGTGACGAAAGTGGAGGAGAAAAGCAGAGAAGGAAAAATTTTCCTCGAAAAGTACCATAGAAGAGCCCAGTCCTGTCGCGCCTCGATATCCGCATGCTACACCCAGGTTTTACATACCTTAGCCAACCGAGGCAGTGGGTGTAATGGGTGAGTGGAGGGTATCTACGTACGTGGTATCAGGTTTACCTCGAATCTGCCTTGAGACGGACACACCCGTAGATGCATGTGCTATAAGGAGGCACGAAACCCGCTTATCGAAGGTGGGTAAGACGTGCGATGTTAGGGGCCTACTCTCATTCGGTCGATACGGCCCACTAGCGACAGGTACCTCTCATGGCACGAAGGGAGCAGGTATGCACACAGCTACTTCTGATAGGCAGGTTAGGCACCCGAGCTATACTCTAGGACGACGCCCACGGCGAGCGCCGGCGAGCATCATATCACAAGGGTACCTAGATTACCTTACCTGAGGTCCACTCGCTCCTCTTGTGCTGTGTTGTACGTAATAGACCCGTTGCCTTAGCCGTCTGTTGCTTCACCCCCGGGAGATCTTGGAAGCAAGTAGGGTTCGCTCTCCCACCTTAACCGAAACGACCGCCTTTGCAGCTGAGATATATTTGTACCTCCCTCCCTTATGTTAGGTACTTACCTTCCTGAGCCAGGGATGCGTAACCTCCATGTACCACCCCCGAGGACCGCCGTCCCTTCGGAAATACGTGTAGGGCCGTGTGCAAAATGATACTGCTTCCGATCCCCCACGTACCCCACACGGAGGTTGGCAGACAAGGGAGGAAAGTGCTTTGAAATACATAGGCATAGGCACGTCCCCCCTGCGTGTACATCGGGGGACTCTGGGCAGTGTCTCGTCTGCTGGCACCTATAGGTATTATTAGCTGCCTCAGCACCCTGATCTCATAGCTCACATTACGTAGTCGGCATCGCGTTTGGCTACATGCCGAACCCAGAGGGTGTGCGAGCTTGGTCTGGGGCCGACACCTTTGTCTGCTAGCACCTATGTGCAAAAGGACCTAGTCTGCCTTATCCCCGATGTACCTAGGGACAATGCAATTCGGAGTAAACGAACATCCAAGACCGACAAGTAAACCACCCGCACACGCCTCTAATAACCGCTCGTAGGGCCTCGCTGTTTAGGGTCCTCGTGGGTTGGGATTGTCGGTGCGGGTTTGAATGTATTACCGTGTCCGATTCCGTGGATTTTCGTCATGTGCAACCCATCTGGCCCCCAGGTCTTCTTTTCACCTATGGCGGTACGGCATTGCTCGGTTTGTGTGTATTACTCGCATGTATCTGTTGCCATTGGACTTGAAATGCTACCTCTCTTTGGGAGCATAACTGCTTTTACCCGATAGGATGGGCGACCGAGCGAGCATACCTACCTACCTAGGTAGGTACGAGCATACCTATACCTCATACCTCTGGCAGGTATCTCCCTCCTTGAGGTGCGTCGAAGGTATGTACCTAGGTACCTGCCTTCTACGTGTTGAGTGATTTAGGTAGATACCTAGGTAGGTAGGCGCCTAGGATATTCTGCTTCAAGATATACCCGTATGCCTGCCCGCCCGCCTGTCTGTATGCCTCTAAGTACATAGGTCAGGTACGTACGTATATACCTAACCTCCATAATGGAGGTTAGATCAGTAGGCTACTTGATGAAGGATAGGCTCGATTCCTAACAGCGCTACTTGGTAGTCTTCGTTCTTTAGCTCATCCAGGTTAAAGGTGTCTTATGTAGGTAGGTAGGTATGACAGGTACCCTCCTATACGTACCTAGGTACCTAAGGTGACCTTCCTTGGGAAGTAGGTAGGTACCTAGGTAGGTACCTACCTCTATCTCCTATCTAATTCGGATCCGCCCCCTCGTCTGCATCCTGCCGCCGATCAACCCGTTTTCCCAGTCTGAGTTCGACAAAGGGACGCCGCGGCGAGGAACCGCCCTGCCACCGGGTTGGACCACGGGATATTACCTTACCGGGCACGTATTGGTGTATGTAGGTAGGTACCTGACTTACTGCGAAGGCGTAGGCGCCGAACATGCATATCGACACATCCGTCTCCGCTGGCTTCCCTACTGTCCGTCCAACCACCCACCCATCCATCCGCCCGTCTACCCACCCATCATCAACTCACTCACACCCATAACGAAACTGCAAAGACAGTTCAGCGTCTATCTACTGCGGCACCTGCATATGTATAGCGACGACATCGAATGCTAGGGTAGGGAGGCGAGCGAGGGTGAACTACTAGAGCGGCGGGATGGACCCCGGTTTGGTGGCGTATCTTCTGAGCATCTCGCCGAGATCCCATCTTTTCCGTTTCCTTGTCCTCGCCGAGATCCCATCTTTTCCGTTTCCTTGTCCTCGCCCATGCGATGCCTGGGTGACCAAGGTACCTCCCACGTACGTACATACCTGCGCAGGCATGCCGATAAATCCTCCCGTTCGGCTTCCTCGACACCCAGCCCCAACCCTTCGATGGGCGTTCAAGTACCGAACTACTCGGCCCTTTGGGTTTTGTCATATGTACGTAGGTAGGTAGGTAGGTATATACTCGGCATCCCGTTTGCATTAGGTACCTGCCTACGTCGGTTGCCGGCATCCAAATATCCTATTGGGATCGAGGATGCGGGAACGTCAATTACGTATCTGCATTTACATAATGCTTCTTTAGGGATATTCTAGAAAGGCCGCAGGCTTCCAATGAGGCGCCCCTGTTCTCGGAGCCCCCTATGAGTAGATACATCTACCTACCTACTTGAGGTAGGTAGGTAAGTACCTAAGGTAGCATACATAACCTACATACATGTGTGTGTATGCGCGCAGTCACGATTGACGGCACTTGCTCTGCTCCATACATCTGTATTGGACAGATATCTCAGATGCCTCCCTGCCTAACCAACCTTGCATAGCACGCGCAGTGTAGCGTTGATGGGCAGAGCAGAGATATATCGGAAATCCGTCACCAGAGGATGTGGACGCCTCACTGCCTTTTCCAGCTTCCTACGCGACAGAATCGCATTGAGCGGCAGATGGTGCAGTGGCAGGCTGCTGATCCGGACTGATGAATCGACACCCAGATTGATTATACGACGAGTTGGGCTGTACAATTCGTCATAACACCTGCATACTGCCATGCAGTCCCTTCCCTATAAGGGTTACCTATATATGACCGACTACTGACGGCTGTTGCCTGCCTGCCTGCCTATTCCTACGTGCACGTAGGTCACGTACCTAAGGTAGGTCTAGGTAGGTACCTACATCGAAACGGAAGGGGTACCTGCGAAGCCCGCTCGAATACGTACCTGGAACCGAGTGCAAGCGGATCGAAAGTACTGCCGAGCCTCCCGTCCTCGTCGCGTTACTTGTAAACACACAGCGCAAAGTAAGCAGTACTCGGACTGCAGGTATCCCGCAGAGGGAAGTTTAGCCCACGAACGTAACCCACGAACTTCATGCTGGGCTCCACCTACCACGTAGAGTAATCAATGCTGCCTCTGGTAGGTAGAGAGCAAGAACGCTGAGTAACCCAGCCTGAGTAACCCGAGTAAACCTGCCTGCGTGTGGATTCCGCTCCGACTTCCCCCAATTGCTTAGCTAACCGACGGGGAGAGGTCAATTGGCTGAGCTCTCTCTCTCCCCCCCCTTCTCTCTCGCTCGCCTACTTACCACTTGTCGTATCATAGCCAACCGATCTAGAACCCGAGGCGAGGTCTCGCTCGCCACCGCAGCCTCTGCCGCATCCATAGATAATCAATCGACATTCCTCGGAGCCTACCTTGCTATCTACCTATCTAGTTGGTTCGGGCGCCCGCCGATCTAAGCGTTTGAAGAAGCGTCAGCCACCACCAACACCGGCGCTGCCGCCGCGTACAAATACATATTCTTGGAAATGTAGGTACCTCGCGATCCGTCTCAACCCATCCCAGCTTGTCCCGGCCCAGCCCAGCTGATCCCGGCTCCCACCTCCCCTCCTTACACATAGCGAACCCGGTGCAGCGAAGCAGCAGCAGCAGCAGCAGCAGCAGCAGCATATGCGTGAGTCGTTTGTCGTCTGACCTCGACCCGACCTCGACCTCGACCTCAACCTCGTCTCGGCTCGGCTCGTCTCGTCTCGACACCGACTCTTCCTCTGCTCTCGCGGCGATCCACCCGACCTAGCCTGCCACCGATTCCACCGCGTATGTCGACCGTCCCTTGCCACTACTACCTGCGTGCGCGCGCACGCGCAGTCCACTGACAAACCCCCTGCGCGCCTGTGCCGTCTTTCTCTTCGAGTCCAACTGTCTGACCGTCTTAGTCTAGCCACCACGGAGATGCAGGCCACCCCTGACGATACGTTCTTGTATATAACGCCAATTGGTGAGTTGGATCGCTGTCCTCAACCTCATCAACCCCAAACTTTTTTTTTTCTCTCCCACGCGCCCTCGACCAACCATTGGGACCCGTGCGGCATTGAGAAGCTATCGTTGGCCAGCTAGTTTGCATGTGGATTTTATGGGGAATCACACACACCATAATATCCAGAGCGCTATCTTGGAGCGCCTCATCGTTCCGGACGGGCCATCCAGAGCAGAGAGGCCGAGCGAGAGGGAGAGGCGAGGGGGCGGCGTGTGAGTGCACAGCGTGTGTGGTGCTAGTACGTACGAGACGATAGGCGAAGAAGGGGGGGGGGGGGGTGAGTGAAATGAGAAATAAGTACTTTCTCCACGCCTCGAGTCGCCGATGCCAAGCAGGTGTTTAAGACCAAGCTTCAGCCACAGCCTCACAACAGCTTACTGCCTCGTGCGCGCCTGAACTTCACCAACCGTGCCACCGCTGCTTCTCGTTACCAGCCTGCTGACCTGCCGTCACGTATTATGTCAAACCCTCCTCGCGCGTCGCGTGTTCTCGACTCCCATGTGTCGCGGAATGCCGAGAGAACCACCGTTCTGTTACTCTCACCCGCTTGGTGGGATGAGAGTGCCAGGCATGGTCAAGCGATCAGCTGTGATAATTATCATCTTCTCGACCGTCTCCTTTTCAGCCGCATTCGAGGATTGAGCCCTTGCTCGCGATGTCAAAAGTAGACATTCCGTGACTGACCTGTTTAAGGCTATAGGAAATCACTTAACTGCGGCTACTGCCGAACCCCAGGTTCTGGTGAGTCTCAAACGCGTCTACTCGACCTTTCCGGTGCCCCTTTGTGTTCCCGTGAATTTCTGCGAATGCGCCCTTCCACTGGCGCTCAAATGGTTGGGGTGCGCCGGGTGCGGCTACTGTCGTGTCATTGTCCGAGACGATGCTCTCTGTAGCGTTCTATAAGGACAGAGGCTCTCTCTCTATCCCACACACATGACGAGCTTGGGAGGCCGTGATATGAGCGAGGGTTGACTTTTATCTGCTCCCCAGGCCATTCCTACTTTGCACGTTCGTCATCTATGACCCCAGCCACCTACCAGACTTTGATCGATCGGTGCTGGAGGCGGTCCGGATCACTTCTTTACAAGACAAACCAACGGGATGCTTGCTGCCCACCCTATACTCTTCGTGTCGACTCCAGCCGCTTTCGGGCAGGGAGGGATCAACGGCAGGCCGTCAACCGCTTCAACAAATACGTGATAGGCGATGCCTACGCAAAGGTAGCCGCTCGCCTTTATCCAAAGTCACGCGAGCAGGCTAGGAAGCGGGATACCGAGTTCGACTTGGTCGAAAGAATTCATGAGAGCGAAGCTAGAGTATTGAAGCAGCCGCCTGCGCCTGCCCACACTTTTACCGTCACCCTGGAACCTGATGATTTCACCGAGGAGAAGTATCTCTTATTTGCGAACTATCAACAAGTTGTCCACCGAGAAGCTCCCTACTCTACCACTCGTTCAGAGTTTAGGAGGTTTCTCTGCCGCTCGCCGCTGAAGCAGCAACAATTTACGGCGCCTGACGGACGGCAGCGTCAGCTGGGCTCCTTCCATCAGTGCTACCGACTTGACGGGAAACTGGTAGCGATAGGCGTCCTGGACCTTCTTCCTGATTGCGTCAGTGCCGTCTACTTTCTATATCATGAGTCCATCCACAAATTCTGTCCGGGGAAGCTCGGAGCTCTTCAAGAGATAGCACTGGCTATAGAAGGAGGCTATCGGTATGTATTGAAGAACCTCTTTTGCCGGGGACTGGGGGTCGGTTCCTTTCTTTCCTCACCCGATCTCCACGATGTCATTGCCCCTTTCCGCCGAATGCTTCATCCCCGCATCTAGACGAGTGCCGCCACCCCCTACTTTGACATAGGACCGGTTGCGTAGCAAACCCGCAGACCTCGATGCTAACATGGGAGTAGATGGTGGTATCCCGGCTTTTATATCCGCACGTGTCCTAAGATGAAGTACAAGATGGATTTCTCGCCACAACAAATCCTTAATCCAGACACCCTGGAGTGGGTAGACGTAACTCAGGACATCCTCAGCAAGTTTGACAACCAGGGTTACTTAGATTTTGGTAAGAACGGAGACGGCACGGAAGGGGCTACTACGCTGCCGGAAGTTAGGGGCAATGCCGACAGAATGTCAGGTGTTAAGGACGATGAGAGCGACGAGGAGGCGTCCCTATTCCACAGCAATATGCCGGGGATTCCATCGCTAGAAGATATGAGCTCACTCGACTTGGATCGCCTCTTTACGCGTCTCAACTCAGAATGCTGTTATGCCGTCGACCTATTCGATTGGCACGACGAAAGCATCCGCGACAAGAGTACGACTAAGGCAACGGTGGCAGAGCTGGTGGCAGCTGTCGGCCCGGAGTTTATGGATATTATATGTCTGGACTTCGATAACCCTAGAAGAGACTCAGAGTCCTAGGGGTCGGGGTCGGGCACGTATGTGTCACCGGGCAGAATGTTATATGCCGTCGCTTTTATTCGAAGATATTCCGACCAAGTCAAGATCGTGGCCTCGAATAGTGGGCTAAAGTGGCATCAAGGCACTAAGCTGCGAGAGCCTTATATATCCAATTCATGTGCTGAAGACGGTTCCCCCTCCTGGGCGCTTGACATCTATGATCATCACCCCATGTCTAAATTAGGTACGAAATGCTTTGCAGAAACTACCTCCTATCCGTCGAGCCGCTCTCCCTGCGGTGGTCACGACGCCAAGGTCTCCATAGCTTCGGGCACTTTCGCGACAAAATCTGCCGTCATTTCTGACCAAACTTGTGCCTGCACTCTCCTACCGGCTTTGCTACCCAGGATTGCCTTTGCTTGCCTTACTTCAAGGTTAGCGAGGCAAATAATGCGGATTTGCCCTCCGCAAGAGAGGCCACTCACCTTTGGTATTCGGCTTCCGAGCCGTAAAATCGAATAAACTTGCCCTACGTAGTGAGATCACAGATGACATTAGTGAGTCGAGCGCATACAGAATCGTGGGTAGTTTGTCTCGATGAAAGCTAATTTAGGCGGCAAGTTTAACTGCGAGAAGGAGGATGGAAAACAAAATAAAGCAAATGAAAAGGGGGCGTGGGGTTTGCATACATGCTCGCTCTCCTTGGTCAACCCGACCGCTACGTAGGTCCTCGCACCATCCGACGTCGACTTGGCGAAGAGCCTAGTGAAGACGGAGACGCCGATCGCCAGGAGGCGACCCTTGTCTACGTAGTGCCTCAATAGGTCCGACTTTACGATGCCCGGGCACGTCGTGTTTACTATTACCTCAGGGCTGAAGAGAGTGTTAGCCAAACAAGCGTCACCCACACACGTAAACTTGACAGTGACGTTGGTCTCGACCGTCATAGCCTACCACCGCTAAGAATATCAGAAACTGACCGTCCGTCCGGCCCTAGCGCCATCTTCGCGAGCTCCTCGACGGCGAGGTGGACCATGAGCTTCGTTGCGGCGTACATAGCGTCTGCGCTGGGCCAGTTCTCGGGCCGGTTGAGGTGGCGTAGGATACCGCCCTCCTTGCCCGCGATCCAGCTCTCCCACTGCTGGACGTCGGGCTCGAGGTGCCGGCCGGAGGTGACGATGGCCAGGTGCGCGGGGGCGGCGCGGTGGCGGCGCTCAGCCTTCATGCGCGGCACGAGGAGCGCGGCGAGGAGCGCTGTGCTGAGCGCGTTGACCTGGATGTTCTGCTCCCTGCGCGACCGCCGGCGAGCGGCGAGTAAGCGACGACACACAGAGAGGGGGATAGGAATAGGAGGGCAGGGACGGGTAGGCGGGCGGGCGGGGGAAGCAGGCACGTCGGGATTCCCCTCTCTCTCTCTCTCGTGTACTCACCAGCCCTCGGCCGCGAGCGCGAAGTCGGTGCCGGCGACCCCCGCGTTCAGCACGACGTAATCGACGCCGCCACGGCCGCGGCGGAGCTCGGCGACCTCGTGCGCGAACGCAGCGACGGAGGCGTAGCGCCCCATGTCGAGGTCGACGACGCGGACCTTCCCGCCGCCGCCGCCTTCGCTGCTGTTACCGTTGGCGGCGGCAGAAGGGCCCGGCCGCGGCCGTTTCTCTAGCGCCGCGAGCGCGCGCTGCGCGCGCCCAGCGTCGCGGCTCGTGATGACGACCTCGTCGGCCCCGAGGTCGAGGAAGTGCGCGGCGGCTGCGAGCCCGAGGCCGCTCGTGCCGCCCGTCACGACGACGACTTGCCCCGCGAAGGTGCCCGCCGGCGGCAGCGCGATCGGGAAGTGCTTCCAGTAGGCCTGGCCGAGGGTCTGGATAACTATGCCGGTCATGGTGTAAGCAGAGATAGGGGTTAGTGTGCGGCGAGATGATAGGGGGTTATGCGAGAGATAGGAGGACAGCGGCGAGGCAGATATATGGACAGATGGATGGTGCGGTCGTCGTGGTCTAGCTTACAGAGGCACCGCGAAGGAAACGCCGCCTTATAAGTCGCAGTGCCTACGATATTCGCAAACGGCGACGTCGAGCTAGCTCCGTCCACGACTCCATCGCGAGAGAAAGAGAGAGACTGCTTACACGATCACGCCGGAGAGTTTCCTGCTACAATTCTAGAACGCTTGCTAAGCGAAGGGAGACACGATATAGCTGAAAGTCGGTATACACGACAGGGGAGAGATCCTATCAAGTTAAGTAGGCTTGCCTGTTGCGCCGACTTTAGGGCGCTATTCCCAGTCGCGCTCTATAATCGGCACTACGTTGCTCCGTCGGGACATCCCTATTTCTGGGCGTCTGTTTCCTCGCAATGCCGCGCATTGGACGAGTCACACGTAAACAAGTATCGAAAAGAATAGAATAGTCTGGCCTATCCTTTCACTCGGGCGACGACGATACCCCGAATATGCGCTTCGCTGCCTTGTTAGGATCTGCTCTGGTGGGGTCCGCGAATATCGTCTATCGCCGCACGGATTTTCATCCCGCTAAGAAGCAAGGCGAACGAGAATAATATAGCCCCCCGAGGTATGTCGGAGCGAGCGTTATTGTTATTATAATTGTTATATTATTTTCGGTGACAAGTCGATGTCTCCAGCATCGTTCGCGGTCTACCAACTCATGTGATGTTGCGACGGAAAGGAGATAGGTAAGGAGATTACTCATATTCAGGAGATTAGCGGACTGACCCATTTGGCCACGCCCCGCATATTGGGTATTCCTTTAAACGTGTGGAATTCTGAGGTTTAAAGCACTATCGATAACACGTGCACTTAAGCCTCAGAAAACGTTAGCCCCACCTACAAGCTTTGGCCAATCAACCCCTCCCGTACAACCTGAATCTCTTCCAGCTCCCAGCTTCTTTTTTCCCCCTTGCAAAAAGTAGAAGCTCCCATCTCCTCCTTCGAGGCTGCTTAAGGGCCCGCTAGTAACGGGGACAGAGGGAATTCATCGAAGGCTGGATCCTCGCCTAAAAATTGATCTTCTAATTCCTCGTTCTCCTAATCTCCACCCCTCCTCGCTAGACCGGCCTGCCTACCTATCTTACCTACCTATCTACCTACCTACCTACCCCATTCCGCCGACCCGACCGAGGCGGTCTTCGATACCGTCGCCGCGTCCCGCCCCGTCGTCCGTTAAGCCACCCGCCTACCCATCTACCAAGCCCGTGGAAACCTAGAACTGGTCTAGGGGGAGCAAACAAGGGTTGCTGAAAGAAGAGAGAGAGGGAGAAAGCAAGACAGGGGAAGAAGGGAGGGGCCACGATGTCCTCGACGGCGCAGCACCTGCTGCTCTCGCCGGCCGAGCTCGCGTACCTGCACGCGTCGCTGGCGCTCTCGCCGCCGGTGCGCCCGGACGGCCGGGGGCCGGCGCAGTTCCGGCCGCTGTCGGCGACGGGGGGCGCGCTGCCGGGCGCGTACGGCAGCGCGCGCGTGTGCCTGGCCGACGGCACCGAGGCCGTCGTCGGCGTCAAGGCCGAGGTCGAGCGGTCGCGCCTGCCCGCCTCCGCCCTCCTCGAGGTCTACTACGAGAACAAGGAGCTGCGGCAGCGGGCGAGGGCCGGGCGGGGCGAGGCCGGCGGCGGCGACGACGACCCCGAGCCCTCCCCCGTCAGGGGCCAGAGCGACTGGCTCGAGGTCTCCGTCGACATCCCCGGCTACCGCGACGACGACAGCGCCACCGTCTTCCTCGCCAGCATGCTGAGCGAGGCCCTCCTGGCCGACGGCGAGTTCACCAAGAAGCTCTGGATTAACCGGCGCTTCCACTGGAAGCTATACATAGACGTGGGTCTTTTGCCGCTTTTTTTTACCTTTTTACACGTCTCATACCCTCGGGCGCCATACATGGCAACAACAGCTACGAGTATTCGCTCTAGCTGCAGCTGTAGTTCCCTATCACAAGGTGGATAAAAGGAGGCTAACATGCGCGTCGGAATAGATCATCCTAATTTCCCCGCCGTTATCGTACCCGCTGCCCCTCCTCAGCCTAACAACCCACCTCGCCCTCCTCTCCACACGCCTACCCCGGCTGAAGTCTGAAGCCGACGAAGACCCCATGTTCGACGACGACTGGGGCGTGTCCCAGTTCATCTACCCACGAGCGGGCGGCAGCGGCAGCAGCTCCTACGCAGCCACGACAACGGTTGGTCCGAGGCCGCCCCTGACGCTGCTCGTCATGGCCGTCGGCGACAACATCATATTCGACCCGTCGAAGGAGGAGCTTGCCGTCGCGGACTGCGCGCTTGCCGTCTCGGTCGGCGAGACCGGAGAGCCCGCCGACGACCCGCACGACTCCATGGACGTCGACGTGAGCGCGGGAAGTGGGGTCAAGACGCGGCGGAAGCTGCGGCTGCTCTCCGTGCGGACGATAGACCCGCCGTCGCGGCTGACAGCGCCAGGCGTCCCCAACTCGGTCAACGCGGCCGCGTGGGGAGGGGCGCAGGGCGGCGGTAGCGGCACACCCTCAGTCCGGGATCCGGGCGCGAAGGCGGCAGATACGGACGACGTCGAGGGCGTATGGAAGGCGCCCCGGGGGGGGGCGAGGGTCTCCATCCTCGGCGCCATGGTGCAGAAGGTGCTCGAGAGGGGAGGCGTCGTGGACGAGGTCCTGGAGAGTCTAGAGAGCGTCGACCTGGAATAGATTCGCACGTAATAGAAAATGACGATGAGATACCACTTTGAATGAATTTCCGAGGCCTCCTCGGCCCTGTCTCCGGTCCCACACGTATTACCATTCGGTCCTACCCATCCTGTAGTAGAATATTGCGTGCTAAGTCATGTGCTACATACCGGCGGCTACTTACTCTCCGTCGCGCAGCATCCCCTCTCCGTTTAAAAGATACCGAAGTACTTCTTGCGCTTCCCGTCCGGCGTAGCTTCGACGGGCGCCGCCTCGACGGGCGCAGCAGGGGCCGTCTCGGGGGCTTCGGCGGCCACCTCCGCAGCAACCGGCGGTAGTGGTGGCGGGGGCGGCTCCTGGGCAGCGACGGCGGCGACGGGGGATCCGACGTCGGCGGGGTCGGCGGGGGCGGCGGGGGGCGCGGGGCCGGGGGTTCGGATCTCGCCGGCGCCGCCGAAGAAGCCGCGGGTGGCGGGCTCGAGGCCGTGGGCGCGGCGGTACTCGTTGCGCTTGAGGAGGTCGTCGGCGCGCTGGCGGCGGGTCTCGCCGGCGAGGGCGGCCTGGTGCTGCTCGTGGAGGCGCAGGGCCTCGAAGGCGAGGCGGGCGTAGGCGAGCGGGTCGCGCGGCAGGTCCGCGAGCGGCGGCACCATGTCGGCGTACGGCGACGTCGCGCGGAAGTTGGCCGCGAACGTGTACACGGCGAGCGAGCCGAGGGTGCCCTGCGAAGGGGGGGGGGGGGGGGAAGGTTTCGCACGCGGTGTTAGCGGGAGTGCGCGAGCGAGAGAAAGGGGGCAGGGGAAGGGGCAGGGGCGGGGGCCCGCACCAGCGTGATGCACAGGTGGATCCCCCGGCTGTGGATGAACCGGTGCGCCCACGTGTTCGGCGGCGGCGGCAGCCCCGGGTACGACCGCGCGGCCTGCGCCGCGACCTCGTCGGCGCCCGGCGCGCCGCCGTAGTGCCGCGGCGTCGCCCGCGGCAGCCGCGCCCCGTGCGACGGCGGGTTGAAGCGCTCCGGCTTCTCGAGCACGAGCGGCTTCGCGGGGTCGGCGGCGGGCGCGGGGTCAGCGGCGTGCGCAGGAGCGGGGCGCGCGGGGGGTGCAGGCGCCGCCGCCGCCGCGCCGCCCGAGGGCTTCGCCGCCCCCTTGGCCGCCGGCTTCGTCGGCGGTGGCTTCGTCGGCGGCGGCTTCGTCGTCGGCGCCGAGGACCGCGCTGCTTTGGCAGCGGCCTTCGCGTGGGCGCCCCGCGCGGGCGTCGAGCCGCCGGCCGGGCACGCGCGGCGCACCGCCGCCAGCAGCGCCCCGCGGCGGGCGAAGGCCGGGGCGCGCCACAGCGCGCTGCAGCCGGGCACGGCGCGGGAGGCCGTCGTGGATGCCATCGTGGCTACGGGCGAGCAGGAATGGGGAGCGGTGGTGGCGAGGAAGGAGGACTGGGAGGGGGAAGAAGAGAAAATCCGCGCCGCGGTCCGGCGGATCGGCCTGGTGGGTTTGTCCTTAGAGCGGTATTCTGGTATCGATTAGAGTCTCTCGAGATAGGTAGGGGCTACATCTCAATGCAGCATCGCGCAGTTGGCGTTGCCGCAATGGGGGGTGGGCGAATGAATGAGTGAGCGAGTTGTCGGAATTCGATAGCATCCGGGGCGGGATCTTACGATGCCGTCCCCTCCCTCTCGCAGTCGCGGCCTCGTTTTTTCTTCGTGCTTCGTTTCTCCGCTAACCCCAATTGCCCAGTCGCCCCTCCTAACGTATTGCTAATGCAAAACCCCGGGGGGGCGTTGATCTTATCGGTGGCTCGGGTCGGCGGTGGCCGGGTGGGTTTCCAGGGCTAGCGGCCAAAGGTTAATCAGCCCGCCGGAACCAAGCGTGCGTCTGTGCCAGGTTTGAACGTCATGTTCCTCGAAAATTTTCGCAGCTGCTTATGACTTACCTGCACAGTACTTGCTGGGTACTTCCTGCGCTTGACAAACCGAGCTTCTTCCGCCCGTCCGTCCCATGCCCCAGGCAGACCCCGGCCCCTCTCGTTATGGACCCCGACGAGCCATCGCCCCGTCCGACGCCCTATTCTACCGTGTACCTACGTGTATAATTTTGGCTGTTGGGGTACGTAGTGGCGTTAACTAAGGCGCTAGGTGGCCTCCTGCTAGGGGCCGTGCCATGTAGGTACCACATATGTACCGCACACGTAGGCCGTATACCTATGTATGTACATATGTACGTAGTTGTGTTAGCCACCAGTTGGCGAGCCGAGCCCGGAAAAAAGAGGGAAATTCCCCACTTAGGTAAGTACCTGGCCCGAGCTTCGCGTAGTCCGGCTTTCCCCGGGAACGTATTACTTCTGTCGACATCCTATTGGCTGGCGCACCTGGCGCACGAGCCACATTGTGGCTCACGTTTTCGTGCTGGTTGTGAATTGTTCGGTCGGCGCTGAGCTCATCGTTTTTTTAAAAGTCCAGCTTGCGTCCATTTTCTCTTTTTCCTCCTCTCCTTCCTCTCCTGTCTCCAGCTTCTTCTTTTTTTTTTTCCTTGCGACGGCTTCTCCCTAGACGACCACCTCTTTCGTTATACACTCCGGCAGCCTGTCTGCGTAGAACTTGTGCGCTTAATCAGTAATACTCCTCGCTCTCTACCGCCTACCGCCACCCCCCACACACTTCGACAAAATGCCTTTCGCTCCTGGTAGGTTTTGCCGCTCGTCTCTCTGCTCTGATCCCGTCTGGTGACGAGGTGGTTCGCCACGGCTACCCGTACCCATTGTCCCACCACCGCTGCTTGCACGACCGCGATGAGCGCCCACGCGATGCCGGGTCCCCAGATTCCACGCATCCGGCACCCGTGCTTGTGCCTAGTAGGAGGTTGCGACAGGGTTCCTCGACGAAGGCAGCATGCGCCATTTAGCAAGTTGCGCCGCCAACCTGCCACCTACGCAGCCGCACACAAACCAAAATGAGGCGCAGATTGCTCCATCCCGGCGCGGCTCTGGTTCTCGGCCTAGCTGATGTCTACGTTGTTCGATTTTTGCCCAACTTGGACCTGGCTGACACCGCCGTCCCTTAGGTGACTCCAAGAAGGGTGCGGGCCTCTTCAAGACCCGGTGCGCCCAGTGCCACACGCTGGCGGCGGGTGAGGGCAACAAGGTCGGCCCTGCGCTTCACGGCCTGTTCGGTCGAAAGTCTGGCCAAGTCGAAGGGTTCTCCTACACGGACGCCAACAAGCAAAAGGGCGTTACCTGGGAGGAGAGCTCGCTCGTAGGTTGCCTCGCTCTGGAGCCGTGCCCGGGCCATTTCGCTGACCCCCCCGTCTAGTTCGACTACCTAGAGAACCCGAAGAAGTACATCCCCGGTACCAAGATGGCGTTCGGCGGTCTCAAGAAGGAAAAGGACAGGAATGACCTCATCACGTAAGTTGCGAATGACGACGGCCGCACGGCCGGGACTGGCGTGCCCGTACTAATGCTGTTCTGCAGGTTCATGAAGGAGGCGACGGCGTAGACGACGATTACGAGACAGACGTGTACCAATACCATCGCATAGACAGGAACCGGCCCGTTGTGTATTTATAGACTACTAGACCGTGGTGGGCGCCGCTACGGGCGCGGACTTACATATCCATCTCCTCTTTTTTTTTACAACGGCGTGTATGCGGTCAAAAAGAATGCTGGGATTTTCAGGCTTCTTGGCCCCCTCCCGGAGGCTTGGAAGATAGACTCTTTACTCATCGACAGCAATCAACATTTATGCATATTCCCAGAGCTATTACGACCTAATGAAAACCAAACCACAATACCTACATGCACACACACACATATATACCTATGCACAACTCCTCTCTAGATGGACGCGGTGCAACCGATGCGACCCCTTTGTCCCGTCTCAGGTGTCTGCTGCCAATGCGACCGTATCCCTCTGCAAGCCCTCTCCCTGCGGCGATCTCTCGGTAGTCCTTTTTTTTGTGTGTGTACCTGCTTGGTGTTGGAGACGTCCCGAATCGGCGCGGATGACGTGTGAGGATGCGCAGCGGAAAGGCATCGCAAGGCACTGCCTTTTTTTTGCCTGATCCCACGCTAGGGCGTATTATAGATGAGGACTACCCCCGAAGGGCTTATTCCAAAGCCTTTAACTCCGACCACCCCCAAATGTCTTGGCATTTCTATGGTGTTGCGTATTATCTATAACGTAAGCGCTTACATTCTTCGACTTATGGAATACAGGCTTATGAGGTAGGGTTCCTTGCGCAACACAGAATCAGTAACATAACGACTAAAGTAACTGAACGTTACGAATCAGTTATTAGGCTTATTCGTTACAACTAGCAGTCTATGTCCACCGCCTTATACCAGGACTTCTAATCATACTAGCTATTATCAGGGAACTAATTCATCCACAGTTACTACACATTGCAACGAGGACTGCACTCATATAATCTCGGAATATTTTTTTTCGCGAGACACCCCCGTCGTCTCTAGGATTATATTCGTGCCACGAGCGGGTGTCGAAGCCTTTTCCACCGGTCTTTCTCTGTTAAGTCACTCCTTCTGCACGGATATTACGTTAACATCCGTTGGGATTCCCGGGCTATGTGTAGACCATCGGCGCGTTGGCCCGGCATGCGTCCCCGTATGAGACACCCTTGGGGTTAAGCCATGCCTTAAAAACGATCTAGATTGTTGGGGACTTTGTTACTCAAACTCTGACGTTGGGGGCTACGTAACTGAGTTCAACACCCATATATATTCGCTTTCTTTCCTTCTAATATTCGTTGTCAGTCAATTCAGAGCTTCCTGTGGTACCTGCCGTTACGCTTCCTACCTGTGATTTCGATAAGTCCATCCATCATGGCTGCTGCGTCTCTACCTACTCCCACGGCGCATATTGTCTCACAATTGTCCAAACAAACTCTTCACTTTCCGAATGTGCAGCATATGATGCAACATTGGCCGAAAGGGCCGAACCCAAACATAGAGAGCGCTAGACTTGAGGCCGAGCAATTGCTAAGGACGTAAGTTGTGTGGTTTTGGGAGTCAGCAGCAGTTGATGATTAATATTATATCTAGCGCTTTTGATGATCCGGGTAAGCTTGCGAAGCTCGGAAAGTGTGATTTTGGCGGCTTGGCTGCGCTGTGAGTAACCTGTAGTTACCACATTCACATACTCCTGATAATATTATCTGCTGAGCAGCACATTCAGATGCTTTCCAACTTGCGCGCCGATAAAGTTGATCGCTGCTACTCGTTTCTTAGCCTGGATATTCCTGTGGGATGACGAGATTGACATGGGTGAGGGCGCAACGCAGACTTCGAGAGACCAGCAACGCGCCCGCGATTATTGCCACGACTCTCTGCGCCGTGTTCGACAGGCCATGGACCCGGGGTGCTGTACAGAAGCCAGGGTCGAAAAGGATAGGCGCGGCCTTATGAGCGTATTCGACGATTTGAGTCGTCAACTGCACGCAGACATGAGTAGCGGTAATATATTATCATTCGTTCCTGATTGTTAATCCTGGTCTCTCTTGTTGGTTCTTATGCGTTTCCTAGATCAGCGAGCCCGATTTTCTCGGGAGATTGAGGAATATATCTCGGAAACCGCTGTAGAGCAGACGAATCAACAACAGGGCTGCGTAGCAAGCTTTGAAGATTACATGAACATGAGATTGAGAACTTCTGGTATAGGATCAGGCCTAGCCCTATGCGAGTGAGCTGAGCCCTAATAATACCTACCACTTGATATTTCCACCCACTAACCTTTCCAGGTTCACCGCAGGTGTCGATCTACCGAGCTGGGCTATGGATAGCCAGGAGATGGTCACCATGTGGAGAGAAATCACAAGTATTTGTATGCTGTAAGTTCAGCGGGTATTCATATATTAATACATAGGCATATAAGGCGGAATCTGATTCCCGCAGGATCAACGACGTTTATTCTTTGAAGAAAGAACTAGTAAGAAATTTACAAACGACGTTAACTTGACCCACGTGATTAACTAGGGATAGGGACACGGCGTGATCCAGAACGCCATACCCATATTAGTGAGCTCGTTGCAGGAGCAAGACCTCGCCCACGCTGTGGAAATTCTGGCGCAGAAGATTGAACATTCAATCGCGCTGTTTGACGAGACGCTGAAAACCCTGCATTGCCGATTCTCGGAGCGCGGCGAGAGGCCAGACGACCTGATTCAGTACGCAGATGCGTGCCGAATGATCGCCACAGGGCTTCTCGAGTGGTTGCTGACGTCGCCTCGTTACGGGATGCATCGATACGTGCAACCTGACGGCTCAGTCATCGTCCCTCTAGGATGCGCGACGGATAAGCTTGAACCTCGTGGGCATGCGGAGACCAAGCCATGAATCCAATTCTCTCGACGCCGTGGCATAGGTGATACGGCATACGATGAAGGCTCGGATAGCGTCATGGCTGCCGGGCAGCTGGAGTGGTAAGTAGGTAGGCGACGGTTTCGGCTCGGATTCTATGTTTACCTAGGTATACAGGTAGGTATGGATTCTCTTCGTTGTAGCCATCTGCAACTTGAGGAAGGTTTAGGTAAATTGAATTAATTTGAATGGAGAAAGAAATGCGGTTGTTGAGACAGTACCTAACTGTAAAGGCGTCAAAATGCGCCCTCCTAGCTATGAGCGGGAAAAGAATGCTACCTATGGAAGCCCATATCCGCCTAGGTAGGTACCCAGATGAGGGAAAAACCCTGGTTTGGGGGGGGGTGAACGCCCGTTTCCTGGCTACGAGCACCTCTGGTCGCGCGCTAATAAACGGCTCCGAAGCGCTTATTATCGCGGAGCCAGTGCCTGGTATTACCCGCGGCCATGCTTAGCCTCAATATGTCATTATCGTTACCTACTACCTAATGTGGACACTGTTCATTATTTGCGAGGATTGTTCCCAAAGAGGAGGGTTCTTTCGCTCGATACTGTATTGATACCTTGCTCAATCACCAACATAATAGGTACCTAGTAGATGAGCAAGCTGCCTTCTACCCAGATCCGACAAACATATCTAGGTACTACGCTACGGTCTAGTGTTCCAAACGCCGGGCTCAAGCCAAATGCCAGTACAGCTAATAGGTAGAGGCTACAGCCACGATAGCCAGCTCCGAAGTTACTCGAGCAGCTCGGCAAGGGATATCAATAACCATCGATCACTAAGCCGGCCGATCATCAATCGGCAACCAACTATTAGCAACCCCACAGGTACATAGTAGTCCCTCCATCGACCCTTTCAGAAGGGTTTTCTCCTTTTCCCCTCCAGCTGATAATGCACCCAATTAAGGCATCGTATCAATGAACCTGCTTACAAGCTCAGCCCGACCACAACGGCATTTACCTATAAAGACGAGTAGGTATAGCACAGAGGGCCGGCCTGGATGTCCATATAGTCCTGCACGATCGGTTCGGTGTCGACAAGCTCCAGGATGGGCATGGGGTCGGTGATCGAGGCCGAGATGACCTTGTTGTTGTCCCGGAAGCCGGTATAATCGGCCAGCCGGGTAGCGTTACGGCCCTGCCACTGCGGCGGGGGTTAGCAACCATACCTTTCGCGGGTAAAGAGCGAGGAGGAGGAGGAGGAGAACGCGTACCTTAGCCCAGGCACGGTCAACGTTGGCGTGGTGCAGGAAGAAGAGAGGCTCGTTGGGCGACGTGGAAGGGCCCATGTCGCCAAAGAGGATGCTGTGGACTGCAGGTACGTGTTAATAACAATACACCCCTGGCGAGGCAAGGTAGAGGAACACTAACCCTGTGCGTGCGGCAGTCCCTCGAGCATGCTGGACATCGCGGCAAAATTGTCGAAGCCGTAGATGATGTTCATGACGTTGGAGTTGTACGCGGTCGCCTGCATGTCGCCGATGATGGCGTCGCCGTTCTCGTCGTTGCCCATGCCGCCGTTGAACTCGCGCGTGAAGCAGTGCGGGCGGTGGCCGCCGTCGTTCACGTTGGGCCAGCCCATGCCGAGGGTCAGGTTCGTGTTGGCGAAGGGGCCGTCGACGACGCAGTGCTGGAAGCCGGGCTCGCCGCTGCCGGTGCGCCGGCCGTTGCCGCCGAAGCCGGTGGCCGGGTCGAAGAGCGGCGAGTTGGGCGTGTCGACGGCGTCGGCGTCGATGCTCCAGTCCCAGTACGGCTGGGTGCCGGCGAAGCCGCACTCGGTCCGCAGCAGGTCCTCGTGCAGCTGCACGTACCACCGGTGCCACGGCAGGAAGTTCGCCACGAAGTGGATCTCCGTGTTGAGCGCCGAGTGCGTGTACACCAGGTCGTCCAGCCGCGTCGTCACCGCGTCCACCTCGGCGTACTTGGCCTTGGGCAGCCCCCGCAGGCACACCGCCGCGCGGATGTACTCGGCCTTCTCGACGTCGCTGAGCTCGCGCCACTCCTTGCGGACGGCAGGGTTCGCGCAGGCGCCGTCGGCACGGGGTATGGCGCTCGCGGCCGAGGCTGCGGCCAGCGCGAGGACGGTAAGTAACGAGCGGGTGAGCATGGTGGCGAGAGGTGGTGAGTGCTAAGTGAGCGACGAATCGGTAGGTATTATCAAGAGTCTAGCGAAGGACGGTTCAAGACAAGAACAGAGCGAAGAAAAGAATGGAGCGAGGAAAAGAACGGAGTGAGGACAGGAGCTGGGTGAAGACGAGAGAATAGGTAGCGGACTGGCCATGGCGGCCACCTTATAGACGTCGTCCGGTGAGATCTTGCCCACCCCCTGCCGGTCGAGGTGGAGGAGTGTCGCGTGGCGATCGATTCTAGAAGCTATGCGCGGGCGCGGTCTGCTCTCTTGGCGTGTTCGTATCTAGGAAGCTCTCTCTGCCCCCTTGCTAGGCGACCGGGCCGGTTATGCTCGTGTTCAAGTCGCAGGACAGGGCGGCGGACATGGAGCAGAGCTTACGGATAAGACGATAGGTATAAGGTGCCCCACAGCCGGCCGAGTTTGGATGGTCTCCCGCTATGCTCTGGTATAATTATAGCTTCTTTGCGTCCCATCTTACCGCCACTTATGCTGCCCTACGCTCCCGCACGACCCAGGGAAGCCCGACGCGCGAATCTGCTCCACAGCCTACATGAGGCTCATGTTTCAGCCGCACACATTCCGCGCTGACAGGTGGACGCATACAGATACCTACCTACCTACCTACCCTATCTATCTACCTACCTACTCACCGCAAAACGCCTACCTGGGGCAGTGGTGCTCGGTCAAGTTGCCGGCGCTGTCAAGCTCTCTACCTACTCTCCGCTCTCCCTTCATCCTCGCCCCGGGAAGGCCATGCTAGGTAATACCTACTGGCGTCTGGCGGGACTGGCTGCGCCCACGCACGGGTATAGAGGTACATCATGGTAGGTGGGTTAGGTGTCGCGACGAGTTTAGCGGCAGCGCCCGTTCGGGCAATTCTCGGCTCTTTGCCTCATGTTAGCTATGCGACTCCGTAATCCACGTGACCCTGTCTAGGTGTATAGCCTACTACCCTTTCCCATCCTCGTTCACTTGTACTCCTGACTTCATTTTCCTTCCCCCCCCTCGAGCACCGAGTCCCCGGCCTCCCCGCTCGTATTCCCTACTTCGCCTCTTCGCCGTGTTTCATTCTCTCGGTTCAGCGTTGCAGCACCTGTGGACTCGGGGCTTTGGAGACGACGCCTACTACCTCCATGCCTACCTACCCCCGTGCCTCCTCGCCGACTTGGCGCCGGTTTTCCATCTCCTTAGGAATGTCTTCGCAGCTATCCTCGGTACTCTTCTCCCCCGTCTCCCGAGGAATAGGCGGGTAAGCGGCAAACCCGCTATCCTGCCATCACTATGCACGTTCCAGGCGGCCCCTTGGGGCTGTGGGTGCAGCTACTCGTCTCATCAACGCTGAGCCTGAGGCCCTCTTTGCTTGTATTTAGCTTACTTGACTAGTCTCTCGGGTTCTTATGCTAGCTTAAGACGAGGCGCCGCGTTGATATTAGTCAGCGATGACAGTAGAATTTTTGTTAGCCGCATGACCCATGCGAGTAAGGGTTAGCAGGTCGCTCTTTGATCCGACTTTTTACATTGCGTCAATGCTGATACCCTCCACTTCTCCCCGGCCGCAGAGGCGCAGGTTGCAATGCCGCTACTAATGAATATCTATTGCCCAAATACTCAGACAAGCGTCACCAGCGGGACAGATCCAGAATCCGCCACTCCATCTCGGAGACTCAAAGGGGCGGAGGGGAAGGGGGAACTCGCAACGGATCAGGCCATCCATCGCAGCCATGGACAGCCAACAGGCGCAGCTTGACCCTGACACCGAAATCGCTCAACGGATAGCGCCGATCTCAAGCCAAATGCTATATGATGAGGTTTGAGGAATTCGTCATACTTGGGTTGATCTGATTCGGCAACTAGGCAATTGGTAGAAAGAGAGCGTGTAGTTCGCGACCGAAACGGATAGCGGAGCGGAAGGTGTCGATTAGAATCGAAGGAGGTCGCCTCCAAAAAGAAAGGTAGGTAAAGCTAAACATGCTGTTCCTGGTTTACCCCTGAAGACGACGACCTTATTGTCGAGTTCGAGGAAGCAAGAGATGCGCTGTCATGGTCAAAGATCCGTCGACGGCTCGTCGATAAACGTCTACGGACTTCGGTTTCTTGACTGTTAGGATGTTTTTAGCCAAATGTCTAGGCTTATCCATTTCTGCCCGTTTCTCCATGTAGGTATGCGCATTACAGAGCAGGTAAGTCTACCTCGCATTGGTCCTAGAAAGTGAATACCTAAAGAGATATAGGTACGTGATTGTGTGATACTATGTTATCAGTGGTTATCTTCGGTTCAAGAACTGTCGCTGACTACTATTAAAGGGGCACCACCTTTTCTTCACCGATAGGGGGGCGACAGGGGATCGATCTGCGTGTGGCCGTACTCATAGTGTTGTGTAGTATGCCGGGTAGCTGGTATTTTGTCGCCTAAGTAGACGTACCACGTTTTCCCTAATAATAGCTTGTTCTCGAACCCAGATCTGTTCGTCATCTTACGATGTATGGGCGCTGGAGCCATCGGGACCTGCCATGCGAGCCGTAGACTGTTCAGGCGGCTGGCGAGGGTCAAGGAAGCGGATAGGAAAGGTCAGGCAGGGTGGGATTGGCGCGATATTATTGAGCTGTGGTCCACAGTGGATACGTAGGGGAGGCTCCGAGGGCCTTAGGGGGACACGGTTCCTGGTATTCCTGCACTAAAATGTCCACGGGTCAACCAGACCGCTTGCAAGGACAACACAGCCTCGTCTTGTCCCCCAGCACTGTTTATACACAGGCAAGAAGATCACCGAAAGGTGTCGTCGTCGCTCGACCACAGCGGCTCCGTACGCACACCCGACCCCGCGGAAAGACGCAGGCGGGGTCGCGTTGAAGCTGTCGATACCGTCTGTCGCCGCTGACTATCATAACGACTTTGCGAATCCCATGAGGAGTTGGCAGCAGACCACGAGATGCGTAAGAAGGCAAGGACTTCGAGGGAGCTGTTCAGGGGCGGGGGTGAGAAAACAGAGCCATCACAGCATCACTAGACTAATAGGGGCACATCCCCCGCGTTGCATAGCATGTCAGGGCGTTCAGATTGGCCTGCGGAACCGAGCCTCGCGACGACGCTTGAAGAAACCGGCTGCGTTGGATGAAGCCTCTGGCTATGCCCTTAATCGCTGGCCTCCAAGAGAAGAAGGGCTACACAGACCTACCACGTCTTAGTAGCCTTGGGTATCTTGATCGCCGTGGGTGCCTAATAAAACCCAACAGCACACACACACACACACACACACACACACACACACATACGCACGCACACGTGTTTACTGAGATATGTAGATAGGCAGACAAGCGGGCAGGTAGATACCTAACCCAACATAGCAGGGTAGATGTGTATGCGTACATATACCTACGTTTAGTTAGGCACTTATGCATAAGAAGACATGTATTACCCGGGGACTAATGGGTGGACGATGGCACCTCGGGCAGCTTAGCAGGTATAAGGTAGGCTGTCCCCAATCCGGGAGACTGTCCACCTGTCTCCACGGCTTGTAAGTGGCGCTGGGGATCGCGCAACTTGGGGGAACAGGAGCTGCCTTCTATTAATGTGCCTTCTATCCAACGGGGCGGCTCAAGTAGATGCCTTGGGCACAAGTAGGCATAGCATGGCCGCCACTCGCGTGGGCGGGGAGGGGCTGGGATAATTCACCCATGTACACGCTTCGACGCGCCCTGCGATGGCGCCGCTCAATCCCATCCCATCTCCTTCAGCTCCATGAACTTGCTAGAGTGGCTCGTCGACACGCTCGGGCGGATCTTGTCCAGCGCCGCCTCCCAGTCTTCGGGGAGGAGCGCCTTGGGCCCCCCGGCGGCGGCAGCGCGCTTGATAGCCGCCTGGCCCGCCGCCACGTGGAGGTTGTCGAGGTCGGCGCCGCTGAAGCCGGCGCACCGCCGGTCGCGCGCGACCGCCTCCAGCACGTCGTAGTCCGCATACGAGGGGAGGAGGCGCCGCATGCGCGTCTTGAGGATCTCGACGCGCCCGTCTTCGTCGGGCAGGTCGACGAAGACGTTGGTGCCGAGCCGGCCGGGACGGAGGATCGCCGGGTCGATCATGTCCGGCCGGTTCGTGGCCCCGATCACGTAGATGCCTTGCCGGCTCCCGATCCCGTCGAGTTCCGTCAGGAGCTGGTTGACCACCCGCGCGCTGGCCTCGAGGCCGTTCCCGTCCCGTCGCGGGACTAGTGCGTCCAGCTCGTCGAAGAATATGATGCACGGAGCTGACGCGCGCGCCCGGCTGAAAACCTGTCGTACGGAACGCTCCGATTCGCCTACGTACTTGTTCAGCAGCTCCGGGCCTTTAACGGAGATGAAGTTCGCCTTGGATTCGTTCGCCACCGCCTTGGCTAGGAGGGTTTTGCCGCACCCGGGGGGGCCCCATAAGAGCACCCCCGAAGGAGATTCCAGACCCATGCTGGCAAAGCTCTCGGGATCTTGGATGGGCTTAACTATCGACAGAATAAGCTGCTGGCGTACGTCATGCAGAGCACCAATATGTGCCCAGGTGGTGTCGGGTATTGTCGAGAAGCCTTCTCTCTTGGCGGCCGGCTGCACTTTCGATATGGCAGTCAGCATGTGCTCCATAGTCAACACAGCCACGTCGTCCATCATAGCCTCCTTCGGTACCGCCATGAGAGAGACGTGTAGCCGCATCCCGGGCAACATCTCATGTCCCGGGTCGAGATCCATTTCTGCCTCAGATGTGTTCTGCGTAAGCTTAGACATGGAGGCCCTGGCCATCTCGTTTTTCGCGACGGAAACCACATCCTTCAGATCGGCACCAACAAAGCCAGGAGTCCGCCTCGCCAGGAGCCGATAGTCAAAGTCGGGCGACAGGTGGGTTTTTCGGAGCATCTTCCGTAAGATGGCCTCACGAGAGTCCTCGTTGGGTATGCCGAGGCTGATTTCTCGGTCGAAGCGTCCTGCGCGTCGAAGCGCCGGGTCGATGCTGTCTGGCCGATTCGTCGCGGCTAGCGTCACGACGAGCTTGCCCCCCAGCTTTTCTGGTGATAAATCGTCCATGCACGTCAGCATCTGCGCCACTATGCGTTTTTCCATCTCCCGTTGGGCATTCTCTCGCTTTCCCATGATGACGTCGATCTCGTCGATGAATATTATGCACGGCGCTAGGGATTTGGCCTCGTCGTAAAGCTCTCTGATCTTCTTTTCCGACTCGCCCGACATACCGGCAATGAGCGAAGGGGCCGAAACAGGTATGTAGGCAACTCCGAGCGAGGCGGCATAGGCATTTGCGAGCATGGTTTTCCCGCAGCCTGGGGGGCCATGCAGCAACACCCCCCGAGTGGTCTCTATGTCGTTTTTGAGGCAGTACTGGGTACATTGGATGGGAAACGTGACGGATTCGGCGAGGACCTGGATAGCGTGGTCCATCCCGCCTAGGTCGTGCAAGGACACGCCGCTGGGCGGGCTGCGATCTTCCTTGGGCTTTTCGGTCTTGCGCCGCTTGAGTTTGGCCTCCCCATTGGACTGCCTCTCCACCGCGGGCGCGACGGAGGCTCCTTCGACGCCCGAAACATTGCCGCTTGGAGTAGCTGCCTCGGGCGTCGTCGCTGCGGGCTGCTTCTTCGGAATGTTCCAAGACTTGGTGATGTGCTTGTTCAGGAGAAAGTAGTCCCGTTCCTATAGGTGATTAGATCACGAGCTTAGTCGTCGCTGTCACGTAGACGGCCCCGCGTGCTAGGAGCTGTGTGCGCCGAGAATAGCGGCTTACCTTGGATCCCGGGGATTCGGGAGGCGGCTGGTCCAGAGCCTCCTCCTCGTCTTCCTCCTTCAGCTCTTCTCTCCGGAGGCGGAGGACTCGTTCGATAGAGTCTTCTAGCGGTCGTTTCTTCTGGCGCGCGAGACTAGAATTTGAGCGCTTGATGGAGTCGTAAACGCCGGCGACGGTGAATTTCGGTGGCCGGCTCCGATTCCTGTCTTCGGGCTGGTTTCGCTCACGCTCGTCCTCGAATTTCCTGATGACCTGGTAGACGTCACGGTCTAGGCCATGCAGCACCTTGGCGGGCATGCTGCCGCCGATGAGAGGGTAAAACCTCGAAACCACGACGGGGAAGTGGGAAGATACTAGTAAGTACGAGATGGCCGTATTTCTTTCTTTCTTCTTTTTGATTAAGCCGAGTAGTCCAGGTATGATCGATAGGATGCCCTGTCCGCAGACCACGGTTCCCTCAGCAGCCGTGTATTGCGCATTGGGGGGGGGAAAAAAAGGTACTTAGGTACCTGTAAAATGGGAGAATCAATGACTACAGGCTTGGGGGTGCCTCAGGTACCTGGGGTACTACGGTGGGGGTCAGTACCTGCAAGTACACTAGGAGCTTACGTGTAGTAGGTACCTAGATACATACCTAACCTAATGTACCCTCGACTTGCCTTACTGTACATACAAAAGTTATCAGTACACCGAGATGCTACAACCGCCCGCCCAATAGAGAGGTAAGGACACGGATCAGGGGATCACCTGCGCACGTCAGGCGCCTACACCCAACATAACCTCTTAATTACCTAGGTACCTAATACCTATGTAGGTACCACCAGTCGTGTCGATAGACGTAACAGAATCGAGACCTCTCGTCAAGTTGCGTCATGGCCCCTGCCAACGCCATCGATAAGGACCTGTCGCCTGAAGCTTGACGCGGTGGCCCATGAAGATGCAACTAACCGAGCTATATGTATCTACCCATCTGCCCGTCCGCCACGCGCCCCGCCGATAACTTCGCCAACAACCGTACATCATCGAACCGGAAATAGGGGGCGATACTGACAACCACGACACCAAGCGATCGACTACACACCGCGAATTCGCCCTCGGGAGTTGCGCGGCGCACCCGGCCCTACCAGATTCCGCGGCGGAAGTGCTAAGGAGGCGGGGGGAGAAGAAGAAGAAGCAGCGTCTCGGGTTTCCACGTCGTTCGATCCGAGACCGCAGCGGACGAACGATGCGCGCTTTGCGTCTCGGCACCACCACCGCCAGTTCTACCTCTACCTCCGCCCACACCACCCCATCATCTCACGCGAGCCCGACACGGCCGCCATGGGCAACACGTCGAGCCGAGTGACGGCGCAGGACAAGTTTGGCTCCCCTCCCTGCTCTCCCCGTCCTCTCCACCCAGCCAGAACTGACAAACGCCCCCGGGAGCAGGGCCATCCTCGACCTGAAGCTGCAGCGCGACAAGCTGCACCAGTACCAGCGGCGGATCTCGGTGCTGACGGAGCGCGAGACGGCGGCGGCGCGGCAGCTGCTCGCGGCGGGCGACCGGCGCCGCGCCCTGCTCGCCCTGCGCCGCAAGAAGTACCAGGAGTCGCTGCTGGCCAAGACGGACGACCAGCTCGCCCAGCTCGAGCAGCTCACCCGCTCCGTCGAGTTCGCCCTCATCCAGAAGGACGTCCTCTTCGGCCTCCGCCAGGGCACCCGCGTCCTCCGCGAGATCCACGCCGAGATGGGCGGCCTCGACCACGTCGAGAAGCTCATGGGCGAGACCGCCGACGCCATCGCCTACCAGAAGGTGCGCCCTTTTTTTTTTCTCTTTTTTTTTCACGTTTGCCGAAAGCAAGAAACAAAAAGAGAGAGAGAGAGAAAGAAACCCCTTCCCTTCTTTTTTTTCTCTTCCTCCCCATCTCCCGCACACAAGGCTTCCAGGTGCTGACGACGGCGACGCGCGCAGGAGGTCAGCGAGATGCTCGGCGGCCGCATGACGAACCAGGACGAGGACGAGGTCGAGGACGAGCTCGCCGCGCTCGAGCAGGAGGTTAACGGCCCCGCTGCCGCCGCCGCCGCCGACGCCCTGCCCAGCGTGCCCGACACCAAGCTCCCCGAGCCGCGGGCTGCGGAGCAGCAGCGGCAGCGCCAGGAGCCGGAACCAGAGAGGACGGCCGTGCTCGCGTCGTGAGAGGACAGAAAAGGAAACCACGCCCACTGGTATGGCATCGTAGACGATGCTTTCGCACGGCCGCGGAATGCGTGCAGGAGGCCCCGCGCCGAGGCCCGGGCCCAGGAGGCGAGAGGCGGGGAGCGCGAGAGAACGGGATGACGGGTGAGGCCGAGGTAACAGTTGAGAGACGACAGAGCAGGACGAACGACTGACGGGACCCACCGCGAGCAACCATCCCGCGCCATCGAATCCGTCGGTCGTCGCGAGAGTATCCGCCTACCCGCCGACGTACACACCTACCCAGCCGGGTCGGTTCTACCAGTACGCGTGCCCGCGAGCGGAGCCTTCGGGAATCCCAGAGCGGGCGGCTGAGAGGGCAGAGAGGCACACGGGGTGGGGAGGAGGCCCGGGGGAGACCACATGCACCAGGGCGCGGCCCGGACCGTAGCAGCCAGTAGTACGTACGCATGCGCGCGTATTCGCGAGAGATGCCAGAGCCATCTTGGGGTGGGGAGGGTGTGCGGCGACGGGGAGGGGGAGGGGGAGGGGGGAGCCGTGCTGAACCCTCCGTCCATCTGTTTATCTACGTCTATTGGAAACTACTCTTACCTACCTACATCCTATCCCATCTACCTGGCCCTAACCTCGATTCAACCCCCGTTGCCCGTTTACATGTGTTCGAAAATCTTGCCGTGTTGACTGTGTAGGTTTGGGTGTTAACCCCCCCCCCCCCCCCCCCCGAGTGAGTTACTAGGACCTCTCGAGCAATAGATTTTAGTAACCCTTCCGCAGCCCCTTTTCTTCTTGACCTAAGGTATATGTGAGAGTGAAGCTGTCGCCTACAGCCGACTATACCACGTATGTAGTGAAATGATGAGATACATACGGCCGTACCTTCAGCTTCAGAATGACCTTGCTAGGGGACGAACAACAATTCCAAGAAAACTGACGCAACTGTGTTCATTGTGACACGTGCACACGCGTGTAGGTATTATGTGTATTCGAAGTCCCTCTGCTTGTAAAGCCGCCTCCTCTGTTGACGTCTTCTACTCTGGGTGGTGTATAGAAGTATCCGTTCGCAACTAGGTAGTATAAGCCAAGGTCTCAGTAGAGTGTCCTTCCCTGAACCTCATCCAGAGCGTATAGTAGAACTCCCTAAAACATAGTAGCCTAGATCGAAGGCACCGTATACCTAGGTCCCACAGGCTCTCTATGTGTCACTGCCAATAACGCCAACTCATGCAATGATGCTGGGAGCCCCGTCGACAATGCCCCACGGTGGGTATCTAAAATGCCACTCTATCGTATCAAAAACCATGCTTCCACCCGCCTCCCCTAGCTTTTGATCCACGAAACGCCTCCATATCTCATTGTGTTATTAAGAACCTCCTTGATTTGCCAGTTACAACATGAATGCCTTCAACTAATAATCGATCAAGGGGCGTCGGTCGAAATACACCGCGTCGTGACGTCCTGGGACATCGCCTCGAATGGGAAAATTATCTTCTCCGATATAATGATTATGACTTGGATAGCGTAGATGTAGGAGTTGATTGTCAGGTTGTTGGGCCATGTGCGGCCTCGTGATTCTATCAATTTCATCGGTTTTAGCATAATGGGTTTCTTCTTGGTCTCGGGTTGAGGCCCAAATCGGTATGTGGCTCGAGGGCTCTCTCAAGTCGTGGCGATTGCTTGTGCAGCGCCTACACGGTTTAATTAGCTCATGCCCATCAACGGCTGAAACCCCGCCACCGAGGCCCTGCTAAATTATCTAGACGTAGTTGATGTGATAAGTCGACTTACGGTCCGGACCGAATCGGTTCGGGATAGAACGGCCGGACTTCCCGAGATGCGTCACTAGGCCAGTCCGTCGGTCTATGAACCTGTGGTCGAACGTACGGGGAGTCTTGATAATGGTCAGACCGGCGGTTCGTGCGGGCTTCTATAAGGGTAGTGTGTCGTTGCGAGTCTGCCGCCGGCGCTATGTAGGCGTCGGGTTCCGGGTATGGAACTGATCTGTGGCTAGGATGATTGGTAGAGCCGTGATAGTAATTGGGCGCGTTCCTTTGCCGGGAGTAAGAGTTATCAAATACAACATCGGCGGCATCCTGCATGCGAGTATCTTCTCGAACGGAGACGTCACGGACAAAGTCCTCCTGCCTTGAAAGGTGTGGTTGGTAACCCTTGTCTTCGGGATATCGCCGTACTGGGAGTACTCCGTCATCAATGACGATCTGGCGTGCCCTCGTCCTATGAGGGACATCGCCACTATACCGTGTCATACTCTCGGTAGAAACAGGCCGGCATGGAAACAATGCCCTGTCTGTAGCTCGGGGGGCTGCGGTTGGCATTTCTGGGAGGTACTCAGTGGACTCGCAGCGCGGACCTTCACCTCCGTCGAAATGGTGGGCCTGAGCATAGACGGGGCCAACCCGGGATTCTAGTTCCCGAGGGTGGGGTGCGACACGGCGCCTGGCTACAACCTCATTACCACTTAGCATGCCCCTGGGAGATCGGGAATCAGAGATGGCGCTCCCCGACTCATAAAATCCTCGAGAAATGGCACGATGGGTTTCTTCGAACTGCCGGGGCACACGATGTGAAGCACGGGGGGTATCATGCGGGTCCCGGAATTCAATAGGCGACGCAGGCTCAATAGATGGCACTAACAAGTCCTGAAAACCACCTCTCCCTGAAAGTACCGGAGCATGTGGGTGATCGAAGCGCGGTGGCGGGTGCCCAACTTTGGACCTATAGCCATCTGGATCATGCGCCGAATGGGTTGGAGCGTATAGGTTAGCCTCGGGATTGTCAAGAAACATTGGAGTCGTCCCTCCTGTCCGAGGAGCTCCATCGAAAGGATGCAAGTTAGCCTGGGCCTCGAGGCGAGCGGGTATCTGCTCCAGACGGGGAGAATCCTGTACCACCGCTGTTGGCTCACGGCTGGAGATAGTATAGACAGTGCCAGGGCTCCGAGTCAAATCCATAGGGATAGAACCGAAGGGGGCGGCACTTGAGCCATTGGTATGGTCATGATAGCCGGATGTACCCGCGAGAGCTTCAGCAGCGGCAGCGTATCTCCTAAAGCGCTGCGTCTTCCGAGCGGCTTTTCTCTCAGACCTAGTAATTATCTTGTGCTGGGGGGATACCCGGAGACCCGGGATGGATGTGTCACGCCCGTGAACCCGACTAACTGGCTGCTTGTCGACAGACAATACACCTTGCGGATCTGCCTGGTAAGCCGAAACAGCCGTTGTAGACACTGTTCTAGAGGGTTGAGCTGGCGCATTGTCCGCACTGGGGGTTTCATCCTCGGTCTCATCCTCGGAGTCAGAAATCTCGATAACCTCGCGGAGTATCTCGTCGAGCTGGTCACGGCCAGTCTCTTCATCTCCTCGCCACTTGACGATGATGTCTAGGCATGGTTTCTCTACAGCCTTTCGAGCGTTAGCCCAATCTGACTCTTTTAACAGTTCATCATAGCGCGTATGCGTGTGCCGAATGTGAGCAAGCGCGGCGAGCTGAACCCGGCGTGCTAAGGTCAGCTCCTGGGCCATGCCCACAGACGCTTTATTACCGTCCTATAAGAGAAGATCACATTAATAACGGTACCTCCTGGCATCCAGAAAATAACACGGGAAACAGGACACGCACTTTCCGAAAAGCATGCGAGATGATCTCGCGTCGATCAGTGTGGGGGATTCTAGGAAAGAGATCTCTCAGAACCGCGTCAGCTTGGTCATTGATTTCTTTCTGATCTTTCGGTATTGGTTCTGGTTCGCCAGGGCGGCTAATGTGGTTGATGCGGTCGAACTTCCCAACTCTCTTCAGATTCAAACGAGCCTTGTCGACGATGGTCTGGCGAAAATGGTACCCGACACGGTTCATGTGATGGTCAAGGTTGTCCGGATTTTTCGAGTCCTTCCGAGGCAACCGAGTCAGTAAATTAGGGGGGGGGGGGGGGGGGGGGGTGGAAGAGATAACTTCGTGTAATGCATACAGAGACAATAAAGATCATGGCTTCCTCGTCCCTGGACAACTCTTTGCACATGTAGGATAGCCTGGGATGCCCGAGGGGGACGAATTCAAAGCCAGGCGGCGGGAGTCTATCGGTTGTGATCTGTTACGAGTCAGTACCATGTAGCATCTTTGTCCCTCTGACTAGCTACCTTGAACTCGAGCTTCTTCTTCTTGTCCGTGTTCTCGACGGATTCAAAATACGTCTTGTACTTCAATTTAGGCGGCTGCTTCAGAGGGTTGAGGCTTCGCCATATGTGATCCTGGTAGTGCTGTGCTCGCTCCATCTTTGCACGGCGAAGCACTGCCTGTACGGCGCGGGGCGGTCCCGGCGCTTTCTTTCTTTCTCTCGCCATCACGGCTGTGGGTACCTAACCTTACCATGTATATAGAAAGAGAACCACCTGGCGCGTGATGGATGCACTAGCACATAGACGAGCGCGAGAGAGAGATAGACGATGAAAAGGGAGAAGGAGAGAGGAATACAGGGCTCGAGAACGGTGAAGGCTACGCCAGGACAGCTACCGCATCAGATCAGATCCGAATGCAAGAATGCACCACTGCGGGCCGGGCAACCGGGAGACCAGGAGAAGGATCCGTTCCTCAGGGAGATACACCCTTTGCCGTCTAGTGGACAGTAGTGAAACTAGATAGTGCACTTCACGATGGTATTCCTGTATTCCTGGAGGAGAGGCCAATTTGACCAAACCAAATGCCCGACTCAGCGAAGTCGGGAGGGAGAAGGGGGAGAACAACTTGGGCAGCGTGAGAAAGCGTGCCAAAGAGATGATGGAGATGGGTTGATGGATGTAAGAATTGAAAACTTTCGGGGGAAGACCCTTTGGGGGGGGAGTTTTATGTGGATTAGGGACTCGGCCACCTGGACGCTTGGGCCACGTGCCATGGAATCTATTCCCGTTGCTCCGAGAGGGCTGTGGCTTCGCATGCGCCCTGATCTGGATGCCTCGCCTCAAGGGCAGCGGCTAATCAGTATACCTAAACCTTAGGTACTTTGGTACTTTCCCTGGGCAGATGCCTTAGGTACCTAAGGTACCTAACGTCAGGTCCAAGCTACCTCTAGGTACGCACCTATACTTAGGTAAATGTACAGTACCTAGGTGCCTTTAAAGGCAGGTGTGCTGGCTCATGCCTAAATTGGTGCCCAGCACAGTCAATCAGGTACCTAACCGGCCTTGCATAATAATGTACGTAGTATCTGTGCTGTGGCTTGTTCGTGCACCTGACATAGAGGTAGGTATGTGGCTTGCCTCGCCCCCTCCGTCCTCCTCTCTACCCGATAATTTCCCAGGCGGGAGAACCGAGGCCCACCTTCCCACTGCCCGCAGCGAGCTCTCATTGGCAGGTTCGAGTTAGGTCACTTTTCCGGTTCGATTTCTCGCAGACAATTCGGAAACGCTCCGTGATCGAGACAGACAGAGAGCGGGATCGCGCGACCTCGAAGAACAAGAAGAAGAAAAAACCACATCCGACAAGCACACACTCCCCCCTCTCCCTCTATCCCACCCTCGCCGCCATGCTATCCCGACAGGCGCTCCGCTCGATCCGGGCCGCCGCCCCCCAGCGGGTGCTTGCTCGGGCTCCCATACGCTCCTACGCTGCCGCCGCCCAAGACGTCAAGCCCCCGGTCGCTGTCTTCGGTCTCGACGGCACCTACGCCACCGCTCTGGTAGGCTCCCTCCCTTCCTCCCCCCGGCTATGGCATGCCCGTGTACAATCGGAGATGGTCGAGAAGAGGAAGCGCTGCAGGAGTCGATTGACGGGGAGACGGGGCGGAGGTCGAGCCGCATAGGACCAGGTTGGCTGATGAGCTATTTTACCTACTTGTGTAGTACACGGCGGCCGCGAAGTCGTCCTCGCTAGAGCCGACGGCGCGCGCCCTCACCACGCTGGGCCAGCTGTGCGCCAAGGATGCGAAGCTCGTCGCCATCCTCAGCACCCCGACGCTGACCGACGGCGACAAGAGCGCCATCGTCACTGAGCTGCAGAAGAACATTGGTCCCGCCGCCAACGACACTGTCAAGAACTTCCTCGCCACCCTCGCCGCCAACAACCGTCTCGGAATACTCCAGGGTGTCTGCGAGAAGTTCGGCGAGATCATGAGGGCGTCTCGTGGCGAGGTCGAGCTGGTCGTCACCAGCGCCCAGGTATTCCCCTCCTTTCTATTATGATTATAATTTCTCGGGATGGTAGGATAGCTTGGTTGTCCTGCCTTGTTCTCTTTCTCCCTCTCGGGAGATAGCGGACGAGACGAGCAGAGGAGATAAAACAGTGTAGGAGATTTAGGATCGTGCTAACGTCGTTTGTAGCAACTAGACGGCAAGATCCTGTCGCGCCTAGAAAACGCCGTTTCCAAGTCGCCGTACGTCGGCCAGGGCAAGAAGCTGAAGGTCACCAACCAGGTCAACCCCGATATTATCGGTGGTTTGGTCGTGGAGATCGGCGACCGAACAATCGACCTCTCCGTCTCCTCCAAGATCGCCAAGATGAACAAGCTCCTGACCGACACTCTGTAAAAACTATGAACCCTAACTTTGTCTGCCCCCTCCGCTTGCTTGGAGCGTAGAGCGTGGTCCCTACCTGAAATACTGGGAGCGCAGGTCGACTTGGGAGGCACCGAGGGAGATGAGCCGCGGCTCCATCCAGATGGGGGGGTCAGTTCGACGTCGCCCCAGAGATATATCATCGTGTGTATAAGCCCGTAGAATAGAGGAAGAGGCATTCGTCCCACAAAACCTCCCCACCTGTCCATCCGTCTACTCGTAGTATCGCCGCCAATCAAAGAGAATTGGCCGTCTACTCCTTCGAGAATTCATACAGCGTGCAGGTATAAGTGATTTCACGACTTCTTACCGTAAAGAGGTATGGCCGATCACGCGCACAAAAGCTCGCAAGTCAAATGCCACGCAACGCAAGTTATATACCCCTAACTGGCGCAATATATGCCGTTATCTTCTAGTCCTACGTGGAATATGCTTCGTGCTTCAGACACGGTTAGGCCATAAATAAATATCCAGCCATGAATAGGCCCCCTTCCACCGTTCGGGAAATGTAAATATACGTGTACCCTCCGGGCCAGCCCCGAGTGACCCATAGATCCTATCCAAGCCTAGGCCTGGCTTACGGGTTAATTTCGTACTCATCCCTACCACCGTATCCCTCGTAATCGTCATCATCCTTAACCCTCTGGAGCTGCTCTGAAATGTAGTGGTGCAAGTGCGCGTCCGCCTCCTTACGCAGTGCTTCGCGTTCAGGGTCGTCTGGCGCGACGCTTCGGACATCAAACTCTTCGCCGTTAACCGAGGCGTCAAAGTCGCTACGCGCGCTGATAGACCTCGCTGTCGACGACCGCCGCACATGCCCTCTGTGTGGCTTAGCGGGATTGCGAATGCTGCGATGAAAGACGTCGTCAAAGTAGTGCGCCATGCCTACGGTTGGGGTGCGGGGGGTCTGTGGTAGGCGGCAGCTTATGCTATTTGGTCATTAGCATTCGAAATCAAGTGTCCTCGCGAAGCCGACCTACCCCGTATCGTGGATCATCCGAGCGATCAGGCCAGTCCAGCCACACTGGTGCGTGGCTCCCAATCCACGGCCTGTGTCGCCGTCAAAGAATTCGTGGAACCACATGTGGTCTCTCCAGTGCGGGTCGAAGTCAAGCAGATCGTTTCCGCCGTTGACGCTTCGCCGACCATCGTCACCACGGGCGAAGAGGTGTTGCAATCGGTGCTGGATTTCCTCTGAGACGTGCCCGAGATGCATGTATTCCCCAGACCCGGTAGGACATTCCACTTGGAACTTTGGTCCGTAGAACAGGTAGAATCGTTGAAGAGATTCGACAAGGAGGAAGTTAACGCAGAGCCAAATAGGACCTCTCCAGTTGCTATTGCCGCCAAAAAGGCCGCTGTCGGAGTCTCCCGGGACGTAGCCCACCGTAAACGTTTCGCCGTTGACGTCCATAGAGAATGGGTTTTCCTTATGGTATCTAGAAAGGGACCTGATACCATGCTCGCTGAGAAATTCGTCCTCGTCGAGCATCCGCGTCAGGATCTTCTCCAGCCGATCTTTGCTGACCATCGAGAGGAGAATGCGGTTTCCCTTGCCTCTTTTCCGAATACTTGCCATATTCCTCTCGGCCAAGTCGCATCGGTTCTCCATAAACCAATCCACACGCTTCTTGAAAGATGGGAGTTTGTTGATCAATTCTGGTTCTAACGTCAGTGTAGCGTAGAGCGGGATCAGCCCAACAAGCGACCGGACAGGAAGCTGTTGCACCCACGGCCCGCCGTAGGAGATGGCATCGTAGTAGAACCCGTCATCATCGTTCCAGAGAGACTTCTCATCCTTCTCGCCAGATTTGAATGTCATGGCGTCGCTGATGAAAACGAAATGTTCAAAGAACTTGGAGGCGATGTCCTCGTAGATCCTCCGATGCTTTGCCAGCTCCAGGGCGATATTCAGCATGCACAGAGAGTAGAAGGCCATCCACCCTGTGCTATCAGCCTGTTCCAGGATGCCGCCGGTCGGGAGGGGTTCGGAGCGGTTGAAGATGCCGATGTTGTCCAGGCCGAGAAAGCCCCCCTCAAAGACATTCTTACCATCCTTATCTTTCCGGTTGACCCACCATGTGAAGTTCAATAGCAGTTTCTGGAACACTCTCTCGAGGAAGTCGAGATCCTGCCTCCCGTACATTTTGCGCTCGATCTTGAATACGCGGAAAGTAGCCCAGGCGTGAACTGGCGGGTTCACGTCGCCGAAATTCCATTCATAGCTATAGCCGTATTAGTCGGTCTATTTGTGTCTACCTCGGCGGTAAGAACATACGCAGGGAGCTGGCCGTTCGGGTGGCAGTACCACTCTCTAGTAAACAAGTCAAGCTGCTTCTTAGCGAATTCCGGGTCGATCATGGCGAGTGGGATGCAGTGGAACGCAGAGTCCCATGCCGCAAAGAAGGGATATTCCCATGAATCTGGCATGGACAGGACGTCGTCGATATGCAAGTGTTTCCACTGAGCATTCCTGATGGCCTTTCTCTCAGGGGGGGGTGGAGGCTGGGCGGGATCCCCATTGGCCCATTGGTCCCAGATGAACTGATAATGTTGTTTACACCACATCATGCCCGAGAACGCCTGGCGCTGGATACTGCGAAGGTCATCAGACATTGGTAGGGGGCTGATTCGGTAATAGAAATCATCTGCCTCTTCTCTTCTCTTTTCGATTACATCATCAAAGATTTCTTCGTCCAGGTAGGTCTCGTTCTTCTTCGACAGCCGGAAACGAATGACTACGACACAAGGTTAACACTCGACATTTCGGGAGAAGTCATAATCACTGCGGCCTACCGGCACATTCGCCGGGGGCAACGCCCCCTGACTCGTTGAATTGAAACCACGCGGCGCATTTCGTGCCAGTCTGGGCCGGATTCACTGCACTCTTCTCGGCGTCGACAATGTATCGATGGAAGGCGTCCTTGACGTAGGGAACCTTATTATCCTGCTCATATAGAAGCTGATAATTGGTGTCGTTGTCGGTAAATATGAGCTCCGGCTGGACATCTTCGCCGCTCATCCCGACACCTGGTGAAGGCGATAGCAACACGTATCGGTCACCGAGCTTATAATGTCTGGACCGGGCCATATTCTCGGAATACTCCGATATAGACGGTTTCTTGTCTATCGTCTCCCTGCCCCAGGCCCACGTGTTCCGAAACCAGACATGAGGGATGATGTGGAGAGGAGCCGGGTCTGGGCCCCGATTCCACGCCGTAACCCGGAAGAGAAGCTCGTCAGGGTCGTTTGCTTCTTTGGCAGTTTCGATCACGATATCCCAATACCGGTCTTCATCGAATATGCCGGTGTCGATAAGCTGGTACTCGTGCTCAAGTTTTGTCCTCTCGGCATTCTCCTTCACGAGGTCGTCGTAGGGGAACTCTCTCTGCGGGTATTTGTAGAGGTATTTCATGTAGGAATGCTAGAGAGCTTGTGAGCAGACTGTTGCGTGCGGACTGTCATATGGCGCGCCTTACTGTCTGCGCGGACACGAATCGTTAGCGATGGCTGCCCTTCTAAATCGACGGGACGCAGGACTTACGGGGGTATTGTCGAGGTGGAAGTGGGCTTCCTTTATACTCTCGCCGTGGTTCCCCTGGGGGTTCGCTAACCCGAAGAGGCGTTCCTTCAGGAAAGGGCTAGCCGTTGTTAGTTGAGAGCGGCCCGCCGCACGACAAAAAGCGCGGGTACGGTAGCAGGTTGGAATCACGCACTCTCTCTCGTTCCAGAAAGCAAAAGCGATGTTCTGTAAACCGTGGGCGTCAGACACCCCGGCAATCCCATCCTCGCCCCAGCGGAACGCTCGAGACCGCGCGTGGTCGTGTGTGAAGTCTTGACGGAGCTACGAGTTAGTTCGTATACCGCACGAGCAGCAGGTAGGCAGGCGCAGATAGGGACAGCTTACGGCCCCAAGCGTCACCGTCCGCGCTGTAGTCCTCTCGCACTGCGGGCCGTTTGTCAGCTTGCCGGTTGTGGGGGAGTAGCGGTGGCTCGGCTCTGCTAACCTGTAGCCCATTGCCGTTCGGCAACATACGGGCCCCATTTCTTCCAGTACCTGCTGCGATCTGCGTCCTCCTTGAGACGCTTCTCCTCCTCGGTGAGGTACTCGTGGTTGTCGAATACGACCATGTTTTGAACTAGCCCAAGGCCGGACGAGTTGATCAGAAGCGAGGTAAGCACGACTCCAGGCTGACGAATTGTCAGAGGGACTCAGCAGGCCGCTCGGGTGGGCGTTCGATGGGAGCACTGGACGATGACTTGGACAAGACGGAGGAAGAGAGAGAGGGAAGAGACAAACTGGCCGGGACGGTAGATAAATCTAGGAGCGCGGTCAACTAGGGAGCTTGGCCGCCAAAGAACCTCGGGCAGTTAGGTAGCTATCTCGTTCAGGCAAAGCCCAAGGACAGACGGCCGCGTGGGTTGGAGCTATTGGACGCGTGTGTATCGGACATATGTATGAAGGAGAAGCTAATGCCACCCTGGAGGAGCTGGCGGGTTCGAGTGTCCCAATTCTGCCTAACTACAAGTGGTGTTTCTGGTGCAATGTGAGGTGTTGTTTTGCTTAGGTATGGGTACTGTGTAGCGGACGGTGAGCTTATCGTAGCGATGCTGTCTATCTACCTATGTATGTCGCCTTAGGAGGAGGTAGGTAGGCACCTAGGCAGGTATACCTAACCTCACCACGTACCTGCGTACCTGCGTACCTGCGTACCTGCCCACTTGTCCGCTGCTCTAGACGAGGTAGGTACCTAGTACCCGCCTAGGTCAGTACCTAGTCGCGCCTGCCTTACCCGATAGATAATACTGTGGCAGGAGTTGTTGTGGTTGTGGATTGTTAGGCCGCGGGCAGGAAAGAGCAAACCCGTTGCGTCGAGGGTGTGAGGGGCGCAAAAGCGGGGCTCGAGCAATGACATCACCGAAATCGAGAGGAGGTGCGAAGGCGTCGCGAGGTACGTATATGCTCTCTACCTGCGGCAATCTAAAATCTGTGGAACCGACATAACATAGATACGCCCGCCCGAGCGCCGATAGGCCAGTGCTGTACGCTACCTCAGGTAGGGTAATATGGGCCTCCTATCTCTGCTGCGTAGCTTGCGAGGATCGCACACCACCCAGCCCCGACACGAGATGGCTCCACGAGCCGGAACGGTCCAGATCCCGCCATACAGCGCATCGCTCGTCGAATTGCCGCCAGCGTTCACCTCGCGGGATTCGTCACCTACTCCGTGCCTTCATCCTCGACAAGGACAGGCTGCGGAGCGTCCATGCTGGGAAAAAGGGGGTGGGGGGGGGAGGCGGGGTCCAAACCGCCGACATACGATAAAACCACCCTACATACTGAGTACCGCATTCATCCACAACCGTCGAGTCTGACCCAACTTACCTTGTCTACATGCCTCCCCACCCTGCCGTGGAAGCAACAGCATCCTTATGCAATCGATGGGGCGAATGTCGTTCTTCTAGCGCCAACTCCGGTATTGATTTCGCACGCCAACTTCCTCGAAGCTTATCATCCCATTGAGCCTCCCTCCTGTCAGCGGCAAACCAAGACCAAGTGATACCGCTACACTTTCGCGAACCAGGGGAACTTCTTCTTCCCGGTGTCCACTGCACCGCCGCTGGGGGATTCTACTTGGACGCTGCGCTGGTAAATATCCTAGGGTGCCGAGTTAGCATCAACTTATCTCCCATCGTCAGCAGGGTCTATGGTGGAATGGCTGCCTTACCTCCTCGTCAGTCGGCATCAAGCAGTCTAAGATAAGTTCCCTTGCCGTATCGTGCCTCGAGAGGTTCGGATACGGCGTCCCCTGGCTCTTCATGATGGGCAGGAGGATTTCTCCCAAGATCTCGAATTTCTTCCAGTTAATTCGGTCTCCCTGGGGTCCCACGAGCGTCATGCTACCCTCCTCGGCTGAAACCAGGTCCCTGCGGTGTAGCGGAACGAAAGGGATGCGTGGCAGTGGCGAGTTCTCCCAGGCTAATCGGTAGGCGAAGTGACTCTTTTGCGTTCCCATCAGCAGCACCAGCCTGGCAAAGCGCTTCTGCACGTCGGTCGGCACGAGCGTCCTCGTCTGGGAAAGCCGATGGATGGCCGTCCCGTTGATGCCGGCCAACACGGCCGCGAGCCCGTTGTAGTTATTCAGCTGCCTGAGCTTCAAAGCGATATTCATGAATTTCTCCAGAATCTGGGAGCGGTGTTTGGCCTTGTCTCGGATGAGGATCATGTTGGAGACCCACGTCGCGATATGGTTGAAATGCGCGATCATGCGGTTCACGTTCTTCATGGCTTTGCACTTCTCCTTCATCTCCGTAGACAGGCTAACGTGCCGAATCAAATCACGTATGCGGATTGAAGAGAACATGACCCAATCGATGCGTGTCATCTCATCCGCGATATCATCATTTGCCGTGTCCATGAATATGTGATATCGAAATTTCGTCAGGGGTAGGGTATAGGTAGGCACCATCGTCGCCGCCTCTCGTTCGTAATCCTCATACGAATGGAATTGAAATGAGTGCATCTTTCCGTGTGCCCCGGAATCCGTTTGGAGGGATGAGCTCGCCGAAGGTCGCCGTTCTACTGGCTCATCCACGCCCAGGGAACTCATGCTTTCCGACAGGTCAGCGTAGCGCCTGGTGTTAGAATCCTTGGACGGGACCGTGGTGACCTCGTTATCATCCACCAGCGTCTCCTCAGAGCTGTCAGCAGTCTCCCAGCCGGTGTCGTCGACCTCAAGGACGTTGCACTCGAGGGTCTTACGCATCTGCTGGGCGGCAGCCGAGTATATTGGTTCGTTGGATAGATTTCTTATTAAGTCTTCCAGATGCCTTCTCGTTGCTGGTCGTGCAAAATCTGCCGGGTAGGTTCCGACCCACTTAGCAATTACCTCGATAATTCGAAGTTGTGAAGACGTTTTGGTGAGGAAATGGATCGACTTGTCGTCCCTGATACGATCTAGCCGTGACAGGAGGGATGAGAGGAGGTGTCCCGGAGTCGAGAATTTGCGGTATAGACACAAGAAAATCTCCAGAAAATTGATGTCCGACCTTGACATCTTTGGGCCGATAAGGCGGTCGACTAACTCGTCAAAAGTGAGGCCCAGTTTCTTCGCGGGCCGTTCAAATACGGAATCGTCGGTCCGCTGCAGTAAGGGTATATCGTCGGTATATCGCAAGGAATCCCCGTCCGAGTCTTCAATATCGAGGAACGAAGCCGTGTTCTGAACACGATCGAGTCTCGAGGTGTGGGCGCGCGTTATGCCGGCCGGAGTCGAATCGTCTTCTGCTGCCTCCGGAAACTGACCCGTAACATGGGTTCCCGTATAGTCAACACGAGGCGATCTTGAGTGCCGATAATCGGACCCAGACGGAGGGGGAAAGCCTCGAAGTAACGACATATCTGAGCTGGCGCGGCTGTGTTTGCTATGCTGGCTTAATGGTCTGGGGTTGGTCTGCTCTAGTTGAGCGTCCAGATGGGCGGCCGAAGCTGCTCTGCGTCTCGGCCCCGAGCCTTCTGCACCTTCGCCTTCTACAGTTCGTAGTCAGCAGAAATAAAAGAGTAACGGACAGCGCTCCATATATATATTACCAATGCGATGGTACGTTTTCCCCTTCGGCACCTCTCCCGTCGCGAAAGGATCTGCGTAAAAGTACTCACCCTGACTCCTTAGTACTAGCGCCTTCAAGAGGGTGGATAGGGCTATCCTCGCGCTCTCGGGTTTATTAGTCGACGTCTTAAAGGTTGCGAGGCATGACTGGCATGCTTGAGAAACGGCCTCGGTGTCGATATGTCGCAAATTTTCTGGGGTATCGCACTTGGTCGCGACAAGAACCGCCGGCAACGACGAGTTCACGAGAGCGTCTGTCTGACTTTAGTCTCTGTCCGGCTCGTGTGTTGTTTTAACGGCGCGCGAGGAAGGGATGAACATCGGCGTTCACGATCACTTACTCAAGGTTTGAGGCAGCTCAATGATGCTATCGCGATTTGTCACATCGTACAAGAGCAAGACGCCGTTCACACGAGGTAGGATAGCGCCGCCCATCTGTTTTGGCCATTGGATCTGGCGGTCGGGATCTACGTCGAAGTACTCAAGATCCAACTCGAACAGGGTGACGGCGTAAGGTATATTGTCAATGTTGATGCGTGCCGTCGTAGGATTGGGGCCCGGGGTACGCGGCAAGGACATCGCCCTCTGTATGAAGTGAGACTTACCGACCCCATTGGCCCCTATGACACAGATGTTAATACTCTCCATGATGTCAATAGCAATTGCTCAATCGGATATATAGTCGGCCGTATATATCACACTGTCTTAACTTCAGCCCAGGCAGCTCGACCGGCATATCTGGTCATCGGTATCGAATACGGTTAGTATCTCGTTACGCCAAGTTGATGAGAGCTTCGCCGAAAATTCTCGTGACTATGAGCATATATAATCTTCCAGGGATTATCCTTTTCTCGCCACGCCTTTTTTTTCTCCGTTCTCTCTTTTCTGCCAATAAACCGGGTTCCAAAGGGGGTAAGGGTCTGACGAGCGAGACAGATTTCCTAGTTGGGGGCGAGAGAAGAGGTCGATGGAGTCGCGATTAAGTAGAGGGAAACATTCGAGAGAACGCGGGCAGGAGGCTCGAAGACGGATCTGCTAGAGTGTGTGGACGCGATCCGACAGGGGGGGACGGTAGATTGTGTGGCCTCGAAATCGGCTGGGACTCTATTCAGGTTGGACATCCGCTTCATTCAGGGCCATTACCTATAAGGCATCGTACAATGCAACACACCGGTTGTGCCCCCAAGAAGTCCAGCAGGCCAGGATGAAAAATAGATTGCTTGGACGGACAAACCACGAAGCGGGAGACGCGGAAGACGGGATGTCCGGTTTTTGGCCGTGGCGGAAAGATGTCGATTGGGCAACAAGGTCGTCTGTGTAATGTTGCGCCGTCTAACCTGGGGCGCGGGTATTAATTCATTATGAATCTCGGGGCCGCGGATTTAATTCCCTACCAACACGACGGGAAAGGGTCCTCGGGAGCAGACTCGTGGGGTCGTTTCGGCAGAGGCGAAGGCCGAAGAACGCGGAAATATAAGGAGGGAGAAACAAGCCACGGACTTGGCCTCGACGGGCGAGGGGGTGGGCGAGAGATCGGTCGGGTACGCGGGTATGTATAGCAGATAGATGAGAGGGCGGAAGGTGGTTAAGAAAAGATCGTCACGGACAGCAGTGTGGAAGATAAGTTGCCGCAGCCCGCACGAGCCTGGCCCATCCCCAAATGCGACGTCGACAGTTTTGAGTCGAGTCCAATTATCCGGTCGCGGGAGGAGTTGGCCGCCCCCTCAGCTGAAGCACCAGAGGTAAACCGGGACCACGCAAAGCGTACCTACGGTATGGCACTTCTTCCATCAGCCATGTGCCGCCACCCAGTGTGCACCTTCCCACCGTCTTGAGGATACGCCCTGATGTACCTATTTATTAGGTACATCCTCATGCATGACATCTACCTCTCAGGTACCTCCCACCTATACCTGTTAGGCCCCTATAGGAGCTAGGTAGGTACCTCTGATAGAGAGTGTACACAACGCGCTACTCTCCTAAGGCGCCTGACGTACAGGTGTAATCTCATAGAGGTAGTTATTCGAATACATAACCTTATATAAAGCAGCACCAGCTCAGTTCGCTCTACGCGTAATTCAGGACGGCTCCCTGAGGGCCTCGTGAGTTGGAAGAGCGCATGAGTACCTACCTACCTTGCACCAAACTGACAGGTAGGTACCTAGGTGGTAGGTAGGCAGGCAGGCAGTACCTCCTAGCCTCATATCTTGGCGACTTCTTCTCTTCCATCCTACCTCAGGTTCCCATGTACCTCCCTAAATACCTACGTGTGCACCGAAGTACTGGACCCGTCGAAGGTGTGATGTTGCGTGCAACTCCTTCCCCGGCTTGTCAGCTAGCCCCTGCATCCTAAGCTGAATTTTGCGGTGGCACGAGAGGTCTACTCAGTAGCAGGCCCAACTACGGATTTTTAGGGGGACGGCATGGCCTACTAGAGATGTACTACGTATCTCTCCATCAGGTTGCGATCATCACATATAGAGGTGAAGCCGTCATGGGCCGCGACGTGGGATATCCTAGGCTCCGTTTTGCTTGCGGGCACCGCGTAGGAATTCCGGGTTCGCAGCCATCCAACATGGCCCATATTGAAGGCATCCGAGGTGAGATTGTATTATGCACTAGCCTTGTGAGATACATAATGTACACACTTACCTACATTAGGTAGGTAGGGGTACCCGTTAGTGACCGTCGCGTCGCGACGGGACCAACCTGCCGCCTCCTCCTGGCAACTGTGAGATTGTCGGTCTACTCAGTACTGCCGTCGTAGGCAGGTTGTAATGCGAGGCCAATCACATATCTTGCGGCTAGGTTATGCCAGGCTATGCGACCTGCTCATCCTTTCCACGAAGCTCCCCGGGCGCACGTGGGTAGATTAGCCAATCGGCGCCGCCATGCCGGGACGATTCCCATGGACACACGCGCCGCAACCAGCAACTCCTACATCTAGGTAGGTATGAGTATGAGTACAGCAGGTAGATATATCTCCTCGATTACCTCCCTTCACCGCCACCTCTCGCCTAGCCTGTCCGCATACATCGCCCGCGAGCTTTCCAACATGCCAAAGTACCTACCTACCTGCACAGTGAAGCAAGGAGGTCGGTACACAGGGCGCCCATCAAGTGCTACAGACATGTGTAGGTTCGACGCGGGGTTCCGCCGGAGGTCCAGCATATGCGGTCAATCACGCCATGCGATGTCGGAACTGAAGATATATATCTCGTTCCGCCTTCGCTTAGCCCTGCGATATCCGAGCGGTAGCGTATGCCGGGCGTCTTGGGGTTCTGATCGAGGATGCATGATACGACGAGACCTCGCGCTATTGTCCGTATTATAGCACACACATCCTATCGCAAGGACACGCGCGTACTAACGGGCCCTGTGCACTAATTAGTGCTCTCTGTTTTACTCCGCCTACATACCTACTACCTAGCGCAGTAGTAGGTCTCCCTCGTGGTCGGCAAAGGCCGACGGCGTTTTTCTCATCCCACCTGCGGCGTCCCTGCATTCTGCTCCCGGCCCCCAAGCAGCGCCTAACCTAATGATGGGGGGTGGGGGTGGAGGAGGGGGAGGGAGACAACCGGGCGGTCTTGTTGCGCTATTCCCCTGATAGTTTCCATCGAGACGAATACTCGTCGGGTGGATGTAGCCGGCACAGCAGGCTAATAGAAGTCTTCACGGTCAGGGCCATTCAGAGGTTGACCCGACATCACTAGCCGATCGAGATTCGGCAGGCCTATACTAGCTGCGGCTGCATCTCCAAGGGCCACGAAAGTCGCGTTGGTAGGTAGACTCGCGTTCGAGCGGTTTCTTATCGATGAAGGACCAGCCGACGCGACTTCGTCCGCGCGCTGGGTTGGGTTGGGGGCGTGTGACAAGAGCTTGAGCGATGACACCTGTCAATTGTGGTGAGGTGTTCGCCATACCTATGGTGTGGAACCCGTTCCAATTTCCTTCCGGATTATTCTGCGTCATGTAGGACGCCACGGGATGGCCGGGAGCCGGCCCACTACGGCCCCGTCCTATGGGATCCCCGGGATGCCTTTACGAAAAGGGGGTTGATCCCGGATGTCTGGAAAGCGACCCTCATGCCCCCAAGACTTGCGGTGTTTGCTAATTCTTCGGACCGTGCGACAGAGATGACGCCTCTTAAGGACAACTACGACTGAATTTCATTACAGCGTGCCATCGGCAAGGTGGCACGACCTGGGCGTTGTTACAAGAAACGCTACTGTGCTGCAGGCTACCGGAGGTGTCAGCGTCCATTTACACTACGCCACTTATCTTGAGGGGTCTTTTTTGGCTCCGTTTTAGGCCTCATTTCCCCTTTATATATGGCTACGCCGTTGGAATTTGTCATCACGGCCGACGAACTAGAAGCTTGAGTAACCGCTGACGGCTAGGTGGCGCTCTGGCCAGTGAAAATTCACTGCAGTCCTACGGATAGCCAAACGTATCTCGCGACTACTACCCAGCCCAGCGGGGTAAAGGGGTGGTGGTCAGCAGGCAACGGACTGAGATATTGCGATTGCGATCCGAGGGCCTACGACGTCGCCTATATCGCGCAACGTATCCGAGAAATCTAGATAGGGGAAGAAGGGAGAGGTGGTGACTTATCCTCTACTTACCTAAGGTACTCAACTGCGATCTGACAGCCTTAACCTTGCTACTGGTAGCACTAAAAGGGGGAATGGGGAGCAGGCAGGCAGGGGCAGGTATATCAAATCAGCAAATAGTGATACCCTAGGTACCCCCTACAGGTATGTGAGGGATCGGATCCATCCCTACGGTTCGATCTACCCTTTATCAAGGGAAGCCTCTCTCTTTCGTACCTCATAGATAGATAGGTACACATTACGTACCTAAGGCGCTGGACAAACACCCAAAGTACATAGACGAAACATGTCCCCCTAAGCAAACCAAAGACTCTTTTTAAGTGTAGAGCGTAGAAGTTGAGCTCCTCCAATCACAACCTCGAGAAGCACAACTCCCAGTAACACCTGAACTTCGATCCACCAGCCCGTTTTACGTTACCACCCAACCCAGCTAGACGAGATGCCCCCCCCCCCCCCCCCCCCGAGAGCGAGTCATGAAATGAGACTATGCGATGCGTGTTTCCCCCCTTTTTATTTATTTGTGTATGCTTAGCTGCTCATCGTACGGCCTTTACAAAATCATTCTCTGCCTTTGATCCGGGTATTATAGATAGTTATCCGATTGCAGAATGAAGAGGGTTACATCCACCCTCGCGGCCTAGATGGCCGTCATTAGGCGATTGAGTAGTAGATAGTTATATGACACTGTTTAAAAACCTCGAGTACTTTGCATAGGGAAAACATTAGATAGGTACCTAGTTGTATATTATTAGGTACCTTGCGCATACGTCTGTAGGTCGAGGGTCGCCATCGTAGCATCGTAGGGACGGCATGCCACCAAACCTATTCTGGTTGCCTTTTATTTTCCCAAGAGGGTTATTGCAAGGTCACTTCCAGTACTCTGGGGTGTTCCGGGGTCCCGTGAGCCGTGGATAAACTGGCTTATATCTTATATATGCACGAAGGTGTGTCGAAGAGGCTATGTAGGTAGTTATAGTATTACGCGATGCTCAACGTTTTAATATGCCAGTCCTTCCCTGTAGAATCAACCATCTACTGTGGCATATATAACACTCGGCTGTGCGGCGCCCCGACGGCTCGCATTCTTACATAGGTGCTTGACCTACCCCGACGACTTTAGTCGGGATGGTACGAGGGTATAACCAGACTTGGCCCTTCTCGTAGAGCCCGTGACTCCTGTGGCCAACGAGGCCCGGCGCCTCCGTGCTGAGAGATACCTTGGACCGTACCATGTGAGATTCATGCGTACCGAGACTTTATAGCTGCTCTCTCGGCGGCAAGAGTAGATGGGTTCTGGTGGGATCTGTCGACCAGCCCAGGGCTCGGATAGCAGCAGGGCGCGAACCTGGGACAAAGGCCACCTCGCTGCCTGTCCCGAGGCATCCTGCGTCTCCGCCTGGGTAACGGCGTCTAGTAGTGAATACGGGAGGGTTGTACGCCTGTACGTGCGCCCGACAGGCAAACCGGCAGGTAAATAGCGGGCAGCTCAGGTAGGAATATGGGCACGTCGGTACATTGTGATGTGGTGGCATGTGCACCCTCCCCCGTGGTGCCCTGGTGCCGTTTGCCATGAGCTGGATGATGAATAGATCGATCCGTGGCACAGATACGTCTTTTCCACCCCAACTCCCGCACGCTACATGTCGCTACCGCAAAGGAGGCCGCCATCGCGCCGGGCCGGAGTGAATAGGTATTTCCCCAGATTCCACCCCATGCCGCCGCAAGGTAGTGGCTTCCTCGACCTGACGGCCGTGACCTAAGCACATTGCATCATCGCCTCATCCTGACCCGTCGCGCCTTCCCACGCCCTTTCACACGCCCCTTTCCCTCCCGGTCGGCGATAGAGACTGGCTGACTACGCACTTGCCTGCGGCATCCACCGCTCCTCGCCCCTCCTCGTCCCAGCAACGGCAGCGCTGCCCGAGGCATCCACAGCAAGCAACACGCCTTCCCTAGCAACCGGGCCCGCATTTGTACTGGTTAATTTGGCACTTCGTGACCTGGCCGGTGGCATTTCATCATGGACCATTCATCCCACTCTTCGAGCTCGTCAGGAGATGAAGCCCGAACCATGGGTCGCCATCACGGAAGCCGTCCGCGTTTGCCCAAACGTCTGGAACTCGATCTGAGCGCTGCTATCAGCCTAGACCAGAAGGCCCAGCTCCAGAAACTCGCCAGCTCCATCATCGACAGAATGCAGAGCCAGCTGTGCGAGACCTTCGACAATCTCGGCCTCGGCAGCGTCCCGCCCGGCCGAGGGATCAACCCACCTAGGGCCACATGCAACGCCATACCCAACCCCTGCAGCGACAAGTACCGCCACATGTACGGTGACGTTGGCTTGAGCAAGGAGACTGACCTAGGAGATGGGGTGGGAGACGGGGCTGGAGACGGGGAGGGCGCCGAGAAGCCAACGGATAAAGCTGATGTTCCTGCTGGATTGGAGGCACCGAGCCCTAAGTGGAAGATACCCAAGTCCCCTGACGAAGCGCGAGATATGTATGGGAAGACGGACGTCGATGTACTGATCTCTAGCCTCTCCGAGCTGAAGCACGATGCCGTCGCACACTTCGGCAAGTGGCGCGCAAGCATCCTGAGGCGTATACAAGACATCGTAATTAAGAATGGCGGAACCAGCGGCAACGTGAGCGGCCGCGTTCTACAGCAGACATCAGGCAATGTGAACCGGCCTGGTAACGCCGTGAGAGGAAGACTGCCGACACCAAGTGGTAGGTTCATCCCCCGACGCTCACTACAAACACCTTATGTATCTTTCTGTTCGATACCGCCCTCTTCTACGTCCAAGCCTTCCCCGGCAACTTCCTGCCTGGTGGCGCGGGACCGCCTTAGCCTCACCATCGAAGGCGCCCTCACGATCCGTAGGTAAAGCTGACTAGCGATCACAGGACCAAGCGCATCGGCTACGGATTCGGCCGTCGTTCTTGCTAGACTCCACACCCCGATTCCCACGCCCCTTCAAGACACCCCCAAGGAAAAGCGCGCGCTGATCCTGCACTCCATGATGTTGATTCTCCTAGGAATGGACCACTATTCTCTATACTCGAGGATCTTTCTGGTGAAGCTCGCTTCCTCGCTGAATATCCCAACATGGGTCTTACACCAAGACGAGGTTAGGGTCTCCGGGGCACTTTCGAAAATCATAGAAAATATCCCCCCTGCCGAAATTGTCCAAAAGCGAACGGAGGAAGCTAAATCGTCAAGTCGACGCTGGAAACCCGGTACCGCCCCGGGGGCCGTCGCTACCGCGCTTGCGCCCTCCCTCGCCGCCGCCGGAGTCGGCACAGTGTTCGGGGGCTTGGGACTTGACGAATCTGCGACGGCTGGTTTGCTAGGACCCATGGCTGAGAACATACCCACGATCGGTATCTTGTTCGGTCTGTATGGAGCCCGGCAGAGTACTCGAACGATGGAATCGTACGCCAAGGACATCCAAGACTTTGGCTTCGTGCCTCTACATGGCCCTCCCCAGCGTGAACTGAATGATCCTAAGGATTTGCCTACCGAGTGCCGTAGAATGCGAGTTACTATTGGGATTGGCGGCTTGGTGATGAATCATGACAGTTTCGCCGATCCTTGGCAGGTCCTCGGTCAACGAACCGAGGCTTACACCCTGAAGTGGGAACTGGAGGCATTGACGAGAATGGCTGTTGCGTTGGACACACTTTTGGGGACTTCGACCTGGAATATGGCCAAGAGGGAGATCACGTCAAAAACCGGTAAGAAGCATTCTCCCATGCTGCCAGCTGAATAGGGGCTAAAATTCGGACGAACTCTAGTTTTCGAGAGGTTAAAGCAGGCTTTGTGGCCGGCAGGCCTCGTGAAGATCAGCAAAGTTATCGAGAATCCGTGGTGTGTCGGGATGGTTCGAGCCGAAAAGGCGGGCGCCGCGTTAGCCGACATTCTTATGAGCAAGGTCTTCGGAGAGCGGCCCGTTAACCTGGTAGGCTATAGTCTCGGGGCCCGCGTCATCTACTCTTGCCTGATGGCATTGGCGGAGAAGCGAGCCTTTGGACTCGTAGAGAACGTGGCCATGATGGGCGCGCCTTGCCCATCCGAAGTGCGCGTTTGGGCGTCAATGAGGAGCGTCGTTGCTGGTAGATTGATCAACGCCTATTCTAACAATGACTATATCCTGAGCTTCCTCTACCGCAACAGTACTTGGCAATACGGAATTGCCGGATTGCAGAGCATCCAAGGCGTACCGAACGTCGAGAATCTCGACACAAGCGATATAGTTACTAGCCACCTTCGGTATACTTGGCTTGTCGGCTGCATCCTCAAGAAGGTTGGCTGGGAAGACGTCGAGTACGCTCAAGTTTCACAGCAAGAGCAAGCCTTGGTACAGCGTATTAACCAAGAGAGGCGGTTTGAGGAAGAGCATAACAGGCGGGCCAATGCAGAGGCTGGCGGAGACAGGTTCGGGAGAAGACGACGAGACGCGTAGGGCCGGGTAGCAAGCAGCAACAGTACCCGGGGAAACACCGACTCCGTCACGAGTTTCAGAGGTTCCGCCACGAATCCGGAACCGAAGGAACGGCCGGATATTTTTTAGTTAGGGAGTGGCACGCCTTATTGTTTTTCTTTCGTTTTGTTCCGTAGCCGAGAGGACTACGGAGAGATCCCCGACCTTGTAAGATTATACTAAGCAGGACTTCCGGAAGGGGTGGGTTATGTACTTCGCGCACAGAGCGCATACCCATAGATCAGGCGGATATTGAGAATCCGCATTGGGCGTATACGGATCAAAAAGACTCGTTTTTAAATGTCCCCTAACCCACTACCTGGACGGGGCTTGCAGGGCCGGACTGCCCGCCGGTCCTAACCACAAAGTATCGTCCGGCCGTCTCGCTAGCGCCGGCGAGTACGTTCCAGCCCTCCTCTGTGTCTGGATCGACCCCCTCGGGCTGCCCCCCCTGCTGCTTCTGCTGCCGCGGCTGTCCGCCTTCGCCCTGCTCCGCGGCCTCGGCTCGCCCGCTGCGGCGGGGCCTCCGGGCGTGGCCGACGACGCGCTCGGAGGCGAGGGCGGGGCGGAGGGCGGCAAGGCCAAGGGTCTGGGCGGCGCGGCCGGCGGCGGACTCGTCTCGGATGGCGCGCAGGGGCTGGACGCCGGCGGTGTCGACGGCGCGGACGGCGCGGACGAAGCGGAGCTGGGCGGAGAGCGTGGCGAGCATGCGCGCTTCCTCATCTCCTGGTTGTTGTTGTTGTCCTTCTTCCTTGGGGGGTCCTTGCGGGGCAGGGAGGCCCGAGAGTCGGAGGAGGTGGTGCAGGGTTTGCGGGGAGATTACGGGGGTTGTTTCCGGCGGAGAGGAGGAGGAAGGTGCGGGGGAGAGGAGAGAGTGGACGGACCAGGTCGGTGTGGAGAGGAGGGCGGATAGGCTTGGTTTGGTAGGAGTGCTGGTGGTGGTGGTGGTGGTGGTGGCGTCGGAGGTTGGGGTAGAGGAGGAGGAGGAGGATGCTCTCGATTGTGAGAGCTGCGGTTGCAGCTGTACGGGCCGACGTGCTGATCCTGATCGCTGGACCTGGCACAGCGCCCTGAGGCAGCTGCTGCGGAAGCTCAAATTCATTGTTGTTGTTGTTTTCAGACGGCGCAGAGGGTCTGGGTGTGTTGGTAGACGGCGCGTTATTGTTGTTTAGGTTCTCCCCGAGGCCCAGGAGGGAGGAGAGTTCGGGCTCTTCCCCCTTTTCTTGCCGTTGTTCTTGGGGTTGAGGTGTGTGAATATCCCGAAAGGGGGGAGATCCCTGCTAGAGGTGGTATTCAACAGGTGGTGAGGCTGAATCAGGCTGCTGCATACTTACCTAAGTGATGTACCTATACCGGAGGTTAGTAAGTTAGAGAGGTGGGTAGTAGGCCGCATGTATTTGGTGTGTCTAAGACACCTACAGGCTAACAATTGGGGTAGAATCCACTCATATATTGAGCCTTCTACACCTCTGAAACCTGGCGGCCTTACGTTATAAAATTTAACTGTTTATTTAAACCATCTGCTAGCACATATCCACTTACGCAGGGGTCCATGTTGCACAATGCAATAAATAGGTACTTATTTATTTACAGGGGCGCCACCTGAAAGGTACCTAGGTACCTCCTATCCTTACATAAAGCAACAACCTCTCGGAAGGAGGATGACCTCTCAGGTTTCAAGACGATGTCATATCTTTAGTGGAGGTCAAGAACAGCGTAACATCACAACGAAGCTCCCTTTGAGTGTGCCGCCAGGCTGTGACCTACCTACTTAACACCCTCTTCACTGCCTCTCCCAGCCATCTGACACCAACACGAACCAGAACCACTACTTTACTGCACACCTACGAAACCAACAATCCCTTTTAATATCACAATAAACGGAGCCACTCACCATCCACATATCATCATGGCCGGCGATCCTCGTGCCCTGTTACAAAAGGTCAGCCAACCTGCCCCGCCATTCTTCCCCACACCCACTACGAGCTAGTCGATGGCGACGGCGATGCTGATGTTGGTGCTAATGCTGGATGTAGGCCGACAAAGCGTTGGCGGGCGCCTCGAGCGGCTTTAGCCTCTTCGGTGGCCGAGAGGAGAAGTACATGAATGCCGCAGACCTGTACGTTGAGGCAGCCAATGCCTTCCGGATGCAGAAAATGAGTAGGTGGCAATCTTACGGCAGCGAGGTACCTACCGCCTAGGCGCAATACTAACCGACGTGTCGCAAGACCGCGAGGCCGGGCAAGCATTCGAGAAGGCCGCCGCCGTACAGAGCAAGAACCTCAACGAGCCAGACGACGCCGCGAACACCCTAGTCGACGCCTTCAAAGTTTACCGCAAGGAAAACCCCGAGGATGCCGTCCGATGCCTCGAGGCCGCCGTCACCCAGTACTGCAAGAAGGGTAATTTCCGACGAGCAGCGCAGCACAAGGAGAACATAGGCGAGGTCTACGAGGTCGAATTGAGCGATACTAAGCACGCGTTGGAAAGCTACGAGGCCGCCGCTGGGTGGTATGAAGGAGATAACGCCGCCGCGTAAGGACACTCCCCATCATCATGACCCCAACGCAGTTAGCAACGCGGGGTGCTAACTTGTCTTACCAGGCTCGCAAACAAGCTCTGGCTCAAAGTGGCCGACATCGCCGCCATCGAAGGCGATTACTATAAATCTATCGAACAATTCGAGAAGGTGGCAGGCGCCTCCATCAATAACAACCTGATGCGCTACTCAGTGAAGGAATACTTCCTCAAGGCGGGCATCTGTCACCTGGCGACAGGCGACGTCGTCGCGGTCAACCGTGCCCTCGAGAAGTACCAAGACTTAGACCCCACATTTCCAGGCACCCGAGAGCACCAGCTACTAGTAGACTTGACAGCGGCGGTCGAGGCAGCCGACCAAGACCAGTTTACAGACAAGCTATTCCAATACGATCAGATGAGCAAGCTTGATAAGTGGAAGACTACTATTCTTGTACGAGTCAAGAATAGCATCGAAGAGGCTGGCGAGGACTTTTCTTAGCTAGGCTTGCGGGCGTCGGACGCGAAGCGAGTCGCGAAGCGGGGAGAAGGGGGAGCAGGCTTAATACCCGAATGCTAATTACTTGTATACCTGGCGTTTTGTACGGCCGGACCGGGGGCAAGGGCTTAGCATGTTGTAGGATGAACCTGCGAATGGCGAGGTGGAGGGATACTTGGCCTGCGTTCTCGTTATTACCTCGTTTCGGGGAACCTGGATCGTAGTAGCATCACTACCAGCTACTATCTATCGGAATCTGAAAGAGACCACCGACTAATCGACCAACCAACCAACCAACCGGCCAAACTGTCTAGACCTTGGTACATGCCAACACGAGACACACTGGCACGAAACGGTTAGCTGTTTTCCCACGTTTCTGGGTGTTTGCATCAGACTAGGATTCGAGGGGCAATACATAATCGCTGGGTCTTTTTTCTCATCATGCCAGATTTATGATCTTGCCGGGGTCGACAGAAAAGGGGTTTCGTAGGGGAGCAGTCCCAGGAGGATACCTCCGTACCTAGGTAGGTACCTCCTTATGTGCCTGGAGATGTACTACGTGGTGGGGTTCGGCCTTTTTGGCGATAAGATCGATAAGGACTCGATAAGCGAAAAATTCCAAAATTCCATTTCGGGTCCCTCGCGAGCATGTTGGAGTCTACAACTTCTCCAGTCCCTCCTCCGCCTGCACGTCGCAACCCTCGAGATGGCGACTCTAGAGGAAAAGCTGGACAAGATCCGGTCGCCAAACCTCCAGAGCCAGCAGCAGGTCAGTACCCGCACCCTTGATCGACGCGGGAACGCATCCCGTTCAATCTGTATAGCTGTAACTAACCTCTCCCTCGTCTATCCTCTAGACCCATGTCATTCTGAATGCGGTCGAGGAAACACTCAAGGAACAGAATTCTCAACCGACGCCGACGGGATACTTTGCCGCTCTACTGGCGCTATTAGACCAATCCCTCAAAAATGGCCAGATCAATAAAGAATTGACACCCTCGGTCGTCTACCTCCTCGACGTAGTTACGCCCTATGCGCCGCAGCCCCTCCTACGATCCAAATTCACCCAAATCCTCACCCTCTTGGCTCCGGTTCTGCTCCTCGAAGACGCCGAGGCGCCCTTGCTGAGACCGTCAATCGGGTGTCTCGAATCTCTGCTACTCGCACAGGACTCAGCCGCATGGAAACTCCCCACCAACGAAATAAGCCCGCGAAGGGCTGTCGCGGGTCTCTTGAACCTCGCGCTAGACCATCGGCCGAAGGTGCGGAAGCGTGCTCAGGATGCTCTGCGGAAAGTGCTCAAGAACCCGCCCCCGAGTCCGTCTATAGACCACCCGGCAGCGGACTTGTGCGCCGAATCGGCCATGAGGAGCCTGACTGAGATAGCGAACAAAGCCGCGGCGTCGAAGAGGCAGAAAAAGTCGGCGGCAGCGGAGCACGACCCCGCTCTCATACACGCCCTCCAGCTTGTTAAGGCAATCGCCGCGGCAAGTGGTGGCTGGCCTAGCAGGAATCTCGAAGTCCTATGCGAGCTTTTACTCAGCATTGCGAAGAGCGGGAATGAGCACATGACAATGGCTGTTTTCGACATTTTCGAGATGATATTCGAGGGCATGGCAGATGAGTTAGCGTCTTCCAAGCTGCCGCGACTCCTCGAGATCATCTCCGAGATGCGCCCCTCGGCAAATGACACTCAATTGCTGCCCCCTTGGATTGCAATACTCTCGCGAGGTTACGATGTATCCGCCCAGACGGAGCCCGAAGACACCTTCCAAAAACTCCCGGATTTGTTCACGATGGTGTCCGAGTTTATGGAGTCTTCTTCGCACAACATTAGGATCTCCGCGTCCGAGTGTTTGATTTCGTTCACGGCGAACTGCATTCCCGATCAAGTCATAGTCGAGCCTTCGATTTATGACGAAAAGGTCCTCGAGAAGATCGCTAGGATCGCTGAGAATCTTCTTAGCCTAAAGTATCAATCGGCTTGGATGGAGACGTTCAATGTCCTCGGTGCCATTATCGATGCTTTGAGGTGGCGCGCTAATCCCATGATGCTAAACGTCGTGCGGATAGTCGGCGAAATCCGCGGGAACGATTCATTCATGGGCAAGAAGGAGGCAGATGAGGTTCTCGGCAAAGCCATTCGGGCCATGGGTCCTGAAGCCGTCCTCGGCGTCCTCCCCCTGAACCTCATCAAGCCGGTCAAGGGTCAGCCTGGCCGGGCATGGATGCTACCAATACTCAGAGATTATACGACGAACACGAACCTTCAACATTTCAGGACTGAGTTTATTCCTCTGAGCGAAGCGATGTTCCAACGAGTTCTTGACAATGGTGACACTGCAAAGACGATGGAGATTAAGATATATGAGACCGTGGTACATCAGACGTGGTCTATCCTACCGGGCTATTGCGACCTGCCTTTGGATTTGACGGTAGCGTTTGATCAAAGCTTTGCTGAGATGCTGGCAAATCTATTATACAAACAAGTCGATCTCAGGCTCGATGTCTGCCGGGCACTTAAGACCCTAGTCGAATCGAATCAGACAGTAGCTCGCTCTGAAGACGACGAAAATTTGATCCTTAACAGTCGAGTTTCTAAAGCAGACGCACAGAAGAACATAGCTTACCTAGGAAGCTTCGCAGGTAACCTCCTAGCTGTTCTCTTCAATGTCTACAGTCAGACACTCCCACAGTCCAGGGGGCCAATACTACAAACCACCAATGCCTACCTCAGCATTACCCCTGAGAAGGAACTCATTGAAACGTTTGACCGCGTCAGTACGATACTAGCTTCCGCACTAAATGAAACCAACAACGACGCTGGTAAAGATAAGAACCAGAAATCGAAGGACCACATGCCCTCTACCGGCCAGACGCTGATGGACTTGGTAATAACCATGTCTGCTTATCTTCCCCGGCAGAGTTTCGGAGCTCTCTTTAATATCGCCGCACTTATCATTGCTAAAGACGACGATCCCCAGCTACAGAAGAAAGCCTACAAGCTGATCCCACGTCTCGCCGAGTCCGAGATGGGCAAAATGGCACTTCGGGAACGAAATACGGAGCTTCAAAAATTGATACTTTCGAGCTCCGAAAAGGTCTCAGCCCCCGCGAGGAGGGAACGGTTAGCAGCGATCACCGCATTGATTCCGTTTATCCCCGATACTTCGCTTCACTTTGTTCCATCGGTGCTATCCGAAGTGGTCATTTGCTGCAAGGAACAAAACGAGAAGGCGAGAACACTGGCCTTTGAGCTTCTCGTACTGATGGGCCAACGATTGGCAGATGCAAAAGGCAAACCGATCGACAACAATAAAGTGCCACATATGCCCAAGGACGCACCCTCTGTGTCTGCGAGTATCGAGGAATACCTTACCATGGTTAGTGCCGGGCTTGCGGGCAGTACACCTCATATGATATCTGCTTCCATCACGGCCCTCACCCGTATCCTCTATGAGTTCCGGGAGTCGCTTAACCGAGAAGTGCTCAGTGACTTAGTCCAGACCATGGATCTCTTCTTGACATCGAACAATCGAGAGATCGTCAAGAGCGACTTAGGATTTGTGAAGGTCTGTGTCATCAGTCTGCCGACAGATCTGATACTTCCGCGTCTGCCAACGATGGTCCCCAACTTAATGGTCTGGGCACACGAGCACAAGGGCCACTTTAGGGTAAAGGTTAGGCATATTCTCGAGCGAATGATCCGCCGTTTCGGGTTCGATTCTGTCAACCGGAACTGCCCCGAGGCAGATCGGAAGCTGATGATTAACATCCGCAAGACCAAGGAGCGCAGCAAGAGGCGTAAGGATGCCGCCAAAGAGGCAGGCGACGAGGACGGGGACGATCGGCAGGGCGGTCGGCGGCGGAACCGGTTCGAGAGCGAATACGACGAGGCGCTGTATAGCAGCAGCGAAGGGTCCGGTGCCGAGGACGATTCGGATGCCGAAGTCCTGGGGAAGGGGTCGCGAAAGACACAGCAGCAGAAGGGCGGCACCGCGTACATCATGGAGGACGAGGATGAACCGCTGGACCTACTAGATCGTAAGGCGCTCGCCAGCATCTCGTCGACGAGGCCGGGCAGGCTGCGCAAGGCCGGCAAGACAAAGGCGAAGACGGACGCGGACGGCAAGCTGATCCTAGGCGGAGACGATGAAGGCGAAGACGCGGACGGGGACGCCATGGTAATCGACACTCCCGCCACGGCGGGCGCCGAGGAGAGCAGCGGCGTCGGGGCCTACGTCGCGGCGCTCAAGAGTAGGGACGTCGGGCGCCGCGGCCGCGGCGGACGACTCAAGTTCTCTAATAAGAGGGCGGGCCAGGGCGAGGGCGAGGACGAGATGGACGTCGACGAAAAGGATGTGTCGGTTATCAAGACGCAGATCAGCAGAGGCGGCAGGGGCGGCCCCCGAGGAGGAGGACGAGGAAGAGGAGGAGTATTTCGGGGCGGCTATCCCGCACGCGGCGGAGGGAGGAGCGGCAGGGGGGGCATCGCGGCTAGCAGGAGGGGCCTCGGGCAGGACAAGAGGCGGGGCCCGGGTCCGGCCTTCGCGGGCAAGGTCGGGAAGCCGAAGTCGCCCGGCAGGAGATAACGAGCAAAGCCGCCGGCGCCGGCCAGGCAGCTGTTTTGATACCCGCCATGAACTAGCACTTGACGAGATACGTATTACGAGCTTTTAAAGTGATTAAGGGGTTTTACGAAAGGGAACGGATAATAAAATTCTATGCACTGACCCTATGCGTGCCTCGAAACGACGACGTGATTGGGAATTCATGCGGATACGGAGTAACAACGACCGGAATTCCGGCTGCTCTATTCGGTGATATGGGGGCTAAGGGGATTTAGCGAAACCCGTGCCCAACATACAGATAGGTTAACTATACCAAGATATCATACCGTACTCATACACGCACACACACATACGTACACACATACACACGCACATCACACAGCATCGTAGAAAGCGCACCGCTAGCAGAATAAAAGCCTTCAACGCGAGCACTTCCTACTCCTCTACTCCCTCCCCTTTGAACAGAACGATATCTCGCGCCCTAAACGCCGTCCTCATGTGAGCGAAACGGGAAATCGAAGAAGAAAAACCCCCCGGAAAAGAGAGAGTAGGGGAAAATAACAAAACTTCCTCTCTCTCTCTTTCTCTCTCTCTATAGGACAACGGGCAAATTCGCTAGGAGGCACAGGGAAAGGGGGCTGTTTCTCGGCCTCTCTTCGCCCGCGTACCCACTTCCCGTCTTTCGTCTTTCCCTCTCTTTCTCTCCCTCTATTTGAACTTGGCGTAGATGACAGCCAGTATCAGGATCACCAGCACGGTGATGATGGCGATAGTGATTATCCGATTCGTAGCCATCCTATTGCGAGGAGAAGTAGCGAGTTAGTGAACGTTCCCGTATGTACGTCTTGTAAACGATATTATATTCTCTTATCCTCCCCTCCCGCCCCCGGCCTCCCCTTTCTTCTTCGGCCAGAAAGGATTGGGTGGGGGAAAGGGAGCGGGGGATTTCTTTTCCCCCATTCGAGGGAGTCGGAAAAGGGAGAGAGGAGATCGGGGTCGAGGAGGGTTATTTACCTACGGGCCATGCCCCGTAACGTCTTGACACTGCGGTCGACGTAGCCCTCGCTCTCGTAGAGGACCTGTCCGGTGTGGGCGATGCGCTCGCGCTGCTGGTGGAGGTCGGCGAGGGTGGAGGCGCCGACGGCCTCGGTCTCGGCGGCGAGGGCCTGGGAGGAGCGGAGGCGCTGCGAGGAGCGGTCGAGGCGGTCGGTGCCGTGGAGCAGCTGCTGGCGCTGCTCGAGCTGCTGGTCGGACGCGCCGCCGCCGCCGTCCGCGCCGCCCGCCAACGGGTCGTCCCGGTACCGCGACCCGAAGAGCGCCGCGCGGTCCGACGACAGCGACGCCAGCTTCCGCTTCGCCGACTCCACCGACGACTCCAGCGTCCGGAACCGCGCGTTCGCCTTCGGCCGCGACGACGACGGGATGTTCTGCTTCTCCAAGCGCATCTGCCCGAGCTATATTATACGCGAGGGGGGACGTAAGTATAGGTTATCGATAAGATCAATGAAATTTGGATGGGGGGAGGCAGAGGACAGGATAGGGTGGATCGAAATGAGCGGTTTAGCCCATCGTGGACGTCGCTCATGGGCCATGGGTGCGCATAGCAGCGCGCGAATGAACCGGGGATCGGGAGTGAATTACCAGTTCGTCGGCCTCCTCGAGCGCTCGCTCGGCCTGGCTAATGGCGGCCTTGCGCGGCTCGCCGCTCAGCTCGGGGATCTGGTCGAGCTTCTGGGTGAGGTCGGCCTGGACCAGCTTGAATTCGGCCTCGTAGCTGCTGAACAGCTCGGATCCGGCATCGGTGTCGAGGGGGGTCGCCATGGCGGTGGTTGGTATCGTCGGTTATTGTGTGTGGGCTTGTAGGCTGTAGTAGATAAGAAGAGCGATGGAGCAGAGACGTAGGTGTGCGTGACGAGACAATGTTATCGGCTGAAGAGAGTGTGTCGGGGTCGATGTCGCTGTTGACGTCTCGGGGGTGGTAACTGGGGTACGGAGCTGGGCGTTTGAAAAGGAGCGGCAAGTTCGGATGCTCACTCGACAATCGAAGCAGGCGAGAATGGCGATGGCAATGGCGGATCAGTCTGGCTGGTCTGAGGACTCGGAGTTGCAATGAAGAAGAGATGGAGATGATGCCTGTTGGGCTTGCGTAACTCTAGGCAGGCTGTGGTGTAGGTGCAGGAGAGAGGATGTAAGAGAGATGCATTCGATGCGATCTAGGCACGACGAGACGAGGGTCTTGTCGTCTTCGCCGGTTTGAGGCGTGGAGACACCAGCCACATTTTCACTTGTGTTACCGTATTACGCATCCATTTAAGCCACACACACGAGCAGGTATCGATGTACCTAGGTACCCATTCATTTCAAGGCTGACCCCTCCGTCCACCACGTAAATGTACCCAGTGCGTTATGGTCCGTGCCTGGGGGCGTTGCTGCGGAAGAATTTTTCATTCTTTTGGGCGGGACCGGGGGGCGCAGTATTTATACGACTGCGAGCGTACTCTTCTCTTCCTTTTTTCTTCTTTTCTCTCCATAAAAGTTGATTCCCCCGGGAGCAGATATTAAGGCTTCGCGACATCGAGAGATCTCTCTCGTTTCCTGGCGCGGAGTTGTATTACCCGGGCAGACTGAAACATGGAGCTTCTAAGAATTGGATACTAGACGGGTGTTTGAAGACGGCCGCCTCTGAGTATTCGATCCCGTTGAGCCTCGACATTCTTTTTTCTCTCTTGCCGACGGCGCTGCTCGAAGCCTGCTTTTGCTTCCGGTCTATCGCTCGCCTAACCAAGCCCCTTGTCTCGGGATATGCCGCTCGCTAGGTTAGATGGAGTTGGACCACCGCCTACGTAGCTACGCATGGTGGTCGTCTCCGAGACGATCCAGGCCGCGCGTAGCTAGAGACGAGAGAAAGAAAGCATCGGTGGACTTATTAACTGCGGCCCGTGGGACTACACAAACTACGTAGGAGGAGGTAGCCAGGCCTATCGGGCAGTATTACCTTATTAGGTACACGCTCGATGCTGCCCAGTTGGACATCATCGCGAAAGGAGGGAGGGGACTGGCAAGCCGGCTAACCAGCTGGGCAGGCTACCTGTGCGCGCAGCTCGTCCACATGTTAGATACGGCTAGACGGACATATATGTGGGCGCGTACATATGTATATCATGCCCATGCCATGCCATGCGCTCGTGGGTCGCATACCAGACGATTCCTACTTCGCAGGCCCTGTCTATGTGGCTATCTCTACTACCTGGTATGCATTGCATAGCTTCGCGGGATGCGATGGAGCGAGCCGTCGCTATCACATGTGAAAGAAGGGCAGAGGAGAGAAATCGTGCGCTTGTGATGCCACGTCGGGAACAGACACGGCCCTGCCCTACACGTATGCAGTTGGCGGCGACCTGAGGCAGGTATTATAGGTATCGTATTCGAGAGGCAGGTATTCGCAAGCACCCCATGTTGCGCTTGTGGTGATCGTCTGAGCGCGGCAAAGCTGCCGTCGACAAGAAAATATGTATATATACATACGTAGGAGGTATATATACGCATATATCAGCTAGGCGGGTACCTATGTACCTACCTCGAGAGGTACCCAAAGCAATAATAATAAGATACCTGCAGGTGTAGGTACCTCTGATAGAACCCCCCTGTCCTTGACAGGTACCTGTTTCAACTCTCACCACGCCCCTCGCGTAGGTACCTACCTAACATCCATCAGCAGATGACGGCTATCTGCCTAGATATACGCGTACATACATCAGGTACACCTGCCTTATCCTATAACAGGTACCTCAGAAACCAGCAGGGCGAGAGCGAAAGAATGGGAGACAGCGGCCGGGCTGGAATGCCGAATCAGACAAAGCGGCACTCTCTCTGTAATATCTGTCTGTGTCTCTTTTTTTCCTCGACCTCCAAACTCCAATTCAACTTCGACAATCTCCTCCTCGTCTGTCCGTTGTCCCCCTCTCAAGCGACTCCTCGAGCGCTCGGCGAACAACGCGGCAATATCCCAACTTGACGAGAACTCGTCCTCCGCAAGAAATCACAACAGCTGGTGTTGATATCGTGGGTGGTTGCTAGTCTATTCTATTCTGGGGTTTTCAGCTTGTGTACCTCTCTACCTCTTGACTTATCCAGCCTAACCTCCTAACCAGCCCTCTATTTTTTTTCTTCCTCTTCTATTCTGTTCTATTCTAGTAGACCCTTGGGTGCGGACGGTAGCGTCGCCCGACTAGAAGATGTGAGTGCGAATGGATGACGATGATAGAGATGTAACCTGCCTGCATACACTACCTCCTCTCCTTCTCCTCTCTTCCCCTGTCCCTCCTCCCTCCCCTACCTCCTTAGCTACCTACATCAGACCCGACTCCCAGTATGCTGCCTCATCCTGACACACCCATACACACACGCCCGCTACGCACACATCTACATACACATCTACATACCTACACATAGCCTCGGCCTCGGTGCTATACGGATGGGTCAGGCATCAGACGCGCCGCATCTAACCCCCTCCCCCCTACATACGTGTATCTACATATTAAGTTGCCTGCATCGCCTGTTTAGCTGGCCTCGTTTTTATCCCATGCCTCGCCCATGTGAAAGCGAAGCTCCCCCCCCTTCCTCTCACCTCTTCCACTCGTCTGCAGCCACAACTTACGCCGATCCGATTGGTGATGCTACCTGGACTGCGCTTGACTCTAGAGGTATAGCGTGTAGCTGTTCACGGCAGTCTGCAATCAGTTAGATCGATCCATCGAGACTGTCACCCTCCATTGCCCCCCTCCCTCCTTCACTCTGCTCCTCAGCCTTCCCATATTCTTCTTATACCCAGCTGTAACCCTTTATACCAGCCTGCTCCACCCCTATCAGCTTACCTCGTAACTCTTACAAGTACATACACGTATACCATATACATTCATAATCAACAAGATCTCCTACTCCTACCTCTTCTCCCCCTTTCCTACTCTTTATCCATGAGTATCTCTCTCTACTCTCTAAACTCCCCGGCACATCGACGTTGACCGCGTTGTTCCCCCCCTCCTCCTCCCCCGAACTCGTATCCTCAGTACATAGCTGTTGGATAAGAAACCCATGTCATCGTCGACTAACCGGGTACCTAGGAAGAAGGTAGCCATCGTCGGCAGTGGTTGTGCCGGACTAGGTGCCCTTTGGGCTTTGAATCGCACTCACCATGACGTCTATATCTTCGAGGCCGCTGATCGTCTCGGCGGCCATACTAATACGGTAGAATGGAAGAAGGGGAAATTCACCACCCTCGTCGACACCGGCTTCATCGTCCTCAACTCGGCAACGTATCGTTCGTGAGCCTCAAGCCCCCGGACCCGTAACTCCCCAGCTAACCGGTGGCCAGCGAACTTCCTTAACTTCTTGAAACGGATCAATGTCAAGACCGTGCCCACCCAGATGACCTTCGGCGTCTCGCGGGACCGCGGGAGCTTTGAGTGGGCGGGCACGAGCCTCGATTCCATCTTCTGCCAGAGGAAGAATCTCTTCTCGCCCAGGATGTGGAGGCTGATATTCGACATCATCCGTTTCAACCAGTTCGCCCTTGACTTGTTGAAAGACGGCAGGGAAAGCTCTGGAGTTCCGGACGAATCCGCGGAGACGATTAGCCAGTACCTGGACAGGGAAGGATATTCGGAAACGTTCCGCAACGACTATCTTATACCTATGGCGGCTGCCGTATGGAGCACGAGCCCCGATAAGTGCTCGTTGGAGTTTCCAGCGGTCACGCTCGCCCGATTCATGTGAGTTTATCGGATAGGACCAGCTAAGAGGGGCAAGAGCGCTAACGGTTGTTCGAAGGTGGAACCATCACCTCCTCAGCACCGTAGCTAGGCGGCCGGAGTGGCTGACTCTGGAGGGGGGCGCGAAGTCGTACATCGATAAGATGATGAGGGGGTTCCCGCCGAATCACATGTTCTTGAAGACGGCCGTGAAGCACCTCACCAACGACGACGATGGACGTGTCCGTTTGCACCTGGAAGATGGGAGGACGGAAGTATTCGACCACGTCATACTGGCGACGCACGGCGATCAGGCCTACCAGATCATCGCGCCGTCGGCCACGGAAGAGGAGAAGGCGATCATGTCGTCATTCAAGACGTCAGAGAACACGTGCGTTCTCCACTCGGATCTCGCGTACATGCCGCGGCGGCGGAATTCGTGGTCGGCGTGGAACTACCTGGCGGTGTCGTCGCCGTGGACGGGCAAGGATATCGACAAGGTATCGCTGACGTACAACATGAACATACTGCAGCACATCCCGCGGGCGGCGTTCGGCGACGTACTGGTGACGCTGAACCCGTACCAGGAGCCGCGACCGGAGACGGTGCAGGGCCGGTACACCTACTCGCACCCACTGTACACTGTGGAGGCGATGCGGGCACAGCGGGCGCTGCCGCGGATACAGAACAGGCGCGGGGTCAGCTACGCGGGCGCGTGGACCGGCTACGGCTTCCACGAGGACGGGTTCAGCAGCGGGCTGGAGGTGGCGACGGCGCACCTCGGCGCCAAGCTGCCCTTCGAGCTCGTCGACTCGACGTACAGCCGAGGCCGCAAGCCCCAGCTGGGCATCGCCGACTGGCTGGTGCGTGCCGTGATTTTGCTTCTCCAGATGTTCGTCGTCGACGTGCTCGAGCGGATCTTCAACCCGAGCAGGGCAGCGGCGCGGGCGCGAGCACGAACGCGGGCACGGGCGTCGGCGTCGGCGTCGGCGCAGGCGAACGGCAACGCCAATGGCAGCGCCAACGGGATCGTCAGCGGGAAATGGGCAAACGGGAAATACTGGTAGCCGGCTCGGGGTTACTATTATCATTACTGTCGTGATTACATATGACGCCATCACAGTTGTCGTCACTGGAAACTAACTTTTTATTATTATTAAGGAACGGAAGCGAGAGCGAGGAAAGGAAAGGTTGGAATGTTACGAATACCCAATGAGCCGACAATTTGTACCTACGTCGTCGGATGTACCAGTTAAATATTCTAGAATACCAAAATACTAGATCGGGATGGCGGCACCTATAGCATATCCCACTTTTTAGGCATGGCTCCGCATCGACGCCTGTCCGTGGAGCACATACACGTAGACGGAGGAAGAAATAGAGAGGAATAATGAAGGGCACGGCGAAGAAATAAGCATCGTGGTGGAAGTCAGGCCGATGCTGCATCATGTATGTATGAGTACGTGCGAGACTGTGGATGTATGGAGGTTAGTGTGATGCGAAAATGTGGTTATTGCTGTGCGTCGCCGACAGGCTTACAGGCTACAGGCTACAGCGCCGAGGCAGTGGGAGGGCCGACCTGCCGAGCCACCGACAGTTGGGTGCCTGTGGGTACCTAGGCTCGCAGCGAACGCCTGTATGAGGTACCTAACAGTGCCCACATAGTGGGCCTGCGTAGCTCCTAGGGATCTCAATTTATAGGTGGGGCTACGGGGACCTTAGGTACTTGGCGACTAGGTACCTATTCCATGGGGATGTCCACTATAGCGGGGTCGACGCTACACTGTGCCAGATGAAGAGGTACCTAGGTAGCCTATGAAATCAGGTGTACCTAATGCCCAGAACCTCCCTCAGCTGTTTTTTTTCATTCTTTCCGGCGTGACCCCGCGACGGACGGGATCCCATCCACCACCCGACACTCCAGAATGAACGGCCTCTATCGGACGCCGTTGCGGGCATGGGGAGCATCCCCCGCTGCCCCGGCCTCCCTCTTCTCCTCGTGGGCATGCGCGTCCTGCCGCCGGGCCCGAGCCCCCGGCCTCCCGCCGGCGCCCCGCCGGCCCATCTCGAACAGCAGCGGCCCCGCAAAGAAGCCGCCGCAGGCCACTACCACTACCGCCGCCACCGCTCCCTCGATGGAACGCGTGCACGAGTACTACAAGTACAGGAATAGGACCACTATGTACATATAAAGAATCCCGCCCCTCAGCCCCCGTCCGCCCCTCCCTCTTCCACTCCCCATGCCGAATCCGCCGCAGCGCTTGGCAGCGCAGGGTTCTAGCGCTCAATAACCGTTTTCCCGCAGGTACTACACGCTCAGCGTCATCCTCGGCACCGTCGCCTTCTCCTACGGATCCGTGCCCTTCTACAAGATGGTAGGCGCCCCCTTCTTTTTCTTCCTTTCCCCCTCCTCCTCTCCCCCCTGAGAGCGGCGGGGGCAGGCTGACGACGGCGAGAACAGATCTGCCAGACGACGGGCTGGGGGGGGCAGCCGGTCCGGGCGACGGGCCACGGCAGCGCCGGCGACGGGGACGCGGCGGCGCGGCTGACGCCGGTGGAGGGCGCGCGGCGGATCCGGGTGACGTTCAACGCGTCGGTGTCGGACGTGCTGCCGTGGCGGTTCGTGCCGCAGCAGCGGGAGGTGCGCGTGCTGCCGGGGGAGACGGCGCTGGCCTTCTACACGGCGACGAACCGCAGCGACAGCGACATCATCGGCGTGGCCACGTACAGCGTCACGCCGGCCCAGGTCGCGCCGTACTTCAGCAAGATCCAGTGCTTCTGCTTCGAGGAGCAGCGCCTCGCCGCCCGCGAGTCCGTCGACATGCCCGTCTTCTTCTACCTCGACCCCGACCTCCTCAACGACCTCAACATGCGCGGCGTCAACGAGGTCACCCTGAACTACACCTTCTTCAGTAAGCGGCAGACCATCTCGCTCTTGCGGGCGCCGGTGGCGCGGGACCCAGGCTGACGAGACGTGCAGAGGCGAGATACGACGACAACGGGAACTTCAAGGCCTTCCCGACTTCGTGAATAATGTGTATAACCGTGTATCGAAAAAAGGATGTGATGATACTACCATCACCACTGCTCACCAGCTGTATATATCCGAATTCCGGCCAACCCGTCGCACCCTTGGCCTGACAGGCTCTCTGGGCGAAACGAGTTCGGCCCCGGGGCGAACTAGATGGGCCTACCTTCTATGAGCCGCCCGACGAAGAGGCTACGCATATTCTGCATATAATAGGTATTCAGTTGGTGTTCTCTTGGGCCTGCGTATTGGGACGAGTTAGCCCCCTTTTCAAGGAGCCTACAGTACTACGTCCGCGACCAGAACTTCAACCACAGCTATAGCGGCGCCGAAGGTGGGTACCTGGCAGCCGGACGCTTTGTACCATCATCAATAGCAAACAGTTGGCCATATCTCGCCGCGAAGAATGAGCCACAAGTTCGTCCAGACTCATCCCCGCCTACGTGCCTGTGTACCTAGTTATGTCCGAGGTCAAGCCACGAATCCCATTATAGCCACGTACTGGAGATACCGGCATCCTGGCCAACATTGTTATCGTAGGCCGCTGAGATCCCGGCTCTAGGCCACATTGACTAGCATTCTAGGCCACTGAGACACAAGGTCATACCGAGATCCATCGTTGCCGCTCATCGTCTATGTTTTCGAAGCGACTTCTTCGGCTCCCTTCGATCTACCGAGCATCTTTTCTTCGCGCCACTACACCAGCATCGGCTCAGGTCATCACCATGACCTCCCAGGACCGCGCCGCCTCTTCGGCACCGAGGACGCCACTGGTGCCCCGCGAATTTCCATCCAGCGGGTTCGAGATCATCGGCGCGTCGGTCAAGGTCGAGGAGGAAACGTTGCCCTTTTACAACCCGAGGCTGTTCTATCCCGTGCGTATCGGCGAAGCCTTCGGCGACCGGTATCAGGTCGTTGCCAAGCTTGGCTACGGCACGACCTCGACGACGTGGCTTTGTCACGATCTCGTGTAGGCTTCCGCCTCCGTCTAGAGAATCGCGCTGACCGTCATTTCTCAAGGGATCACCGATATGTGACGTTGAAGGTGCATGTCAATGCTCTGACTTCGAACCGAGAGCTGGAGGTCTATCAGCATCTGAAGGGTGTCGAGTCAGATCACCCAGGCCGCGAAATGATTCGGATGCTCAAGGATTCTTTCAAGCTGCAAGGACCACATGGTACACATGAGATTTTCGTCTTGCCTCCACTGGGCCTGAGTCTGGGGGCTTTCCAAGACATGATGCCGCGCCACGTCTTCGCTCAGACAATCGTAGCGATAACCCTCCAGCGAGTCCTGGCTGCTCTCGACTTCCTCCACGGCCCTGCAAATCTTACCCATACCGGTAAGGCATCTCTTGCCGAATTCTGCTTGCTATAGGTACCTGTTCCTGTCTGAGCTCGAATCGCAGATATCCATGCGGGCAATCTCCTCATCGGCATCGACGACGAGTCGCAGCTTGCGGAATTTGAGGAGGCCGAGCTCGTTAGACCATCATCGAGGAAGATGGTCGACGGCATCACAATTCATGTTTCTCAGTTCATGTTGAAAAGCTTTGGCCCACTCTATCTCTGCGACTTCGGCGATGCTCGGGTTGGTAGCGAGCACGAGGGGATTGCTATGCCCATCCAGTATCGAGCGCCGGAGATCATTCTCGACATGCCCTGGAGCCACTCGGTAGATATGTGGAGCGTCGGACTCCTAGTATGGCTCCCTCCCTCTGTCCTCTACCTTTAATGTACCTATTACTTATTCTACCAGGCCTGGGATCTCCTCGAACCGGAAAGTCTGTTCCGTCTCTACGATGCTAACGATCCAGCACGGAACGAAGCGCATCATCTGGCCAATATGATTGCCCTCCTCGGTCCCCCGCCATTGGAATTCCTGGAGAGGAGCTCGAAATCACGCGAATACTGGGACGAGAACGGTAAGGCTGATAACCTATCCGTTTCTGTGAATGACGCCGACAACTTACCTATCTCTCTTTTAGGCAACTGGAGAGGCATCGTTCCTATACCCACGGAGAGGAACCTGGACTCTCTCGCGACGTCGTTGGAGGAAGGTAAAGATAGGGACGAGTTTCTGGATCTTGTTCGAGGATTGCTCCGCTGGCTTCCCGAGGAGCGACTCAACTCCTACGAGGCGTTTTCGCATCCCTGGGTCTCGGGGTCTTGAAATGTCCCAAGGATCGGGGCACCTACCTACATCAAGTACCTACCCAATGTTATTAGAGCCGTAATGTCTATTACCTTAGTGAATCAAGTCACTCAACAATTTTTACAATCCACGAAGACCAAGCGCGAGATACCTACGGCTTCTTTTGCCAACAGCGAAGATCAAGAAATCGTCCCCCAGTAGGAGGTTAGCTGGTTCCTGACTAGACTAGGTACGTCCCTGGTTTAGCGGGTCCGGGCGCGACTCCGCACGTGACGAGATTTGGAGCAACAACGTCTTACGTCACTGGCCCGACCTAGGTACCTGACCTTGACTACGGAGTCGCATAGCTACAACTGGGAAAAAACTCCACTTTTCGGTACGTACACCCTAGGGGTGTGGTAGGTAGGAAGGTGCAGGTTGAATATTCAATTATACGTAGGGAAGGAGCTACCCTCTGGTTAGGTCCTAATAGGTAAGCTAGACTACCCCTTCGCGAGCCGAGTATTTTATATAGGTTTATATATAAACGATTTATCCCCGTAAAAAACCGGGAAAAAATCGAAAAAATCGAAAATTTACTTACGTAATTAATTAGCTTAATTAAAGTAATATATAAATTTTTCGAATTTTCTACTTATTAATATAAGAAGTTATATACGATTTAAAGTTTTTTAAAATTACGTTAATAGTTTCCTATATAATTTATTAATAACCTTATTAACTATACTTATACCGATATATTTACCTATTTCTTTTACGGTAATTAATGGTTAATTAACGATCAAGGAGAGCTACCCAAGTACTATATATCTATTACGTAACACCTATAGGCATATAAGGATTAGCCCGATCCTCTACCTAGAATAGAAGATAGCTTCTAAATTAAATACCTTAATATAACTAGTCTTACCTTATTATTTCCTACCTATTTATTATTTACTTTACTTTACGTACGTACCTATTAATACTAATTAATATTACTAGATAATTAGTAATATAGATTAATAAGGTTAGAAGAATTACTACTACCTTAATCGGAAGAATTACTATTACCGTAGTAACACTAGCGATACTAATAAAAGAAAGAATCTTCTACTACTACCTATCTCCTTCTAGTACTTTCCACGGGTAATAGTTTTTACGACTACCTCTCTTCCTACGATTACGTTAAAAAGACGCTATCCTACCTCTTTCTTTATTATATCTTATAATTATAACGAGGCTATCTTATTTTCCTACTAAAGATTAATAACCCCTATCTTCCTTCGATTCCTATTATTAAGATTTATTAAATATATCGGATTTAAAGGTATTAAAAACCTCGGCCTAAGGAGTTAGTAAATAACGAATAAAGCTAGGACTTAGCGAACCTAAAAACCCTATCCCGGTACTTATTTTCGGACGCGAACCGCTAGGAGGACCCCCGGGAGGCTAGGACCTAAGGGACGTAAAGGATTTCCGCGACCTTCTTAGACTTATTATAAGACGATTAACCGCGATAATAGCATAGTTTAATCCGTAAGTAATTAAATAGTAATAGTTCGTACCGGAAATTACTAACCTACGATAAAAGGTAATATAGATATTAATGGTAATAACGGACTTCGAAGTAACGGATATTAATACCTTTAACGTTCGTATTATAAATAAAGCCCTTTATAATTATTAGGAACGATTCCGAGGCTATAGGGAAAAGGAGTTCGAATTAATACCCGCCGTCCTTCGTTCGTTCCTACGTAATGCCCTAATGAAATAAGGTATTTACGTAAGGAGAAGTAATACGAAATACTCCCGAGAACTCGCGGAACTAATATAAGCGGGAGGCCTTCCGACCTAGAATTACTAGGAACTTTAAACGGCTAAGGCTAAGTAGCTTAATACGCTAGTATGGAAAACGCTAACGATAAAAACTAACCAAGAAACGGTATATCCCGAATTAATAAGATTAATACGAGGGAAACTAACCTCCTTATAATTCGGGGAAGCGGCGGCCGAATTATTAACATAATAAACCCCTACTCCGCTTCGACGAGTTATATACGAAAGTAACCCCCCTTTTATCCCGATTAATCCGTAGTTCGAAACCCCGCCTAAGTATAATTTTCTTTATACTAGATCCCTTAACGAACTAACGCCGAGACTATAATAAATAAGATTAGCTAGGAGCTAATAAGGATTACTACCTAATCCTCCGCTAATATCCTAACCTAATTAACCGATTCCTCCTCCTCGAAATAACGTCCCGCTAACGCCTAATAACCCCCCGGGTTTACGCTAAAACGCGCCTCGTTAATAGGTACCTCCGCCGTAAGCGTTAAAGGCGTCTCTACCTTTCTAACTACTTCCGGCCCTTTAATTACTACCCTTTCCTCCCCCTCCCCTTTAACTTTACTTATACCCGTATCTACTTCTAAGGTATCCGCTATACGGATATCCGCCGTACCTACCGATAGGCTTCTAATAAAGCTACGGACCGTATAGGTCGTATAACCTATGGATATTATTATTTCCCTCTTAGCTATACCTATCGGTAGAAGGAAACGATCGAGCGAGGAAAAGGATATAACCCTCCCGGGGAAATTAATATATTACCCCGGAACTAAGATATAACTAATATCCTAAAAGCTAACTACTAATAGGTTACTTAAACGAAGGAATTCCCGGAGGACGCGGTTCCTCCTTACCGATGGAATAATCGCGTACGCCGGGAACTAAACCGCCGCCGCCGCCTATTCCAGGGCCTAACCCCTTCCGATAATTACCTATATCCATCGGGAACTAAGAATAACAAACCTATTACGATATACTACCTACGAGGATACCGAACGAACTATACCTTCCGATTATCGTAAAATACTTTAAGAAGGCGTAGAATAAAGAAAATAATTATACGAAAGAAGTATACGATATCCTAGAGGATAAGTTCCGATTCTTCTTAAACGTTTATTATATTATTAGGATCCGTTAAGTATAATTCCATACCGTTTTCTCGATAATCCTATTAGGAAGGGTAGCCATTTACTTCTTATATAACGTCCTTAGATATTAATACTTCGTTAATATATACCTCGTAATAAAACGTTATTTTAATACGGAATAGAATAAGATCTAGTATTACTACGATTAAACGGCTATTACCTTTTATAATATAAAGGCTAAGAAAGGTAACGAAGGTAAGTCGGACCTAAAGGTACTTTAAATAATACTAAATAAGCTAGCCTTATATTAAAAAATACTTAGTCCGGACTTTAAAAGGAAGTAATAATTAATCGCTACCGTTTATCGAGTTTGCCGTAACGTTCCTTAGTTATAGTATACTCTTTTCGAACCTTCCGTACGTTTCGAAGATATAGCTAATAAGCTTCGTACCTCGATTAGTACCTATAAGAATCTTAAGGGAATACGTTAATTTACTATAGATAAAGATAGCGATAGCGGCAAAGGAAACGATTAATACTACGTCGATCGTAAATACTACCGTAACGATAAAGGGAGTAAATATTACGATAATAAGAAGGAGAGGGGCTATTTCGGATAGTAACGAGCGTAAAAAAGAAGGTACTAGATATATAAAAAGGAGGAATACTAGTTTACTAAATACTCCGAGAAGGAGAGGAAGGAGGTAAAGGCGCGGTAGAAGACTAATAAGGATAAACCTAAGGGTAATTATACGACATTCCTAGCCGATTACGAAGGAATCGATAAATAAAAAGAAGGCTTAGGGGCTAAATAAAACGACGAACCCGGTACCGATTAAACGTCGGATAGTAATAATAGGTAATATATAACCGCTATTTACCTATCCGATTAAGTATTCCGGTATCGCGTTATCTTATATTCCCCGTAAAAGGCGACCGGTATCGGCGATACCGTCTTCGTCCTTAACCGATACTCTAAGGATATCTTTTAAGGCATTATACTAGATATAAATATAATAAGAATATCTACCGCCGGTAAGGAATAATACCTTACTCTCGCCCGGGAATACCCGGAATAATAACTCGAAATTAATAATACCCGAGCGGGAAAGGCGAATATCCGATTCGGGGACGAACTATTAATAGGCTCCTTAAGAGCCGTAACGGTCGATACCCCGTTTAAATACGTCGATTTCTACGTAATAAAAATAAATACCCCATTTCTTCTATCCCTTAAAGATATAAATCGCCTCGGTATTTACCTTAATAACGTTACCGATTAACTAGTCTTTAAAGATAATACGATAGTCTTAGTTACGCGTAAATAAAGGTACCCCTAGCTTTAACTTAATAATAAGGCCTATTTTACCGTAGTATACCTTACGGAAATAAAACTACGGCGTATTTATACCCGCTTCGGCTACCCGTCGGTTAATAAGCTATATAACTTACTTAATAAGGCCGGCTACGACGTTAATATTAACGAGATTAAGGCTATTAATAAGTTCTATTATTATTATTAAGTAAAAGGCGCGTTACCCTAGAGGTTTAGGTTTAGCCTAAAGGATTTAGATATAAACTTTAACTACGAAGTAATTATCGATATTATATACCTCGACGGCTAACTAATACTCTACGCTATAAATATAGCGACTAGGTTCTAAGTAATAAGGTTTATAAGAAAGGTTTCCGCCGGAAAGACCTAGGAAGTTCTTAAATAATACTAAATTAATACCTATCTAGGACTACCGGACGTCGTTACGTACGATACCGGTATAAATTTCGATAGCATTAAATTTCGTAACGAAGTACGGTTAATAGGAGTTACCTATAAATAAGTACTAATAAAAGCGTACTAATCCATCGAAAAGGTTAAAGAATATTACGGCCTAGTCCGTAAGGCATACGAAATTATCATATAAGAAACGGAAGGTTTATTTAAAGCATCCCGCCTATAAGTAGCCGTTAAGATAATAAACGATACGGCCGGCCTAAACGGCCTTATACCTACCCTTCTCGTCTTCGGGGTATATCCTAAAATCAATATAGACTTACTACCTACGGCGTTATAAACGCAGAGAGCCTAAGCCGTCCAGAAGGTAATGATAAAGGTTAAGAGAATTAAGGTATAGAGGTTTATCCGGGATATCCTTAATATACGGAACGGATTAAATACCTTAAGGATCCTTTTAGGACGGCTACCGATAGGAAGCGAAGTCCTGGTTTTTCGCGAGAAAGGAAGGTAAAAGAAACCCTATAAGGTTATTACCGTTACGAATAAAGATATAATAATTAAGTCGATAAAGGGAACGTTTACCTTTAGAAGCTCCTACGTTAAACCATATATCCGACCCGAAGAAGAATTAATACCGTCTATTAAAAGGATCTAGGTCGAGATCCTACGTCTTACGATTAATCCAAACAAATACGAGGTTATCCCGGACGAAGAACCAGATATAATATACGTTAATATAAAGGAAAGAAACGATTATACCCTAGCATTAAAACTTCGAGCCATAAGAAAGATTACCGTACCCGGTAAGCTATACGAAGCGTTTAATTTAAAAGAACTAAATGCGTTATTCGACGAGGGCATCCTTTAACCCGAGATATACGACGAATTAATTTATTAAGGCGCTATTATCTTTAAGTCGCGTATAGTTCGTAAAATTAAAGGCAAGAATACTCTAACGTTATACGAGAAATCCCGTTTAGTAGTTTAAGGATATAGAAACCGTAAAAAGGAATTTATTATAACCTACGCTCCTATTATATAAAGGGCGAGTTAACGACTAATCCTAGTACTAATACCGACGCTCCGCTAGTAAGGAATAAAGATAATAATCCGAAATATTACCATGGCTTATACGTAATCGAGGATATTAATATAACGAACGATATTTATACGACTACCTTCGGAATTAAAAGATAAATACCCCGAGGAGACGCTACTACGAGTCGTTAAACTATTATACGGGCTCGTAAAAGTAGGTATATACTAGTTCGAGACCTACTCGAAGTACTACTAACGAGAACTATAAATAAACCCGTTAGCATTCGATTTATACCTATTAATTACGGATCTTAGTCGATTATTCGGAATTATAAGCCTTTAAACGGACGATACCCTAAACGTCGGTATATAAGAATTTCTCGAGCAAAAAAATAAGATACTCGTAAAAGCAAGGATTAAGGCGAAGCCTTAGAAGGTATTCGGACTAGGAATAACCGAAGACTTTAACGGGTTACGCCTTAAGTTCGACGATAACGGATACGGACTTACCGTAACCTAGAAAGGCTAAGTTAAAAAGCTAAATTTACTAGACCTAAAGGCGACCGATATAGCATAAAAGTTCGTCGAATAACGAGCGCGGGAAGCGTATATATCCTCGATCTACTAGCCCGAGGTAGTATTCGATTACTTTATAGTAGCCTAATATATTAACCCAGGAACAAGGGAAGCTAAGATCCTTAATACGAGAATTAGGTAGTAATTAAATAATAAGAACCGAGGATTCCGTTATATTACCTTAAACCCAAGGAACCTTCGTATATACGTCTTCGTAAACGGATCGTTCGCTAATAATACCGATATAAGCTCGTAAATCGGTTATTTTATAGTACTTAGGAACGAAAGACCTACCTTAAATACCGATAATAACGTAACGAAAGTTACCGGTAACGTAATTTATTAGTTATTAACTAAGTATAAAAGGGTTATCCGAAGCGTATTCGCTAGCGAAATATATAGGATAATCTAAAGGTTCGACGTCGGTTATATAATCTACCGCATAATTAATACTATCTTAAAGCGACTAACGTTACCTAAAGCGCCGTTAGTTCTATATACGGACTTCCTCTTACTATACTAGTACCTAATCCAGATAAGTAGTACTAACGAAAAACGCCTAATAATCGACCTAATAATATTAAGGTAATTATATAAGAACCGAGAAATTAATAATATACGCTAGATTTACGGGAGCTATAACCCCGCCGACGCTATAACGAAAGCATCGCTAAATAAAGCCATAAAGGTTTTAATAGAAAATAACTAAATTAATCTAAAGCTAAAAGGGTAGGTAAAAAGGGAATAGTAATTCGTAATAATTAATTACGAAAAGAAAATAAAGTAAGTAATAATTAATTAACGATTAAGGAAAGCTACCTAAGTACTATATATCTATTACGTAATACCTATAAGCATATAAGAATTAGCCCGATCCTCTACCTAAAACAGAAGATAGCTTCTAAATCAAACACCTTAATATAACCAGTCTCACCCCATTATTTCCTACCTATCTATTATTTACTTTGCTTTACGTACGTACCTACCAACAGTAATAAAGTAGGTCTATTACCTAATACTTTATTTTATAAAAAAAAAAAATCTAGTATTAAGTAATCTTATTTTTATTCTTTATTTCGGTTTTTATTTAATTTATTATTTTAAGAAAATCACGGTTTTAAATAGGTTAAAGCTTTTTAAAATCGTACCTATTTTTATAGTAAGAATTCTACCTTTCTAACTATCTTATTTTTTCATATAAAGAGGTTCTAAAAAAAAATACTCAAAATTAACGTTTTTAAGACTTAATTAATTTAATAAACATTACAAAAATAAAAAGAAAGAAGTTTATATAATCTTAATTATTATTTTATTTACATTATAAAGGATTAAATAATAGACCTACTTTATTACCGTAAAAGAAATAAGTTAAGAAGCCGATATAAAGTATAGTTAATAGATTTATTAATAAATTATATAGTAAATTATTAATATAATTTTAAAAACCCTTAAATCGTAAATAATTTCTTATATTATTTAGTAAAAAATCCGAAAAATTCATATATTAATTTAATTAAGCCAATTAATTACGTATATAAATTTCCGATTTTTCCGATTTTTTTCCGGTTTTTTACGGGGATAAATCGTTTATATATAAACCTATATAAAATACCCGGCTCGCGAAGGGGTAGCTCGGTAGCCTATAACTCTATTCGTATATATATAAGCTACTACGAATACAATATCAAGCTATCGGGGACTTGCATCGAACATATATACCTCCTCCTATTAGGGGCGTATGTATAGACGATAAAACTGGGGCGTTCCACCGAAAAGTGGAGTTTTTTCCCAGTTGTAGCTATGCGACTCCGTACTTGACTCACCTATTTATCCATCAGCACTCGCCCGCTCCCTCACTCACTAGGTACCTATCCATCCGTCAAACAACCTATCCCTTCGACGCCTAACTCAACCCTCTCTTCTCGCTATCCATCTCGCTACCTACGTACGATCGCGAGCCACCTCCTCCTACCAGCCACGGCCCTACACACCCGGACATAGGCACCTACCCCCAGCGCCCAGCCGGCCGAACCCGCCTACCTACCCAACCCACCCAGCGCACCTCCCAAGACGCATCGATCGCAGAAGAACCCCCAAAATGCCCGGCACGCGCGCGCGCCACCGCTTCTCCTACGCCTACCGGAGCGACTCCCCGCGGCCCCCCTCCCCGTCCTCCTCCTCCTCCTTGTCCTCCGACGGCCCGCCCCTCGACGAGCAAGAGCAAGAAGCCCTGATCGCGGCGCTCGCGGCGCAGAACGCGGGGCGGGACGCGCGGGCGCGGGCGGCGCTTCTCGGGCTCGCGGCGGCGGGGGCGCTGCCGCACGTAGTCGCGCTGTCGTCGTCGTCCTCGCCCTCCGCCGCCGTCGCGCCGCTGCTCGCCCTCGCCAGCCTCGGCGCCACCGCCTGGGCCCTGTGGGCCCTGCCGCCCGGCGTCGGCGGGCTGCGCGCGCTCGACCGCTGGGCCGCCGGCCCCCGCCCCGACCCCCGCCCCCGCGCGCGCCCCCTCTCCCCGCTCGAGGCCTCCCTCCCCTACCTCAACCTGGCCCTCTGCGGCCTGCTCGTCCTGGCCGGTCTCCTGTCTTCGCCGTCGCTCGGGGCCGGCGATGATGATAATAATAATGATAATACCGACGGCGACAGCCGCGCCGCGCCGCTGCTCTCGCGGCTGCTCGTCCCGCCCATCTTCCTCCCCGCCATCGTCTACGGCGTCGTGCTGGCCGCCAAGGCCGTCATGGCCGGCGTCGACCCGGAGCGAGACCTGGGCCCGCTGCGGTACGAGTACAAGGGTGCTTAAACCGCCGCCGTTGGCCGCTGCGGCCGCTGCTGCTCTAGTACAACGTAATATTAATCATGAGGGGGACGAACGAGGAGCGAGGATGATGACCGAGAAGGGTTTCTCTGAGAAGCTACCTAGCTCTCGAAAATTGCTATACACATTCGAGCACGTCTATCCGTACGAGTAAATCCAACTCAACTTCATTTCTTCTCCATGTCATTATGATTAAACAAGTGAAGTCGTAATGTGCAAGCTTTTTTCCCCCTTCTTTTTTTTCCCCCTTTCCTCTCACATCAGCTCCGGAAGCTCCTGCGCAAACCAACCGAACGACCTGCCCGTATTTTGTGTCTACACGTCTATGGACTCGTTGAACCGTAAGACCCCGTTACCCCTCAGCAATCCGTCCACCCCCTTGGGGATGGGGAACACGTCCGTCCCTAGGTACGGCTCCGTAACCAGCTCGGCTGATTTGTCCACCACCAGGACCAACCCGTGAGACTTGATCGCGTCCACGAGAGCCGGGACCATGTTCTAGTAAGGCGAACCCCACACGTCAGTAGCAGTTCACCAATATTTGGGCGAGGGCCTCCGTTTGGGGCGTCGACTTACCAGAAGCCCAGAGCAGCACACCAGGCCCATGAAATTATTGCTCTGTGCTATTCTCACTGCCTCCTTAACCGAGAACGTCCTTCGTCCGCTGCTCCGAATCACGTTGGGCGCAAGCATGGCCTCCTCCCGGCCGAGGTCGTTGCAGAGGAACACGGGGAAATTCGGCTGCTTCCAGTTCAGGGTCGTGCACAGCGTCGGGTTGTGAGAGCTGAAGACCACCGATCTGACCGTCTCCGGGGCTGACATCCTCTGCGCGCGCTGTTCCCTCGCATGGTCGAATACTATCGTGAGTATCCCGTCTACAAAGTTGTTGACGTGAACCGTCGGCCCCAGCCCGAGCTGCCTTTCTTCTTCTTCCGACGGGTAGATGATCTGTAGGTTGACGTGCATCGAGTTGGGGAGTAGGGAGAGTGCCTGCTCCAAGGAAACCCCCGCCGTATTTATAACGCGATGGACCTCGGCGATGCCTCGAAGATCTTGCGAATGTACCAAGGCGAGCTGGGCGCGACCGGGATTCGAGGCCGTGATAGTCGAGAATTGCTCGAACGACAACCGCGAAACTGATATATCAACGCCGCCGCACGGTATCATCCACCGCGGCCATATTACCGGGATCCCGTCACTAGTATGCTGAACGTACAGCTGGACGAAGTCGCCGGACAAGCTTGAGCCGGTTACAAACGTGTTAGGGTTTTGGTCGAGCTGGCTCGTGGCTTTCCAATAAGTCTCAAAGTCCGTAATTTCCAACGGCGTCCCCTGGAACGGCTTGATCACTTGGGTATTGAAGGTAATCTGGCCGATCGCCCGTAGCCGGGGGTCGAATAACGGCAGACAGCACTTCCCCGAGCTGCTCCACGAAGCTCGAAACGTGTTGGGGAGGGCAACCGTCTTTGCGATGATCTTAGCGCCGTAGGTCGGGAAGACGTCGAAATCGAGCGTGAAAGAGTCGAGATTGTCGACCTGGAAGGATACGAGCCGGGTATCCTCTTGGAAAGGCAGCATGATGTTCTTGGGTATAAGGTCGGACAGTTTAGAGGATATGGTGAGCCGAGCGGCGGGATATTTGCTATCGTGGAAAAATACTAAGGGGTGGTCTTCGTCCTGGAAGCTGATTTGGACGACGGCCTTTGTGTCCAGGAAGTTATGGCCGTATCGGCGTAAAGGTATGATCGGAGGGGGCAGCTCGAGGATAGGAATAGCATCGACGTCGAGCGACATAGGAACAGGCGCGCTCCCGCTACCCAGAGGAGCGAGGAGAGGGCCACTCGCGTGCATCATCAGAGGGCTCACCGCTTTGCCTTTCTGATAGGGTGTCAGTTTTTGGATGCATTCTAGATGTCCTTCCCAGGCCGCATAATACATAGCAGGCAAATCCTTCTCGTCGAGGATGTTAGGATCGACGCCCACGTTTAGAAGCTCCTCTAGGCAAGGCACATTTCCCTCGCTAGCCGCGTGCACCAACGGCGTCCACCCATAGAGTTTATCTATCTGGTCGAGATCGGCACCGTATTCCTGCAGCAGGCGAAGCAACCGAGGTGTTTGGCCTGACCTCGCGACCAGGTGCTGCGGGTACAATCCCTCGGCATCAGGTAGTATCCGCGCGCCGTGCTGCAGGAGAAGCTCGACTATGTCGAGCGATCCATGCTCGCAGGCCAGGTTGAGTGGTATGTGGTCCGTCTCCGATACAGGATCCAAACAGGACGACGTAGCGAGAAGCCGCTGGACGCACTCGAGGTGCCCGTGTATGATAGCATGGATCAGCGGGGTGAAGTTATCGTGATCGATGAGGCTGATTGTCGATGGATCGGCTGCGCACATTAGCATACTTCGGCGTTGCGATGGCAGAGCCAGAGATCGAGACTGCCCTTACCTTGAAGGAGAAGATCAAGCATATCCAGTCGACCATGCATACTCGCGTAGTGCAACGGCACTCGCCCGTAGACATCCGTTCTGTTGACCTCCACTCCCCCCGAGAGACCGATATTTAACACGAAGGAGTTGCCGTATATGGTAGCCTGGTGGAGGCAATTCCTCTCGTTTATGTCATCCTCAGACCGAATGTCAACAAGGCCGGTCTCCAACAAGACTTCCAGGGACGCCTGAGGGGCTTCGTGGATGGCAGCTAGGAAAGTACGCGTCACCCTTTCCATCAAGGATACATCCATCCCCGTCGGCGAAGCCGAGCCGGCCCGCATCCTCGAAAGAAGGTCTCGTAAGGATTCCAAGTTGCCGGCGATGGCGGTTTCAAGTAGCAGACTATCAGCGTCGCCTTCGTCGGTTCCGAGAAGGTGCTGACTGCTCACCATGTGCTCCGATCGAGCCTCAAACGTGACATGATCGCCGTCCTCCCAAGCGCCTAGTTCTTGTAGGCTCGTCGTCGCTTGGTCCGAGAGCTCGCTTATCACGGTAGCATTGAAGAACGGCTGCACCTCCACGGCACGAGAGAGGTACAGCTCCTTGGTTTTAGACTTGGATGTCTTGTCCCATTTCTTGAGGATCTTGGAGAACGCGGTCCCATTGATCTCGACGAATTGCTGAAGCTTGTTTAGGTCGTTGGCAAATTGCTGGAACCCTTCTTGTAGCGTCGCGAACTTGGCCGATCGTCTAGAGACGCCCTGGCGGGACCGTAGCACTCTCTTCTTGTCGAGCAACGTTCGAAGGCGAATTTTGAGCTTGCTCAGCGTCAGCACTGAGCGCACGGTTAACGACGACGGCGTATCACTCACCTCCGCCTCTTTCTGGAGGTAGAATGCGTTGACTTTTTCTAGTTCCCGTTCCTGCGGCGCGTGAGCGACAACCCTGAAGCACGTAGCCCTCTCCCGAAGGAGAGGTGGATCGACCCTACCAGCTGAAAAAAGAACTTCGCTTTGTTTGCCTGCAGGGCGACTTGGGCGTCTACCGGTGAGGGAGTAAAGTGAGGATCATTTTGGGCGCTCAGGGTCGGGGTAGCGGAGAGCTTCTTGATGAGCTATTGGCTCGCGTCAGTGATACAATGCCACTTGCTCGGCAGCGTCCGTTCCATTTAAGGCAGCACGAATAAGAGGCCGAGTTCTAGGTGACGAGCCTGGACCGGATCTATTTCTCCCACTCAAAGCCCCACGAAGCGCATACATTGTTGGCCGAGGTGAAAATCGAGGGGCTATAGCTAACATACTTTTTTGAGCGCCTTGTAGTTCACGAAGCTGGCAGCATATTCTGGTACTTCGAGCTGACGCTTCTGGATTTGCTTGCCGAACTTCCTAAAGAGGGATTAGCGACCCCTGCCAGCGCGGAGCGGGACGGCCTAATGCGTTGCATGAGAGGCGCGGGATAGAGAACGAAATGGGCGACAATCGAGGATTGGACTCACATGATGCGGCAGAGGCGCCCGCAACCAGCCCGCGAAGGCTGTTTACTTTCGCGGAGGCCTCAAGACTGACGGCAAAGGCGTATTTCAACAGCGACGGCTTGGGCGGCTGTCTCCCGTGTGTGCGACTGAATGCAAGGAAGCGGTTGTACCAAGAGAGACCAGGAAGTGTGTGCGCGCGTATGTTCGTTTGTCCCCGTGTGTATGTATGTATGCGTAGGTATGTGTAGGGGTGTGGAGTGACGGCACGGTGGGGTTAACGCAGAACCGGGAAGTATTCAGTAGGTATGTAGGTAGGTATGTCTCTCGAGTCGAGCGATAACACTGCTTACTCGGCGAAAGCCGTCAAGTGGCGAGAGGCGACATGCGGAAAGTATGAAGTTGATAACCAAAGACAGCGTGTGGGCAATGGACAGAGATCTAGGCAATATGACAACGCCAGGAGAGGAGGGCGTTCTCCCAGTTAGCGTAAGACGATAAAACGGAATTTCCGCCCAACTGCAGCTTTCCAGGTGACAACCACCTCGAAATACTGCATCAACAAGTCTAGGTCAGACCAGTACGACACGGGTTCGGGGTCGGGGCTTGACAGGCGGACGTAGGTAGCAGGCAGACTGTACCCCTCCAGGGTGGGACTGGCCTCCGACGAAGGAGGAAGGCTAAGGACGTACCTAACGACGGGAGGGGAGGTCACGTCGACAACAATCTAACGGGTCATATAACGGCGTCTCGGTACCAATAGACGTCGCGGCCTCAGACAGCTGGGAACAGTTTGGTAATCGGGCGCGCGAGTTGCCCGAAGTATTGGGGTACGTGATCCAAGGATGGACGGTATGTGGTCGAGGTGGGGGTCAGACGGGGTGGATGAAATACAGCACCGGTCTGTGTGCATGAAGCCGCTGGTGATCCCGACGAAGGGTGCCGGGGGGGTTGAGAGGCCTGCTCTGTTTCTGGTCACGCAGGTGGCAGCGCAGGTGGCGGCGCAGGTGACAAGCAGCGACGGCACCGGTAGCAGCAAGAGAGAGAGGGCGAGGGTGCCTGATAGGTTCGAGGAACGCGGATGTGACGCAGGCGAAGAATAATGAGGCCGTGCCCCAGACTTTAATATGACGATGTCAAATCGGGCGTGGAGGGCGTGGAGGGGTTCGTCTCTCGAGGTACCTTACGGGAAAACCGGGGACGGGCTCGTCTCATATGGGAAAAGAGCCCTCCGCGACGCCGACAACCAGCTTGGGACCAGCGCAAATTCTCGACCGTCCTATCCTGGTCTCGAGGTGTCGGATGCCGAGGGGCTAGCGGTGATAAATAGTTGTGCTAGGGACGTTCTTAGGTAGTCAGCTTCAATCCTTGCAGGCGGACTACCGCGCGAGACACGATGCGATGTGGATCGAGAAGGGTCCAACTAATCAGCGGACAGCGGGGTTCGTAGCGATGGGGACGGGACGAGGGGTGTTTCGAGGGTTGTGCGAGACGTAGGTAGTATTATAATCCAGCTCGCGGGTGCGGTTGATGTTTGACTGGTCGGGGCGTTCGACGATGTCTTAGACGGCCACCGCGTATGGGTGGATGGGTGTCGCGAGCCTGGGGCATCTCGATATTTGGCATTAGCGAAAAAGCTTTTGGTGCCTCGCTAGACTCCCGATCACATTCGGTATACACGCACAAGACACCCGCCTACGCACACGCCTACACATGCCTATATTTATAATGACACATACCTTCCTGCTGGAAGTAAGGTCGGTACCTGCCTTTAGCTAGGTACCTCTTACCCGACCTAGGACGACGTACTTACATCTGCATAACGGGACCCGTCAAGTAATAGGTAGGTACCTAGGGGGAGGATCGCATACCTTAGGTACCTATGAGTACCTGCCTGCGGTAGCTCAACGCAGAGGCAAAACTTATAAGTGGGAACAGGCTGGGCCTAACCTCCATATTAGCGGACTTACTGTGTTGTGTGCCTGCCCCCTAAATGCTACCACGGACAACATTAGGTACTGCTCCAACTCCATCCACATGCAATGGACGTCTTATGCCCATCCCTCATCCCCCCATTGAGCCCCCATTCTTCCTGTGCTCGCGTAGCATATCCAAGGCTTGGGGTACTCGTATCCATACACATGGGAGTCCTAACACCTAACACCTAGGTACGACACATGAACGTGGACAGAGGAATCAAGCGTGGTCCACGAAAGCGGGGCGCTGGAGCCGGGGACACCGGTCGACCTCTTCTCAACTGAACCGCCGATGCGACATACTCGTAGACAGTAGTAAGACGCAGGAAGAAGTAGGAGCTGGGCCCGGCCCGGAGTATACCCCCCCCTCCTCTCCCTCGGGGCGCCGTTGGAGAGCGAATTCTATACGAGCCCAGGACATGCTCGGCCGGCAAGAACTCGCACAGGTACGGGATGGACCCGAGGTTAGGTACGTGCAGAGATACACGTAGCTTGCAAGTGCTGCACACCCTGGCGGATCTATTACGTAGTAGGGAGGGTAGAGGGGTAGGGCAGGGCAGGTACCTAAGTATGGATTAATCCGTGCCCCTCCTTCCCCTCCCTCCCCTCCCGACGAGCTATGCTATTCCTAGGTACCTAGGTACCCACGTACCACGTACGCAGATTGTGCCTGGGAGAGAGGCAGCGAGGAGAAGAGGTGCCCGAGGCATACGAAGCAGCATTCTGTACCGCCCTACAGGTTGCCCCTGCGCGCCCGCTAAAACAACTGGCTCGCGAGGAAACGGCCGATTGCCATCACGGCGTAAAAGGGCACGCCCTCGCGGGTGGGGTTCCGGTAGCGCCCTCTCGCACCCTCTCGACCCCCCGGTCGCTGCACCTTCAGCCCCGCCAGCGGGCGCGATCGATCCACTCTGCATCGCAGCTACCTGTCGTAGATTCTCCTCTTCCTGCCCTTCTCCTCCTTCTGTGCCGTGTGCGCTCGGCCGCCAATCAGGGCCTCAGTCTTCACCCCGTGCTCCCTTGACGCCCTCTTGCGCGGCCCTGAGTGGACGTGGCCGGGGTGTCCTGTCCCTCCGGGCATCGACCGAGACGTCCCGGTTGCCCCTCCGAGCCGCCTGACCGACCGATCGTGTCTCCCCCCCCCTCTTCCTCCTCCTCTGTGCCTAGGCGAGGGCAAGAACCGAACCGACCAGCCCAGACCACCTCGACGCTCCTACGTCATTCCTCGCAACCGCCATCCCGTCCTCCCTCTCCGCTGCCCGCGCATTCGTGAACTCACCCGACCTCCGCGTTCCCCGGTGAGAAGACGTAAGGAGATAGCCGATATCCTCATGGCGTCGGCGCAGCATCTCGGATCGATCCCTAGGCTGTCCGCGCGCAAGCGGGCACGAATCGAGCGAGCAGGCTCATCCGGCGCTGAGGTATAGGTAGATAGACGTTGACAGCACCATCCACCACCAGTCCCGGTGGCCCGCGAAGCTAGCTCCACGACGACGCGCGGGCTGTCGCAGCGAACCAGCCCTCACGTGCAACCCCTATAGGTGTCGATTTCAGGCGGGAGTCGTTGTGCTGCGTGCGGTTAACCCCCCCGGCTGTCGAGGAGGAGAGAGAAAGTAGGAACGGAGGTTTTACTGCTGTCCGTCGAGGCGAAGCTTTCCTCCGGGTGCCTAACCAAAATGGCCCCTACCGCTATGGGGAAAATACCGGTAGGGAGCGAAGGGTGCGGGTACGATACCGTGGACATCTAGCCGTGGGGGGTTTTCCCGACTGAACGGGCGATTATACGGCTACCTGCCCCTTCGTGCCGCCGTCGTCGCGGGCCCGTCTCATTATCTGTACATAGGTAGAAAAGTGACGTTAAATATCCATCCATCCAACCCCCCGGCTGTCCCCAACTATACGTGTAACTCCCTGCGCGCCCGCGACCCGTGGCCGCTCCAGCGCGCGAGGGTGATGCGGCTGCCGTGCTGGTGGCGGTGGCGGCAAAGCAATGCAACAACCCCTGACAAGTTCCGGGCGCTGGCTAAGCATAAAAAGAATCCCAACCCGATAGCTTAATATCGACCTGAATTATAGCCCCCCTCCGCCTCCCCTGCCTCCCCTCCCTTCTCAGCTTCTGTCGTCCCATGCACGCCGTACGCAGAGCGCTAGCTAGCACACAAGCCCGCCACTTTCTATGACACCCGTCGGTCTGTGGCACGAATGCCGGCGCCGGTGGGTGGCTATCCTTCGCCCCTCGTCCCCAGGGCCATCCTGCAGATTGGTGATTGCCCATTCCCCTCAACGGGCCGATTCCCCATATTAAAATAGTGAGTTGTGAGGAAACTACAGCGCCAACAGACGATGAGAATGCTAGGTAGCTACAGTTACCACCCTAAGACTGGATATTTTATATATTACAGGCAGTTCAGTGTTGTCAGAAGATACGCAATAAAGCGTAGCAGGTATATATAGCGACTACCTTAGCGTGAACGTTCTCGAGGCTGGCATAGATACGTATATAGACAATTCTGCCCAACGTGCTATTACTAAAGGCGACATAAATGTAAGTCCGAATGCCTACTACAAAAAAAGGCAGGCTTCAATACCTGTTCTCCTAGCTGTCCCTACCTACCTAGTTGCTTTGATTGAAACTATTATTGTTTCCATATCTGTCACTGTTTCTATTAATACCAGGTTACCTGTGTGTTGAGACAAACTGCCGGGAAGAATAAGAAGGCCGCGGCAATTCTCCGATATCCTGGAACCAGTAAGACACAAATGTAACCCCTGCCATATTACATGCCTGCTAGACCATCCTAGCAGGTTTACACGCGGTAGACATGCCGGGAGGGTGCCTCTCTTAGGCCACCAAGCATTCTTCTATCTTGATTGTTGGTATCAACGAATACCTATATATAGAACCTATGATGCAGTACATGAGACACCATCTTCGTCGCCCTCTCCCTCTCCCTCCCCTTCCGAGTTGTGGGTGTTCTACCTAGGTCCTAAGACATAACATCGTAGCAATGGGCAACTACCAATTCCTGGCCGTGCGTATGCCGATCTGTTCTTATAGGTTCCATGACGCCGGTCCAAATAGTCAGTCTATGTAGAGCATGGCTGCTTCAAGATGTTGCGTTACGTAATAGGTAATAGTTGTCGTTTCACTTCCAACCCCGAAGCGTCGTCGCGACGAATTCGTGTTACGGGACGCCGGTGCTATTGTTGTCCTTCACGCAGTCATACCTTAGGTAGTTTACAGCGTAGACTCTAGTTGATCGACTTTTATTGAAACTCTATTCTGGCCAAGGGGTGGGCCATACACATGAGATTGCCGGTATCACACACACTAACAGCAACAGCCCAAAAGGGTTGGGTATGTAGTATCAATATGACTAGGAGCTCTAGGGAACATTGGACAAGGGCAGAGCCAGGGGTAGAAAGGAGAGATTCTCGGGGTCCAAATTGAACGGTGTTGCTTGAGACACCAGGACGGCAAAGAGGGAATAGCATACAGGAAATCGCTAAACTTCCGGTTAAGAGCACAGACCCCCGACGACCGGTAATAGAATACTAGTAGAGTTGGGTGGTAAATACTATTTGATATAAGTGCTTTGGAAATATTTTATATGAGGAAATCATGAAGAGGAACAGCGTGGGCACGCTGTAGGGGAGACGAAATGGGTCTTGGGAGGAGACCCAGGGCCCACTCTTCTCGCTTATCCAAGGGCAACAACATTTTCGATACCGCTTCCAACTACGACGCGAACTCGCGTCGGACTGGGGTTAGGGAGACGTAGAGGGGGATCCTATTTACGGGTACCAGACCCGCGGGTTAGCCGTTATTCCACAATTCAGGCCGACGGACCAGTCGCTGCCACCCAATAGGTGGCGTGTCCGTCAGCCTCCAGACGGTCAAAAGAAGAGAAGACAATGGCAGCGAGCCTTGGGTACGCACCTGTCCCAGAGCGCGAACACCTTCTGCCTCTTGATCCAATCGGTACTCTCCTCGGAGAGCTTCATGTCGAAGTCGTACACGAGGCGGGCTAGAATCACGCGCATCTCGGCGTACGCGAGGCTTCGCGACGCAAGAACGGTTAGCTAAACCAGACATTTTCGCAGGTAGAAAGAGAAGAAGTGTTTAAGGTTGTCATACTTGCGCCCGATGCAGTTCCTAGGGCCGACACTAAAGGCCTGAAGAGCGTCGAGCCTATTCCCCGCCTTAGCCGCCTCTTCCAGAGTGTCCAAGAACCGCTCCGGACGGAAGGTCCACGGGTCATTCCAGTTTTCCTTGCTGTGGTTCATGGACCATTGCTGGACCTCGACCATAGTCTACGCGGATTTACAGTCAGCTTTCTCCTAGGGGAACCGAGCGTGGGGGAAATGACGAGAATGTGGGTGGTGCTTACACCACCAGGGACGAACCGGCCGGCAATTTTGGCTCCCCCGAGTGGCACCTCGCGGACTAGACCCGAGGCCACGGGGGGGTACAGTCGTAATGCTTCGTTGAGAGCCGCAAGCATGTACGTCAGGCTGTTGGCCGAATTGATGTTGATCTCGTCTGCGCTCTTGAACGACGATCGAACCTCCTCCTGGAGCTTCTTGAGTGCCTCAGGATGGGCCAGCAAGAGGTAGGTGACGCCGGACAAAGTGGTAGCAGTTGTCTCGGACCCGGCTAGGACCAGAAGGGAGGCGTTCGAGACCAACTTCTCGAACGAGATGTTCTACCCAGGTCCCCAAGTCAGCACCGAGACCCCCTTTCAACATCGCGTTCGGGGGCGCTAGACCTACCCACTCCTCTCGTTTCTGTACGATGCCTTCAAATAGATCTTGTCGTTCTTTCTCCATACTCAACCGTTTCGTCAACATATCGTTGTTATACTTCATGACCGTTTTTAGCGAACCCCCTCCGACGGCGTACATCCATTGCACAGCTTCCCCTAGGCCCACGTAGGTCACGGATATCGTGAGAACAGCGAATTTGATCATTTTAAAGATAAAGTCGATCCAGGGGTGATTAGCGACGTCTTCGAGACAATTAAACGATTGCCCAAAGACAAGATCGCCGACGATGTCGAAGGTGGTCCAATTGTACCAAGCCTCCATGTTTAGCTTCTTCTTCCCATCACTGCACTCCCGATGTAGTCGCTACGTCCCACGACAAGGTTAGCCATCCTCCCCAACCTCATGAGCGGCGGGGTCAGGTACTAACGTCGAGCAGCAAATCAACATATTGCATTATGAGAGGTTCCTGCTGGCGCATCGAAGCGTCAGAGAATCCGTGGGCGAGCGCGCGACGGAACCTCGAATGCTCCTCGCGGTCTGCGCTGGCAATGGTTGTCGGCATCTTGCGAAGCGACCTGGTGAAGGTATGGGACTTGGCCATTTCGGCCACGTGGCTCTCGCCGCCGACGCGGTGACCGTAGATATCCTTCCAAGCCCTGGGGTCCGTATAGGAGAGGTGGTTTGGGCCGACGCGAACCACAGGTCCATACTTGTCGTGAAGCTTTTGGGTCTCGAAAGGTTGGATACCGAGGGTCTGTTGGATCGCCCACGGGAACTTCGAGGCCGCATGGAGCCGCGGCCCGGGAAAGTTACGTAGCGGGTGGAAATAAAGATTATAGACAACGCCCGCCACCGCGTATGCGACTACCTACACCGCCCAGTCTATCGTTAGAAGCCCTCCCGCAATAGAGCCAAAGGGCCCGTATCTCAAGCCGAGGACGTACCAGGAATGCTGCGAGTATACCGTACGCCGCAACATCAGACGTCACGACGCCCGACGCTTCCGCCAACTTTGCCATCTCCGCTACTACCCGAGGAACAGTCTAAGGATAGAAGAATAAGCTAGACGGACGCTATGGAACACGGACGGCGTTCGTACGCGATGGTCGGTAGACGTTCGTGTTGCCGGCGCCTGCGTATGCTACCTACGTATTCTGGACGGTAGGCGGCGGCGTGAGATATTCTCGCCTGTCACCCCACCGCCAACGTGCCCGCCGAGCTCGTACATACGCCTACCTTTATATACAGGTACCTATCAGCTGCCTCTTGCCTGCCCGCCTACCCGGCTGCCTATATGCGTTCGTCCATACAGAATATATCCACCTGCGACGTGTAACACATACGTTACATGATAAGGTATAGGGGTAAACTCCACCACGGACCTGCAGCCCTCGGGCGTAGCCGGATTACCTGATATACCTAGGTAAAGCTGGCCTTAGGTACCTCCTCTACCTCGAATACACATATGACCATGTACCTACACCTGGAATTACACATACCCACGTGTACATCATAGGTACACATGCATATACACGTAGTACATACCTAGGTAGATACTCCGATAGGAGCCGGGCACCCTGCAGTAAAGCGGGGGGGACCGCTATCCGTCCAGTCATCAACGGTGATGAAGCCTGGCGGGAAGCTGGTGAAATCCGAGGCCGTGTGCTTTGCCGGACAACCAGCGCAATGCAACGGTCTTCGACCGAGCAGGATGGAGATGAGCTAAATAACGAAGACTACCAAGTAGCGCTGTTAGGGATCGAACCTATCCCCCATTGAGTAACCTACTGATCTAATGGCGGCAAGCAGATGGCTGCCTAAACCATCTGTCGCTTTTCCACAGGTGAGACTCGAGATACCCTGGCAGGCGGAGAGGTGTGGAAGCGGTGCAGCCAGGCCGGCCTTCCTTTGACAAGACAGATACACGGTACGTAGTACCGTGTCGTGATCAGACAGCAACTCCCAGGCCAATCACAGCATCGCTTCTTGTCATCTCCAGCTGCCCGTCCGCGAATCGCAGGATTCCGTTTCGACTCATTTCCCCAAGCCTGGGCGGGTGGTCGGGTCCCTATAGATGCCCGAGCCTGCAGCTTACACACGCAGGGGCATGGAGACGGTGCAACCTCGACACCTTCGGTGCAGCTGCTGAAAAGCAAGGTGGGAAGAAACAAAGAAAAACATTAGCTACTTCGTATAGCCCAAGACTCTGAATACATCCACACCAACGAGGCGCATACGTCGATCGTAGGTATGTAGCGCAGGTCGAGTTGCGCGGGAATTCAACAACTCAACGGTATAATAAAAAAAAGAACCCCTCCCCACTGCCGAGAAGACTCCGGCTTACATCAACCCGGGCCGCCTCTTTATTTGCTGTCCGTCTTCTTTTCGGAGCTGACTAGGCTATCGGCCATAGCGTCGGCGGTAGCTTGCTTGAGTCTTTCGGTGTCCTCCATCTTGATGCCTCCGTTGTTCTTCTCCTTAGCCTCCTTTTCGTCCTCGCTATCGCCGAGGCTGAATGGGTCGTTGTCTGTGATCGGGTTTGGTTCGACCGAAGACAATGGCTGCCATTTGCTCTGCTTTCCAGGGGGCGGAGTTGCGCTCGAGTCTTTGGGAACGAGCCTCGGCGACGCGTCGTACTGGTCGATATCCTCAACGCCCTCCTTGAAGGCCACCTTGCGGCCCTCTGGCTTGGGGGATGTCGAAAGCGGGGGCGGCCTATAAAGGTTAGGATTGCTTGGCTGGCCGCCTTGAACTGGTCCTACATCGTCGTTAGCTGCATAGCCCTCCGGGAATGCATTCAACTTCACTTACGACCGCCCGGGTGGAGCGTCATGCCAGCAAAGTCGTCGCTGAGAACCTGGGGGTCCGCGTCGTAGCGGTTGTAGTCCGCGCTTCTGTGGCCCTCCCCGCTCCGCCTGCCTGGCCCGTTATGGTGTCGGTTCTTGGACGGCTGTGACTCGTCCTCGTCTTCGTTGTATTCCCCGTCAATCTTCTTCTTCAGGTTGGTGAACCAGCTGTTAACTTTGGTCTGGGTCTCGAGGAACCCCTTGCGTAGATTCTCCTTGATGACAGGAAGGTCATCATCGATGAAGCTGTGCTCTCGGTCGTACATCTCGTTAGGCTTCAGGCCGGTTGCCTGTTGTCGATGCTGGCCGCCGGGGCTTCGATTTGTTGTCCTCGCCTCGTAAGAACCGACATTATCGTAATGCTGGGCGAGCTGCCGAGCGTAGAGTTCGTCCGCCTCCACTTGCGACATAGGGGTTTGAGGGCCGGTTGGTCGTGGAGGTTGCGGCGGGGGAGCTGGATCATGCACGGGTTCGTTTTGGACGGCATCGGGATCGCTCATGCCTTTTGTCTCCAAGAATCAGCGGCAGATCCGGTTTCCTAAACCAAGTCATGCCTACCTAGAAGGGCATTGAAAGCAGGGTCAATCTGGCCGCCACTTGCGATCAACACGGCCTTGATGACCGAGATCTCGATGTTCGGAAATGCCTCTCGAAGAATCAGCTCGTTCTTCTGCTGCTCCGTGAGTGGTCGAGGGGGCTTTGGGGGTATGGCTTCTTCGGTCGTTCCCCGTGGGTTGGCGGCGCTTGGAGTCGATGAGTTTAGGTGGGCATTTTCCTCGCTGAGGATGCCGGTCTCTTGAACATCATCGTCGTCCATCTCAAACGGGCGCACGGTAGTTGGGGACTCGGGGGCTGCCGAGGTTGTATTGGCCTTGCTCTGTGGCCAGGGAGAACGACAATCAGCAAATATGAACAAATCCGGAGAGGGTTGCATGGAACCTCTTGGTTAGTAGCTCGCATAAACTCACCACATCAGTCGGAGCGGACATCCTGAGCAGACACAAGGGAAGTATTAAGAGGAACTGGATGGGTGACCTAGGAGGGGAAGACAAGATAGAGAGATGCAGACGGAGCAATGCGGGAATGCTGGTTGATTAACAGCCGGATTGATGGGGGTAGGCGAATTTGATACAACGGCTGTAATTGCAGGCAGGGACCTAATGTATCTCGGCTTGAGGGGCAACAGCATCAAGGTTGCGACGACGCGAAGCTGATGACGTTCCCCGCCACAGAAGGCTGAGCAGCCATAACGTATGTTACCTGCTGTGCCACAGCATTAGTAGCAGTCACTTCCATACCTACCTACCGTGAGCAGCTAGCACCCACCCGTCCTAGATACTTTCACATGGAAGCAGATGTCTGCGAGTGAAAGGTATCCAGCCTTACCGGCCATCGTATATAGTAGGTACATGGGTACCTATCTCTCGTTGTCAGGCACCGAGGTTCGACCAGTATAAGGCTAGGAGGTACCTACCTCCTAATGTAGTGTAATGTACTCAGCACAGCTCGAGAGGTACCTACTGTTCATACCTCTCAAGGCGGATGTGCGGGGGTACCTACCTAGGTACCTAGGTACTACACCTGTGTCGCTGGTGCCTTCAATCCAACCCATTCACCAAATCCCACATCACCAATGCACACCCATGAATATTGAATACCTAGGTACCTACCTGCTCCCGATCACGTTGAGACAACGGGCAGTTCCTGGCAAGATATCAACACATATTGGCCATGTTCTGGCCACTTGATTACGAGGAGACAATCCCTTGATCATAGCTTGGATTGGAGGCCCATGTTTCCAAGGACCAGAGAAGGAGTCGGGATGCAGCCATAGAGCTGTAGGCTCCCACCACCTTACTACCCTTACTACTATCCGAGAGAACCCAGCAAGGAAGGTCATCAAAAAGATGGCGGATTTCGAGCTTGGTTCAAACTTCATTCCTACCCTTCATAAACCCTCGGCTCTGCTTCCCATAGCAAAGCATCACGACAGCCTCCTCTATCTCATAGAGAAAAACCCCGTCACCATAGTTGTCGGCCAGACAGGTTCCGGCAAGACCACCCAGATACCGCAATTTCTTGAGCATGCTGGCTGGTGCTCTGATGGCAAAATCATCGGTGTCACTCAAGTAAGATCCGTGCCGCCTTCCTCTCATGATCTATACTGACCCACCATGGTAGCCCCGGCGTGTAGCAGCCACAACAGTTGCTGTCAGAGTTGCCGAGGAGTATGGGTGTGAATTAGGAAAGGAAGTCGGTTACTCGATCAGATTTGAAGATGTGACGTCTGCTGCGACCCGAATCAAATTCCTGACAGATGGATTGCTCATTCGAGAGGCTCTTGTCGACCCTCTCCTCTCACGCTACGCAGTGATTATGGTCGACGAAGCCCACGAGAGATCTATCAGTACGGATATACTCCTTGGCCTGCTGAAGAAGATACGAAAGCGAAGGCCGGAACTACGCATAATTATTAGTAGTGCCACTCTCCAGGCAGAGGACTATTTGCGCTTCTTTTCCCAGCAACCAGAAAACAGGGAATCCCGAGAGGGTGTGACTGGTAGTATCGGCTCGATAATTAGCCTCGAAGGCCGGATGTACCCTGTCGATGTGCTCTACCTCGAGGCGCCGACGGAAGACTACGTTGAAAAGGCAATATCCACCGTTTTCGACATTCATACCCACGAAGCGGAGGGTGATGTTCTCGTGTTTTTAACAGGGCGCGAAGAGATTGATAAAGCCGTCCAAGTTGTTGCTGAACGATCTGCTCAACTCCCCCCGGCATCTCAGGCTATCCTGGCCTTACCGCTCTACGCGGGACTGTCGACGGAGCAGCAGATGTTCGTATTCGACAACCCGCCTGAGAATACTAGGAAAGTAATCTTCTCGACCAATATCGCAGAGGCGTCGGTGACCATTGACGGCATTGTGTATGTGGTCGATTCGGGATTCGTGAAGCTGAGGGCTTTTGACCCCCAAACAGGCATCGAAGCTCTAACGGCAACTCCCGTCTCCAAAGCGGCAGCGTCGCAGCGTGCAGGGAGAGCCGGCCGTACGAAACCCGGCAAGTGCTTTCGTCTTTACACCGAAAGAAATTTCCAAACATTGCCCGATGCCAATATCCCAGAGATCCAAAGATCCAACCTCGCGCCGTTTGTCCTACAACTCAAAGCGCTGGGGATCGATAACGTCGTACGGTTCGACTACTTGACACCACCGCCTGCGGAGTTGATGATCAAAGCAACAGAACTACTATTCTCCCTGGGTGCGCTAGACGAGTATGCCAAGCTTACGAAACCGCTGGGCACGCGGATGGCAGAGCTCGCAGTTGAACCAATGATGGCCAAAACGTTACTGACGGCTTCTTCGTTTGGGTGCCTCAGCGAGGTACTGACGATAGCGGCGATGACGAGCCTTGGAGGTTCCATATGGGTTCAAAGAGAGGGAGAAAAGAAGCAGGTGGAGTCCGCACGACGGAAGTTCGCTGCGGAAGAGGGAGATCATTTGACTCTTTTAAATGTCTACCAGACATTTGTGACGAAAGGCAAAAAGGAATCGAGGTTCTGCCACGAGAACCACCTTAATTTCAAAGCGATGACCCGCGCCATTAGCATCAGAGCACAATTGAAACGCTACCTGGAGCGATTTGGGATATCGGTAGACGAGAGCCTTAGGACGTCAGTTGGCAACAGAGGCGAGCAGATTCGAAGATGCCTCACGACTGGTTACTTTGCTCACGCAGCGAGGATGCAGCCCGACGGAAGCTTTCGCAACGTCGAGGGCGGGATGACGCTCTACGCGCATCCGAGTTCGCTCATGTTCAACCGCAAGGCCGACTGGGTGGTTTTCCACGAGGTGATGGAAACGGGCGGCAAGATTTTTATTCGCGATATCACCAAGATCGAGAAGGGGTGGCTCGTGGAGTATGCTTCTGGATACTACCAGCTAAAGCAGTGAAGAAGAGCAGCAATGACAACAACGACGCCCACGGCTAACCTGCCCACCGTATACGCAACAACACGTACTCATATTGATGCCGAAACCTGTGACGGTGGGAATCCCCATATCGGTATACCTACCTTACCTACTTACCTATACGTAGGTAGTACCTAGGTCTATGTATGCATCCTGGCTAGGGACGCGTACTGCGTATGTATATACACATGCATGCGTGGGCCTAGGGAGTTGGACGAGAGAGGCTAGCTGTGAAACAATATCGCAGCTGTTACTATTGAGGCTGAGACCGCCGTCCAGAATAGACAATGACACGCCAGCTAAGCTAGGGAGCCAGTTGCGAGGAGGAACGAACCCGACGCTTTGGGCACGTTCGATGGCGAGCGACAATAATTATTCCCGACTGCTCAGTCGAACTGACAAAGTGTCTCTTTCGATTTCCCGACTTCACCTACCATAGTAGGGGAGGCTGTAGTTCCTGAAGGATCGTAACTTGGTAGGCGTGTATCAAGAGCCGCCTTCAACACTATTTATAACTAATTTACGGGTAGTCTGCGAATCCCAAGTCTCGTCATTTGTGCAGGATTGCCGAAAAGAAGAAATAGAACAGGCGATAGAATGGCGGGCGCCCATGACGAAAAGAGAGAAAGATATGAGTATATCCACGCACTGGCGAGGAGCGGAGAACGAGTGCTCGATGGCCGGTTCCGAGTTCTGCGAGGCTCGCATAAGATATTATCTCGATGGAAATCCACGGCTAGCCGCCGCTCATCTCAGGACCGGATCCCTGTCCAACAAGCAACGTAGCCAAGGCACGAGAATAGCAGAATAAGGGGCTAAGCCGACTAACCCCCTTTGGCGCGAGAGGGTCCGATCCATTCCCTTTATTGACTTTCCTATCGGCCTGGATGATTGGACGGGTTTCTGTCGTTCCTGCATAAGACCCCTGGACGGCGGCAGGGGTCAGCACAGTGCCAGAGGCGCCAGCCGAACACATCCCTGGACGCGAGCCGAGACCAGGTAGCGGCCGGCGACGGATACCTCCTAATGTCGGCGTGGCCTGCCATTTCCCCCCCTTCTGCCATGTACAGGCGCGCGCAGCACCTCAGCGCAGGTACCTACGACGCGATGCGGTGCTGGGGAGCGGAGGGACGTCGGTGGGAGGAGAGCAGGGCCTGGACAGTGTCCGGCACGCCGCTGGATCCCCCCCCCTTCGTGACCTGCTAGGTAGAGTATGGCAGCCTCCACCACCCCTTCATTCATTTCCCGCCATATTAGCTCTCATTCGTCCGTTCCCCTGATCCCCCCGGTCATCAAAAGATACTTCGCGGCCGTACTTGGTCCATCACTTTCTCTTGTCCCTCTTCATTTGGCCTTCCCTTCCCTTTCATCCTCCTCTTCCACCGCCTCATACGGGAGTTCCTCGACAATCGGTCTACAGACCTAACTGCCTGCGACACGGGCGTGCCGTTCCTTCACAGCCAACTTCCAGTCATTCTTTAGTGCCCCGAGCACCGAGTCGTTCTTTTTTGGCCCGTATATCTGCCCAGGCGTTAGTGTCGAGTCGCTCGCTTTTCGTAGAGTAGCTTTCGGTTCCACGTACCGTTAATCTTCCCGGGTCGCGAAACTGGTGTTCCTGCCGCGTCTTATGACCTTGACGGTTCCCCTTCCTACCGACCTGGTGACCGGTCAATCCAAAACGAGGAGGATTCCGGCCTGACTAACTATCGTGCTATACCTGCCGGTTCCGCATCTTCGTGGCAGGGCGCCTCTGGGAAGAAAGAAAAACCTAAATACCGCCGGTAGACGCGATGAAGGGGCACCACCTCCAAATTCGCGGTCACGGCCACGGCCACCACCACTTCCACGCAAGGACACTGCACATGGAGCTCGATCAAGCCATCCATCCCGAGGCTCGGGACGCTATCAACAATGCCACCCCCGAGGGCACGGAAACGGGTCCTCGGATCTTGCCTCGAGTAAACAACCTCGACGAGAAGCCCGTCGGCGGTTCGATGACAATCCCCATCGTTCTTGGTGTCTGGTGAGAAAACGCGACCCGCCCCCGTGGGGTCGAAGAAGCATCACTAATGTGCCGATACAGCATTCCGTTGGGAGTTGCATTCTGCGTTCTGATGTACCTGCATTATCGGACGACGGTTCGTCAGAAGAAGGAGGATGAGACAGACAAATACAAGTCGATGGACTTTGGGCTCGAGGGCGCTAGCCTCCCCGGGAAGGGGACCAAGAGACGGAGCGCCTTTTTTGGAAAGGAGAAGGAGGCGAGCCACCACAAGATGCAGCTTTCGATGGATATGAACCTCTCCAGCCCTTACCTGCTACCGCCTAACTTGCAGAACTCGCGGGAATCTTTGAACTCCCTGGCAAAGAGTCTCCACCAAAACGAGGACCCCTACCGACCCGTCACGAGCTATATTAGCGGCGATTCCCCCTCTCGTCAGTCTCTGCCGAAGGGTGCGGAGAGAGACTCCGCGATCTCTAAGGGCCGGCCGGGGCCTGGTGGCGATGCCCCCCAGAATCAACGATCAATCCCGCCGGGCCCTCTTTCACCAATCCCTGCTGCCGCGCAACCGCCACAGATTCGTGAGCCTGTTCAAGACGTACCCGACTCCGCCAAAAACGAATTCCGATTCGTCAATGACGCTTCCACTGTCCCCCGAGTTCCGCAAATTCAGGAGCCCCCGACAGCTGCTTCGAGGGCGGCGTCGAGGGCCGTTCCCAATTCTCGGTCTCTCACTAATGAATTCAACGTTGCTCGTCCCCTGAGCGACGCGGATTCTAGGGCCTCCTCGCCGAGAACCAGCAATGCTCCCAATGTACCTCCCCCGAGGAAGGACTCCTTGCCGGCTGGATCAGGATTCGCCGAAGACTACCAGGACTACACGGCGCATTTCCAAATTGACGAGCCCGACAATGCTCCTGCTAACAACGGCGGTCGGCAGGCGCAACGCGAATCGCATGTCGCTGGCCTGGGAGTGCCCGGACAGGACAATCGGAGATTGTCAGTGGGATTCCGACCTTTGCCCCCTGATGACTTCCTCGAGTCGGAAGATCCCGAGTTCAGGGCGAACAGAATCCGTTCCTTTTATAAGGAGTACTTCGAGGAGACCAAGGTGGACCACGGAAAGCCACCGCCGCTTCCCGCTCCGCAGCAAGCGACCTACTATGATGAATATGGCGAGACGGCATTCTTCGACCCCGAGACCAATGCGTTCGTCATGCCTTACGCTCAGCCTGTTACCCGTCGTGCTATGACCCCGCCGCCGAGCTCGAGACGACCGATGCCTGGACCGGGTCCCAACGGACCCCGCGGCCACGGTCCTCACGGAAGCATGAACATGCCAGGCGGTCCTCGCGCAAGACCCAGGGCCGGCTCGGCAGCGTCTGGTGCGAGGTGGGCGGCCCCGAGCCCGCGCCCTAGCTCCTCGGCCTCTAACCCGCGCATGCTCAACAACGCTAAGCCGCGGAAGCCGATGCCCCCGCCAGCTGCGCTGAGCACGCTTCCTACTCCCTCGAAGCTAAGAGATGACTCTTTCTCCATCCTCAATGCCATCGATTTCGCACCTCCGCCCACTATGAAGGACCACGTCGCTGGCCGGTCGCAGAGCCCGATGGGCGAGCGTAAGCCGTACGTGCTTAACGCGCCAATTCACTCGCCGCTGGTGAGCGCGTTCGACGATACGCCGGCACTACCTAGCCCGTAAGTATATCCTTCTCTACCCTTCTTCCCCGTTTCTCCCAACCGGTACTATGTGCGGAGAACCAGCCCTCTAACATGTAGCGCAACAGGCATCTGTTACGCAAGTCGGGAACGTACACCGCGCTAGACTTTGCGCCGCCACGCCGGTTCAAGGACGCCGAGGCGATGAGCGAGTCAGGTAGCGTGGTCAGCGTGCGCAGCGGCATCTCGTCAACGAACCTCAGCGCTATCCGCGGCGGAGCTGGTCGGGTCAGCCGCCTGCCCGGGGACACCGTCTTCACGCAGTCGGCGGCCGGCGCGACGCTGAAGCCGTCGTGGGCCATGCGCGACTAGACGGGAATGAACGACGGACCCGGGCCAAGCACCTCGATGTCACCCTTCACGATCGTTGATCCATCCACGACCCGTAACTTCTAATGCCTCTTCCCCTCCCCCTCGCATCTTCCCACCCCTGACCCCAGTTTTCCCTCTCTGGTCCCCCTCAGCCCCGGGAGCGTTTTTATTTTTGAAAGCAGGCAAGGCAAATCTTTTGGATACCGAAACTTCATGATTGGCGAGTTATCATCACTCTATACCTTTTCCTTTTCGGGGATCGGGGTTGGTATGGCGGACCAGCACATTCGTACGTCTACATGTGCATATGCACTACATATACGCGCATACATCTACATATATATACTCTGAGGTTACCTATATCCGCATAGCGCTACATAGAAGGACCGGTGCAAGTTTTACCTACCAGGTAAAAAAAAGAATTACTTGGGGGTGGGAGGAGGGACGTTTTTGCTTTTAGGTACTTCGACAATAATTCGATCCGGTATTTTACCAGATTTTGACGACTTCTATGTTTCCTCTCCCTGTCCCTTTTCTGTTGTTGTTTTGTCGTCTTGTTTCGGGCCGCCTACCCATGTGCTAGCTGTGTATGTTATTCATCACACCACGCACGTAGAGGTTTTCTTTTCGTCCTGTGTTATTAGAGTTCCTTCGATCGACCGAGGCGCGTGGTACAGTATGTATGTATGTAGACACCTACACGCACGCGCACACGTCCTCGTGACGAGGCGATGTTGTCAGGGCTGGATCAGTTGTGAAGCTGACCTACCTCTTTCTTAACCAACTAGACTTACCTTTCGTCATCCCGTCGCGCTCTTGATTCCCCTCCCCATCCCCTTCGTCGCCCGTTTTAAGTTTGGTCCGGGAGGGGGGGGGGGGGGGGGGGGGGGGGCAAGACAGGACCAGCCGTAGAGAAATTGAATGCATCCGTCCCGTGTTCTAGGAAGAAGGGGGGGTTGAGGGGGGGGAGGCCACCCGACCGCACGAGCTCGTGTTCGCTTTTGCCGCCCCAACGGTTCCATGTCCGTCCACGTGAGGAGGCAAGGCCAAAAGGGGGAGGGGGGCCGGAAGATTTTCCTCGTGTTAGGCGCCCTAGGCCGGTAAGTCGTCGCTACAGCCTTTGCGCGTGCGGCCACCGGTCTCCCAAGACGACATGGTTCGCCCGTCGGAGGGTTAAGGCGCGGAAGTATTCGATATCGGTCCGGGCCTCCCGGCGCCGAAGGGGAGGTGGGGGACTAGGCGCAGCGTTCCGCATCCTGGGTTACTTCTTTTCTGGCCTCCCTTTTTCTAGGACGGCCAAGCCCGTTTGCTGGTAGGACTGATAGAGCCGAGTTCGTCACGCCGTCGAGTGCGGCGGGGGCCTCGTCTGACTCGCGCCCGCCGGCCAACCCGGGAGTCCGGGCCTGGGTCAACGAGAGAGGAGCTGGCTTAGCTCGACATATACGAACGCCGGTGCACGGCGGGGTCTGCGACGGCGGGTAAGCGGGCTAGTAAAGTTAGGTTCGGCTTGATCGATATATATCCCGAAGCTTCCGCGGCGTGGACCTTCGTAAGACAGCCTAAATTTTTTTTCTTTCCTTCCTCGTCGGTGGATCGACGACGATCGTTGAATCCGGTGGTGGGGCGGGGGGGCGATCGCTGGGGCGGACGTGGGCGGATGCGTGGGTACGGATACGGGTAGTGCGGACGGCAGAAGGGATGCGGCGCCGGCGATAGGAGAAGCGGCCCATTTGCGTGTTTGTTTGTTTGCTTGTGTATGGGTGTCCGTATAGCTGCACGTGAGGGTGGGTGGGTGTGCCCGAACAACTCGCCGGCATGTCTCGCATGCATCGATCCTGTGCCGTCCCTCCTCCCTGGCTGTTCGTTCTGCTCGGCCGGTCCGCGCCGCGGCGTACCTCGTCACGTACGTACGTGCGTCCGTACGTATAGCTACACAGGCGGCAGCGTGTAAGTCAGGACTTGGCCGTGAGTCGAGTGGGTTCGAGCAGACGCAAAGATGGACCACCTAGGGATCGGTACGGTTATTTATGCTCGCCATACCTACCGCGCGCATGTTGAGATGGACCCGTCACGTAATGCAGGAGGATGCGGAGAGCCCTGCCAGCGGGAGGATTCGAAGGGGGAAGGGGGAAAAGAAAACATTGCCACACGTTTGGCGCCTCGTATCCCGAATCTGAGGCAGCGTAATAGCCTAGAAGCCCGAGGTCGAAGGGTGGGCGGCAAGGCTCGGCGCCGACTTGCCGCAAACTGCTCTACTAGCTGGATACGGGTTTCTTCTCTCTCTCTCTCTCTCTCTCTCTCTCTCTCTCTCTCTCTCTCTCTCTCTCTCTCGCCTCTCTCGCCTCTCTCCCTCCTTCCTTTCTGGTTTTATTTTTACCCCATGGCTAATACCTGTTCTCCTCCATCGATCTTCTCGAAGGTGGTAAGATTGACGACGGTATGCCGTGGAGAGCGGGCGGATGCTCCTCTGTCAGTCTGGCCGATCTATGCGCATTTGCATGAGGAGGGGAGGCAGTGCTCCGTGCTACAGAGGCTGTGCGGGTAGAGAGAGAGGCGGTGCAAAGAGAGGAGAGAGACTTCCCGTTGTATTATCGTCGCCGTCTATACCAAACAGTCCCAGTCGAAGCCGTGTTTTCCTAGCGTACCGGGCAGCGGGCAGGGTGTAAGCCAGGAGTTACAGGTACGTTACAGCCCTCTCTCCATAGTAGGTAGGTATGTACCCAGGTACTATATGAGGTACCTTAAGTACCTCCTAAGCAATTGTGGCTTGCCACCCAGAATAATAAACGCTGTTATTGTTCTGGCGCACTAAAGTCGCTTAGGTCTGACATTATGTGCATCATGCAATGCATACACGTGCATTACAAGTACGGGGGGCTGAAGTGGGAGGATCCCTCTCCTGTTGTCGTATGGTTTGTCGAGCATTGATGTAGGTATACCTGCATATATATACAGTACGTGTGTTGTATGGGAGAGGGAGGGACGGGTGACATGCGATTTCGCTAATTTTTCTTTCCGATCCAGCAAAGAATCCAACTTTCTCCACATTGGGTACTTACTGTATATACCAAGGATTGAGGCTTCGGCGTCCTCCTGCTGCGACCCTCCCCCCTCTACTATACATCCGTGGCATGAGACGCCACAGACAGCTCTGGTTGGGTCGCGAGAAGGGGGCGAGTAAGCCTGGGGGTTTCGTTCGACATAGCCCAGCGCCCTCTCCACCGTAAGCGATGTTGGTCAGAACCAGGACGTACCGTACGTGTATCTATATCATAGTCTATTATTTGTGGTTGTCGTAGGTGCGCGTTTCTACGAAACATACTAGTAGTTCTCATCTCTCAACCGCAACAATTCGTACAATTATACCTGTTAGTGCTGCCTGCATTATGCACTATACACGCTAGAACCGGCCGATGACCCCGGGGATGGTGGCAGTGGCCGGGGCTAGAGAGTCGGAGGATGCCCAATTCGTCGCTCTCGAAGGGGCTCAACTCGGCGGCATTCTGTTACCTACCTAAGGTAAGTCAAACCATCAAACGCAGCTGGAACAAACCGTCAGCAGTTCCATCCCTAAGAAACAAATGATACCGACAATGGGTAGATAGATCATGTAGGTACGCAATTTAGACATGCGATGTGTAGCACAGCACAGCACAGCACGTAGGACATGATGTAGTGACACTTTCGGCGTCAATCGCTCCATACGAGAATCGCGACCCCTTCCTTTCCTTATACAGTTGCATAAGACAAGACACGCACACGACCCGAAAGCGGGCTCGGGAGATTCTCCGGTTCTGACGATGCTTGCGTCTTCTAGCGTGCCGCAGGTCGGGTTGCTTTGATCAAGGTTCGCGAACCACGACCCAGTCAGCCCGTCCGAGTTGACATGTTAGAAGCTAACCAGCGATGCTATTAGGTTAGGTACGTGGTGTATATGCTTATAGATATATGCAGCACCGCGCCAGCGATCTGCACGCCTATCATCGTACCTAGGTAGAGAGGTAGTAGACGCATACTGACAACACAGAGGTTATGCAAGTATGCAGTAGTAGGCAGGCGTGAAATGAAGAATCTATCCCGATGCGGCTGGGTGGGGGGGACAAGACAATTTAGGGAGGCAGCACAACCCGGGAACGGTCCTGCCTGTAAAGGGGGTACGTGCTGACCTAGCCGGGCCCCGACTTACCCTAAGCGGCCTAACCTCACCCGCCCGGGCACCCCGCTTATGCAGAGCTATCACTACCTGAGGCCGTGTTCAGCGAGGGCTAATACAGGCGGCATGGTGCCATGTGGGCGCGCGGTGATTCCAGGGCAGTTGGGACGAAGTAACCCTACACGTAAATCATGGATCTCGACAGCATGACAACATATTACATAGGTAGGTACATATATTTACCTAGGCACCTAGGCAGGTACCTATATAGGCACACCAATTCTATCAACACATAACTTATTAGGTCCACAAACTCAGCACACCAATAATTACGCCACGCAAACTCTGCGCTGGCTGGATTGTCCGTCTTCTGAGATGCATTGTTGGGTGGAGGGGGATGGATGGATGGATTTACCTTGGGCAGAGGCAACCTATAGGTACCTGGCACCTATAATGTACCTAACGTAGGTACTAAACGCCCAACCCCTACTAAGTACCTACCCAAGGAAGCCGCATCGCACGGCACAGCATCGCACGGCAGGACCAGGGCCTGACGGCTTGTCCTACCACCTATGAGTACTCTGCTTTTCCTGTAGTTATATTATCCTTTTTTTTTATTTTTCTTTCCGTCAGATTCTCGACTTTTGCTGTCCCCGAGTATCTCTCCTCTCCCCCCCCCCCTTCTCCCCTTCTTTCTCCTCTCCTTGTGCCGTGTCTGTCTCCTCGGCCAAGTCCAGTCGTTCACTACTTTTGCCGCTCTTCAGAATTATTTCCCCTAGCATTGTCTTGTTAACACCCCGCCCTGTTTCTCACTCTCGCTTCGGTATCCCCTTATGCTTTCTCTCTTTCTTCCCCTTCTATTTATTTGGCTAAGCAAAGCACTGGCGACGTTTGTTGGCCCGTGACCTGGCCTACCGACATAGGTAAACCAACCCTCATTTCGCTCGATAAACCCTATCGCCGCTGTTTCGGCCACCGAGGTAGGGAGTCAGTCGTTACGTAGTGAGTATCGTACACCTGGAGTCCCCCCGGATCTGCGCGCTCAAGGAGCATTCCTGACCTATCGTTTTGGTCCTCACCCCATAAGGTTGAAGAGTAAGAGTGAGACGGACACGAGAAAAAGAGGCACAGGTCTGAAGAGAAGAGGGAGAAAGGGAAAAAAAAAAACAGCCAGACGACTCAGCCACGCACGTCCAGGCCGGGGTCCCTGCACCTCGTATGCGTTAGCCTATTCGCTCGTCCGTTTGTTGGAATCCCTCTACCCTGCCGCCAGCCAGTCCCAAGCCCTGCCTTTGCCGTCGATCGTGGTAGACGGCGGACTCTGGTCGGCCGTGCTCCCCCTCGCCCGTACCGTGCAAAATACACTCTCCTCCTGCTCTCGCCCACTTCATCCACACGCCTAGTGCCGCCGTTCTCCTGTCCGCGTCTCACGGCCGCCCAACTCGAAACAATCGCCAAGTTCCATTGTCAACGCAAGAGGGCCGCGATTCTTTTCATCCAGTCTTTTTACCGGCCGAGAGCCAACCAAAGACCCAGAGTCATCCAGTAGGCTTCGCTGAAAGGTATGTTTCGCATCTCTTTGTGCTCGGGCGTCGAGCGCCACCGATGATCTGTGTCTGCGTATTTCTTCCCACCGCTTGCTGCAACTTTGCGCCATCACGCATTCCATGATATTTTCATTGGGTCGCCCAACTCCAGCGCCCCATACTCCCTGGCTATCACTCTGGCGTCTCTGGCCGAACATATCCAGTACAATCTTCTCTTCCTCTTCTCTTCCGCTGCTCCCCGTCCCTATGCTGCTAGAGCTGGTCTCCTCGAGGCACTCCATGCTAATATGATAAACCCCAGGCATTTGGCTGGCTTGAACGCCGCGCGACAATTCGCCATGTCGTCCAACGCCACAAATTCCGACCTTTCCACACCGGAATCAACCTCGAACTCGCCGCCCGAGGCGACGAGTTCCGACCCTCCTCCGTCGGACACGCCCACTACGAGTTCTACTACTGAACAGACATCCTCCACGCCGCCGCCGCCACCACCGACATCGACATCGACTACGTCGGAACAAACCCCGACTTCTACTAGTTCTTCCATAACCTCTACCAGCACGGTGCCCCCTCCTCCCACGTCAACTAGTGCCAGTACCACTTCAGAGACGCCACCCCCTCCACCTTCGACTTCCAGTACTGTCTTTACTACAACGATACCGACCACGTCGGAAAATGGGAGTACTGCATTTGTCACGGTTACGTCGACCCAGCTGGCGACCAGTACTCCACCAGCAGACTCCCCACAGACCTCGACCGACTCCACTGATGCTCTCCTAAAGTCGGATCCTAACAATTCCTCGTCGTTGGCCGAGCCGGCCAAGATTGCTGTTGCTGTCGTCGTCCCTGTTGTCGCTGTGGCCTTGCTGGTCCTTGCGGGCATCTTCTTCTGGAGGAGGCGCAAGCAACGTAAGGATGCGGCAGAAGAGAGGAGAAAAGAGGTGGAAGATTACAGTTACAACCCGAACGACCCGACCCTCCCTGATCTGGGTGGTGCCGGTGGCGCCGCCGGGGCCTACGAGATGAAAGAAGACGGAACTTCAGGTTATCGTGGATGGGGCTCGACCACGCTCGGTTCCACCGGAAGGAAAGCATCAACGACGATGTCGGGTGGCGCAGCAGGTGTGGCTTACTCAGACGCAACATCGCCGACGGGAGCAAACTTTTCTGACGCAAGATCAGGAGACGGGCTAATCGATGGCTCGCATTCGCCAGAGGGCGAGATACTCGGCGCCATGGGCAACGATAGTAATAATCGCGGTAACGGTAACGTGCACCGCGAGCCGTCCAACGCCTCGTCAACGTACAGCGCCGCTGGGCGTTCCGATGGCTCCGGAGACAGGGACAACGGCAGCCCCTACTCGGCTGGCCAGACCTACCTCGACCAGTACGGCGGCAATAACCCGTATAGCGACGGTGCTTACGACCGACAGCGTCCGGGCGAGACGGGGGCCCAGCCTGTCATTCGCGACAACCCAGCTCGGCGCAACACCCGGATCGAAAACTCATCTCACTACCCTCAGCAAAGTGCAGGCATCTCGCAGAACTTCTAAACTGGCTCCTCACTGCAGCCAGACACTGCGGTTCCGGTTTTCTACCCCTATTCGGACGATACCCAAAACCTGGACGTGACGCACGTTCGGTGAAAACCAGTGCCATTACCCCCTATCCTTGTACGCCCTTCCCCCTTCGGGTCTCCAGTCGGCGTTTGGCGGCGGTCGTCACATGACATTCTACTATCATCTGTACCAAAATTCTTTTTTCGCCGTCGGAACTTACTCGTCCGAAAGTCTTTCTCGCAAATTCGCTGGGTTAAGAACAGCGTCGTGCAAGAAATCGACACTTCTACATATATATACACACATTTTCGACAGTGGAGTTTTTTTTTTTCATTCTGCGATAGCCCCGATTCGATCTTATAGGTGTTCAGATCGTACATATTATCTTCGCCAGCTATATCTACCCGTTTTCTATATTATCTGTCTCACTCTCCCCCCCCCCCCCCCCCCCGCTTCGTCCGCCTTGGTAAGCCCCCCAAGGTCACTGCTATCAACCAAGTGATAGGACTATCGGCAGCCTCACCCGCAGTAAATAAGGAAGGACCAGCTGGAGCGATGGGAGGCAGGGGGTGGCTCTTGATGTGAAGGAGCTTAGGGGGCTAGGAACCGGGATGAGATTGTAGGTTGACATGCTATGGAATGATGGTCTGTTAGCGATGTCTGAACCATTTGGGGGAGAGAATGGCAGGGTATATGGGGCGACGTTCTACGTTAAGGAAAGAGACAGTAAAACAAAACGAGATAAAGTAATGAGAATAGAGAACGACCGTCAAATCGGCTTCTGTAAATTCAAGCTTGAACTTGGACTATTTCCCCCGCTCTTTGCTATGCTTTGCCTGGGGCTTCTTCAAGTGAAAACGGGTAGCAAGAGGACCATCGGACTCTACGACACGATGGCGTGACATGTAGAAGGCATGCGACGTAGGGCGTACCATGTTAGTTCTGTCGTCGGGAGACTTGGCCTCTCTTACCCTCCGCCCTTATTCCGCCGCACCGACCCCACAGCGACGGGAGGGGCCGTGATTGGATGCGGGAAGAGGGGGAGTGGTAGAGGCTAGAAGGAATTCTCCTTGTTGCTCTAGTCAAGTTCCGTAGTAAGTCGGAGGTGTGTTTGAGCTTTTAGAGGCTAAGGTTGACATCATGGATAGGCCGGCTACCTGGATGGACTACAGGTAGGCTGGTTAAGGGGACTTCGCAGTCCTGCCTTGGCTCTCTCCCCTCGGCGTTTGCAGACGTAGGGGAGGTTAGGAGGTGCCTGAGGTATACCGTATGATGCATCGGAGGAACTGGTATTCGCTAACCGCCTTCTCCCCGCTGCGATCGTGGTCGAGGCGGTTGTCTCTTGCGATATGTCCTCTATATATCGGAGCGAGTGGTAGACTAGCTCTTTGGCTGCCTCAGGCATGCCCTCCGGGATACCTGACCTACCTACCTACCTAGACGTAATGTAACGTATATATATATACCTAGGTAGGTAGGTAGGTAGGTAGGTAGGTAGGTATGGATATATATATCGATATCTCTATATATTTACATATATCGACTCATATTATAATTACGTATGCAGGTTATGCATGCTAAACTGGGTTGACGATTGGGACAATGCCGGGAAAGGAGCGGCGATCTCATGCAGGGGCAAGAGGGGCAAGGAGAGTCAACACGTGTTAGCAGCTGGCATATCTTTTCCCGCCAGTAAAATTGAAGCTACCCGATCGACCTCACATTTCCTCATACAGAATACAACAACGGGAGCCATCCCAACCCTTTCTGTCTCTCTCTCTCTTTTTCTTTTTTAACCTCCTCTCGTCACCCTCAGCCATCGCACATCGACACGATGGCGTCAAGGTATGTTGCCATTTAACCCTTCCCTCTCCGTGCTCTGACCGAGCCGGCGAGCCTTTGCGAAACCCTTTACAGTCGCCCTCGGCCAGATCTTTGGTAAGATTGCTGGTCCCGCGCGCGTCCGCGTCGGCCCCCTCCCCAAAAGGGGGGCCTGGGAACCAAACAGCGGCCAGATCTGTGTCCGGCGGGGGCCTCGGAGGGGTTTCGGAACGGCACACGTCCGCTCGTCGCGAGCCGCTATCCCACTTACGCAGAAGTCCCGGGCGAACGCGTGGTCGCAGTGAGAGCTGACTTGGGGAACTCGCCGCTGTCTAGATTCGGCCACTCGACGCTGCATCAGCGGGATTCGCGGAGCGCCTTATTCGAGGGCTACAACGGTGGCAGGAGTAGCGCGGACCCTGCGAAACGGCAGAGCCCGGCGCCCGGCAACGGCTACGGCTACGGATACCCGGGCGGAAATGGCGCCGCGACGACGGCTGGCCACGGCACACACCTGAACGTCGATAGCAGAGGAAGCTACAGGCCAGCGACGCCCAACTCGAAGTGCGCTCTCCCCTTTTTTGCTTTCTCCCCGCCGTGCGCTTAACTCCCGAGAAGGGTCCGTCGCAGCCGACTAGGAGCTGACGGTTCTTCGCCGCGCCTTAGGGGCCAATACAGCGACGCAGTGCTCAACGAACTCGAAAGCCAGAACGACCAGCAGGTCGAGGGCATCCTGGGCAAGGTCAAGGTCTTAAAAGATGTGGGTCTCCCACTTCTTATATTGACCATACGCGTAAGCGGGAGAGGCGGTGGATATATTATTACCTAGGACGAAGCGAAGGAAGAAGAAGTTAGAAAAATAAAGACTGGGAGAAATTGTCGCGGAGATATTATACGAAGGATTGCGGGGAGGAAGAGATGCGAGAACGAGGTGTCCCGATCGCAGTTTTTTCCCTCTTTCTTGCCAGATGAAGCTCGCTAACCTGGGGTCTCGTTCGGCCGCCCGGCGCAGATGACGGTAGCCATCGGCGACGAGATCCGCGAGTCCTCGGCGCTCGCGGAGAAGATGAACGACACCTTCGACTCGACGCGGCTGCGGCTGCGCGGCACCATGAACCGCATGCTCCTCATGGCCGAGCGCACCGGCGTCGGCTGGAAGGTCTGGCTCGGCTTCTTCGCCGCCGTCATCTTCCTCTTCCTATACGTCTGGCTCTTCTGAGCTGGAACCTACACCCACCCTCCCATTCCGCTCCGTCTACCCATACATACACACGCCCGTACGACCGTACGCACATTCGTCGATCGGTTCGATCCCGTCTAGCGCGCGATCGCGCATACACGTCTTGAAGAGGAGTAGGCAGCTAGAAGCGAAAGAAGAAGAGAGAGGCGGGTACAGAGGAGGAGGAGGAGGAGGAGGAGGAGGAGGAGGAGGAGGAGGAGGAGGAGGAGGAGAGAATGAGTGGAGGATATATGGGCAAAGGGGGTTCTGGTTGGGCACTTTATATCCGCTCGGAGTCGATTCATGTGTGTTTTTTTTTTGTTTCATTGTTCTCTAGGGAACATCCATTTATCTATTTCCCTCCCCAATGCCTTACCCCCGCCCCCTAGCTCTTCTCTGCTACCAGAGGAGCAGGAGGAGAGGATAAGCTGAGTTGGCGCGGCCGGGGGGGTAGGGGGGGAAAGCATGATCATCCTTGTTATTACTACCTATGTCTGGGCGTTGCGGCGTACGGGGGGGTCATAATAGGCATACTTGCGCGCGGGAAGGGGGGAGAAAAAAAAAACCAGAAGAGATACGAAGAAAGAGGGAATGTCCATAATGATGATGGGGGCACGAACGGTCACTAGTCGCGAAGGTAAGCGAACGAAGCAGGAAACCGAATTCCTTCTTTTCTCTCTCCACCCCTCTCTTCCCGCATGTGTATATATATATGTGTGTGTGCCCAAGCCTCCGCATCGGAACCAAAGCCGTCCACCGAGCTCTCGAGACTGACCTACTCAGAAGAGCCCAGATGTTCGACGTATGCGCGCGCGTACGTGCCTGCCCGCTTACTGATTCCCCATCTACCTCCCTACGCGCTTACCTACTCGCGCCCACTACCGGACCCCTGGCAAAAGGGGGCAAGATCTAATAATAAGCACGGTGATGACGGCAAGGCAGATAGACACCTGGGGTCGCTGTGATCCTATTATATTCGTGTCCTGCTCGTCCCCTCCACCCGACATTTGCCGTCGTAGTCCCGCGTCCGCAGACGTGTCCACAGCCGCGGCTGTTTTATCAAGAATGTATGTGTATCTTATGTACGTACGTACGTATGTATACATGCCATGATGCGCCCCAAAGGGGCCGACTACCTCAGCCTATCCACGCTGCCTCGCCTGCCTGCTCGTCTGCTTCTGTAGCTGTCTCCGCCGCAGCAAGGCGCGGGGAGGTCTAGGTAAGGTAAACACTAACAAGGCGGGGGCGAGGGGAGAAAACAGAGGTTCGTTGCCACTAGTATCTTGAGCGAGCGTAATGTGTTGTCTCTCCTCTCCTCCCCTCCGCAACATACCCCCTTTCGTCGTGCGGATCCGCCCGATCAGCCGCGGCCGCGGCCGAACTGCCGCGGCATCTGCGGGCTGTCGGCGAGCATGCTGCTGCCGTCCTGGGACAGGATGTCGCTGATGGCGAGGCTGTGGCGCGTCGCGTCGCTGCGCGCGAGGCTGCTGCGGAACCTAGCGCGCGGCGGCCGCGGCGGCGCGAAGCTCATCTCGGCGCGGTCGTCCTCGTCCTCGTCCTCGTCGGCGCTGCCGCTGCTGCTCGCGCCGCCGAGCTCTGCCTCCGAGTCCGTGTGCTCGTAGCCCTCGTCCTCGGCTTCGGGGATGTCGTCATCGAGGTCTGCGTCCATGTCCATGTCGTCGGCCGTGCCCGCCATCCCGGACGCGCCGCCGCCGCCGACGCCCACGAGGTCGTCCTCTTCGATCATCTGCGCCTGGTCCTCGTCGTCTACTTCGTCGTCGACGCCGTAGTAGTAGCCGCCGTCCTGTCCGCGGGCCGCCGTCTCGCGGAACGCGTCGTCGGCCTGACGCATCCGCTGCGCCATCAGCTGCTGCTGCGTGCGCGCCGTTCTCTGGGCCGGGTCGTCGTCGTCGTCGCCGTCTTCGTCATCATCTTCTTCGTCATCCTCATCCTCGTCTTCGTCGCCTTCCTCTTCATCGGAGCCGACACCGAAGTCCTCGGCCTCGGGGATGTCGTCGTCGAGATCCCTGGCGCCGTCTAGCTGCACATCGTCCATGGCCCCGTCGGTGTCCAGGGGGGGAGGGGCAGCAGGATCGGCGACGCCGTCGACCAAGACATCCACCCCTTCGCCCACCGCCGCCGCCGCCGCCGGCAGCGCCCCGGCGGCCTCAGCTTCGGCGAGCTCCTGGGCGAGCTGCTCGCGGCGCAGGGCCTCCTGGTGCTCTTCGGCCTCGCGGCGCTCCTCGCGCAGTTGGTGCAACGTCTTAGGGACACCGGGCGGCTTGAGCCAGGCGCTGCCAAAGTTTGTCACATTCTGGCGACGACGCTCGAGATTTTGCTCGTCGGCGCGTAGGCGGGCGAGGGGCGAACGCTCGACGAGATGGGCGGCCGCCGCACCGCGCTGGCGCTGCTGTTGCGGGTGCTGGTGGTGATGCGGATGGCCGTTAACCCCGGCACCACCACTGCCGCGCGACGGAGAGCCGGGCCCGTGGCTGTTGTCCGCGTGCTGGCCCGGCGAGTACGGGTCGATGACGCCACCGTAGCCCCCGTAGCCGGAGAGCGGGTTGCGTGAGGAGGTGTACCATAGCGAGTGCGACTGGACAATGGCTGTCAGTATGTCGAGGAAGGATGGGAAGGGGTAGAGCATACGTCGCGCGGTGCCAGGTCCGGAAGGATGGAGAGCATGATAGATGATAGCGGATACGGGATCTCGATAGGGCTGATATAATTGGTTCGTCTCGTATGGGTCAGCTGGCTAGGAAGCTCGTTGTAGCCAGTCCAATCCTTGCTCCAACAGGGGTATATGTCGACTAGAAGCTGTCGACATCGGGTGGCGCTGATCAGGGGTGGCGGGGGGTTTTCATTGTGAATATTGTTGTTGTTGAATGACGATGAAATCGAATATCTCGAGATCCCAAGTCCGTCACGATGCTCTCTACAAAAACGCGTTTAGGTGGGTGCAAGCCAGGGCCCGTAATTATTACGTAGGCACCTTCACTAGGTGCACCCAGGGGTGGGGCCAGCGCACCTTCCCATTTTCTCACAGCAAGGAGAAAAAACATCAGGCCTCAATGGATAATGCCTGCCTAAGATAGGCGCAAGGTAGGTACCTAGGCAAACAGGTACCTTAGTACCTGCCTGCCTACCTCTATGTTTCTGGGAAAGCATGAGCACGGGTTTTTTATTCTCCCGCAGGATTTGCTTACCTCATGTGGATTTCACAGACCAAACGGCGTGTCTACATTTCCAGAGTGATTACATACCTACCTAGAAGGCGGCCCGCCAGGATGGGAGAGCCACCGACCTAGTAAGCGCCAGCTCATCTCTCCCCTGCAGGGCCAGAAACCTGTGCAAAGGAAGGGAGGAGACATGTAGGCAAACAGCGAACGTGTAAGGTACCTACGGCTATCGTTCTACGCGTGTTTCGGCCGGTAAGCATATAGGTTGAGGTGCCCGAGCATGTGATCGTCAACCGGTCGGCGAAGTGCGGGTGGGAATACTAAGCTTTTGCATGCACGAATACACGGTGTTGTACGTTTGCCGGGGTTCCGGCGGTAGGTACCTACTTAACGTGCCACATTAGGTAGGTAGGGTAAGTACCTACCTTACCTCCCCGCACGGTTACGCACTTCAAGTCAGGCCGCGTAGGTATAACGACGATAACAGAAATATAACGAACGTACCTACGCGTTAGCTTTATAGATCGTATCGCTAGTACTGACTGTACCTATGTGTAGAATCAGAGCGGAAATCTCTGGGCCTACCCAAGCCTAAGTACCTACCGCACGGAAAGGGGGGTAGAAGAACAGTCAGTCCATAGGTCGTTTCCCAGCTATCTGTATAGATGCGCAAGTCAAGTGCTCCTTGCAGCCTGCGATACGACTCCGCCTCCCCATACCCTTCCAGCGTACGATGCCTGCCTTGGTAGACACGTACATGCTGCCAGGCCCGGGACTTAATATTGCCCGTCTCTCCTGCTGTCTTACCGTCCCGTCCTATCCCGCTCTTCGTCATCGGACTTTGCCTGGTCATCCATCCCTCCTCCTCGAGCGCCTCTCCGGTTTTGGCCGTTGGGCGAATCAGGCCGCTCCCAAAGCAGGCTTACCAACAAACAGAGCCCAGAGCATATTTTCATCAGGTAATGAGAACGGCCCCGACCTGCTGGCCGGGGGGGTTCCATTACTCGAGTCTCGTACGTTATGGGCGCCAGCGGTGAGAGCAGCTGTGGTCCCTGAAACAAACCACACATAATACGTTTTAGTAACAACTCGTGGTGGCAGCGAGGCCGCCGCAGGCTTGTCTTCTCGACTACGGGATTTCTCGGAAGCGAGGGTGGGAATGTGTTGCACTCTACAGGTAGCGCACGTGCTAGGGAACCCAACCTGCGCACCCGTCAGCCCTCTTCTGTAAGTCCGCCCCGCCCTGCTCCGCGGGCGCGGCAGGGGTGGTGGCAGAGGAGCATCCTGGACGGCGCCAACCCTGTCGCCTCCCTCCCTTCCCCCCCATGCTGTGTGAGCTTGTCCTGTACGCTAGGCCGATCTCGCTTGAGCGTCCGGTTTACTATACACGGCAATGAGCAGCCACGCCGTTTTGTTGCAGGCTGCTTTTGTTCCTGTCAGTTGCGGATGAATAGGTATCCTGTCCGCATACCTGGCGCCTACCTACCTACCTATACCTACCTAACCTAGGCCCCTAGGTACGTGCTAGAATTACTAACACGCATGCAATAGGTACCGACCTATTAGGGAGTGCTGGGCGAGTTGTCTCGTCGCCCGCCAGACCCAATCCACGACAACCACCGAACTCACACGCAATCGCTATAAATAGGCAGGTTAGGTGCCCAGGTGCCCGGGGTAGACGTTCCCTACGCACCTAGGCCTAGGTAGCTACAAAAGGCAAGGAAGTGGGTTGATGACGTCTTTGCTCCCTTCAGTAGGTAGGTCAAGATTCAGCAACATACTAGTATGAACACAACACGGAAATGGAATGGGAGGTAGAGAAAAGAGGCCACCATCGGGTACGTGAGACCTGATGTGCCTATGTATGAGTGTGAGCCAGCTTACACCGTATTGGGCGTGTATCTACCTACCTACCTACCTACCTACCTACCTACCTAAAGCAATACGTGGTCAGTAGGTACTGACCCCCTCCCTCAATCAAGTCCCACTAACAGAAAGTCTCTTACTCCGCGTAGGTAGGTGTCTGCAAAGAGAGGCAGAGAGGTTGATCATCGACGAGACATGCGCTTCATCCAACCACCTCTCTTCGTAGCAGCACCGTCATATGTCGTCGAGATCTAGATTGGCTACAGACCCATGGCCTGACTAGCGGCTCGCACCAAGTGCTTGGCGCGCGATAAGTCGAATGGGGCGCTCTGATTGGCCGCTTGGGCCAATTTGCTGTTGACAATTCTTTTACTGGCGACTTTGCGTGGAGGCGAGCCAAAAGCAACGGCTTCGGAAGGTCACGCGGCCATACACCCTTACCGTCGAGTAAACCCCGGCTACCATCTTGGGTCGCTGTGCCTGTAGGTACATATAGGTAGGTAGCCAGCCATGCATGGATGTATGCAACTCTACCGCCCCGTAGGCGAGAGTGGACGGGAGGACGGATGCGATGGGATGCGATGGGATGTAGGTAGGTAGGTATGCATTATCAAGCCACAGGCACCGCAGACACAGGCACGCACACGAAGCACGCAACACAATCTCCAAGGATAGGTGGTATAATTGGCGAGGACGTTACCGGGAGCAGAGGGCGGCCACAGCCGGGTCCATTCCTGCACGTGCGGCGCCCAGGAGACGGTAGGCAACCCAGTCGGCTCATAAACGAGCTGAGCAAGGCCCCTCCGCATCGCCGGCTATCACTGCTTGTGCCATAGGTACACCATGGCGAGGCAGGAGTGGCATGGCAACCGGGAACACAACGTACGATGAGACTCGTCCAACCCAGAGTCGCATTTTTCTCCCACATCCCTCGGCGCGAGCCTGTGGGCAAGAAAGACTACTCATACACTCGCCTCCGAGACAGGCCTGGGGATCATGCTGGCCGTTGTCGCCTAGAATCGCACAGCGTCAGTCTCGTCATCTCCATGCGATTCTGGGCAAGCCGATCCAGCGAGCAAGCAGAGACAGAGCTACGCCAGCTCGGCGCCAGATAACCTACGTCTGCCCGTGCTCACCACCTGCGCGATATACTGACGCCTCTCACCTCAGGCATTGCTATCCCTTCCTCGGCCGACACGGGATATGCCAGTCCATCATATATAAATATATGCACCTATCAGGCACCTTTGTATGCACGTACATGGGAGTGTATCCTTCTGCCTGTCTGTCTACCTACCTAGGTAGGTAGGTAGGTGGGTAGGTAGGTAGGTAGGTACAAAACCCGTGCATATGCATGTGTGTGCGACGGGATATAGCAGGAGGATATGTGCTGTGTACGTACATGCCTACATCATACGTGAGACAACCCAAGAAACAAATCATCTTGGTTCTATCCCCGGCTCGCCCCCCCTTGCCTCCCTCTCCTCCCCGCCCCCCTCTCGCCTTCGCTCGCGACGCCTGTCGCTGTCTACGGATGGGGAAACGAGCCGAAATAGGAAAGGGGGGGAGAAGAGAAGAGAAGAGAAGGAAACCCCACGCTGCCACGCAACAACCTGTCCCGTGCGGAGGCTCTCGTCAGCAGATTCCGCGCTCATCAGATGCCAAGAGCGTATATAAACCACTGGCTCCCGCCCAGCATCGCCCGCCCAGTAGCATAGTCAAAGCTGCATACGACGTCTTATTCCGCAGTAGCGCGACATCGGACCACGGGCTCATCATCCCAAGAGCGAAGTCCCCCCCCTGGGCTGATTGGGTGCGGCCGGTCGTTTGGACGGCGTCTGGACGGGGCTTATTCGCCGCTTTGGGCGAGCCCTGGTATACCCGCCAATCCGTCCGAGCGGGAGGGGTCCCTTTCACCCTGGCCTGGACTGGACCCCTGCCGTTCGGGATATGCATGTCTCTGTGGGGTGCGTTCTGGAATGGGAATGGGCTTTGACAACCTCCATCTGCGTTTCTGTTACTCAGGCCCTTCGCATTCGCGCCTGCAACGTACCTACACGTAGATACCTACCTCTTTGCGAGGCCAAAGCCTCTCCGATCCACGGCAAGTCCCCGACCGCATCCTTATTTTATTCCCATTACCATTATTATTTACCATCCTTTTTCCACTCCCTCCTCATCTCCGCCTCGCTTTATTTCCCTCTGCGTCTTCCCGAGGTCAATCAGATGCGACCAAGAAGTCCGCCTCGTTTTCTTCCTAAGCGAGTGATGAAATTTCCCGGTAACCTCTGCAGATTTGGGTCCCGGTGAGCCGATCGCCAGAGCCCCGTCTCTCTCTTTTTTTCTTTCTTTTCTTCTAGAGAGGGTTTATGTTCGCCGGTCCCTCGCCCGCTCTGCCTACGCGTCTGGACAGATCCGGGTCGCATCATCACACATCATCACCACACAGCTAGCCCCCGCGTCCTCCCAACATTGACTACGCTATCGCCTTCTTCGCGCCCTCGCTTTCCGAATATCCCACTCCGTAGCGTGCATGTGCTATCTCGCCATTCTCCTTCTCTTCCTCTCAACGGCTTACGATAGGTGCACGGCGCCTGGACGATACGACAGCGACAGCCAGCCAGAAACCATAGCGGATGGGCGAAATGCACCTGGACGGAATTGGGAAGAATGATGTTATCCCGATTGTCGTAGTAGCAGTGGTAGTAGCGCCAACCCGTGCATACTTGCTACCACTATATGTAGTGCATTGGCCAACGGACCAATGTCGTCTCGTCCACAACCACCGAGGTCTATGATATGTGATCTCCCACTTAAACGACATCTATCATGATATCTGCTCCTTTTTTTTTCTTCTGGTCTTGCACCGCATTAGGCCTGACGGTGGCCGTCGTCTCTAATTCGCCTCTCACGGCGGCTGCTCTGATCGCACACGAGAGCGAATAATGCCCGTTGGTTCTACCCGGACGCGCACGCAGGCCGTGGAGGTGCATCGACCTGTTCTAGGTGAATGCCGGCTTTGCGCGATATTATTCCGCCTCCTGCTCTCCCAGGACATTCGGAAAATTAAGGAAGGGGTAAGTCCACAGAGGCAAGTAGCCATATACTACCTACCTGTAAGACATGTGTGAGGGGAGGCGAAGTTTGGGCTGTGGCCGCGTTGCTGGCTTTTTCGTGTCGAGCTCCGGCTTATTCGAGGCCCGCCTACGTAGGTACCTAGACACGCCTACGTAGGTAGGTACCTACATATGTGCATACATACATATGCGCATATCCGGCGCCTAACACCCACTACGGATCGATCCATTCACGCACATGCATGCACATATATATGTGTGTGTAGGTATTTATATTTATGTGTGTGTGTGTGTGCTCTCTCTCCGGGAGACGCGGGAAACAGGAAGTGCTCAGCTCTTAGAAGGACGAAGTGCAGGTACCTACAGGTAGGTACCTAACCTACAAATACGAGTTAGGATCTGGGTAGGTATAAAGCAGATAACAGGCCCAGTCTCACACGGGTGTGGGAAGCAATGACAAACCGACTTGGGGTTTCTCGCCAGAGACCTTGCCGCTGTCCTTGTCGCGCGGGCGGACCAGTCAGAGCGGCGCATTTGTTAATCGTTCAACGACCGACCGTACTGGGTATGAAATGTACGGGGCAAGAAGCGAATAGGTCCGACGCCGGTAACGTCATCCCCCAACCCGCTAGCCGCTCTGCTCCGCCCAGCCCCAATAGACGCAAACAGCGGGGGGTGAGAGGGGTATTGAAAGACTCGTCGTCCGTCCTTCGGCCATCTCCTTGCCCCTCCCCCACTTAAGTGAAGATTGCATAGGTGCCCTGGTCACAGGCGTAGGTATCGTACCAACCTGCCTGGGCCCACCCACGTATGTAATGTGCGTACATACATTCCCACACTACTACGTAGCATACATATAGACGTTCGATGGTTAGGTATGCATGGGTTATGCACATACCTAGGTACCTACCTGCCTTAGGTACTTACTTGGGTGCGTTGGTGTTCCTATCCGCCCCCATACCTACCTCCCTACCTACCCTCTATAGTCCCGACCGGCCGCCAACCTGCCCAACCTAACCCCATAAGTGCCCACTACCTTTAGGTGGCTCCCTGCCTACCCCCTTCCTACCCTGGATTGTGTAGGTACGTAAGGTACCTAGGTATGTACCTGGAGCGTAGCATACGTCCCCCGCTAGATTGTGTAGGCGAACTCTTTCTTTCGCATTACCGGGAAGTAGATACCTAGGTAGGTAGGCATGTCACGACCTACCCTACTACCGCGGGAACACCTGCCGGCCGCGCAAGATAGAGTGGAGGAGGCCGATCTGCCCCATGCTAGGCCCTATACTAAATTGTTGCACGTCTCTATGAATATTTTTTTTCCTGTTCTTCCCACTCGGAACCTGCCTACGCAGGACACCTGAATCTACTAGGCCAGCTCGGCTCCTCCTCCTCCTACTCCTCCTCCTCCTTCTCCTCGTCCCTCTCCTCCTTCTCCTCCTCGTCCCATCTGCCATGCATAAAAGCCGGACTTGCCACACATCCCCCCCCCTTCGATTGCACCCTCTCTCTTCCCTCTTTTTCTTTCTCTCGCCAAACCACCCTGACAAATACCTGGCTTTCCGTCGAGACTCCTAGCCGGAACACACAAGATCGTATCCAGTAAGACCCGGATCGAGAGAGAGACAACTTGCAGAGAGAGTCCTTCCTAAATATTAACCTGTGAGTATGATGCGTTTCCTAATGCAATGCGCGCCCGTCCGCCATACCCCGTGCCCCGAGAAGCAAAATCCAATGGAACCGGTGAATTGGCCACCGATGCGAGTCAGCAGAAAGGCAGCAAGCAGACCTGGACAAAGGCGCTTCGGGTGCGCGACGAGGAAACGGAGCATGGGGCCTGGCAGCAAAACCGCGACCATATCCATTTCATCATGGTTGTCGGTTGGTTGCGAGACGGTGCTGAGGAAGCGCACCCACCGGCGCTGCGGGTTGGAGAGAGGGAACCGGACCTCAGATGCAGCAACCCTGTCCCTTCGACGGGGTGATAACTGCGGTGTGGGGCCAAAAGCAGCATCATGCACGATCGCCGACCTATCAGACGCACGGTGGATAGCCGCATAGTTGCGTTTGGAAGCCTTGCAATTGGCTGTCGTCATATCGGCCACTACCCCCGGCGCTGTCCGAGCCAGGCATTCGACGGCCGACTTGCTCGCCCGAGACTATATATCTCGGCACACACACACACACACAGGCAATGACGCCAGGAGTGCGTTGGAGGGGTGCATCGAACGAATAATTCGTCCTGTCCTCGGCGCTTTGTCTCGCTATAACTACGGCCAAGGCTGGAGAAGCACGTCGGCTACCCGCCCTACTTCGTCCATCATTGCCTATCCGCCGCTGAGTCGATCGTCGGCACTTTCTTGCACCGTTCAATGCGCCATTGAACTTTGTCGCGTTTGCACTTCCCTGTTCGTCCCGGCACTTCCTGACCATTTCCCGGCGGAGCGCCGCAGCAATCCCCCGGCCCGGTGGAGTTGCCAGTTGGGCCTAGGACATCAGAGTTTCGCCCTTGAGGCCAGATATGGCAACCCCTCCTCCGCCCCGGCGAACGGCCGAGGGAGAAACGGATAGAAGGAGAGGGCGGGTGAGGGGTGCCAAAAGGAGTGGGAGAGAACCAAACTGCTACTCGAGCCTCCTGTACACCGCCCTACATCCCGTCTCCCACCAACACTACCCCCCTCTCGCCCTCGGATCGAACCTCTCGTCATCGACTCTGCGTCGCCTCTCTCTCTATCATTCCCCGTTATTCATACTGACTCGTGACTTGGCGCCGTTAAACACACCGCGAATTGCTAGAAGCTGACTTGTGCTATTAGGACATCTAGGCCTGTCGACGTCCAAGCAGCGCCAGCTGCTGCTGATCGCCGTACGCACGCGCCCGCATACAGAGGAAAAATCTCGCAGAAGCACTGGATATTTCCAACCTTCCTCACACTCGCGATCCAGCCGGCCATACATCTTATTGTTTGCCTGACATGGGCCTTCCTGCCGACTTCGACGATAGACAGATACATTTAGAGTCCGAGGCAGACGCCTACCATCCCTATGAATATCAAACCGACAACAACAGCTCCTGGGCTGGCGCCCTGCCGGTGAAGCAGTATGTCGTTCTCCTCCGGGTCTTGATGTCGTGCGTGCTCGGAACTAACTATGCCTGCGCAGGGGGCTGTACGACCCAAGCTTGGAGAAAGATGCGTGCGGTGTCGGGTTTGCCTGGTACGAGCGCAACTGTGATTTTTTTTTTTACTCCCGCGAACGGCGTCCGCTGATGTTTCCGTAGCCATATCAAGGGAAAAGCGAGCCACAAAATTGTTAGCGATGGTAGGTTCCTAGACTTTGGAGAAGCGTCCCGCGGCTAGTAGACTAACTGCGTGTAGCCCGCAACCTCCTTTGCAACATGACCCACCGTGGCGCGGTGGGTTCTGATGCTCGAGATGGTGATGGTGCTGGTGTTATGACCTCGATACCCCACAAGTTCTTCATCAAGAATTTTGAAAGAGAGGAAGGCATTAAACTCCCCCCTCTGGGGCAGTATGCGGTGGGGAATCTTTTCTTTAAGCCGGACGAGGAGACGTTGCAGGAGTCGAAGCGGCAGTTGGAAGATATTGCCGAGTCGTTGGGGTTGAGAGTTCTGGGCTGGCGATCACCTCCTGTAGACTCTACTCTCCTTGGCCCTGCTGCGTCCTCGCGCGAGCCCTTCATCTTCCAGCCATTTGTTGTCCTTGCGTCTGCGTATGGCTCTGGGAATGCCCCTGAAATGACGGACCCAGAAAAATTCGACGAACGGCTATTCGAACGTCAGTTATACGTCCTTCGAAAGCGTGCTACTCATTCTATCGGTCTTCATAATTGGTTCTATCTTTGTTCCCTTTCAAACAAGAACATTGTTTACAAGGGGCAGCTCGCGCCAGTTCAGGTCTATCAGTACTATCATGATCTGGTAAATGCTGATTATGAGGCTCATTTTGCCCTCGTACACTCTCGTTTCTCCACCAACACCTTCCCTTCCTGGGATCGTGCCCAGCCGCTTCGATGGGCGGCCCATAACGGTATGTGTAATTCCGGGACGTCGGCAGAGAAACATATCTAACCTACCCTTTCAGGTGAGATAAACACTCTCCGCGGAAACAAGAACTGGATGCGCGCCCGAGAGGGTGTCATGCAGTCCGACATTTTTGGCGACGAGCTCGAGCACCTGTACCCCATTGTGGAAGACGGCGGTTCCGACTCGGCGGCCTTCGACAATGTTCTCGAACTCCTCACTATTAATGGCGTTCTTTCTTTGCCGGAAGCCGTCATGCTGATGGTTCCCGAGGCCTGGCAAGGTAACACTGCCATGGACCCCAAGAAAGCGGCTTTCTACGAATGGGCTGCGTGCCAGATGGAGCCGTGGGATGGCCCCGCACTCTTTACCTTTGCGGACGGCCGATTCTGTGGCGCCAACCTGGACCGAAACGGTCTCCGCCCTTGTCGCTACTACATCATGGATGATGACCGCATAATCTGTGCCTCGGAGGTCGGTACTATCCACGTCGACCCTGAGCGCGTTCTCCAAAAGGGGCGCCTCCAACCAGGCCGCATGCTTCTGGTTGACACCCAGGCCGGCCGTTTGATCGACGACTCGGAGCTTAAATCGGCGGTCTCCAGCCGAAACGACTTCCGGTCGTGGATAGACCAGGAGCTCATCAGCTTGCCGAAGGTCCTCAGCCGAGTATCCGAGAAACAGGCCGCAGACATCGCGGCAAAGCCGGATTCTACCCTGCTCCAGCAAGACCCCCGATTGCTTGCATTCGGGTATACCTACGAGCAGGTCAGCCTGCTCCTTGCTCCCATGGCTTCCGACGAGAAAGAGGCTCTGGGGTCTATGGGCAACGATGCTCCCTTAGCCTGTCTCTCCCAAAGCCCCCGCCTCCTCTATGAATACTTCCGTCAGCTCTTTGCCCAGGTGACCAACCCTCCCATCGACCCGATCCGAGAGTCGATCGTCATGTCTCTGGAGTGCTATGTTGGTCCGCAAGGTAACTTGCTCGAGATGGACTCTTCTCAATGTGCCCGGCTACTGCTCCCAAGTCCGATCCTTTCCATTCCGGAGTTCAACGCGCTCACCCACATATCCCAAGTGCATCCCGAATGGACGGTGAAGACGATTGATCTCACCTTCCCCAAGTCCGAGGGCGTCGCTGGTTATATGAAGCAACTCGACTTCATATGCGACGAGGCCACGGCTGCTATCGAGGCTAGGGATAGGATTATCGTGCTCTCCGACCGGAAGACGTCCGCTGACCGCATCGCCGTTTCGACACTTCTGGCTTCAGGTATGGTTCACCATCACCTGGTCAGCAACAAGTGGAGATCCATGGCGGCCATTGTGCTCGAGACGGCCGAGGCTCGCGAGGTCCACCATATGTGCGTCCTGCTCGGTTACGGGGCGGATGCTGTCAACCCCTATCTTGCGATGGAATGCATTCTCAAGCTCAACCGTGAGGGGTTGATTCGACGGAAGCTTTCTGATGATGCCCTCATCGCCAACTACAAGCACTCTTGCGACGGCGGTATCCTCAAAGTCATGAGCAAGATGGGCATTTCGACCCTCGCCAGTTACAAGGGCGCTCAAATCTTTGAAGCGCTCGGCGTTGATGATGAAGTTGTCGAGAGGTGTTTCCGGGGAACGGCCTCCCGCATCAAGGGTCTCACCTTCGAGCTTATTGCCGAAGATGCATTCCGCTTCCACGAACGCGGATTCCCGTCGCGCTACACCGTTAGCGTCCCTGGTCTCCCGGAGTCTGGCGAGTACCATTGGCGTGATGGCGGCGAGGCCCATATCAACGACCCAACTTCGATTGCGAATATCCAGGACGCTGTCCGGACAAAGAATGACAAATCGTATGAGGCCTATTCTCGTTCGGAGTATGAACAAATCAAAGCTTGCACGTTGCGAGGCATGCTAGACTTCAAATTCGAGGAAACTAACCCGATTCCCATTGACCAAGTCGAGCCCTGGACTGAAATTGTACGCCGCTTCTGCACCGGTGCCATGTCTTACGGATCGATTTCCATGGAGTCTCACTCCACTCTGGCTGTCGCCATGAACCGGCTAGGCGGCAAATCAAACACTGGCGAGGGTGGAGAGGACCCCGAACGATCCCAAGTGATGCCGAACGGCGATACTATGAGGTCCGCCATCAAGCAAGTTGCGTCAGGGAGATTCGGTGTTACTTCCGCATATCTTGCCGACTCCGACGAACTCCAGATCAAGATGGCCCAGGGTGCGAAGCCCGGCGAAGGTGGCGAGCTTCCCGGTCACAAGGTCTCCAAATCTATCGCCCGAACTCGCCACTCGACTCCCGGTGTTGGTCTCATCTCGCCCCCGCCTCACCACGATATCTACTCCATTGAGGATTTGAAGCAGCTTATCTACGACCTCAAATGCTCAAGCCCCAGATCCCGCGTCTCTGTCAAGCTCGTCTCCGAGACGGGCGTCGGTATCGTTGCTTCGGGTGTCGCAAAAGCCAAGGCCGATCACATCCTGATTTCCGGGCATGACGGCGGCACCGGCGCTAGCAGATGGACTGGGATCAAATACGCGGGCCTCCCCTGGGAGCTTGGCCTTGCGGAAACTCACCAGACACTGGTTTTGAACGACCTGCGTGGCCGAGTTGTCGTCCAGACCGACGGTCAACTCCGAACCGGACGAGACGTCGCCATTGCCTGCCTGCTCGGTGCCGAAGAATGGGGATTTGCTACGACTCCCCTCATCGCCATGGGCTGCATTATGATGAGGAAGTGCCACCTGAATACTTGCCCGGTCGGTATCGCGACTCAGGACCCCGAGCTTCGCAAGAAGTTCAAAGGTACACCTGAGCATGTGATCAACTTTTTCTACTATGTCGCCAACGAGCTCCGAGCTATCATGGCCCAGCTTGGTTTCCGGACGATCAATGAAATGGTTGGCCACGTCGAGTGCCTCAAGGTCCGAGATGATCTCCGGACCAACAAGACCGCCAACATTGATCTCTCGCTCATCCTTACTCCAGCCCACAAGCTTCGACCCGGCGTGGCGACGTTCAACGTTCGAAAGCAGGATCACCGTCTCTACGTCCGCCTCGATAATAAGCTTATTTCGGAGGCTGAGTTGACGCTGGATAAAGGGCTTCCGTCGCGAATCGAGTGCGACATCGTCAACACGGACCGAGCCATGGGTACGTCTCTATCTTACCACATTTCCAAGCGGTATGGTGAGGCTGGTCTTCCGATGGATACCGTGCATGTCAACATTAAGGGTTCGGCCGGGCAGTCTTTCGGCGCGTTCCTCGCGCCCGGCGTCACGTTGGAATTAGAAGGCGACGCCAACGATTACGTCGGGAAAGGACTATCCGGCGGTCGATTGATCATCTACCCCCCGCGCTCGGCAGTGTTCAAGGCGGAGGAGAACGTTCTGGTCGGTAACGTTTGCCTGTACGGAGCCACCAACGGTACCTGCTTCTTCAGAGGTGTCGCTGCAGAGCGATTTGCCGTCCGAAACTCTGGTGCCACCGCCGTCGTCGAAGGGGTTGGTGACCATGGTTGTGAGTATATGACTGGCGGCCGCGTCGTGATTCTGGGGAGCACCGGGCGCAACTTTGCTGCGGGTATGTCGGGTGGTATCGCCTACGTTCTCGATATCCAGGGCAATTTCCTGTCGAAGCTCAATATGGAGATGGTTGAAGCTTCCGAGGTTACGGATCCGGCCGAAATCGCATTCCTACGTGGCTTGGTCGAGGACCACCATCACTACACCGGCTCTGAACTGGCTGCTCGCATCCTGGTAGACTTTAACAGAGCACTACCACGATTCGTCAAGGTTCTACCCGTAGATTACAAGAGAGTCCTCGAGGAGGAGGCCGCCAAGGCGGTTGAGGCTAAGCGCGCAGAATACAACCTCCCTACTATATCGGGCGTTCAGGCAAAGAAGGGAGAGAAAGCGGCCAAGCTAGCGGACATTGAAGAGACTGTCGGCGACAACGCGGCTGACAAGAAGCGCGCTCTGGTCCTAGACAAGACCAAGGGCTTCATGAAATACCAGCGACGCTCGGAGAAGTATCGCAGCGTCAAGACTAGAACTAAGGATTGGGCCGAGCTCTCCCAGAGACTCAACGAGGATGAGTTGAAGTATCAGTCAGCCAGATGCATGGACTGTGGTGTTCCGTTTTGTCAATCCGAGACGGGATGCCCGATCTCCAACATCATTCCTAAGTGGAACGAATTGGTATTCCAGAATCAATGGCAGGATGCTCTCAACCGTCTGCTCATGACGAACAACTTCCCCGAGTTCACTGGTCGGGTGTGCCCCGCCCCTTGCGAAGGTGCCTGCGTACTCGGCATCAACGAGGACCCGGTTGGCATCAAATCCATCGAGTGCGCCATCATCGACCGTGGCTTTGAAATGGGTTGGATGGTCCCCCGACCGCCCAAGGTCCGAACGGGCAAGACGGTTGCTATCATCGGCTCGGGTCCCTCCGGCCTCGCCTGTGCCGATCAGTTGAACAGAGCCGGGCATAGCGTCACCGTTTATGAGCGCGCTGATCGTCCGGGCGGCCTCCTCATGTACGGAATTCCCAACATGAAACTCGACAAGCGCGTCGTCAAGCGGAGAACGGATTTCATGGCCGCCGAAGGCGTGCAATTCAAGACCGGTGTCACTATCGGAGAGGAAATTACACTCACGGACCTCAAGGCCCAGAATGACGCCGTCGTCATCGCCACTGGCGCTACTGTTGCTCGAGATCTTCCGATTAAGGGTCGGAACCTGGAGGGCATACACTTCGCCATGGAATTTTTGCACAAGAACACCAAATCTCTGCTTGACTCGGAGCTCGCCGACGGCGCTTACCTCTCCGCCAAGGGCAAGCACGTCGTGGTGATCGGAGGCGGCGACACTGGCAACGATTGCATCGGCACCTCAGTGCGTCATGGTGCGAAGTCGGTTATCAACTTCGAGCTCCTCCCACAACCTCCTCCGCACCGTGGTCGCGACAACCCGTGGCCGCAGTGGCCGCGAATCTACCGCGTCGACTACGGCCACAATGAGGTAGCGCAGCACATGGGCAAGGATCCCCGCGAGTACTGCATCATGTCCGAGGAGTTCGTCGACGACGGCAACGGACACGTCAAGGGGATCAACACTATTCGCGTCGAGTGGACCAAGTCCTCGACCGGCGGCTGGGATATGAAGAAGCTCGAGGATACCAAGCAGTTCTTCCCCGCCGACCTCGTCCTCCTTTCCATGGGATTCCTCGGCCCGGAGGCGCGGGTACTCGGCGACGAGATCGAGAAGGACGCGCGAAAGAACGTCAAGACGCCGACTGGCTCGTACGCAACCAATATCGAAGGCATCTTCGCCGCTGGTGACTGCCGCCGCGGCCAGTCGCTGATTGTTTGGTAAGCGGAATGGTGTGTCATGCCTGAGCTAGGGCGGTAGCTAACTGTGTGCTCCAGGGGTATCAACGAAGGACGACAGGCTGCTCGTGAGGTAGATCTATACCTCCAACATTACACCAGCTTGCCGGTCACTGGTGGTATCATTAAACGTACGGCGAAACAGATCTTGAGCATTGTGGCTTAAACAAGAGAGCTCTTAGATGCAACACGACCCCTGAAAGGCGAGCGTCTGCGCAGTTATGGCAGGTCGGGTGCTTTTGTTACAAAGCGGTGAAGGCGATTTGTGATGACCATAAGCAACTGAATCTCAAGTACGATGCCACGACAGAAGAAGAGGGCTGGTTGGGCAGGATTCCACTTTGTACGGCGGTTGGGGGAATATACCTCGTTCATATCGGTGGGGCGTTCTATCATGGCGGTTACGTAGTGATTAAATATATGTATGATTTTAGAGCGATGCAAAAGGTAGCTAAATATATATTACCCTGGCGGTTGAAGACGTTGGCGAGTAGAGCAGTGCCATGCATGGCTTACGAACCGAACATCTGCGGAGTAGGCGTCTTGCTATTTCGGATCTCGTAGGGGTTCTTGCCGCATCTATGACATGTACCTACCTAGCGACCTACCTCCCCTGGTCTCACTTGTGAGATGGGCGATGCGATAAGTTGCATACCTACGATGAGGGAATGAAGAGACGGCCTCCTAACGGGCCTCTGCCGCGGTACCGCAGGGCCCGTGGGTGGGGTCGACGCGATGCCCGGGCGAGTTCGAGGGGAGCGTACACACGTGGGAGAGGCCGGCTCTCGTCGCCACGTACCTACCTACCTACCGACGGCGGTCTTCGCTGCGCTGTCGCAACACTGGCGGCCCTCTCTGGCTGGGTTGAAGCTAGGTACGTACGTTACCTACGTTACCTAGGCAGGTGCCGTGGCCGGGGGACCGTAGCTCCTACGTCGGCGGCGGCGCTAGCCCGATAGTGCGGGTTAGCGCGGCACGTTGCGGCGGCGCGCCGCCCCATTGGCATGGTGGCATGGCCCGGGGGTGTGCTGCATGTAGGTACCTAACGTGTAGCCTGTAGGTGCGAGTAGGCAGGCAATACTTGCAGAAGCAGCCGAGGATTAGGTAGGTACCTACCTAGGTACCTACGTGCCTCAGTTGGGGCCAGCTTAGCGCGGCATCGTCCCCACTCTGAGGTCGCAGTGACGGGAGAGGATGGGAACGGGTCCTGTATGAGTACGAGTAGGTAGCCTACGCTTGTGGTGCACAGAGTACTTGTATATGCCTGTATACCTAAGTACCTAGGTTACTCAGTAGGAGGTACGTACTGACTGGTATTAAATAATTGTGCTCGTGCATACACTCCCTAGGCGTCCACCTAATGCGCCTATGTAACCGAATACAACCCGGTCCGCCTCACGACTTGATCGCATCCAACATAACAAAAGCCAAAACAACAGGGAAAGAAAAAAAAAACATCACACGTCAATACTTGTCGCCCGCCCAATTGATCTGCTCTCAACCCCTATCGTGGCTCTGAACTCTCAGACAACCGCTCCATCCCCCCGGCCCACGACACGTCCAGTCCGCAGACGAGAAGCTCTGCAGGGTCGCGAGCAAGATGCGCTTCGGCAGGACGCTCCGCCAGTCCATCTACCCGCCATGGAAGGACCGGTACATCGACTACTCCAAGCTCAAGGTGATGCTGCGCGAGGACACCAAGGATGACGACGACGTCCCGTGGACCGAGGAAGACGAGAACCGCTTCTGCGACGAGCTGTTCAACGTCCAGCTCGAGAAGGTCGCCCGGTTCCAGGAGGAGGCCGTCGCCGCCCTCAAGGAGCAGGCCGAGACCGCCTTCGACAAGCTGCGCGACATGACCCCCTCCGACGACCGGCCCAAGAGCGACATCACCACCGCCCGCCTCAAGGAGCTCCAGGGCGAGCTCGACGCCGTCACCAACGAGGTCAAGGAGCTCAAGAAGTACAGCAGCCTCAACTACACCGGCTTCCTCAAGATCGCCAAGAAGCACGACCGCAAGCGCGGCGACCGCTACAAGGTCCGCCCCATGATGCGCGTGAGCCTGTCGGGCCGCGGCTTCAACTCGGAGCAGGCCTATTCGCCCCTGCTCACGAAGCTGTCCCTGATGTACTATGCCATCAACCAGAGCCTCGACGAGGGCGAGCAGCGCCAGCCGCTCGACCTGGAACTGGACAGCCTGCAGGAGGTGCACAACGGGGAGCGATACACCGCCCACAAGTGTAAGCCGCTCTCTTCTCTTCTCTTCTCTCTTCTCCTCGTGTCTCTCCCACCGCTAACCGCGCTTTCCGCAGTTTGGATACACCCGGATAATCTCCTCGAGGTCAAGACCGCCATTCTGCGGCACCTGCCCGCCCTCATCTACAGTCAGCAGGCCGGGACCGAGCCCGACGGCAACGAAGACCCCAAGATCACCTCCCTCTACTTCGACAACTCCAAATTCAGCCTGTACAGCCAGAAGGTGGGCCGCCAGGTCGACGCCTCGTCGGTGCGCTTGCGCTGGTACGGCCAATTGAACGAGCGGCCCTCCCTCGCCCTCGAGCAGAAAACAGTGCTCGAGAACGGCACGAGCGAGGAGAAGAAATTCTCCATCAAGGGCAAGTACGTCAGGCCGTTCATCGACGGGGAATACAAGATGGAAAAGAGCGTGCAAAAGATGGAAAGGCAAGGCCAGACAGCCGAGGCGATACAATCCTTTAAAACCACCACCGAAGAGATCCAAGAGTTCATACTCCAGGGCAAGCTGGAACCCGTCCTGCGGGCCAATTACACTCGGACAGCCTTCCAGAAGCCTGCGGACGACCGCGTGCGAATTTCCATCGACACCGATGTAGTCTTTATCCGCGAGGACACCCTGGACCGGGACCGTCCTTGCCGCGATCCTCGGGAGTGGCATCGGCGAGACATCGACGGCAATAATATGACATTCCCATTCAAGAACATCAACCAGAGCGAGGTCTCGAGGTTTCCGTTTGCCCTTCTCGAGATCAAGCTGAAGGAGGAAGGCGGGCGTAAGAGGCCGGGGTGGGTGGAAGACCTGATGGCCTCGCACCTGGTTCACGCGGCCCCGCGGTTCTCCAAATTCGTGCACGGCGTCGCGTCTCTCTTTGAGGACTACGTCAACAATCTACCACTGTGGCTCAGCGATCTCGAGACGGACATCCGAAAGGACCCGCAGACGGCGCACGACGCAGAGGAGCAGCGAAAAGCCCAGCAGGCGGAGGACGCGCTGGTCGTGGGTAGCTTTTTGGGCGGTGGTGGCGGTGCTACTAAGACTAGCTCCTACAAAGCAGCTACGAGTTCGCCGGTTGGGATGTCGTACCTCTCGGAAAGAGCCGCCCAAGACGCTAGAGCTTCCCTATCGCAGTCCCTGCGCGGCGAACGAGGAGCTGAGCAAGGCGACGAGGACGGCGCGAGCAACGGCCGCCAACGAGGCTACGGCACTCTCTCCTCCGTCTTACCCGGCTTCTCCCTGTCGCGGTATTCCCGGGCTAAGCGTCAGCGGGCACAGCTCCCCGAGGGCGTCACGAAGCCGGAGGTCTGGCTCAAGAATGCCGGGCCGCTGCAAGTCGAGCCGAAGGTGTGGCTGGCCAACGAGCGGACATTCCTCAAATGGCAGCAAATCTGCATACTCCTAGGCAGCTTGGCCATCAGCCTGTACACGGCCGCGGGCGAGAACTTCGTCGCCGAGTGCATGGGCATCGCCTATATCGCGATCGCCATCATGGCCGGGCTGTGGGGCTACGTGATGCTGCACAAGCGGCGTAACATGATCACGGAGCGCAGCGGTAAGGATTTCGACAATATGATCGGGCCGCTGGCGGTCAGCGCCGCGCTGATAGTCGCTCTGGTGTTGAACTTTGTCTTCGCGGTAAGGCAGCCAGCCATTATATATATATATATATATATGTCTAGATTCTCTTCTCCGGGATGCTAACGTGTGCGCAGTACCGTGCCGCGCTCGCCAGGCTCGGCAGCCAGCCGTCGAACGGGACCGAGGCGGCCTGGGTTAGCGAGCAGCTCATCTAGGATGGGGAAGCTCGGCGAGGGCGGGCGCCGAGGTTCGTCGGGCCAGCCCTTGCAGCGAGGAGGAGGGAATACGTGGGAGAGATTTATCGCACGCGTCTCGGGAAGCAGTTGGATACCCACCGATGTACGGTGTAGATTGGGCATATGCGGAGGAGGAAGGGGGATAGAATAAAGAGGAGGAGACAGTTACGGGCGATGCCAGATGAGTTGTTCGAGCGTCTCGGCGGGGGGTTATGGCAGATGAGCATCAGGTCGGGAAGACAAAATCTGAGGAGGAAGGGTTGGTCCGGTATGTAGAGGTGTAGGTCATATAAAATGTATTAGTGTATGTATGTATAAATACCTAAAACAATGTATGTTGCCGGGCAGGTACCTCTCTTTTCGTGTGCCTGCCCGTATCTCTCTGCTTCGCCGACTTGTAGGTAGGTGCGGTGGAAGGGGTACAAGACTTATATAGAGGTAGCGTCGATGGGCATAGTGGAATCATCCTAGGTACATAAGCCAGTTGAACAACAACCTGACTTTGGATGGAACACTGCATTGCGTTGGAGGTTGAAGTATCGGAGGTTTGTTGCCGGCCGAGGTTACATAATCAGCAGCCGCCAACTTTAGGTACCTGCATAGGTCCATAACCTACCGTATACTCATTAGGTATTTTCTCCGTGACCTGCAATCCTACAGGTTAGGTACCTGGAAGCAAGAGGCGATCGCCAGCTATTCTTATCTCTCCACGACACGACGTGTAGGAGGTGCCGATGCCATACAGGTAGGTACAATGCAATATCAGGACTCTTGCTGAGGAGCGAGCTGGCGGTCCAGGCAGCGACTCCATCCCAGGTTTCCTTTTTTTTTTTTTTTTTTCCCAGCGCGATGCAGACGCAGCAACCCACCGAGGCTGCACGGGCTGCAGTTGGCCTGGGGGGTCTCTGGGCACTCTGACTGGACCGACCGATTGTACATACGGCCGCCCGCATAGGTTTGGGCTGGGTTACCTACTATCTGTTCTGGTTTCCCGTCGGCCATTGATTCCTCTCGGTTGAACAATAACAGAAACCAACCTTTTTATTTCTTAATTTTTTTTATTCTTATACCCTTGTCTGTCTGTCCCCTGTCTTCGATCGCCGGCGCCCTCTATTTAATATACAGTCGCCTGCCCGGTCGCCGTCGTCATAGGCAATGCTGCTCTCCACCCGGATCCCCGTTTGTTTCGCTATCACATGAGAGATACCTGTGGGTAACGGCTGCATAGTGCCAGCTCAGCTCGCCTTGGGAGCGTTAATCGCCGACATTGTTTGTTACCTGCTGGTGGCTTTTTCCCCGTCTGCTGTTATTGATTCCCACTCGTGCGCAGCCACGCAGGACTGACGCGTCCCTGCTTTTCGCACTCGGCCGATTCGACCGCCCAAGCATGACCGAGCAAGACATCGCGAATTTCCCTGCATGCCATACTGCTACTTGATCGCATTTATGCCTAGCCGAGACCCTCCGCGAACGCAACCATGGCTGAACCGCAGAAGAAGGGATTCTGGGGCGGTCTGCTTCGTAGAGTCAGCAACGCCCAGCGAGCCTCGAAGCTGGTAGGTATCTAAAGTCGAGCCGCAGCTCGTCGAGCCACCTGAACCTCTGCTCATCGGCCTGCACAGGAGCAAGAGCCGCCGCTGAGACGGTTCGCCGAGGGCGACGACTCGTTTTCGCAGAGACGCAAATCCGAGAGGGTCGATGTTACCCACCCGCGCAGACGACCTCGGCGCCCGAATCCCGACCCCAAAGGCAAGGGCCGCGAGAAACCGAACGGCCGCCACCGCCACCACTCGGCCACCTTATCGGGATGGCCGCCATCCGGCGTGTCGAGCGAGGAGGAGCTATCGCTCGGCCACGCGATGGAGCTCATCTCGAAAGGTGTCCCGGCCCACAAGGGCCACAAGCGCCCCATCCCGCATGCCTCCGACCACTACTACCGCCTATACACCACCACCGCCGGCAATCACAGCGACGAGACCGACGCCGCCAACCAACACGAGTCCATGACCCAGCTGACCACCCTGCGAATCCAGGGCACCGGCCTGCCCACCTATCCCTGGGAGACCTTCGAGCAGCCGAGCCTCGCGTTCGGGTTCGGAGCGCGGCCGGGCACCATCACCTTGAACCACTGGGTCGGTCTCTTCAGCGAACTCCCGCGCCAGATCGAGCTGCGCGACCTCGGCATGACCCCGAGAGAGGCCGATCTGACCCGAATTTTCGATCGGCTGAAGGACTTGGAGGAGGGCGGTCTGGAAGACGACAGCGAAGAGCTGCTATATCGCCTGTACAAGCGGTTTCTCAAGGACCCGGACAAGTCCTTCAGCCCGCATAAGACGATGCACCAGCAGATTACCGATTTGGTCACGTGTCTGTCGAGTTCCAACTGGGTTGATTTCTCGATTCCGAAGAACCAGGTCGTCACAAAGTTCATCTACGATACCGGCCCTGAGAATCACGAGCAGTACAGAAAGTTCTTCTACCAGCTACTGCTGAGCCTCGAGCTGGAGCTGCGAATCAACTCGAGGCTCCATACGGACGAGGCCAAGGAGAAGCTCATGGCGCTGATACCGCCCAAGATCCAATGGAATCTAGCGCTCGCCAGACGATGGCGGGACTACCTGCGCATCGAGGACTACGGGAAGACGCCAGAACAGGTCAGACTACGGTTCAAGTTGCAGAAGAGACAGGTCAAAATGTTGAAGAGGTTTGCCCAGATGATGAAGTGGCCGAACCTAACCGAGACGCTGGATGAGCTGAGGCTGAGAGAGGCGGAGGGGACGCTGATGTCCGTCAGCTCGCACGCCATGGCCTTTTTCAGCTGTCTGATCTTGCCGGGAGTGAGTGGTCGCCGTGACTCCGCGCACACCCCCCCTGCGTAGAACGTTCTGCTGACTGTCTCATAGCCCACTTTCCCTTTCCTTATCATGAACGCTCTCATCGACGTCGACCCGGACAAGGCGACAGACAATCTTGCCTTGCTAACACACCTTCACCCCCACTGCGGCTTCCAATACCGCGGCAGCTATACGTACTGGTCCTCGAGTTGCGTCGTCGGCAAGGTGCTCGCGCCGACTTGTCTCGAGGTTGCCGGATGGGTTGGTCCGGCTCGGCCCACCGGGGACCTCGGTCGGTCCCAAATCGCCCGGATCCGCGCCCGGAAGCCGCGGCAGCATATGCTGACGCCGGGCGACGTGGCTACGATGAGCGAAAGATCCAATCCCTTAGGGCCGCCTTCGAGGGTTTATCCGGTCAAGGACTATAAGCTGCTGATACCCGACACGGACGACATCGTAGACACGATACGAATCGAGTTGGTCAACCTGAAGACGCTTACCGACAAGCAGGACTCGGGCCCTCAGTGGTTCGACGCGTCGATACAGTTTGCCATAGACGGCGTGTCGTGGCCGCTTCACCTCACGTTCGATGTTTCGTTCATCAACGCGTGGCCGTGCACCGACGGTCCCCACCCGCTATTCTTCGACTTCGTCTTCACCGCCGTCCAGGTCGACGAGGTGGTGAAGATTCTCGATTGGGGCAAGCTGAACGGGAACACCAAGGAACCGGGTCCGGAGTCAAGCCCGGTCGGCGGAAGCAAGCCCGCGAAGTCGGCCCAGCCGGGAGAGGATGACGACGAGAAGGTGCTCGTAATCAAGGCGTTTGGCACAAAAGACAACGAGGTCTTGGCGCGCGCGTGGTGCTCCCACTGGGGGCTCAACGCCGTGGTGGCGGATATCGGGAAGACCTGGTGAGTTTATTGTTCCTCTCCGCGCCGCGGTCTCAATCTCTGCCTAGGTCTCTCGGCCGCGGATAACGGGCAGAAGGGCTAACGCAAAACACAGCATGGCGTGTGCCGTCCGCGAAGCCTACGCGGCGACCTTGACGGTCTTGATACTCGTCGACGACCAATCGGAGATCTTAGAATAACGGCACGATGACCACGACCTGCGTGTGTAGGAGTGGGGGGAGAGAAGGTGCCTGCGACAGCACTCCCACGATGAAATGATAATGCGATACAGAGATATAGACGCCCCCTCCCCCCTAGGACCAATGATTTTCCCTAGCGGTCGCGGCGTATCTGACGATTCATTAACGACGGTTTACAACGTCTCACTTTATGAAGTAAGGGATCTTCATGTGTTTTTTCTTACTGTCAGCAAGGCGCGGAACGGTTTAGGTGTTTTTTTTTTTTTTTTTTGCCTTCTCCTTTCCTCTTTACGAAACACACAGAAATTCACTTGGTTCCTTTGGGAGCGGGTTTTCCCCGCCGTTTCTCCCGTATAGGAGATAATGACGCACGGCATTTTCCTCTTGCCATTCTTCTTCTCCCCCCCTCGGCCACGGCGCGTATGAGGGTTTTAATTCTATGTATGTGCACTACTATGTCTTGCGGTGGGCAGATCGGCATTCTCTTACTGAAAAGAGGAAGAGGGGGAGGGGACGATTATACTAGGTGGCGAACGAACGAACCGACGATCTTGGTGTATGTACATCACACCGCAAGGCAGGCGAGGGCTCGGCAGGGAATGTCGACGGCCCATCACTGGCTCGCCCAGACACGCACGCGTCTCGCGTGCAGGCGACCAGGCAAATGGCGGCGACAATCTTTGCCTCCCATACGCCGGGTCCCGACGCCGTATGCGAGAAGCCGGAGCCGCGCTGGGGGATAGAGGGGGCGGTGCCCCCGTCGATGTATACTAGACAAGGATGTATGCGTGCGGGCACGTAGAGTAATGACGACAGCCTTGATGTGTATAACAGGTATGATGTTAACGCATGGGTATCGGATCGGCGTGAAAGCGGATGGCGGGAGATTCGGCGCGGGGCCTCTCGAACGCCTCCTCCCCGCGCTGTCGGCCTGCCGCGCCCAAGTCTCGAATGCTTTTAGGGAAAGAGATATTTACGGTGCGTAGTTTCAGGTACTTTTTGTTATTAAAGTATACGTAGGTATCTAGATGTTATAGGCGCTCGGATAAGATGAGTAGTAGGGGGGCAGCGGAGAGGGAAGCAAGTCACGATGTCAGCACTGATTTAGTAATATTAGGTGCCTGCGTAAAGATGGTAAAGGAGGGATTCGCCGCGGTCGGCTCCCCCACCTTTTACGCACCCCACCATGTGACGACACTACGATCAGTATAGCGCGCCGTATACGGGAACAAACCCACCTCGCCCCCTCAATAGGGAGGGCAGAGGAAGCTCTACTTAGGGCAGTAAGCTATCGATCCTAGGATGGGAAAACTCACGATATTTGATAATCGGCATTGACCTGTATTTTTTTTTTCTTTTCTTTTCTCTCTCTTTTTTTTCTTTAGCCCGTTCCTTCCCCTCTTTGCTCTTCTTTTATTCCCTCCCGCTCCTCCGAGGGACACTTCGACGTCCGTTATACGCAACCCCCCATTGAGAGTGAAGGAGGCGTCAGCGAGCAGCATCTCGTAGACAACGCCTCGCGATCGATCGGGCAAGCCCAAGCTTCCTCTTTGTGTACGATTCGCGGCCGTAGCTGTTTCGCACCTCCGACCGTAAACTCGTCTCGCGCATCGGCAAACTTTTTGCTCGCACTAAGCGGCGTGCCGCTCTGTCACCAGGATGGAGTCAGTCCAACGCCCTCCCCCTTATTTCATCGGACGGTTCGGTCCGTACGCACCGTCCGGTAGACTCGTGTGTCCTAACCCGGGCTTCTTCTCGATCCCAGCACCCGCAATGTCATCCACTTCGAAAACAATGTATGTCTACCCTCCCCCGCCCCTTGTTCCCCTCCCATGACACTCGCCAGGGGCTCCCAGTTGACGTGACCGTAAATAATGCAGGACCACTACATCGGGATTGATGTCGGCACCGGCTCTGCCCGCGCCTGCCTCATAGACTCGACGGGGGACATCAAGGCTCTCGCGTCCGAGACGATCAAGCTATGGCAACCCCAGCAGGGCTACTACGTGCGTTGTCTTTATCTAAAGCTTACCGCTCGTCCCTTTTGCCTCGCCCGATGGGGACGGATGGGACGGACAGGAGCAGCTCACACGGGTTTAGGAGCAATCAACCACGGATATCTGGCACTGCATCTGCCATTGCGTCCAGCGCGTCGTCGTCCAGTCTGACATCGACGTCAGCCTCATCAAGGGCATAGGCTTCGACGCTACCTGCTCGCTGGCCGTCTTCTCCCAGGACGAAGACCTGCCCGTCACCGTCACCGGGCCCGACTTCAAGAACGACGGCAACGACCGCAACGTCATCCTGTGGCTGGACCACCGCCCCGTCCAGGAGACGGAGAAGATCAACGCCACGGGCCACAACCTGCTACGCTACGTCGGCGGCAAGATGAGCATCGAGATGGAGATCCCCAAGGTCCTGTGGCTGAAGAACAACATGCCGAAGGAGCTCTTCGATCGCTGCAAGTTCTACGACTTAGCCGACGCGCTAACCCATCTGGCTACCGGCAACGAAAACCGAAGCTTCTGCAGCACCGTCTGCAAGCAGGGCTACGTCCCCGTGGGCGTGGATGGGAGCGATAAGGGCTGGCAGGAGGATTTCTTCAACGAGATTGGGCTGGGGGATCTCACCAAGGACAACTTTAAGCGCATGGGAGGCGTCAACGGAGTGGTAGGCACCGCCTTCTCTCGAAAGCCCGCGCTCCGGACCCGGTAAACTGTTACTTTTTTGCTGATCCGCCTTCTAGAATGGCAAGTATCTCAGCGCGGGAGAGCTTGCTGGGTACTTGTCCGACCATGCCAGCAAGCAACTCGGTTTACCAGCGGGCATCGCCGTCGGTAGCGGCGTTATCGATGCCTACGCCGGCTGGATTGGCACCGTAGGAGCCAAGGTCGACACGGAATATGGCCATGCGGATGAGAGCGCTCCGGCGAATGACCTCGCCCAGGCTTCGACCCGGCTCGCTGCCGTAGCCGGCACATCCACCTGCCATCTGGCCATGTCCGAGAAGCCCGTGTTTGTAAACGGCGTATGGGGACCTTATCGTGATGTCCTTCTGCCCAATTTCTGGCTGGCAGAGGGTGGCCAGTCGGCCACGGGCGAGCTCTTGAGACACGTCTTGGAAACTCACCCGGCACACAAAGACGTGATGCCCCTCGTGTCGGCGATGCACACGAACATCTACGACTACATGAACGGCCACCTGAGGGAGATGGCCGAGAAGAGCCAGGCTCCCCGCGTCTCGTGGCTAGGCCGGCACTTCTTCTTCTACGGCGACCTGTGGGGGAACCGGTCGCCGGTCGCGGACCCCAACATGAAGGGCTCGGTGATCGGGCTGAGCTCGGACTCGAGCATCGACGGGCTCGCGCTCTACTACTACGCGACGATGGAGTTCATCGCGCTGCAGACGCGGCAGATCGTCGAGGCGATGAACGCGGCGGGCCACGGCATCCAGACCATCTTCATGTCGGGCAGCCAGTGCCAGAACGACATGCTCATGGACCTGATCGCGACGGTGTGCGACAAGCCGGTGCTGATCCCGCGGTACGTGCACGCGGCCGTGGTGCACGGCGCGGCCATGCTCGGCGCCAAGGCGGCCAGCGCGGACCCGGACGGCGGCACCGAGGACCTCTGGAGCATCATGGACCGCATGAGCAAGCCCGGCCGCCTCGTCAAGCCCGGCACCGACGCCAACGAGAAGAAGCTGCTCGACGCCAAGTACGGCGTCTTCCTCGAGCAGTGCCGGACCCAGCAGGAATACCGCAGGAAGGTCGACGCTGCGATCGGGTCCTGGGGCCAGTAGTTTTTTTTTTTTGTTTTGTTGGAAAGGGGAATGGATGAGGTAGGTAATGTGTAATAAGACCGGCTCAGATGGCGGGATGGATGATGGACTTTGGTGAGCGGATAGGAAAGAACATATCTCCCTATGCAATCCTATACCTAGGTAGAGCGATAAATAGAATGGACTTGTTTTGCTATAGGGTTGTGTAGCATATTGGCATGAAGGGTGAACGGAGTTGCTGTATCGTGGAACGCGTTGGAAAATGCAGGCATCGAGACGGAATGCCCTCCTGGGTTACGTTTAGGCACTTGAGCCAGCCAGGAGGTCAGGTACCCGAGATAGCGCTCATACGTCCCTACGAGATACTGGCTGAAGCCCAAAGCTACCCCCTGAATCATGTTATGCTATAGGTACCTTAGGAGCTAGGCACCTAGGTAAGTCCCTAAGCCTTGATTGAGGCAGGTGATCCGTGCACACCGCTGCCACCATAACAGGCAGCTCCACGTTACATTGCCACGCTTACCACGTGCCAAGTGCCTGTGTAGGTACGTACCTACCCGTCCCAGGAGCTCTCCTCGCCTTGTTGATTTGTTTTCTCAGCCTCGCTGTGAAATTTCCTGTTTCCCTCCAAAGAATCTACGTCCAGGTAGAAACCGCCTCACCTCTCTCCCTGCCTCCCTCTTTCTCTCCCTTCGCCGCCCCCCTCCGGTGCCGCCCGTCGTTGCCAGATCCGGCAGCCCACGCCCAACTCCTGAGACGAAGCGGCCGGCCTGCGAGACATACCTACCTACCCTAGCTGCGCCAGCCGCGCTTTTTCGTTCGCACCAATGTCGCAGTTTGGGAAGCCCGCCGGCCAGGCGCCTGCCACCACCGGCGGCAGCCTGTTCGGGAGCCCGCTCCAGACCAACACGGCGTCGAGCCAGCAGCCCGCGCAGTCGGCTGCCTCCCTCTTCGGCCAGCCTACCCAGCAGCAGCCGCCTCAGCAGTCTTCGGCGGGGAGCTTGTTCGGCGCTGCGGCGAATAGCAACACGCAACAGCAATCGTCCTTCCCGAGCCTGGCCGGCGCTGCGACGACGAATACCCAGCAGCCCCAAGTCGGCAGCGGCGGCTTGTTCGGCGGCGCCTCTGCCTCGACGCAGCAGCCCTTTGCCGGCCTCGGCGGCACGACAGCTACCAACACCCAACAACCGCAAACATCCAGCATGTTCGGCGCTCTCGGCGGCACTCAACGGCCCCAGACACAAAGCATGTTCGGCGCACCTGCGGCCCAGGCCCAGCCAGCTGCCGGCGGCCTCGGCCTCAACCTCACTCAAGGAAACTCGTCGATTCCCGGAGCCAACCAGGCCCAGGCCCAGGCCCAGGCCCAGGCCCCGGCTAATACCGGCGCGCTGGCGCAAGGCAATACCACTGGCTACTTCGACAGCCTGCTCTCGAAGAGCAAGAAGCAGGTAAACGAGCAGTCGCCGCTCGAGGACCTCCCCAGCCTCCACCTGGGCCTGGGCGACCTCCGGCAGCGCCTACGAAAACTGGGCCCACAGGCGAATCCCATACAGCAAGACAAAGCTCGGTATATCTTGGCGGCATCCGGCGTGGAGCCGGCAGTGGCAGTTAAGGACTTGAACGACTTCGAAGCTCGGATCGGAGGTCGGGCCGAACGCCCTCCGGCTGCCGCCGCCGCAGCCGACGTCGACGTCGACGCCTATCTCGCGAACCTACAAACGAAGACGACGTTGAGCATGATTGCAGACGGGCTGGAGAGATCGGCGAGAGACTTCGACAACTTCCTGGAAGATAACATCACGATGGAGTGGGAAGCCCAGAGGAAGCGGATCTACGAACACTTCGGGATTAAGGCAAAGGACGACGGGGTTGCCGAAGGGGCCGTCGGAACACCTGGCAGAGAGGCGCAGGTGGGCTTTGGCCGGTCGCGACGGACGGCCAAGGCATCACGATCCACGGCCCCAGGTATCAAGGCCAGCACATTCGGGCGGTCACATCTCCAAAAGTCGGTCATCGGCACGCCCAGTAAGATCGGGTCTCACCAGCCTGAATTCAAGGATGTTCAAGACGCGACGGGAGGGAGCCCCACGGCGCTGGGTGCTGCGGCCTCGATCGACGATCGATTCCTTCGAGAGAAGCAGGGCAGGCTCGCGGAACGCGTGCGGCAACTCAACCTCGCCCGCATCGAGCAGCTGCCGTATCCCATCCTACACGAGCTTGCGGCGGTGGCAGGCAGCTCTGGGGATAGACATGCTCAACAACTCGTTGATGCGTATCATGCGGCCATGGCCATTGTCGGAGAGAACCCGGAGGCGGAGACTTTCGCCGGCGATGCTACGTCGAGGGAGCGCCAATTCCGCGAAGACTACCTAGATCTGAATGACAAGTCCCCGAAGGCGATAGGCATGCGTAAGAGGATTCTCAACGGCGCAAATGCCTTCCTGGAGAAGAAGTTCTTCCGAGAAATCGAGGGCCTCATCGCCAAACACCCGCGGGAAGCGAACCTCGGCGGTCGGCCGGACGTTATCAGCAAGATCAAGGCGTACGTTCGGTTACGGCACGCGCGCAAGGACCTCGTACCCGACAACACCGAACTCCAGCAGGTCGACGGCGAGTTCGTCTGGGCAATCGTGTTCTACTTGCTACGATCTGGAAATATCGCGGAGGCTGCCCGCTACGTGAAGAATCAATCGACTACCTTCCGGAGTATCGACCGCACCTTCGCGTCATACCTCCTCGAGTACGTTAGCAGTCCTGACAGGCGGCTGAGACGCCAGCTGCAGGAACGCTGCCACAACGAATACAACCAGCGGGCGCGCAACGCGCCAGACAACTCGATCGACCCATATCGAATGGCCTGCTACAAGATCGTGGGCCGCTGCGACGTCAGCAACCGCAACCTCGACGGGCTGAAGACGGAGATCGAGGACTGGATATGGCTCCAATTCAACCTCGCTCGCGAGAACGACAAGGCGACCGAGGTGGCTGCCGAGTCGTACGGGTTGCAGGATCTACGAGCTAGCATCCGGGAGATCGGCCTCAAGCACTTCCCGAAATCGCCAAGCGAGGATACTAATGGTACCTTTGGCATGTTCTTCTTCCTGCAGATCCTCTCGGGCATGTTCGAGCAGGCCATCGCGTACCTGTACGCCTTCTCCTACGTGGACGCGATCCACTTTGCTATCGCCCTCGAGTACTACGGCCTTTTGCGCCCGGCAGACCCCTGGACGACGCAGGATTCCCTCCTGTCGCACGACACTCGCTCGCGGCCGCAGCTGAACTTTGGCCGCATGCTAGGGTACTACACTCGCGACTTCCGGGCGGCCGACGTCGCCTCGGCAGTAGATTACCTCACGCTCATCTGCCTCAACGCCGATCTAGGTGGCGAGGCGGGCCGGCAGCAGGCGGAGCTGTGTCACGTCGCCATCCGCGAACTCGTACTGGAGACTAGGGAGTTTAGTAAGCTCATCGGGGATATCCGGCCCAACGGACACCGCATCGCCGGCCTCGTCGAAGAGCGCGCGTCGCTCATCGGCCTCCGGGAGGAAGACGACTTCGTGAAAACGGTCACGTTGCAGGCTGCTAGGTTCGCCGACGACAACGGCCGCACTACGGATGCCGTGCTGCTGTACCACCTGGCTGGCGAATACGACAGCGTAGTGACGATCGTGAGCCGGGCGCTGAGCGAGGCGATCTCGCTCGAGATCGGCGAGGACCCCATGCGGCTGATGCCGGTTAAGCCCCGGGCGGACGGCAAGGAGGCCGAGGTGCAGCCCAACAGCAGCCTGAGCCTGGCGTCCATCGACGACCCCATCCAGCTGGCGACGACGATGATGTCGATATACGACAAGGACGCCATGTTCTACACCAAGATAGAGAACCCCAACCGGATGGCGTGCCACATCCTCCTGCACATGAGCGAGATCAAGGTTTTGGTCGAGGCCGGCAAGTGGCCGGAGGCTCTAGACGTAAGTGTATCTTATCTATTAATAATAATAATAAAAACTGGCAGAACGCTAACCAGCTGCTCGATAGGAGATCCGCGGGCTTCGGATCCTGCCGCTGGATGCTAACGGCGACCCGGCGAAGATCCGGCACTACGCCGCCACTTTCTCGGGCCTGCCCCAGACGGTGGCGATCAACGTGCCGAACCTGCTGATGTGGACGATCACATGCTGCATCCGACAGAGGGACCGGCTGATGAGCGGGCAGTTCAGCGGCAACGAGGGCACGCGGCGGATGATGTGCGACAATCTGAAGCAGATCAGCCTGGACCTGACGACGTACACGGGCCAGCTGCGATACCGGTTCCCGCCACACCTGCACGAGGCACTCGCGCGGGCTTCGGCGGACTAGGGTTAGAGGTGTGTGGGGAACGCCGCGTTGCTGCTGGGGAGGACAACTTGATATGTCCGTATGTCGGTGCATACGCGCGTGCGTGTTGTCCATCTGTACTGTACCCAGGTCAAGATGTACGATGGCGGCGACGTAAAATTTTTTTTTCTTTTCCTTTTCCTCCCTAGAGACTCCGGGGGGCGTGGGTGGTGACGAAGAAACAGGCAGGAGATAGACGGAGGATTCCTCCCAGGCTATACATATGCGTACCCGGGCTGAGGCCGAGTTAGGCTACCCGTCATAGCCGATCACGTTAAAAGTAGAAATAGTGGTAGGTAGTAATGCAGGTACAGGCACACTTTTTTTTTTATTAAATATTTAATTCGTGAAGAGAGACTGGGGATGGCGAGGAAGCAGATAAGGACGAGATGGACACGTGTGCTGACTTGTAGTAAGGGGTCTCCGGTACGGGTGGTAATTTGCATAGCTGCGGCTTGTACTCGTAAGGGAGACACGATACCGTCCCTGGTCAGGAGGTAGCTAAGCTAGGTAGGCCGTCAAGGGAGGCGGCCAAGAAAACTGACAGACAAGGTGCCGAATTATGCATCGTGTGGGTAATTATTGTGCATGCATGCCGCATGGTCATAACGTTTCTAGTCTGTTTGCTATTCCTGCGGCAGAGGCGGCAGAGGCGGCAGGAAGTCGCCACGCGTCGGGTGTATGGCCCGAGAAGGGTAAAAGTCGGCGGGGAAGGGGGAAAGGAAGGAGCCCTTGGCGACAGACGGGGAACACCAACCCGTCCTTATATGTACGTTAGTAATGGTTGGTACCTGTCTCGCAGGTACCCAAGGTAGGTACAACACCCCACGACGTCGGGTCAGTAGAGACCGGATGTACATTCAGCGCCGACGTGGGGGCCAGGTACGATGTGCCTGGACGTGGGCAGGAGCCAGAGAGCGAGGGAGCCAGAAAGAGAGAGAGAGAAGGGCAGGCAGGCTGGCAGGTGGCAGGTGGGGCCCGGACGAGCGGACGGTCAGACGAGGGAAGGGCGGGCAGGCCTCGACAGCTGACTGGTCAGGTTGCGGGCTGTCGGCCACAGCAGTGTCGCAACCCATCCTCTCGCCCTCTCTCCCTCCCGCCCGACGGTGATACGCAGCAGCAGCGCCAGCACCCAAGCAGCACCCAGCCCAGCCCAGCCCAGCCACTACGGAGTCGCAGCACCACATGCTCTACGCGTGGTACCGATGCCGGATGGTAACCATTCCCGGTCCCAGTCCCCGTCCCTCTCCCCCGGCTTATTAATAGCATTACCAAGGTTATCGTCGTGATACAAGCTACCTTGTATTGCGTCGTAATACCTCCTCCTGCTTCCTTATGCTCCCGCCCATCATCACATCCACTTCTGCTCCTCCTCCTCCTCCCGCCACCGCTGCCGCTGGCCCCCTCTTCTCCTCCCTCGCCATCACCGCCGATCGTCCCGCCCCCAGCTCCACCGGCCCCTACCCTCCCTCTCCCGCCGATGCCCGTCCGAGACCCTCCGCCGCGGCCCTGCCTCTTGCCAGGCCTGATGCCCTCGCCCACCCCTCGCCCGAGAACGTCGACACGCCCCCCTCCGATTCGAACGGCGACTCCCAGCCGCTGCTGCCGGGCCATGGCCACCTCCCCGCCCACCCAGCCGCCGACCTCGCCCTCCAGGACCAGCGGACGAAGAAGCGTCGCACCGGCCCCAGCTCCAGGGGGGTGGCGAACCTGACCCCCGAGCAACTCGCCAAGAAGAGAGCCAACGGTATGACCTCTCGGGCCTAACAGTCCAATTCTCTCACTCTCACTCTCGCCTCCCTCGTCCCGTCCCGTCCCGTCTCGTCTGCAATGTCATCCCGTAAGCCTCGCTACCCCGGGGTTCCCCCCCTCTACACGTCCCGTTCCCTATACATCCCCTTTTATATACCTATATCACCGCTCAAGACAGCCGGGTCCCCCGGGCCGTAACACCGCGTCTCTACCCAGTTCTCACGCTGACCACTTTGTCCTCGCTCGCCCGTAGATCGAGAGGCGCAGAGAGCCATACGCGAGCGTACTCGGAACCAGATCGAAGCCCTCGAGAGGCGGATACGCGAGCTCACCTCCCAGCAACCGTACCAGGAGCTGCAGGCCGCCATACGGGCCAAGGAAGCCGTCGAGGCCGAAAATGCCGACATCAAGAACCGACTCGCCTCTGTCATGTCCTTAATACAGCCCGTCCTGTCTAGCCAGCAAGGTCAGTTCACGAGACAGAAGAAGTGCGCAGTTAGAGACAATTTCACTCTAGCTGAACCCCCTGTCTCGTTGCCCGTGCTGGCACGTTAATGGACGACAGGGTTGGGCTGACCGGGTCAACTCTAGCCGAAGTAACTTACGCATCGCCTTTCACAAACTTCGCCCCGACTCAGGTCACACAGCACTCGCCCTCCACCCACACCACGTTTAACACCTCGACGCCCGCTAGTGCTGCCTCGCCTGCTTCTGCACCGGAGCCGCCATGGCAGGCACAAATGCAGACGCAGTCGAGCCCAAATTCGTCCCAGGTAAAACTCCTAAACCAGCAACGACATGATCTCCTCCACAACCTAGATCTCGGCGCTGGCGAGCAGCTGAAACTCGACTTCCTCCTCGACCCTTCGCAGCGCGTAAGTCGGATGCAGACCGGCGTCAACGGGGCTCAGGATACCCCCGAATACCGACATCTTCCCATGAAGCATGACTGGAACGCCAACGTGCTCCCATCTCCCCGAACCAATACGGCCGCCGGCAGCGCGCCGCCGCAGCTGCAGCGCATCGAGTACGTGTCGCAGAATGCAGCCCCAGCCCCGGAAGAGCCGCCCTGGGTCGGCAATTCGGCGCCGATCAAGAATAGCGCGCCGACCTGCCCCCTCGACACCCTCCTCCTCGAGTTCCTGCACGAGCGGCGGCAGCGCGCCGCCGAGGGCGTGCCCACGCGGGAGGTCGTCGGGCCCCGGTACCCGTCCGTGTCGTCGCTGCTAAACCCGGCAAACAGCGCGCTATCTCACCCGCTATCCAAAGTATTCACCGACATACTGGCGGCGTTTCCCGGGATCAGCACACTACCGGAGCGGGTGGCAGTGCTGTACATCATGTTCTTGATCATGCGATGGCAGGTGAGCCCGACTCGAGAGAACTGGGAGCTTCTGCCGCCGTGGGTGACGCCGACGCCGGCGCAACTCGAGGTACCGCACCCGGCGTGGATCGACCACCTGCCGTTCCCGCGGATGCGCGAGGCGCTCGCGCGCGAGCACGCGCCCGGTCGCGACCCGGCCGGAGTGACGTTGTTCGACAATTTCTTCATTCCCTTCACCCTCACCATCTCGCTCAACTGGCCCTACGAGGCCACCGATGCCCTGCTCCGCAGTCCCGACGGTGCCGAACTCATCATCAACCCCGTCTTCGAGCGCCATCTCCGCCGCCTCGAGAACTGGTCGCTCGGCGAAGCGTTCGACCGCACGTTTCCGCGCCTCAGAGGTACGTACAACCTCAAGAGCGATACGCCGCACCATCATCATCGACAGCAGCAATACCAGCGCGTCGGCGGCGGCGGCGGAGGAGGAGAGGGAGGGATCGACGCGCGCCGAGCGCCAGGGGAGGACGTACCGGATAGTCGCTTTAGCGAGGGGTAATTAGTAAATCGGGGATGGAACCGAGAATGAGCAGGTGTATAACAAACACGGAGCAAGACGACTTGCGAACGGGGTTTCTTCGATTAGAACCACTCCGTCCACCCCCTTTAATCCCGCTTGAGCCCGCACGTCTACTATAACTACGTGCCTATACCCATACCAACGGCGTTCTCTTGGATTTATATAAGGGAGGGAGGTGGAGGCGTTTACACATACACACACCCACCCACACACACACACACACACACACACATATATATATATATATATATATCATTAGGGTTCTCGGAAAAAGTTGTCGGATTCTGAACACGTGTCTACGTCTCCTGTCTTGCTCTGACCCCAAACTAGAGGGCTAGAGGGAGCCGAAGGGGGCTGACGCATGTACAGACATACCTACATAAGTTGCTCTAGGGAAGGAAGACAGACGGACAAACAGACACGGAGAGAAGGACCCGGGCAAAAAGGTATTATTACATATATACTAGGATGGGGAAAGCCGGGTTCGGATAAGCGACGGACGGACGCGCTGGATAGATGGAACGTACACGTACCATATATATATATATGTGGTAGAGATAGACGTAGCGAGGGTAGCAACTTATACACATCCACGCCATCTATAATACACTCTACGATTACCACTACGGCAACTGCTACCGCAGCCCCTGTAGAACAACGCCGGCCATTCTCGGTTTCTATTTTTACCTATGCACGCGTGCCTCCCGCAGAGTCGGGAACACGAGCGAATCGTACATACACGCTGCCTGCGCACACCAGTCGCACGCGTTCTGGGATTATAAGGCAGGCATTCGGAGCGACGCGCGTTGCGGAGAGAGGCGAGGCCGCGCGGGGAGCACGCGGAGCAGGTCACACGCGTCGACCGTCTCTGGCAAGAGCAGGCCAGACAGACAGGAAGGGGGGGGAAGCCGCGGGAGTAGTGAACGCGTGGAAGAGAGAAAAAAAAAAGGGGGGGGGGGGGGAGGTGCTATGTGTCCGTCCCAACGCAACGCAACCGCCTTACACCGTCGGCCACCCTCGACGCCGAAGCGGAGGGAGCGGTGGTGTCTACCTTTCCAGTCTCGTTTTCCCCCTTCTCCCCGGGCCGGACGGGGGTCCCAGATACGCGGTGAATTTCCCCCCTCCCCCTGGGTTGAACCCGTAAACCCGCAAAACACTTGCTGCGCCGCGATGCCGCGTCGGGTTATCGTGCGACCTGCCGCTAAGCTGAGCTGATCGCAACGCCCCGACGACGGCTATGCACTCGTGAGTATTTCTTTCCTTCTCGTGAGATGCGTCCGTTGTTCGTCCATTTGCGTGCCCGTGCCCGTGCGCGCGCGTATCCGTGTGTTGTATGTACTTATCCTTCCAAGAGCTCCCCTCCTCCCTAGGTATATCTTACCTTCCGGTATCGTAGGGGGCCCGTCCACCATGCAATACGGAGAGAGAGGGGATCTAACTTCATACTGGCAGTATTGGAGCCGAAAGGAGGACGGGGGGGGAGGACGGTATGAACAGGTATCATAGTTAAGTAGAGGGGGAAGAGGCGAGACGATAGCCAGGTAATGAGGAGCCATCTCGCTACCCCTGTCCCCGTAGACACATCAACGCAAAATAGCTACGCCTCGTCCTCGGGGTCGTCGACGCCGAACGAGTATGCGTTGATATTACTGTGTTCGCCGACGAACAAGGTGGGTGTCGCGTCGCCGGGGAAGCGCTGGAACTGGATGCAGTGGATAGCGCCGTGGCGCGAGCGCACGCGGTCGAGGTCGCGATTCGCGAGACGACGGCTGCCGCTCCCGCCACCACTGCCCCCGTTGCGCACCGAGTACAGCTTGACGGTGCCGTCGTCGTGAGCGGCCGCCGCAACGCCGGACTCGGGGTCGTAGTCGAGCCCGATGTTGATCTGAGCTGCGTTGCGGTAGCCGTCGATGGCGAAGAGCGGCTGCGCGGGCGCGGTGACGTGAGGTGTGCCCCTGTTAATACACTGGCGCCCTGCGAAGCGCAGGTCTAGTACCCGCAAGGTGTCGCGCAGGCCGGCGACGAGGACCTGGTGGTCGTTGGCGAGGGAGCGCACGTGCGTAATGGGCGCCGGCAGGTCGAGGTGGTCCCAGACGCTAGGGTGGGTGCGCAAGTCGGCCACGAACAGCGCGCCCGGGCGTCCGCCGAAGAGGATCAAATCACGGTGCGACCGCTGGAACTCGACCGCGAACACGTCCCGGAAGGCCTCCGGGTGGCAGAAGTACTTGCCCGGTCCCCACGGGCTCGTCCACCGCATGTTCCCAGACGAGTCTACATGTGTGAGGCCGCGACTCGTGCCCACCATGCATATGTTAGGGGAGCCGACCGGCGCCGGGCACACGGTGTTGGCTGCGTAGTCATTGTAGGTCGGGTCGCCGGAACCCTTGATGTTGAGGTAGAGGGTTACGCCGTCTAAGAGGCAGATAAGAGACCACATTAGCATATCTGGAACACTACGCAGACGGTAAAGGACAAAGAAGGGGGATGGATGTGTTCCAGCGGCTAGGAGGCTCGCTCACTTCGGCCGATGAGCCAGGACGGTCTGGGGTCGTTGGGGCCCGTCGTCTTAGGAACGAACGCCCACATGGACACTTCCGAGCTGGGGGCGCGGGAGGTGACAAGGATACGGTTGCTCCGCTCGTGATACTTGATGTCCGAAATTTGAGGCACGGCCAGTTCTCGGTACGGGGCGACATGGGACGCAGGACGCACGTAATTGGAGATGAGACGACGATGGACTCTGGAGTGGGATTTGTGAGCATTCCACTCCCCGATATACGCACGTTGGTCGCATAGCCTAATTGGGGTCTGGTTATGCATACCTGCCCGTTGCTGGGTCTCGGGGGACATAGGTGGATAGGAGGGTCAGCTCGTCGAGAGCTGCACACTCGATATATCAGCCCCTGTCCGTCCACAGCCAGGCCAAGACCCGACGCCGCGAAACTTACTGGCATAGGCAGTGCAGATGCCCGTCTTCTCATCCTTGCCCGCGACAAACATATGCTTGATATTCGTGTCCGAATGCCAACGGGCATCGGCCAGCGGCAGTTTGCCCATCCCGACCAAACCCTGGGCGAAGCTCGCAGCGACGAGATCGGCCGGCGCGTCACCGCACTCGCGGGCGAAGAAACCACCCATCAGCGGTTCCTCCAGGACTCTGGATCGTGCGATCCGATTCTTATGTAGTGTCATCCTGCGGAGAGCCGCCGCGGCTTCGGCGTCCTGGATCTTGCGCTTCTTGACATTGTCGGAGGACCAAGCCGCGTCGCGGGGCGCCGTGCTGCTATTTTCTACCTTGAAGTAGCGACGGCGTTGTTTGTCTGACAGAAAGTCAGCGCGGGTCCGAGCGGTTTGGGATGGCCTTGGCAAGTAGGTAGGGCGAACGAAGGGGACGTAGCTAGATAGTACATGTAGATGAGCGACCAGGGAAGGGTGGTGGTAGTAAGAGAAGGGTAGACGGGGTATAACGTAGGTGAGATGCACACGATAGACGGGGGGCCCTTACCATAGTACAGGCCCGGCAACTTGAGAGGCATCTTGTCCGTTCGCCGCGAGTGGCCCGCGATTCGACTGTATCGGGGTGTAGTCGGTTGACCTCTCCTAGTTACGGCTTGCAGTGGAAGATGGACGGTGAACCCGCTTGACGCATGAACCCCACCGGATTCCGATAAGTCGAAACCCCACGAGCTAAGCGAGTAGAGAGGTTATCTTTTTATCCCGACGCCGTTACGAATTTCGGGTTATATTGTACGCATTAGGAGGTAGGTACCTAGGTACCTAACCCACCTGTCCAGACCTATGGACCCATTTAACAGAAGTACCTACCTAAGTTCAGGCACGCAGCAACTACGAATATCTTTGGGGGGTAAAAAACCTTCCAAAAAAAAAATAGCACGCCAATGAGATGCAATGTGCACAGTTCATCAAGATGATTCGATTCCTCATAACTACACACACCCTCTCTCCCCCCCCCCTTCATCTCGTCGGATCATGGTCGTAGGCGTTGCGAGAGATACCCGTGCACGACTTGCCCTATAATACATACATGAAAAGCGTAAGGGTCATTTTCCACATGATCCAACCTCCTCCAGTCGTTACGAGTGCTGGCCGGCTGGCAATTACTACATGCGTCTGCACAGCAACGAGGCACGCCACGTATTTGCAATTTTTTCTTTCTTATTAAGACTAACGTGTGGGTATGAGCGAACCGAGGCTTACGCGCCGAGGCATGGAGTTTACAAGAAATGGAAATGTGAACAACCGAGCCTGGTCCGGAATCTATAAACCGAAGGGCAAGTGTATGTAACACAATTGTACGTCTCCCCTGATAGCGGTACCGGCTGGCTGTGGGCTTCCTTCCTCACCGACCGGTCGTCTATTGGGATTTCTCGTGCTGCGTCGAGACACGTTGCAACGAGACCACTAGAAAGCGCGTTAGCCGACGGAATCATAACGTCGGAGACTGTCATAAACTTACCGAAATCCTCGAGTGATCTCTGTTTTTGGCTGCCCTTGGGCGACTTGCCGTGCATGAGGTTGTCGAATCCGACACTATCTTGCAGGATATAGTAAACGCCACCCATGATGCAGAAGACACCGAAGGAGAAGATCCAGATACGGACGACGGCGACGATGTGGGTGTGCGAGTCCTCGAAGAAACCCCAGATGGTGAAGCAGGTGGCGAGAATATCAACGACGAGAATAGCGCCGGCCAGCTGCCACGACGGGATAGAGGACCAGAAAGGACCGTTGGCACGGGTGATGAAGATCAGCCAGTTCTCGGTGAGAGAGATCTCGAGGAACAGGACCTCGTCCATGTTACCGTAGTTCTGCACGATACCGCCATTCTCGCCCTGAGCATACATGGTGGTGACAGCGATCCAGGTACCCACGGCCAAGACGACACCGAGGAGAACCGACATACCCCACAGCTTCGGCAGGTTCCACTTGACAGGGCTCATCGAGTAGGGGGCGTTGTCGTAGGCGATGGCAAGAGTAGCGACATCCGCGAAGATAGCGATGAAGACGACAAGCTCGATGTTTAAGGAACGGTTCAGGATGGCGATCCACAGGCCCAGGAAGATCTCCAAGTGGAGGGACAGGGCGATACGATAGACAACGTACGCATACATACGGTGGAAAATCTGCCGAGAGGTCTTGAGGGCGTCAATGATAGCACCGAGACCAGGGGCCAAGAAGACGATATCGGCGGCGGATCGGGCGGCGTCAGAGGCGCCCTCGACAGCGATACCAGTGTCAGCCTTCTTCAACGAGGGAGCATCGTTGACACCGTCACCCGTCATGGCAACAAGGTAGCCACGCTGTTGAAGAATCTCCACCACATTATACTTGTGCTGGGGGAAGACTTCGGCAAAACCATCAGCAGCCTCGACGAAATCGTACACCTCAGAGCCGGGCATATCACCGCCGCCACCAAGACCGAGCCGTTCAGCGTTGTACACGTTAGTACCGAGACCAAGCTGGCGAGATGTCTCACGAGCGATACCGACAGCATCACCAGTAAGCATCTTGATCGAGAGACCGAGACGTTTAGCTTCGTTGATGGTGCGGGCAGTGTCGTGACGGGGCGGGTCGGAGCAAGGCATGATGCCGAGAATCTCCCAGGCACCCTCACCACGCTTACGGGCGACACCAAGAGAACGGAAACCGCGAGTAGCGAACTCAGCAACCTTATTCTTGTAGGCTTGGTCAATCTCCTCAGGGATGGGGTGGTCTTCCTCGACAGTCTTCAAAACGAACAAAGGAGCGCCCTTGACACAGGTAATGCGCTCGCCCTGGGGAGATTCGACAATTGCGGTAACCTTCTTGGACACGGGATCAAAGGGGAAGAATTCTTTGACAATGTACTTGGAGAGAACACCCTTGGCGCGGGGGTAGTACTTGAGAGACTTTAGGAAGGCCTTGTCGATGGCGTCCATACCCTTCTTCTTGCGGCTAGCGGCCAAACAGGCAGTGAGCATGAGATCTTCGGGGTCAACACCGGCGACGGTGAAGGGCTCTGAGAGGGAAAGCTTGTTCTTGGTCAGGGTACCAGTCTTGTCCGAGCACAGGATTTCGACACCGGCCAAAGACTCGATGGCGGAAAGCTTCTGAACGATGGCCTTCTTCTTGGCAAGATACGCAGCGCCTACAGCCATGGTAGTGGTGACGACAGCCGGGAGACCGACGGGAACACCGACAATGGTGATGGCCAGGGTGAAGCGGAGAATCTCGACGATGGGGTTGGATCGGTAGAACGAGGAGACCCAGACAATCAACAAAGTGAAAACGACGAGGATGAGCAGCACGGTACCAATGCCGTTAAGCACCTCGGTGAAGTGGCCACTGCCGGCGGAAGCCTGATTGACGAGGGCAGCGGCGCGACCGACGAAGGTGTTGTCTCCAGTAGCAGAAACAACCATGAACGCTTCACCACGCTTGACAGCGGAGGAGGCGAAGCACTGATCGCCCTTGTGTTTGTCGACAGCGAGAGACTCGCCGGTGATGGCCGACTGATCGACTTGAAGGAAAGCATCGTCGGTAACGATTCGGCCGTCAGCAGGAATGATGGTACCCTACGGATGACCCAGTTAGCAAACCGACACTCGACGCCGCCCCATATGCGAAGACAACCTACCTCCTCGACCTGGAGGATATCACCAGGGACGACGTGCGGTGCCTCAATCTCCTTCAAGGTACCATCTCGGAGAACGACAGCCTTGAGGGCAAGAGTCTTCTTCAATTCCTCGACGATAGAACCGGCCTGGAATTCCTGGATGAACCCGACACAAGCATTGAGAAGCAACAGAGCACAGATGACACCGAAATCGACCCAGTCTTCCAAACCAGCAGCAAGGACGGCAGCAGCCTCCATGACGAACTGGATGGGTCCGACGAAGAACCCCTAAACCACGCCAATTAGCGACCGCCCACAAGGACGATGAGGGCAAGAGCGGAACTTACGAGGAACTTGAGGATGAGGTTCTCCTTCTCCTCCTTCATCTGGTTCAGACCATACTTGCGTCGGCGGTTCACAACCTCGGCTACAGAAACGATCAGCTTGAAGATTCACAAACGGACGAATCCATCGATACCCGATGGGATTTGCGCCAGCTAATTGCCGCTCCACTAGGCAGAAATTGGAGACGTGGTTGTCGAATCCGGAGACGGACCGAGGGGAGGGGGAGGGGAAACATACCCTCGGTAAGACCGACGCGAGTATCGGTCTGCAGCATCTCATCAGGCACAACTCGTCCTGCGCCGGGCTGGCCCTCGCCCTCTTCCTCCTCGTCGAAGGCGTTGCCATCCTGGGACTCGAGATCCTCGATCAGGGCGTCGATGTCCTCATCTTCCTCCTCTTCTTCCCCAACCTTGGCACCGGTACGGGTCGGGTCCTGAGCTCGGTGAGCGTCCTTCTCGTCGAACTTGCCCGACTCAATGTTGGTCTGAAGCGCCGGGGCGCCGGCGGCATTAGACTCGGCCATGGCTGGCGAGCTTACAGGCGTGACAGCTGAGGGCTATCCAGCGTTGTTCACCCGGCTACAAACGAAAGGGTGGCGAGGTTGGCGCCGGGTGATTATGTGTTACTCCAGGTGAGGCCGAGAAGGGTTGCGTCCACGAGACTTTAGGAACCGGTCGGGATGTTGATTAGGTGTAGGATAGGAGGAATTGATGATGTTTTGGTGCGGTGTCGTGGGGGGAAGGTCGACGACGTGCAAACCAAGTTAGGTGGGGGGGAGGGGGAGGAGGGGAGATTTGGCGGAAGGCACCACGGACGACCTTGGAGAAATTGACAAGCCAGACGAGCCGTACAAAGTCTTCAACGTGATGGGGGAGGAGAAAGAGGAAAGCGCGTTGCAGGCGGGAGAGCTTTTTCTTTATAAGGCGAGGGAAACAGCAGCATGAGAGCAGAAAGAGCTAATTCCGAAGGTGTGGGGCCCTGATTGACCAAGCTTCGAGCGGGTCCGTGGCCGCACCCAAGTACAGGTACATGTCCGTACAGTGCAAGCATGGAGCCGTATATCCTTCCGGATTCCACTGCGTGCCCACCCTCCTCCTTCCTAGCCGATCCCATTGGGTGGCATTAGCCAGTACGGTGCCCTATCTTCCACCAGCGATGTGTCGGAAGTACTTGCGCAAGGTAATGTTGACAGCGGCAGTACCTATGAGTAGAAATGCCCGAGCAATTAACCTCCCAGAAGATGCCTGCCCTATATGAGGTAGATAACTTCCCCATCTACCGACCGTCCTTCATCACCGTTGAGGTATAAACCTAGGTAGGTAGGTTAGGTAGGTAGGTACCTACATCTATCCATACTGCCTAGGTATTCCGTTGCCATTCCGCAGGTATGTGCTAAGGGCAGCGCTGATGTACCTCCTACGCAAGGTGTAAGAAAAGGTGCCTGTAAAGTATATGAGTGTGTGGCCGATTAGGTTATCAAGCCATGCCGGTTGGAAGGCCATACATTCATTCTACATAGTACCTCAGGTGGTGGCTAACATTACCATACTAATTACTTGCCTCCCAGAGAGCGATACGGACTGAACGGCCCCGGCCTCTCATCAGCTACGGCACGATGCTCTAGCACAACGGAATGAGCTGGACCTTTTCCTGTCGTCCATCACTTAGGTTTGTTTACGTTGAAGAAGGATGGGTGGAAGGTTCCATCAGATGGCAGATAGACAGGTACCTCTGCCGCCTGCACCCGGCACACGATATCTCTCGGGGAATTGCTGAGGTCTTTCCCCATGCACATCAGTGAGTGAGGTACCTGACTATGTGATTTCGTAGGTTGCAGCGCGGTGCACAGTGCGTCTTGGTCCCTGCAGGACCCCACCGCTCGGTATCTGACCGGCCCTGCTCCACATCTCCATACTAAGACGTAGAGGGCAGAGAGCAGAGAGCAGAGAGCGGCAGCGCGAACCAGCAACTCTGCACCCCCATGAGCATACTGATCTTGCGGGAATTACACAATCGCGCCCACGATGGCAGAGGCGTGCACTGACAAGGTTACCACATCCAGCGTCGAAGCGCATACGTGTAGTTCCACGATGCAGGAGATGCAGAGGTATTTGTTTCTATTTTGCCATTGACCCTGTTCAACCTGGCCATTTGCCTCTTTGCCATTGCTGTCATGTCTCTTCCTATTTTTTTTTTCTGGTCGTGGCAGTGGTTGGCATGGAAATAGCTCGGGTCTGATTGTTTTGATTAGGTTTTTTTTTTTTTTAATGGCCATGCCTCTACTAGTATGGTCCATACCGTCTTCCTCCTCCACCCGGCGCCCGTCCCAAATCAAGATTCCATCAGCTCTGCATTCGGGAAGCACAGGCTTAATCCCTGGTACTTAGGAACTTATGCGAGGACTGGGAGCCATCCAGCCGGGGCTACCCATGGCTTACTGTGCGGATTGGATCTGCTTGCTGGTCCAACGGAGATCAGTGCGTTGGGCGTCGAATTTACACTGTCCTCCATTACCCACATCCCACACTCCATCTGCAAAGCAGCAGCATCTGGGTAGCAACAGGCGTAGCGCCACCAGGAATTGTGGGTAGCAAGCGGTACGTACACAGCCTAGGTGCGCCCCATGCCTGCCCAAGAGAGTATGTAGCTCAGGTAGGAGGTAGGTGGTGACAACACCAAGTCGACAAGGGAGCAGCACATGGGATGCTAAACACGGTACGTACAGAATGGGTAAACCAGGTACGTACTGCAACGCACCCTGTTCAGCATCCCGGACACATTAGATTAGGTAGCATCCTGCTACCTTGGACCTAGGCCATACGTAGATTATGAGCCATTTTCTGTCGCCCTCCATCGCCGTCGCCATCGTCAAGTGGCGGGCCCCCCGTCGCGACCTCCTCGGAAGTAACCAACTCGAGGCTGCTACATACTCATACATAAGATAGGTGCTGGTGCTGTTCCTGCTGGTGCTGCTCCTGCTGCTCCTGCTTCCGGGTACTGTCGTTGCCGCCGCCGGCGCCTGTGCGCTCTCGAAAACGGGAAAGGTGTTAGAACCTGCCCGGACACGTCGATCCTGTGAAGAATAAGTTGTTCCTCCAGTTGTCTCATTAGAGCGTGCCATGCCACTTGTCAACCTTCGCCTACCCTGTCTACTTAGGTATATCTTCGGTTGGCAGGCACTCCCCCCCATAAGCTACCTAGAGAGGTACCTACCAACCTGATGTATAAGTTAGGTAGAAGTACCTACCTTGGGTGCGCAATGAGATACCTCTAGGTAGGCTACAAGTAGGCACTTACCCAGGGTAACCTCGTGAGTAGCCTTAGGATTGCATATATACCTTAGGTTACAGCCAGCAACTGGAGTCTATTGTTGCGAGATCCAAGCAAATATTAAGCGACAATCGTCATCGTGAGACGTGGAAGTGTGCGTGTGTGTGCCTACGTACCTGGTAGATATAGGTATTGGTTACACCGACATAGCTGCACGCGCATACGGACAGGATAAGTATTATTATGATTACCTTACACGTACTTACCCTACCCCATGACCTGCCAGATGCAACTTTTTATTGCCGCTCACCTTAGGTAAGGCAAGGGAGGGTGACCTTTGTATGTATGAGTAGGTACATGCACTAGACTACGAACACGACCGAGCATGGGAGAGACCCGATAAGACCAGGTTGGGCGCTGGATTGATTGATTGCTGGGCGCATCGCATGGACGAAAGGGTAATAGCTCCAGCACTCTAGAGTGGTAGTAATAATGATGGTGACGATAACGACAGTAATAATAATAATAATAGCATCAACGACTGGTCGCGACGAATCCTCCCCTTTTCCCATCGCAGGCTGCACGCTTGTGGCAGGGCGAGATGGCGTGGGCAGGCACCTACGAATGGTAGCAGAGGGAGTGCTATCTTAGATACTGGCCTTCCTCCAGCGTGGTGGTGGCTTACTTCTCATACGTCATGGAGAGAACGAGGGTGGCATTCCCGCGATTTGCCAGTTTTGGAACCGCTGCGACAGGTTGGTTTACCCCGGCTGGAGTCGAGGTCGGGGCCAGCTCGCAAACCGCACGGAAACTCGGCCACATTCGTCCGGCCCCTTGCTGAGTGGCCAAAGCGAAGACCGGCCAAAAAAAAAAAAACTCTGCCATCCTCGCTCACGGGGCTTTCCTTCACCGACACACACTGGAACCGTCGGAAGACCGCGGCTCGGCCAAAGAAAGCCCTTTTGGCTACCGCACTTTTCTCGGGATGAGCCAATCGTTCGGCATGGCCGTTCGCTCCCCACTAGCACGCTATTTGCCGCTGGCCGCTCCAGTCTCGTAGCCACCGTCAAGTCCTACATCCGCTACATCCACAACCTCCTGCATCCGTTATTCCACGGAGCACCTGGGCTCGCTAGCTTGTCTCGAGAACCTCAGGGTGCCGGACCAACCTTGATGCGTTGGAAAGGCCCCCCTAATTTGCGCCAGCAGGTTTCCGAATACACATGGTACACACACACACATGCCGTAGAGCGTTCCCAGGGAGAGAGGTCTAGACGGCTCGAATCTCGTCAGGGTCGCTCGCCAACGGCTCTCGCTTTTTTTCAGGTCACTATCCGTGTTATCATGTTCTTCGCCACCATCCCATAGACGAAACCCGCATCATTTCCCTCGCCTCGGCGTATAAGCACATCCAACCCCACGAATAGTATATGCGCATATCTGCCCCAGAATACCAATTCGACTTGCTCGTCGTTGCGTTGCACCACACGCCCGCCTGCTATACTCGTACGTGAATAGCCTCGAAAATGCTGGGAAGAGGTGAAGCAACACGACGAATCGTTGCTCGCTATGAGGCAACAAGTCGCGTGTTCTTGTGATGAGCCATTATTATGCACCGGGTTGATTTCAGGCTTGGGTGAGCAACATACTCTAGATGGGTGCCGCCGGTTTCACCAATCACGTTCACCGCAAAAGGGGGAATCTCGAGCTTCGGATTCGCGCGGCCAGGGGGGGTTGCGCCGGTCTTGGCTTGCGTGATTGCGAGATGCAGCTCGCGGCATGGCAGAATTTTGCCTCGCTGGCCGTTTGCGGTCCTTCGATCGAGGATGGCGGGAAGACAGGGACCGACGACCAGCAACCGCTACGCCGTAAGTAGTGTGGTGCAGCGAAAAAGATGGCTGGAAATAAACTGGGAGGATCCGAGGATCGAGCCGCTCGTGTCGCTAAAGAGGAACTTCCCATTTGGCAGTTCCCCATCGGCCGCCCATCTGGAGCTCCGCTAGTGGCCAATGGCTCTAGTTCGGATATTAAGCGGTTCCCCCCCCTTCAGTCCGTAGGGTAATTTCTGATTTGTTTCCCTTCACAGGAAAGCTGCCCAGAGTAGCGCAGGGTTCCCGACGGAGCCTATGCGGCAGCGCCATTCCCTAAGCAGCACTCGTTACCTACTCCTGGCAATCGACATGGCCGCGCCTCCGACTAGCCGAGGCGCGACCAGGTCTTCCTCTCGCTCCCTCGTCGCGCTCGCGATCACGCCTTTACTCTTCGAACGGGATAGGGGGAAAGAAAATCGCCTTTGCCTCGCCTGGCCTCGCCAGGTCTCGCCAACTCGCTCCCTACGTCATCTTATGCGAGAAGGGGTCTCTACGTAGTTTGGTTTATCTTACCGGCTCACTATTCCCGGCGCAAACCCGTGAAACCTCGCTATCCCGTCTGGGTCGGCGTCCGAGCCCAGGTAGTGCGTAGTTTCGAAGAGGCGGGATGAGAAGAGGTGGATGACGAGACCGTAAAACGATAAGAGGAAGCAGAAAAAAAGCCTCAATCCTGTGACACTGACGAACCTGCATTGCAACTCTGAGCAGTGTAGCAATGACAGACGCTGGAAGCGCCATGCGTGGACGAGCAAGGATATCCCACCCTGGTGCAGAGCAAATGACGATGAAACGTAGGTAGAAAAAGCTTGGTACTTGTTGATGAAACTTGAAACGACGGGGGCGAAGAGTACGTATGTATAAACAGAGAGAGAGAGGGTATGTATGTGCTATAGTCGATTGCTCGTCTGGTTGTTTACCGCCGCAGATCCAACTCATTTCGACAGTGTCATGCGTCACATCCTCGACGGTGGGTGCCACAGAGGCATTTTTCCGCGATCGCGACGGCGCCCTGTTCGCCCGCCCAGTTGCTTACTCACTCGCCGCATCTACTACGTATGAGTAGTACTGCTACGGATTTGACCGAGACAACAAGCCCTACTCAGGGAGAGAAAAAAATGGAAGAAGGGAGAAAACCACGTCTCCCAGCAGGATGGTTCAAGGTTCTAGATTAAACCTCGCCAGCATCAACTAACAAATCCAATCCCGACGATAGCTTACACGTAACATCTACCCAGGAATGTATCAAGAACACGCACAGGAAGGTATCCGTACTTTTGCGATGTACGTCTCCCCCCCCCACGGATGAGACAGAGGAGGCGGCTCAAGTGCGCAGCTGCAACAACTCCGGGTTCCCCGGGCTCTGTTACGTCAACACATACATACCTACATAGTATATTCAGTCAACCCTGCGTATGAGCTGGTGAGTCTAGGTGGGCGTAGATTGACTACTACGGCTACTACTGCTATGTACTTGGGCTACTACTGCTATGTACTTGGGCTACTGCATGATGGTTGGGACACGTGCAGTGCCATGAGAAGTATAGTATATGGTAAGGCCACGGCGACAGAGAGCGAGACAGATGTAGCGTATCCGCCGACGCAAACTTAGTCCGCCTTCTCCGTCGCCTAGCTCCGCCGGGATAGACGGAGAAGGGGGGGGGGTGAGGATACAAGATATCTAATTTTCCCCATCGTCCCTCGCTCGCCCCTCCCCATCGGCCGCCAAGAGGGATCATGCTCCGTAGCGCGCACGCTCGATGGCGACTTTTGGATATGGGACGTGCCGGCGCTACGTATGTACGTACGTGTACGAAGTACGGTTACTGCACATACCCACGTCCGTCTCTGTAGGCAGGTACACACATCATGCAGGTGTGTATCGAGATAGGCCCGGAGGAGGCGGAGGGTGGGCAGGGAGACGGTCGGTGACAGGTTCCGAGGAGAACGGGAGATGGAACGGCAAAGCCCAGAGACAAGACAGGCTTGGCCAGGAGGCTATTGCTTCACTGCGAGCCTCTCGAGGCTAGGTGCCATGAGGCATGCCATTTTTCTATGAGGTACTCATACTCCGGCCTCCATCTCTACCGATACTACAGGTAGGTAGGTATGCATGCATCCACCATAGAGACTTGTCTACTCGCGCGCCTTGGCGTAGGCGTTCCTTGCATACCTTCTATACGCCACAGCCTCGATATGCTTGGATATAGCAACCAATATATCCATGTATGCGATCAGTAGTGTTCTACATACTCTACCTATGTTTCTGGCGATCCGTAGACGCGATATCGACTCCGTATTACGACGACGGGCGCCCTTATTACCTGGAAGTCACGTCGCACAGAAAAGCGATGGCTACCTGGGTAGCGTAGAGAGAGGTAATCAGACACCTGGGCCTTGGCGCATACTCGTGTGCATCGCGCCAACCGACCACCAACATGCCCCAAGCTGACTCTAGTGAGGTCTAGTAGCTTGGATGTTTCTCAACTCCAGCGGAGAGACGGAGAGAGTGGAAAAGAGAGAGAGAGGACCAAGGTGCGCCAACGCAAAAAATAAAAAATAAAAAATCCTCCCTTCCCTCCATATTCGTCGTCCCCGCCCTATGTCCTCCCATAACCTGCAAAGGGAAATTCCGTGGCGCGTACGCGGTGATCCGTATTAGAGTACCGAGTATATGTGCACGTAGGTAGCCTGTATGCACATACCTACGCACATACCTGGATATATATCCGCGCATTGGTCTCGAGCCAGCCAGCCAAGATAGGGTGAACCCAAGACGATCTCCATCCATCTACCTATCCAGGCAAGTACGGTACCCATACCTACATCTATCCGTATGTGCACAGGACGGGGCATATCGAGCAAATCTCGTCCTTTGTCCCACAGACCCGTTGGGGGCTGTAGACGGGGATCCTCGACCTGCTCCCCCCATAATCGTACAGGTGCATCGTCTTGGCGGGCTGCTGGTGGACCCATCCCTCACCTCCGGCCGGGTAATCGTCCTCGTCCTCGTCGTCGAGGTGGCGCGCGTCGCCAAGGTGGCAGGAAGTAGAAATGCCGTGCGGACCTACATACATCCCAGCCCCTACGCGCATCCGCGGGTGTAGACGCACATCCTGCCTGTATCGTAGACAGGGCGGGCAGGCAAGGCAGGCCTGCTCGACGGCCTGCTGCTGCAGCACAGGAGCCAAGCCTCGCGAGAGAGAGAGAGAGAGAGAGATAGGTACCGAGGAGGGAGGTCAGCACCTTAAGATGCGACCGCATCATGCGTACCTACACACAACATTAATACATGGGCACAACATCACATCTCATATACGAGTTCGCAGGCACAAGTACCTAGGTACTCTCGTCCGTCTTTGTACCAGGTGAGTGTGTAGGTAGGTAGGTCAAACGTGTATAGTGTGGTGTGGTGTGGTGTAGGTAGGTTAGGTAGACAGACATCGCATATTTACATACGAGACGAGGATTGATAGACACCGACTACTTACCAGTAGCCTTAGATGAGGCGCTCGCTGCATCGCAAGCTGATGAGCAGGACAAGGCGAAGATGAGGGCGACGATCAATCGCCCGTCTCAATTAATCGCTCATCCGCCCTGCCGGCAGAGACCTCGATCCGCCTCAGCTCGCCTAGCCTCGAATGCCCTCTCTTTTGCTACTTACATGCGCGCCGCCGCAGCCCCCTTTCTGTCCGACCTATCTCACCTATCGTAGCTACCTACCTACGTGTGTACGCATGCATACATGCATATATATGTACATAACACCGATGAACACAACACACACGACAGTCTCGTATCACCGGTCTGGATCATCGCCAAGGAGAGTCTCCCTGCCCTGCCTTGCCCGACCTCCCGACCGCCCGACCGCCTAAGGCAGAGTTGTCTCAGGGCCGGGGTTACGTAAACGAAGAAGCGGTCCATCCGATTCGCGACGGACAGTGAGGGTTTTTTAACGAAAGGGGGGGGAGGAAGGGGGCCGTCTCGGGCTCGGCAAGGGTAGACAATCGGCTCGTGTCCTCCCGGACTGACCCGCTCCTCACCGACGGCACATCGTCTTTGCCCTGCCGCCCCCCCCATCCATGCCCATATAAAACCAAGGTATACCCACATCGCTGGCGAAGGACGGGAACGAAAAGGGGGATGGGGGGCGCTTCGTGCTTCTAGTTTCATCTTGTCTGTCTCAACGGCGGCGACAACGACGAGGACGACAACAGTGATGGCGACGCCGATCTCTGGAGGGCTGGTTCGGCACGACGTGTACCTAGGCTCATTAGCAAGCTAGGTGCGATTCCGTCGTGACATTGATCGTCTATCGCCTCGCACGCGACGCTTCGCGGTCTGAGTTGCGCCCCGTCCAGTCTAACATTTTTCATCTGCAGAGCACCGTCGACGAGCAGCAGTAGCACACATCTCAACTCTTTTTTTCTAACCCTCTCTCTCCCTCTCCACCAACGGAAGGTCTAACTACTCAACCTGCATCTATTTGCCCCCGTGTCCTACGTAACCGCTGTTACCGTAGCTATATCATGCATACTTCCTTAAACAAAAGGATGCAGACCGACACCAAACAAAGAGCCTAGCGAGGCCCGAGTCCCGGAACACGTCGAGGTATCGTACCGACAACGGGTGCGACCGAAGCAACTACGGGGAGGGACGGAAACGAGATGCCATTTGGCTATAGCCCCCCCCAGCGAGATGTAAGCTGTCGTAACGCCGCAATCTCAGGCGCTCGTGCACACGCCTATATGCGTATGTAGGTATGCAGATCCATACAGACCGTCTCCCATGCAAAGCGCTGCCGTACGCTGCGCACGGGCGGCGAGAAAGGGGACAGAAAAAACCTCACCAACTCTGGCTGAATAAGGAAACCCGGGGGGGGGACCAAACGTAACAGATGGCACTCTATACAGCGGCCCATTCGCCTTCGCCCTCGCCCTCGCATGAGGGCACGAGGGAGAAGGGGAGATCGCGTCCGACGGCAGCCGCTGTGCCATGTAGGTAGAACGAGGGCAAGGGGCGGGGATACCGATCGGTTAGGACAGGCAAGGGAGGTGAAGCAGGTAGATTATAGAATAGTGAGATTGATTTGGCAAAAGTAAGGCCGCATGTGATCGCCGCCTGCACCAACGAGACGACGGCGTATGTAAGTAATACCTGCGCGCGACGGAGGAGAGGAACCTGTGTAGGTGTATGCTGAATGGTACCTAACCGCTCCAGTAAGCAAGACCGCCGGTACAATGATCGGCCGATGCGCAACCGCTTGACCCCCGTTGCGTTGTCGGCCCGTAACCTCGTAGCGGGTGGGGGTCTCTCGAGATGCTGCGGATCTTGGCGGACACAACCACATATAGTAGGTAAGTGTGCCTACCTCTAGCTGCTGTACATACATGGAAGTGAGGTCTAGGGACAAAGATAGCCAGGTGAAGGGAAGACATGGGAGAGGAGAGAACGAGACCAGGGCCGTGGCCGGGGGAGCCACCCGGTAGATAGATATCCCTTCATCGTGAGCGCCCACCAGCTCTCGGTGTCGTTCTTAGGAAGCTAGTAAACATTTTATAGCGCCTAACATGCCATTTACCATCCAAACGCAGGCTTCCCAAGCTACTCAGAGTTCAGCACGTGTGGAGGCGGGTCAACTCAAGTTACCCGGCGAAATTGAGCCAACTGGATCCTTCTCCCAGAGCTTAGACGACGATAGCCCCCCGTCATGGCCGACTTGGTTAGCTCTTCCACGGCCCTTGGGGACGTGAGGTCGCGATATTGCTACTGATACCACGCTTCCTCGCGCTTCTTCGCTCCCTGTCCTCTACTTCTCAATGTCTACACGCCTCCGCGTTCTCGGGGCCGCAAACCTCACCAGCCAGCCTATCTGCAGAATTCCATTATAATACCTTGCTGCTCTGCCCATCGTTGTGTAGAGTCGAAGGCATTCTCTGTAGAGTAAAAGGTGCTCCTCTCTCGGCTAGCCGTTACACGCCTCTCCTATAGGTGTATACATACACGCATCTATAGGCATTCGTAGAAGATAGCAAGCGCCCGAGTCCAAGCCGCCCGACTTGGACACAAGGAACTTAATTCTCCTCGTAGCATTATCCCCTCTGACTTGGATAGTTTGGGCCAGACTGGAGTGTCCTGAAACTCACTTTCTCACTGGCTCATACCTACGTATCCCGTTCCACCTTTCTAATAAGGAAAGAAAAGAACCCCCATTGCCGCCTCCTCTCAGATGTCGAGCGTACACGGCCGCCTCAGTCCCGTCTTAGTAGGCAGATAGAAAGCACACCCGAGACCCCTAGGGGCTCACGACCTAGAGTCTAGATCATAGGAACCACAATGCGCAAAACCGCCGTCCCTGCAGCCGTCCCGGGCTCGCGAACCGGCCCTGACCCTTCGGGCGTCAGACGTCCGGCTGTCGGCTTCTCTCTCCCCTAGGTGAACAGGCACAACCGCCCTTCCCGCACACCCGCCGAGCCGAGCCGTCCAGCCGTCGGCTGCCCCCATTCACGGATGCCTACCTCCTCCTCCTCCTTACTAACGACGGCCAGGGGCGGTACACGTACGCGATGCTCGCACCGACGACCGCTAGCGCATGTCCGCACGCCTGCGCGCTCCCGGCTAGCGGAGCCTAATTCGCGCCAGCCGGGCTAGCTACAATGTCCCCGTCAAGGGATGCCGCGTCCGACCGTGCCGGGCGAGCCAGCGACGCCGCCCCTGCGCCGGCTGTCCGGCTGCCTAGGTAGGTAGATTCAGGGGGAGGGCGTCGTACGCACCGACATCAGGCAAGGGCCGGACGCCGGAGTCGGTGCGAGCGACGTCTTCATCCGTCAGTACGCACAGCTGACTACGGGAGACATCTTGTCGATGCCCCGGCGACGTAGGCCCGGGTGTTGTTGGGCAAGGGGATACTTATTGTGACGGGACGGCGTGGGAAGCCCCGTGCCTAAACGCGCTCCGGCCACGACCTGGTGCGAGTCCTAGTTCCATGCGCGCGGGCGCGCCGTGCCCTAGAACCCGGCGCAGGCCCAGCCTCCCGGCGAGCTCGGCACCGCCCCATGTTGAACCGTCCCCGCGACAATCGCGGCTGCTTGCGACTCGCCTCCCGGGGCCTGCCTCCGCTCCTCTTTCTGCCACCGCAGCGAGACCCTGCGCCAGCCGTACAACCCGACGTAGGACCCCTTCGCTGCACCTCCGGGCATGATCACCCCGTGCCGGCCGGCGGGTGCCGGCTGCCGCTATCGCGACACCTGCGGCCCTACAACGCCCAAATCGAGCTGAAAGAGGCGTGCGGTAGTTGCAGGTTTCGCCGATGAAACCTTATCGTGCCGTATGGCGGAGACGAGTTTATAGGGCAACAATCGCTCCCTTTTCTTCTTTTTTTTTTCAAATTTTAGAGAAGAAGGAGAGGTAGACTTCGTCGTACACTCGGATAAAGAAACGAGCTCGACGAGGCCGTCCTGCCGGTGCTTCTTCAGCTCACCGGCGGGACACAGAGGCGCTCGGCTTCGACAATCAGCAACGGCGTATTCACGGCGGGCCGTTTATCGGCAGCCTCGGTAGCCGACCTCAGACGCTCTCGTCAGGCACCCGAAACTAACCGTGTCGATGTTAATGGTTGTATACCGAAGCTTCTTCGTAGCGTAGGATAGAGGCAGATACGAATACCTAACGGGGGGTTATGAGGGCGGTGTTGACGGGGCGGTTGGTGTGGGGGGGGCGGGCGCGGTGCGGGAAAGGGAATAAATAGGGGGAGGGAGGGCTTCATCTCACTACCTCGCCCCCTCTCTCCCCAAAGCAATGCTGGCGACAACAGTGACGACGGCCTTGGACGCGACTCGGCGCCGGGCTGCTTATGTACTATGCTTTACCGTGTGAGCACCACTCATCCACACGCTTCCCCTACTCACTCACCCACTCGTACCCCCCCCCTGCGACTTACTTCCCTTTTATAGCCTATACGTTGCCTAGTAGGGGGAGAGTCACTCTGGCTACGAAGCAAGAGTGAGTAGATTAGACACTGACAGCGTGGTTGTAAACATGTCGCCACCATCACGCGCAGCGCACATAGCATAGTAAACCATGACAAGTAGAGAGACATGACCAAACGATCGCGGCAGGACGCCTGTGATATTCGGCGATCGGGTCTGCGTCCTAGAAATGTATGTAGCTCTGTCCCCAGCTCGTCTTCCTCTTCAGAAGAGGGGTTGCGAGGGTAACGAGAGCCGGATGGTTATAAACGTTGCCGCCACTGCCACTGCTGCCGCCGTCTCGGCAGGCCGCTCAACACACCCAAGTATCTATCTGAAACAGAAGATGCTATGTGCATCGTCGACAACCCCCCGGGCTAGCCAGCCCCTATCAAAAAGGACTAGATAAAAATGACCGGAAAATGTCTATGCAGCGCGTGGCAGCACCCGGCGGGAAAGCTAAGCGAAACCCCCCCCCCCCCCCCCCCAAACAGAAATAAAAAAGCAAGGTCCAGACATTAATGGCGTCAGGAAGGGAAATCCGCAATCCTTCCTCCGCATTGTTTCCCTTCCCCTGGTCTAGCTCTATCCCACATGGCACACCCGAAACCCGTTTAACGCCGCCTAATGCTTCGCGGTGACCTGGTCACCGGTTAATTTTTCCACGTAGGATTTGGCCCTAAATTTTTGGGGGTGATAGATTAGTCGTCTTGTCCATTCGTCTATGGGATACACACCGAGGGGTGATGTGTCGCGAGGAGAGGGGGGACGAAGAGCGAGCGAGAGAAGGCTTACATATCACCCATGGCCACCATGCAAACCGTCTGCCAAACGCCTAACCCGATGCGCGGCATGACGCCGCGGTACAAACCCCTCAAACCGTTGGTCTCGTAGATGTATTTGAAAGTGTTGCCGACCGTCATCTTCTTCGGCCGGTTGGGGTCCTCCTTCTTGCTCTGCATCTCGACGCGGATGACCTCGATGGGCTGGTTCCAGGCGGATAGGCCACCGCCGAGGGCCGACGCCGTGATCTTCTCGATCGCGCTGAGCTTCTCGCCGTGCTCCTTGCCCGTCAGGCGGCGGATGCCCTGCTCGGCGAGGCGCGACAGGCCGAAGCGCGAGCCCCAATTCGTCATCTGGCGGATGGCGACGGCGTTAACGCCACGGTTGATGCCGCGGATGCCCTCCTTGCGGTAGATGCCCATGAAGGTCGCGAACGTGCTCGGCGGCTTCACGCCCGACGCCGCCAGCTTGTGCTGCGTGATCTCGACCGTCTTCATGCACGTGCAGAACCCCATCGTCGCGTACGCCTGCGCGACGCCGCCGGTGACGCCGCCGATGATCCCGCCGCCGAACTCCGAGGCCCCGGCCACCCGGGCATAGTATTCGGCTTCGGAGGCAACGAAGAGCAGGACGGCGCCCTTGGTCGAGGCTTCGATCCAGGCCCAGGGGATCAGGCCCTGGTAGACTGCGTTGCGAAAGCTACATGTTAGCCAATGCCATCAAACAACCGACTCGTCCATTGCTAGATCAAACGTCCACACGCCCCCCTCCGCCTACCTCACCTCGAAGGCTGGGTGTGTAGGTCTTCGAGAAACGCTTCAACCGTTCCCTTAGAAAGAAGAGTGGAGTGAGAGGGAATGAGAAAGGGAGAGTAGCAGTAATGGGTGATACGGAGCGATACAGTAAGCGGGCGATATATCACTGCGAGCACTCACATCCGAGGACGCCACCGCGGTTCCAGATGCTGCGCAGGGCAGCAGCGAAGGAATCGCCACGGTTAGCAGCCAGATGGGTCTTGCAGACCTCGAGGGGCTGGCCGAGGGTGGTGACCTCAAAGAGATTGAGGCCAGCGCCGAGAAGCAAGTTGGAGAACTTGATGGGCTTCTTCTCCAGGTGCTTCTCCGTGACGGGAGCGACCCCGGAGGCGGCAGTGGTGGCAGTGGACATCGCAGTACGGATTCGTTCGATGGAAGGGGCCTGACCAAGGCAGACGGGCGCTTCTTCGCAGAGAGATGGGGGATGAGAAAGGTGGATGGGCGAGGAGGGAGATTTCGGACGGAGAAGTTGAGGGATAAAGGTGGATGGTATGGCCCGGTGGGATTTGAGTGGAATTATTGATGCGGCCGCGACAATGTTCGGGTTTGGGGGGGGACTTGGATGACGGACGGGTTCGGGCTTGCAATTGGTGTCGGTGTATCGTAAGCCTTCTGGTACCTGCAAGTCTGGTACCGAGAACGTGGTCAGAGAGCTGGGTCAGCCAGGTTACCTAGGTACCCGAGGTACAGGTACCCGGGCGGCGGGTATCGTGCAGAGGCAGTACCTAGGTACCTAGGTAGGCCAAGCCCAAGGAAGCATGTGGATGTTGGGGATTGCTGCATATTAACGTCAGGTAGGTTATGTACCTACCCCTTAGAAGAAGAGGTAAGTAGATAGGCACATAGGGGTGTAGAAGAAGATGATGTTGCATTCTTCCGCTCCCTCCCCTTGTCCATTGTTCTAGGTAATCGTAATTACCCGAGTCGGTGTAGATAGATACCTCAAGAGCCCCTTGGCAGGATGCATATATAGATACCTAGGTCTGTAAATCCATTCACTGTAGGCACCCCAAGCCGGATCATCCGGTTTAGGGGGCAGACTGCGTAGCTAGGTACATACTAATAATTCGGAGATCGGTAATAGTGTGTATCTACACTATAAAATACCTATGTATAAACAGAGGCAGGAAGAGAGGTGTAGGTACCTGTGTAAGGGCAGGCACCTAGGTTCCTAATAATATCTTGCACCCCCCTGCGCATCAACTGTTGAAGCCGGCCTCCGCTCAACAATTGCCATGCCTACACGCGGTAGGTAAGCCAACGTCGGCCCCCAATATGACCAACGCACAGCTATACTACCTACCTACATACGTATAGTAACTCCGCCGAGTTGTTTTCGAAACTCCCCCCGCCAATCAGCCTTACCAGGGGTCCTTCAGGGTCCTGGTGCTCAACACGCGCCCCCGGACTTTCCCCAATGCCTCCTACCCATCCGAGCTCTACAGCAGATCCGTTTTGTTTCTATCTTTTCACGCCGTTTATCCTACGCCGTCGCCTGCGTGCCTGTGCATCCGGACGACACGTATTGGATGGCGCTGTGATTTAGAGCGCCCCGTCAATATATTGTCCTGTGAGGAGTCCTCCCTTGCATATCGTCTTGTAAAGCCGAAACAATAACCCTAAGAATAGTTGTAGGTAGAAGAAATGTGCAGAAAAGAAAATACAGAACAGAACCGCGGCAAGCTGACTGAATTCTAAATAATCGTGAGCGGAGAGTATCACATGCAGCAAATTCTTTTTGGCGCACGTAACCTACACAGGTAAACTATCGTAATATTGTACAAGCGCAGCTTTTGGTATCATCAGGAGCATCTCTAATTCACCCCCAACCGGGTACGGCACTGCACTTCCGTAGCAAGCCTCTCTATCCCCCATATGAAACATGCTTGTGCCGGGAAGGGAAAAAGGAAATGCAACCTTCTATAGTGGTCCTCTATAGCTTCTTGACAATCTCTTGCCACTTGGCTGTCGAGAAACTCTTGGGCCGCTCGATCGGCGCTCCGAAGGCGCGGTCGATGATGAGCTGCGGCAGCACACCGATCGCACGCGACACGCCGAACAGGACCGTGTAGTAGTTGGCCTCCGTCAGGCCGTAGTACTGCAGCAGGACGCCCGAGTGGGCATCCACGTTGGGGTACGGGTTCTTGGTCTTTCCGTGCTCGGTCAGGACCTTGGGCGCGATCTTGTAGACCTGGCTGACCAGCTGAAACATCGGATCGTTGGGCATCTTCTCCAGCGCGAACGTGCGCTGCGCCGTGTATCGCGGGTCGGTCTTGCGGAGGACGGCGTGGCCGTAACCGGGAACTACCCTACCGGCGTTCAGGGTGGACCACAGGTATTCCGTGATCTTCTCGTCGCTCAGGTCGTCGCCGATCGTCTTCTTCATCTCGGTCAGCCAGTTAAGAACCTCCTGGTTGGCCAGACCGTGCAGGGGGCCGGCAAGACCGTTCAGACCAGCAGCGAGGGACAGGAAGGGCGAGCTTAGGGCGCTGCCGACGAGGTGGGTTGTGTGCGCGCTGACGTTGCCGCCCTCGTGGTCGGTGTGGATGGTCAGGTACAACCGCAACAGCTCAACGAAATCCTTGTTCTCGCCAAAGCCTAGCTGGTTGGCAAAGTTGAAGCTGTAATCCTTGTCCTGCTGCACGGCCGCAACCTTTCCGCCCTTGAAGACATTCTGGTAGATGCGCGAAGCGATGGTCGGGAGCTTGGCAATCAGGTCCATAGAATCCTCAAAGGTGTACCCCCAGTATTCCTTCTTGTTAATACCCTTGGCGTAGGCCTTAGCAAAAGACGAAGTGTGCTCGAGAGCAGTGACGGCGATGGAGAATTGCGCCATGGGGTGGAGGTCGGTGGGGCAGCGGTCGATAAGCTCCTCGACAAACTTGGGGACTTCGGATCGGGCAGCCCACTCGGCAGACAAATCACGGACCTGCTGTTCGGTCGGGACCTCGCCGGTAAGGAGCAGCCAGAAGAGACCTTGGCAGAGCGAATTAGCTTACGGGACCAGGTACGAAGGAATGATGGTATACCTTCTGGCAGCGGCTCCTTGCCACCGGGGGCCTTTGGAAGAATCTCCTGGCATTCGGGGATGGTCTTGCCACGGAAGCGGATACCTTCCTCGGAGTCGAGAACGGAACCCTCCCACACCAGAGCCTTGATTCCCCGTGCGCCACCGTATACTTGGTCGAGAGTGACCTTGTCAACCACCTTAGAACCGTGCTCCCTGCGCGCGTGTGTTGTAAGCTTCGATTTGCTCTCTTACTCTGGATTTCCGGTTGTATTTTTTCCTCTTCTCCTCTCCGGGAACCAGCCAGGTATGATATATGTTTGGGTTGGTTTGGGGGGGGAGTGAGAAGGGAACTTACTTTCTGAGAGCCTTGATCTCCTCAATCTTCTCAGGCAGCAACTCCGCAAAACGTTCCTTCAGGGTCTGGACACAAATGTGTCAGTTTCGAGGGGTTGTGGAGGGTTGGCGAGGCATGCTTACCTGGCTCTTGGAAGAATAACATCGCACGGCATTGAAAGCTGTGGTGCGTGCTGTGAGCATAGGGCTCCGGACGGTTGCCCGGAAGGCAGATGAGCTCAGACGAAGGGCGGTAGCCATTGTGGACAGTTCGTTGGGGAGGATTGAATTATGGCAAGGACGAGAAAGTTAGTAGAAGGAGAAGGGTCACAAGAGTTTACGGAAAAGAAGGAAATTTTGGTGATGAAATGCCTCAAGGGCAGAAGCGAATGGCCCTTACTACCAAGGTAATCGGACGGGTACCGGACTAGGGGCAGCTTCGGTTGGATGGGGAAGCCGGCCACAAATTCCAGCGGGTTCCTGGCTGGAGGACAAGCTCAAATACCCACATATGTATACGCCCACCTACATATACGTGCAGGATACCTCCGAGTAGGGCAGTACCTAATATGTAGTGTAGCTGCGTGGAGGTACACGTCATATCCATATATAGGTAAGTCTCTATGCAGGTGTGTACTAGTGAGGGCGCCTCTGTACGTGTACACCTCAGGTACCCGACAAGCATCCATGGCGCTGACCTCGGGTTATTCCTCCCATTCCTTCTGAAGGTATTTTACCTAACGACGTAGGAATAAGTTGCACCCAACAGGAGTAATAAGATGGGAGGTGTGTAAGTAGGAGGTACCTGGGCTCGCAAGTGCAAGCCCAGCAGGTATCCCTAGGCACCAGTACCTCTGAGAGATAGGTATAGACATCCAAAGGCCAAACCAAAGCTTATATAGATGTTCCTAAGTAAGAGGCAATACTCTTTCACCCGATAGCAACAGATATATGCCGAGATACCGACCTTCTGGTCGGGATTATATCGGTACATAAGGACACCTTTACTGAGTATAGAGGTAGGTACCCCTAATACTACCTGCATACTACCTGTAGGTACAAATACCTACATACCTAAGGGTTGGCATTACCATACCTGTGTGTAATGATAGCAGCCCGCATGTCACTCTTCGAAGTTGTGTCTTACGCAGGCAAAGGAGGGGGACGATAGCCTCACCCACTGTTCATATTCCTGTAGCGTCTTGGTGTGTAAATGAGGGGAAGAGAGGAACTAATACGTAGACCTTCATGACGTAATAATACAGGGACACCATCGTCAGTAAACAACCCTTTGCTGTCATAGAATAATGCATATTGGGGATACCCCTGAATCTGTCCACACCGATCTATACTTACGTCAATAGGTAGGTCTGAGATCTCAGCTTGGTGCGCCCAGATAGCCTCGGGAATCGTGAACACGTCTCCGATCGCCTGGGCATCTGATGCCATTCCTTAATAATGAATTGGAATATGCCTGTGTACGTAATCCGTTAGCTAGTTTGAGGTGTGGAACGTGATTCTTCTTTTTTGCAGCATCGACTCAGTTGCCTAGGTACTTAGGTACATACTGGAAATAACACCTTGTCTGCCTGTTGATGAGAAGGGGCTTACCTAATACATATAGGCAGGTATATACGGTACATACCTAGGTATATACATACCTCCTAGCTATAGGCACCTTATAGATATTACCTACTTAGGTACCTAGATAAGTATCTACATATAGAAATCATATGAGTAGATCACGCCTGCAATGTCAAACTTCCTCATCAGTGAAGATACATTTTATCTGTCTTTAGATACCTCCTGTTACGCTGGGCAAGTAAACACGGAACAAACAGGTACCGTACCTAGGTGGGTACCTGTTCAGGTGAATACCCTAGGTACTTTAACATTGCTTGCGCTTTACCAGCCACTTGCACACCTGTCGAAGTACAGCCTTGTAACGCCCTGCCCAGTACCTCAGGTACTTGCCGTCCCCCACCTGGCAACACGCAACTAGAAAAAAAAAATTCTTTCCAGTGGACAAACCTTGGTTAACTGTACCCTGCCCATTTCCCTCGAAAACCGCGCCATCTCTTTTTTTCTCCCTCCTTACATCCACTGCGCAATCCGAAACCTACTTCTTTCCCCTCAACCTTCAACCGCCATCATCACCATCACAGCGCATCACCTCTCATACCATCTCCATCTCCATCCAGCTCCTGCATCGAGCTGATTGCGCCTACAGCCGGATTCCAACGTCCTCTTCGGTTGGCCTGTCCGCCACAGAGAAACCCGAAAGAAAATCTCGGTCCTGCGAGCAGGACGAGGTTCCCACGCCATCCTTTCGCGTACGCAGAACGCACAGAGAGCAGGGCATTAGACGTGCCAACATCCACCGGTGTCGCCTCGCTGCCGCATCAGAGAGAAACCGGCCAGTTCCCAGCCTGCTTTCGTCGTCTCCCCCTCCTGGTCTACATTGGAAAAGGGATCTTGGAAACACTGGACGACTCTACTACCTAGATCTTGCCTTTTTGACGGCTGTAACTTGTTAGGTCGAGGCAGAAATACAAGTAATCGCCCGAAGGCCAAAGGCAAGGAGCCACAAGAGAGAAGACCTCTACTACTACCCTTACCTAGCACTTGGGTGACTATCACGACTCCTTCGTATTTTCGCACTTAGCAGGTGCTGCTGTGAGGCCTCGCTATCGCCCTCGCACCAATACATTGTGCCTGCTAGTCTTCCCAGTATTCAAGAGATCATTAGAGCAACCATGTCGTCGCCTGTAGCAGAGCTCGAGGCGGGCCTGAATGCCATGCTGAGCATGAAACCGCCTGGAGTCACCGGATCCCGTATTATGTCGCTGACGAATCTCTGCGTGGACAATGTCCAGGTAAGGCCTTTAGATCCTATATTTACCATCATTATCATCATTATCATCATCATCGTCATCACGTTTCGGCTGCCAGGTGCTGATGCTAACTCGATCCACTCCATCGCAGTCGGAATCCGTACTCATCCAGAAGATATACACCCACTTCAAGAAAGCTCCTGCGACTCACAAGCTGGGAGTTCTCTACGTCGTAGATTCCGTAACTCGCCGATGGGTTGACCATGCCAAGCATCAAGGCCAGCCTATCAATAGTTCTGCAAAAGATGGCACGTTCGCCGCCGGAGTGCATAGAGTGACGGAGCTGCTTCCCGTATTGATGAATGACATACTTCAGAACGCCCCCGGAGAACAAAAGGTACGCTTCATCATATATTCGTCGCGCATTCGTCGTAGTCCAGGCGATGGCACCGGCATCAGCATTAGCTATAGTGCTCTTAGGATATGCCACCTCTAGAGCCGTGCTCCTTCCTTGTATAAGGCCGCCTGCTGTCATGACCGCATTGTGTTCATCGACCCGACTGGGAGATACTACTTGTTTTGAAATGTTGACCTACGAGGAAGAAGCACTTACCTGACCGTTCCGTATAGGAGAAGATTAGAAAGCTCGTTGACATATGGGAGAAGGGCCAGACATTCCCTCTGGCCATGATCGAGTCCTTCAAGCAGAAGCTGCCCGCCAAGAGTAGGTCTTCCTATCCCGAGTTTGATGGCTTTCCTGCTTCATCTCGAGTTCGTTTGTCTGATCCATTGTTTCGTGTAGACGAATCCACTACGCCGGTCGGCAGCCCCCCTCCGGGACCTGGTCTGCCGGGTCTGCCGGATAACAACACTAATAAGCCGCCGGCGGCTGAGGCTCCGAATGCCATCATGGAAGCCCTTGCCAACATCGCCCGCCAGAATGTTACCGCTGCGCCGGTCGAAAATAACGTCTCGGCTGCAGCCACTCCATATAGCATACCGACAGCCCAGACTAGCGTCATTCAGCCACCTGTCCTCCCGATTAACCAGACCCAACCTGCCCTTCCCTACGCAGCCCCTCAGCACTCCATAAACCTAGGAGGGATGCCATACGCGTTCGCTCAACCGGCTGCAGTTCCGGCTCAGCCTCCCGTGCCCCCGGTGACTGCTAGTAACCAGACTCCCGGTTTCCCCGGTGTAACCCCAGGTGCCACGGGGGCACCTGTCACAGGCGTGGATACTAGTGTTCAGCAGCAAGTCATGTTGATCAAGCTTCTTGCCGACCAGGGCATCCCATTTGAGAAAATCCCAGCCATCATCGCGGGTATGCAGGGCACGAGTGCTCTCGCTGCCGCACCCGCAGCTCCTACTCCTCCCGTAGGCCAGATGCAGTATGCTAGCGCCTGGGGTCAGGTCGGCTTTCACCCCGAGGAGTCACGTGACCAGGACTTTCAGGGAGTGAGGTCTCCGGACAGGTATCGGCATCGGTCCCGATCACGTTCTCCCCCACGCCACTGGGATACGCGCGATTCCTCTCACGGCCGCGATTATAGCAACTATGGACGCAATTCACCGGGTACCGGACGCGCAGAGGACCGCGGCCGAGCGAGAGCCCCAGATTATCGACAACGCAGCCCTGGGCGCCGCGGTCGTAGTGCTACCCCCCCCCACGGATTCCCCCAACCAGGGACCAAATGGGTCGAGTACGACAGCACCCTTCCCCAAGGCCACATAAAGGGTGAGTTGCACGACCGATCACTGCCACGTCCGTCCGTGCTAACTAGGCTCCCTTGTAGTGTTAAGCAGGACTCTGTTTGTCGGAGGTGTCACGTAAGTACCATTCGCGGCCCGGTGAAATTGCAGGGGCCGCTGACAACTACAAAACAGATGCCCCGAAGGCGAGTTGCGAAGCGTATTCAACCGCCACGGACAGGTGCAAACCTGCATCGTCAACAAGGATAAGCGCCATGCCTTTGTGAAGATGATCACACGCCGGGACGCAGTAACCGCCAAGGAAGCCATGGAAAATAGCACTTTCCGGGTAAGTAAGATGCCCGTCGCGATATACACGCCGGTGCTAATACGTGAAATAGACTCGGTGGGGAGTAGGATTTGGACCGCGTGATTGTAGCGACTACCAGACGGGGATTAGTGTGATTCCTATCAACAAGCTTACCGAAGCGGACCGCAAGTGGATGCTGACCGCCGAATACGGCGGTAGCGGCGGCCGGCCTATCGAGACCGGTCTTGTAGTCGAGGAGCCCGACATCGAGATTGGTGCTGGGGTGTCCTCAAAAGCCATCAGCCGGCGGATGCAGACCGATAAAGGTGGTAGACACGGGCCCAAGTCCAGCCGGGGCCCAAGCGGCGACGAAGAGGGAGACCTAACCCGATGGCGACGAAACCGCGACAACCGACGGGACGATAGGGAGGAGGCACCCGTGGCGAACAACGGCCCCGCAATTCCATCATTTCCTTTCGGAATCGGAACTGGACCGAATGGCATGCCGGTCTTCCCGCCCGGCTTTACGTTCCCCGCTCCCGAACAGTAGGATCGATAGGGCAAGGCGCGGGTTTCACGCACATTTGTCTTGATCACGGGCAATTCTTAACCGCCCGTTGTTTGAGTTTCGGGAGCCGCCCGGAAACTCGCCGAGTATGACGAACTGCTTTGAGAGAGGGCTTGTTTCCGGTTCCACGGGACTAGGAGCATTTGACGACCTAGCATGAATCGGCGTTGGGGATAGGAGGGAATTTCTGTGTTAAACCCGAGTAGGACCACAATTCCTGGATTAGCAGGTGCGCAATCTGGTTGAGATCAGTGTGACCACCTCTGGTAATCTTGATCGAGTGTCTTAAGTCGATATATCGACTTTGGTTTTCCCGGGGCCTCTGTTTTGTTGGCTTGCGCTCCGGAGGGATTCTGCTTTTTTTTCTGCTTTCTCCCACCGGCAGCTACCGTACGAGTAAAGGCAGTCCCACCACAGACTACATAATGTATAGTAGCTAGAGAAAAAGAAGGCGTCGAAGGAGAGGCCGAGGGGTGCAGAGAGAGAGAGAGAGAGACGGAGAGAGAACAAAAGGGTCCCCCAAAAGGAAGGAGGATATCTGTGTACTCGGGAAAGATACCTGTGTGTCCCACTTGTCCCTCGATCGAGTCCTAGAGAGGGTTCTTGTACGTACTACGGTTCAGGTCGCCTGTATAAATATGAAATTCTTGCGCACGCGGATCTCGTTGCCAGCCCACTGATTGACTGATTAGAGAGGACTGCGTGATTAAATCGTATGCAAGTCGGGTAGATAGATGGGCGGCGAGGTAAGGATAGTAATCAAGTAGTTAGGGTGTACGCGAAGAGGACAGACATCCAGCCTGTCGTCGACCGGACCCACCAGCTCGCCTTCTTCCTGTCTCTCCTGGCGTCGCCGTCTCCGGCCCCGAGAGGGGACCCAGTGAGTATATACCTATACATATATATATATATATATACCTACACATTATACCCTCTCACACACGTCCCTGCATGCTTCCGCGCCCGCTTACCTTACCTCCTCCCATCCTACTTACCGCACGCCGCGGGGCGAGCTGTCTCACGCACTCCTCACTCCCTTCCTCCCTCCCCACACCCCTCCCCTCGCGATCCCCCCCCCCTGGCTATCCCACGTCCGACGACGGGGAGAGGAGCGGGCGCTGCTCCGGGAGGGAGCGAGCATAGGTAGCAGGGCCGACGCGCGTGTGCACGAGTCACGAGGCGAATCGTCGTGCGGCTGCCCGGGCGCGCGCAGGGCCGCCGCCGTCGCGGGGAGCCGACGCAGGACGGATGGACAAACATGCTTCCTATGCTAGTTCGTCACCTCCTCGTCTCCCCGCACGTCGGACGGCCTTGCTCTGCTCCTACGGCAAGGCAAGTAAGGCTTACTACGTCTTGACATTATATATATCTACCAGCTCTTATAATCCGCCCTGCGCTGCCTAAATTTTTTTGGGGGTGGGGGGGGGGGGGGGGTTTCCTTCCCGAATCTTCGTTTTTTCTCACAAAAGCGCACGTTTAGCGCGTTGGCTCTTACGTTGCTGACTATACCAAAGACAAGCGAATCCCATCCGATCCGTCCCGTTCACGTACGCGCCCGCACAGCCAGCAAAGTAAGAAGAGCCAGCTTACTACTTACCCTCGCCCTACGTTACACGTCCAGCTCTCCTCGGATCTCGTCTTCATCTTCATCTTCATCTCCATCTTCATCTTCGTCTTCATCTTCGTCTTGACCTTCATCTTCGTCTTCACCTTCATCTTCATCTTCGCCCTCTTCCTCTTCGTCCGAGAAGTAGCAGCTCGAGTCGTAATCCAAATCCGCCGGGGACGCCTCGAGCTCGGCGCGGTCCGCTGCGAGCCCGGAGCGCGTCGTCGCGTCGAGGCCCTCGACGTCCAGGTCCAGCTGCCCGTTCCGGACGTGGAGCCGGCGTAGCGCCTCCGCGAGCTGCTCGCTCGCCTCGTCGTCCTCCCTCTGCCGCCGGAACCGCGTCGTACGTGAGAATATGTGGTTCATCCGTTGGAGGTTCTCGAACCCTCCTAGTAGCGGCATGCTTGCGTCGCCGTCGAGGTGGGCTTCCGCTCGGTAGTGTCCCGTCTGCCAGTACGCCGGCCCCTGGACGGCCCCGACGGTGACGTCGGGGTGGAGGACGAGCTGCGACGTAGCCAGGTAGTGCTTGGCCCTCTCCTGCCCGGTGCCTAGCTGTGGTCCCGACGCGTCGCCGGGCGGCGGCGGGAGCTCCTCGTGGGGGATATACGGCCGGGGTCGCCGGATAGCCCGTCGTTCGCCGTCGAATTGTAGATTGAAGAATCCGGAGGAGACGGCGGCCGATTTGCCCGGGCCCTCCGTTTCGTCATCTCTATCGAGACCCAAGAGGTAGACTCGCCCACTGCCATCCCCGATAACTAACTTCGTAAAGTCCGGGGAGAAAGCGCCGGCCGTGATAGGGGCAGCCACTTCGACGAGGTCCCTGACTAGAACTCCTCCGTGGCGGATATTCCATACTTTGACTACGCCATCAGACGAACCGGTATATAAACGGTCCGCAGTGGTAGCCCAAGCCACAAACTTGACTCCTATATCTTCTTGCTCTCGATTACCGATGTACTCCTCAACGGGATCTAATTCGCCGTCAGTCCATCATTCGTCGGGATGAGGGGCTAGGGGAGAGGTTCTGGATCTCGTACTGCCATGTTCCAAAATACACATCGGTTCATCACTTCTAGCCGAATCCCAGATATATACTCTACCATCGGTACAACCAGCAGCGACGTAGGAATATAGGGTGCTATTGGGCCTATCTCCGGTGTTAGCATGCCGAATCCTGCGGTGCCCTACTGGTAGCGAGGGCGCCTCCATACCTCATCACGAGTTCGTTGATGTCAACAGCGGGGCAATCTAGTGTCTTGATGGCAGTATACTGGCCGGTTAACCCGTTGAGTTCGAAGATACGAATCTGAGTGCGGATGTGTTCCTCGATCTTTTCCGACGTCTGAGACGCCGAAGTCGCCGCCGCAAAGCTCTGTCGCGAAGGGTGCCATGCGACCTCAAATACATTCTGGGTCACCCCGCTGTTGACTTTGACGTCGGTGTTCAAAATCGTATCCCAGATGCAGAGCTCGCCGGTGTCGCGCTTGTCCTCCGGAATGTCGCTGTCGTCACCGGTAAGACTTCGTGGGGAGTAGCCGACTAGGAGAAGATGGCTTGTTCTTGGCGCCAAGCCCCATCGGATCGCGGCCGGGAAGTAAGCCCACTTGTCCGAGGGGACATAGTCCTCCCCGTGCACTCGTTTGCACGAGTACTCGCGGTATGTGTACTTCGGCGTATCGGAGCCCTGCTCATTGTTCCATCCAGTAGAATAGACTCGTACAGCCCTTGTGGGAACATCGGCAGCGGTTGCTATCATGCCCGTCGTATTTCGAGAAGCCAGTACAAAATTGACACGTCCCTCGTGATGCCACGTATCGACTAGTGCCATGCTATTACGCTGGAGCTTCCAGACCTTGACAGTATGGTCGAAGCTCGACGTGAAAGATAGGTCGTTGACGGCGTCGTAGTCCGACGAAACAACCGAGGTGAAGAGCCAAGGATCCTGGCTTTCTCTCATCGACTCTAGGGCATTCTCTCCGTGCGATACGATGGGGCGAGGGATGCGATGGTCGGGATACGCCTTGAGGGTATTCGATACCACCGAGCCTAGCAGCAGGTTTCCCGGCTTGTTGTATTGCTGGTTGTGAGAATCAGAGTGCGTAGTCGTACCGCAGACGAAGTGCGTCCCGTTTGCAAGCCAACTGATAGTCATAATATCGCCGGCGCAGTTGGTCCATTCAACCTTTGGCTCCATATAATCCTCCCGGTTGCTCTTGAACGCCGTACTAAAGTTTTGATAGGACCTTGCCGCCCCGAGGCGGTTTCCGGCGATCTCTCTCGCTAGGAGCAGCGATGGGACCTTGTTAGCCCTAAAGGCGTCACCTCCCACGTCTCCGTCGTCACGTTCGAGATATAAAGCCCTGCTTCTGGGGTAGATCTGCTTGTGACGTAGGTCATCCAGGAAGTTATTTAGATCGTCCACGGTGCGGCTCCGGAGGGAAAGAGGGGGCCGCTCGAAGGTGTACCCTCGGCGATGGGCGTCGAGCATACGACTTCGTATGTCACCAGGCTTCTTTAGCATGTGGCGCAAGTCTCGAAGGTCACTCCTCCGTGCCTTGGTGGTGGTTCCGCCGTATAAAGATCTCGCGAGGCGCCGAAGATATCTGATCTCGTCATCTGAGAAGTCGACGTGATACACGCTCGGCTGACGTAGCTCGTTGGATTCGAGGTGTAGTAGACGCCCATTCCCCACGCCCGTAGCAATCTGCCACCGCTCTCTCGCTAATATGTACGGCCTTGACGGTAGGCTGAACCAACCGTTCTTAACTTGTATCGGCGAACCCTCCCTCTTAGACTCGTAGGATCTACCGGACTGCCACCGCTTCGCCCTCGTCCTTGTGCGTAGCTGCCGCTGTTGAGCTAAACGTCTGTCCCTTGCCTGCTCACGTGGCGGCGAGGCCTTGACGCGGCGAGGCTCTGCCCCCTTAGAGCCACCCCAAACGCCGCCATTGTTATCTCCGTCGAAGACGCGCTGGGCAGGATCATTAGACTTGTTGAAAAAGGACAGGCTATTCGGCGGGGGCTCGATTGAAGGTAAAATTGAGGTGTGTGCTTGGAGCGTGGGTGTAGGGACATCCCCGAGCGCCGGTGGGATACGGGGGTACGGGACGGTCAGGTGATGACGGAACTCCTAAGCGTATGTTAATACGGACGTGGGGAGAATAGTAACGGCCACTACGATGATATATGTCAACATACGTTGCCCTTGGTAAGCTCGGATACCAGCTCTTTGATACGCGTGACCACGAGGGCTTCGATATCTGGCTGGAGGCAGCCGTTCCCGGCATGGAAATGGCGTTCGAAGTCCTTATCTGCGATCTTGCCAACGATCTTCGCACCCAGCATCTCCACATTGAATATATCCTCATCGAGATCGTTGACGATGCGATCCAGGTGGGGGAAGACTTGGGTTTGCAGGCACTTCGTTAACGCTTTCCTATCGGTTACGGGCGAAGTGGATGGGGACCAAGCCTCATCTTGGAGCTTTCGACGCTTCGAAGGACGGTCATCGGGCGGGAAGCCATCCGGAAGGGACGGGGATCGCGCTGTTCGATCATGCCGGTCCGAAGGGTCATAGAATTCGGCGACCTTCAGGGTAGAGATAGGGGTGGCCGGGCCTGGGGGCGCTAGGAGGGAGGGCGGACCATCGATCAGGGCCGGTGGACGAGGTGATTCGTCCACGACGAGTTGCAATACAGTTCCATTCTGAGCCACAGACTCTTTGTTGTATTTATCATCATCCTCGACGGAGGCCGGATCGGTAAGATCGATCACTTCACCTGGTTCCGAAATCAAACCCAACGCGTTAACAGCCATGGCGGGCGTTACGCGTTAAGTTACGATTAGAAAAGAATGTGAAATTTAAAAATAATAATAATAATCATAAAATAACCAGTTCCAAGCTAGCCGGAAAGTGGGGCAGGTCGTTCTACCCTCTTTTATATTAATATCATTATATATTATGTAATTTTACACTACTTACATAACACAAACAGTTTTATTATAATAAATTAATTAATTCTTAAATATTACATTATTAACATACTTACATGCATTATAAATTAAGCTATATGAGAGAAATAATATATAAAGTTAATATATTTAATTTTAAGCACATTGTTTTATGATATATATATATATAAAAGGTCATAGAATGATTTTTATATTGTCTTCGTTCTTGCAAGGTGGATGAATTGATGTAAACTTCCTGCTAGATATTATATAACGCATGTGTCGTCTCGTAGCAATAGAGCTAGTTGTAATGAAGCATTGCAGCCCATCTCTCGCTATGCGGCAAACTACGACAGGTATAGAATGAGGCACCATCGCATTACTTGACCGAACATAGCAAAAGCTAAAGAGAATGGTAATCGATAATAACAATCTAAAAGTACGCATCAATATATAAACATCTCATAGATATATTATTAAATACACAACATTCTTATAAACAAGTATAAGTTGCGGCCACTAGGCCGAGTAATTTACTAATAATATATAAAACATGTGTTGAAGTCAGCAGAATGCTGTCCTCATTGTCATCTAGCACGCTACTTAAATACATATATCTATATATATGGGATTGCTGGTAACGCAAGCCCGGTTATTAGATCACAGCTTCGGCTGGGCGCTCGAGGCTTCCTCGTTGATTTCCGTGTACATACGGTCGATCTCGGACTTGAATTTCCTTGCGGTTTGGGGCCTCTTCAGCTTTAGACTGGTAGTCACTACGTTAGCAGGATTCCAGGTAAAAATACACATAGAAGAAACATCAAAGGTATGAGGGTTAGGAAGAAAAGAGAGAGGGGAAAAAAAAAGGGGGGGGGGGGGGTTGAAACGTACGTTGGTGTTAGAAGCTGGTTCTCCACGGTAAATGGTTCCACGTCCAGGAGACAGTTGCGCACTCGCTCATAGCCATTGAACTTGTGCTTCTTGCCGATACCGTCGAGATGTTTGATAAAGCTCTTGATTACTTGGGATTCCCGAGCCGCCGCCTTGATGGCTTCGATATCGTCGGGGGCAACGGTCTTCTTCAGGATCTTGCTGACGAACGGGGCGAACGTGACTGGGTCCACGCCAAAGACGCCGACCAGGGTCGACTGGCTAGGCTCGCCGTGCACGAAAGCGGTGGCAATCAAGTTCGAACTGCCCATGTACACGTTCTCGATCCGCTCGGGCGAGATGTACTCTCCCTGGGACAGCTTGAGCACGTTCTTCTTGCGATCGATGATCTTGATACGGCCTAACTCGTCGATCTCGGCGATATCGCCGGTGTGGAACCATCCGTCCGCCTCCAGCGCCTTCTGGGTTTCCGCCTCGTTCTTTAGGTAGCCGCCGAAAACGAACGGTCCCCGCAGCAACAGCTCGCCTCGCGGGCGGGGCGTGTCCGTCACGAGATACTCAAGCTCAGGCTGCGACTCCAGGCAGATTTCTATGCCGGGCATCGGCCCGCCAACGTTTCCCAGAGAAAAGTCACCCTGGAGCTGGAATGACCCTGCGGCGTACGACTCGGTAAGGCCGTAGCCTTGGCAGAAATAGTTGCCTAGCGCTGCCCGAAGAAACTCCTGGACGTCAGGGTCAAGTTGCGCGCTTCCGCTCACCATGGAACGACATCGGTCCAAGCCGACGCCGGCTCGCACCTTGGGGGTCCATATCCGGTCGTAGAGGAGGTGCTTGTTGGTGGCCTGCCCGGGCGGCAGTTTCATGTTCGCTTTCTTGGTGTCGACAACTTTCCGCGACAGGGCACCCTTGACACCGCTGGCCTTGACGGTCTGGGCCTGGATGCCCATGCTGATCCGATTGTACAGGCGGGGGACAGATATCAGGCCAGTGGGCCTCAGAAGTTTAAGGTCGTCGACCAACTCTAGCATGTTTCCGTGGAAATAGCCAATGGCGCTACCCTCCGACACAGCGCATTGGTCTATCATCCGTCCGTATATGTGAGCCAGAGGCAGGTAGGAAATGGTGACGTCCGTATGCGTGTAGCCCGCGCTGGAACGAGCGCTCGAAACGGCGGCGACGCAGTTGGCATGTGTCAGTACCACGCCCTTCGGGTCCCCGGTGGTGCCGGAGGTATAGTTGACAGTAAGGATATCAGTCGGGCGAGGCGGCCGTACGGGGCGGGCAGCCTTTTCTCCCAGCTCCTCGACGCCCGTCATGGGCCAAATCTCGACGCCATGCTGAGCCGCGATGCCGCTTAACAAGGCCATCTTCGAGTACCCATCCGGCTCGCCGCCGTCCAGAGGGTCCATGCAGACGATCAGCTTGAGCGCGGGTATCCGAGGCGCGAGAGCCAGCAGGGTGGGGATGTGAGGGAGCGAGGTGACCACGCACGAGAGCTCGGCGTGTCTGATGATGTATTCGGAGGCGTCGGGACCGAGGGTTTCGTAGAGGGAGACGGAGAAGAGAGATTGCGAAGTCAACCCGATATCTGCGGCCAACGTGTGAGTAGGTACTGTCCATCAGTGGCGGGGGCCGGTGGATTCTTCACCTGCGATCTGCCACTCGGCTCTGTTCTGGCTCCAGAGGCCGACGCCATAGTTGCCGGGCGCTTGTCCGATGCGGCTATGGAGCTCCTGTATCCCGGACCCGAAGTTCTTGCTGCGCACGGCGACTTCGGCATAGGTCTGCCACACATACCTGGGCTCCCAGGACTTGGTGACGGGATCCCAGGGCCGGGTGCCGAGACACTTGTTGTTCGGGAAGCGCCTGACGGCGTCCTGGAACAGGTCGTGGAAGGTGCGTATCTCGGGGACGTAGGTCTCGAGCAGAGGCTTGTCCAGGAATTGCCAGTGGCGGTAGACGGGAGTGCGGTTCTCTCGTTCGGTGCCGGGGACGGGAAGCGCGTAGGGCGAGCCGGCAGGAGGCGGCGTCGACAGCTGCTTGATATAGGCAGCGGTCTTGAGGTCGGGACCGATGCCAGCCATATTTTTTATCGAATCGTCCGGCCAATGGGGAGAGGTGGATAAACACGGTTGGTGCTGGGTGGTGTGCACAAACGGGGGAGATGCGACCGACCAACCAGGGGAAACAGGCGGGAAGAGAGGTTGGTGATAGGGGGAGGGAGCCGAGAGGAACGTCACCGGTTGATTCGCAGAAGCGGACGCAGACGGGACGATACAATATAAAAAAAAGAGATATCCCAGGTAGCAGCAGAAAGAGTGAAGCAAGGGAGAGAGTTCGCCTACCCGAACCGCAAAATTGGATCTTTTATTGCTCTAGGCTCGCCTGGGGCCGCGACCCGCTCGGAGCGGACAAGTCGCTGGGGCGCGGATTTAGTAGCAGGAAAACAAGACATGCACGAAAGATGCCGAGGTGCGTGGGATCGGTACGGGTACCTACCAGGGTTGAGAGACAGGGAGGCAGATGCGGGGACTGGAGAGCGAGAGCAGGCGGACTGTCGACGGGTTTAGGATGACATCTGGATTTGCATTTGTGTTTTTTTCTCGGTGATATTATTAGCTGTCCGCGACAACGCTGCCGCCTGTTGAGGGCCACCCACAGCCACTCCTCCGGGGGGGGGGCCCAGGAAGGGTTGGTACGCCTGCGAGCCTGCCTGTCCTACCTAAACATAGGTACCTACCTACCTGCCTGCCTGCCTACCTAGGTACCTATTCACTTACTTAGGCGTACAGCCCATATTGATACCACCTAACGTTGGTAATAGGCCTGCGCCGGATGGAGGAGACGGGCAGAACCAAAGAGCTTCCTGACTAACGCTGGACGAACCGAGGTTTCTGGGGTCTCCAGCGGCCGACGGACGGGGCCTCCCTATTGGCTAGACGGGGACCTCGGAGCAACGGTCAGCGGGGCGCACCTTTTATGTACCTTGGAGTATTTGCAACAACCGATGGGCTCGCGAGGCGATTGGTCGCGAGCCGGGCGCGGAGTGGGGAATTACCCCAAGCCAAGTGCTGTTAGCGCAGCGGCCTCCCCACCATAAGTATTTTCTTAGGTTAGGTAGGTAGGTTCGTAGGTCAGGCGTGTACCTACATACCTACCTACCTACCACTCTGTACGTGGAGATGTCGCGAACTGGGGCGGAGCAGGCATCTCTCACGTGTCAAAAGGATGCTGAGTCTCGGCAAAGGTTAGATAGTGGTAATCAAGAAGAAAGTGAAAAAAGACCACCTACGGTTCTACAGGAAAACTAGTACCGCTGAGATATCACCCAACTACCCCAGATTCAAACTGGCAGCAAGGACAACTCAGAACATAGGTACTAGCAGACCTAAAGATAGGCATACCCCGTCAGACCCCGCCGCCGCCGCCACGCACGACAGGTAACACCTGTGAGTAGGTATGGACGGGGGTAGCCCCAGATCGCCAGGTATTTCTCAAGCCCAATTGCGATGTGTCGAATATGTCTCAGTCATGATGTCGGCCGCCACCGCATTGCGCGAGCAAGCGAGTCGCTTCGCTGAAAAAGTAAGAAGGGGAAAAAGGAGAGAGGGGGGGGAGGAGGCGGGTTCGCCGAACGCCTCGGGTCAATAACCGGAAGCAGTTGGGTCCGGGGGGACTGGCGCGCCCGTCTAGGCTTAGGACCCGAGCCATCCGCCGCTACCAGACTGCGGTCGCCCCCAGGTGGTAATGGCGGGAGTGTTTAGTCTCACATAGCGCGAGCGCGATAAGCTGGGGGCGGGGAAGGGGACGGAGAGAGGGAGAGTTGGTTGCGACGAGAATATATCAATATATCTATGAGTACACACCTATCCTCCACGCCGACTCTACTCTTTCTTCTTCTGCTTCTGCTTCGTCTCAACCCCCCCGGTCCCGCCCCCGTTACACGTGGCTGGGTAGCAGAGAGCCGGAGAAAAGCGCATGCCTATAGGACGTAACTGGGACCTACATATGCCGGCATTTCGGCTCTATCACATGCAGGAGGGCAGCCGGTCGGACGAGTCGAACTGACGGAGACTCCCCGAGCGGTATTAAGTGCATGCTTATATTAAATACACAACCTCGGTAGCTATGTCTCACTCGTCATTAGGTATCTGTGTGTTGGGGGAGGCCTCTATATTAATTTGTACTACGATGAATGACCGGGGGGGTCGGTCGAGTGCTATAGCTAAGGTAGACAGGTAGGTACCTATGCGTACCTACTTTAAGCAGGCTGCGACGCAGGCGAGAGATGAGCTAAATAGCGAAGACTACCAAGTAGCGCTGTTAGGAATCGAACCTATCCTTCGTTAAGTACCTACCTACCTACCTACAGGGAAGAGCAGGCGTAGGGAGGATGTAACGATAGCAGATGCGGCACCTAGATGGGCTATGAGAACTCATATGTGCCTATATGTGTGCTCCGTTCTGAGGTTAAGAGGATACTGTCGGTCGGTCGACGTGACGTGTCGCACCAGTGTTGCCCTACTGAACATCTCCGACGCACCAGCTACCGCGTTCCACCTCGGACATAGGTACTCATAAATAGCCACCGTGTACGCAGGCTGCCCGCCAGCATTTCGCCGCTTCATCCTGAGGCTGCCGTAATAAGTGCCTAACGTACTACCATCCTCCCGCATAAGTATACCTGCATGTCCGCACATACACGTCTACGTCGCGCCGAATCCCCGGGGTTGAAGAGACCTCGTCCAGATCGGGGAGACGATCGAGATATTTAAACACTTTACCTACCTACGAGTGATAAACCCGCCTACTCTCGCATGGATGCGCGCTCCCGCCGATTATACGTAGCCCGTTCCACGCGAGTAGCATGTATGAGTATGCACGCCTGCCTCACCTTTGCCGCCAACGCAGCCGTAGTCCCCGGTCTCGATGCCGTTGTAAGCGGAGGAGAGGCGTTTCGAATTTTCGAATTGCCTGTTCTCTCTCTCTCACTCTCTCTCTCTCGCCGTCGTCAGCACTCAAACACAGACTTCACTATTATCTCACTATCAGCAGTAGTTGCCGCAAGTTTCCATCCCTCCGCCCCTCTGCCCGACTTGCCCGGATCAATGCAATTTTAAAAAAGGAAGAAAACCAGCTCCGAAATACTCATATATGAGAAAGAGATAAAAATACCAGAAGAAGGAGAGAAAAAATGAAAAACCTGAAATCCTTAGTCCCTCGCGAATTAAAGCGCTGGCCTGGCGAGGTCGGACCCGGCAGATGATTGGACTAGGCGTAGCCCATCCGTCCCCTTTCCGGCACCTCCTTTCCATTCTCTGTCCCTCTCGCCAGGCTGCTGCGGTTTCAGATAGCGATCCGAAGCAGCGCACCGTCGCTCAGATTGGACGATCAGGGGTGGTCGCATGTCTCCAAACCCTTGATTTCTCGCCCCCCATCTCTCTGCTCCCTGCGCGCCGTGTGCGATCTGCGAGTGGTCGTCGTCTGTGCTCTTAGAGATTGTCGTCGTTGACACACGCACACACACCCACATACGCTTTCTCTCGGTACGCTTGCACATCCACACATACCTAACAAACCTCGATCGCGACGCAACACCTACGTGGTAACAGGTGCCGCCGAGCGGGACTCTACAGGCGCGTAGATATCCATCTGAGATGTCGTCGCTCCGATGCGTCTGGCACTTCCTGCGGCCGTAAGTAGGTAAGCATACGTAGGTCGAGAAGCCGGGGATTAACGGCCTTGGGGCGCGCGGCAGATGATGGCATGACGCGCATTTATCCCCGCCGACAATGCCTACAACTGCCTATGCCACGGGGCTTGCCAGGGTTGGCGAGGTGTCGGTCGCCGGGATCACCGCCAGCCAAGACAATCTACCTAGCGCTCTCGCGCTGAGATGGAGCCCGATCTCGATAATTAGCCAGCGGCCCCGAGTCACATTCATGCCATTGTTCTCCCACTTCGATCTTCTTCCGATCGACTTCTCTTGACCCTCCCTCCTCCTCCTCTCAACTCCCAACCCCTGCCCTCTTTGTCTGTCTGGAAGTGCCTGGTGCTGTCTCCGCTCCTTTACCTACCGTCTTTCTCTTCTCGTCATCTCGCTATTCTCCCTATTTTTGAACAAAGTGATAATTACTCCCCTTCCGTACGCTGCCTCGAAAGAACGACCGCTGCGCGCCTCGTTACACTCGCTTCCTGCTCGGCCGCCGACCCTGATCTCGCCCCACCACCGCCACCACCACCACCACCACTACTACTACCGCCGCCGTCACGATGGCGTTCTCCTGGAGCACCGCCGCCTTGGCCATCCGATCCGCCCAGCTCCTATTTGCCTTCATCCTCTTAGGTCTCACGGCCTACGGTACGTAGCACGCCATTGAACCTGGAAGGGAAACGGCCCACGTCGAGACTAATACGTCAAAATCACAGTGGTCCGTTGGTATAATGAGGACACGATGACCGCGTCTCCGTCCCAGTTCAACTGGCCGCTAGCCGCGTCAGTCATCTCGATCGTGTCCGCGCTCTACCTCGAGCTGGCCCCTCGATTCGCCCCCAAAGGTACGTCGCAGATTGTCCCTCGGGGAAAAAAAAAAAAAGACTGCTTGCTCACCTTCCCTCCCCCCCTTTTTCTCGGATAGCAACCCAACCGCTCGCCTCGTTCGGCCTCGAGGCCGTAAACGCGCTCTTCCACTTCTCCGCCTTCGTCGCGCTCGCCGTCTTCATGAGCCGGCTGCTCTTCTGCCGCGGCAGCGTCTGCTCGTCGGCCCAGGCCAGCGTCGCCTTCGGCGCCGTCGAGTTCCTCCTCTGGACCGCCTCCGCCGCCATCGCCGCCCGGGAGGCGTTCCGCGGCGGCCTGTCCTTCCGCCGCAGGCCCGGTTCCGCGCCCGAGATGGCCCAGGCGTCGCCCTAGTCTCCGTCCGTCGACGAAGGCGGTGTGCCTGCTCGAGCCTCCGCTGCTCCGGGTGCTGGAGAGTGCCGGCCTGCGTCCCCCTTCCCCCTGGGGTGGGATCATTATCGATAGACTCAAGCCGTGCCGTGCCGGACAAACACGGATCGGTCTTTCTTTCTTTCTCCTTCTTGCCACGCGCGTATAGGGACATGCGTATATATGTATTAGGGTCGCGAGATGTCGGGTCAGGGACGGCGACGGAAGAGAGGCAAACCGGGGCTCAATCCTGACGACGACCAGCCGGGCGGGATCCGCGAGGTCCAGGGCAACTTGCCGCGGGACGCTGGGCATACCTAATGGTGGTTCATATTGCTGCTGTTGCTGCTATCGGAGAGGGGGTCCGACTCGGCCGAGCCGAGCGGGCCTGTGATGACGACGGAATGAAATACAGATACGCAAAAATACCTACATACCTGCGTATACGCTATAAGTATGTATACAAATGTAAATTTTGGCAGCCCTTTGTTGCTGTTTGTAAAAGAAAAAAAAATAACTTCGAGCCTCAGCGCGGAAAGCCCAGCTAGCTAGCTCGAAGCGTTCTTGAGCTGGAGTTTCTGGTCCCTCCCTACCCACGCATACCTATACCTATGTGAGATGCCATCAAGTCCGCGGCGTGTTCCATGTCGCACCCACGATTAGACAGTAGGCAGGTGTGTAGCATCCGTCGCGGCGGCGCGGCGGGCGCCAGCAAGGCCGAGCGGCCGGCCCGTCGCGGGAGCGAGGCAGGAGGAGAGGGCGTTGGGCGAGCGAGAAGGGGGGGGAGGGAGGGCGTCGGCCGAGCACCAGGTCCCCCGGGGCCCAGGTACCCAGGCAGGGCATGCGTGCGTGCCTGGCGGCGTAGCAGCCCCCCCAGAGCCCAGGGCTGAAGCGTAGGCCGGCAACCCCACGCCGACATCCTGCGCTCGCGGCCGTCGACGCGGCTGTGGAAAACTCTGTCGCCATCCAGGCGCAGGATGGTGTCTTAGCCGCCTCCCCCCCCCCTCCCGTGGCCTTACCCCGCCATCGTCCGACGGTGGGTGGGCTGCCCCCCTGTCTGTCTGTCTGTCCGAGCCAGTGGCCCCGCGTGCCTGCCCAACGGGCTGAACCTCAGAGCCTGGTAAAACTTGCATTGTCTGGTTTTTCCTTTATCGCTCAGAGCACGCGCGCATGTTCCGAGACACTTTTTTTCGCCTTTCCTCCTCCGTTACTAACATCCATACTGACAGGTATGTACACGTTTCTCTCGCGTGTCCATGCCGTGCCTAGGTGGATCAGGTGTCTTATAGTAGGTGCCTAATGTTACAGACATATAAGTCGTCCAAGGTGCCTCTACAGATACCTTAGAGATATAGGTACCTACCTCCTAAGGTATGTGCCTGGGTGGCGGCCCCTCCTCATCTGTGCTACCCGCTGGAGGATAGATGACCTAGCACAAAGCTGTTACGGGGTACCAAAACCCACCCAGGTACCTGATTCCCGGGCCCGTAGGCATGTTATATACACCTGCAGTGCAGCCTGGAACTCTCAACTTTGAGCCTTCTATGGCTGCACCTAAGGTAAGGAACCTCAGGTACCCCACGTACCTCTACTTACGCACACCGGGTTCGCCGATCTCCCACAAGTCGCCAGCACCATGGCTCGCCACCTCCCTACCTAGCAGGTCGGCGTCCCTAGCGGGCTGCAGACCAGGCAAGTCGCTACAACATGGTCGATGGCGTGCTTTCCACAGCGACTCCACCATCCTCCCCGCCGGCTCCCTTCCAGGTCTGGAGGCACCAAAACTCGCCCTCTGTAGGATGGCCGCTTGCCGCAGCCAGACGCACACCTGCTCGTCGACGGCGACTATAAGTTGGACAGGGCCTTCTTTCGTGGGAACAGAGCCCCCGTCGATTATAGTCTCGAGTTCTTCTCGCGCTGAGAACCGTAGCGTTTAGCCGTATTCCAGCTGGTTGTTCGCTGGCCATCTATCCCACACATACACACACACTCCGCACCCTCGCCTACACCACATCTCCCTTCCCCGTCGTCTGGTTGAAAAAACCCCTCAGCCTCCGCAGTACGCCCAACGCAGACCAACCGCCATGGCCGAGGAACTGAGCAAGCACTTCGAGACTCTCCAGCTCCACGCGGGGTATGTCGCTCTACTCCCCCCCATAAGCCAAACTCTCTCGCCCGCATGACGGCTGACTAGCTACACGCGCCCTGCAGCCAGGAGGTCGACTCCGCGACAAACGCTCGCGCCGTGCCCATATATGCCTCAACCGTCCGTTTCCCTCCCCTGCCGACGTCTGACGTCCTTCGAAACCGTGGCGAACCCCCGCTGACTGGGTCTCTTAGAGCTTCGTCTTCAACGACTCGGCTCAGGGCGCGAGGCTGTTCGGCCTCAAGGAGTTCGGCAATATTTACAGCCGTCTCATGAACGTGAGTGGTAACCGCTCGCGCCGCTCCTCTCCCGAACCGACGCTGATCCGATCCGAGGTAGCCTACCGTTGATGTCTTCGAGAAGCGAATTGCCGCGCTAGAAGGCGGCGTGGCTGCTGTTGCCGCTTCGTCGGGCCAGGCCGCTCAGTTCATGGCCATCGCCGCTCTCGCCCATGCCGGTGACAACATCGTCTCGACCTCCAACCTCTACGGCGGCACGTACAACCAGCTCAAGGTCTTCATCAAGCGGCTCGGCATCACCACCAAGTTCATCGACGGCGACAAGCCCGAAGACTTCGCTGCCGCCATCGACGACAAGACCAAGGCCGTCTACCTCGAGAGCATCGGCAACCCGCGATACAACGTCCCCGATTTTGAGGCCATTGCCAAGATTGCGCACGAGAAGGGGGTTCCCGTTGTGGTACGTAGCACTTTTCCCTGTCATACCCACCTATACAAACATAGAGGGTAAGGCGTGAGAGAGACGAAAGGGGGGTTAATGACGGGAATAGGTTGACAATACCTTCGGGGCGGGAGGTTACTTCGTCAGGCCCATCGACCACGGCGCGGACATCGTCGTCCACTCGGCGACCAAATGGATCGGCGGGCACGGGACGACGATTGCCGGCGTTGTCATCGACAGCGGCAAGTTCGACTGGGGGAAGCACGGCGCGCGCTTCCCGCAGATGGTGGAGCCGTCGGACGGTTACCACGGCCTTAAGTTCTGGGAGACCTTCGGCCCCATCACCTTCGCCATCCGCGCGAGGGTCGAGATTCTACGCGACCTGGGTTCCTGCCTGAACCCCTTCGGCGCGCAGCAGCTCCTCCTCGGCCTCGAGACGCTGAGCCTGCGAGCCGAGAGGCACGCGCAGAACGCGCTCGCGCTCGCGAAATACCTCGAATCGAGCCCCCACGTCGGCTGGGTGTCGTATCTCGGGCTCGAGAGCCACCAAAGCCACGAATTGGCCAAGAAGTACCTGAAGAGGGGCTACGGCGGCGTCCTGAGCTTCGGCGCCAAGGGAGACGCCGCGCTCGGCAGCAAGATCGTCGACGGCTTTAAGCTGATCTCCAACCTGGCCAACGTGGGCGACTCGAAGACGCTGGCGATCCACCCCTGGTCGACGACGCACGAGCAGCTGTCGGACGAGGAGAAGATCAGCTCGGGCGTGACCGAGGACCTGATCCGCATCTCGGTCGGCACGGAGCACATCGAGGACATCATCGCCGACTTTGAGCAATCCTTCAAGGCGGCCGCGGCAGCCGTGAAGGCCTGAGGGGATCGTGACGGAGCAGGAGGGTGATGAAAGCACTGATGGCCGTTGTCCACGCCAGCTTTAGGCCTTGGAGAGAGAGAGAGAGAGAGAGAGAGAGAAACTGACACTCACTGGCGCACCGGTTCGAGTGGTATGCCTACGGATAATTATACCCCACGATGAAATGAAATGAAACATGTAGGAAGTTAAATGCCTCTTCCCAAGGACGAAGAATAGTTGTGCCAGAATCCAAGATGCGTGTCTCAGACGACTCTAGGTGCCTAAGCAAGGTAAGTCAGGCGTGTGTGGACAAGAACGTCGCTCCGGCCCTCCGATGGGCGCTGGCTTTTCGTAAGCTGAAGGGAAAATAAAAAGAAAAAGGGAGGATCGAGACTGCTTCGATAGGTGGAAAGTATTGGCGGGCTTGCGTATACAAGGATATGTGCATATCCCGAGGCGGGTTGGCCAGCCCAGCCCATAGGCTGAGTCTCCCTCCCCCTTCCCCAATCCCTAGCCCGTGCTCGAACCCCGATGCGAGAATCCACCGTATCGGCGCCTTCGACGGTGATGCGTTTACTTACCAGCGATGCCTACGATATGCTCACGCCCTTCAGAACTACGTACACGAGTGCGAACAAGAAACGCGGTCAACGTGCTTGGTTGCATTTTTAGACATCTACCGTATCGCAAAGACTCGTGCCGGAACCATGCTGACCGCAGGAGATCTCCCGGGCGGCGGTTCTGGCGAGGGGCTCGCTGGGGCGCCACCGTGGCTCTGCACGCCGCCGGGCTTAGAAAGCGGCGACAGCATACGCGCCAGGGGCCCGGCGGCGCGCCGTTCTAGGCCCTCAGGTGCGCGGCTAAGAGAGACTAGCACAGGCCGCGGACTACGGCGTATCAAACCTGAACAGTACGGCCGACCCCCAAATTCACGGCCGAGGACGTAGGCGTTTAGGAATGCGCGCGGCCTCCGGGCCTAGTCTCCTCCCCGGGCGGCCGCGGCCGCCTTCGCTGGCCGAGCCCAGCTCGCCCTGGCCGGCCGCGGCCCCTGGGCGATCGGGCCTCCCTTAGCGGCTGGCTATGCGTTTCTCCAGGTAGCGCAGGAACTGGGCGAGGGGGCCCCAAGCCAGGTCCTCTTCGCAGCGGTCGCTCTCGACGTGCTGGAGCAGGCCGCTCATGTAGGGGAAGCGCGACGGGCACGTCGGGCACGTGAAGTCGCGGTCGCCGCTTCTGCCGAAGTCGGAGCTGCAGTCGGAGCCTTCTGCGAAGGTGTACTCGCGGAACCGGTGGCACTCGAACGCAACTCTGGTGACGAAGTCGTTGTCGGTGCCCGACGCGCAGGTGCCAGCCTCGAGGTGCAGCACCATGGCCGAGATCGAGTTAAAGCACCGCACGCACCCGAAGCACTCGGTGTTCTTCTCGGCGTGGATCTTGAGGTGCTGCGACGAGTTAGCCGGCGGCGACGTACGGCGAGAGAGACGGGAAAGGGAGAGAAAGAAACAGAGGGAGAGAGGAAGAGGGAGAGAGGAAGAGGGAGAGAGGAAGAGGGGGAGGCGGGGGGCGGGGTTTGACCCACGTTCTTCAGATTGGAGGGAGATGAGAAGTAGCGGCGACAGATCCGGCACATGTTGTGCTCGTCGACGTCATGCTGGTCGAGCTCTTCGGCCGAGGCGAAATCGGGCTCGTCGTAGCAGTCGGTGCAGAGATGGTGCCGGGAGGAGTTGAGGACATGCTGCCGCTTCGCAGACTGGGAGGTGAAGTGCCGATCGCAGCGGAAACAGTCGTGGGCGTGGTTGCCCGAGTCTCGGCGGTGCTGCCGGAGAGAGGTCTCGGTGGAGAAGTACCGCTCGCACGGCCAGCAGTACGGCATGGTAAGGGTTGGCTTCGGGCACTTGGGGAGACGGGCGTGGCACGCAATAGTATCACCAGGCTTGAATCATCGGCGGTGACTCCGTTCAGCGGCCTGCTGTCATGGTAGCGCAATCGAGTTGGTCTGCGCGGCGTTCCGGAAGGGACCGTTCGTACGGACGACAGGGCACGTTTATAAAGCGCTAGGTACCTTGGATACGTACCTACCTGTCTAGGTACCTACACCTAATCTCCCCGCTCACCCGGGGGTGAATGTCTTCCTCCTAGAGGGTAGGTTGGGTTAGGTACCTTAGGTACCTACGAACAGGTATAAGTCCCTACGAGAGAAGTACCTGGATACCTTAGGTACGTCTCCAGGGATCCTGGAACCTCCTCTAACGTAGGGACCTTAGGTACTATTACAAACGGTCATCCCTGATGCACGCTCGGTGCGGGCTAGAGAGCGCCAGTCCGAGCGCTCAAACGCTCGAGCGACGCTCACAAGCGCTCTCCTCACGAAAAGAGAAGAGGACGCACGCGAGGAGTGCCCGGAAGGGAGGTACCTAACGCATGTCACTCTTGGCATTGGGAATAAGTGCCTAACCGGAGTGAATCCTTGGCCCGATTGCCCCCGTAGCAGACCTAGGTACGTGTTAGAATTGACTGGACGGTCAACTCCAAAGATGACCGATCCCGGCACCGCAAGATACCGGGGCATAGGATGGGAGGCATCCCCCTCCTTTGGCTAGCTTCCCTTTCCTTAGTTATTATGGAATCTAAGTAAGTCCTCTAGAAATTCTAGGTAGCTTAGCAGACCGTAACACTATCCGATTTCAAGACTGCATATGAAGCATCGACTTGACGCCTGCGATCGAGTGAAATCTTCCTTACTGTTACCTACCTACCTTCAAATTAGGACTAGGCAAGCATCCTAGCCCTAGGAATATCGTAACATGGCTTAATCGCCTAGCATGCAACCGTGAATCGTAGATAATTGTACGCACTTATGACTCGATAGACTAGTAATGCGCACCCCTTCCGCTACGAGGGAACAACGCCGCATTATCGTGAGGGCTGCCTTGTGCGTGCAGAGCTGCGCGTTTGCGACGACCCTGACAGGCAGCCATCGACGGGCTCTCGGGAAGAGAAAACTAGATGCCGCTGCTCGACCCGTCCTTAGGCGCATTCTTAATAGTCTGTAGGCAGCAAACGAAAATATCACCCGAAAAGCACCCAACGCGCATGCCGGGAGCTGGGACGGGATGCGTCTACCCCCGCGGAGGGAAAGGAGCGTTGCGGAGTTGCCCACCGATCTGATCTTCTTTCCCAGAGGATAGCCAGGGAGCCTCGTCTACGCGGGGTCTCTTTCTCTTTTTCACTCGCTCTTTTTTTTTCTCTTTTTATAGACCCTGTTCTACGGTCATACCATAAGCTAATATGGGGCTGGTCTCAGGGGGAAGACGAGTCAGAGTTGTAGCTCTTCCAATCATCGCATCTTGGTATGGCTGGACGCGGTCGCGCCGGGGATTATCCAGTCAACGAAGGGTGGCTGCGGCACGTGGTCACGTGGTATCTACTCACATGCATGTGTCATAATACATGCACTGATCATTTAGGTAGGTACCTAACCTGCTACGCTACCTAGAGGTAACAGCATCATCCGCAACGCCGCCGCCCTTCTCTCTTCCTCAGCCTGTCTACCTACCTCCAACCTCCTCCTCCTTCTCCTCCGCACCTCTCCGCCGCCCGCCCAACCAACCAACCAACCACCCACCTCCCCCCGAACCCACCGACCGACCAAGCCCGAAACGCACGAGATGCGCACAGCGCTCGCCGCCCTCGCGGGGCCGCTCCTGCTGCTCTTCCTCGCCGCGCCCTCCGCCGTCGTCAGCTCCTCGGCCGCCGCCGCGCGGCCGCAGACCTCGTTCGCGCTCGCGGTGCCGGCGTCGGCGGCGCTCGCGCGCCCGCTCTCGCTCGCGCCGGCCACGCACGCGACGCTGTCGGCGCTCGGGGCGCGGCTGCGGGCGCCCCTCAGCGGCTCCCCCGCCGCCGGCGGCGGCGACGCCCTCTTCGTCTTCCGCAACGTCACGCCCGGCTCCTACCTCGCCGACGTGCACTGCGCCTCGCACGCCTTCGCCCCGCTGCGCGTCGACGTGTACCCCGCCGCCGCCGACGCCGACGCCGCCGAGGGCCAGGCCCTGCGCGTCCGCGCCTGGGAGACCTTCCGCGGCAACGACTGGGACAACCGCGGCCCCGAGATCCCGCGCGCCGCCGGCGTCGGCGTCGAGGGAGGCCGCTTCCCCGTCCGCGTCCTCGGCGCCAAGGAGTACTTTGTCGAGAGGGGATCTTGTGAGTTCTCGGGCCCTCCCCTCTATTCTTTTCTGCTTAAAGGACGCCTATCCGCCGGCCGGCCTCGCTTCTCCGCCTCTGCCTCCCTCCTCGGGAGGAGAAGCGAGGGGCGGGAGGGCCGAGGAGAGAACGGGTCGAAGGCGCGGACGCTCGGCTAACGCAGCGCGCGGCAGTCTCCGTCTTCGGCATCCTCAAGAACCCCATGATCCTCATGGGCCTCGTGAGCATGGTACTCTTCATCGGGCTGCCCAAGCTCGTCGACAACAGTAAGCATCCGCTCCTTGCAGCGCCCCTCCCAGCACCGTGCCCTAGCATACGAAGGACAACTCGTCTATTCTGAACATAGACCTCCCCCCGCTAATCACCACCCCTTCCAGTGGACCCCGAGATGCGCGCCGAGTGGGAGGCGCAGCAGCGCAAGAACCCGATGAACAGCATCATGGGCGGCGGGGGCAGCGGCGGCGGCGCTGGAGGCGCCGGCAGCTTCGACATGGCGGCCTACCTGGCGGGCCAGAACGCCGGCGGCGCCAAGAGCGAGGGCGACCCCCCTGCCTCCTCCCCTGCCTCCCCCCCTTCCTCCGGGAACGGCAAGAAGGGCGGCAGGCGGTGACGAGCGCGGATAGACGGACAGATTGGAAAAGCCGGGGGACGGACCGGCCGAGATAAGGGCCGGGTAGGATAGGGAAGGGAGGGCCGAGAGTCGAAGTAATGGGGACGGGGAAGATATAGGATATGATATATAGATAGGTAGACAAGATCTAGTCTAGACGAGCTCCCGCTGGCCCCCCAGACCAGACGCGCTGCGCTTTCCCCCGAGCATGCCCACCGGCCTCGTATCTATCTATCTACCCCCCGTTTCGTGTCTACCCGCGTCTCCGCTCCCCGCCTCGCCTGGCCTGCCCAAGGAAGGTTGGGAAGGTAAAAACTAGTCGCGAAGCGCGGCAGCCCTGGCTCGAGGGCTTTCCGCCCGCGCGCACGGCGGGCCGCCGCATGCGTAGGAGGGGCGAGGGTTTAGCCCGGCCGGGGTGGATAGCCAGACACGTGTGTCGGCCCTAGCAGCGAGAAGCACGCACGGACGAAGAGAGCGGTGGAGGAGCAGCAAGTTAGGATTGAAAAGAATAAAATAAAATAAAAATAACAAGCCAAAAACGAGGCTATGCTACGGGAGGAGGCGCGGAGGGGATGCTACGGAATGTATGATGTAACTACCGACTCGCCGTCTCGCAACGAGCACAGCACTTCTTCCGCGCCGAACCTCCGCGGCTCTCCTCCCTTCTCCCTGTCCCCCATTTCTCGCCCTTCTCGTGATGTCTTCGTTCGCGGCAGACGCAAGCAACGCCGAACAGCGAGCGCGATGTACCCTAGGACCGGGCCTCGCGCGCGTACAACTCCGGGGAAAAAAAGCACCGCACGCACGCACGCAACCCCCTTCCGACCTCCGCCCTTGCTGTCGCCGACCGATCGTCTCCTGCCATCGCACGAGCGTGTGCGATTCCCCAGCAAAAAAGCCCGCCAGGCGCACCCCCTGCGGCCCTGTCCCTCTCTCCCATGACCCGGCTGACTACCCAGCTTAGCCCGGCACAGCCTCGACGCAGGCGGGGGGGGGGCCTAGAAGTCGCCGCCGAAGTCGCCGCCGAAGTCGCCGTCCTGCCCGTCAGCGTAGCCGTCCATGTAGGCGTCCTGCTGGCCGTCGTTGATAGCGTCGGCGATCAGCGCGCCGCCGATCAGGCCGGCGCCCAGACCCAGGGCCGCGCCGCCGGCCGCGCCCATGCCGCCGCCGCCGCCCGGCTTCTTATACCCGCCGGCGGCGGGGTAGGCCTGGTGGGCAGGGTAGCCGCCCTGCGGGGGGTAGCCGCCGTAGGCGCCGGGGGGCGGCGCGCCGTAGCCTCCGTAGGCGCCGGGAGGCGGCGCGCCGTAGCCTCCGTACGGTCCGGGTGCGGGCGGCGGCGCGCCGTAGCCGCCGTAGCCCTGGGGCGCGCCGTAGTGCGGCTGCGGGGCGCCGTAGTGCGCGTGGCCGCCGGCGCCGGAAGGCTTGCTCTTGCCGCCGAAGAACTTGCCCAGCAGGCCCTTGGCCTTGTCGGCCGGGTTGCTGCCGGACGAGCGCGGGGGCAGCTGGTCCGGGTAGGGGGCGTAGCCCTGGGGCGGGACCGGCGGGGCGGCGCGCGCGGCGGCGGCGCGGGCGTTCTCCTCCTCCTGCAGCTGGCGCGCGAGGCGGGCGTCGGCGTCCTCGTGCGCGGGCTGCGACGACGCCGAGGACGGCGTGCCCGGGCCGCCGGGCCGCGTGGCCTCGTTGACGAAAGGGTTCGTCTTGGCGTCGGCGGGCGCGGGACCGGACCCCGGGGTGTAGCCCGGAGGGGGCCCGGGAGGGGCGTTAGGGTCGACGGCGGGCTCGGTCGGCTTCTCCCATTGCGACTGCTTGGTGTAGGTGTTTACGTAGAACCTGGGGCGGGGCGTTAGCCGGTTAGACGACGACGACGACGACGGGCTGCTGGGTGAGCGGGTACGTGGATAGGGGACAGACAGGTAAGGGGAAAATGCTCACCATTCGTGGTACTGGTCGTTCCAGCGGGCGACCCAGCCCTCCGGGACCTTGGGCGGAGGCGGGCCGGCGGGCGCCGTGAAGTCGGCCATGCGGAGGATTCGACGACGTCCGACTGCGCGATAACAAAGGATGGTTTGTGCGATGCTGGCGCGGATGGAGGTGCGGATGTATGTAGACAACGCAGGCGAGTAGGTGAGTAGGTGAGTGAGTAGGTGAGGGTGTCTCGGATGCGCGCGAATGGGCGTGACTTATACGAAAGGGGGGGGCGAATCAAGCTGCGGGGTTCTCGTCTCGCTAGTGCCGGACAGGCTTCGTTTCGTCCAAGTCTCGTCCAGCAAATGTCTCTGTAGGTGGGAGAGGAGGGGGGAGAAGGATCGGCGGTGGACGGACATGTAAGTATGGAAGATTTATGCAGGGTCTGCTTTTGGCTCAGCCTCCGAAGGCGAGCGAGTATAAAACACAGCCAGAGAGAAGTAACGGAGGCGTGGCCTCGGCAGGTATTGTGTTATAGGTACCTTAAGGTACATAGTTGCCTTAGGTACCTATACCTACCTAAGGTACCTATAATATAGGGGAGGGGGGGGGAGGTAGGTACCTATTATATAGGCTGTATAGGCTGTATCGACCACCTAAGGTTCCTACAGCTGGTCTCCTTCTCAGCTTAACTTAGGAGGGTAGGTATCTCGCCATCGCCTAACCCCGCCCTCCTTGACTCCTCCCTTCTCCCAACCGCCAATCACATGAGCGCCGCGCCGCGTCGCGAGCGTGGCTGAGCTCTTCTCTCCCGCATCTTGTCCTCCTGTCTTGGGTTACTTAGATCCGAGGCGCCTTTTTTTTTTTCGCCTACGATAGCCTTGGCTACTTACGCCCGCTCTGCACCGCTCTGGCCGTGCGCGAGCGCGGTAGGTACTCGCTATATGAGTACGTTGCCACTTCGATGCTGTCGCCCGCTTACGAATGCGAGCCCCTGGGCCACGACGGGATACTAACGGGCGCCGACCGCATGCCCCGTGCTCTGCTTAGAAAGGAAACGCTGCGTCGTATATCTACGTCCATGTTAGGTTCGTGACGCATCATCGCTGTGGCCCACCCCCTGTTCTCGCCGCGAGAGGGATCAAATGGGTCACGCAGACCCGTCACCTATCCTCGCCTCTCTAGGTCGTTGTCCCCTGCCCGCGTCATCTCTCCCCTTCGCGCCACACGCGTCCTCGAATCCGGGTGGCGCGGCCTTGGAAATTCGGACGGACGTCGCTGGCTGGTCTTACGCCGTGCCGCGGGAGCAGCAAGTCTTGGGCGGGACCGCCGATTGCACGAGTCCGATCAGGAACCGGCCTACCGTCAACACGCCGTAGACTCGGCCGTTCCTGTGGTGGTAAGCCTAGCGCACCCCGTGGACGGACTCGTCGCGCCAGCGGTCACCGAAATTCTCGGCTAGCTGCTGGGTTTGGCTCCGCTGTTGGTGGGGGTGGGGGTGGGGGTGCGGGCGCTTTTATCGTCGCTCTTCTCGCAGCCGTCTATGATATCGATAATAACGTTGTTGCTCTCTTTGGCATCGCCATCGTTACTATTAGGGGGGATCCCACTGCTGTTATCGTCGTTGTTACTCCCCCCAACGACGGACGCCTTCCACTGCCCAATCCCGGCCGATACCTTCTGCCAGGCTCGCCCCAGATTCGGCATACGGCCTAGCCCCATCCAGTCGTTCCTCTCCGACGACTTCTGCATGATGTCGGCACACTGACCTGCAGGGATACCAAGAGGCCAATCGCGCTGTTGTTAGCATGCTGGCAGGCACGAGATTTGCAACAGCCGGATCGCTGGTAGATATGTCGCAAGGTGATGGGCGAGAGGCAAGAGGAAAGATAGCCTGCTACGAACCGAGGAGGGGGCGGAGGGGAGAGTGAGGCTCCCGATGTGGGTAGACGATGGCGATGTGAGAAAGAGGCAAAGCGGGTAGATGGGTATGCGAAGGAGACGAGAGACGCTTACGGGAACAAAGCTCGGATGCCCGGACGTATTCCCAGTCCTCTGGCTCATCTGCACATTACTATTTAGTAACGATTTGGCACCGCCGAGGCCATGTCCTAAGCGGGAAGCGAAACAGCAGGGTAATGATGACGCGGTTGGCATCGGGCCTCACCTGCGGGTAGTGGGATGCTGTGCCACCTCTCCTCCTGGTGAGTATCGTCGACTCGAATGTCGAGGGCGCTTCCGCTTCTTGGTGACATGGTGCGTGATAGCGACGTGGCGCGTTGCTCGCGGTCGCGACGGCGGGAAAATCGGCGGACAGTCCCGGGAAAATATGGGTTGGTTTCCCTCGAGCTCCCCAAGTCACACCCCGAAGCTATATATCCCAGGGATCCCGCAAACCAATATGGGGTACGTACTGCGGTGCTCAGATCGGATCGGGGAGTATCTGGTCAGCTTCCCCGGCTGGCCGCGTGTAGCATCGAGGTTAGCTCTGTGAACACCTGTGTAGCTTTGTGGCTAGGTGATCGCTCAAGCTCGCCGGTTACGTACATGGACATGCCGGCTGGTATGACAGGGGGCCACATCGGCAGGGCCCAAGCCTCGCATAACGTCACGGGACACGCAGCGCGACGAGGACGTCAAGTGTGAGTGTGTCTGCGGTGGGAATGTCGGTGACGGGCGATTTGTATTTGTGCGTGCGCCCATTGGGGGGAGATGGCAGTGATGAGGGAAGAAACGGAAATGGAAAGGAATAACAGAAAGAAGGACGGGGAGGGGGTATTGAATGAATAAATTCTATTCCTCCGCTGTCCAATCTCGAGACTCCTTCCTATCCACGCCCTCCGGGCCAACGCCAAAGCTTTAGACATCATGATACGTAACCCTCTCTCTCCCCCCCCCCCCGTCCCCCGTCCCCCGTCCCCAGCATTTCCCTGTCACACCATGTCCCTCTCGTCATATCTCCTCTCCTCAAACAGCCTGGCCGCCTCGATACAGTACGTAGCGCGCTCGCTGCCCAGCCTTCTCTCGCTAGCGTAGCATACGAGCACCGCGTCTAGGATACCCGATAACACGCCCTCCATCGCTCCCAATACCCCCCAGCCGATCATACTAGCTACGATGCCGACCACGTACGCATAGGCGCTCCCTCTGATCCCGGTACTGTCCGGGAGCTGGACCTGCAACTGCCGTGCCGTCATGACCCACGCCGCGAAACCCAGTGCCGTCGACATGACAAACCGTGCCGCGTGGAGCAGCATCTTGGCCATCCGGTACGGCATCAGCGATGCCGTCGACTGTCCGCGCCGGGAGAAGGCGCTGGGAGTGAGCGTCGTGGTAGGCCCCGTGGCCAGGAACTGGATCCTGCTGAGCTGCGACGCCGACTCCATCAGGGGCAGCGAGTGGATCGACGCGTATGTCAACGCGAGCGGGTTCGTCAGCACGGACACCGGGCGTGGGGCCAGTCGCCATCCGATGAACTCGAAGATGCTGGAAATGCGGCGAGGCAGCACCAGGATCGGCAGCCGCACCGCCAGGGACAGCAGAGTCGAGGCACAGATGGTACCGAACACGGTAGACGTGGAATGGCCCAGAGCCCCCTTGACGATCGCGTTCGACGACGCGGGCGACTGGTTGTTCCGGAAGAAGTACCAGTTGGAGACGGTGCCGCCCGTCGTGGCGCGCACGACTCCGCTCATGACCGAGAGCGTCCACACATACATTATGAAGAAGTAGATGGCGAGCCACCAGGTGGCCGTGCCGATCACGAAAGCGGAGAGGGATTTGGAGAAGTAGCCTCCGAGGAAGACCCTGGTAAACATCCATAGCCACACCCACGTCCACCCGACGACGAAGGCGAGAGAGCCGAAGCCGAGGAGCACCAGTGCCGGGTTGGCGGCGAGGATGCGGCTCGAAAAGTCGAGAATGTCGATCGCCCTCTGTATCTCGTGACGGCCCTTGTATAGCAGCCACATCCAGACGATCGCGCAGATGCCCGGTATGATGGCCGCGTATCTCATCACCACGTCCTGCAGTCGAGATCCGTGGTCTGGCCCCTGGAAGCTGGAGATTATGGGGTATAGCGAGAAAGAGAAGAGAACCATCGGCACGCCTAGGAGGATGAGGAGGGCCAGAGGCTGGACGAACGACCGCAGCGCCGCCATCCAAACCAAGGCAACGATAACCGAGACCAGAGTGTCCACAGCCAGGAGGTGGAAGGAGGAATGAAGTGTCGTGTAAATGGTGTCGCCAATCTTCCTACTAGGCACCGAGGTGTGCAGCCATACCAACACGAACGTGGCGAGGAGGGACGCGATCGCTATGAGGTAGATCCAGGCGAAGAATTGATCGTGTACGAATATCTCGCCGTACATCCGGGGAGGTGCAGGCGTGGGGAGTTCGCTTCGCTGCCCTGGCTCGTCAGCTTCGTCCTCCTCGTCCTCCTCGTCCTCCTCGGCAATAGTCTGACGCATCAGGCGAGGATCGTGCTCTAGGTTCGAGCCCCTTCTGCCGGCCACGCCCTTTACGCGACCGGAGGTAGACTTGAACTGCTGAAAAGCAGGCGGCGACGAGTCTACCGGCGTCTCCTGCAAGAGATCCTCGGGCACTTCGTTATCCATTACTGTCGACTCCAGACCGATATCGACCATCTTGCCGCTCTCGTCGCTGTGATCAGAATTCTGACGTGTGCTCGCGTGGCCCCCCGGGCTGTCGGGTCCCGTGCTAGCCGCGTCACGCTTGGGGTGTCGATCCTTGAAGCTCGATTCGCCGTTCCAGCTGCTCTTGATACCGCCGACGGGGCGGCTCACGCTCGAATACGGGTCGCCGTACGCTGCGTCGGCGTTGTGTTCGGATATGCGACTGTCGTCGTTCTCGGATGCCGAACTCTCTTCTAAGCGGCTCGAGACAAAGACTCGACGCGAGCGCTGCAGGGCCCGAAGATCTGCGGCCTCCCTAGCGTCGTCATCATCTTCTTCCTCGCGGAATTCGTTCAAGGCGCTGTGGAAGAGCGGGGCGTCTGAGGTGGTATTATACCGCGAGAAGGCTCCGAATCGGGAATTTGAGGGCTGATAGGGATTTCCGAGGCGGGACTGGTACGAGGACTTGGCAGGATGTCGGGAGAATCGCGTGGGACCTCCTTGCAACGGTCGGTTCGGAGGGTCGCTGCTATCCGGCTGGCCGAAATTGGAGAGCCGGGACTGCGACTGGGCTAGGAATCTCGACGCATCTTTTAACCAGGGGTCAGACTTTTGAGCAGTTTCTCAGGCTACGGAGGGTATTGGTATGGCGACTTACATTCCGAGAACATGGTAGACGAGCTGGGAGTGAGGCAGGCTCCAGCAGGCCGGGGGAGAGGGGGGGCAGGTTGGGCAGAGTTAGGCAAACTAATACGGAGCAGCAATCAATGGGCGGTGACTACGATGAAGGGATACAGACAAGACGATGCTCGGTGTCCGGGAGGAACGAGAGGCAGCCTGGGGTTCTCTGAGCTCTGCCTCGGGACAAAAGAGTCTATAGGAGTGGGCGGGCGTGATGGAAATGCTGGATGTTCGAAACGTTGCTACGGAAAAATGGATTTGGGGCAAGTATTATGTTGAAAATAAGCTGGTTGGTGATTCGTGGTGGTTGCGTCGGTGACGGCGTCGTGAAGGTGAGGTGTGGATGGAGGAGGGTTGGTCGGACTGGGCTGAATGACTGCCGGACTGCTCACATGCGGACAGGCTGGGTAAGAGTACACGGAGGTGTACCGCCTACGGCCTTACATAATAGTACCTACTACCTGCCACCCAGGTATGCAAAGGTAGCATATCTGGTGTACCCCGGTACATACGGAGCGGGAGAGGCATAGGTACCTACCAGGCTACCAGGTGTCTACCTAGGTACCTACCTCTAGGCTACCAACGTGCTATAGCAAAGCAATTAGTAGGCCTGGCCCACCTACCTGCTTAGATAGGTATGTACCTAGAGGTAGGTAGGACCTATACACATCGAAACCCGGCATACCGCTGCTTGGGTCTGGTATGTACCTAAAGTAACAGGCACCTACGAAACTCGCAGCGAAGATGACAGTAATAAAGCCAAACCTACGCTTATCCTAGGCGTGTCAAGTACCTACTTCCTAGGTACTTACCTGTATTAAATCCATGCTATGATCGCTGCCTATGGCCCAGGGTGCTTGACCTATATTATACATATGTTCACATGTTCATCCGCCTCAACTAGCTGCGCATATATAAACACCTATGCGCTACACCTATCGGACCAGGTTGTGGGATGCGCCTATTAGCTGGAGCCCAGGCAGATCTGACTGGGTACATGAGGTACGTCTCCAGCACAGCCAAAGCGATAGAGAGTTGACTGTAACTAGATCAGGTTGGTCACGAGCCGGTCGGGGGCATCGAAGGTGTCTGACATGGTGAGGTCATCCGCCCCCCCCAATCAGCTGCCACCTGTGGTGCTTGGTAGTACGTGTAGAGGTATTCGCCCATCCATGTCTCCTTTGCGAAGTTCTCTGGCTGTACCTTTAGCGACACAGTACCTGCAGTGGTAGCCCTGGAGGCTGGCAGCGTGGTACCCGCGGTGGGGGAATTGCAGGAAGCAGAGGTAGCTGCATTCCCGCGCTACTTTTGCTGTACCTCAGTACGCACCCCAGTGTCTTAGATCTCTGGGTACGTGCTCCAGGAGGTACCTAACCTGCTACTCTTGGGTCCACGCGTACCTGAAGCTAGGTAGGGCCAGGGGCCATCGGGGGGTTGCTTATCGATACGCTATGTGCTGTGCTGTGCTGCGTGCACGGCATGCCGGGACGGGTTTAAAGAGCACATCCCACATGCGGCAACCCTCACTTCCAAACTACACTACCTCTTCATACACCACCTGCTGCTGCTCGTCGCTTTCAGTCTCGCTTCCCAACGCCTATTCTCTCCCTTCCTTTCCCTTCCTTGGCCTATCCCGTCCCCTCTTCGCTATATACCTGTCCGTATGCCACACGTGCCTCTCCATTCCAAACTAGGTAGCAACTGATTGACACCTCTCGCCCAGGGCTCGCCATCTCTCTGTAATCAAGCCGGGCTTCTTACATCCCCATCACGCCAGAGACCAACAAGAGCTTCTCGCATCCCTCTCCTTCTTCATCCCACCCCTCGTAATTTCGCCAAATACTTAGCTCTCCCTCCGACACCTACGCTCTGTCTTTCCTCATGTCTTCCCCTCCCTGGGACTACATTGCCAAGCTCGTCTGCATCGGCGACTCGGGATGTGGCAAGTCGTCTCTCACCATCCGGCTCTGCGAGGGCCGCTTCAGCCCCCAGCACGACGTCACCATCGGCGTCGAGTTCGGATCGAGGATTGTGCCTGTCGGTCCACCCCACACCAAGCCTTCCGCGCCGGCCACCGAAGGCGGCCTTCCCGAGCCACCTCGGGCCATCAACACCCCCCAGAAACACATGAAGCTCTCGCTTTGGGACACGGCGGGACAGGAAACGGTACGTGCAATAGAATCAATAGCCAGCCTCTTGTTCCAGTCTAGGGAGGCGCAATGTCTTGTTCTATCCTTCTGAGTAATCAAGTCAATGCTCTCCTCATCCTATCTCGGCAACTCTCGGCTCTGTTCTCTCTCTGCCTTCTTCCTCAACAGTAATGCAACATCGTCCATACTGATATTCCCGCTTGCCTCGATTAGTATAAATCCGTCACCCGGTCGTACTTCCGCGGCGCCTCTGGCGCTCTCCTAGTCTTCGACATCACACGCCGTGCGACCTTCATCCACGTCACCGACTGGCTGTCGGATCTGCGCGCCATCGCCGACCCGGACATCGTCGTGATCCTCGTCGGCAATAAGGTGGACCAGGCCCGCGACGACCCCGTCGGCAACTACACCGGCCGCCGCGAGGTCACTGCCGTCGAGGCCGAGGAGTGGGCCCGCGCCAACGGCGTCCTGCAATACGTCGAGACCTCGGCTAAGAGCGGCGAGAACGTCGAGCACGCCTTCATGCGCGTCGCGGAGCGCATCTTCGATAACATCAGCGCCGGCAAGTACGATCTCAACGACCGCCGCTCCGGCGTCAAGGGCCCCGGCCCCGGCAGCGCCGGCGCCGCCCACCTTAGGCTGGCCCCCTCCGCCAACCGAGGCGTCATGGGCGGTTGCTGTTAGCCGGAGGAAGTCGTGGTTATGCGGGGCCCCCCCAGTGGGGGAATAAGCGACGATATTAAGAGTAACGACCATTGTTTACAACGAGACGAGGCGAAACGGGGAAGGCGCGGGAATCACCAGGACGGCCCCTCGTGGGACGGCGCAGTCCCGGAGGCCACGGATCTCGTCAGGTCACATCGAACTACAGTAATATACTCTGAGTCTCTCTCGGGGCTGAAGAAATGCGCAGAGGCAGAGAAGAGGGGCAGAGAGAAGACTCGACCCTGTATATATATAATACCGCCGCGGCGCGTTGCGCGCTCGCGTGTTCTTTTTTTCTTTCTTTCTTCTATGGGGGGAACAAGCACCCGGGACGCATGCATACACACATCACACACAGGCGCCGTCGTCGACGAAGAAGATACCCAACCCACCAGACACAACCCGCCTCCTTTTTTTGGGGGGGGGGGGGGGAGAGGAGGGGGCTCCTGCAAGGCCCAGAACCAGACAGGGCGGAACACAGGGCGGTATACACGCAGGCAGAGGCAGAAGTAGAGGTAGAGGCAGCGAGAGGAGAGGGCCGTGCGAATGCGGCAGGGACAGCGTCCATTAGCATAGCATAGCATAGCAGAGCAGAGAAGAGGCGGGAGGAGAATGCTGAATATCGTCTACTTGTCCCCCTTCGCGCGCATGTGCACCTGACTCCCCGCCTCTCGCAGATATATACGCGCGCGTGGTGCGCATACGTACGTATGTCGGTGGGTAGGTACCTACTAGGTAGGATGCATAGGCACACACACACACACACACACACCGCAAACTCGACCCGGTCCAGTCCGGTTTTCTAGACAACCGGCTCCCTTCTCGCGGCCGTCGTCCCCCGGCGGTCGGGGCGGGTAGGGTCCGGGAGAAACGGGGCGTGGGGGGAGAGGCAGAAGCTGCGTTGCGGTATATGTCCTGTCGACACAGATCGGGGGACCAACCTTCCGCCTCTGAAAAGAGCAGGAGACAGATATAGAGAGGGAGGGATTATATTACGCGTACGAGGCAAGCGGCGAGGGGAAAAAAAAAGCCATCAGTACATAGGTCGATTAACGAGCAAGTCTTGATCCTTTCCTTTATTTTTACCGAAAGAGAGTTTATGCTCTTCCTTCATCCACGTTACCACCCCTTAAGAACTCCCGGCTCTCTTGATTTTTACCCCCCTCCCCCCCTTCCGTCCCCCTTCCATGCAAAAAATCTTTTTTATGCAACCAAAAAAGAAAGCTCTCCTCATATCATTACACCCGATACTATAAAGAGAGAGCGAGAGAGAGAGAGAGAGAGGGTAAATAAGAGGAGATGGGAGCTTGTTATCGTCAAGGACAATGGGTGGCTGGCTATCCATTGCCTGGTAAAGCCGGGTGCAGTATGGTCTATATGAAATGTCCCAGCCTCTCTCTCACTTCCCTCCTTTACGAGGGCCCGGGTAAGCCGAGCGTACCCTAGCCTTACTTCGACTCGGCCAACGGTCCTACCCCTTCGCGCGTCCGAGCAAAAGGACGTTGATCCGTCTCTCTAGTCGCTTTAATCGGAGACACGCCATGTATCGAACCACTTCATGTAGCTGTAGTTCTTGTTGCTGCCCGTCATGCCCCAGCAGATCGGGATAAAGTAGATGTAGAGACCGATGATGACGGAGTACAGAATTCCGTAGATGGTGTACTGGATCGCCTTCTTCTGGTTCCGCAAAGTCCAGTCGACGAGGAAGCCGAGGCTCAGGATGGCGAAATACAGGGCGGGGTAATAATGGTGAACATAGGTGACACGGGCCATGATGACGAAGGGGAGGTAGTGAAGGAACCATCCCAGAATAGGGTAGAGCCCAGAGTAGTGGATCTGGTCGATATCCTCCTGCGACAAGTCCTCGAAGCCTCGTCGCCAGCGGAGAATGTACCAAACCGTGACTAGGCCGACGGCGCCGAGCGATGCGGTTGAGGCCCAGTATATGAAGGGATTGCCAAGGAGGAAGTATTTGACAATCTTGTCATCCCAACCGCACATGCGCAAGCCGACATTGAGGATGGGCCACTGCCACCATTGGGAAGCAAGGTCATCTTGCTTGTCGGGATCGGGGACGAGGGCGTTGTTGGAAGTCATCATGGCCACGTTCAGGTGAATGAAGTCGTGGAAGAACGGAGACTTGTACTTGCCCGGGTCTGCGGGGGGAACTGTGACTGGGTTAACAATCGCGCCTCCTGGTATCGATCAGTGTGATGTGCCTTACGCTTCTCGTTCGTGTGAGCCTCGACATTCCAGTGGGTGAAAGCATCACGAGGGTTGTTGTTCTTGTCGCAGGTCACTTCGATCTGTTTGAAACCCCACTGAGGGAGGTTGACGTTGGCAGCTCGCAGATAACAACCCATCACGGGGTTCCTCAGCCTGAAAGCGGTAGTCAGAGTCCGAATCCTACTCTTGTCGCGAGAAGCAACGTCCTTCACGACTTCGATCTGCCAGTGGTCCTTGTCATCGCCGACGGTGAGGTTACCGTATGCAGAGACCTCCTTCTGGCTCTTGGTGACCGGAGCCGCGATATCATGAGTGTGGAGGTTTCGTCCGGTCTGAGAGTGAATCAAGCGAATGACATCCCCGTTCCCAATGAATCGCGGCTCTTCCTCGGCGTCGTAATCCCGATCCGTACGGTTGGGGTAGAACCACCAGTCATTGTTGGCATCTTTATGGTGGTAGCAGGTAACCTGCTGTTGAGTCGAGCCCTCCGGGTAGGCTTTCCGTATAGGTTAGATGCGCCCAATTTGTGCGGGATGCCAAGCACTTACTCTGAACGTGACTGTGGAGCAAACCACCACCGTAACCCATGTTCTTCAGCGTCACCTTGGAACCAATGGCAACCTCTAGGGGGGAGTTCCGCCCAATTTCGCTGCCCTCCAGGTTAGCTTGGAAGAGGGAGCTCATCTGAGCGTCGCCGGGGCCGCTCCTCGTCAGGATGGCGAAATGCAGCGCAAAAGAGAGGAGGTACACCAGCAGCGGGACGACGATCAGGCCGACAACTCGAGCACTGAAATGGCCGGCGAGCACCAGGACGGGCATCTTGGTGTTGCCAAACTTGTTCCAGAGATCCTCGATCGTGTAGAGGCCGACGAGGGCGGTGACAAAGAGTCCGACGAGCTTAATGCTGCAGACGAATCCCAGGCTAAGTCCCGTCATGAATAACCAGAAGAACCACTCGGGCTCGAAGCTCGACTTCTGCTGACGGTGGAACTTGGACCAGCAAAAGACAGTGGCGACAGTACCGAAGAGGAGCATAGAATCCAGAAGGATGAATCGACTAATTGTCGTGTACGAGTTCTCGCACAGAACCATAAGCGTCACCAGCCAGACGGCGGGTCGCTTCAAGTTCAACTCCTTCGCAGTATAGTAGGCCAGCGGGATGCACAGGATCCCCCAGAAGGCATTGAAGGCTCGCATGAAGGTGTAGTCGAGCTCTTCGGGGTACGTCTCTCCCGACTTGAATTCGAAGGACCCATTGTAGCCAGCGAGCACTCCGGATAGTCCGACGAGGATTTTACCAAGGGGGGGGTGACTGTCCCACGTGTTAACCACAGTATTCCCACCAGGCTCTCAAAATTACACCGTATACTGACACGTCGAAGAACAATTCGCGTTTGATGTAATGCGATCCGAACTTGCCGAAGCTGAATTAGGGAGAGAAGGAGTAGTTAGTGTCGTGAAGAAAGAGGAAGGGTCTCTCTAGCGAGGGGGGTGGAACGAACTGGGCTTCCTATGCAGTTGTCAGCAAGCAGTATCGGAATCGCAAGATGGCCACCGAACTTACATCCCAAGTGACAATTGGGCTGAGACCGATCTTCCATAGACGCGTAAAGGCTGCCAGGGCTGTGAAGATCAGGGGTGCGATGATGAACTCCCACTGGTCGAGGACTTGCAGCACGGAGGGTTGCTGGACACATCCGAGTCAGCCATCCGCCCGCACCGAGGGTCGCGGCACCTGCGTGCTCTATGCATACCTTGCCCTTCGCGAGGACCTTCTTCTCGTCGAGCTCGGGCTGCCGCGCTACGGGCACAGCGGCGGAACCGGGTACATTGCGGCGGCGAGCAGCGTCGCCGGGATCGACGCCGGACGCGACTGCGGCCTGCTGATCGGCCATGACGGTACGCCGCGACCGCGGAAGCGGGATCCCCTCGCGGTGGAAGACGGAGAGGGAAAGAGGGCTGCAGAGTAATAAAAAAAGGGTTGGAACGAGTGGCAGACAGCTCGGGGCGGATGAGGCTGACGAGGCGAAGAGGAAAAAAACGAGACAAGAAAAAGGAGGGACCCGAAGAGAATCAATTAGATTGGGTCAAAGATGACAAGAGCAGAGCATCGCTGCCGCGGATAAAGAACAGGAGCGGCAATCGTGGCCCGGAGAAGACAAGGTGAGCGGGATCGTCGAAAGAAGGGTTGTCGAGGAGAAGCAGAGAGGTGGACGAGGAGGTTTGCGTGGCGTATAACAGGATCAAGACGAGTTACGTGTAGGACGACGTATGATGGTAGGGGAAATACGACAAGTACCTGCTACTACGTCGTGCGCCCAACACGCATGCGCTTTACGAGTAGCTCTACCTAGGCCGCGTGGTATGGTTCGGCTCCGATTCCCAGGCAAGCACCTAGCATGCCTAGGCAGTCGGCACCACCTGCCCGGCGGTGGATTTCCATGCCTCAACTTGGACTCGTGGCTTTTTTTTTTCTTTCTTTCTTTCTTTTTCTTCTTCTTCTTCTTCTTTCGGGTCAAACCCCCATTTCCTTGCGCCGAGAGCTGAATGAACGGGAGAGGGAGGGGACAGCTTGGTGGTTACTTGGGCACGCTAAACAGTGGAACCCCTAACCCTGAACGCCTGTGCAGCTCGCTTTTTTTAGTACCTCCCCCCCCAGCAGGGTGTGTGGTAAGGGAGCGGCCCCCTTTTTTCGATGATCTGTTCAGTACTACGTGCCCGCGCCGTCTCGAAGCAAGCCGGAATAGGATGGGGCCCAATTGGGGACACTTTGTTCATTTTCTCCTTTCCTCGACGCGATGGTGCTACGTACCTAGACAGGTACCGACCTACTGCGTACTCCCGACTCAGAAACGGCACTCGTAGGCGAAACACGGGAAACGGGAACCGCGGAAAGTACTTCGTATTCGATTAGTCTGCCCTGCCTACCCGTGCGGCAACCGCCCCGACGCCCAATGATCTACCAACGGCGATCCGTCGCGTTGTTATCGATTGGCACGATGCCTGCGTGAGATAACCACCTAGGTACCTGCCTGCTTGCCTACCTTAGGCACCTGCGTATACCCGAATATAGTACCAGAAAGCCGTTCGGGAGCCTTTTTGGCAATGGGCAAGTGCCCACCCGTGCTTCTTCTCTTCGCTCCCCGGTCGAGACGCATGTAACCTCGCGCGACGATGAGGTCACGTCGGCCTGCGCGGCGTTGAAACAATTCGAACTCACGTGAGATCGCCTATGGGCATATACCTACCTAGGTATGTAGACAGGTAAGTACCTAGTGCGTACCTACGCACCTCCCAAGGCATGCATCAGCACCATACATCTAACGTTAGGTAGTATATAGGTACCTAGGTATACCTATCCACCTCTTGTATGCACGTCAGGTGGTAGCCGCTATAGGAGGGACGTATGAAACGTAAACTTTGGTCTGCTCGTCTATAATATACCTATTTCTGAGCCTGGGGGGGGGGTCCCAGCCTGTGACGTCGTCCGTCATCACCTATCGACAGCCTCTTACCAAGGGGTGCCTATCCAAAAAATTATATTGGCCCCGGACAGAAAATCCCCGGGTGCACTTCTAAATGACCTCGAGCCCGTCCACGATGCGTTCCCGTCATGTCGTGACCAGATCTCCCATGACAGCAGCCCCCGTCCAAGCAAGATACGCACGTACGTACGCAATGGCGAGTGCCCATCCTCGTAGCCACCAACTGCCGAGGTTCGTGTCTCCGTCTCTCTCCCCTTCTTTTCTTTTCGATAAGTCCGTCCGCGTGTGCTGTCTCAAAAGGTCCTCTGCTTCGCCCGCGGGCCGATGCCCGATGCAAACCGGTAAGGGAAAAAATTACTCCGTACAAAATGGCGGAACCTAGCCGTCGTGGCCAAGTAGCTCGTCCGCTCTGCCTTCTATGTGGTTCTGGCTCTACACACGTTTCAACCTGCCCACCCGCCAATCTGTTGTCTCGTGCTCCGCATATTTAGTCGTCCCGCTGGTCCAATGGTGCGTACCTCGGTTGGCCGGCCGGGCTGCTACTGGCGCCGCGGGCCTGTCCGACCATTCGGTTCAGCCACTCGCCCACCCGTCCTCGTGAACTCTGGCTCTCGGACCGGAGCTGCGGCTTCCCGTTCACGATGTTTAGCACGGGAGGCTCGACGTCCATCGAAGAGGCGCCGGCTTCGGGGCCCAGAGGTCGTCCTCGGAGATCGAGTGAGGGGATGGGAGACCCGCCCCTCAGAGAAGCCGTCTCAGATCGGATACCGGGGGTCCCGGCTGCGGTGCTCGCATCTCCGAAGAGCGAGTCCATGTCTTCTAATCGTACACCACACGTCTCTGGATAAATGAAATAAACTGGGGAGCGCGTTAGCGGCAGCCGAAAGGAGCGAGCGCACCCGGCAACTTACCAACAACGAAACTGACTACGCAGAAAAATGCGTGCAGTAGGTACAGCCTCCACTTGATCCACTCCTGGAGAATAGGAGTCATCTCGCCCACGAGCCAGTTGAAGGCCCAGTTCGCAGCCGTGGACAGACTCGCTCCCTTGGACCGAATGCTGAGCGGTAGGATCTCGGGCGGGTAGAGCCAGGGGATGGGACCCCACGAATACCCGAACGCGGCGTTGTAGACCATGACGAAGACGACGACCCATATCCGCGTAGATTCGATGTTGAGGTAGATGAAGTATGACACCAGGGACAGAGATATCGCCATGGCGACGGCGCCCGTCAGGAGGATGACGCGGCGGCCCCACCGATCCACCACGTACCACGGCGGGATGGTCGAGAGGAAGTACGTGATCCCGTTGATACCCGTCATCTTAATCGCGTCGTGACCGATCCAACCGGCCGACTCGAAAACGTAGGGTGCGTAGTACGAGATGACGTTGATGCCGTTGAGCTGCGCTAGCGCCTGCGCCGACATGGCAATGAAGACCCGGGTCTTGTATCGTCGGAACATCTCCGAGTAGGTCCGCTCGCCCTCCATACGATGGAGCAAAACATTCATCTTGATTTCACGGAACTCCTCTCGCGCCTTGGGATTATGTATGTCACCGCCACCATACAAGTTCGCGATAACCACAATACCTTCTTCGTCGTAATCGTTATCTAGCAGCCATCTAGGCGGGTGTCAACAGAGGTCACTTTCCATCAGCAGCAGAGCACTTGTTACCTTGGGGTTTCGACGATGACCAGACTGCCCAAGCCCAGCAACGCTCCCATCACACATTGCATCAGTAGAGGGACACGCCACGACATATCGCTCTGAATATATCCGCAGAAGTAGTCAACCCATACGGATGTCGTATAGCCAATGATGTTACCCGAAAACTCAATGCAGGCTAGTTTACCTCGGTTGTGGGGAGGAGAGATCTCGGACTGGTAGACGGGGACGATGGTAGACAACAAGCCAACGCCGAGACCGGCAATAATCCTACCCAACATCATCATAGCCATATTGGCAGCAAACGTCTGCAAGGCCCCACCGACGAAGAATATCATCGAGCCATACAGGATAGTCTTTCGACGCCCGATGATATCTCCGATTTTTCCTACGGCCAAGGACGAGACGAAGGCGCCGATCTCGAGAATGGCCACCATCGTGCCGACTTCAGCCTTGGAAGGGTTCTTGAAATAATTTCGGAAGTACGGGCCACTAAGTTAGGGTTAAAGACTGCTCGGGTAGGCGGTCGCGCTTAGGGAATTGGGGGGGGGGGAGCTCGTACGTGATGATGCCCGACATCACCCCTTGATCGTAGCCAAACAGGAAGACGCCCAGCGACACGAATATGCTCGTGAAGTAGCTGCGAAGTAGTTAGCACACCCTAGGTCTCAAGTTGGGACCGCATCCTACGCACAGAAGGGGCTTGCCCGTAAGGCCGTGGATCCCAGTGCCCGGCATGATGGCGCCTATGATACGCTGGGCTCTCGATGGACGGCGCGGAGGGACATCAGGAATCTGTATCGCCTCCTTGTCAACGGTCCCGGGCAGGGACGCAGAAGGGCGAGGGCTATGGGCGGAGACGGATCGCCTAAACTGGACGCGCTTGTGCTTGGGGTGGCGCTTGAGGACACCAGAGAGGAAGTCGCCCTTCAGCGAGGTATCGGCGATAGTCTTCCGCAGGGGATCCTCCTCATCTGCCCACTGCTCGGCGAGATCACCGGTGTCGGTCCAGGAATCGGAGTCGGCAGAGTCAGAGGAGCGTCGCTCGTGCTCGCGTGTCGGGTGATCCCTGTGGCCGGCCAGCAACGCAGTCGATTGGGCGCCGTGATCGGGTCGATTCGCGAAGGTTCGGAGGGGGATGTTGGAGGGGAGGCGGTTCGGTTTCGGGGAAGGAATTTTGGAGGAGTTGGGGCTGGCAAGCAGCAGCGCCCGTCTGCGATGATGGTAGAAAATAGCGATTGGAAAGCAGGCAGGTCGGGGTGCAGAGAGGGTGGAGTGCGTATATACGGATAGGCCAAGGCTCGGTCGGTGTCATTCGGGCCTGTCGAGCGACGGAGTGACGAAAGGCGGCGACAAGCTGTCGACCAGAATGCAACGCAGGCCGGTGGACCAGATACAAGACATGCACGCGCAGCACCACTCAATCTGGATAGACTAAAAAGAAACGGGTAGTCGTTCTGCAGTTCTGTAGTGCCGCACACTGTAGGTACATACGAGCTCCAGCCTAACAGGATGCCGACGGAGACCAGCTTCTGGAGAAGACGAGGCACGGGATTCAAGACCAACCGGACCGGTAATGAGACGAAACAGGTTTTTAGACAGGGGCTTTGTCTTTTTTTTTTTCTTCCCAAACCGACGTGCGTATGGGCGAGAGGGAGCTGGCGTGACGGTACGTCTGGAGGCAGCGAGTGCAAAGAGTGCGAGTGAGGGTGACGGCGATGGTATATTTCCCAGGCGGACAACGTAGATCGAATTTGTTGCAGCGGAGTTAATGAGAGAATAGAAGGAATGGATCAGACCTAAGGCAGAACCCAACCAGGAAAAATACCTTATGTATTTTTTGTTTATTCATCTCATTTCATGAAGTAAAAAAAAAAGTCGGGGTTCTTCGTAATACAGATCAACGAATCCTTGAGGTAGCTGCAATCCCCTATTTCTCGAGTTCTCGAGAGAGTAGGGAAGTGGCTGATCTCGCTCCGTGGCCTCTCGGGCAGAGGACGATGCTGGACGGATGTACTCCGTTAGCTCGCATACTGTGCGACTAGGTGCGTTTCTCTCTAGCGGTAGGGGCTTCGAGTTCGGTCACCTACTGGTTACGTGTACTATAATGATGTTGCAGCCGGTCGCAGCATATATGAGTAGGTACGTACACACCCACTCATAGTTACGTTAGGTACATATTCTAAATGAGGTATGCCGCTGTGGAGTTAAGGGCGAGATGCCCACTCTAACTGACCTACCTGCCTTGTACTTGTAATAGGCAGGCCTACGCATACGATACTCGGTATCGTATATGCCAAGCCCGTTCCAGCAGACGTGACACGTAACAGCTGAAGTTACTCACTTATCATCCTCTACCGTATCGCACGCGTTACGTGACATTAATATGCGCCTACCTTTCGGTACTTCCCTCGGGTACACACACGCAATTAAACTTTTGCCGGGCCTTCCGCAGGGAGGTCGCAGGCAAAGATGTACCATCTATCCACAGTACCTATCGTATGTACATACTGAGTACATACGTAGGTAGGTTCGACAGTCTGCGTGGAAGGCCCTCTTGGGAAGCCCGGGAAGGCTTGGGGAAGCCTGGCAAGATAATACCTACTACAGTTTCGGGCTCTTGGACTCTTGGCTTGTCCCATCTCGCCACCTATCACCAACCCGCAATGCCACTCCAACACCACCACCCCTCGACCAGGCCAGGCTGGCTGTGCACTTACGCATGCTAAAGTAGGCGAAGCCGCCTATGGTTCGACTCCACGTGCAGCCACACAGCTGTTACGTGATAAGTGACCTTTACAGTCCCCTATTATCCACCTATCTTAGGCATTCGCGGCTGGCTCCCCGTTCCTGACCATTCCTGCGCCCGTAAATTCTCTTCTCGAGGAGTTATGCTGTCCCCTTCTGCTAACCAACAGACACGTATATATATATATATATATATATATTTATGTCCGGCGCCGCCAATTCGGTAACCCGTCCTCCAAGTCGCATAGGACGCACCATTGCTAGCAAGTGCCGAAATAACCCGCCCACTTACCTACTCTGTTTCCCAGATTGCAGATAAGCAGGCTTTTGGAATCGCTAGTTGAGGTCAGCTGTTAGAGAGATCTCCGTATGTTCGGCCATCCTGGGTGTGGCGGCTCAGTGCGCATGCAGACCGACCCACGATGGTATTATAGCGTCGACACAAACCCGGGCCAAGGCGGTCAGCGACGATATCATTCGAGGATGCGACACCCTACGGCAACCCCCCGCCCCACTCCCCCAACACACCGATGGGGGTTGATCCGTTTCCCGGTTCCGCCAGCACCTGGGACACGCTGTCGGGAACTCGGGGCAGCTCGATCACGGGCCTCACGAGTTTCCAGAAGGTTGGGAGGCAGCTCGGCTAGTCTCCAGCCTGCTCGTCGCAGCCTCGAAGGCTCTTCACGTGGAAATAAAACACGTCCCGACGTCATCGAGGTTCCTAGGGGTGTCCCAGTCGATCCTGGTCCCTCCCAGCTAGCGCAACTCCGCCTGCCCTCACCTGACCATAGCATTCCTAGAAGTTCTATCGAACCCTTGCTGCAACTCTCTCGGTGCGTTGTTCACCTCATGGACCCCATGGCAGCGACCTGAAGCATTCATGTTCGGATCAGTCGAGCTGTCTTCTTGCTCGGCCTATACGGAAGCCCCTTAGCAACGACCCCTCGCGCTCACCGGGGATAGTCGCCCGACGCAGAGGGTTGGGGAGGGGAGACCGCTTCAAGTAAGTGTGTGTGTGTGTGTGTGTGTGTGTGTGTGTGTGTGTGTGTGTCTAGATCTCCAAATCTCTCTCGTTGGTAACACAGCGCGTGCTGCGTGATCGACCACAGCCATCCATCACGATGTAAGACCTGTCTAATCCTAAAGCGGATGTTTGCAGAAGCCGCTCCGAGATATCTTTAGAAACTAAGCCTCTAGCTAGTCATCGCCCGGCCAAACCATGGATGCGTGTGCGCAACCGGTGCGTAGGACGTGTAGATCGACGAAAGGCAACTGGCCATGGACGTATAGGTGGTCGTCAACTGTGGCTGAAACTCACCGGCCCCCCCCGACCTCCTCGCCATCGCTCGCACTGCCGCGCCGTGTTTAGTCGTGTGCTAACCCGACGTCTCCGAACAGGTACTGTGTCTGTATGCGCTGGGACGCGGAATGCCGTCGACTTCGGCACCTATTTTGACCCCCTTCCCCGTCTATGTCTCGTATGTGTTCGTAGTCCGCCCTGTACCCACCTACGTTGGAGTCTCGGTGGCTTAGAGACACATGACGATACGTGGCTGTTGCATCGTCGTGAGGGATCTTGGGACGACATACCCTATATGTTGTATGCTTATGAGGAGGGATGCATTCGACAAGCAACCTCCCTTAGGTACCTAAGGCGCCCAACTTCAGCGTTCCGGGTAGCCCTGGGCTGCAGTGCCACGGAGGGAGGTACCTGGGTACCTATGCAACACCTTTAGCGATGTGAGCGGCAGGCTAGGAAGGGCTCGTTTCCATTTTCTAGCAGGCACTTACATCCTACCTGTAGCTGAACATCCCGGAGGAGATGCTGATGGAAATGCTACATAAACTTAGGTCTTTGCAGGCACAAGAACCGGCTTACCGAGCGTATCGCCGTCCCGCGCCTCGGGCCATCGACACAACGCCGCGTCGCAGTTGTTATTGGGCCTCGTCATGAAACCTTCTAGGGCCAACTTCTGCTTGCCAAGGCCTTTCTGCCGAGCGGGCTCCAGACTGTCGGCGGCTGTGTATGTACATACCTATGTCCGCGCATAGGTTAGGTATCTACCTACACTACATATTCATCCAAGATTACAAGACGCGCAAGCAAGGGTGGGAGGGATAAGTCGTGGACAGTGACTGGATGGTACCGGTGGTTATGCGGCGTCAATTGGCCTTACCAGCAAGTGCGTCCATGAGAGGTAATTATTGTATGTAGGTACATACGACTAGGTACATATTCCGCGCTCCGGCATTGATGACCTCGAAACTGAGGGGTTGGGAAGGGTGGTTTTCATTACTACCTTACCTCTTTGGCCGTATGCTGACGAAAGCACACCGGCGGTTGGCAGGTCGGGGATGGAAGGAAAAGAAGAAGAAAGGAAGATCTCGCCCCCGGGTTGTTTGGGGCGAGGGTGATATATGACTAGGTACCTTACCCGTACTCATATTGTACATATAGGTGGTATGTGTCGTGTAATATGCAAGCGTATACCAAGCGTATACCTCTCATATGTATGTCAATATCTGCCAGCCAGTTACCAGAATGTGCAACCAACTTGGCCGCCGAGAGAGGCTTCAGCTTGTCACTAACACCGACGGACTGTCCCTCTCTTTCTTGCCGCGTGTGTGTACACGCAGTAGGTACTTTGGCGGACATGTCATTGGCTTACATACCTCTACCAGCCTGCCTCCATTCCCTAGGCTCATATAGGATATGGGTCTGGGGTTGCTAAGGTATCAGCTTCTGATCCTACGTAAGCCATGCTCCCAGGCACACCCATGGACCTCCCGACTAGCCATACATGCATATACCTATCTCTTCATTTCATGCGAGACATTGCGGGATCGTCAGTTGTTGCTTCGACGGCAAACAACTTGGACTTGTTCACTCTATAAGTGCGATCTGCCTCTGTGCATGCATACACTCATACATACAGATAGTTAGACGTATGCACATGTCCGGACGGAAGCTCTCTCGCGCAGCTGCTTCACAGATCTGCCCCAGGCACACGCATCTACGAACCCGTCATCATCATCCATATGGGCTGAATAGTTCTCGTCCGTAGGCAACCTGCTCGCGGGCAACCTGCCCGAGGGCACGAGGTTAGCCCTACATACGGCACCCAGGTCGGTATATGTATGTATGTGTGCATGTGTACTATATATTGATGTGCATATCCGTCTGGGACAGGAATGGGAACCCTGGCCAAGGGAGGGGACGCGAGGGCGAATGCGGAAGCAAGTCGTGATCTGGCGGAATATTAGCAGCGCGGGATATGTGTGTATACTCATATGCGTGCGGAGTGCGTTGCGTGCGCGTAGACGGAGAGGGTGAAATATTACAATTTTAGCCCCTCCCTTGGTCCCCCTGCAAAGACCAGACAACCCGATTTCCAGCCCCTGAATGCTATGCCAAATCGCAGCGTTCCTGCCTCTTGATTCAGGAACAAGCTGCCCGCCCGCGGCCAAGCGGGCTCGGACCAATTTAACGGGACCCACGTTCTCCACCCTCCCATTGGCAGCCACCCTCCAGTCTCGTTGTCGCCTACCACGTACCTACCGTACCACGCATGTACATCGCAGCAGCGCTCCGCGCCCCGAGTTAGGTACCTAAGGTACTTACCTAGGTACCTAAGTAAGAGGAGGCACCTACCTACACGTCAACTCCGTGTCAGCAATGCGTGGTGCAACGCGTGTTAGGCCACTCATCTTTCCGCCTTGTCAGGTTAGGTACCTAATGGCCAGAGGTGCCCCGTCAGGATGCAAACGTACCTAAGGCCGGCCGGCGGGTGCTATATGTACATAGGGTACGTGTGTTCCGTAACCTTCCTCGTTTTCAGGTCAATTAAGCTAAAAAAGGTCCGTTGCTACCTCGTGCTATTTGGCAAGTACTAGTAGACGAACTCGAAGAAGGTGCAGGGGATATATTCTGAGTTTGGCCTAGCCAAGCCGACCGATCTTAACGAACTGAACAACGAACCCAACCATATCACCCTAACAACCTCCCGCCGGCCAGAACGGGTGCGCCCTCCCTCTCTTCCCTCTTCCATGTTCTGCCCGAATGCCTGAATCCCTCCTCCTGCTGTCCGGTTTAAAAGTGAACCTCTTCTTTTTCTTGGGCGCGAGGCGCAACGATACCTTTAGTATCGAGACACCATAATTTGAGTGGAGGTCGTTTTCTTTTCTTCTTTTGCAACTGGTCCACCGCTGGCTCCATCATATACCTCCAGCCATCCCCCCCTTCCGTTCGACCATCCGAGCCGAGAGTACCTACGGGGCTTCCGAGAACAACAGAACACGAGCCAGCCTTCTCGCTAGCCATTTCATCGAAAAAATCCCCGCGGAAGTCGAAACGAAATTTACAACCGACTCTGCTTCTCTGCAGACTTCCCGGCGGTATCCTTTAGCGACAACCCGACCGCCTGAGTGCCCGAAACAGCAACAACTGCCTGCTATCGTGCCCTTCTCGACATTGCGCCTCAATTTTTAAGCCAGTGGGGAGGACACGAGCATTGCGAAAGAAAGAAAAAAACGCCCCCCCCCCAAAATTTATCGTCCGGCGAGCCATCTTCCCCTCCTAAAACCGGCACAGCGTGAGTCCTTCGCGCTACGGCGGTGAAAATGGGGTCGACAAATTTCGGAAACTTTGACGTATGCGTCCCCCCGAACTAGATCAAGATCAATGCGCTAGCACTCCTGCAAACAATGCCCTAGAAAAATACTGATCTTCCCGTTTTGCGCTGTAGGCCTTTTGCCGCGATTCAACCTTACCGGTCTGCAATGTAAGTTGGTCTGGGACCGCCGCTCTACCGCATCCCACGTAGGGCTCGCCGTTCGCTGACGACTGGACCTAGGTTCTCTCGGAGACGCAAAATCAGCAGGGGCAATGGGGTGGCTGCCAACTACGAGGCATCCCGCTACCCAATGGCAATCACCTGGGAAATCTAGGTCTGTTCCTCGACATCAACGGCTCTAGTCCTCACTGACGGACCATAGGATCTATATTGCTCTGCGGCATTGCCATTGCTGTCTCGGCGCTGCTGATATTGCGCTCGGAAAAGAAGAAAGCCGCCGTGGGTCGGAGGTCCGTACTGTTATCCGCCGCTGCATGACCATGATATCTGATTTCTCTTGCTTTAGGGAAATGCAATTGTTCCTCTTGGGTTACATAATAATCCAAATATGCGAGATCTTTACTGTGGGAGAGTTTCCCCTCTCAGGGACGGTCCGTGTTGTATGTGATGATATCTCGGGGATAGGGAAGTGTGGAACCAAGGGAGAGAGGCTAACTGCGAGCAGGCTTTTACTGGGATCCACATTGGCATGATCCTTGCGACGACGTGGATTCTGCTACTGAATGCTGTCGTAGGATACCAGATCCTAGATGACGGTACCCCTCTCTCTATCGGGCTGATGCTCATCTCGGGTGCCATCTTCTTCCTCGGTGCCGGTTATGTCACGCTTGATACAGGTTACCATTGGACGACCGAGTTCATCCCCGATCCCAACGACCACTACCGAAATATCGCGCTTTACGTCCTCTACCAGCTGGCACCGCTCGTTTTCCTCGTCGCCTTCTATGTTCTAGAGGCGATACTCGTGCTGAGAATCCTAGGCGAGATCCGCCCGATGATATACCTGACAGGCGCTGCTATCCTGTTTGCGTTAGGACAGATATTCAACTACGTCATCAGCCCGTACATCTGCAACGGAACCACTGGCAAGATCGACGGGGCGTTGTTTCAGACGCTCTTCACGCTTCTTTCCGTCGTGACGATCTGGATATTCTGGTCTAGCATCACGGAGGACGACTGGCCGATTGCCAGCCAGCCGGCAACCTATCCTTGATGTTTTTTTTTTCTTTCGCTTCTTGTCACTCGTTTGAATAGGGACTCGGAGTTCAGGTTTAATATACCCGTTTATGTTCTTTCTTTCCTTTGTGGGCGGCATCCCATCAACAGAAGCCGCTGTGGAGAGACAGGTGCTGCGAGAAAAACATGCCATTGAGACCTAATTTATACGCAAAAAGCCAGATAACGCCGGTGGTGGGCGCCGGTAGACGGGAGGGAAGGAGGCGTGCGATAGGTGTTACGCGACAGGAGGCGACGCACGCGTAGCTGTGAAGGGGGACGATATCTTTTCATACGTATCGTCCCAAGTTGAACCATCTGCCCGGTTGGCGAAGGGATTCGAGAGCATGGTTGAGAAGTATACCCCAGAAACACGCGACCAATGTATATGATGCAGTATGATAATAAGTGAATAAATAATCGAATGAGACCCCGACGTGTAGGCGTATATGGGTGTTGAGAATGTTACCTGGTTTTGGGGTGTAATGGGAAAGGGAGAAGTCCAGGGGGGATGTAGGTATTATACCAGGTACCTAGGTACTTGAGGCTGCGTCATGGAGACGATATACCTGGGTACCTACATGTTGCATTTAACGGGGGGTTCAGCATGGAGCATGCACCTACCTAAGGTGATCCATGCACTTATAGGTAGTCAGCGTCCGCAGCCCAGCGCCGATAACTAGAATATGTGGTAGCCTTGCCTTCTCTTCTTATGTCTTAGCAAGCCAACTCTCTTATGACACGCCGCCTTCTCCAGCCAGTCGATCAAGAAGCTCTCGATTGTTGTCGGGGGTTATGTTGCCCTTTGGAGCTCCCCTCATTAACAATGCCTTGAGCTATTGTCCAAAAACTCCTCCAGCCGCGCATTGACCGGTGATTATTTCAACCATCTTTTTGGCTGCTCCCTTTCTTCGCTTTCTCTTCGCCACCACGCCATCCTGCCATACTCGACGCTTTCCTAGTCCGATAGGCATATTTTCAGGCCCCTTACCCTCCTCCTGGCGACTTTCGATCATTACCCGGTGTGAATATTCGCATCTAGTCGACCATGGCCGACTCCGATGGCGAGTACCACGCATCGGACGACGAGTTTAGTAGCCACCGGGCCGCGTCGGGCCCACGACCCGAAGCGCGTCCGCGCGCCCGGGGCGAAAAGAGCAAGAAGGGCGCCCGGAAAGGCGGTAAGGCTGCCTGGGAAGACATACAACGGTCATGGGACAACGTCGTCGACGTCGACGGGTCGGTCGCGGGCATCGAAGGTCATGCCGAAGCGCTGAAACGCGCGAGATTGCTCAAGGACACGACGCCGTTGCAGCGCGGTATCATACGCCACTTGGTGCTCGCGATAGATATGTCCTTCGCCATGCTCGAGAAGGATCTGCTGCCCGGCCGCTACGAGCTCAGCATGGCCTACGCTTCCCAGTTCGTCAGGGAATACTTCGAGCAGAACCCCATCTCCCAGCTCGCCGTGATAGGCATGCGAGATGGCGTCGCCGTCCGGATAAGCGACATGAGCGGAAATCCGACCGACCACCTCGAGAAGCTCCAGAGCTGGGTCAATCAGGACCCCCAAGGAAACCCGAGTTTGCAGAACGCCCTGGAGATGTGCCGGGGCGCGCTTTTGTGGGTTTCTACAGCTTAGCAAAAAGGACCAAGGAATCGGAAATAACTAACCGTCTTGGGTACAGCCACACACCATCCCACGGGACTAGAGAAGCCGTGATAGTGTACGGCGCCCTGATGTCGAGCGACCCGGGAGATATACACGAAACCATCAATTCGCTCATCGCCGACCGCATACGCGTGTCCATCGTCGGACTCGCTGCACAGGTGGCCATTTGCGAGGAGCTCTGTTCAAGGACGAACGGAGGCGACAACTCGAGCTATACCATAGCTCTGGACGAACTGCATTTTCGAGACTTGCTGCTCGATATTACGACCCCTCCTATCACGCGGACGCAAGAAGAGAGCAATGCGAGCCTGCTCATGATGGGCTTCCCGTCGAGGACCCTCACCGCCGGCGACGCCATCCACTACTGCGCCTGCCACAACCGACCGACGCGGGAGGGGTACGACTGCACACGATGCGGGTGTCGCGTCTGCCGGCTGCCGGCCGAATGTCCCGGGTGCGGGCTCACCCTCATCCTGTCCACGCATCTCGCGAGGTCCTACCACCACCTCTTCCCGCTGCGGAATTGGGTCGAGGTCCCGTGGTCCGAAGCGAGGCGATCCAAGGCCTGCTTCTCGTGTCTGGCGCGGTTTCCCGACCCTCCGCCAGGCTCGAGCAAGGGCAAAGGCAAGGAGAGACCCGGCCCGGCCGCGACGACCACGTCCAAGGGCCTGAGCGAATCGAGCCGATACGCGTGCGAGGTCTGCCGCAACCACTTCTGCATCGACTGCGACCTGTTCGCCCACGAGGTGCTGCACAACTGTCCCGGGTGCCAGAGCAGCGCAGGGGCCAGAGGCGCGCAGAACGGCGGCGGCGACGCGAACGGGGACGCGCAGGGAAGCAACGGCGCGGCGATGGAGATAGATTCATGAGGCGACCTGAACAACGACGATGTACGTTGAGAAGAGGGGAGAGCAGGAAGGAGGGGGGGGGGGGGTCGGGGGCGGAAGCACCCGCTGAGACTCGGGAGTTCACCAGCGATCCGTGGACGCTTTTACGGCCGGCCCGTACGCCAGGGGACGGGGAAGTAATACAACGGCATGGGAACGGGGCGTTTTGGCAGGGGCCGCAGCATACTAGAGAAGAGGGAAGGGGGAAAAAGGAGCATACACGGACGCGCACGGTATCGACTTTTGCATCATGTCATGTGAGAGAGAGGGAGGCACACATACACACACACGCATACACACACGCATACACACACGCATACGGAGGGAGAGGGGGGGGGGGGGGGAGGTCTCTTTGGGTTGGGAGACAGGGCGGGCACATCGCCGCCTCCTACGCTTTTGCCTACCGCGTCGTCGCTACGCGAACTCGTTGGACAGGATAGCGAAAGCACAAGGTAGCCAGCCAGCCAGCCAGCCAGCCATTGCATTAGGCAGAAGAGAGATAGATAATAAAAATAAAAAAGAGAAAGAAAGAAATTTGGAATGACAGGCTGTAGCGGCGTTCCATCACAAGGTTAAACCCTACGTGCATATCCTACGTACAATATACAGTGCATATAAGGGGGTGGAAGTTATCACAAGCTGCTACTGCCAATCGCGTCCAACGTAACACCATTTTTAGGCGGGGGGGGTTTTTTTTCTCTTTGGCTTATCTCATGTATACATCTACCTAGACGCATATTTATTCGAGAGAACAGGAACATGTGCGCGTAAACCGCATCATCTATTTAACCGGCGCGGCGGGCTGGGGGGCATGTGTCCGCGCAGCGCAGCGCAGCGCCGGCCGATAACGTGGTCTGGCGCCCCGCCTCCCTCCGCGCGCGCGCGCATGCGGACGGTGTGCCGGACGGAAGCGGTACCCCCTATCAACGGGTCTCCCGCGTGTGCGCCGGCGGTCGCGGCCCCGCGAGCGAGCGCTTCCTTCGGAGTAGGTAGGTAGGTACATCGTACAACGCCTCCCGCCCGTCCCGTTCCCGCCCGGCAGGCCAAGGCTAGGGCTGCCTGCTTGGCCCGGCCGCGCCTCGGCGATGATTTCGCTTCTACCCCCTTTCCTCCCTCCCTCTCCGTGTGTGTGTCTCGCTGCGTGTGTGTGTGTGTGAAGAGAGGAGGGTATGATGCAGCCTTTTTTTTTTTTGGTTCCCCTCTCCTCATCATCATAGGTTGCCGCGCTCGGCCTGTTCGCGCTCGATGGCCTCGAAGAGGCTCTTGAAGTTGCCGGCGCCGAAGCCGTCGAAGCCGTTGCGCTGGATGATCTCGACGAAGACGGTCGGGCGGTCGAGCAGCGGCTTCGTGAACAGCTGCAGCAGGTATCCGCCGTCGTCGTAGTCGATGAGCACGCTGAGCCTCTCCAGCGTCTCCAGCTCCGCCTCCGACAGCGCCCACGCCCGCCCTCTACCGCCCTCGCGCAGCCGCTCCCGCAGCGCCGCGTAGTACGTCGCCGGCACCGCGATGAACTCGACCCCGCGCGCGCGCATCGCCGCCACCGCCGCCACGATGTCCGCCGTCAGCAGCGCGATGTGCTGCACGCCCGGCCCCGCGTTGAACTGCACGAACTCCTCGATCTGCGACTTCTTCTTCCCCGGCGCCGGCTCGTTGATCGGCATCTTGACCGCCCCCGCCGCGTCCGGGCTGCTCATCACAACGCTCCGCAGCGCGCTGTACTCGGTGCAGATCTGGCTGTCGTCCACGCTCCAGAAGCGCCGGAACGCCAGGCACCGCTCGTAGAACGCGCACGCCGCCGCCATCTCGTCCCACCCCTGGTTCCCGACGCAGTGGTCGATGCGCTCCAGCGCCACCGCCGGCGCCGTCACCGACGACGGTGGCGCTGCGCGCGCCCGGAACCCCGGCAGGAACACCCCCGAGTACCCGCGCCGCTCGACGAGCGTGTGCGTCGTGTCGCCGTACGTGCGTATGACGGCGGTGACGACCTCGCCCGCCGCGTCGCCGTCCGCCTTGGACCCGCGCAGCGTCCGCGGCTCTTGGACGGGTGCGGCGCCCGCGGCGACCGCGGCCTCGAATACGGCGCGCGCGTCGTCGACGGCGAAGGCGACGTCGCGGACGGCGTCACCGTGGCGCTCCAGGTGCGCGTGCATCTCCGCCAGCAGCTCGCGGTCCTGCGGGTCCATCGCCGCGAGCTCGTCGGCCGGCAGGTGCGCGTGCGAGCGCACCGGCGACGTGAACACGAAGCGCACTTCACCGTTGGCCACGACGTGCGACGCAAAGTACCGGCTGCCCGTCTCGAGTCCGCGGTAGGCCACCGTCCGGAACCCGAACAACGTCGTGTAGTACGACGCCGCCTGCTTCGCGTTGCCCACCCACCATGTCACATGGTCGTAGCCTTGGAAGTTGGCGACCGCCTCAGCATGCTGCGGTTGTGCGGTGAGGTTGTCACCAGCCCCAGTCGACGCCGGCGGAGTTTCTGTTAGTGCCCCGGGAGCCATGACTTAGGAGAGGGAGAGGGAGAGGGAGAGAGTAGAGCAGAACGTGAGAGTGTGTGTGTAAGTGTGGGCGTGTGGGCGGGTGTAGCGATATAGAGATGGGTTACGGCTTCGTGAGCGGGGTGGACTCGTAAAGGAGAGGAGGGATATTTCGATATATGAGGACCGCTCGAGACGGAGTAATTCCAGCAAGGGATACAGGCCGGAAGGTCGGCCGGCGAGTAGTTAGACAAGATGAGGACGGTAAATATCACAGCAGATCCCGAGCCAAGGCAATGTGCTTACTCTCGATACAAGATGACGTACGGGGAGGCGAGGGAGGAGATAAGGACGACCGAGACTGTTCGCGGAACACCTCCATTTAAACCTCTCGTGCGTAGTCTACCTACGCCCGGTATACGGGCTAGGCATATCCTAGCTATATTACGAGAGATCTCGGAAGGGACGGCTATCGAGGGAAGGGTAACGTGATCGGCGTCGGACAGAATTCCGCACACCCTCCCTTGAGCCGCCGCCGTGCTCGCACTCGCTCGGGCGTGCCAGGGGCGGCGCAGTGCGTCGACCAGCAGGAGAACATTACCGTCCCTGGGGAGATCCGGAGAGTGATACGCTGTTTATGCAGGTTATGCGTACGCTTGGTGGATAGATTACCAACAGGCCTACCTCAGTCCGGCTCGGTCTTACCTGAGTCTGACCTACAGGGTCTAGATGAGCGCATACAAACGACGGACCTTCTAGCTAGGCGAGGGAGCGTGAAGGAGGGCCGTCCGGCCACCTGGGAACGGGGGTTGGCTCGTTCGTAGCAGCGGCTCACCAGCAGCTCGGTTCCCGCTCCAGTGCTCCAAGCGGATACTGCATCTCACCGCACCGCTAGCCCCCCCTTGGATTGCCCAATGCGTGATATTCGATTCGTAACGTGCGTCCATGCGCCTCGTGCTTTGTGGTTGTTGCTTCGCTGGCGGCGCGCGAGAACAAAGGGGGGCCTCAGGCGTGTGCGTTTCGTGGAAGTGCCGAAGCTAACCGTGTCCCGTCCTACCTCCGCCGCCCTACCCGATGCCACCCATGACCCTCTCCAGGCGTGGGTTGACACGGTTAGAAGGGGGGGCGGAATGCCAGGCTGGACTCGGTAGGTCCAGCGCCCGGCGGCCTTAGGTTATCACGCGTACATACATGAGTCGTCTTCGTTGCCAAGTTCTGAGACGACCAGGTCGTCAGCAATCGGGAATAGAGCCAAGGCGGAAAGGCCCACCGCCCCAGGCTTGCCGCGACCCAACCCGTCGCCAAGCCTGCCGTGGCCCATTGAGCTCTAATACCGGTGAGGTAGAAGGCCGCTCGTCTAGAGCCTGTTTGCTGCTTGCTATCGTACCCTCCCTCTTAGCACATGATTCTATTGAAATACCTCGTGCCTCACTCTTTCATAAGCTAGCTGATTCTACCCCCTCTACTCCAATACCGACGTACAAAGACTCCTATACGCTCCAGTCTTCCTTGTGCCCTCCTCTCTGCTTAATTATTCCTTCTAGACACCGCCGACATGGCTACGACTTCGCTGAGCCGTCGCGACTTCAACGTGCTTGAGAAGATCAGGGACCCCGAGGCAAATCCGTTGACAACAATTCTCGTAGATTCGACCCTGCCCAAGGATCCGAATATAACAAATGCGGATGTCTACCATCGCGTCTCCCAAAAGGAGCGAGAAATTGTGTTGGCCATGCAGAACTTGGAGACGCAATTGGCCGGGTCTGAACTAGCGTCGACGGTGGACTCCTTCGGCGCTGAATATCGCCGATGCGTGTCGAGGCTTGGAGAGCTGATCTCGGAGCACCCCAACTACGCCAGCGCCCGAAATAACCGGGCACAAGCCCTTAGGAGATTGTACGGGGATGCGATGCTCCTATCTGGCGATGGAGGCCCTCGAGGCTTGCTATCGGATGTCGGTAACGCCGAGAGACGCGAAGCGGCGGAGCTGGCCCTTGCCGACCTCGATACAGCAATCAAGCTACTGACACCAAAAAGCCTATTTGGCGCCATCTCGCCTCAAGCTGGGAAAACTCTCTCTCTAGCACATACCCAGCGGGCGGCCATCTACCACATGACTTCCAAGTCGTTGAATGCCGACCGGGTAGTCGATGTTTCTGGGCGGAAAGAAGCGACGTGGGCCATGATCGACTTCGAAGAAGCTGCGTCAAGCGACTTTGCGCTAGGAGGAAGATATGGGAATGATATCGCGAAAGGGTTGGCCGTGAGCACAAACCCGACAGCTAAGCTGTGCGGTCAGATGGTGAGGGAAGCTATGAAGAAGGAATACGGCCCAGCATATGCGGCATGAGAAACCGGGATGCTTTTTGGTGGCGTTGAAGGAGAGACTGCGTGAGGTCCGTTCTTGAGAAGCTTGCGGTGTCGAGAGCGTGGGGGTAACGGTGGTCCAAGAATTATTCGCGGCATGTATAGTACTGCTTCCCGGGATGGTCTTGGAGTAGGATATCACGTAAACATGTCTGGTCCGCGGGGGGGGGGGGGGGGGGGGGCGTCATCGAGACGATTCGAGAAGACGACTTGGCATCTAAACGCGGCACCACTTCTAGGGATGCCATCCCAACGACCATGCGCCTTCTCGGCGCCGGACCGCCAGGTCTGATTACTTGAACAGGCTACTTAACCGCCTACAGGGGGGAGGTTAGAATTCACAGTTACCATGAGCCAACGCTGCGGCCAGTTGCGTACCGTTTGCCTGCTTCGATCGTCTGCTCTGTAGTCTTGCCCTTCTCCTTTGCTTCGCGGTTGATCCTCGTCACAGTTGCCCCGAGTCCAATCAGGAGGGCGAAGATAGGGTCACCCACCCGAGAGATAATATAGGTCGGCGGAGCCATGGTTACGGATGACGGGAGTGGCCCTGCGTATGTGGTCCCAATCTCGGTGATATCGGGTGAGATGCTCTTCAGCGTGGCTTATCTAGTAGACGGGAATTCGCTAATCTTGGGTGGCAGGAGAGGTTGGCTGTCGATCAGTGTCGGCGCATCTTGGACAGGAGTGAGTTGAAGGTGGGACGGCGAGGAAATCCATGGATAAGAAGTGGTGGGGAAAATGGAACTGCAGGCTTACCTTAGGTAAGCTCACAACATAGCGGGATTAATCGATGGACCGAAAAGCATGGATTAAGTAATATTGAGACGGATGTGGATGGAGACAGTCCCACTTCACCCATTTCAGCCAATCAACGGCAAAGCCCTTCCCTTCGCTTAATTTTCTCAGGCACAAGATTCGATTTCCTCTGTCATCGCGAACCTTCACTCAGTACCTTAACGACCTCTTCAACGACCAATTAAGCCAGCCTACCTCGCTCCTCTCCCGTCCGACCTCGTTACACCCCACATCGACGACGACGACGACAGCATACCTCGACGCCGAAGATGAAGTTCCTCAAGGTTGGCCGAGTAGCCATCATCACCCGCGGCAGATACGCTGGTAAGAAGGTATGTTCAGAGTCGAATAGAGAAAGAGGATAGAAGAAGAGGGCAGGGTGCAGCAGGACGGCGAAGGCAATTTGCGCTAGCTCTAGCAATCAACACCATTCCCTTCGTTATTCCAAGCACCAGGACCGCAGATGGACAGATGGGAAAGAAGCGGAACAAGAAGAAGAAATGCCCTATGGTCACCACCTTAACCCCCCACCCCCCTCCCCCCCCAAAAAAGAGGCTCTATATATGTCTACCTACTATGCCCAATACGCTTCCGCTTCTCGATAGCCAGACTGCAGAGGAGGAAATACGGAACGCTATTCTGACCTGGGCCTCGCCCTTTCTCTCGCTGCGCAGGTCGTCATCATCCAGCCCGTAGACAACGGCAACAAGGTGCACCCGTACGGCCACGCCCTCGTCGCCGGCATCGAGCGGTACCCGGCCAAGGTGACCCGCCGGATGTCCAAGGCGCGCCAGGAGCGGCGCTCCAAGATCAAGCCCTTCATCAAGGCCGTCAACTACAACCACCTCATGCCCACGCGCTACACGCTCGAGCTCGAGGGCCTCAAGGGCGTCATCACCACCGACACCTTCAAGGAGGTCTCCCAGCGCGAGGACGCCAAGAAGAACGTCAAGAAGGCCCTTGAGGAGCGCTACACGAGCGGCAAGAACAAGTGGTTCTTCACCCCGCTGAGTACGTCTCCCTTAGCTCTTTCGCTCTCCTACCTATCCGCCGCCTGCCGTCTGTCGGACGCGTAGACCTTCCTATCTCCCATACGCACACGCTAACCAATCACCTCCCGCCGCCGCCAACAGAATTCTAAACCCAAGGACAAAAAGCAAAAAGAAAAATCATTTGGTCTGCATTACTTCCGTCGTCATCGTCGTTCCGGGTACACCATCTCAAGGGAAAGGAAGGAAGGAAAGGGGCGGTTTCTCTCTGATCTCGGATGTAAATTCGCATCTTCACCATTATCACCACCACCACCATCATCCTCTTCCTCCGCGGCATTAGGAGCCTAAATAAAAGGAGGCGTTGTGTCCTTTTTTCTTCTCTGAATACGAAGGCATCATTCATGGCAAGAAAAGAGAGAACGAGAGCAGTAGACGGAGCGTGGGACGCGGGCACGGCGGTAGTGGCGGCGGCGGCGGCACCGCGAGTGGAAACGCTTCCCTCTACTTCTGTGGCCGTTGTACCTATCGTAATATTGGGGCGTACGTGATTTGACTTACGGGCAACAATCCTATACCCTTCTAACCGCCCTCCTAGAATGAGTACGAATTCTGCATACGTGAAGACACTACTTGTCGTATCATCGGACGAACCATGTTAGCCGAACTATTGGCAAGGGTGCTGACCTGAGAGGTATTGGGAGTAAAGGACATACAAACTAATTTCGCCTCCACCATTTTCCGCGTTGCCTTGCTAATGCTGCGACTATTTCTACTGCAATCCCCTATCCCTCGTCATCCAACTACTAGTACTACTGCTACGTAACCACCATCCGGTGAGACACGGGCTATATGTGAGCGTGAAGTGATGGGCTACAAGGCAGTTTTTAGTTGCGTGTTCGTTCAGCTCTCGTTCCCCGAGGCCGTCTAAGTTACATGGCAATGGGCCCTTTCATGATGCGAGCAGAAGCAATCCGACCCATGTGATTGACGCCTGTCTGCTTTCTATAGCCGTACCGATGACCGCGTTGGCTACTTCTTTCGTGAGAGCCCGTCCACTAAACAAACGGAAAAAAGTCAACCCCCAATTAACTTCCTCTCCGCGACCGTCGTCTCGAAAATGTGCAAGTATGTACTCGAAAAATCAAGGCAGCGCACACCCGGTCATCAGAGCGCATGCCCGTCCTACCCGGCCCCTATAGGTCCGTGGCGTGATCCTCCTCTACCTAGAATAGTATAAAGGCATACGGTCCGAGGGGAGCTTCATTTGTCACATAGTCCATCATGAGGATACACCGAACTTCTCCGCGGCGCCAGCGATGTACTGGGACGGATCATAGTCGGGGGCGTATGTAGGAGCCAAGCCCCCAAACAGGATGAATACGAACAGCACCACGGATCCGACCACGATAACTTTGCGGAGGGCAGGGCGGGCAACCCCGAACTCGGCCCACTGTCGCCCAGCCTCGCTGGCGTATCCCTTGAGGGCGTCGAATCCGAGCTTGTAGTAAACCATGCCGGCGAGGGCAATGGAGTAACCAAAGGCCTGGAGGCCAGATACAGGAGTGCCCCAGATGGCCATGGACGCGAGGACGAGCATAACATCCTTGAGGACGCCGCAGAGAGTCATGATGACGGCAGACGTCTTCCCAATCTATACCAATTGTCAGCAGCAATACCGATCCGGGTTCGTGCCTGAGACTTACCAGGAAAACGACGGAGACGTTGAGGAGGAAGGCGCAAAGGCCATTGAGGAAGAAGGTGAAGATACCGACGTTGTTAAACTCGGCCAGGGAAACCCTGGGAAACTCCCACACGAGTGCCACAACACCGTTCATGGCGGCGCAGATCGGGGCGAAGTAGAACAGGGAAACGAGGGGGTCCATCTTGTACTCGGCAGAGCTTAGCAGCGCCTGGACCAAGTTGAGGCGGATGGCCTCGAACATGAGACCGCCAAGCTGGTATAGGAACCCGATCCAGACGAACTTGATCTCGCCAAACGAGGCGATCATAACACCGACGACAATAGCAGACACGTTGAGGAGCTGCCTGAGGTTCGGGGGCGCGAGGCCCATGGCCCAGCTCGAAAGGAGTACAGCGACCGGAGTGGTAGCCTGTCGAAGTCTAGCATCAGCAAAAAGCCACGCGCAGAATCGAGATTGCTCGAGATCCGCACCTTGATCATCTGGATGAAGGCGACGCTGAGGTAGAGGTAGGTCAAGTTGCCGCAGATTAAACTCAAGCTGAAGAAGACACCGATAGGGACGATGGCACGCAGGTAGACGCGACCGGTCATCTTGACGGTTTTCCGACCGTCAAGGAGGGAGGTGTAGCGGGCCATCAGCTGGGTGGCCACCGTCGCAAACGTCAGGTGGTAGGTGGTGAGGATAACGGGATAACCTGTCGCACCATTAGGATCTCGCTCGTACTGGGTTGGTTAGGTCTTGCCCGAGGAGCCATCTTACGGAACTCGAGCGTGTCGAGGATCCACTTGTTGAAGAGGATGACCGACGACGACAGACCAATCCATGTCCTGTAGCCATTCGTCATTAGTTCACCCGGCCATAACTCGACGGCGACCGGAGAGGGATGTGACGTACGCAACATAGAAAGCCGGATGGATTGTGGGCTTGGGCGGCTGAGGCTTCTCGGCCTCGGGGTTCGTAGTGGGCAAGATCGGGCCCTTCTGCTCTGGCCGAGGAATCTCGCCGGAGGTGCGGCTCTTCTCGTCGGCCATGGTTGCTGCTATGATGGTTATGGATTCTAGTGCTCAAAAAATGTGATGTGGTGGTGTGCAGTCGAAGGCTTGGATTTGGAAAGGGGGTATGGTATGCTCGGACGTGTACGGGTAACGAGAGAGAGAGAGAGACAAAGAGGAAGTTGAAGTTGACAGAATACGGACAGGAACGAGCGACAAGGCCAAGCCGGCGGAGGGCCAATTAAAGAGTTGGAAATGAATCGGGGGGTGGCGGTACCCGGGGGCAGGTCCAAGTTCACAACCCGCAAGTGTGCCACAGGAGAGGAACTCTGGTTCTGTCTTTCCACTGCCTCCAAGAAAAGGCGAGTTTGTGCGGAGGAGGGAGGAGAAGGGTCGTCGACAACCGGGGGAGGGGGAGAACAGGAGGAGACGATTGCGGTTGGAAGCGCAGAGGGATAAGAAGAGGACGGAATAGAAGAAGGGTGGAAAGAAGATGGTACGGCTAATAAATTTTCATTTACGAGCTGCGTTCGCGTCGACAGGGCTCCTGGGGGAGGGCCAAGGCGTGCGTCGAGGACGCAACCTGACGCCCTCTTGGGTCCGGGCTGGCTGTCCGGGTACGTAGGTACATATGCAGCCAGGTATGTGAACCCGCACCCACCTCGATAGATTTCAGCGCATTATGCTGGGATCATAAGTTGCCATCTGCACACAGATGTACCTCCCTGACACCTGGTGGACACCCTATCGTCGTCGACTGGGCAAGGAGGTGGGTACCTACCTACGTACCTAGGTACCTAACCTCCTGCGTACGTTTAGTACGTAAGGTAGGTACCTGCCTACCGTCTATTGGGTGCGTGAGGTAGGTGGCACCTAAGATAAGCTACCTACCTACCTAAGGTAATGCCGAAGGGTGGACCTCCTGCCTGTAGGCATGTATAGTACAATCCGCGGGAGGTACGTGCGAGGTACCGTGCTCTCGCGAGCGTACCTCATCCCGCACGGTTTTAGCCCCAAAACCCGCCCCAATTGAATCTGAGCTTTCCAGCACGGTCGCATCGTAAGTGCGTGCTGTGGCGGGCGAGCCTAAGCCCGCTCCGTACGGCGTATATAGGTACCTACCTACCTACCGTTATGTATAGGCTGGGGGTACCTTGGCCTCCGCTAGATAATGGGCAGGTACCTTATATGTAGGTACCCAGAGGCGCCTAATATCAGGTGCTATAGGCAGGTGTTATACATGCTGCACATTAGGCGGTACCTACTCCCCGTCCCCCCCTAGATTCCTGCGGTCAGGGGGGCCACATGTGAATTCATAATACTTGCACATGGAATTGCATAGCAGTTGTGCCTGAACCGGGACAAGTGCGCCGCAATCACATCACGAAGCGCGCACGACAAGATTAAACCCGGAATCACCAACTGCCACTTCGTAATGTCCTGCCCGCTTCCCAGGTCGACCGGAGCCTCCCATGTCATCATGAGCCTGCCTTCTCTCGTACACCCCCGCGACGCGACCACCTACCACTCCAATCCGGCCGGGGCTCGAATCAACCGCCTATACCATGAGTACGGCACGAGTGGGATTCCATCGTTACCACTCCACATAGAGACATATTAACTTGTCCGCTCCTCGTGTACCTCCGTGGTGCTGGACACACGGGGAGTGGGTATTGTTTGTTTCAAATCTTATGCGACACCCTGAGGTCGGTACCATGCACAGCGCCAAGCGCTACGGGCTACAACATCGCCGGGCCACTTGGTTCAGTCGCATTCCTCTTCAACCCTATCTTGGCGATCGATTCTCTCGAACAAGCTATCCAAAAAGACCCGGTGCACCATGCTATAGTCGAGGAGGCACGCCAGGTAAACGCTTAAGACAGGTTGGATGTGTCTTTTTTGTTTTCTCATCTTCTCCCTCGGATTTCTGTGCTGGGTATTACTCGCTCGGCCTCACCACCCCCCATTTGCCGATCATCACTTCGATCTGGCATACCACTAAATTCCTGACGCGGGACGTCGCCATCTGGCTCTAGGGGGAACAAAGCCTCCACGATGTATCACCTCCGCTTCTGCCCGTCATATCTGATGTTGGCCAGATACAGACGAGTTGGGGCGGGTGGCTGAGCGGGTGCGCCCCGTGCTGGTCGTTATCGTCTGGCGATGTGACGTATGCACATAGCAATAGGGGAGGCAAGGGGAGAAGAGAAAGGAGAGGAGAGGAGAGGAAATGTTCATCTCGGACAAAGATGATTCTGATCCTGGCCGGGCTATCTCAACACCACGTAGGTACATACGTAGTAAGTCGGGATCGAAGCGTGGGTGGAATAATTCGACGGGGTTCATTCGGACCTGGATCGTCGTCAGCGCCCCCCAGAACTGGGCTCTGGGCGTGCTCCGGGTGTGCGGTCGTCAGCGCAGAAGACAGACTTGTTTGCTCGCATGAGACGTCATCAGACGGATGCGCGGTCCAGAAATACGAGACAGCACAAGGCCATATAAGCTTCCGAGGCCACGTATTACGGGTGGGATTTGGGACGAGCCCTCAATCTACTCTCGGTATCGAGGCGCTCCATCGCTGCAAGCCACGACGCCCGCATCTGACGACAAGATTTCTCGAAACAATCTGGTCGTCCCCAATCCGGGCGACTGAGCTCCTCTCGCGTTCCATGTGGGGCGGATGGCTGCTCATGGCTATGTACCCTGCCCGTAATGGCTTCTGCCCGCCTATTGAGTAAAATTCGACGCCGGCGCTCCTCCATGTCGCTGTAGCCAGACTACCTGGCTTATATTTTAGGTGCCTAAATTACCTGTGAGTTGGTATCCGTTCGTTAATCCTCGAAGGACATTTTATTGCGTCAGCTGCATATCGGCCTTCGCAGGATACCTACCGAACACGGCAAACAGCTGTTGCATCGTTATGTACATCCATTATAATGCCTATGATACGTGGTGCGTAAGTACGTGTGCGTATATAGGTGCGTGAGGAGGTTAGGCCGTTGAACGTGGTTGTTCACATGTGGTCGAAGCCCATGTAGGTATCTCGACCGGGGCCGGCTATCTTATGAAGTACCTACCTCTGGACATTATTCCGGGTGGTATAGATGGGGATTCTCGTCTTGCGTGTCCCGCCTACTGAATCATGCAAGGCGTTAGTTATCTATCTATATAATGCGAGATAATTGCTCGTGGCTCGTCCCGTCTATCACCAACTTAAGTCCCCCCCAGACGACCCGTAATCTTGAAACCTTTTGGTTGGGCCATTGCGCTCTCGTTACAGCGGATGCCATCTCATGGGTGCATGTACATGCCTCAGGTGGGTAGTTTTGTGTCCATGACAGTATAAATAGATGGATCTTACAAGGCGGCGCGCTGAGCCACTGGTTAGATCTGCAGTATTAGTCGGTACCTGTTTCGAAAAAGAAAAGAAGAAAACGGACGCTTTCTATTTCCTGAATCTAACCTCCTCTCTTTTTCTCCCTAGGTCCGTCCCCCTTCCCCTTTTTGCCATTTGGCATCTTGTAGTCGAATCGGCTGAGGGTTTGTTAACTCCCCCTTCCGGCTCCCTTCCGATGATCAACTATACTTTAGACCATTCGCCACTTTGATCTAGGCATTTCCGGAACTACGCGTAAAGATTCGGGATCTTCCGTAGGCGTCTTTAGATTCCCTGATAGTTTGGCAAGCTTGCTCATAAACGATACATAAATAAACGTGAGACGGCGGCTTTTCCGACTAGTCGAATCGCCAGCGTAGATCTCGCGGGACTGTCCAACCCCGAAGCGTCAGCGAGAAACCAAGTTTGAGGCGATGTGTGTGGTTTTGCCGACACCAACGCCATACCGACATGCGTAGGTAGTTTCTGTGATCGGAAAGCAAGATCGACAGCCAGCCCATGCAGATACTTGTGAGAAGAAATAGCCAGCGACGTGAACATTGGCGGGACACGACCTTATCGAAATTAAACGATCTTCTTCATAGACCTAATTTGGGCTGAGATGCAACATGTTAATCGCACGCTGGCGGGGGCGAGCAGCGGGAGGAATGGAGGGTAGCGCATATCGGAATTACATCCACATACATATACCTATGGTTACGACCACAATGTATACCTACCTCCTACGTGTGTATTGACGGATGTACTCCGATATTAGTTCTTTATTAGGGGTAGATAGTTTCAACGCCAACTTTGCTACGATAGGGGTTCTAGAGCTGGCTGGTCTCTGGTAGACTCTGCGCCGCCGGTACCCACCTTCTGCCTAGCCCGCACGGCACCTGTCTAGCACGGCACGATTCGGGGTTGCGATAGACGACGGGCGGGACGTTTACGGGTAAAAGCCACCTCTACCTACAGCCTCAACACTGGCTAACCGACCAGCCTAGCCCGGACCTCTCCGTAGGTACATTACACGGCAAGGCGTTTATCGTCGCCTATCCCGCTTGCCGAGTGGCTCGCCGAAGCGCGAAAAGAAATAAAAGGAAGGGGAAATAAAAGCAAGAAAGAGACATTGCTCTCTGGCTCCGTCTGCAGGCTGGTGCGTTGCCTTGTGGGGACTACGCGACGGAAGACTATCCTATTCTAGGAGGAGAAGCTTTTGCGTAGTAGATGTCGTGCTCGATAGCCCAGGTACTCCAGATTGGCCTGTGCCAGGGACTGCGGAGGATGAGGTGGGTGTGTGATTCATCTTATAACGAAATTGCAGGGCAGGGGGTTTCCCGGCGTTCTCGTCGACGACAGGTCTGGTTTTGCGCTTGTTGCTTATAATTCCACGCCGGTTTTGCTCCTACCAGCACCCCATCATTTTTCACATGCAACGTCAGGTTCACGCACTCGTACATAGCCTACATGTGTATACATGGCTGACGCAGCACATGGACCTATAGGACAACCATCCAGCGATTGTCATATCTTGATGATGGAGGGACTCACGAAGTGGGCGATAAGTAGGGAAGACTCCCCCCCTCCCCCCTGAACTCCCCGTCATGTCATACTACCCCTGACTGACAATTGGTCAAGCGTATCCCAGCTTTCCCAGCTTTCCAGGGAGAAGGGAGACTAGCGGCTGCCCCCTTGGATAGGCGGTATTCACTAAAATAACTGAAATAAATATTCGCAAATAAATAGGTGTTCGCTACCCGACTTACTACCTACATGAGGTAGTAGTTTGTATATAGTCCACCATGTGTCAGTATGAGAGGATGTGTGCCTCGAGCAAAGTTTCGACGGCAAGCCTGTCGCATCGGGACCCTGCTGCAGGTTAGATGAGCCCATTCGCGCCCCCGTCTGAAGGACGAAGGGAGGTGGAAGCGGGAGTGATCTGAAATAACTCTATCTGTGCTCCCAACTTGCCATGCCTACTCGTAGGTTGGGTATGGGGGTACTTCCTCCCTACATCCCGCCTTGGCTGCCACACATGGCTTGGGCAACTCTCAAGGTTAGCAACTTGGTATTCTACAGAGTCTGGGGTTTTTGTGAGTACGATGATGGGTGTGTGAGTTACGGTGTGGACGTGTTAGGGTTGATAGGAAGGCCCGCCTCGAGGAGTTTCTCTTAAGTAAGGCACACATTGTGCATACTCTCTCGATAGACTGGATTGGTACGCGAGTGGGAGAGGCCTGCCGACCTGCCTCTATTAGAGCGTGGACCAGCTTCGGGCGTCGGTACGGTCCATACTCATAAGGTGGCAGGTATGCACAACCCACCTCGTCTTCGCCCGTATGTCGTGATTTGGCATTTCGCCCACAGACGCACAACAATCCTCGTAGGTAGTACAATTAAGCCTGGTACCTGACGATTGACCCCGTCTCTCGCCCGAGAGGCCAGGGAGCCTACGTTGTATGGGTAGTCGAACAGCAAGCCCTCGCTTCCCCCCCCCCCTTGGTTCTGCGTGGTAGAGGAGATATATCTAATGTAGTATTGGCCTGGCCTTAGGAGGCAGAGCCAGGGTACTATGCAAAATGCCACCGACGGGACATTACCCTAGGTGCCTCAGGTACCTTAGGTACCCGTCTGGGTACCCATCTCAGGTACCTAACCTAGTACCTTATATGCGTGCGTGCCAGGGATCCAGCAGGTGGGACTTGTCCTACAAGTCGATGTACCCAGGTACCTAGGTCGTCGTATCAGTTGTCCAGTCCGTCCAATCACCCGCATGAGTTTTGCCAAGTGGCATGGCCGAAGAGAGACAGCGGATCGCAGTGGGTGGGACCAATGCGCACATACCCCTTTTAGCGTGGTACACCTGCTCATAAACGCATCCACACTTTTAGCCCACTGCCCCTCCAAAATATTATACAAAACACACTCTCTGTTCTCCCGAGACTCTATTTTTCGCCGGAGCCCTCTTTTGTCTGCCACCACCAACCGTCCCATCTCTGTGATAGACAAGCCCGTACAGACTCGAGCTGGACGGCTGCGTTACAGTCGCCTTCAACCATTCCTCTCCTCGTTCCAAGCCCTCCCTAGCACTGTGTGGTGGTAGAGGTCTCCTCTCATCCTCACAGCTTCCCCCACCTCCGACCGGATCCTGCAAAAGGAGCTGAGACAAGATGTGTGCAGACATGTGAGTTTTCCCTCAGCCTGGGCTTGGGATGACACTTTACCTGGTGGTTTTGCCGTGCCGCATCGGACAAACCTAATTGACTGATATCGGATTGTGTAGCAACGTTGATGTTCTCGTCATCGGTGCTGGGCCTACGGGTCTAGGTGCTGCGAAGCGCCTCCACCAGCTGGTGCGCCTCACCGCCTCTCAAATTGGTCCCCGGCATCGTGAACTGACCTTTGACATAGAACGGGCCTTCGTGGCTGATCCTTGATTCCAATGACAAGGCTGGTGGTCTTGCCTCGACTGATGTCACTCCAGAGGGCTTTGTACGTCTCTTTATCACAACCGCCTCCTCCCCTCTTGCCTAGCAATCCCCTGACGTTGGAGTTTGTGGTAGCTCTATGATGTGGGTGGGCACGTTATATTTTCACACTACAAGTACTTCGACGACTGCATTGATGAGGCCCTTCCCAAGGAGGATGACTGGTATACCCACCAACGCATCTCGTATGTCCGCTACAAGGGCCTCTGGGTCCCTTACCCTTTCCAGAACAACATCTCCATGCTCCCCAAAGAGGATCAAGTGACGGCCCTCGAAGGCTTGATCGACTCAGCCCTGGAGGTTCGTGTTGCGAACACGAAGCCCAAGGACTTTGACGAATGGATCCTTCGCATGACAGGTGCAGGCATCGCCGACATGTTCATGAGGCCGTACAATTACAAAGTCTGGGCTGTTCCTACCACTAAGGTAAGCAGCCAACAGTCTCCTCTACCCCTGCACTTGGCTAGGCTTCTCCCCTAACGCGTGAACTATAGATGCAATGCCAGTGGCTCGGAGAGCGTGTTGCCGCCCCCGACGTCAAGAATGTGGTCAAAAATGTTGTTCTGAACAAGGTTGCCGGCAACTGGGGACCGAACGCGACGTTCCGCTTCCCCGCCCGAGATGGTACTGGAGGCATATGGATTGCCGTTGCCAATACGCTCCCCGAAGAGAAGAAAAGATTTGGCGAGAAGGGTGCAGTGACCATAGTTGACGCCGACAAGAAGGTGGTGACTCTCAAGGACGGCACGACGATTGGTTACGAGAAACTCATCTCGACCATGAATGTTGACCAATTGGTCGAGTCTATTGGTAACCAGGAGTTGGTTTCCCTGAGCAAGGGTCTTTTCTATTCTTCCACCCACGTCGTCGGTGTAGGTCTCCGAGGCGCACGGCCCGATCGCATCGGCGACAAGTGCTGGGTAAGTCGTTTCAGCGAAAGCGAGAAGTTGAATATGGAGACTGACAGTCTTAGCTCTATTTCCCCGAAGATAATTGCCCTTTCTACCGCGCGACTATTTTCTCGAATTACTCTCCTTACAACCAGCCGCAGGCTGACGTCAAGCTCCCTACGATTTCGATCGCAGATGGTAGCAAGCCTACGAGCACAGCGCCCAAGGAGGGCCCTTATTGGTCCATCATGCTGGAGGTGTCGCAGTCGTCTTTGAAGCCTGTGGATGAGCCAAACCTTCTCCGGGACTGTATCCAAGGCCTGATCAACACCGAGATGATCAAGCCTGAAGATGAGATTGTCTCTACCTACCATCGCAAGTTTGATCACGGCTACCCTACGCCCACTCTTGAGCGTGAGGGTGTGCTGAAGCAACTTCTCCCCAAGCTTCAAGACCTAGACATCTACTCTCGCGGCCGATTCGGCAGCTGGCGGTACGAGGTCGGAAACCAGGACCATTCTTTCATGCTAGGCGTCGAGGCCGCGGACCACATTGTAAACGGCGCGGTCGAACTGACGCTGAACTACCCCGACTTCGTCAACAGCCGCCAGAACGGGGAGCGTCGTCTTGACCAGGGCCCGCTAGCTGCTAAGAAGACGGGCGCAGCTAACCTAGCCATCCGAAACTAAGAGTTGAGATGTGAGACATATTGAAGGCATATTGAAGGCCTACGGAACCGTATGAATGATGTTGAACGAACACGTTCCCCGCCCCAGGTTTGCGGTGCTTGTGGGGTCCTGAGAGAGAGACTATTTTTTGACGGTAGCTGTGCGGGGAATACAACCGTCGCCTGTGTATGAGGGGGAGGTGCTGATGACACGTTTGGTTGGTTCCGACTTGAGGCGTTGCGACGAGAATGCGCGGCACTCCCGGCGGACACGTCTGCGCTTCTAGAGAGGAGGGTTTAATGATTAGAAGTATAGACTCACGAGCTTCCTGCCATCGCATGCTGTAGAGACGAAGTGGCTAGACAGGCATCGACCAATCAAATCAAGCAAATAAAAATACGACGGATACATATGATTCGATATGCGGACCCAGAATACCAAGAACATCAAATTCTAACGGTTCTCACTTATCATAACTAGGTAGGTTCTATGGTTAGCACCGTATAGGTCAGTTTTGTGGCGAGGAGATACGTGGAAGTCTGAGACTCATACTGCGCGCAACCCCTACATAACGGTGGGCATCTGTTGATATGTGCCGAGGTAGGTGCCCGGCTTGGAGGTGACAGAGACCTTATTACGGACCTAATTCGGTGTCTAAGATGGGAGGCTCTAACTGAAGCACAGTTTTTCATCTACGTGTACTATAGTGTACTATAGTTGTATCCTCTCACCTCCCCCTAGGTACGTAGCTTAGTAGGCCAAGGAAGAACATTGATTCACCCCTATCGAAACCTACCTAGACCTACCTAACCTACTACCTTACCTAGGTAGTTTGGGAAGAATGTGCGTTACGAGGTATGTTCATATATATATGGGTGTGTATATAGAGATATAGAGATATAGAGATAGCTCGGTATATACCTAGGTAGGTATACAATTGGGATGGGTGCGCGCCGAGGAAGGGGAAGAAGGTGGGACGCGGTCGGGATACGAAGTCAAGCAGGTCGGCAGGTAGATCTTTGTATTGCGCGTGACGAAAAGAGGGGCGACGACTGGCAAGTGAAACCTGTTTGTTAGTGCAGTCAAAGGGTCGATGCGGGTCGGAGACGGACCGTGTTCGGGTCGATACGTATTATATGAGTAGACGGCAACGGGGATTTACGGAACGCAAGCTAGTTCAACACGGCGTGTTGGCCCCTAGGAAAGGTACCTAAGGTGGGTTGGCATGTACAGTATCTGAGGTTGGATCGGGCGAGTCGGATAGGGGCTTCGGTATTTACACCTCTAAGTGCCTACATAATCAGAGGGGAGTACCTACAGGCACGTAGGAGGGACTTAGGGAGGCAGGTTACCGTTCTACAAATACGGTGTGAGCAGGTGGATTGCGAGAAGGGAGGGGAGGTGAGGAAGCGGGAAGTTTTAGACTGGGACATCACGCAAACGGACCAGCCCGCAGACAGCCAGCGCAACGTCAGGGACATTAATTATGCGGATATACGCAACGCAGACAGACATGCGCCTATGTACATATTCCGTATACCTGCAAGTTTATACAGAATCTCTCTGCCTGGCCCCCCCCCCCTATCCGATGTGTGTAATATACCTATGTCGTATGGGATGTGGGTTATGCAGCTGTGGAGGTAAGCTAGGCAAGTAAATTTGTAGGTTGGTAGGGCATGTGTAGGTGGCAGACCGACTTGCCTCCCACCTACCTACGTACAGGTAGCGATTGATTAGACGGCGAGTTAGGTAGGGAGGCTTGTGACCTCTCCTGTAGAATGGTCTCTGCTTCCATGTACATATCTTTTTGCACAGTGCATTGCGAGTTATGAGCAGGATATCCTTTGCTTCTCGTCCGTTGGATCAGCCAATTTTTTCCTTGTGCGACCACCGCCTAGCCACTCAAAAAGCGTCGTATTCTTGGGGACTTCTGGGGGGGCTGGCTCTGAAATAGTTGACTCCGTTAAAAAAATAAGCAGGTCGAGCGGATCACCGGATCGGGTGCTTTTCGTTGTTGCCATTCCCAGTGACGAGGTTGTTAAATTCTAGCACGATCCGGAGTCGGGCCGGGCGACCACCCCGATCTGAGCGAAGTTCCCGGGATAACCACTCTGGCCGATCCAGATCCAGCGCGACGCCCCGGGCGGAGATCGCTAGTGCCCCAGAGAGAGGGACGCGGAGAGAGAGAGACGAAGAGAGAGAAGGACGCAGAGAGAGAAAGAGAGAGAACGCGCGCCAGGGACAGGTCCCATCCGACCTCGACCGGAGACGAGTCATGTGTGTCGCGACGGCGGCGTCCTCGTCAATCCCCGCCCGCTAAACGACGTCGTGGTTGGCTCTACCTATGCGTGTCGAGACACGATGGACGGATCCTTGGCCATGTTGGATGACCAGTTCGATCCCCCGGCCAGGATATTCGAACGCCTCCGGCAGATAGGCAACTTTGCTTGGGACGAATCCAGGAGGCCATTTCATTCTAGCTACGATACCTGGTATCCTCCTCCCTCTCCTCCTTCCCCCCCCTCTCCTCTCTCCCCGCAGCGCCACGAGCCGGCGTGCCCTGTCTAACATGGGGCGTCTCTGTCTAGGTACATCTACGGCACCAAATTCGTCTCTCCCTACTCGACCGTTACGACGACAAACTCCCTTCAGGCCCTAGGCAATCCGCCCGCGATCGCTAAATTAGGCCCGAGCCGCACGTTGTCTGGCGACGTCTACGCCGCATTCTTACCCCACAGCGACGCCAGCAGCGAACGTTCTTCCACTTCGCCGCCCGCTCTCTCGACGCTCGCCGCCGACTTTTCCAACGTAGAAGCGCTCCCGATAATCGCACGCGTGTCCTACCATGTCCTTCGCGAGGAGAGGACATTCCACATTGCCAAGAACCTGATCGCTACCGCCGACCCCGACGGCGTGCACAATGTAAAGCCGATCGATCTCATCCGCCTCACCCCCCAGCCGGGCGATCGTGCGGCCATCATCGTGGCTATCTACGAAAACGCAGGCAAGAATTACCTCTTCAAGGCCCTAGATCTCGGGCCCGCCTTCTACTATGCGAAGAAAGTCGACGATCGATTCGAGGCTTATCGCAAGGAAGACTTCTCTCTCGATCCCCCCATCAGCCTAAAGGATTTCCTCGATTTTGCTATCGGCGCTGCTCAGTGCCTAGAGCTGCTACACCATGGCTACGGCATGGTCCACGGAGAGATCAGAGCCGACGCGTTCCACTTCAACGTCGAGACCAATAAGGTGAAGCTGATATCTTTTGGCTCTGGGGTGAGGTCGTTCGAACATGGACTCACTAGCACAGGATGGTCGACTCTTTCCAAGGAGCTCGGCGCCAAAAACAAACTAGTCTACATCAGCCCCGAGCAAACCGGCCGCATGCCCGCGGAGCCTGACACGAGGACGGATATCTATTCTCTGGGCGTGTTGTTCTGGATGCTTCTGACCCAACAGCCTGTTTTCACGGGAGCTACGCCGTTGGACATCGTGCAGTGCGTGCTGAGTCGCCGCATCCCCCTGGTGTCGAGTATCCGGACGGACGTGCCCGACGTTCTCGGCCGGATCATACAAAAATGCACCTCTAAAACCATCTCGGATCGATACCACTCGGCGAGTGGCCTACGCCACGACTTGCAGATGGTACAGAAATTCCTAGGGAATGGCGACTGGAAGGCCTTGAAGGAGTGGCGCATCGCCTCGAACGACATCTCGTCGTTCTTTATGCTGCCAACAACTATGGTGGGGCGCCAGAAAGAGCTTGACAATCTCGTGAAAGTCATCGAGAAAGTTGCAAAGAGCCATTCCCTTGGCAGCTTCGGGGCTACCAACCGGTTTTCGGATTGTTCAGCTCCGTCAAATGATCCCGCCGACACCGCCGACGTCTCTAGTGAAGGCGCGAGTTCTGCTGAAGGAGGGGCTCGACGAAGCGGCTCCTTCACTCGAACCAACACGTCAGATCCTAAACCATCGAGAAGTGTCGCCCAGTCCCCGGCGAACGGGGTAGACGTCCAGACTACATCCGGTGATACCGTCTCTTCGAGCCAATCCGGTCCTAAATTGCAACGGCCGTGGGACAGGCATCAATCCGTCTCTCTAGAATCAAAGAACGCTCTGGATTCCGTCGGCGAGCGCCAGTCTTCGCGACATAGCACCACAGATACCACTAGTCTTTCGAGGCAACTGGGGTCGGCGAAGTTTCGAAGGCGGGGACACTGCGAGGTCATAACTATTAAGGGTGCTGGGGGTCTAGGGAAAAGCTTTCTAGTTCAGCAGGTGTTGGCCGATGCCAGGAGAAGGGGTTACTGCGCGACGTCTAAATTCGACACGGCCCGGAGGACCGCGTTCGGGCCTCTACTTAAGCTCGTCTCGTCGCTATTCAAGCAAGTATGGGGAGAGAGAAACACAGAGACTCCCCTACATCGCGCTTTGAAGGACTACGTTCGGCCGATGTGGCCGGTGCTTCACAATCTTCTCGGGCTCCCGGAGTTCCTCCTCGGTCCACAAGAACCGGGGGCGGTCCGAGCCCCTTCTCTGGCGCACAACCTCACGAACGGTCGAATGAATCGGGGGAGTATGACTAGACGCAATTCATCTCCCATGAGCTCTCCGGGAAGGTCACATCTTCAGACCCAGAGCCCACGCGTATCGTCACAAAGCTCTCAAGACTTCTTACGGGGTGGTGCATCTACGAAGACGATCCGCCTCATGAACACTTTTCTAGATCTACTGAGGATATTTACGACTCACCATTTCGTCTGTCTGTGCCTCGACGACCTCCAGTTCGCCGACGACGAATCCCTCGAGCTGATCACCCAAGTGATTTCAGCCAGGCTTAGGATGGTTCTTATAATAACCTACCGGCCCGAAGAGCTGTCGCCAGAAAAGGTGCAAAAGATATTGCAACCGGCGGAGACTGAGGGTAAAGTGATACCGTTACCCTAAGTACGTACGTGTTCGGGGCTAACTCATCTCAGGACACCCCAAGTCTGGCGGCCCTAACATTACCAGGATTACCTTGGCGCCTCTGACCGAATCTGAGATTTTACAATACGTGGCATCGACGTTATGTCGGCCTCAAGAGGACGTCGCCTCTCTCGCTCTCGTTATCCAATCGAAGACCGCTGGTAACCCTTTCTACATGAGGGAGATGCTGAATGCCTGTTACCGCAGAAGGTGTATCTGGTACGGTTATAGGGAGAATAAGTGGTTATTCAACCTAGACAGGCTCTTCGAGCAATTCAAGGGCGAGGATAATTACGATGTCTTGAATACGGATTTCATCACTCGTAGACTGAGCGAGCTCCCCCCGGCTGCGCGGTCGATTTTGGCATGGGCTGCCCTCTTGGGCAATACTTTCTCATTCGGCCTCGTATGTCAGCTTCTGGCTGGCGTGTTTGATATCGTCGATGGCGGCAGCGACGAGCCGAATGCCAGTCTCTATCGCACCGTATATTCGAAACCAGAAGCAATAGCAGGCCTGCAAGCGGCAGTTAACGCCTGCATCATTGTACAAGGGGAGACCGACGACAGATTCCGGTTCGCCCATGACAGATACGTCCACGCCGCAGCGTCCTTGAAAGAATGCAACACTTCTCAAATGCACTTCGCCATTGCGGAGACCCTGCTGAAAAATCACGGATCCGAGAGTAAAGTGCGAGATAACACCGCCTCGCACATTGCCGAAGCGGTCGAGATCATTAAGTGCCGCGTCGATCTTCGCCAGCCGTACCGGAAGCACTTGATGGAATGCGCGGCGCTGGCTGTGGAGAACGGTGCGCGGCCGACGGCAGCTAAATATTACCACAGTGCCATAATGCTCCTGCAGCCGGACCCGTGGACAGAAGGCGTGGAAGACGTCGACTACGACGAGACCCTCCAGTTGCACCTGCGGGCGGCACAGTGCTATATCTACATGGGGAACAACATCGCTGCCAACAACCTCGCCAATACGGTGCTCCGAAGCGCGAAATCCCCCGAGGACAAGGCCCCTGCTTGGCTCCTCCAGGCGAGAGTCCAGGCCCAGAATGGGGATGCGGAATCGGCGCTCGCTACCTTGAAAGAATGCCTTTGCCAGCTGAAGGTCGAGTTCGACACCCAGCCGACCTTTGAGAAGTGCGACGCCGCATTTACGGAGGTGGCCGCCAGTATCAAAAGCATGGACCGGGCACAGATATCAACTCCGCTCGGGCCCAACGACCCTCGCGAGGTGATCGTCGGTGCCATCCTCGTAGACGCCATCAGTGCTGCTTGGTGGAGCGACACACTGGAATTCTACAACCTAGCGCTCACACATGTCAAGCTTCGTCTAAGGCGCGGCCGCTTCCCCGATGCTAGCACTGCTTTCCTCCACATCGCCTTCATCGCGTTGTCTCGGTTCAACATGGTTGAATTCGCCGCAGAGTTAGGCAGCCAAGCTCTGGAGCTCCTAGAACGGACTCGGGATCCCTACTCCGTCACACGCGGCTATATGATTTACGCTAACTTCATTAGCCACGTCCAGGTTCCGATCAGCGTTGCCGTCAATCACTCGGAGAGGTCGATTGAGTCCGCAGCCAATGCTAGTGATCGTATATCTGTCATCCTTAGTTACGGCCTCTCGTGCCAAATCAGGTTTTTCGCGAGTGAAAACGTCGTCTACCTGGAGTCGATTTGCCAATATTGCTGCGAGGAGATACCAGGTTGGCATCAGGACACTAGAGGCGGTGCTTTTCTGATAGCGGTAAGGCAGATATGTCGGGCGCTCCAGGGGAAAACGAATACCACCAACGCGGAGGCGGTGATGACTGACGAGCAACACAACTCGAATGTTTACAAGACGTGGCTCAACATCCAGACACGAAATGGCGGGCGGTCCGTCTTGATCTACGAGACGATGGAGATCATCGCGTTATTTTTATACGGCCACTACGAGAAGGCCTGTGAGATAGGACGTAGATGTCTCCCGAAGTTGGATCTGATCTGGTCCTCTCGTAACACCCGAGTCGTCTTGGTATTCCACGGCCTTGCCCTCGCCGGCCTCGTGCTGAGGAGGCTGAACGACCCGCGCACCGTCCCCGCCGACCTGAAGAACGAAGTTCAGGATACCATCATACAACTCGAGGGTCTCAACAAGAAGATAAAAGACTGGCAGGTGGTATCGGATGCTAACTATCTCCCTTGGTCGAAGTGGCTCGATGCACAGATCGCGGAGCTTCGTGAAGACCATGGCCCGGCTATCCGGCACTACGAAGCCGCGATGGATCACGCCTCGGAGTATAGTCTCCTTTTCGAGGAGGCCCTCGGGAACTTCTTGATGGCCGGCTTCTTCGTCAGGCAGTCCGCGAGGAGATCAGCGACGGCAGTGCTGAGGGAGTCGGTCGCTCTCTGGCGGCAACTAGGGGCAAGCGGCATAGCGCAGCATATCGAAGAGGATCATGCGTTCCTTCTTCAGAGCCCCACTCGCCATTCGAGAACCGCCGAAGTGGGCGTCCAGACCGATTTTGCCGGAGACTCGGCTTCCGTCACCTACGCGGCAGACAGCGAAGAGGTCCCCCAGTCGGTGCAGCCGGTGAACGTGGAGACAAAAGAAACCAGAATGGCTGCCTGGCGCGGCTCGACGCAACCAGAGGCGGGCGCTGGCTTACCCCCTCTCGACATGATCGACCTACACGCCATCCTGGTCTCGTCTCAGATCATCTCATCTGTCTTGCAAGTCGACGTCCTGCTCAAGACGATGTGCGACGTTATTCTCCAGACTTGTGGCGGATCCGCGACCCAAGCTGCCATTATCGTCCAGGACGAAGACGACTTGGAGGACAGCTGGTGTATCGCGGCTAGTGGCGACTCTGAAAAGGGCGCCACCGCCCACATCCCCGGGCAGCCGCTCGTAGGAACGTCGCTAGTCGCCGAAAACGTCGTCCTATACTGCGCTCGATTTCGCGAGTTCGTCTTCATCTCTGACCTCATTAGCGACGAGAGATTCGGTAACGTCAGCGAGTCCTGGCTGCAGAAAAACCCGCAGAGCAAAGCGCTCATCGCGATTCCCATCTGCCACGGGTCGAAGCCACTTCTCGGGGTCCTATACCTAGAGGGTGAGCCCGGCTCCTTCACAGACAGAAACATCACCATCCTACAGTTGCTCGTCAACCAGATCGGCATCAGCTACTCCAACGCCCTCGCGATGAAGGCGGTAGAAAAGGTGTCTTCCGAGAACGAAGCCATGGTGCGGATACAGAAGCAAGCGGTTTCCCAGGCCCGGGAAGCCGAGGCCAAGGCAAAACATGCTGAGGCTGAAGCTAAGCGCAACGTTAAAATCGCCGAAGAAGCAGCTAAGGCTAAAGGAATATTCCTCGCGAACGTATCTCACGAACTGCGCACCCCCCTCAACGGCGTGATCGGCAATTCGGAACTCTTGAGAGACAGCGACCTCAGCAAAGAGCAGCTCGAGATGGCGGATTCGATCCGCGTGTCGGCGGATCTGCTGCTCACGGTCATCAACGATATTCTCGACTTCTCGAAGATGGAAGCCGACAAGATGAAACTGTACATCACCGCGTTCAACCCCGAAGAGATGGTGCGGGAGGTTGTGAGAGCCGTCTCGTACAGCAACAATCGAGAAAGGCCATCCAAGAAGAACGTCAAGATCATCCAGGACATAAACCTGCCGCCGATGCTCATATACGGAGACCCGATCCGCTTGCATCAAGTGCTCGGTAATCTGATCAGCAATAGCTTGAAGTTCACCGAAGACGGTTCCATCACGATTGGTGCCAGGGTTGACTCTAACACATCCGACAGGGCGAAGCTCACGTTCTGGGTCGAGGACACCGGCATCGGTATCCCACCTAAACAGCTTGCCAAGCTATTCAAGCCGTTCAGCCAGGCGGACGCCAGCACCGCGCGGAAGTATGGCGGGAGCGGGCTCGGCCTCAGCATCTGCAAGTCGCTTATCGAGACCATGATGAAGGGCCGGATCAAATTGGAAAGCCAGGAGAATAGGGGCACGAGAGCTTCGTTCACGGTCACATTCGACAAGGCAAGGCCTGAGGTGTCGGCAGGAGAAGCCCAACCTATACCCGCGACTCAGGTCGTCGGTGGGAGACGCGACTTTCTCCAACCCGCTCCCAGCCAATCCCCGACGAGCTCACTCGTAGATCTGGCGCGGATACCTAAAGACCAAATTCGTATTTGCATAGCGGAAGATAACCACATCAACCAGAAAATAGCCATCAAATTCGTCCACAAGCTTGGGTACACCAAGGTCGACGCCTACGAAAACGGACTGAAGGCCGTAGAAGGGCTACGGCAGAAGGCCAAGGAAGGGATCCCCTACCATGTCGTCTTGATGGATGTTCAAATGCCCGTCCTAGATGGCTACGAAGCCACAAAGCTCCTCCGGAAGGACCCAGTCGAAGAGGTCAGGAAGGTCTTAGTCATCGCCATGACAGCCTCTGCAATTCAAGGCGACCGAGAAAAGTGCTTGGCGTCGGGTATGAATGACTATCTCGCCAAACCAGTTAAAGCGGACTTGCTCAAGAGGAAGTTGGACACCTACACCACGGGAACCGTTCAACCCCCAACTCCACCTGCGAGGAACCTGTCGGACCCCATCCTCGCCCAACGAGCGCATCTTGCATCGTCAAATAGCGGTATTACGCCGACGGCCAACCCGTCCATAGCGAGCACCAATGGACAGGTGAACGGATCACCGCCTCTTATCATACCGGCGAGACAGAGTATCAGGCCGTCAGAAGTTTCTGAGGGTATGTCGAGCGAGATAACCCCACCAGCGGAAGGTCGCGCCGCCGCACCGCCAGATCCCGCGTCCTCGCCGCAATCAGCAGAACACCCAGAGCATAAGTCAACCAGAAGCGGTAGCAATAGCGAAATCGAATTGACGCCCGTCAGCGACGGAAGTCTGAGCGTAAGCCTAATCCAAGATTCACAGCCCACCAACCCATCTCCACCAGACGGCAAAACATAATCCCAGATATCCTCCTTACGGCGCCGTTCTTTTTACCTACGTCTTTGCTTTAAACACAGATCGAGGCCATGTACCGGCAACCCGTGCGGTATGAGGGCTCGGAACAGCAGTCTGCCCAGGGCGTTTTTGTCAAGCCGTGTCCGATTCATTTACTCTTTGGAGGTTTATTCTAATAATGCTTCCCGAGAGGCTAGCCCTAACAGGGTCTTTTTTTTTCCTATTTTGGCACCGAAAGATGATCTAGGCGGACTAGTGTACCGGGGACTCGGAGCATCCAGGAGAAAGGCGGGGAAGGGAAGGGAAGGGAAGGGCAGGGACTGGGTTGCGTGTTTAGATAAGTCCCCCCTCCCTTTCTTTACAGGAAATGACAAGGAGATGAATTTGGCCAGGTGAAGGGGTTGAGGGAAAGGGGGAGACGGGGGGGGGGGGGGGGGGATACGATGGCAGCCCACGCCAACGGAGAGAAAGGGGCAAGGGAGAGGCAGAGATACACGGGACCTTTGTTGGGTGAGACGGTCGTCTATACATACATGTGTAATGTCATCATGGCGAATCTCCTTTTTATTTTTTTTATTTTTTTATAACGATGTCAGATACGAGGACACGACAACGATACAAGCAAGTAAATACGGGATGGACCGCGACGGGCTTTAGGGAACTTGGGAAACTCGGGAGACCTACGGATGGACGGGGGGGAGGAATGGGCGGAAGGGCCCCGGCAGCAAGTAGGTAATATATATATATATATATACACATACATATACACACACCTTATCCCGACGTGGGCCTGCGAACGGTGATTTTATAAATCTGTCTGCGTGTATATATCTATATCTATATACATATATGCCTGTGTATCAACTAGTCGCCGACGCCGTCCCGGGATACCAGCATCAGCCGTAACTACGCGCTCTGCTTGTGTCCTCAACCGCTCTTCCGTCTTCGTCTCTTCCGTCTTCGTCTCCCTCTTCCTGCTTCTTACCTCCTACGAAAGGACTCATGAGTCTGCGAGAGTTACCTGCGGGCGTAGATAGTGTGTACGAGAATAAAAATAGACCACGTCTGACTGTCTTTCCACGCGCCCGCTTGCTTACCTTCTCCCCCCCGACCTTTCTTCCCCCTACCCCTTCCCCCGTCTCTCTCTCTCTCTCTCTCTCTCTCTCTCTCTCTCTCTCTCTCTCTCTCTCTCTCTCTCTCTCTCTCTCTCTCTGTTCTAAGCCGGCTCGGACAGAGGCAGCATCCGAGGACGACAACGGCACTCGCGATTGCCCGTGGGCGAGCCGGCCGACTCGTTCGTGGCGCAGCGACGGGCGGGTGAGCTGCCGTAGGAAAGACGGGAACGAGAAGGAGGGGAATGGGGCAGTTAGGTAGGTAGGTAGGTAGGCAGGTAAGACGGGTAGCCACGGGAGGGAAAGGAGGCACTTCATACCTACCACTGTGAGCAAAAGCCAAAAAATAAAAATAAAAAAATACACCTCCCAAAAACGCTGCCCCTTCCCCTCCTTCTCTCCTTTCTTTAGATTCTGCCAGCGGGGCCTCCCGCCCGTCGGCTAGCCCGCCATCCGCGCCTGGTCCCGACGGGGTCCCGGCGTTCCGGCATGAGAGGAGGAGGAGGAGGGGGGGGGAGGGGGGCTGTGTTCGGCCTGGGCGTTCGTTGGGGGCGGGTCGTCTGCGCAGATGCGGGCGGGATGCCGCGCGTGTGCGAGAGAGGCATACGCAACGCACGCGCAGAGAGGGAGACAGATAGAGAGAAGGTGCAGGATTCGACGTGCGCCGGGGAGGACGCCCCGGCCGGCCGGCCCAGGGGAGGAGGGGGGAGAGCGGAGCAGACCTGCGGCCAGCTCGCGGACCCGGCCGGGTCTCGGGGGGGAGGGCCCGCGGTCCCCGGTCCCCAGTCCCCATCCACCCCCCCCCCCCCGCGGCCTGCAGTGGCTGTGGCGATGTTGATGTTTCGCTCGTCTGTCTGTCTGGCTGGCTGTCTGGCTGCGCGTCCAGCTTCGGTAGATGTAGGTATGCATCTACACATCTATCCATATACCTACCTACCTACTTACCTACCGCCCAGCTGACTCCCCGCCCGCCCGCCCGCCTTGCCCCTCCCCTCCTCGTTTACCTGCCTAACTGGGCAGCTTGCGTGTTTGAGATAGGCAAGGTAGGGGCAGGCAGGCAGGCGGACAGGCAAGCAAAGTCGGTGAGCCCTGCGGACGGATGGGCGAGTTTGTTTGTTTTGGTTTCGAGGGGCGCGCGCGTCTGGCCTCCCTTCCTGCGTAGGGCTGCGCCGCACGCGTGAGCGAGCGAGCGAACGAACGAGCTGCGGGCGCCTGCCTGCTGGACAGACAAGACACGGGCGTGCATGTAGAGGTGCGGCTAGTAGGCGTAGGCGTGTGTAGTCTATAGTCTCGGCGCGCGTGCGGAGGGGGGAGGGGGGGCGTGAACCAGAGAAACCCGTGGAGCGGAGCGAAGCTGACCAGCGTGCGGCCGGGGCAGGCTCGCCGCTAGCTAAGAGCAGGGCAGAGCAGGGCGCGCGTCCTATAGACGGCCGACACATCGCGTGGGGGGGGGGGGGGGGGGGGGTGTTGTGTGCTGAAGAGTTCATGCGTTTGAGGATGGGGCCGCAGCGGCGCGCGCGGTAGGGGACGGCCGGTGATCAGATCAGATCGGCTCGTCGACACACTTCCTGCTTCCTAGCGGCGCACATACGACAGGAAATATGCATGTCTACATACACTTAGGCCCGTGACGGCGTCTACGTGCCTATCTCCCTCCTTACTTACCTACTTAGGTAGGTAGGCGGGCGGGCATGCTAACGCATCTGGATACATCGTCACGTAGAAAGGGGGAGGCGGGAGAGAGGTAGCAGAGGCAGCAGCAGCAACAACAACAACAAAAACATCGTCAGCAAATAGTGTCGCGTACCTACCTAGGCTACTCCGTCAGGCATCGTAGTGTGTGCGTGTGTGTGTGTGTGTGACGCGTGGGATGAGCTCAGCGATCCGGGCACGCGGCACGCGCTACCTAGCATTAGCATGACTCTCTCTCATACACACCGATATGCACTTGCTCACTCGTCCGTTCGCTCACGCGCACACTCCCTCTCCCTCTCTCGCCCCTCCTCATTACGCGTCGGGTATTCAGGTGGCGTTATTCCAATAGGGAGCTAGCGATCTCTCTTCAACAACCACCAGGAGAACAAACGGGGCAGTAGTCGGAAAGCGCCACGCAGGAAGGAAAGTTATGTTCCTTGTCTTTTTTTTACACGAATATACGAAACGGCTCGGGCAACGGGTGTGTTGTCTCTCGATCTGGTTAGCTCTACCCGGTCTTCCTGTCGGTCAAGAAGCCTCGGACAAATATAGCAGGTGATACGAGCGATTGGGACTATGTTGGAAAGCAAGAAGGGGAAAAACACTCAACTCGACCTGTAGGAATGAGGCGTTTCGGGGCCTCGCCTTTTCCTACCCCTTTTTATTGTTTTCTTCCCTCCTCCTTCCCTTACTGCCAGAGCGAGTACGCCGAATCAGACTAGTTGGCTGACGCGCAGAGGAGCGCACAAGTATAACCTGCTGAAGGAAAGGGAAGGGGTGGTGACTTGTGCCTCCGAGGCCCAGGCTGGGGTTGGGCGCGAGTTTCGGTCGAGATCTAGTATACAGGCATATGACCCTCTTGCCTAGTCCACATGCCGTAGTCTACGACAGACCGCCTAGGGTGATGGATGTGGCTGTAGAAGCTTGCTCGGGAACACAGAGAGGGCCGGTTATAACGCTCCGAGGGTAGCGTTTGGTGGCACAACACGGCAAGCCAGCCTACCTGGCGGTGGCTATAGAACTCGGACTCGACTTAACCTTGGGGGGGGGGGGGGTTGGGGTTTCCCCTTCTCTTCTCGAGCCAAGGTTAATTTTCCTAAAAGAAGAACCGAAAAAAACGCACAGCTGGTGGTGCCGAGACGCCTTGCAGCTTCATACAGAGCATACCACGTGTTTCCGCAACGGCTTTTATCAGCCCCATCGTATGGTGGGTGTGTGTACATCCATACCGCCAGCCAGTCGGTGCGGGAATGATCTATCGAAGATCTCCTAAAAAAAGGTCCATCAGCAGAGGAGGGAGGAGACGCTGTCTTCGAGCGTTAGCCGAGTTTAGCTCGCTCGTGCATTGCAGGAGATACCCAGATAGAGCAGGCTGAGAGGGGGGAGGGGAATAAAAAAACTTTTTGTTTGCTTTTCTCCATCCATAACGGGCGGTATCTGCGGGAGCCTGTGGTGTTCGCGCACATAGCCCGCCGATCCGATCCGTGGGGGTTGCAGATAGGGGAAGCCCAGAGGGAGGTTTGAGGGTTTCCGCTGTCTGTTTCCGGATGGGCGGGCTAGCTGTATAGTTCCTCGTGCGTGCGCTACGAGAGGCCAGCTGATAATGGTGAGGAGGCAGGCCGGCAGAACACCTCGGCACCGCTCGCCTAGGACCCCCGAGCGAGCAAGTAAGAACGTACGGATGGGTGGATAGATGTAGGTTAGTGTGGTGCCTTGAAGGATCATCGTGGTGAGTGTGATTGCTGGCCCTCGCTGTGGACCTGTGTGACGTCTTCGGGGCAGCGAATGGATTGCCAGACCGACATATCGTTGTCAAAGTTTACACGTAAAGGATCGGCGCGTGCCAGTCAGGTTGGAAGATTGCCCGCCTCTGTACGCATCTTAGGGGGGATGAGGAGGGGGAGAGTGTATGTATGTATGCCTTCACGCAGGAAATCTCACCCCATCCCAGCCGGGAACAACCCGGCCGCTTTTGTTCTGTGGCTCGATCGCCAATCTCATATTGGGCACGAGCCTCTCCCGGCGGGTAGGAGTACATAGAGAAGCGTCGTTTAGGACAGTGATAGGGATATGTCGAGACTATTGCTGGCCGAAGCTCGAAGTACGGGAAATCGTTGTCTAATCTGCCCACGTCAACCTGGATCTTGGGCGTTGGTTGCTGAGACCAAACGGTCCTGAACAAATTTACCGGAGCTGGTACCAGTCGAGGGCTGGCAAATGTTGACGAAGTGGTGGCAGATAGCCGTGGCCATCCTTCCGGAGCCCTAGGCCTATTACAAAGGTTCTTTCGAAGGGGCTACGATAGCAGTAAAGCCGAGTCCTTCTTCGCCATAGGATTTCTGCATGACAGCTGACGGCTTTGACTCCTCGGCAGCTCTGGGCAATAACTGCGCTCGAGAACAGGAAACCCAGAAAGGCATAACCTATCATCCCGTCGTATCGTCCGTAGTTATAAAGACGGCGACATGACGAGGCGAAGACCTCGCAGACAGGTACCTGAAAACCAGCGTTGCACACTAGGATCCGTTTTCTAGCTCGACCTCTGCCTACGGGTCTCTCACCTGGTTCAATACGGAGCGCCAACGATGTAATATGCGGCCTTCGGCGGACATCCTAGTAACCTCCCCGAAGTCCGTGCTTTTTTACTGAGAGACCAGCTCAGTTTGCCGTGAAGCCCTGAATCCGCATCCAGCAAGCATGCCCATTATTCTAAGCCTATCATGAGCAGTAGGGCGATACACGCATAGTTAGGGAGTTACGCTCTGAAGTCTTTCACATACCAAATAAGGGGTGCCTACCCGCAAACAGGAGACAGAAATAATTAGGAACGGTATGACAGAGAGACAAAAAGAACAAAAAAAAACCCCCCCTACAAGACCGGGCTGTCGGATAACCTCAAGCCCCCCGTCCCCGGGGAGGAGGAAGGAAAAGAAAAGAAAAGAAAAGAGCGTTGGCGATGAGATAAACTCGCCAACACCAGCCTATCCGCTGCTGTGTGCTTCGTTGACTCCACTAGTTCCAGCGCACGAGGTCGCGCTGGTCCCGGTGAATTGTGGGTGCCGGTGGCGTATTTCGCAAGGGAATAATTGCCGGCTCCTCGAGGCCAGGAGACGCCAGCTGAGGAGGCCGTCGCCTTCCTTTGGCTGGTCTGCTAGTTTTGCCGCCTGTTCATAAGAAGTTACCCGGGTTCTGCATGTAGGAGTTGCCGTCGGTCTAGATAAGCGCGGAAAGATCCCGGAGACTGGATTCGTGACACATCTGGGAAATCCTCACATTCGGGTTGGCGCCCTATGCCATGCTGGGTTTGTCCCTGGGCACGGAATGGTTAGGCTTGCCTCCTAGGATTGTGCCCAAGGACGAGCCCGCGCTTTCGACTCCGACTTGCGGTACGCCCAGGGTTTCATACTCGGTAGGTGGTAAAAAAAAAAAAAAAGTAGGCGGTCGGCTACCTCTGTGTCCCCGGGGAGGAGGGCTCAACCTGATTACCTCTGCTGCCCTCCCTCTTCGTCGCCCGCGCAGTGCCGCGACTCTAGGCGCAATCGCGGCAAGTAGGTCAGGCTCATGGCTCGTGAGGTCCTGGGGCCCCCTTTGAATATTACACGGGATAGCAATGTTCCACACCGGAGAGGACAGACCAGCTCTAGACCGTGGGGGACTTTGGATGACAGCAGTGACAAGGTTGTCTGGGCAAATGAGGAGGGTCTCGGTCCCTAAAGAGATGGTCTCTCTATACCCTCGTGTTGATCCCTGAAAAGCCGAGTCTCGTCGACTGCTCAAACGACAGCCTACAGCGGGATGATCCTATTGGCACCCATCCGTACCAATTAGGAGTGGGAAAGGAGAGAATGACAAGAAATGGATATTTGAAACAGGGCCAACCCACCAGCTACTCCAGTCCACAGTGTGATTGACGGCGGCCGCTGAAGGGATTGAGACGCCCAGGTGGCTCTAGTCCTGCAAAACGGGGACTAGCTATGCCGGAGGGCCAAGCTTTGCGCATGTCGTCGAGCTTGGCCTAGACCGTAGACATGCAAGTTTGCTGCCGTGCCTCGTCCCGACTCCTCACCACGCTGGTAGCGTCGGCAGTGTGGCGACGATGCAGAAGAAACCTCGCGGCCCCAGTCTAGGATGGGGGGGGAACAGGAGCTGGAGCTGGAGCAGCAGAGGCGACGGCAGCGGCAGTACGGCTCGCGGCGACGCGGCTATGGGATGGCATGTGCGGGCTGCTTCGGAGAGTGGAGGGCGGATGAAGAGAGAGAGGGGAGGGGTTTGAAGTGGGAGACGACGAGAGGTGAGCGAGGGCCTGTCTTGTTTCAACTTTCTCCCGACTAGGCAATTTCGAGCTGAGTGGGAACGTCAGAGCCAGCTGCGTCTGCCTTCCTTCCTCAGGTAGAGGTACCTGCCTGTCTGCCTCCCAACGGCTTGAGGTACAGTACATCCATACCCCATACATACATAGGTATACATATATTTATACATCACGTATACATATACGCATACCTACATAGAGATATGCCTGCATGCATGGGTTCGCGCGTGCATACCTACCTCTACCTACACCTGCGTAGGTGCATACCTCCCCTTGTATCTTCGCATACCTACCTGCATACCTACCTACCTACCTCCTACCTCTTCTGCACGCAGTCACCCCCCCACTCACACATGACACGTACCAGGTAGAGGTAGGTACAGGGTGCTTATGCTGTAGGTACCTACCTACCTACCTACCTACCTACCTACCTACCTACCTATCTCTTAGAAGGTAAGCGGGCAGTCGGAGAGGTACCCACCAGGATTAGTTCTCTGTACTCATATGGGTGCCTGCCTACCTGCCTAGGTAGACCTACCAACATCCCAACACCTATATCCTACTAGGTACGTGCATATCAAATTACTTAGGCGGTTAGAGCTAGGTACCTACCTACATATAGGTAAGGATAGGGGGTACCTAGGTAGGCAGGTACCGTACTGGAACCCACATGGAGGTCCTAAGGCACTGCATTACGCAGGCAAGTTTGTAGCCTTGTACCTCTGATGCTGGCATTGTGCACGCCGTCCGTCCAGCAGAGGTATACCTGCGGGCATTAGGAGAGAACCTGGAAGCTAATATTAAACGAGCCACACGAGCTGAGATAACCACCTACCTACCTAGGTACCTAGGTATCTACCTACCTACTTACATACCTCAAGCCCGGGCAGGTAGGTAGGTAGGTGGGTGGGTGCCTAAGGTAGGGTGCCCTTCGTTCTCCCTCTAATTCTATCACAGGCCTGCCCTCAACTTACCTACCTTCGAGATACCAGTATCAGATACCCATCCCTATGAGGCACGTGTCGCGCCAGCCCAGATCACGGTTAAATAGAATGTGCCACCCCGAAGCTACATTTACTATCAAAAGTATGGCTACTGAGCCTTTTCTTTCTATCTTTCTTTCTTTACGATTGTTGCGCCGGCCCCGCCCCCATTTCCTTTGTATGTAGGCATTTTTTGCTTGCCTACAAGTGCGGTACTTTGGCCTGGCATGGGTTGAAGAAGAGAGATATATAGGAGGCTCTTATGAGCCACCCTCGCCGCCTTATTCTCCTCTTAAGTCTCTATCTACGTAAGACTACGCGTATTTCCCTTTCGCCGTTCCGCTGCTGCTCTCCAAGCTTGTAGTCAGCCATAATGCAGTGGACCATAACGTGTTTAGTTTCGTCCTGCTCCGTCCCCTATCCGTGGTGCGTAGTCTACATTGTTGTTATTATTAGTATCATTAGCATTACCAGCACTTACATAGTATATATAAATATATATATGTGTGCGTATATATTATGTATCATCCGGTGATATTTAAGCTACAGCATACCAGCCGGCAAAGGTTACCACCCACCTAATACCCAATCGGGCATCGTTACAGCAGAGCAAAGACAGTCTGCCGTTGATTGGCCAGTTCCCGCCTTGTCTTCCCCATTTAGGAATTGTGATGTATTTATAGAATCCGCCCAACGGCGCTCCCTAACCGCGGATGGTAGATCGGCGACATTGCTCTCGTAACCTGCTTTCTGAATCCGAGTTCGCCAGGGTGCCGCGCCGCTCCGCACCTCGGCACCCGATGTAGAACCTGCCTGCGTGTCTGGTAAGAGAGAGTGGGATGTGTTCATAGGTTAGGTACCTGTTATGTGGGTATGCGCGCGCACGCGCATCTGCATCTTCGTCATGTCCGTTACTTGGACCGTACTCACCGGATCTGCCATCGCGAGCTCATGCCAAATGTGCGCAGGCTGCCGTTACGCCCATTTGAGTGGCTGATGCCGTGGGGAGGGGAGCTCGGCTTATCATCCAATATTGAGCCCGTGCTTCGTATCCAGTGCTGTCGTATAACGGTATTCGCATCTGCCTGTAAGAAACTCCCGGTGCTGCAGAGGCAGCTAGCAGGCGATTGGCGATAGCTGCGCAGCTCATCATATCTCAATAAATGTGGAGGTGACGGCCCATACAAGCGACAATGTTTACGAGGCGGCCGCTACGTGTCTGGGCAGCTCTTTTCCTGCCCGGAGGTATACCACCTACTACGTACATCACTTGCTGGTCACACGCCGCACTACATGACTCGTGCTTATGGTGCCGGTGGCCTACGAGGCCGACGTGGTGGCAAGTCCGAATCGGCCTGCTCGCGGATGTGTGTGTGTGCTGCTGCAGGCGACAAGATATGCTGATATGCATCCCGGCGGGCGTATCGAGAATCGACACGGGACCAGCTGGATTCCCGGGTCACCATGTGCTACCTCGAAGCTAGGGGATTTTCGACGTCCGTGAGGCTCCACGACGCCCGTGGCCATCGTCAGCCTCAAGTTGATGTACATGCGCAAGTACATCTGATGTACATACGCCCGTACATTATGTACACATCCTGTACGCTCCATAGGGGGTTGCTAGACCTCGTGCGCGCCCTATACTACGTGCACACAGACGACCTACCCCGACGACCGGGTGCTCCCAACGGCGAGGATAATCCCAAAGCGGCTGCAGCCACGCGGGACCCGTGCATTAGTATGTTGGGTAATGTGTGTGGTATGTACCTATGTCCACGAGTACCTCATCCGTCTATCCGTCCATACGAGTGATAGGTATCGATGCCAACCTCAACTTGCCGGGTTCGGGGCATTAACCACGACACATACATGTGTGCAGTGCCTCACGTATAGCCCACCTACATAATAGGCGTGCAGCGCATACACATGTACATATGCAGAGTGGATGGATGCTACTACGGTTGGGACGATTTAAATAGCAGCATTTCCATCTATACGTACCTATTTATGTACCTAAGATTCTCGACGGAGACGGCACTCGAGCTTCAATTTGTCTAAGCGCGCGCGCGTGCGCGGGAACCCCCGGCGACGAACCCGGCATGGCTGGGTGGTTTTGCCTAAGAAAAGCGCCTAACTTACATGCATACAACGCGTAGAGGAGGTAGGTACCTACATAATAACCGCCGGCGAGGGAGATGATAAATTGGAATCA